ACTTCTAGAGTCCCAGTTTGGGCATCTCGTTCGATGAGAGTCTTGGTTTCCGTGTCCTCAGCATCGCTTTGCTTGGGCGGATCGGTTGCAGGGCGCGCCTTGATTGAGTCGGTGTCAACTTCCCCGGAGTGTTCACGCAACTCCTCCAAGGAGCCCGGGGAATCGTCGACAGGAATGTCGGGAGAGACTGTCTGCGTCTTAGGGACAGCTTCCAACGGCTCAACTAGCAAACTCCGAGCCTCTTGGTCTTCCAGCATGTTGATGACTGGCTGTGGTTCGTTGGGAGAGTCTGCGATAAGTTCTTTCTCGACTTTGTCTGTTTCCGTTGCATGATGCTCAGTGTCGTAAGCAGGAGTGAGAGAAGATTGACGTTGTTCAGGCTCATCGAGGTCAGAGGGAAATTCCTCCGCCATACCACCGTTTTCCAAATCGGGTTCTTTGCGAGTTCCCTCAATCACCTCTACCTCACCTCCGTGAACCTCAGCCTCTGGTTCTTCGGGCTCGAGGTCGGTGTTCACAGCATCCTGTCCCGGCTCTGTGACCACTCTCTTCGCATTTTGGCCTGAACTCGGCTTCTCCAACACTGGCATCGTGATTTCTGTGACAGTTTCACCACCCTCTTCAGGAGATGAAACATTCCTGAGCTCCTTCGTGGCTTCTTCTTCAGCCTCCGCAGTTCCAGCCATCTCTGGCTGGGTCGATTCATCATTAACGACAGGGGTAAGTCCTGTATTCTCCTGGATGTGGGATGTGTCCTGCTGTTCCTGGGTATCGTCTGAATGTAACACCAAAACGCCATGATACGAGTTCTCATGTAACTCCGAAGTGGAAACTCCCAAACGTTGCGGAAAATCAAGAGGGGTATCGTATAATGAATGTCGTTCCTCACCTTTGTTTTCCTGCTTCTTTTCCTCGCCTGGAATAGGTCCTAGAGTGTCTTTGCTCTCCTCCGCTTCGGTAGCTTTGGCCTCGTCCTCGGTCTTCTTCTCTGCTTCTGCTGCTTTCTCTGGTTCAGGCTCGGGAGTTGGTTCGTCTTGAGGCTCATCGGATGGTTTAGCTTCCTCGGACTCGGGCGCTTCTTCGGTTGGTTTAGCATCCTCTTCAGGGGTCGGCAGTTCCTTGTCGACAGGCTTGTCGTCTGCGTCTATCGCAACAGCGGGCGCCTCCTCGGCTGGTTCGGTGTTTCCCTCGGGGGCCTTTGTTTCATCGGCTGGCTTGTCATCAGTGGCAGGTGTATCATCAACCGTTTTCTCTCCAGTTGCAGGGGCCTCTTCGGGGGCAGGGGGATCCTCCTGGGCTGGCTTGTCATCTGAGGGAGGTGCTTCCTCAGCTGGCTTTTCGTCAGTGGCAGGCGCCTCTTCAGTTGGCTTCTCTTCGGCAGTTTTGGCTTCTTCTTCAGGCTTGTCGTCCTCCTCGATGGCAGGTGGCGCTTCCTCAGCTGGCTTCTCGTCAGCTGTAGGTGCCTCTTCCACCGGGGGCGCCTCGTCGGCTGGCTTGTCGTCAGTAGCAGGTGCTTCCTCAGCAGGTTTGGCCTCTTCCTGGGGCGCAGGCGGAGCCTTGTCAGCTGGCTTGTCATCAGAGGCGGAAGCTTCATCAACAATCTCAGTGTCCTTGTCGGGCTTCTCATCGACTTCAACCGGGGGGGCGGGTGTCTCCTCCGGCTTCTCATTGTCACCCTTTTCTGCGGCCGTGTCAAGACTCTCGGGTTCTTTCTCGGGCTCTGATTCAGCAGCAAGAGCATCATCTTTTCCCACTTCCTCGGCCTCGGGCTCAGGTTCAGGTTCTTCCGTCTTGCTGTCGTCTCCGTTCACCTGGGCGTTCACCTCGTCGGCGACGGGGGTCTCAGGCTCTTTGTCAGCCTGGGAAGCCGAGTCGTCCTTCTTGTCGTCCGCATCCTTGCTCGGTTCTGGTTCAGATTGTTTCTCCACTGGTGGTTCAGCAGAATCGTTGGCGGGTTCCGCTTCAGGGTCATTCTCAGCGAGAGCCTCTGGCTTGTCGTCTTCCGCAGGCTTGCTCTCTTCGGCAGATTTGTCTTCTGCTTCCGCAGGCGTCTCTGCTTCAGCGGGCTTATCCTCAACTGCCTCCGTCTCCTTTTCGGCAGGAGTTTCAGAAGAATCTTTGGCGGGCACTGCTTCAGGTTCCTTCTCGGTAGGAGCTTCCGGCTTGTCAAGTTCAGCAGCTTTATCGTCTTCGACAAGTTTGCTCTCTTCGGCAGGTTTGTCTTCTGATCCAGCAGGCGTCTCTGCTTCGATGGGCTTGTCCTCAACTGCCTCTGTCTCCTTTTCGGCAGGAGTTTCAGAAGAATCTTTAGCGGACTCTACTTCTGGTTCGTTCTCGCCAGGAGCCTCGGGCTTGTCAAGTTCGGTAGCTTTATCGGCTTCGACAGGTTTGCTCTCTTCGGCAGGTTTGTCTTCTGATCCATCGGGCGTCTCTGCTTCGACGGGCTTGTCCTCCTCGGCAGGCTTGTCCTCAACTGCCTCTGTCTCTTTTTCGGCAGGAGTTTCAGAAGAATCTTTAGCGGACTCTGCTTCCGGTTCCTTCTCGGCAGGAGCCTCGGGCTTATCATCTTCGGCAGGTTTGCTCTCTTCGGCAGGTTTGTCTTCTGATTCAGCGGGCGTCTCCGCTTCGATGGGCTTATCCTCCTCGACAGGCTTGTCCTCAACTGCCTCTGTCTCCTTTTCGGCAGGAGTTTCAGAAGAATCTTTAGCGGACTCTGCTTCCGGTTCCTTCTCGGCAGGAGCCTCGGGCTTGTCGTCTTCAGCAGCTTTGTCTTCTGCTTCAGTAGGCGTCTGTGGTTCGACAGGTTTCTCCTCGACAGGATTCACCTGTACTGCCTCTGCCTCTTTCTCATCTGGAGCTTCAGGAGAATCGCCAATGGGTTCTGCTTCGGGTTCTTTCTCACCAGGAGCCTTGAGCTCGTCGTCCTCGGCAGCTTTGTCATCTTCAGCAGCTTTGTCTTCTGCTTCAGCGGGCTGCTCTTCTTCGACAAGCTTCTCTTCCTCGACAGGCTTCTCCTCACTAGGTTTCTCCTCCACTGCCTCTGTCTCCTTTTCATCAAGAGTTTCAGGAGAATCACCAGTAGGTTCCGCTTCAGGTCGAGGAGCGTCAGACTTGTCATCCTCAGCAGACTTGTCCTCCTCAACAGGCTTCTCCTCGGCGGGTTCCTCCTCGGGTTTCTCTGGCCCCTTCTCGGCTGGAGTTTCAGGAGAATCGTCAGCGAGCTCCGCTTCTGGTTCCTTCTCAGTAGCAACCTCGAGTTTGTCATCTGCAGCAGGCTTTTCCTCAACTGCCTCTAGCTCCTTCTCCGCCGAAGGTTCAAGCTTCTCATCTTCTACCTCAGAATCGACGACGGGGTTCTCTTCAGCCTTCTCCTCGACAGGAGGTTCGGGGGTGCCGCCTTCGGCTACTGGGGGCGGCGAGGCCTCCTCAGCTTCAGACTTAGGAGCATCGCCAGCTTCTGAACCCTCGGTCTCTTTCGCTTTCTCCGCATCGGGTTGCTCTGCGGGAAGTTCGGGGGTGGCCGACTCTTCCTTGTCGACCTTCGACTCAGTATCGTCCTTAGCGGCCTCGGGTTCTGCTGCAGCCTCTGGAGCGGGAGCGTCCTCAGTCTTAGTCGCTTCTTCAACAGGCTCCTCGAGTTTGGTCACTAACTCGTCGTCCTTGACTTCCTCAGGCTTGACTTCAGCTTCAGGTTCAGGTTCTGTTACTGAGGTTTCGGTCTCCTGGAACTTAGCAGAGTCGGCATCCTCAGCATCAGAATCTGCTGAGGGAGCAGTCTCGGGAGGAGGTGCTTCATCTTTCTTGCTTTCCTCCTCGGTAGCCTTGCTTTCTTCGCCTGCAGCATTCGCGTCATTTGCATCATGGTCGACCTTAGCAGAATCAACCTTTGTTACATCGACGGAATCATCCTGGGGAGTGTCTTTTGCAGCCTCGGGTTCAGGATCTGGTTGAAGAGGTGCATCTTCCTTGGATTCGACAGAAGTGGGCTCAGGTTCTGGGGTTGCTTCGTCCTGATCCTCGTTTGGTTTCTCAGTTGGAGGTTCATCAGCTGACTTTTTGTTTTCAGCTTTGCTGTCGAGCTCTGCATCATTCTCCTCTGGGATAGCCTTGTCATCGGAGTCCTTCTCCCCGGGTTCATCTTCCTTCGGGTCGTTGTCTGTTTCCGCAGGTTCTTCAGTTGGTGTCGGTGCCTCCGATTTTGTGTCCTCCTCCGGCTTAGATGTTTCTTCAACGTCGGGTTCGGCATCCTTGGCTAGTTCGGGTTCGGTGGTTGACTCTGCGGAGACTTCGCCTTCAGACTCTAGAGGAGCGCTCCTCTCGTCCTCGACGACGACCTCTTCTTTGGCTGCGTCAGGCTCAGATTCCGTTGGATCCTCTTCCTTGATCTCTTCAGCCGGTTCTAGAGCTGAATCGATGGCCGGTTTCTCCTCGGCTTCAGGCTCCTTCTCTGGCTTGTCATCAACCTTGGTCTCTTCCGCAGGAGTCTCGCTGGAATCGAGTTCATCCTTAGAGGCATCATCGTCATGAGCGGCGGGAGGAGCCACTTCAACTACCTTTTCATTATCGATGAGTTTCTCCTCCGGCTCAGATTTGTTTCCCTCCGTAGATTTGTCCTCACCAGGAGGGGCAGATTCGGCGGCGGCGGCGGCGGCAGCGGCAGCGGCAACTTTCATCTCGGTTCGTTTCGCCGCATTTTCAGTCAGAATGCTAAAACGTTGAGCATCTGTCTTATTGAGCTTGCGTTTCTTTGCTTTCGCCTTCTTGGCAGCCAGGGCAGCCAGCTCTGCCTCTTCTTTGGCGATCGCGGCATCCTCAGCTTGCTGTGCAGCAGTGGCTTCGGCCTCAGCAGCTTCCTGGGTAGCGGCTTCTTCTGCTGGAGCAGGCGTTTTCTCTTCCGCAGGTGTTGACTCCTCGGCCGGAAGTGCGGATTCAGCAACTTTTTCCTCCTCAGATGGTGTTTCTTCGGCGGCCGGTACAAGAGGGTCCGCTACAGCAGGCTTTTCTTCCTCGGGAGCTTTCACTTCATCTGCTGGCGCGTCCTCATCCGCAGGGGGTGTAGCTTCCGCAGGCTTTTCCTCATCTACAGGAGGTGCGGCTTCGGCAGGTGAGTCGTCATCCGCAGAATGCGTAGCTTCAGTAGGCTTCTCCTCTTCTCCAGGAGGTGTAGTTTCAGCAGCCTTATCCTCCTCTGCAGGAGGTGCGGCTTCAACAGGCTTGTCGTCCTCTGAAGGGGATGTTGCCTCAGCAGTGGCCGTTGCCTCAGCAGTGGCCGTTGCCTCAGCAGGCTTATCCTCCTCTTCTGCAGGAGGTGCGGCTTCAGCAGATTTGTCGTCCTCTGCAGAGGGTGTTGTCTCAGCGGGCTTGTTCTCCTCCTCTTCTGCAAGAGGTGCGATTTCAGCAGACTTGTCCTCTTCCGCAGGAGGTGCGGCTTGAGCAGATTTGTCGTCCTCTGAAGGGGATGCTGCCACAGCAGACGTATCCTCTTCTGCAGGAGGTGCGGCTTCAGCAGATTTATCTTCTTCTGCAGGAGGTGCGGCTTTGGCAGATTTGTCGTCTTCTGTGGGAGGTGCGGCTTCAGCAGACTTATCCTCCTCTTCTGCAGGAGGTGCAGCTTCAGCAGACTTGTCATCCTCCGAAGGGGATGTTGCGTCGGTGGGTTTGTCCTCTTCTGCAGATGGTACGGCTTCAGCAGACTTGTCGTCCTCTGAAGGGGATGCTGCGTCAGCGGGGGGTGTTGCCTCAGCAGGCTTGTTCTCCTCCTCCTCTGCAGGAGATGTTGCCTCAGCAGACTGATCCTCCTCTTCTGCAGGAGGTGCGGCCTCAGCAGAGTTGCCCTCCTCTGCAGAAGGTGTGGCTTCAGCAGAAGGGTTCTCGGGAATCTTTTCCTCTTCGACGGGAGGTGTAGATTCAGCGGCGACGGAGGCGGCGGCAGCTTTTGCCTCAGCTCGTTTCGCTGCATTCTCAGTTAGAACAGTAAAACGTTGAGCATCTGTCTTGTTGAGCTTGCGTTTCTTTGTCTTCGCCTTCTTGGCAGCCAGGGCAGCCAGCTCTACCTCCTCCGAGGCGACAACGGCAGCCTCGGCTTCCTGAGCAGCAGTTCTTTCCTCATGGTTAGGTTTTGACTCCTCTGCAGGAGGTGTGACTTCAGCAGCCTTGTCGTCCTCGGAAGGTTTGTCCTCTTCGGCGGGTGTATCTTCAGAAGTCTTTTCCTCATCGGCAGGAGGTGCTGCTTCGGTAGACTTCTCCTCTTCAAGTGGTTTGACATCGTCAGCAGGCTGGTCTTCTGCTTCGGCGGGCTTTTCCTCCTCCGCGGGTGTCACCTCCTCCACAGGTGTCTCCTCCCCCGCAGACTTGGCCTCATCGGCGGGTTTGTCTTCTGTTTCACTGGGCTTCTCTGCTGCTGCAGGCTTGTCCTCTTCGGCGGGCTTGTCCTCTTCGTCGAGCTTGTCGTCTTCTGTGGGTTTGTCGTCGGGTTTGTCGTCAGGTTTGTCGTCGGGTTTATCGTCATCTGAGGGTTTGGCTCCTTCTGCCGGTTTCTCGTCCTCGGCAGTAGGCGAATCTACCGCAGGAGCGTCTTCGGTTGGTTTGTCTTGCCCTGGCGCCTCGGCAGCCTCTTCTTCAGGTTTCGAATCCTCAACCGGCGGTGTGTCGTCTGAAGGAGGGGAAGACGTATCATCTGCTGGCTGATCCCCGACCTCAGCATCAGGAGCCTTGGGCGCTTCCTCGTCCTTGCCCTCGGCGGGGGCTTCCGGCTCAGACTCAGGAGCTGGGGCGCTACTCTCGGCTTCCTTTTCAACCGGAGGAGCAGGCGGCGGGTCGGCGGCTTTTTCTTCCGCTGGTAATGACTTCGACTTGCTTTTGGACTTGACAGTCTTGGCAGTCTTCTCTTTGTCTTTCTTGTCCTTCTTCTTGTCCTTCTTGTTTTTGCTCTTCTTTGACTTTGAAGTGGAAGCTGAATGGTCCTCGTCTTCTTTCTCCTCTTCAGCTGGGGCCTCTTCTTCAGCAAATGTCACCCCCTTTGAAGGTGGCTCCTCTTTGGGTGAGTCGGCTTTGGGCGAGTCGTCGTTGGGTGACTCTTCTGGTGGTGACGCTTCCTCGGCGGGCGTCTCTTCCTCGGGAGGTGAGTCGTCTTTGGGTTTTGACTCCTCAGAAGCGTCTTCTATAGCGGGTTTCTCTCCTTCAGCAGGCATCGGTTCTTCAGAGGGCTTCTCCTCAGTGTCCTGGTCTTCCGTTGGGGGTGCCTCTTCGGCCTTAGCTGTGTCGTCTTCGGCCTTCTTTTCCTCCTCAACAGTGGGCGGGAGGGCTGGCGCAGCTGCTTCTGTCTTTCCCTTGCCCTTCTTCTTCTTCTTGGCAGCCTTCTTTTTGTCCTTCTTGGACAAAGTCGCTGGAGGCTCTGCAACCTCCGTGGGCACTCTCATGAGCAGCTCATTTTGTTGCCACTCCTCACCTATTTTGTCATGAATTCAGTAAATTTGAGCGACGTCCAGAATGGATTGATTCACTCACCTTGACCTGCGGCGGCAGGATCCTGCTCCGCATCTGAATCTTCTCCCGTGGTATATCGAACATTTGAAAAGTCGGAGACCTGCACAGAGGACCAATCAAAATTAGTCCTATATGGACAGTAGTCGATGCCATGACCGGGACTCATACTTGCGCTTCCCTGTCTCCTGACATCACGAAAAAAAAAAACTTCCCAGGATTTCTGGGGGAGCGAGTCTATTTCTCTTGCTCCTTGCAGATGCGCCAGTCAGGCGATCGGGTAGCTGCAGTAGGTCCGCCAAGCGGAACGTCAGATCTCTCGGGCCCTGAAGGCTGTCCAACGCACGACGATTCGGTATGGGGGGAGGGAGGGAGGTGGATGGATGGGGGTGTCACGCGGTCCGACAGCGCAGCAGCGGCAAAAACGGGAATGGGTATGGGTGCGAAAAACGAGACAAAGGGATTGGATGTTAGAGACAATGTGTGAGATGCAGGGCTCGGATCATAACGGGCGAACGGGTGGGAGGCCGGGAGAGGTCATTGACGAGAGGTCGGCTGGATAACTGGGCGGCTGGGTTGACTTTGCTACTCTGGGGTCCGTGTATTTTCTGGGCGCCGACGTTGATGGGTCCAGTCTGTTGCAACAACTCGACGATAAAAAAGCATGCAGGCCCGACAGGCTAAGGCAGACGCCCAGTCCCCTGCTCGCTTGATGGGTGACGAAAGCCCACGGCCCAAGGAATGAATATCGTGCCCATGCGCAATTGGCCCACGCAGTGGCCAGCAGCACTGGCGCCACGTCGCCGGGGCAATTGGGCGCAGAGACAGCACCAGATCAGCCGGAGGGCCAGCCAGGCCAGCCAGACGAGCCAGACAAGCACGCATGAGGCATATCACGGCCCAACCAGACACCACAGCTCACGGCAGGACTGGCACTTGGACCTGCATGGAGCCTGAGTCCAGTCCGTACTGTACTGCACTGCAACCGTACTGACGCAGTACTTGTCCGACCTCCAACTCTCGGGCAGGCAAGCGGCAGCCTCACGGAAACATTGGGCGGCGATGGTCGACATGTGCTGCGCTGCTGTGTTGTGCTGTGCTATGTTTTATGTGCTGTAATGTGCCGTCGCTGTACTTGGCCCGGGTAATCTTCCTGTGCTTTCAGGGCCAGTCAAGCAGGCTCTTTGCGTAGCAGCAAGCCGCAAGCCTCAAGCCCCGGACCACAGGCCTCATCAAACCCTCTTCCCATGATAGGATGCACTGTTGATAACCCATGGTCTGTCCCAATGGGCGCGCGATGCTGCTGCTTTGCTCATGATGAACCCATACGGTCCGCTGCACCATCCCCACGGACGGCGGACGTCGACCTCACGACTGACCACTCCTAGACCTCCCGGCTGCCGGACTCGCCTTTTCCCTGCAGTGCTGCCCCCGCTACGGGTCTCGCTAGCCAATGTAGGGTGGAGGGAAAGCATCCGAGTTGGCTGGCTTGGGGCTGCTGCTGCAACTGAGTGGTTTTGCTTCCCCAGATGTGCAACGTGGCAAGCCTCTGAAGCCTCTCCCGGCTGATCCATCATGCATCTCGACAGTCAGGAGCCCTCGGGCATTGGGCCGAGCTGGGCTTCCATCTTCCTCGGTGGGGTGATGTTTTGTCAATCGGCATTGTCAATCTCAAGTCTCAGTATCTGTATCCGTCTCAAATCTACGTCCGTCGCAAGCCCAGGTGTAACCCGACTTTGGGAGCTGATGTGTAAAATCCTGCGGCGATGCCCAGGTCGCCGGGCATGGGCTGGCATTAAAAAAGTATATTGACATGTCAGCTTTTTGGGCAGTCGATGTCGTCCGCTTGACGAGGTTGGGATCAGCCCTTGCTTCGAAAGGTCCCTCGCTCTCATTAACTAGCATCAATGCATCCATCGGTGACAGGCATGGATTTGTCCGTCTCGTGGCGGCGGGTCCCATGGCTTTGCTCGAAGTCGGACGGTCCACTGCAGCGGGTTACCGGCCAGGGGGCTTGATTTGTCCTTGATCGTGGGATGGTGCCCCCATCTGCTCTGAGCTCTCCCACGCATCGACATCCATTAAGTCTTCGGTCTTCGGTCTTCGGCCGCCACCAACCCTCCACGACGCTTTCGTCATCCTCTGTGCATTTGCGCCTTGTAGAACAACGCCCGGCGTTTTGTTTCTGGTTGCCATTAGACGGGCCTGTTGTCGCACGACAACGTGCTTTCCGGGGTCTTGGCGGTGAGCTGGGGGTGGAGGTTGGCAAGTTTGCATGGCACCAGCCCCTCAAAAAGTTGGCACTTACACCGGTAGCAGTCCGCACGTGAAAAGCCTTGTTTGTGCCTGCCAAATCAGTGCGGAAAATCCCAACTACCCACCTAAGGAGGATACCACTTAGAGCATCAAAAGATACCCAATCCTGGTAACAAACCCAGTCTCTACTTAAGTAGTGCATAAACATCCGAGGACCACAAAATATCCACATATTTCGGAAGCGCTGAAAGCGACGTTCCGCCACCGTGGGATGCTGATCTCATCCGTAACATCTCAAAACGACGCATCGGGTCCCACAAAGCAAAACATCCGCCCTACGTCAGATAGGCTATAGTACGGAGCAGATTGACCGTTGCTAGCTTGATTTTTTTCTGGATTCCATGAATCTAAGAAAGTGAACCTGGGTGTTCCTTGTCCGCCATGCCAAGTCTTTCCATGTCATTCCAGCCTGAGGCCATTGGGTCGCCATGTGTATCCCAACTCGTGTATCCCAACTCATAGGATATGGATTAACTATCAATGCGTGTTTGCGCATGGATAAGGCAATTTCACCAGTGGTGTCAGCAGAACCGCACTTGGCGCCGAGATAGTGTCCGGGTACCTGTCTATCAGACCATGTAGCCAGGAGCTTATGCGTCGGGTTGCCCGGAACGAAAGATTTACTCTACACAATGACTGCGAAGGATCCAGGGTTATCAATCAGATTCATAGCAGCTTTTCTTGATTCTTGGTATCTCGTCTGTAATTCAACAGATCCCTTCAGTTTAGCAAATTCTGAGTCTCACACTCCTCTGCATGAATCATGCTCGTCCCATCTCCCCCTTCCCACCCTGTGGTGAGAGCCACTACGAGTAAAACTTCCCGGATGTGACTGCTGGCGCACTCCAAAACCCTGGCCATCCCTAAGCGGCCGCATTCTGCTTGGGCTCGGTAGCACTAGGCGCATAAGCGGCTTGCGCTCTGTTCTTCTTGATAACTTCCTTGACGCGTTCCTCTGCCTCATCCCAATCGTCGGTGTCCAGTCTAACCAGGTCGATGCCGAAACCGCTAGCAATGTTGCTGAGAGCATCGAAGCTCTTCTTATCGTAGACAAAGCTGATACTGACACCAACACGGCCGAAACGACCAGTTCGGCCGATACGGTGGAGGTAGGTCTCGGCATCAGGCTCGCTATCACCCCTGCCCTTCATGGGAATATCGTAGTTGATGACCATCGACACACTTGAAACGTCGATGCCTCGGGCGAGAACGTTGGTCGCGATAAGCACCTTGTTTTCTCCTTTGCGGAACTTGGACAACAGGTCATCTCGCTCGCTGCCATCGAAGGCGGCGTGGAGGGCAGAAACCTTGTGGCCATCCGCTGTCATGCGTCGCTGGATCTCGTTGGCGCTCTCACGAGTCTATAGTAATGTTAGCCAGGCTGTGAGTAAACAAAATAATCGCCATTCTTACCTTGACGAAAATAACCGACTGGCCAATGGTCATCAGGCCATAAAGCTTGCAGAGAACGTCGTACTTGATGTTGTCATCGGGACAATCGATAAACATTTGAGAAATTCCCTTGACGGTAAGCTCACTACGCTGCAGCTTCAGGCTGTGTGCGTTGGGGGCAAACTTTCCGGCGTATTGCATGACCTTATCGGGGAAGGTAGCAGAGAAGAGGAGGACCTGGATCTCCTTGGGCAACATACTACGCAAAAGTTAGCACAACTAGTAATTATTTCCCCCAAGTGTTTGGTACTCACTTCTTGACTCGCATGCACTGGTCGCCAAGACCTTGCTGGTCAAGCATGTTGTCGGCCTCATCCAAAACCAAAATCTTCAGCTTCGACACATCTAGTTGTCGACGTCGAATGATGTCCATAACTGTGCCGGGTGTTCCAACAATGACTGGAGATCTGACAGGTTCGCCACGGGGAAGGGCTCCGGGAATAGCAGCAGCCACATTCAGGTCCTCGATGAATCGGCCAATAGCTTTGATCACACCTTCGATCTGACGGGCAAGCTCACGACTAGGCGCCAGAGCAAGGGCCTGAGGTTGATCTGGGTTGGTGAAGTCGACTCGGGACAAGATGGCTGTGACGAACGCAGCCGTTTTACCAGTACCAGACTGGGACTGCGCCAACATATTTCTCGGAGGGTTGCTCAGAATCAAGGGCAGAGACTTACCCTGAACCTTGGAGGGCTTCAGAAAGTTCAAGGCAAGAAGACCCTTGAGAATAGGCTCAGGGCTTGGGGGGGTGGGTCAGCGAGAGGCAGATGCTGGGAAGAGCTTAACATACAGGTTGAGGTCCTGCCAAGTGGTGGCAGAGTGAAAAGGCGTAGCTTCGTTGTTCTGGAGCTCGCTCAGGGAGACCTCGACATCCCATTCAGGCTCTTGGAGGCCGGAGCCACCGAGTTCCTCGACAGCACCATCAACTTGGGCCGGAGAGGCATCCTCGGCAACCTCCTCAGCAGGCGGGGCCGCAGGCGGATCAGCTGCTCCCTCTTTGGGGTCGGTAATACGGCTTGCGAGGTCGGCCATGTTGAAGGAGTGAGAGAGCGAAGGTGTGAGGTGAAGGGGAAGGAAAGGCGGAATGGGGGCGACAAAATGACTGTACGATTACACCTCAAAATCGTAGCCTGAATCGCTCGCAGCTTGCGCTGGGGTTGAATGGACAATGTAAGGCAGAAAAGGGTGCCTAGCAGTCGAGTTTACAGCGCAAATTGGGGCCAGGCGTGATCACTCTGAGAAACGCGAGAGTCTTGAGGATGTGTTTGGGCATAAACAGGTGACCGCGACTTGGAAAGCTTTCTTGGAGTTTTGGCGGGGTTCATTGGAGGGGCACTTGCAGGCAGCTTCCCCAGCTGCAAGGGTGCTACCGCCTGTCCCGCTGTTTATCCGGCGCATCTACTTCCCTGGGCCGGGGAAGAAGCGCGTAACGTGCACCCGTTCAGGCTGGCCAACTGAGCCTCGACTTTGGCCATGCAAGCAACTTTCATCATTATATTTACAGGCCCACTCGTATTGCCTCATGATACCCGAATTCAGCGTCAATTTTAGCCATTAAGAAGGTCCATCACCTCAGTCCCGGCAGCATGGCAGCTCCTCCGCCGCCTCCTCGTGGAGGACTCTCCCTCTACGAGAACCTCCTCGATCCTAACGATTCCTCGTCCGCCACCATCTCATCCGCTCCAGTACTCTACAATCAGGCCGACAGCGCCTCTGCAGAGACCTCTTCCAAGAAACCGGTCGATCCCGCCCTCCGCTTCCAGCCCATTCGCCGTCCCCAAGTCAAACAGACCAAGCCGAAGCCCTCATTCCCCAAACCCGTCGGTCCCAAACCAGCAACAGCCGCCGCCACACCACCAGCCCCTGCACCGCCCAAGAGCACACTTGCTGACTGGGCCGCGACAGAGGATGATGAGTGGCAATATGGGGCCGTAGAGAAGCGCCAGCGTGGTGGGCGCAAAAAGAAGAAGAAGCAGCAGCAAGTACACATGGAGACCGACTGGGAGGAGTTGTATGACCCGGCACGGCCAACAAATGTAGAGGAGTACCTGCGAAGTGACGAGAAGGTCAACGAGGTAAGAGAATGGAAGGCATTACTCTACCGGCACCGTAGAAAGCGCGACAAGAGCGACTCCTCGGACAACGAGGATGATGACGGCGACACCCGACATGTCGCACCAAGTAAGTCTCCCAGCTTGCAGCTCACGATTGTCATACTTACGCCCAATTCCAGATCAGTTTGCACCTCCATCGTCATATGCCTTTGTCCCGCCGCCACCAGGCTCACCTCCAGCTCCTCCTCCCGACAAAACCGGCGAGGACGCTTTCGTCCGTCGTATGGCCATGTCTCAGGGCCAAACTCCCGCGGTCACCCAGCCGCCGCCACCTCCCGCACCACCCTCCGACTCTGCCATAATATCCCGTGCTCCAGTCCGATACATGCAACCAGGAAACCCCAAAGGTGACGAAAAAGACGAACCATACTCTCCACCGCCCACGATTGGAGGCCATGCACCTGAAGTCGATTCTCAACCTCGGTCAGCACGCCCTGGCCAAGCCGGTTTTGCTCACCGTCTCATGAGTAAGTACGGTTGGACTAAAGGCACTGGCCTTGGTGCCGACGAGACGGGCATTATCAATCCTCTGCGAGTGCAAGTCGAGAAACGGCGCAAGAAGGCCGACGCTGATGGTGGGGGTTGGGCGGAGCCTGGCAGCAAAGGCAAAATCGTGGGCGGGAATCGCAAGGAGGAGAGTACCGGCAAGTTTGGTATCATGAGCGACGTCATTGTCCTTCAAAACATGTTAGAGAACATGCCTGACCTCCAGGCCGAGATTGCGGACGGCCTCGGGCAGGAGATTGGAGAGGAGTGCGGCGAGAAGGTATTCCCCATTTTATACCACAACCTATCCAGAATGGAACTAATGAGATGGCAGTACGGGCGTGTGGAGAGACTTTACATCGAGGAAAAGAGTCGAAAAGTTTTTATCAAGTTCACAAACCAAGTGTCTGCGCTTCGAGTAAGTTTTCTACTTCATTCACTCTGTGATTTCACACGCTCATATCCCCCCAAGGCAGTGAACGAACTAGACGGGAGAGTCTTCAACGGAAACACAATTGTGCCAAGGTTCTTTGACACAGAAAAATTTGAGAAAGGGATTTACAGTTAGAAAATGACTGGTCTAGCCTGCAGCAAGGGTTTAGACCCGGTGGATAGCTGATTTGAGGCTTGCAACACAGAAGATAGAGGGAGTAGCGTGCATGTGTATTGTAGAGGTGATACCCCAAAGTCAAACCGAGTTGACAGGACATCACTAAACCTGACGACGGTGACAAAATGAAAAATCCGATGCCATTACACCGAATAAGGAGACTGGTTCGAACATAGCTGGATGACTATTTCCTACGATATAGCAGTGTATGTGCTGTTGTTCGGGTCCTCAACCAGAGCTCTTCCTCTTCACACGACTTCATTCGACAACTTTATCAGTTGTGTATGCCAAGGTGATCAAGTTGGACTTCACTACGTCAGATGGCAGCATCTCGAAGGCAGGTGATCTGGGCAAACATTGCTGAAGCACTTCACAGACTAATTGGCCAAGTTGAATGGTGATTTGATGGTTCAGTGGAAGTACAGTCGATTATTAAGTTCTAATGGGTTATCCTTTGCACGCAGCTGCTGCCTCCGCGAAAAGCATCTTGTGCCTCACGAAGGATGATGAAACACAATATGTCGGATAGAAAAAACAGGGAACATGGGGAGAACAGTGAACGACGCCAATCCGAAACCATTTTGCCATGACCATCACTTTACAGCAGTTGAACAAGGGCGGCAACACCGGCAAGGGCGAGCAAAGTCATGCTGACACCGTTAACGCCCGCACCGTCCTCAGAATCACTAGAGTCGGAGCTGCTAGAGTTGCCACGGGTAGACTCGCCACCGTCACTACCCTCGTTGGCCTTCTTGTTGTTGCTGGTGCAGGTCATGCTGCCCTGGATAGCCTCGCTCTTCTCAAGTTTGTCGAAGAAGTCGCAGAAATCGGAGATATCGGTGGTGGAGGAGACGGTGACCGCACCCTTGACGTCGTTAAGGCTGGGGAGCTCGACCCTAATAAGACCGTTAGAGCTGTTACAATATTCAAAAGGCTGATTGACTCACTTCTCGAAGTTACCGCGGAGAATAATGGCACCAGAAACGCTCTCCAGTAGGGGGAACCCGTCAATGGTGGTCATAGCAGTGTTGTTCTGGATGGTGAAACCACCCTGAATCTTCTCGAGGAGAGGCATAGAAACATTGGTGAGCTTCTTGTTGTTGATGAAGGAGACATCGTTAGTGATCTCGGTAACGTTAGGCGCGTTGAAGGTCTTGAACTCGGGATTCTTATCGAACTTGATCGACGCAGTGATCTTGGTGAGAGCAGGGACCGAGAACGACTTGACGTTGGAAATCTGAATCTCAGCAGCGAGCTCGAGCTTGTCCATGGTGATATCCATGTTGTTTCCGTTGTTGTTGATGATAAGCTGGCCGGTGATGTTGACGAGATCGGAGTCGAAGGTGGTCATGCGCTTGTTGTTGTCAATCTGGAAGTTCTCGACAGTAGCGACGCTAAGACCGCTCAGATCGCTGATGAAGGTATCGGTAATCCGAATGCTGGTCATCTTAGTAACGCCCTCGGTACCGAAGTTCAGGCTGCTGAGCTGAGGCAGCTTGACCATGCTGATCTCGCCGACACTCTTCAGGGAAGCCATCTCGAGGGTGCTGAGGAGCTCGAGGTTCTGGAGCTGGAATTCACCAGAAATGGAGTTGATGGTGGTGGAAGTGAGCGAGATCAGGCCAGAGGCATTGTTGACAATGAAGTCACCCTTAATCTGCTTGGGGCCATTAATCACGACGTCACCAGCAAGATCGGAGTCAATGGTGATATCAGCATCGACAACGTCGCAAGAGATAACCTGGGTAGGCTCGGTGACGGTGATATCCTTGGTGCATGTGGCAGCTGTTTTGTGCGCTTAGTAGGCAACGTCAACCGGGAGACGGAGACAACGTACCGGAAACCGTGGCGGCACCGAACGCCAAGATGGCAGCGGAGAGAAGCTGGACGGAATGCATTATGGCCTGTATATCCGCGTATTGTTAGTGTTGCAGTCCTACGAAAGCTGGGACTGGTATAGGAGCAGGAAATGAAGCCGGGTTGAGCAGGACAGCGATTTGGTGGTGCGCGTTGGAGAAACCCCTAATCTATGCAGCCGTCCAAAACTTGAGGCGGTTGGAAAAGATGATGATGGGGAGCAGAAGGGGTCGGGGACGGGGACAGGGAATGGGGAGAAGGCCGTGGTCGGGTCCCTTTTGGAGGGCTCGGTTCGCGATGCGAGTCAACGGGGAAAGCGGGAGCAACGAACCTGTGCACCGAACGAGTGAGTTGGCGGGGAAATAGAAAGGCGAGTTCCAATCGGGACGAGATAGTATGCAGGAAGGAGAGATGGAAGGAAGAACACACGAGAAGCGGCAAGCCAAGACAAACAAAAGTGAAAATGACAGGAGGAATTCGAGGTTGATGAGGCAGGTGAGGTGGAGGAAGGGGAGCAGAGACAAAAGACGGGAGGGTGTCAAGCTAGCAGGGGCGACGCAACACGCGCCTCGGCGAGGAGTCGGAGCACAAGCAAAGCGTACGTACCTGGTAACGAGGGACTGGGTCCTTCTTTGTTTTTTTCTTGTACTGTTTGTAATAATCGGCAGCGGGAGATGCTTCAGGAAACCCAAGAATGCCTTCCGGTAGACTAGGTAAGTAAGATGGGCTTGAAGACAACGGGGTCTTTTAGGCCTGTGCAAACGAGCGGCGTGAATTGAAAGATGGACGATGCGACGAGGGAACCGACGATAGGAGGAGAAAAGGGAAAGAAGAGAGCGAAGGGAGAGAGATGAGAGATGAGATGCTCCTGCGCGGTGGATATCCGGCGAGTCTTGCATGGATCCCTCCGTCGACCAAACCAACCCACCCATCCACTCTCCGTCCACCTCCCTCCACCTCCCTCCGCCATCGACCCAACCATCCACCATCCAGCAGGGCATGGGCCGGAGCCAGAGCCAGACCAGGGTGAGGGTGGGCGGCGTTCGGGCGACATTTGCTCCCCATGCCATGGGATGGATGGGTGGATGGGCCCGGGGCCACCTCCGCGACGACCCACGCAACGCAACACCATGGGCTACAGCGACCGCCAGGTCACCCACCATTGGCACCCACCTGCGTCTGGTCCAGGAACGGGACCATGCCACCCCATCCGTGGATAGCTCTAGCGGATAACTTCTTTATTTGGTACTGTTCCTGACGCCGCTCCCTAACCTGATGCTTGCTGGCTGGGTACGCATATGCGCGCGCACGCACGCACGTACACGCAGCTTGCTGTCAAAGCCAGCCGAGTAGGGTTCCGACGGGAAATCGGTTAATAGCGACGTCAACATCAACAGCAAGGGGCCGAAGACGATGGGGCAATCATCCCACAATAACCACTGTCGCAGGCTTCCAAGGTCCCAGCGGTGTCCGTCGCTGCCAGGACATTGGCTCGTCATTTGCGTCCACGCCCGCCGTGAAACGCTGCCCAGCATCTTGCTCCCAGAATTGGAGACGCGATTCGTTGCACCCACACGCCTCCTCGCGTGCCTCTTCTGCGTTGGAGATACGAGGGTGCCAATTGTGTGCCATGTGTGTGCCACTCGGAGGTACCAATCCTCTGCCTGCCCGATGAGGCGAGTAGCCTTCGTGCATCCCCGGCCAATCTGTTCGTTCTGGGCACTTTGCCTCCGATCTCATCGCCTCCCCTCCCAGGCGAGATTTGTTGCCGCCGTTCCACCTGCTTGAAGCTGCTGAAAAAAACGCTTTAAGCCCAACTAGCAGGGGTCTCGGTTGATTGCAAGTGGGTGCTCATTCGCCGTTGTGTTAGCAAGGAACTAGCTTGGGCCGCAGTTTTCCACCAGATCATCGCTGGATCTGTGTGCCACGTAAAGGTACTAACTAACAGCTCGGCATCACCGTACCACCTCTTCAATGCCCCTAGTCGAGCTCAATTTGCTCCCACTCGTCACGTTTCGCTTTCGCATGCATACCCGGTACCGAGTACTCAACCACCTGTCGCCTCAAAGGTGCGGTTGCTGGCGTCAGGGCAGCGTCAGGGCAGCGTCAGCAAAATGCATTCCTAGGAATGGAGGCCTTGTTTCGTCTCACAGCTCAGACACGACACAGAGAGTACGGTTATGTCTCTTGGCAACCTCCGAGGAGTGGCTCCCGGCCTTGCTCTACCACTGGCACTTATGTCCGGTGGATGGCGAAAAAGCTAAGCTCCCCAGCGCAACCGATAGTCTCATCAAGCCCACAGTCCAGGTCTTGGAGAGGACCTGGTCTTGTCTCTCAGTGCCGGGAGTACGCGGATAATCGGACTTGCTAGTTCGATAATTCACACATGATGCATGTCCACCAACTGCATTTCGATGGAGCTTCCGATACGAGCACCCGTCACCGATGGCTCCCCGGCGGCTCCGGTGGCATTGGGTTATTAGTAGTGACGACTCCATGTCCCCGTCTGTGCCGTTACCCTGCTTGGTGTCACAGAACCACCATTCATGGCAATATGCCATCCCCCTTCTTCTACGTCTGAACATGTACGTATTTCTGCATGTACTGCGTACGTATTTCCCTCCCTTGCATGGATATCGCATCCCTGCGTCTCAATGGTACCCAATGCCGTTGAGTGACAATGATCGATGGTAGGGACTTTGATAACAAACCCGGCCAAGCAAGGGCACCAAGCTCCAAGTGCCAATTGCACTTCGATTTCCCCCATCTTCGGGGCATCGCTCCCCATATCACCAGACACATATCAAAATGTTAGGTTTTACCCCGGGGGGACGAATTCATCATCATTTCCCAGAACTGGGATTTAGCCGTGGATAAGGATTGAAATACACGTACTGGTATGTGATGCTCGTGCTACACATACCCCTTTCTCACGCCCCTATCAAGCTCACCCTCGCCCCTGGCTCCACCTGCAAGGGCTAGAAAGCTTGTCGTCAGTCTCCGACAATTCACCACAGCTTGAACGCAGACAAAATATATTGTCCGCCTCATGGGCAAGGTTCAATGGCAAAGGGGTCCAATCTTCGTTATACTCCATCCGCTCCTTGGGTCCCTGTGTCTGGCATCACGAGTCTGAAGCCGGGTTTTGCGCATCCGCGCTGCTCTGCGGGTCTCCATTCCGTTCCCGCCCCCTGACGCGTTTCTTGCTCCACAGGTCTGTCAGTGCATCGTCCGGCTCATCCTCTCACATCCACTCAAAGCCAGCTTGCATCATTCATCCCAAACCGCGACTGGTCGCTGCTCGCGGGGGAGACAAAATCAGGATTTTCTTGCTGCACCGGCTGTCTTAGCTCTGCTCTGCCAAGCTAGACAACTCAAGTTTGCGGCACCGACGCCCCCCCATCTTGTGGCTGGAGCCAATGGCCACTGTCGAGGTACGGTTACTTTCCGCTTGCCACTTGCAATATCAGGCGTTCCCTCCGGAGAAGCGCCCGCAGATCCGCCACGAGCTTGCTCCTAGATTCACGCCGTCATCGAATCCCAAATCTCTTTTTTTTTTTCTTCGGCATGGGAAGCTGGGTTCGCCCTAACTAATTAGTTACTTCAGATCGGCATCGACGAATTGAGACGGCCCTTAAATTACCACGGCAAAGGTTGCGATAACGGTTTCCATCATCCAGTTAACCAACGCGTCTACTGCGTAGACTAGTAGGCCATTGACCCGGCCAGGCCAAGGAAATCCGCATCCTCTTGCGCCCTGATGAGTCTGCGTGTGCTAATCATTCCTGTCCATGCCATCTATTCCAGGACATTGCACAGTACATCCATCACCACTAACAATGGGCTTGTACTATTTCTCCAACAAGGCCCTGTCCAAGTGGGGGTTGGCCATGAAACACATCCTTCCATGAAACTCGTCCCTTCTTTCAGTACCTTCATATGTGCCTATCAAAATTACCTCCATACATAGGGTTGGGTTTATACGTGCATGAAAACAACCAGCAAAACAGCAAACAACGCTGGCCGAGCAACTAGTCCATCTATTCCATGGTACTAACATCCGTCTCCTCCACGCGCCACATGTACCACATGAAGAGGCTGCGATACGGCGCAAACTTGTCCGACAGTTCCGTCATATCCTGCTCCGACATGTATTTCCACTTGCCCCCCTTGGACTTGAGCTTGCCCACGTCTCGTCCAACAAATGCAGCCATGCCTCTCTGAACACCCAGGTCGCCGAGTGAGAAGACGTCCATTCGCTTGAGCCCAAAGCAGGCGAACATCTCGACAGACCACTTGCCCAGACCTCGAACAGCAATAAGCCTCTCCATGACCTCGTCATTCGATGCATCATGCAACATCTGCGCGCTGAGTTCGCCGCTGGCAAACTTCTCGGCGAGTCCCTGGATATACTCAGCCTTGCGTTGCGATAGTCCCGCCGTCCTGAGGTTCTCAATTGATCGAGCGGCAACCTGGGATGGGTGAGGAAACCTCTCCCCGATGTTGTCCTCGAACAGGGCAAGGAACTTTGCCTTGATAGACTTGGCTGCTGCGCCAGACACTTGTTGGCTAATGATGCCGCTGGAGAGACTCTCAAACGGATCGATCTTCTCTGCTAGACCCTCAGGCGAGAATACTCGGCAGTGGTGCTGCTCGATCAATGGCCGCATGCGCTCATCAATCTTGATGAGGTGGTCACAGGCCTCCTTCAGCAGGTTCTCAGTTGTAGCCCCGACTCGGGACACCTTGGAGGGCGACACTGTTTCGATGTCACGGGATGCCACCAACCGTGACGTCTCTGGTGAGAGGAGCAACGCATTTGTAGATCTCGGGTCCGCAAGGCGGGTCACCGCCACGTTTCGCGGCTTCTTTGTCGCACCGGAAGGCTCCGCGAATAGGCCCGCGGCCCCGGGTGTCGGAGTTGATGGCACTGCGTTCCGCTGTGTGCGCTTCTTCGTTGGCGTAACAGGCACCGCGGGCACCGCGGCCTCCGCGTCGCTGGGGGCCTTGCGCTTCCGGTTCACTCGTGGGGCTGGACTGGGACTTGGTTCATGCTTAGGAACGGCTTGGGTCCCGTTGATACGGGAAGATCCCCTTGTTGCGACCATCTTCGGGAACGTGGTGAAGCCTCGGTGAGTCGGGAGCTTTAACAATGGCCTCGTGAATTGGCTCAGTGATGTCAAACAGCGTTGTCCCGGCAGTGCAGCGCGCATGTGAAGTAACGGGCGTAAAAATGGTACACAGTAAGTGTCGAGTATCGCGTTATCTCGCAGGTTGCCGCATGGGTTTAGCGAGTAATGAGTCTTCCGTGGTTGAGGACTTGAGACGTTGCCTTGGTGAACGCTATTCACGCTGGTATGTCATGGTGTTGTATCAGGATCGAGGCGCCGCCGCCTTTCCTTGTCATTGGCTGTTCAGGCAGCCACGCCAACGGCACCAGTGGGAGACGTCAGCAATTGTCGTGCCGTTACTGTATTTGGAAAAAGTGGTTGAGACCTGTGGCTTGGCTTTTTCGAGTCCATGCTACAATCGGTAGCGGTGGATAGGGGAATCTGGCGCAGGATGATGTAATTCGCGATTGCTCTAGGTACTTGTATTGTTGTTGGATTGTGTTCTCCTGGGTTGGTGGTCTACGGTTATCCCCTTGTGCGGCCGTGGGGGTTTGACCGAGTTCTACATATCTCTAGCACATACAATGTCTCTTGTTCCATTGCACACTGCACAGGTTCGACCTTCCATGACCTGAAGCCAATCCTCCCGTCTTGGTGGATTGTGTCACAACATAAGTGCATGGGTTGGGGAGATAAAAAAAATCCGTGGATAAGCCTCCCGCGTTGAGAGCCAATCGAACCACGGAAAAGCGGCAGAAATACCGCCACAACACACAAGAGTCCAGACGGCTACAGACTGCCGACCGTGTCTATCTCACCAATATTAGAGGCTCCTTTGTACTTTGCGCCTGCTAAATCAAGGGCTTCGAAAGCGCCCGTGCAATACGAGCTGATTATATAGATCAAACCTGGCTCTCCTGGCTCTCCTGGCTCTCCAGGGTAGTCGAGCCCCTATGTTGGCCGTTGTTTATTATGGCGGCTCCTGTGCCGATCCTCAATGCGCCCCCGTTGCGCTGTAAATAGCCCGAGGAGCCACTGAAGCTGCTAGAGAGCGGGGCGTGGTGGAGCGGGGCGTGGTGGAGCGAGGAGCAGGTACCTGGACAGCCGTGGACAGGCCCAGCCAGGCGCCCAACGCCACTCTCACAGGCCCTTGACCAATTGTGGTGGTGCCCGGACCCTGCAATTGCCAAGCCAAGCTTAGTAGCAGATTCGGGTGCCTCTGGGCTGTCGCAATCATGGTGATGGTGTCGTGGTATTTTGGCTGGGCTCCGTTGATTCCTCTTCTTGCCAATTGACTTTCCACGCGCCTTCGAGCGATCTCACGCCGCCTACTCGGCCCCGAACCCGCGAGACGCGATACTGATGCCCTGGCCCTTTCCCAGCACCATCCCGCCACGGCAATCCCCAACCTCGACGACTCGCTCGACGACTCTAGCTGTCTGCCGACCACGACACTTGTTCTGAACCCCCTGCAACCTCCACCCTCGACACCGACGACGGCGACGACATCAACGACGTAATTACTGCGCCGCACCCACGACGGACGCGATACAGCTTACAAGAGGGCGGTGACGACGGCCCACCCGAGGCATTCGCCATGCTTCTCCCTCAGGGTGGACTCAACTGGAAAGCCACAAAGGCTCAGCTTCCGCTGGGTAGATTTCTGCGGAACAATGTCACGAGGTCGCGATTCTTTCCGCTGGTCGTCTTCGTCTGCATCTTCTTGGTGATATGGCGTAGCATGTTCAACTCGGCCCCCGTGCCGCAAAGGTATGCCGTGACCCGACGACGGCCGTGATGGCTGGACTCCGCGGACTCCTTGGACTCTGCGGACTCCATGGTCAATTTTTTTTTTGTTGACTGACATGTTTTCAGTTGGGGCCCAGGCAAATCGCCCATGGATATGACACCGAACGAGTTTGCTGTGTGGAACTCGCACATGAAGACGCCAGTCCTCTTCAACCACCACGCCCCCATCGAAGTCGGCGCTACATCGATCAAACATATCGACCTCAACCCCATCAAGTCGACGCGGAGGGCGCTAGTCAACGAAGAACGGATCCTGATCCTCACCCCCCTCAAGGATGCCTCTTCGTACCTTCCTCGATATTTCCAACTCCTTTCCCAACTTACGTACCCGCATCGTCTGATCGATATCGCATTCCTGATCTCCGACTCTACGGATGATACACTGGCCATCCTTGCCTCTGAGCTGGACCGCCTCCAACGACAGCCCGGCGAAATCCCCTTCAACAGCGCCATCGTCATCGAGAAGGACTTTGACTTCCACCTGAGTCAAGACGTGCAAGAGAGACATTCCTTTGAGGCCCAGGGCCCCCGTCGAAAGGCGATGGGCAAGGCGCGGAACTATCTTCTGGCCACCGCCCTGAAGCCGGAGCATTCCTGGGTCTACTGGAGAGACGTGGACATTGTTGACTGCCCGGGGAGAATCCTGGAGGACTTCATTGCCCACGATAAGGATATTATCGTCCCAAGTGAGTTGATGACTTTAACTTGCGTCGGTGCACCGATACTAATTATATCTTCAAGACATTTGGTTTCACAGGATCGAGAAGGGCAAGGATATCGAAGGACGATGTAAGTGACTGCTGCGAACAATAGATGACCTCAACAAGACACTAACACGAGTGGACAGTTGATTACAACTCCTGGATCGAATCGGAAAAGGGCCGCAAACTTACCAGCACTCTTCCTAAGGATGTCGTGCTTGCCGAAGGTTCGTGACACCGAATTATGACAATGAAGCATTCTGACCGTGTGTTCGTACTAGGTTACAAGCAATACGACACTGGCCGCGAGTACCTCGCCAAGATGGGTGATTGGCGCCAGAACAAGGACGTGGAAGTTGAACTAGATGGCATCGGCGGAGTCAACATCGTCGTCAAGGCAGATGTCCATCGCTCTGGTACGCAAGACGACGACCACGTAAACCAAAAAACCAACTAACAAGTTCACTTAGGCATCAACTTCCCATGCTACGCCTTCGAAAATCAAGCTGAGACCGAAGGATTCGCCAAGATGGCCAAGCGAGCAGGCTACCAAGTCATTGGCCTTCCTAATTACGTTGTCTGGCATATCGACACAGACGAAAAGGGAGGAAACAAATAGTACGACACGACTACATGATGATGCGCCTGAACGACGTCTCGCGCCTCAACCCGCTTCTTTTTCCGGACTGGTCCGAAGGCTTCCGTCGCCGCCTTGATGGACGCGCAAAAGTTGTATGAGGATTCATGATGATTACGCCTGTGACTCTTTCGACCTTCCCTGGCCAACTTCGACATCCATACGAGGTGAACCCAGCGCAGAGACTTTGTCAATTTCCACTGTACTTTTCTTCTTCGGCCTTTCAGGACAGGGTAGGCTTATTCATGCCAATCACACCTGTCCAGCATTACTGTGGCATTTCTAGCGTTATAGTTTCCTGGGACCAGCCTCGGCCGCGAACCAGATGCTTCTCTGTAATATTTGTTTCTGGTTATATATGTTCGACTTGGGTGGAGGAATCAGTTCGTACCTGGAATAGAGAACTCAGATGGGCTGGCAAAAACGCTGGCATGATCAGGCGGAGTTTGGAGTGAGGTACTTATTGTACCTATGTAATAGAAACGAAGAGACACTTGAAGACTTATTCTCCAACGTTTGTCTCATACTTGACATGCGCATGATAAAGAGTATTGCTATTTGCACACAGGCACAAGCCCCTTTAGCTCAACCTCAGGGCAGACTAATGTGCCTAGTATGCGCATTGGAATTCTTAGATCTTAGACTTATACAAAGTTATTAGCGGATAAATACTACAAATTGGTCTTGCAAAGAAACCACCAAGATGACAGATTTATCAGTAGGACTGAGGTTATAGTCATGTGTGCAAGTGGCAATGTTCTCATGTGCGAATAGCCATCGTTATGATAAAATGGTACTGCGAGGTAAGAGAAGTAACGTGAGCAAGTGTGGACAATATTCGAGTATATCCAACGGCACGGGTTCTGCCGTGAAGGATGAGACATAATATGGTCAGGCAAAATGAATGTCAAATAAGGAGAAATTCCTCTGCTCCGCCTGATTTCCATAAAGCATCCTGGTAGCCGCTTGCTCTATACGGAAGCATTCGATCTAGGCAGATATTCAAGTATCCCGGCTTCATTTTATTATCAAAGTGGATGAGATGCGATGTAAATCCAATCTTGATTTAGTTTGAAAGACTGGACGTTATGGGTGGGTGGTGCCACGTTCCCTGGCTTGAAGGATAGTCTCTTAGCTTCTAGGGTGCTGCCGGGATCAACGAGGCTGCCGTACGTCGTGACATGAGAACTACACGACTACTGGTTGGCACTACGGATAGAATGGGTGGGTTATCACCGGTGAACCCCGTGTTTCTGGCAGGTGAGACATAATGTGGCGTTATGGATACCTCGAGGCATATTCAGGGACACACATAAAGCTGGGGAAGAGCCGCAGGCCCGTGGGCCCCATGGTAGAGTTTTGGTATGGATCAGTGTTCTGGTAGCGAGAATTCGGAGGAATCTTTCGAAAACACAATTTGTATTAGAAAATTTGCGAAGGAGATATTGTCATGTTACGAAGGATGGACTCGGACAACGGTAGATCACCGTATTTTACGTTAAGTAGGTATGCCTCGGAGACAGCCGCGCGTGACGCTGATTGACAGGCTCGGATGGTGTAGTTCCAGTGGTCAGAATAATTTCACCAAGACTCCACAAGGGTCCGGACCATGTGAATGTGGCGTCACATGATCGTGGCAAAACTGCGGTTAAAGGTGAGAGTGCCGTCATCGCCCTGCGAACGACGAAGGCAGCGATAAGTGTCCCGCAGGCTACCAACTGCCCCCAACCACCAACAACTCCGACGACGACGACGACGCTGACGACGACAAGCGACACAACTTTGACGACCTCGGTTGCTATAAGTTTTGCGTGAGTTCACTGCTCACCTCCAGCCCACCGGATCTGTTCCCCCAACGTGCTAACTCGACATACCGCTTCAGCCCGACCCCACCACCAGGCTTCGTCGAGAGCGTTACGCCATTCTCCGCGACGACTACTGAGCCCTTTCTGGCTCTACACGGACACGTTCCTTGACCTTTGATAACCCTCCTATTCCTGCATCCGAGACTTTCAGAACCCAACAACTATCAAGATGTGGGGCTGGTTTGGCGGTGCCTCGGCGCAGAAGCAGAAGAACAGTCCCAAGAATGCGATCCTGGGGCTGCGCTCGCAGCTTGACATGTTGCAGAAGCGCGAGAAGCATCTACAGAACCAGATCGATGAGCAAGACGGTGTCGCCCGCAAGAACGTTAGCACGAACAAGAATGGTATGCAAACCCGATAAGCGGGAGGGGGACATTGCGGGGCAGGCGTGCTGACGGAATAACAGCGGCCAAGGCGGCTTTAAGGCGCAAGAAGACACACGAGCACTCACTGGAGCAAACTGTAGCGCAGATTGGAACACTGGAGCAACAGATTAACGCGATCGAGTCGGCAAATATCAACCGAGAGACGTTGGCGGCTATGGAGAATGCCGGCCATGCCATGAAGGGTATTTACAAAAATCTCACACCAGAGAAGGTGGACGAGACGATGTACGTTCTGCGGACAGGTCGCATGACCGCTGTGGGTGATGAGATACTGACGACGGTAACAGGGAGACTCTGCGGGAACAGAATGCGCTCAGCGAGGAGATTGTCAACGCGATTGGAAGTGCCACGATCGGCGAGTACGAGGATGAAGACGGCTTGCTGGAAGAACTGGAGCAGATGCAACAGGAGCAGCTGGACGAGCAGATGTTGAAGACAGGCAACGTTCCCGTGCTGGACGAAGTTCACAAGATGCCCACTCCGGCAAACACAGAGCGTACGTTCCACTCTCAACTATGCGGCTTTACGCCATTACTAACTTATCGCAGCTGTGTCGAACAAGAAGCAGGCAATCGAAGAGGACGACGAGGAAGCCGAACTCCGCAAGCTGCAGGCGGAGATGGCCATGTGAGAGCACGACTGTTAGAGGCTTGCCGGTTTCTCATAGCATTTGTTGGTTGGAACGGAGGATTCGGAGTCGCGTTGGTTGGGGTGCTTCCCTCCCTCCTTGCCTTGGTTGATATTGAACAGGGAGGGAAGAGATGGATCTATGGCATTCTGAGCTCGTCTCATCCCGACAGGTGTGTTGATTGTGTTGTCGGTGTTTTGTCGGCGTCGGCGTCTGAGGCTATTGTTGATGCTTTTCGTTTGGCGGCATATTTTCCCCTTTTTGGCTTTAGCATCCACGACGAGCCTGTGTGGGGGCGAGGGCTGTCATGACACCCATGGAACTGCGACGCAGGGCATTTGGGAACTGTTCAAGTCTGGCGGAGGGCCCTGTCTGTTGGTAGAGAATCTAAATTTTTGATAAAGAGAAGCAAGGCGTCGTCCGCACCTCGCTCTCCCTGGGAGTAGATTCGATCCCTGTCATGACCATCTTGGGTTGCAGCCTGGGATGCAACCTGATCTTGCAAGTTGGAACTTGGCACATCCAAGGGGACGGAAGCGCTTCTTGTAAGCAAACACAGCTTATTCGCCGAATCCACGATCTGAGAGTGACATGTCTTTGCAGACATGACGGGGGCCTTAGTGCATGTGTTAATCTCTTAGGCAGCTTCATCTACCGCCCATGCGCCTCAGACACCGGGTCACATCAGCAACTCGGGACTTTCACAGTTGCAATCTCTCGACTACCGCACGCCAGCGACGGCGAGTACGACCCCAAGGAACTCTTGGCCCCTGAGGAGAGCCGGGCTGCATCTTCATTGACCGTCAAGTTTCCGTCCTGTCACTGCCAAGACCTCAGCTGCCGGCCGCCATCGCGTAGATCCCGCGTCGAGCTGGGGCGTGGAGACTGACCCGTCTCAAAGTGGTCAGTATTCGGTCGAGGACCTTGCCCTGGCTGACCCGCCTGCGACCGGCAAAATGGACCAGGCCAGAGCCAGGCAGGACGACGATCCAGCCGCATCCAGCCATGGCATCCCGAAACCGGCAGGAAATGTAGGGGCTTTCCGGGGTGTCCTTGGGATCTTTTTGGGGTTGTCGCAGATGTCTCCACGAGCTGCACGCCTGGGCCATCGGGGGCGGCCTCCGTAAGCTTAAGTGGCTAGGCGGCCGGCATGATTGGCTGGCGTTGCCCAGTCGGGCACATCACGTGATGACCCGTTGGCCGTTTTGGCGCCGGGGTCGTCCGCGTTTATAGCGGCGCCTAACGGAGCGAGCAGCGCCAGCCACTCATGTCGCGACGTAACCGCCATACCGAACATCGTGGGGTCGCGAATGCGGTGACTGGGTCTCGCTGGGGTCGCCCCCGATGGAATGGCCTCGGCGGACGACAGGCCTGCACGGCGGTGACGGCTTGCAACTTGAAGCGAAGCTGCAGCGGACATCCCCCCGAAAATAGACTTGTCGGCACCCCACTGCCAGCTGCCAGTTGCCAGCTGCGAGGGCCTGTGGTGCCGTCATGACGCAAAGCCGCCAGCCTGACTGAACAACGACGGCCGACATGCAGCGGGACCGACTGACCAGAACAGCCCTCGGCGGCTCCAGCTGGGGACCATGGCTTGCAAGATGCAGGTTCGAACCGCCGGCGTCATCGACTCACGGCCCAGCAAGCGCTGGGCTCCTGCGCGTGTGCCCATATTCCTTTTCCTCTTCCTCATGGGGGCGGCCGGATTTCCAACCCTTCCTTCGCCTCCCATGCTCTCTCTCTCTCTCTCCGTCTCCGCCAGTTTCCTTCATCCATCTCCCTTTTCTTTCTCTGTCCCCTTCTTTTCCTTGTCTGAGTGTGTGTTTCGTGTGTTTTGTTTTCCAGTTCTTTCCCCCTTGACAGTGTCGTATCGCAGCTGCATGATCTGGATCCTTTCCTTTGTTTCCATGCGTGTTGATGAATCATGCTGAGATGCTGGACATCTCAATTAATATCCCCTCCCCATAGGTGAGTCGACCCAAACCCATTCCAAAGTCCTCGCATCTCCTTCATCAAACCGAGACCACATATCATAGCCTACGATGTCCGGTGCTGACACTTTGCCACGCAGATGTTTTCTTATAGAATGGCCAAGAGGCCATCTTTCTTCGCTTCGCTATGGTTGAGCACTCTCTTATACACCACCGCCACATTGGCGTATAATCTTCCCACCAACATTTCCAATTTCATTCCCAGCTGCGCAGAGGAGTGCTTCATTTCTTTTCTCTATGTTAGCTACCGGTCTACCACGTGTGGGACATATCCCACGTTAGAATGCCTATGTTCTCGCGTCGGCGCCACGGGATTCACCCTCGGGGAGGGTGCGCTGCAGTGTATTGTGGCAGAGAAGTCGATTGGATTCTGTTCGGACATCGACGCAAGTGGTATGTTGTGCTGGACAACCACCATCCTGTTACAGCACTAACGAGAAGGCAGACACGGTGATTTACAATGCGTATGGGATGTGTGATGACCAGCCCAACGCCATTCAGCCTACTCACAAGACTATCACGGCGACCCTCGTTATACCGACGTCCGGAGGAATCATCACATTCCCCCCTGTGAAGACAACCACGTTCACCACGTTCACCACCGTCACCACGTCCGTCGCATTCACTGCATCCGCCACCATCTCGTCCTTTACTACGTTGCCGACGACCTTGGTTATAGAAACATCGTCCCCGCCTCCGATTCCAACTCGAACATCATCGACGTCAAGAACGACTTTCACAAGACCTACCTCAACCACATCCTTCTCCTCAACAAGTCTGAGCCCGGATACAGTGATTAGCCTGGAGCCAACAACCATTGAGGAGTCCTCAACAGCTACCGACTCAGCGACAGAGACCAGCACAAGCACGGCTGCGGCAGCTGGAGGTGGCAAAGGTGATGGCAACAAGGGCAATTCTCTCAGCCGTGATCAGGTTGCTGGTATTTCCGTGGGCGTTCTCGCGGCCGCTGGCCTTGCGATTGGTGCCATTGTCCTGGCGAGACACTACCGCCGCAGAAAGTATCCCAACCTCAAGAACGGTTTCCTCCCCATGAGAGATACTTGGGGCTACAAACCCGATCGTTCGGAAAGCGATAGGACCAACTCCTGGATCGCTCATCAGATCCGGCCACGGCTGGATTCGTTCCCACCACCGCCCGTACCATCCTACACCCGCCCAACGCCATCCTATAATCGATCGAGCTATAAACCCGAAGCAATCGGCTTGGCAATATCGCCTGCTCACAGTCGAGTTACAACCCAAACCGCGACCTCGAGGCGAATGTCCCGGTTGCTCCCGGCTAAACCTGTCCTTCCCATCCTGCCCCTCAATATTTCAAAGAAGGGTTCCTCTCCGCCACCCCCGGATGAATGGCCTGGCCCTCAACACTACGGAGAGCCATCGCGCCAGGAGAACCCTCCTCGACTGCCTCCCCTGGAAATTGGTCCCTGGGCCTCCGTAGCCTCGCCCACAGGATCCAAGCCACCGCCGCGACCGCCTCCTAAGCTACAAATCCCAACAGCGTCAAACCAGCTCACGGCATCGCCCTCGTCGTACTATCCACGTGAGAGCACATTGACCGAGTTCGAGGACGACGACCGGGCTTCAATGTCACCTTCTGCCCAGGTCTGGAGGCCACCGCCGACAACACCGCTCTCGGCGGCAACCTACTATGTGGCCGATCAGTACGGGAATTGGGTTCTTGGTGACCCTAGGAATGTTAACAAGGCCATGGATTCACAGAGTGCTGTCCCGAAGCCACCTCCCAAGGACGACGCCAATCTTCCGCCTGCTGGTGACTCGAAGGGCAAGAAGCGAGAAAGCCTCCTCCCACTCTCAGCCGACTCCATGAAGGTATCTCTCGCACCTCCTGCAGAGATTGTCCCAGGGAGGGGGCAAGCTAGCAACGCACTACACAAGCCCATGGGCCCTCGAGCACAGCCGCATCCCAACCCTCCCTTCTCGGGCCAGTCCAACCCTTCGTTTCAGGTCCAGCCAAACCCGCGCCGCAACTCCTCCAACCGCCGCTCACTCACCCGGAACCTGACCCGGGCCCGGGCCTCCGGTGGCAGTGATGTCACTACCATCTCCACGTCGTCCGATGACTCCTTCACCGACCCGCCGCCAGCGCTCGAGCCGCCAGGCAACCTTTCACCCGTTGCCGAATCACCGCACTCGGGCAGTGGCCGCTCCCCGGTGACGTATCCCAAGATTCCCAACCGAGACCCTAGGCGGATCAGCGGAGCCATGAGACAGGGCTGGGATGCAAACAAGACAACCGCACCTCCGCCCTCAAGGCCAATGGTGTACTACCCACCGGGACAGCCCAGTCCGACACTCGGCCTGATGCAACCTCCCTCTGGCGCCGGAGCGGCGTCCCAATTAGCCTCCAAAGGCGGGAGAAAGCCCGTGGCTGACCCGGCCTTACACCGATCAGGCTCTCCAACGATGCGAATAGTTGAGCCCTCTCCCGAGCCAGAGGAGAAAGGCCCCGTCCCTCCACCCAAGCCCCGGGCACCTGCTTTCCTCTTCTCCCCGCCATACCCCCAACCCCTGAATACCCGTCCGCCTTCTCAACATGGCCGCTCCTTCTCTGGCCCTGACCAAGCAGCCACTCAGGCTTACCAACAGTCCCTAGAGCAACAGCCTCAATACCAATATCAGCAACAGCAACTGTATCAATACCAACAGCAATATCAGCCGCAGCAACAACAGCAGCAATCACGGCCACGACCGCAACGCCAATATCCCCAGCAGCCGCAACAGCCTCAACAGCAGCAGCAACAGCAACAAAGACAACCACAGCGACAATATCAAGCATATCAACCGTATCAGCAGCAACCGCAACCGCAACCGCAGCCGCAGCCGCAGCCGCAGCCGCAGCCGCAGCCGCAACCACAACCACAACCACAACCACAACCACAACCTCAAACACAGGATCATCATGACCATCATCACCAGTGGCACCCTCTACATCCTCCCAGAAAGCCCAACCCAGACTACGACCCGTCCCGATCCTCAGACCAATCCATTTCCACAAACTCATCCCTGTTGGCCAAGCGCCTTGGAATCGACCGTGCTGCCAACATGGCCATCCCCACGGATCCTGCTCGGGCAAAGTGGCGCCGTGAAAATAGCAGCTCCCAAGAGGAATCTGCGTCCGGACGTGACTCTCTGCCCGCAACCCCGACTTGGCTGCCGCGGTTGACGCCTACACGACGAGGAAAAGACCTATTTTTAAATGTGCAATAACACGAGGTGGAAGTCATATTATGGGTTCATTTATCGTTTATATCCCTTCAGCATCCTAGCTGATATTTCTTTGTGTTTCACGACTGTCTGTACAATACCTATGCATTCAAGAATTATAATGAGCAGTAGCATAGACTGGATACCTACTCGGAAGGACTGGCACGCGTTGGAAAAGAACCAATCTTGTATTTTATCATCATTCATTCTAGGTTCATTTACTTGCATTTTCCTCAAGTCTCATGGCATTTCCTTGAACCCCCCTTCTAAATTTAGTCCTTCCTAGAACTGCGCGGGCCGGTTGGTGGCTCCTCTTCGTTTTCCTCTTTTACTGTCTGACCCATGAAGCACTCTCCCTCACCGAATTGCCGTTGGTGAGAAGGGCCGCTAGATGCCATTCCAAAATCGAGTGTGTCTAGTTCGACATCTGGGGTTTTTTCGCTGCTCTGATCGCTGCGCTGGTCGCTGCGTCGGAGTCGACTAGAGTGCTTGTTTCTCCCACTTCCCATGGAGAATAGGCCCTGGGCTCGTCGAAGCTCCTCCATGTGATCCTCTAGTGCAGCATCTAAAGCTTCAAGTCCCTGATCCAAGGCAGATCGGTTGAGGTGGGCGCTTTCATCAATGAGTTTGTTCTTTCTCCGAATGTCTTGCCAACGAGTCATGCATCCGAGCTCCAGCAAGTTCACTCGGCGGTTTTTGCCAACAGGATTTCCAATCATGACTGGACGCCATGCCATATCCTCCTCCATCAAAGCTCGCAAGTCATTGGGCATTGAAGCACGACGCTGGGTAGACTTCCGACGAGCCTGTGTCAACCGATCCATCTCTGCAGACTTCGAGCGCGGTATGATGAGGACATTCTTGAAGCGAACGAGTACGAGCAACAACAGCATGGTTAGGAGGAACAGAATGCTCGCCACCACGCCCGAGGCAACCCGCTGGCCGAGGGTCCGAGTGATGTGGCCGCCAAGCGCGGTTGAACCTGCCGCGAGGATGAATGCAAAGCTATGAATGATTGCGAAGCCGGATGTCACTCGTGGGAACGACGAGTAGTTTGTTTTCTTTTGGGTTTGGCCAGTTGCGTCTCGCTGCCGGCCGATCATCCCTGGAGAGAGATCCGAAGTGTCGAAAGTCTCCATGATTAGGCCATTACATTCTGCAATTGCGAGACAGGAGAGAAACCCGATGCACATTGCAAATAATGTTGGAACACCGAGGCTCATGGGTGGTCCAGAGGAAACAGCAGCGTAACAAATGGCTCCCAGCGGCAATGTGATCGTGAAAACTGCCCGTCGAATCAAGTGCGATGACCACGCGACTGTTCGGTCAAGGGTCTCCCTGCTGGAATTGACTTGAGAATGACGTGACCTCGAAAAGATGCTGGCTTTCTGGAACGGGATAGCAAATAGAGCGCCCAGAGCCATAGCAGCAACGTGAAGGCCAACATAGGGGGAACGCAAATGGTAGAACCGGGAAGCCAATGATCCCAGCAGGGCGATAACGAGAACAACCTGTGCATAGATCCAAGCGACATAGACGGCCATGACAGAGAAGCCAGGCTGACGGAGCATCTCGAGAGAGAGAAGGACACCATGCCAAACCTCATTACCCCACCACTTTGGCCCGGTCTTGACTCGGTGCATCATGACTTCACCACGGGCCAGTCTGCGTGAGATGTCAGAACCAGCTCGGACTTCGGCAACTGATCGCCGAAAGGAGGAACGGCGGGCCTCAGGGCAGATGACGTTGAGAAGCAACACCACCGCAATCAGTAAAATACTGAGGTAGAAGCCCCAGGCTGGAGGATGCTGGTCAATGATGGAGGCGCCGATGAGAAACCCAATGCCAAGTGATCCAACCCAGCACCAGGTCCAAATACCAAGCCATACACCCATGCCGCCTCCATGTCTCCGCGCATCAAACTGATCAACTACCTCTTGGTGAGGATTCCCACTCATCAATGAGGCTCCAAAAAGGTCTGTCAGGATGGAGTGAAAGTTCATGCTCGCAAATCCAAGAGAGCATCCCATCAGTGTTCGAGAGGCAATTAACAAGATCCTCCATGAAGTAATATTCGTCAACCTGGGGCTGTTGACTGCAAGCGCCTGCGGAAATAAGAGAGGCATCGCAAGGATAAGGCTCGCCATGATGTACGGCTTTCGGCCGTGTAGCAAGGGCAATGGCCACAGAAAGAACGTTGGCAACGCAAGGCCAAGGAAGCACCCTGTATTTCCGTGAATGGCGACATGAGACTGGTCGACAATATAGTACTGGATGGAGGGAACGAGTCCAGTATAGATGCCGAGCAATATGCCGATCAACGCTGTACTTAGACAGGCCACAGATGCAACGTACCTCTTGCGGATGGGCGACTAATCCCTGGCAATTGGCTGTCTTTTGTGAGATTTGGGAAGGCTGAATCCCTGAACATTTCGAAGGCTAACGTGTGACCGGCGACGTAGACTGATGCCGTGTTCAGCACGCACCTTCCGACCTGCAACGTCGCGCTCGGGTAGGGCTTCCTGGCTAGTAGCATTGCGACCGGCTGATGGAGTATGCTCTCCAACAGGTCGCTTTTCTAATGACTTATCTCCCAGAAGGGCGTCTTTCCCCAGATTGAAGTTGAGAACTGGGGTCAGGTTCTCTTCTCGCGGCTTTCCGCCTCTGTGCACCGGTGCCAAAACCTCTCCATTCACGAGTTTCCTAAGAGGCCTTTGTGTGGCTTGTTTTCTTGAGTTCCGAGTGGGTATGACCGCCATCGACTGGCCTGGAGACTGAGAAGGCTGAGATCTGAGACGCATTCGGGTGTCAACACTTCTGGGATGGAGGTCTTCGTACTTCCTAGAGTAGTTTTCAATAATCTCAGCTAACTTGGGGCGCTCCGCAGGGCCGGCGAATGTCGAGGCATGCTTGTATGCGGGACGCACTTGCGTAGTCTGTTGGCTTAATTCGAAGTCGGAGAGATCCTCAGCGCTCTCACGTTCACTAGTCGGCGACCTATCGTTCAAATAATTTGTGTCAATCTCCCTGTAACCTGGTCTGCCCCGGTAACCAGAGTGCAGACTGCTTGATGGTCGCTTGCATCCACCACCATTTGGAGATCCCGATCGATCAATGACTTGAGATGCAAGAGTGAGAGCTTCACTCAGAAGTCTTTCTAAGTCGCTGATGGCACGCTTGAAAGACAGCCCATCTATTTTGGGATCGGACTTGCCGGAATGGATTGACTTGTCAGCCGGGTGACAAGTGGCCTTGTTTGAGAGCACAGGCTCAGAAGGACGCCGAGCATTATCCAATGGCCTCGCAATCGACCTTTTTCGAGTCGGTATCTCCGTAAACTTCGCACTGTAAGCTTCTGGGGCTTGAACCAGTCCCTTCAGCCACTGCGCAGTCGTCCGCTTATAATCTAGAACAGAACCTCCTGACTGACTTCGCCCTGATGAATATGCTGGACTTTTTAGTTGCTCGTCACCCTTCCCAGCTCGCAATGAGGTGTCTGAGCCCGCCTCGATGTAGCGCTCACTTTGTTCAGAGTGGCCAAAGTTCTCCTGGGATGGCATGGGGGCATAAACATAGCTCGCCAGGTCGGCTTGGCTTTGATCCTGCTCGGACTGGCACGGGGTACATTCCCGAATGGGGTGTTGCCCAAATCCGTGGTGAATTGGATCCGAACTACATTCCCTGACTGTGTGTTGGTCTTCATGTGGACTCTGAGGACACTTGGTGCATTGATCGGTTGCGTGCGTTTTGGTGGTATCATGGGTGAGGGTTTGCAAGCACGGGGGCTCTCTGTGGATCTTAACAGGTTCCACAGGACCATTGTCAAAGAGTTCCAAGGGGTGTCGATTCTCTGAACCAAGTAGTGGATATGGATCACAGTGCTGGATCGTGTGGCGTCTTTCAGTCTCTTCTATGGGTAATCGGGTGCTCCGGTCTAATCCATGTTTATTTGAACCGTCCTTGGTAGCGTCCAATGACTTCGGGTTGGCGACCAACAATTGAGTGCGTGATCGACCTTTCGATGAACGGTGATGCCCCATGCAAGAATCCATGGTATTCAAAGAGTCGCCGCTGCATGACCGGGTCTGAGGAAGCCAGAGAATCCGGCAATTAGACTGTGCTGATATATGTGCTTCTCCGCCTATGGTGCCATTTGCATGCCCATGCCCACGCATGGCTTCTATAAATGGCTTGGTCTTGGAAGAACATGCCTGAACCCTACTCCCAACAAGGTGGTCAGATCGACTCTGTAGAGCCTCTGGGGTATCGATTTGAGACGGAGTTGATACTTGGTCCGGAGTAAGGCATGGAGATTCTTCGGCGGTCGCGGCAATTTGAATTTGCATATCAGACACAGACTGAGCATTCAGCTTGTCGCATTGGTGCTGGTGTTGAGCATAGATGGAACTTCCATCATTCTCAGTGCTCCTTCTGTTCGGATCGGTAAGGGAAGACTTGAATGGTACAACTTTGTTCGTGGCTGGGTGCCCTGGCTCAAACCAACCTTGGTGGCGAATGGGATAGTGTTTGAAATTGGCTGCTCCAGAATACGTGATTTGTTTATCTTCTTCGGACAAATGTCGATCTATTTTGCGGTCTCTCATAGAGTAGACGACGGGGCTAGCGGAGTTGCGTTCGGGTAGTGGCCACACTTGCGTCTCCTCCTGCGTCAAATCGTCAACATCGCAGATGCCAGCTGGACTAAGCGCACTTGAAACATGCTCATGTGTATGTGTATCATGCAGGTGGACTAGAGATTCAAGTCGGATTCGATCTGTCGTAGGGATCGATGGCGTGAACCTCTTATTTTGCGGCGACGTAGACGGCGAAGGCGAGACAGTTGCCATCGACTCTCTCACAGCTGTGGATTTATCTTGACTCCCATGCTGCAGTTTCTTCTTTTCGGCCTGGGGAGATATATCTTTCTCCGCCGTCGGGCTAAGAATGGGTAGTACCGGGACATCCTTGTGCAGAATTATTGGACCGTTGACTAGCGTCTTGAGAAGATGATGTCGGTAACCTGAAGTTTGCGTCGCAGCAGATTCATACACTGCGCTGGCTTCGTCTCCATTACCTCGAAGCATCGACAAAGACGACCGAGGACTTGGGGCTGGAGTGTGATCAAAGTCACCAACTTCGACCTCGATTGGTTCCTGGGCTGGGTGTGCCCGAGTGTGACTGAAGAGGGTCGAAAACATGGTCGGTCGTTTCTTCGCCGGCGACACTGGACGAGAAGAGCTGTGGGGCCCAGCGATGAGACTGTTTGGAGGTGGCGATACCGGTTGGAGACTGCGAGGTGCTTCGGCTGAACGGTAACTTCTGAGGGCGGACTGCTTGGAAGTAACTTCGGCGGTTGCCAACGAGGCGTCTTCTGGTTCTGGATTGGGCGGTCGGGGAGGTTGGCCATGAGACATGAGGACTAGTTTGAGAGATGCATGTAATTTGAAGCCGATGGCTTTGGCGGATAACGATATTAAGTGACCATGGAAAGTAGTGATAGTTAGGTTGAGGAGCGGCTGGGTGTGAGTGCAGGATAACAGAGGACATGCGGGGGAGGAGTTGAGATGGAGGAGTAGGCGATGCTCTCCAAGCTAGCCAGAGTTTGTTTACTTTGGGTGGTTGGAAAATGGAATTTGGAAGGCGCCTTCATGGGGTTTCGTCATTGCGCCTGTGTCGAAACACTTGGAAGTTGCCTCTTGCCTTGGGCTCTATGACACTAGCTGGCTACCTCATCACTGTGGCAGGAACTAGTTTTCCTTTATTTTCCACTTCTTGAGTAGCAGCAACAATTTTCAATGTGATTATTCGATACAATATTTTGATGCAGGGTAATTAATATCAGAAGACGATCCGGTTCATGTCGTACCATTCCAAGCTAATTGAGATTGATCTTATCTGGTACCTAACATTGGCGGTTAAATGTCAGTTATCCCCACGAGCCTAACTGAAACCCACCCAAGGCAAAATCTCACGCCTGCCGCGGCACAATTGAGCGCTGCACCGCTAAACATGGCTAGAAGCATCCACAGATATCGCCACAATAAGCACTCCCTCTCTCCGAGATGCCCGCGATTGTCGGCGCGCAACCTTGAAGCCTGCGCTCACCTCATCACGGCCAAGCTACCCTGCATCAGGCTCCTCGAATGCGCCTTGGCCGGCCCCCAGCTGTGGACGAACACCCGATGAAACGACGGCGATGGCGCTTACTCTCCCCCAGTGTTCCGGCCGAGACTGCAATAGGAACCGCCGAGAGAGGGCGTGTCTCCGAAGCCAATCGTCGCTGCTGGCTAGCCGAGACATGTGAAGGGAGCCGCATGGGTTGTGTGTGTTGTGCTGATGCTCACGACATCTTCCCGCAACTCTTTTGGCCCATATTTCCCCGTAGATCCCGACATCACACCCCTCCATATCGGCGTTATTGAAACAAAGAAATCCTACCCTCCCAAGGCCACCCTTCCAAGGCCACCCTCCACCTCCTCCACCCTCCACCTCCTCCACCCTCCAACTCCCCAAAGACCCGCCGTTCAATCTGCGGCAGTCTGACACACCCTGTGCCCTAATCCCTGTCGTGGTTGCTGCACGGCGTCAGTCGCCTAAAGCCTGGTGGGACGCGTCTAATCCTGCACCGCCCGCAAATCACACCATGGAGTCAATAGCCCAGATTGGCTCCAAGCGGCTGGACAGGGTGGTTGGCACCGGCCCGGCAGAACGGTTCCGCCCATCAACTAACTTAATCATCCCCTTGGCCGCATCGGGCAACCTGCCAGCCTCCCTACTTATTAATAGCAATGCGCGTTTACCTTTTCAAGGTTCTGACTTTGCACTATCCAAACTAGCCCGAGACGCCTTTCCCGGGGCATGCTTGTTCTACTTTACTGCAAGGCTGCGGGTTTCCCGTTGTCTGCCTTGCCAGCCCGCCCACCCATAAGACTGGCGTCAGTCAGATGAGGCCTCCTCACCGACGTCCTGACCTCGAGCCAGAAATGGCAGTAGCAGTCGTGCCCGAGTCCATGCGGGGTATGGCCCATCTCAATTGCATCGCACCAATGCTGCAATTGACCCAAAATAACTCGGGGGACTTTGGTGACTGTCACGTTCCACGCCGAATTGGTGGAACCCCCTGCACATCTCTTTCGTCCACCAGCGAGTGACCTGTTGCCTACCTCCCAGGGGCTCGGACGTGACCATAACCGCCACAAATGACAGCCTCATCCTAATATGCTTAGTAAACCACAACCGGTGTACGGAGTAGCTCACCAAGACTCCAAGGAACTTCACGGGAAAATACGATGGGGTCCGATGTGTGACAGGAAATGATTTATGTTTCTATATCAATAATCTGGGAACATCCAGCGTCCCAGTCCTGATCTTCTGTTTGATTTGGGGCTCCGCCCGATGACGGCGCCGACTGCAGCCTGCGCAGCCTGTGTCTGATTGGTAGTACAACATCTTTCCGAGTGCAAGAGGGAGGGAAATGTTGAGAACCGAAAAGAGAAAGAAAGAAAGAGAGAAAGAAAAGAAAAACAAGAAAAACAAGAAAAAAAAAAGAAAAAAACAGAACCCTAGTATCAAGAGGTGTATAACATCCAGCCAGTGTATGCGTAAACCTCCTCCATCACTACTTGCAACCTTTGCAAGGAGATGACCAAAACCATTAAAGTTCCACCACAAATTCCCAACGCCTGGTATATATCCGCTGTCCCTAGTGCATGTAGAAAACCTCGTGTCAAATGAGGCATCTAAGAGGAGAAAAAAAAACCCCCCATCGAAGGGGGCGATCGAAGTTGGAGGCCAATGCCCGGCCAGGCCCCATAAATCCAACAAACGAGCCCATGCTCGAGAATACAAATTCGCCCAAAAGTGCCGCGAGGCAATCAGCAAAGCTGAGTAGAATGTAAACCGGTGTCCATGTTTTCCGTCGTGTAAGCGCATCGCACTTTTTTTCCAAACCCAGGTAACAAACGAGTCGAGACCAAATCCATCGCTATGCAAATAACCCCCAAAAAATGCCGAGATAAGAGTCTTCTGAAAACGGAAATGAAATGGGAAAATGGGAGAAATGAGAGCAGAGATGTTAAAGTAGAAGGCCGTATCGTAGAGAGGAGATCGACCCAACGGAGGGTGCAATTGGTAGTCGAAGGCGTGTTTCGTCCGTCTAGGTGTCAAAGAGAAGGGGGAGGGGCGTCGAATCGTGATTCTATTCACGTAATGATCGTGATCTCATTCTCGTGTCTTCGGTAGCGTCGTGACGAGTTTCATGGCAAGAGAGTAGGGCAGGCCAAGATGCTTGCCCATGAAGGAGTGAGGAAGACCGATGATGACGAGAGCTTAATGTGTTGAGGAGTGGCTGCCAGGCATGACTGGTTATCGGATCGTTCCTGGAGCAGGGGGACGGGTCCGAAAGTCGTGAGCCACGAGCAACGCGGAGAGTCGCGACGGGTTGAAGGACCAGAGATAGGATACCCAATCACTAAATCCAAACCTGAGGAGTCGCGAGAAGTGCCATGACTGGCAGTAAGTCACCGAAGACAGGATGTTTCATCGATAGGCCGAGGAGCTGGAGTGGCCACTGTAGTCGGCCTGGCCATACTGTGAGGAGTACTGAGCGGCATGGCCAGTGTGCATGCTGCAGGCGTAACCAACGAAGATGGTTCGCTGCTCAACGTAGTGGTTGGGACGACCGTATGCCGCGCAGCGGTCAACGGCATGCTGGTAGTAGAGGCAGCGGCAAGCTGAGTAGAGTTCGACAAGCTGATAGCACATGATGGCGAAAGCGGCCCAGATATTGGCCTGGTGTTGGTTCAGGTGGGTAACTGTGGCGAGGGGGCAGAGGAGAGGTGGTGTTGGCTCTCAATTCGAGGATGGTGGTGTTGGTGTTGTTTCGAGTGTCTAATAAGTGTCGTCTAGATTTGAATCTCAAGGGAGGATCGGATATGTTCGCGGTAGAGCGGGAGAGAAGTAGAAGCTCAAGTCAAGGGCGATGCGATGAAACAAGACGGCAAAAAGAGAGAGCGAGGAGCGCCCTAGATATGTGTTGATGATGATGAGAAGACTTGCTGGCAGGAAGGACGATAGAGGCAGACGAGGCATCGCAGCCTTATAGGTCCGGCTTGTAGCCTGGAGATCAAGACTCAACGATACCGGCACGCCCTGCTTATGGACTTTGGGAGTGTCCACGCCCCTCCCGGACCTCAGGGAGACCCTCCCCGGGCGAGGATCAAGGCACCAGCGAGGGCAGAGACGCCAGTAAGAGCGCGCGAGAGAGAGATAGCCGCAGTTGAGTCTGACTGTCCTGACAGGTGACTAAGGCTTGGTCGCGTCTAATGCAGGCATGGGATGGCGCAGGGCCCACAAGGGCGGAAAGCCAAAAGGTGCCTTGGGAGTCCTGGGGGCTTTGGGGGCTTTGGGGCCTGGCGTCCTGGCGTCCTGTGCCCTGTGCGCGCCTGTGCCATCCTGTCCATGCCATGGCGTCCCGGAGGGTTTCCATCGCGAGGACGAGGGCTGTCATGGCGCAGCACGGTGTGGATGAGATGGAATGGTGGCCTGGGTACCTGGTACGGCACCTGGAGGCAGGGGTAGCTGGTGTAGTACCTAAGAATTACTTCTTTCGCAGGGTGAGGTACGTAGATGCAGATGGATGGGATCCAGGATGCGACCGATGGGGATGGGTGCTGCGAGGGCATCAGTGGATTCGGCGTGAAGAGTCACCCATTGGACTTCGCCAATGGGGCTAACTGGGTGTCCTGCAGCAGGGCTGACGGGGGGGTCACAGGCCTGGAGCCACGGGCCACTGAGCATTGGACGACGGGCCCGGCGACTGGGCGACTGGGCGACTGGGAGAGTGGAGGAGCGAACCCTGGATGACGATGGTGCCGACAAATGGAAGAAATGGAAGGGTTCGATGCACCTTTCTGCTTGTAGACGCGGCCGCGGCCGTGGCCTTGGTGCCCGCGGGGTGATTGTGGTTCGCTGTTTTGGTGGGACAAGTTCCATCTCAAGTCTGGTTGCGAAGTGTCACGACGCGACGACATCCATTGTCGCCGTGCGCCGGGCAATTGAAACCGCCGGGACGGGTTTCTTGGCCTTACAATGACGCACCGTAATAAGGCGACCGTCTTGGCTCTGTTTGCATGGGGATGGGCGTGGCAATGAGGCGGCGCGAGGTCTGGTGGTCCTTCAGAAACTCCAGTTTCCGAAGGGTTCAACGGGGAATTGCGTCAGGCCCTGACGTAGGTATCCAAGTATCCAGGGGGATGGGATGGATGGGATGGAAGGCAGGCAGGGAGGAGGTGGTTCGCCCACGAAACTGCCTTCCGTCCCTTCCCTACTCCGGTAGTGAGGTAAGCTGCACAGCACCTTCCGCCCAGACAGCCCTCCAACCATTGGTCCCAGTGCAACTGGCAACTTCCAAGGTTAGGAACCAATCCACTCTGTCCCAGGCAGGCCAGGCAGGAACACGAGTTTCCCCAGCACTCCAAACAGCTCTAGACCACTCGTTGCGCTCTTACTATTCTACACTCCACCTCCGACTCACAGTTTTGCATCACCGACGACAGTGCCCGGAGAGAAACGCGCAACGCCCGACCGCGAGAGCTGGTTGGTGCCTGCGGATGCCTCATGATCTGCAGTCATAGAGTCAGAATGCAACCTCCTTTCCGCCCCCGGTTCTTCTCACGCGGCTCTTGTCGAACAAGTTGCTCTAACTTCTCTCGCGACTATTCCGTGGCTCTGTCAAACCCGACTTGGTTCCTCTTTCAGTGATTCTTCAAACCAAAGGGCCCCGCGGCTGAGAGAGTGGTTGCACTAGAAGAACTAGGGTAGCCGCCAATTGAGATGGTGTTTAGGGGGGGTGGAAGTTGGGGTTGCTGCGCCCATGACCCGGTGCCCTGGCCCTTCCCCTGCCTCCGAGTCTTGCCAGGGTCGAGGCTCTGCTATTCTGAGACTGTCTCTCGTTTCTTGCTCTTGTTTCGAACTTTGGTTTCGATCAGAAACCCTCACCCATGCTATTCCTGGGAACAAGGAGCCTTGTCGCAAACCCCTTGAGCCCCATTGAGTTGGATCGATGAGCCATCCGGGGTTTTCACGGAGGATTCGGTCACATCGTGATCTTATCGTCAACAATTCCTATTTTCCGGACCTCCTGTCGACCACGGCAGTTGTTGACCACCTCCGCTGAGTACAAGTGACTTTCTACGTTCTCTCGTGTCTCACATGCTTCTTCCTCGGCAGGCTGGGAACCCCCTTTCTACTGACCCTGCCGGCGGCATGCCAATGGACATAGGCAAAGCGCAAAATGGCTTTCTGTGGCTGATGGGTTGGGGTTCCTGGTGAGTACCTCCTTCACCTTGTCCTCTCGTTCGTTGGGATTCTCAGGCTGGAAATAGACCCGCCGAAAGCCACACCACTGCACAGTGGCTCTCGGCGCTGACGCCAAAGAGTCAGTTCCCTGTGCTCCATAGGGCTGTGCCTGCAGCCAAACTCCCGGCCTTGGCAATGCTTGCTTGTCTCTTTGCTCTACCTCGGTGTGTTAATTTTGTGGTGTCCAACCCCTGGGGCCTATCGCTGTCATCCGCTAGGCCACCGATTCGGCCACCGATTGTTGGCATCGCAGCGCAGTGCATCGCAGCATACCCGGGATAGATCGACCCATCCAACTCATTGGCTACAAGCCAACATATGTTGTGTCGCCGAAGGCTTCCATGCATCTTCGAGCGTCGGACATCAACATCAGCATAAGCCGCTGTGCTCGCGTCGCTTGCAAGCGTGGCTAAGATTGGACGATTGTGGAACTTCACGGAGGGAACCTGCACGTCTAAGTTGGATGTCTTGGACCCGGAGTCATGGTGTGGTAGTGTTGACCTCGGTCGCTCGTCACATTCAGGGTTGGCCCGTTTGATGGTCCCGGATCGCCCGTGGCTTCCCACCAGCACCATGGCGCCGGAAACTGGATGCACCTTGGTTGGGACCAATGCACACGCACGAACGTACCACACCAACATACACACACACACACGCAGATGAACCCGACGACACAATCCAGCCCCAGGCGCGGCCGAGTCAAAAGGGTACTAAGACGCCAGCCTCGGCTTCCTGATCGGGTGGTTGTGGAGGCAGCCCACCCCAGCCTTGCATTGGTGGCCCGTCGATTCACGGTGCGGTACCTAGGTACGGCGCTACACGCACCATGTTCTGTACAGTGACATCTATTCTCTAACCCTGCAACTGCATTCACTTCGAGCCAGATTCTCCAACCCTCCCTTCCATTCCACTGGGCCCGTTCTCTGGGTGGGTGACCGAGACAAGGTGGTCGAGACAGGGTTGCCTGGTGCCTCAGACAATGAAGGTGGTGTCTTCCCACCATTCCGGGGACGCTGCGCTCAATTGACACCCTCACGTGCCCTCTGAGTAACCCGCTGCTGACGGTAAGGCTGCCCGGCCTGTGTGAAAGTGTGACGTGATGTGATGCAACGTCAACTGCCGAATCCGTCGAGATCTCTTCCCCCTTGGTTGAGGCAGCCGAAAATCCATTCCTGAAGGGCGTCGCTCAAAATAACTCGGTGATTTTTTTGACATGATGCCCTGGAATAGGCCCCCGGTCACAAAGCTGTTTCAACGTCGCCTGGGGATATTCGTCCCTCATAGGCTGTTAAAGGATCTTTGGGGAGTGGGGCCTGTGCATTTTGCGATTGTATGATCTATCTGCCTACATGGCAACCGCTTTGCAGTCGTGGTGTCATTCACATGTCTGACCGGTCATGCCCCTGAAGGCTTTGCAGCATGACGGAGGGGAGGGGGTCGATCTCGGGCCTTGTCTCAGATGTTCCATCCTGTCCAACTTGACAGTTGACACAGACATGGGACAGATGGGGAACCACGCCTCTCTGACAGGACACTAGCCACTCCAGCCCCATTCTCGGCCACCTCAACCATTGGCGGCGGCTGTCGCCTACGACGCCCGAGAGACTCTTAAGATGTCGACCCGAGGTTCGAGGAAGAAGCGGGTGGAATAATGGATTTCCATTTTGGGACGGCAAGACGAGTCATCCTTAGGCAGGCATCGGCAACTTAGAGAAACAGAGCCCAAAAAAGATGGGGCGTATCCAGGCACTTGACGAACCCTGCCCCCATCGCCCAGTCACGCGCCGTGGTGATGTAGAGGGGCAGAGACACTGTTGACGCAGAGAGGGAGACAGACAGATGGAGGGAGAATCACGGTTGCCCGCATATGCCCAGCATAGGAACCGACATCATTCGCATCTGCCTGGAAAGTCGGGCTGCGTGAATTGGGAACTTACGCTGTGCTGAGTGGCTATTCGTCACGATGAAGGCAAGGACGTCGCACGGCCGACGGGGATCACGGCTGAATAATCTGCGATAATCACCGTAATCAAGAAGGCCGTCGCCATCAACATCAGCACGATTCTCGTGAGCGGGAGCCATGACCTCACCAACGGTCGCCTTGCAACGTCTCCAGCCTCGCCTGGTCTCTACCACAACCCAGTCGACTGCGGGGGGAGACGGCCGGCGCTTTGCTGGTTGGTCCGCTTTGGTCCGCTTTGGTCCGCTGTGGCCCGTTTCGCCCAATCGCCGGGCGACGGAGAGCAGCACGCGCCACCGCCTGGCCCACCAGCTGCGCCTCTCGTCGTGGCTTGCACGCCCCACTGGCGACCACATCGGCGCATCTACCGCATCCACCGCATCCACACCCCGTTGTTTGTCCCGGAGTCGCCGGCGGAGTAGCTCATATCCTCGGCCGCATCAAGACAGCTTCAGTCCTGTTTCCGGGCTGCTGCAGTAGTTCTTTGTCGCCCAGATCCCCTCCGGCCCTCTCGTTGCTCTGTTTCGCCCATTGCTAGGCGTCATACCCTCCTCTGCGATCCACTCCTCTGCAGCCTCTTTTTCGGTCTTTGGTCAGCCGGCGCGCGCCTTTCCCATCTCTGCTCATCACAGGCGGCAGCCGTCAGACTTGCCTTTCGACCTCGTCACTCCCGACCCATCTTCAACTCACCGCGCACGAGGCCCGCCTCACCTTTTGCGAATCAACTGCCTCTGGTGCCCTGCATATGCCCCCCACCTCTCCTTCTGTTTCTCCTCTCTTCTTTGCCGCCCGCTGCTCGTCGCCCGCCGGGGAACGCCCTCCCTCCTTTGATCCAATGGCGGGCATGATGCGGCTGTCATAGTTGCTCCCCGCGGCTGTTTGTCTCCATCCCTTCGTGAAAGATATGTCCTTTTCTAGTTAGCCGTCTTATGTCTCATCCCTCACTTCCCTCGTTGCCTCGGTGCGTCGTGTCTCAGGTCTTGTCCCTTGGCCTGTACGCTTTCGATTCGCCGTCGCTGTGAACCATTCTCCATTGCAAGGTTGATCTATTATCGTCAAGAGTCTTCTGAAACCTTCACCAAGACAAGGGTCCTGCTTCAGCCCCTCGGTGAGCCGTCTACATCTCACCCTCCGACCTCTATCGGGGAGACGTCACTCGTATCTGTGACTCCCATATTCACTTTCGACTAACGCGACATCCGCGCGGAGGCCTCAGGAGACACGGTCTCGAATATTCCATTGTGCGCAGGGTTGTCTTGATGCCTATCTAGCACTTTGACCTTGGGTTGTCACCCCTGGTTCGTTTGCCTTTCTTGGCCCCCAATTCTAGGACAAACCCAGCTACCGTATAGTACCTCGTCCACTTTCTTTCAAAACCATCGTCAACGTTGTAAAATACACCCCTTACACAAAGGACAATCCAGCTCCAACCCCCCTGACTCACTAGGCCGAGTCACATCGTACCACGTTATAGCCTCCTTGGGATCTGCCGCGAGGCGTTCTGAAGGCAAAAGACATCGTCTCGTCGTGGTGTATACTAGGCAGTAGTAGAATGAATAAAGTAATAGACAGAAAAAAAAGTAACCTTCGTCTCGCTAATCGTGAGTCTTTCGCCTCCTCCTAAACCCGAGTCCGTTGTAGTTCAATCCATGCAATCGTCGCCGGGCTAGGCAGGGTCGTTGTACAATTGCAAGCCATGCTCCTGTGTAATGTATCGAATACCCAATGACACATGACCCTCACATAAATGCTAACGATCCTTCAAACTCCTATGTTCATAAAATTCGCCCCCAAGTCGGGGGCTAGCCTCGCCGACTCATGGCGGCCGTTGCGCCTGCGGCGGCGAGATCCTGCTTGGCGCTCACACTCCTCCCGGCCGCTCGCGGGAGACTGCTCGTCCCCATCGCGACGCCGCCGCCGGTGCCTGCGCTGCTTCGCTTACTAGGGCCCGAGTTGATCGCTCCGGCACCCCCTGACACTTTTCGGTGGGCACCCGAGACTGGCTTGTAGGGGCTAGCTCCTGTTCGCATGGATGCCACGGTCTTAAGGTTGGCTCCAGGGGGTTCAGGGAGGGGGCGCGGAACCGATATCGTGTTGTGTCGCTTCATTGGTGACGACTCGCGTGCTGGCATACGAGGAACCGGCACATGCATCTTCTGCCCGGTGATGAATTCGTGTCGAATGGCATCTTCAGACTTCAGTCGTCGATCTGGATCCCAACGCAGACAGCGTGCTAAGAAATCCAAGAACACCTCATCGTCACATTTGAGCACCTGCTGAAGCGTCTTTGACGAGGGACGGCGCCTGCGGCCTTTGGATGACACAGTCAGGCGCGGCTTGCCCATTGAATCGAAGAATAGCTTCTTCCTGGTGCTCTTCTCGATTAGGTGTTTTTCAGGAGGTCCGAAAACTTCCATGATGCAGGCCAGTTGCTCTTGTTCGTTCTCTCCGGGGAAGATCGGGACACCGGTGTACAGCTCTGCTAGGATACACCCGACGCTCCACATGTCAATGGGCATGCCATAAGTCATGCCAAGAATGACCTCAGGAGAGCGGTAGAATCTGGATTGGATGTAGGTGTACACCTTCTCATTCTCAAAGCAGCTGGAGCCGAAGTCGATGACTTTGATCTCCGCGTGCAAAGGGTGGCGAAGAAGAATATTCTCCGGCTTCAGATCACAGTGGATCACCTTGTGCTGTTTGAGAAGATTGAGCGAGCTGAGTATCTGCTTGGTGAAGCGCCGGATGATCCTCAAGGAGAAGCCTCGGAAGGCATGTGCCTTGATAAGTTCGTATAGGTTCATGTCTAGCAACTCGGTAGATATGCAAAGATGCCCTCGGAAGTAGAAGCTTTGGGTAAAGTTGACCATGCTATGCTTGTTCTTGGGATCCTATGGCTGGGTTAGTACTGGCCGACTTATTACATAGATTCAAGCTTACCCATTCGCGAAGCTTTTGTAGGATATTGACTTCGACAAGAGCTTGCTGGTGGAATCTCTTCTTGTTCCTGATAATTTTGATGGCAACGAGACCTCCAGTTCGGTGATCGATGCATCGAACAACTTGCCCAAAACTACCTTTTCCAAGAATGTCAATAATCTCATACCGGAATGAGAGGTGATCTCCAGGCACGATGGTGTAGTCTCCACGCTCGTCATCATAACCAAAATTGGGCGAATCTGACTGCAGGTCACCTACGACCTTGTGCGCATGTTGGGTTCCGCAGAAGTACACGTCATTGTAGTCAACGATCTCGCCTCGCTCGTAAATGTTCAACATGGCAATGCGAATAGCCTCGTGGGGTCCAACTCGCTCCTTAGGTGTAGCCCTCTTTCTAAGAGCATCCAGAGTTCTGGCAGCGATCTCTGTCTCTTTTCGTCGAGATCCAAGCTTGGCCATTTCCTCCTCTGCGGCCATGTCATCCTTGTCAAGTTCATTAGCCGCCGAGTCGAGAAGCTTGGTTGTACTCGAGGAGGTCCTAGGTCGAAGAATTTTCTGCATGACCGACGGGTTTCGGGTAGCTGGCATGGTAGATGAATCAACCGTGGGCTTTTTATTGCCCCAGGGATCGGTCTTCGGCTTATCGTGAGTTGTAAGGGCGTTCAGACTTCCGGCTGAGCTCTTCCGCCTTCTGGACTCAAGGTATCCTCCAACAGGCTTAACATAAGGAGTAGGGCTGGCTTGCTTAGCGTTTGACAGGTTGTTGGCCGTCGCAGATGCAGGGATTCGAGGGGGAGGCATGCTTTCTTGTTGCTGTGCAGCAGCCTTCTCAATGACATCTTGAGGAGCCGTAATACTGCTTTTGGAGTTTGTACGCTTCCAGGAGATGCTAAGCTTTCGTCGAATGGAGCTCATCGACGAAGGAGTCTGAGGCTCCTCTGAGACGGGCTCAGGGGGAGGAGATTTGGGAACCTGCTTGTCGGTTTTGGGTGCCCGTGGACCTGCAGGTTTGGCGTGGACCCGATCCTCGAAAAAGTTGCTACTCATGGTTGTGAAGTCTCCACCGGTCTTCGACCTCTTTAAAAATCCGTGCTCTGATCCTCCCTTAGGCAGCGATGAAGACAGGAAAGGCGAGATGCTGTTCTTGTGATCGATATCCTTGAATCCCAGTGACGAATCTGAGGAGGTGTTATCGGGAGGAGTGGGGGAAAGATGGGTGTGGTGAACAGAGCTGCTGCTCCGAAGCGACGGCAATTCAGGGGTATCGCCATGTCGACTTCTTGAGAAAAAGGAGCTCTTTGATGCCGTCATTGGAGTGGTTGGCGTCTTTGGCAACTGCCTGGAGGGTGGTGGGCTCAGGCTTCGATCTGCGCTGCTATGTTCCTGCAGCGCAGCGATCTTGTTCATCGTAGGGGTACTCAATGGGCCGAGACTAATCGGGGGAAGCCTCAGAGGTTGCAGATGTCTCTTGCCCTGCGGAGTGCTCTTGTGCTCGGTATCCGTATGGGTATTGTTCGGTGCGTATGAGCTTTTTCGGGCGCTGGGCCTCCGTTGGACCTTGGTGGGCTCAGGGAAGACTGGCATCGAGATGCTTCCAGTTGAGTTGGAGTTGGAGCTCAGTACATCAATATTGCTCAAGGCGGTCTTTTTCTTCTCCATGAAGTAAGTCTCCGCCGGCGAATCTTTCGGTGATTCGTACGCCTTGGGTATGGCGGGGACAGGTGGGACATCTTCCTCATCATCTGTGGGCATCGGATTGTGCACAGTCGTATGCTTAGGTGCGGGTAGTCGTGATGTAGACGAAGGCTGTGAGACGCGCGGCTGTGTCGAGCCTATCGAGGTCCTCACTGTGTTGAAGCTGATGGATGAGGTGACTGAGAGGCCTGAACTGTACGACTTTCGGCTGATATCCGGCGTGGTTCTTGACGAGGACGGGGTGCCAGAGGCTTTCCTGGGGATCATGGAGGGAGATCTTGATTCGGCTCGGGTATCCATGGACACTGGTGGTGGAGGAGGTACATTCGAAGACTGGCTCAGGCTTGGTGGCTGAGGCATAATGGAGAGACGCTTCATCCTCCGGGTGTCTGTCGGGCTTATCGTCCTTGCACCGAGGCCAGTCGCGTGCGAAGAGTGATGACTGCCAGGCATTATGGATGCCCTCTTACCAGTTGAGGACGGTGTGCTGAGTCGCCCCCCGACACGTGGTGATCGAGGAGCTAGGGTGGAAAGGCGATTGTGTTCGGGGGTGAGGTTGTTACCAAGGCCCAAGTGTGCTTGGCTGGGGCGTGGTGGCGGTTGCACCGACTTTGCCTTGGTCGCTCTGGAGTTGGTCAGGTTCCGCGTGGAATCCAACCAACTGCTAGAGCCTCCGTCCATCGACGTTCTCGTCGAGCCACCCGAGGCGGCATCCGACAACAGACTAGGGCGTCGCCTCTGAGTATTTCGGGCACCGTATTCCCCATCTACTATCACACCTGGACCGATAGATTTGCGAGGCGGCTTTGAGGTCACGGTGGTGGTGGTGGTGTGGGACACGGGTGGATAGTGACTCTGGCGACGAGCTCGCGATGAGACGGGGGCGCTTGAGGCATCGATTGGAGTCGTGGAGGAGGAGGAGGCAACAGATGAAAGACTGGGCTGCCTGCTTGACGTACTGGGCCGTCGCAGAAGAGAGCCTGATCGAGATGGCCGATTGGCAGCCGGAATGGCAGGGCGAGTGGTGCCGCCATTCTGGGAGCCGGCTCCTTGGGCCTTTTCGGGCATCTTGTTGTCATTCAAACCGTGGCTCTCGAGGATGCTCCCTTCACCGGTGGGACAAGGAAACTGCGTGAGTTTGAACTCGGTGGACGCGGATTCGAGACTGCTCTGGAGGTCATCGAAGCTCACAGAGGGTAAGAAGTCGAAGGAGCTAGTGGATTCGCCTAATTGACTTGTCTCTCCATCTCGACCGAAAGAAAAGAGCGAATGATTGTTGGCGGCCGATGCGCTGAGCATTGGAGCGTTGAAGGTGAGGTTAGGATTCGAGGCGGGAAGAGGTGGTCGAGGGCTGGAGGTGTTGCCCCTGTTATGAAGGCTTCGAGGTCAGCTTGTCCATGTGCGTTGATGTGATGGATGGGCGATGATCGATGGACCAACCAAGGACCATCGGAGTGAAGAAGAGGAAGAAGGCAACTGGAGGATAGGAGGCTCACAAACGAGTTGGAGAGAAGTTCGCCGGTCGAGGCCCAGCCGGTGCCTTGTGCTCGTGGCTCATAGGGACCGGGTCGAGGGGGCGTGGCTGGCAATGCGACCACGAGTGTGGATTCACGGGGGGTCGGTCGCTAGCACAGACTCAGTCCGGTCAGGGAGCTGAGCGCATTCGAACGGCTACCTCATTCCGGACCGGGAGGACGGGGACAAAAGAGGGAAGGAGCAAGGCTGGAGGATGCGGGACGACCAGGGAAAGCCTGTGTCCTGGATCGCGCGGATGAACGGTGAGGCGGGAGATGGGAGGCGGTAGACGGAGTTGGTGGATGAGAGTCGAGACAAGAGTCGTTGTTTTTCGAAAAGAGGGATGCAGCCAGTGAATTGCAGCGGGCACAGGCAGGTCCGAAGGGGCATGGGGTCGATGGCACCTAGTGAACCTGTCGGCGGAAGGCGGGTGGGGTGGGCTTGAGGTCTAGGTACATGGGGATTGGGTGGATACGGGCCAAGATCGCCACGTTAGGGGCACGCCAAGCAGGTACTGCTACATGACCGGCCTCTGCCGTTTGGTTTGAGATGGCACCTCCTGTCAGGAGGAAGGGGCAGCTGGGGACTCGCTGGGGCTCTTGCTGCGAGGTTCAGCACTTCGGAGGCAGGAGGCACGTCTACATTCGTCCGCTGCACCTGCCGACAGGCACCTGGCCGGTATCCAACCACACACAGGCCATAATGGAGACCTAAACAATGGCACCCGTTCCCTTACCCGGAAATCCACCGCCGCCCGGCTACCTACCTCACATCGCAATCCGTATCAAACTCCATGCCTCTTCTATTTCGAATCGAGTTGCCGTGGCGCTGTGCATTTGCATTGTCCCACGAACTGCACACGTCACCGCCTTCGTTTCCTTCTCACCGGACCGCCAGCCATGAACCGCGATGTATTATTGCGTCCTCGGCCGTGTTCGCGCCGCGTGCCCAGCCTCTGTCTCAACGCGTTCGCGGGTTCAGTCTATTAGCCATGCCCACGACGGGCAGCGGTGGCGACAGGGGTTGAATTCGCATCGCAGTGGAGACTGAAGACGAGGACAAAGCTCACGGCGAACGCGAACTCGATTTCGCGAATTGGTTGACGCATCAACAGATGGCGAGAAGATACATGGCATGGGCACGGGCACGAGCCCGGCTCGACTTCTCAGGACCATGCCCAATGCTCACATCATGCCCTGCCTAGGTTGCCCTGTACATTAGAACCAGCGTCTCGAAAATGACAGGTGCCCAATTCGACGCCGCCGGTTTCGAGACCAGGATGAGATTTCTCCTTTTGGTGGACGGCACAGAGAGACTACCTTCGACTAGTAGGACGGGCCCCATCAACGGGCCCCGTCCTCCAACCTCCAGAGTGGTCCGTTCTCCACCGGGGTCCAGGGGAACGAAGTGTGTTTGGTTCTCGGCCATTGTTTTCGTAAAAGTTTACTGAACGCAGGGTTGGGTTTGGATTCCTCATGCTCCGCGAGCATCGCCCAGAGGAAGCGTGTCGGCTGAAGTATCGCGATGAGAGCGTAGGTGAGCTGCCAAGGGCAGTTGCATCTTCCTCTCGCCCTGGTCCAATCAATCAAGCAATGGTTGCCCTTGTCGCGTTGTTGTCATGGCAAAGGAGCGCATCTTGCTTTGTTGCCACTTGTCGGATCCAGTAGAGTGCAGCGCCATGGTGTCCCCGGACTGTCGTGGGTGCCTTTCCCCTCAAGTGCGGTTGCTATTCGTTGAAGGCCATGCACGCGGTGCGTCGATGCAATGCAGGAGAGAGATGGCCCAATGTGAGAGCCTCTAACGTCAGGGGGCAACCTCACCGCGTGCGTCGTCGCCTACTAGACGCTCACTCCTGCATGTCGAATCTAGCTGTTTGGCGGTGCAGGCCTCCTTTCAATTTCCAAGGAAGAAAAGAACAGGGGCCATATCGGAAGTGGCATCGTCATTTGAGGTTGGTACCTCGGATAATGCCATACCGTGGCATTTTCAGGTTGTGTTGTGTTGCTCAACTTGGGCCTGCCCACTTGCCGATCCGGAATTTGCGATGTCGCTGGGCATCTGGGTTGCCGGATGTGAGATTAGACACTAACAGGATGTCAATGCACCCGATGAGCCGTCTCGGAAGCGTACGCCGCTGTCTTGGGCTAGGGAGATGCTCGGGTTATAAGGAAATGACTTTTGGTGTGTGCGTTGGGGACAAGGTCTTACACGTTGTTAGTGCTGGAGCGCTAACTTGCCAAAATGGCAATATATCACCGTGCATCTTCACGAATGTCCGAAAGAAGTATACGAGTCTGTACAACAGAACACCCGAGAGGCCATCTACTCTACGCAATACGGAGCAGTTAACGAGCGATATCGACAAGCCATCAATCTATTCGGAACGCTTCTCGAGCTGCAAGCCGCTGCGGGCCGCCCTGCGCTACTGGAAAGCCTGGGTGGTAACTGGAACCTTAGCCTTGCGTGATCTGTGGTGTGGCTGTGGCTGAGGTCGCCTGGCCGCCTGGTCGCGGCAGTGATGTCAGCGCAGCGGAACGAGTGTCACATGCCACCTTTAAACGTCCCACGTCGAACCTCCACATCCATAATCGACGTTGCACCATGTCTTGAATTCCGCCGACGTGTCCGTCACGTCCCTTCCCGCCGCGATGGACGATTTCACTGCTGAGCTCCTGGCCTCCGGGCAGGACTTCGACTCCCCCAGGACCCCCGAGCGGTCCCGCGACATTGACGAGTCGCCGAGATCCGACCCCGATCCGGATCGTCCGGTTACGCCGCCGCACAGAACCGGTTTGCGCGGCGGGATTGCTGCCATCAGGGAGAAGGCAAGCTTGCAGGACCGTCTGGTAGAGAAGTTTGCCGCCTCTGCTCCGTCGCTGCGTTGTATATCCTGAGCTAGGTATTGACCAGGTGCAAACAGACTCCTCCAGCAAGTCGTGCCAGCCGACGATGATGGCTCCCTCGATGGCTCAGTCGCCGGTGACGACTGGCCGCCGTCTACCAATGCTGAGCGGCCCAACTTCAACATCACTACCATGTCCTACAACTTCCGCCGCTTCAACGCCCGCATCGGCGTCGTCTTCAAGTTCCAGGCCCGCGTCGAGCGCATCCTCTCCTGGCACCGAGTCTCGCACACTCTCTCCCTCCTTGCAGTCTACACCTTCGTCTGCCTCGATCCGTACCTCCTCTGCGTCCTTCCCATAGCGGTCCTCCTCCTCGGCGTCTTCATCCCCGCATTCCTGGCCCGGCACCCCGCACCGCCCAAGGGCACCTTGTCCAGCCATCAAAATGTGGGATACTCCCCTCGCGGACCGCCGCTGGCGCCTGCAGCGACGGTGCGCCCTGTCAAGGAGCTCAGCAAGGACTTCTTTCGTAATATGCGCGACCTGCAGAACTGTATGGACGACTTCAGTCAGGGACATGACAAGGTGGTTGCACTGATGGTGCCCGTGACCAACTTCAGCGACGAGTCTCTGAGCTCCGCCCTGTTCCTGTTCCTCTCAGCTGGGGCTCTCTTCATGACCATTGCCGCGCATCTGCTCCCTTGGAGACTTCTCTTCCTTCTGGGCGGCTGGGCTGTCGTCGGTATGGGGCACCCGACGATCGCGCGCCTGCTCTCTATCGCACACAAGGAACGTCTACAGCCACAAGAAGCCAAGGCCAAGACGTGGCTCGACAACTGGATTGCGAAGGATGTTATCCTAGACTCGAGTCCAGAGACGCGCGAAGTTGAGATCTTTGAGCTGCAGCGCATGTCTGGCGCCGGCGAGTGGGAGCCCTGGCTATTCTCGCCCTCGCCATATGACCCCCTCTCCCAGCGTCGCATCTCCGGGGACCGGCCCCGGGGCACCCGCTTCTTTGAGGACGTCCTGGCCCCCGAGGCCTGGGAGTGGAGCGAGAAGAAATGGGCGCTCGACCTCTGGAGCCGTGAGTGGGTGGAAGAGCGCATCATCACGGGTGTCGAGGTAGAGACCGAGGGAGAACGCTGGGTCTACGACATCTTTGACGAACGTCATGACCGCACAGGCGTCATCGACGCTGCCGCCGACAAGGGGAAGCTGCGGGCTTATGCCTCGCGGCCGAGCTGGGAGGAGGGTGAGGATGGAAGTGGCAGAAGAGGAGATTGGAGACGGCGGAGATGGGTGCGGCTTGTGAAGCGTAGGGTGACAGAACCGTTAATAAACTGAAACAGGGCATCTAGTGGTGCGTAATTTGTTTCCGGCTTTTACGGCTGAGCCTGTTGCTCTATGAAATCATGGCGTTTACGGTCGGGTGGAAAATGTTTGGATGGGACCTGGTGAAGGACATGTAGGGGAGTAACGAGCAGCTAAGTTTCATCCATGAATTTTATGAAGACGAGGTAAATTCGGTGCGGTTTTAGCGACACGCCACCGAGCGCTCAAATAATACAATCATCTAAATGTAACAATTTGTTTGTTGATATCGCCCCGCCTTACATCCCCCGCAAGCCCAAGAGAAGCCGGCAAAGTGGTATCAACTCGAGAAATTGCCCGGAACTGTGGAATCAAAGATTATTAGTTCCCGGGACGCTAGCTAGATCATTCTATATGCGCTCCGCTCGTGACACGTTAAATCCGATTAATAAAGGAGTAAAAACACGGGGTCTTCCCAACCCCAGCCACCCTTGCAAGGCCATTTCCTGGCGGATTGTTAAGGAGAAGCTCCAAGGACGCTCAGGTGACAACCATCTTATCCAAGATCTTCTGGATGCCCTTGGTGAGGCCTTGGCCTTGGTCGATCTCCTCAGCCAACTTGCGAGCGCGCTCGATGAGGACGGTTAGGACATTCCTGGTGTACTCAAAGGTGCCAGTGGATTCCATGTAGGCGACGGCGTAACGCTTAACCTGGGTGTCGGAGGTCTTTTGTTTGAGGATGCTAACAAGCTGGAGGTTGGAAGGGTTGGAGCGGATGCTGTGGATGACTGGGAAAGAAAACTTTCCTTCTGTCAGGTCCTCGCACATGCCCTTGTTGTGGCTGTACTCCTTGGAGGAGAGGTTCATGTAGTCATCTCGGATCTGGAAGATGAGGCCGATGAGGTTGACGAGGGGCACGCAGTCGATAGTAGAGGCGGACTGGGCTTGCATGAGCTTGATGCCGAGGCGGAAGAGTCCGCCTGTCTTGTTGCCAACCATTTCGAGGTAGTCCTCCTCAGTGGGGCAGGTGAGGGTATCTCGCCAGAAGAGGTCCATTCCCTGGCCCCGATGGAGGTTGACGAGCTCCTCGGCGAACATGGTGATAGCTTCTGGATTGTTGAGTTTTTGTAGCTCCTGGAGCGCAGTAAAGTATATGTAGTTGGCGGAATTGATGGTCTGGGCGACGCCGAAGATGTTGTGGGCGACAGGAAAGCCGCGGCGCAGCTCGGACGAGTCTTGGACGTCATCAACGAGGAGAGAAGACTCGTGAAGCATGCCAACAGCGCGGGTGATAATCTCGAGGCTGTCCGCGGGGACGTCGAGCCAGGCATTGAAGGCGCCAATCAGCTGGGCGCGGAAGTCCTTGCCAGGATGGCTTATGACATAGTCAAAGGGGCCGCGCACGACCTTCTCCTTCTCCTCGGTCCAGGAGCGCTGAGCTGTGAAGTTGAGGTCCTCGTGGGCATATCGCTCTGGGTTGGGGGGCTGGTTTGGGGGCTGCATCATGGCGAGGCCCAATGTCGTAGCTAGTTTCGCAGGGCGCAGTTTCGGGCTGATCCATTCGCCTTCGGGAACGGGGCGATGGATAGATTTCGGTGGAGGTGTTGTGACGGTGGCAGCGCTGGAGCTGGAGGTGCGAGGGGGTATGGCTTTGGGGGAGACATGCGGGTTGGAGGGCATCTTCTCCGTTTCTGTTACCGGCATGGACAACATGTTGGCGATGGAGAAGGGTTCGGGGGCCTGGTTGGGGATCATGGAGGCGTGATGTTGGAATGGATCTCGAAGGAGAGCAGCAAGTGCGCAGGAGGATTCGAGGGGGAAGTCGAGAAGAGACGAGGATGATTCGAAGAGGATTCGAGGAGGATTCGAGGAGAGATTCAAGCCCTCTGGTTGGATGGATGCCTGCTCCTGGTGGTGGTTTGGCTGGAAAAGGCAGCTTTCACAAGCTGGCTTCAAGGACACAAAATAGGTTGGAGAAGTGCGATTTGCGACGCCGTTGATGGGAGGGTCGGTTCGGTACCTGTCGCAATATATGTCATTGAGTGCACAGCACAAATGAGGAGTCCGAGTCTGCCTGGTGCGCAAGCGAGCATGCGGGCGAAGGCGAAAGCGAAGGCATAAAAGCCATTGTCATGTGCAAGTTTCTTGTGGATTGGGGGGGGGGGGGGGGGATCTTCGGAGGGGAAAGGTGGGCTAGCTGGCAGTGCAGCAGTGCAGCAGACTAGAGGAACCCTACGCACTACGTAGTTGGTAGGACTGTGGGATTACGGGCGGCGGGCAGCGGGCAGCGGGCCAGGTAGGTAGCTTCAGGGCTGTCGCAAGCGCTAATAAGCGGAGCTAGCGCAGATGCCTGGGATGCAATGTGGGGGAGACATCGGGTTTCGACGCCCAAACGGAGGATTCGAGACCCTTTGGCGGCTTCAAAGCGGCCGGACGGTCTATATGGCGCCGGTTACTGACCTCGAGATGATGACGGTGGCTTTTCCGGGCGCCCAGAGAAGACAGCGGGAGCCAGCTGGCGAGACCAAGAATCTGCAGTGCCAAATGCTATTTAGCCAGATCCTGAGCAGGATGATGCGGTTGGAATGGGATTGGGTTGGGTTGGCGACGCTGAGCTGTCATCTGCAGCTACGATAGCGATGACGTTCACCCGAACTGCCTCGCACATGGGAGGGGTTCATCAAGCAGCCAGCAGCAATCATGCCGCATGGGATAGGCCACGGAGGCCGTGGGAAGCGGGTCGCGTCCTCGCTTTCATGCAGCTCAACAGCGGGCCTCTCACGTTGTGGATGGACCGGCCGGCGTGACCTCCGCGACCTCCGCTGCCTCCGGCGTTGTTGCATCTGCCGAATCGGGTCGCGGATAAGGAATAGCGAGGCCACAACGGCTTCACGGTGGAGTTGGGAGTTGAGAGTTGGGAGTTGGGAGTTGGGTATGGCGAGGACGGCGCATCTTACCTTTGCAGGGGGAATCAGTTTCCGGAGCGAGTTCGTTCTGTGACGGACGCTTTCGAGCAAAGCTTGTTTTGACGCAGCGACAGTCGGAGGCCGTTTCAAGGAGAGAAGACGGACGACGAGCAATAATGGTGTTCGAAGAAGGACTAATAAGGGGCGACCGTTTGATGACCTGGGCAGCGGCTGGGAATGGGAAATTTATCCATGACCCTCGTGTCCATGGGGGGGCTTTAATATGTTGAGGCAGAGCTGATCCCATCCATCCATCATTGGGGGAAACCACACCACCTCAGCCCACCGGCGGCGCTGCCTTTCGATTCCGGATGCTGTTTCGTCATGTCAACCTGGAGCTTTGGAAGCTTCACCCAGCACTGCCTTGCGTAGTCTTGCGTGGCCCTGCTTCGCCTGCATCGTCTCGGGTGTTGTTGGCGTGCCTCACTGCCACTTCCATGGTGGTTGGCCGTTGCTGTACGAAGGAGAAGAGCAGGGTTCGCGGCGGACTAGTTCGAACTCAACAAAGCCCTAAGTATTCCGTACTTCGTACTTCGTACCTCGCACAGGACACACACTTTCACATGTATTCTTGCTCTTGTTCATTCCGCGTGGCCGCTGCAAGCTTTCGGCGCATTCCCTGTCATCCCCCCTTTGGGTTGGGGCCGTTGATCAGTTGCCCAATCTGCGAACCTGCAGCGCCCCCGGTCAGATCCCACTAAGCCCGTCCTAGCTGCAGCGCGTCCTGGGCTGGTCGGGGTCCTAAACCGCCAGATCTCTCAGACTCTCAGGCGACTCCAGGTCACATTCCAGCGCATCACGTCGCCATCCCCGGTGAAACCTCCACAGTCAGACAGGCCTGACAGCACGTCCCCACTAAAACGTTGGCGGGGATAGCGGATGGCCGGGGGGGTTAATTAGGTGGGCTGCTGGAATTCGGGGCCTTCAGAAGTTCAGCCCAGGCGTCTGGAAGCCCACGCTGAGCGCTGGAAGAAGAAGCTTGACACCATTGGCGCTAACACTGGTTGCCCGGTGACTCGCATTGCACGCACCTTGCGATGCACTTACAACGCCCGCCAGCAACATAAACTCTCGATCCTCTCCAGTCCGTAACGATTGTTTGGGCTCGGCCACTCTATCGCTGCTTGATACCCAATGTTTTTCTCTTCTTCGCTTTTCTTGTATTAACACCATTCGCTCTGCAGCACAAGTCGGTCTCTTCTGCCTCATCCCTCCGTGTCCTGATTACCTTGTCGTCCGTCCTCGTCCTGGCTGTTTTTGTCGTCACTCGTTATCGTGGTAAACAAACCCACCACTAGAACGACGACAACCACAACGACAGCCACACACAACCACCCGCCCTCCCACTCCCTCCCACACACACACGTCACCATGATGGAGTCACTATTGTCGCTCGCATTCGACAACCTGTCGTCCTACGACGGCCCCAAGGTCCGCAAGGGTCTGCGCCAGGTCGAGGGCCTACTCGCCCAGATCTGCCTGTCCAACCCGCGCAACGACCGCACGAAGGGTGGCAGAGACCCCGATAAGGACGACTCCGAAGCTTCGCCCGCGCGCAACAAGGACCTCGCGCAGCTGGGTCAGGACCCCGCATTCCGCGAATTCTTTAAGCTGCAGGAGGGCTTCGAGTGGAACGTTGCCATGCGCTTGATTGGCACCCTCGACCGACTCATGGCCAAGGGAAGCGATGGCCAGAATGACCTCTTGATCCTCAGCGCTCTCGATCTCATCCAGGGCGCTCTGCTGCTGCACCCTCCTAGCAAGTCGTTGTTCAGCCGGGAACAGAACATGAACGTACGTATAGATTTGGGATTGCCATTGTGTTATCCAATTCAACTTGACTCAATCGACTCTTTGACTAACATTCCCTCCATAGCTTCTCCTCGACCTCCTCGAGCCCTTCAACTGTCCAGCGATCCAATCCGCAACCCTCCTAACTCTCGTCACGGCCCTTATCGACACTCCCCGAAACACACGCACCTTCGAGGACCTAGACGGCCTCCTCACTGTCACCTCTCTCTTCAAGTCGCGCTCTACCGCCCGCGAAGTTAAGCTCAAACTCGTCGAGTTCCTCTACTTTTATCTTATGCCTGAGATGCCTTCGATCCCCCGTGCCGACCAGCGCGACTCTGTCCCAGGTATGCTCCAGCGCAGCCCCAGCAAGCTAGCTGGTGCCTTCGCCGCCGAGTCCCGTCGGAAGCGCTCCGGCTCTGTCGACGGCGAGATCACCCTCACTACCGAGGAGAAGCAGGAACTGCTAAGCCAGCACCTGAGCAGCGTTGAGGACCTTGTCAAGGACCTCCGGACCTGTGCCCCCTTTGGAGGTGTTGTTTGTTAAAGTCGCCCAAGTGCCAAGAAGGAGTTTGATCGTTATGACTGTCGTTCGTGTTTTGTTTCCTTTTCCTCTTCGGACCACCTGGCCTCGGCGTTTTACGGAATTACGGTGGTATTTTCCTCTGTTTTTTTTTTGCATGGAGTTCTGAGCAAAGTCGGCCCTCATAATTGTCTCTTATGTACGGATGTCTTCTCAATGAGAGAATTTGGATGGTTGTTCATCGTTGAACAGGATATTAGGCGTTGCTAGTAAAATAGACGACCGAACGCAAATGATTTATTTCGCATGATTTCATTGCTCCGCGCGTCGAGCTGGTTCAATCACGGGACTCTCCTGAGGTGTTGGGACGATGGATAACGGACGCTCCGAATGGATCCTGTCGGAGCCATATAGCTCGTAGCGACCTTGGACAATCTCGGATTGCGGCGTCGGGGCGACGCTGGAGTTCGTCATGGGTGACAGGTACCCATTCTCAGGAGCAGGATCCTTGGCCGTCGAGTCGATCTCCACTGGCGCTGTGATATCCCCAGGGTTCTGAGGCCTCGTGGGCACTGCGCGGGCATTACCAGGCGACGTCCCCGCCGAAGTGACCGTCTCCGTAAATGGGCCGTTGACGGCGGCCGGCCCGAAGTAGTCCTGGGTCAGACCTTGACGGACCCGGCTGTTATCGGTGCCCGAAATGTCCGTCATGGCGTCTATCGGGACACTCTCCTGACCGTCGCCGGAGCCCTCGATTCCGGCCGAATGGCGGCTCAGGGTGCGCTGGCGATGGCGGCGCTTCGAGATGCAGAGCCAAGTCAGGGCACCGACGATGATGCTGGTGCCGACAACAGCGCCGACGCCGATGCCCGCTTTGGCGCCGGTGGACAGGCCGCTGTCGGCGCCGGGATCGGGGATGACGGAGATGGACTCGGACGGGATCCCGGAGACGCAGTAGCCGGTGTTGCTGACTTCAGTGCACTGCTGCCCGTCATTGCAACACCCGCTGCCATCGGCGCACTTGTGCTGGGACGTGGTGCAACCCTCGTCGATGGGCGTGAGCAGGGCCGACGACTTGGTTGCCGACTTGGTCGAGACGCATCGGCCGCCTTCGCGACACTCGGCCCCGTAGGAGCAGCAGTTTCCGCCGAGGCTGCTCGGGCACAGATAGAGGCTGGTCCCGGGGCACTTGCGGTTGCAACATCCCTCTTGCGCCAACGGGGTGCCGCTGGCGGTGACGGTGCGGGTGCAGAAGAAGGCCGTCGACTTGCAGTCGGAGTCGCCGGTGCAGTTGGATCCGATGGGGCAGCACCTGGCATTGCCCTCGGTGTTGACATAGCAGTAGCTGTCGTCCTCGCAGCACTCGTCGCCGAATCCTATATCGAGGCCTGTGTGCGACCGAGGTTAGAGGGCGCTGGGATAGGGCTGTGGTGGGCCTGACTTACAGCTGTGGTGGTTGTCGCCGCAATCGACGCCGGCGCGTTTTGCAAGCGGATGTGACTTGTCGAGGAAGAAGCGCGGCATCAGGCCGTTCGGGGCAATTGGGAGCGAGCCATATCGCTCGAGGAGCTGGGCGGTGGCTAGCCCGAGGGTGAGGAAGTAGGCTGGGAGGAAGAGGCGCATCGTGAAGCCGTGAGACGTTTTTGTTCAGTCAATGGACGGCGGCGGCGGCGGCGGATCAATCAGATCGTCGTCATTGTCACCTTGCGCCTGTAGTCTTGTAGCTTCTCACGAGGCGAACAAAGAAGCGCGCTCTTACAGCTGGGTGTTGTTGAGATGGGCGACGATTGCACAGTAGGGAAGACGGAGAGTGAGCGTGAGCGAGAGCGAGAGCGAGAGTGAGAGTGAGAGTGAGAAGAATAGACGCAGACCGACAGCGAAGAGAAGCCTCGCGTGGTCTGGAACCCATGATCCATGCATGTCAGATTGAACGAGGCTGGCTGGGGTAGGGCTGCTGCTCCGCCTCTGTTCTTTGTGTGCGCTCTTACTGTACTGTGTGTACTATAGCGGTATGCAGTGCGACTGCATCTGAGATGCTTCAGCACCTCGTTACATACCTACCTAATAAGTCTTAATAATTAACTAAGTTAGGTAGAGACCCTGGTCCTGTCCAGATCAACGTGGCAGAGGCTGGCGAGACAAGATGGCGGCTGGCGCCATGGCATTGGCTGCTCCCAACCAGATGGATCATGGGCACATCGTGGATCGTAGTGCCGATGCAGCCGCAATCGCAGTCCCTCTTTGTTCCGCGGACCCTGCGTCGAGATAATTCGAGACCGTGGCACTTTGTACTGGCTACTTAATCCGGACTCGACCTAGAGCTGTTCTTGTTGGCAGCGATGACGCTGGAGCCAGTCACCATGACATTACAATGCCGTCTTCATTGGCACTCGTTCGTTCCCCGAGAGTGGAATAAACCGGCACTTTCGCTTCCCTTTGCGGACCCTTCCGCCGTTCCTCCACGGCGATGCAGCCTGTTTCTATTTAGGCTGTACGGGGATGGGCCGCGTGCAAGGATATTGCTGTTGTGATGACCCTGTGGCTGGGCGTTGATGGACCTTCAAGGGTCCACCTGTTCGCCATCAGTCATTAATCTTTAATATTGAATTGCATTGCATAGTAAGCGGGTCGAAGTAGTGCTCCAAACAGGGTGGTAGCATATGCCGTGTTACAGAGACAAATGTGCTGGATCCAACCTTTAGAGGGCTGCTGGTCAATCGATTGGGGCTTGGGTGGGTATCTCGTCACAGCTTACACGCTTCACCACCAAGGTGACATCACCGTTCCAGAGTAACAAGACAATTTAACAGGCACGCCACTCGCGAATCAAATGAATAAATCATCTATGACTCTACAAGGTCTCATATTTACTATCGACAGGTAGGATACAACGTCATCCAGCCCAGGTGAAACCATCCCAAGATACCGCAAGTTTGGATCCATTCCATCATGTCAACAATCCACTATAGTTCATCATATGGCGGGTCTCCAAAACCGCAGTTAAGCATGTCTACCTGGGTGGCATTTGCGTCTATACGGCCGAGCTTCTCCGCCTTTCCATTTGTGAGAGTGTTCATGCCCTCCAGGGAGAGGACAAAGCCGGAACCCGCGCCATCGATAGCAAGGAACGGTCTAGCCCTGTCTTCGTACTCAATTATCCAACAAGTGACACATGCGGCAGATTTCGGGCCGGTGATAGTATCCATAGCGAGGATCCTGGGGATATTGCCCTGCGTCTGCCACTCGTTGTAACCGGGCTTCAAGCCAAACTCCTCGTTCCAGCATGCGACTTTGGAAAGGGGGCGCTTGGCATCGTCATAGATGATATTGTACGTCACTGTTACACATGTAAGCGGTGCTTCGTGAGAAGAGGTTAATGGAGACTCACCGGAGACCGCCAATGTTGGCGCGAGGAGGGTTGCGGTGCTGAAGAGGTTGGAGAAGTGCATCGTGAGAGGAGACGTGAGAATTAATTTTAGACAGGATGATGTCGGTATTAGGTGATGCAAGTGCTAGATAGTTGTTCGTTGGTATTGAAGAGCAAGACGGAGCTAAAGCATAGAGTCGGGATGGAGATGATCGAGGAGGAGCAAGGTGGAGATGAACGGAACGGGCCCACGGAGATGCTTCTGTTTATAATACCCATAGCGTACTCGTGTCATCATGTGGTATTCGTTGATTGGCCAGCGTCTCGTTCGATATAATGTGTCAAACCAACACCCATGTGACTGTTTCCAACAATGTGCCTCAAGTTACCAGGGGCTGCAAGGCAGTAGTATAGTTGGCAGCGGCCACAGCTTGAGTGTACACACCAGGACGTTGGTCAGCACTTCTTCAACCCAGAATAGACAAAAGTCGGATCACCTCATATAATAAATACTTGCTGGTTTACTCATCATTTTCTAGATTACGTGAAGCTTCGAATATGACAAAGTAGAGCGAGTGATCTGGACCCCGCGCAATGCGTTGCCGAGTTGACACTAAGCGAAGTGTTGGTCAACACGAGCCTACGCCGCTGGGGCAGAATGGAATAAATCCTATTGGGCGCATCAAAATCAGGTGGGTGAGGCGCATTAAGCAGGGATGGCATCTAATAGCAATACGAGACCCGAATTCAGAAACGCCCGGGAGAGGTAAGAGTCTCCAACATTTTTCTTAACTGGACTAATGGTATATATAGTGTGGGAGCCATTAAACAGCAACGCTTCTGTACATACAAATTGGCCCTTATGTTGCACACTGGTAGTAGATAGACAACTTCCATAGATGGTAAGAGGAAGGGGTACGATATTGAGATTAATGATGCATTATTCTTGGGACTACAGGTATTCTGAACATCAGTGTGGGACCACTCGACGAAGCTAGTAAATCGTTGCCTGGGTATTGTACCCAGGTAGGACCAACAAATACCGCAGGTAGTCGGAAACGGGTAAACAATTACAGACCAACAACATCAACCTGCTGTAGCATAGGAACACCAGAGGTCCCCACAAGAGTGCTAACAAGGCATCGAGGTTCTTTTCCTCTTTCATGAGGCGAATTCGGCAGGCGAGCATGAAAGGTTTTGGTGAATCTGAGTGGTTGTTCAAGTGTGCCACAAGTAGGGATGAAGTTATAAAGCCGTCCGGGTTTCCAACTTGATGTAGATTACCTTCCCCCTTCCTCCTCCATCTTAGACATCTTACGTTTGAGGTGAGCAAACATCTTTCTCCATCTATCTTCGTCTCAAAATTTGGTGTTAGTATAATCGCTCGACCTGGGAGGATTGTGGCAGGATATACTTGGACCTATGGGTGTGTAAGGGTTTGTGCGAAGCTATTCTTGAGCAACTGCGGCTGTTGGAGATTTCACAACGTATGAACAGCAGGCATGGATAGTAGGATGACTACTGTGGTAGAAAGGTATATGAATAGAATAGCGTTCCTCTATATTCCCTGCCAGTTTTATTTAAAAAAAAAACACATCATCCGTGAAATGGATTTGGTTCATTCTTAATTACGGATTAGGCACTTGGCCAGGCCACCCCCAATCGACTTACACGTACTTCACCACGAACACAACAGCATAATTTGGTTCAACGCACTTTTATTCCTATCCTTGCTAACTTCGAAATCACTCCCAGATTTTCCCACCAGGTCCCCCAGCCCCTCCTTACGGCCGAGTGACTCCCCGCTCTGCACAGTACTTGTCCACTTCCTTGCGCAGCGTTTCCTGCTGCCGCAGAGCCGCATCCATGATATCCTCGCACACCTTGCCCAACCCACGAGAGTCGGCCGTCTTGCCCGCCCCGTCGACGCTGACCATCTCTTTTAGCACCGCCTCCAGTTGGTTGGGCAGCCAGGTCACAATGGGGCTGCCGCCCGTGGCAGTCGGGTGCGACGTGCGCTTCAGGATGTACTCGCGCGCAAAGCACCAGTGGCGCCAGCGGAAGTCGCGCACCTGGTTGAGGATCTGCAGCCACAAGCTGATGGACTCGCGGCGCAGGTCACGCTCCTCGTCGGACCCGTTGATAGAGTGGCGGCCCAGCGCGTAGTTCTTCAGGTCCAGCTCCAGCGAGCGCTCCTTGACGTGCAGCAGGAAGCCCTTGTGGTTGCTGGGCCGGTACTCGCGGAAGTCGCGCAGGATCTCCGTCAGTGGCGTGTTGGGCATGGGAACCTGGAGGAGGTTGTCCATGAGCGGCACGATGGAGTCGTTGGCGCCGCTCTCGCCGCGGAAGGACATGGGCTTGTTGTCGTTGATGCCCTCGTACACCACGCCGTCGGGGAACATAGACTGCGACGTGATGCCGAAGATGAAGGTACGGAAGCTGGTGTACTCCATCGGCTTCGACTTGGACCACATAGTCTCCATGACGCTGTTGATCTTCGTCAGAGCACCTAGGATCATCGACATGCCCTCATTAAAGTTGGTGCGTCGTGCTACGGGGTTGGTGTTGGAGGTGTCAGAGGCAGCATCCAGCGCCTTGACGGTCCCCCCCACCAATGGGCCGGAGTTCTTGACCATGTCAATGTGCACGAGGACGAAGCCGGCCTCTGATGAAGTAGGGTTCAGGCCATTCTCAAAGGCTCTGATCAACCGAAGGTTGGAGTACTCCATGCCGGCAGCAGGGTCGACCAGGCGGTAGTTGAACAGGGCGTATGAGCCAGCATACTCCATGAAGGGCTTGAAGCCACAGCTAGGATGTGTTAGGCCCATTGATCTTGCATAGCACAGACAAATATGGGAGACTTACATCTCAGCACATCGAGCGATAGGATGCGCGATCTGGGCAGGCAAGACCTGTCGACCAAGGCCATAGGGCTCGCCCTTGATGAACCGGTGATGACAAGGCTCAAGCAAGTAGGCCGATGCAAGGAATGAGTAGTCACGGTACAAGGCATTCTGAAGGGGGAGGTTATCCTTGTACAAGTCGACGGCTTCGGTCAGGTTGGGTAGCTCGTTATCAACCACCTCGCCGAGCTTGTACTGGGCAAGTAGACCAGGTTCCCCTGAGGCCGTCGTGACAGGCATCCGTTGGAGGATATCCTCAAAGGCATCAAACTCCTTTGGCAGGGTCACGATAGGGTCCATTCGAGGAAGAAATCCCCTTGTCGTGGACACCATAAAGGCTGGAAGGGTCGTGTCGTCCGGACGAGTGTCGTCCAGGACACGGAAAGGGGGAGTGCTACCAAGAGAACCCATGTTGTCAAGGCAGGAGGAGAGGTAAATGGATATCGAAAAAGAAACGAAGTGTGATTGTTGTTGTGCGAGTTGTGGTTGTGATGGTCTCTGGTTTCCTGTTCAAACTCTGGGATCTCGTCGCCGCCTAAGTACCCTGTGGCCGGAATCGATTCCGGCCACGCAGGCGGGGATGCGATGAGGGCGAACAGCGCCATCGGCACTTGTTATCTTGCCTAAGCACGTTTGAAGCAGGTCACGAGCACCTATCTCCCGTGAAACGTAACAGAAATGCAGTCGATAGCCCGGGACTGCCGTGCATCGCTGCGGGCGCTCGTATCATGACAAACGCAAACGGTGTTGAGGGCATCGTGGTTCAGGAGTCGGCATATTGGGATGGTTAGTTGTAGGTTTCGCTTTACATGTCTTTAAAACCGGCCTAGATTGCGGATATCGACCTAGAAATAGGGGTTAGTATAAACATCAACGACGGCAATCGCGAGCTAAAGTCGTCGCCGATGCTCAAAAGAAGGCGGCGGTGATGATGTTGGGTCGCTGATTGTGAAATTGTGGTGGGTGGCCGGCGCACTTAAAGGATCTGGCCCCACTTGGTGCCGAATCTGACCGGCCACCGGTGGGTCTAGTGGCCGGAATGGTTCCGGCCACAACACCACACCGGCGCCGGGCCAGTCCACGGCCTCATATTCGAGATCAATGCGGCAATATTGGAGCCGGCCGGAAGAGATCTGGATTGCGTTTATCTGGGGGAGGGTCCGGCCTCGGGCTGCCCGCGTCTGCCCCCTGCTACAAGTCACCAGGTCAAGCCAAACAGAAGGAAGCAATTTGTCGTTGAGCGGTCCAATCTCATTCCTATCGTTATTCCTTCGTACGTAACCGTTTCCATGCCCCTGCTACCCAAGCCGTAATATTCACAAATGCGGTTGCAGCAACCGAATCCAATCCTTCCCCCACTCAGAACGTCCCCTCCCCCACACTGGTCGTCGGCTTTGATAAGGTCTTGAAGCCGCTGAGCGGAGCTCCGTCGGCAGTTGTGTTTGAATTGAGAACCCTCATCACCGGCGTGCGCATCGACGGTGTCTCTGACGTGTCTCCGATCTTCAGGTTAGGTGTTGCCGTCGTATTGGTCATCAACCCTGCACCCAACGGAGTTTTGACGCTAGGTAGAGGGAGGTAAAGAAACCTTGTGCGTGTCGTTGTCATGGTCACAGTAGACTCCCTCGTGTTGGTCGATGTTAACACTGTAGTGCTGAACTGCTGGAATTCCTCAAAGGCAGTTTGTTCCGCTGATGCCGATCCCGCCCCCAGAACCACGTCCATAGGTGCAGGGAGGGATGCTGGAGTTGTGATCTGAGGTGAACCTTCGGCCCCGGCCATGGTACTCGAAGTTCGAACGCCCTGATTAAGGTCTGACAGAATCGGAGGGGTCATCGCCGAGGAGACCTGTTCTAGAGCATCTATAGTGGCACTGGTCCCTGTTGCGCAGTTATAATCTCGACGGAGAGGGTTAGGATCACTTACCTGGCGTGCGGCTTGGCAGTGAGTGACCCCAGCGCTGGGGTCTTCTGTCTGCTCTGTCGAATCTTGGGTGGAGCTCAGAGGGTTTGACTCTCCGGGCGTTCCTTGGAGCTTTTCTTCGGTCGGTGCTGTAAAATTCTGGGTAGAGCTGGTGGGCCCGGGTTCTTCGGATGAGTTCTGGAAACCTTCCTCGGCCTGTTCTGTCGAACCCTGCGTAGAGCTGGGGGATCCCGACTCCTTGGGCAAGTCCAACGACACTCCTTCGATTTGCTCTATTAAATCCTGGGCAGAGCTGGTGGGTCCCAACTCTTCAGTCTGTTCTGTCGAAGTCTGGGTGTAGCTGGCGGTCGCCGACTCCTCGGGTAGGTCCAACGGCTCTTCGGTCAACTCTACGGACCCTTCTGTTGAACTTTGGGTAGAGCTCGCTGACCCCGACTCTTCGGGTGAGTCCAACGACTCCTCGGGTAAATCCAACGACTCTTCGGGCAAGTCTAAGGACTCTTCGTCGATCTCTGCTGTTGAGCTTTGGGCAGGGTTGACTGATGCTGACTGCCCAGGTGGCCCTTGGGACTCTGTCTCGGATGTTTCTAAGAAGGCACCACCAACCACCGTGCTTGATGGTGTTTGGGGTTCTTGACTAGATTGTCCAGCTGGGTCGCTCTGGGATTGGCTTTCGGGTTGGGTTGTGGGTGTAGAGGTTTCGGAATCGGATGGCAGCATCCCAGTGACTTTATCTCGAAGAACATCGATCTGGTCCAAAAGGCTGTATAGCTCCATTTCAGGAACTTCAACCATGACCTCCCGTTCCTCAACCAGTCTCCTCACAAGACTCAGTGTTTGATAGAAGGGAGAGTTGCCATCGCGGCGGTTCGTGACGTGCCTCTCCTCGAGCGTCGACTTTGCTGTATGCTCGCTCAGATGTAAGGATGGGACCCCGGATAAGAAAAGAGACCCCTCGACTCCGGGGAGGTCGAGAGGGAAGTGGACGGCGATGGTAAGAAAATGGTGGAGGCGAACCATTGTGTCGAGTTGGAAAAATGGGAAACAATGGGGGATGTCCTACTCTGAGCATTGTGACCCGTCTGCTCGAGTAGATATATCTCTTTCCCAAGATCTTAGACGTCGCATGGAGCAACGCATTCCAGCCATTGTGCCGGCAACGGGCTGCATCACCGTGTCTCATGCCCGTTGTGAGGCAGCGCTTGCTGGTTCAGGTCGCGGACGAGTGCGGTCATTCCATTCCCGCATACCACGCTTGTGATAAGCATCATCCGGGTTTGTAGCAAAGGGACTTGTCGTAGGCGGGGGGATGTGAGCCGCTGATTGAGCGAGTTAGATGCAGTTAAATGGCACGCTGAGAGCGAGTTACGGTGGGCTTATGATGCTAAGTGGTTCAGCCAAGCGTTGTGACGTTGAGCCTGGCCACGCAAAGTGATGATGCGCTTGTGTCGGAAAATCACAGGCTAGGGACGCTGGTGGAATGGATGCGACGAGGTCATGCGACGGAATTTCACGTTGGGATGGTGTTGCACAGGTTTTGTTTTGCCTAGCTGCATCCAACAGGGACGAGGAAGCCCTTGTCGATATCGCACGGGGGCTATCAGTTACGAGGCAGCGTCGTATCTACGATGGAAAATTCAGGTTGAAACCAGAACGAGAGGAGTAGTCTAGTCCACGCCGTGGGCCGATAAATTTCAGCCAGACTCCTCTGTATCCCTAGTTGGCGTTGGCGGGGCGGAAATATAGAAATGCTGCGGGCATGCGGCGGGAGTTCCATGAGAATCGCTGGCAAAGTGCACATAAGCCTCGGTGCAGCTTGGTCACGGCGGCGGGTACATTAGCAGCTCACAGCCAAGGTTCTGGATCGTGACGAAATATGCGCAGTCGAGACTTTTTTGGGGTTTCTGATGAGTGGGTTGGACTACCCGGGATCATCGGGGGGATCGGGTTGGCAGGGGATGCGCTGAGTACTACCGCACGGAGTAAAAAGTAGATGCTGCTGGGGATGGATGATGCGGATGGCTTGCCCAGTCTGCCCGGTGTGCTCGGCTGGTCAGTAGTTCTTACTGGCGGCGGATCTGAGGCCATCCATGGGAGAAGATGCGAGGGGGGCTCCTCTCGTTTCTTTTGGCCCCCTCGCCCAGCGTCAATAGCCCCGTTGCTTTGTTGCCTCCTGCATCCTGGGCGGTCGGTGTTGCGTGGGAGGAGTAGGCAGCGGCATGGCAACAAGATGGCGCCTGTGAAGGCAGAGCGGGCTGACGATGTGTACCGCCTTGGGGCAGCTTTGGTGGATCTAGACCGTCCGTCCCCCATCCACAGTGAGTGATGGATTGGATCAGGATTGGTGATGGATGGGGGATGGATGAGACATGAGACAAGAGACGATGGGCAGTGGGCAGGATTGGCTTGGCCGGGTAGGGCTTGGTTCTGCTCGATTCTCCTTGGTGGGAGATGATGACTCGCGGATGCGGGAGCTGGTGCGGTGCGGTGCTGGGCGAGTTTCCTCCAGGTTCCGTGCTGTGGCGATTGTGATTAATCAGGGAGCGGCCGTCCTGGGTGGTGCGCCTCGGGTCTTGAAATCTTGCACTTCATCAATCAGGTCGGTGAAGTCCGCCACGGCAAACCAGGCAGGGGGCCGCCTCCATCTCGGTTTTCGCTCGCCATTGTCGGCTTAGAAGTCAGGCTGTCACGATAGGCAGCGTGACCGCCCTTCCGCACTACACGGGGAAGTGAGGGAGGGGTTTTCCGTCCGCGTCTCGGTCGCTTTCTCAGACTCTCGCGTGAGCATCCCCAGCCGGGAACGTGGACCATGGATGGACTGGCGCCCAGGGTGGGAGGGAGGGTCCTGTGAATCCCTCCGTTACTGCCCTGTCGTATTGTGTTTTGTGTGTCTTGTTGTCCTGTTGTCCTGTTGTTGTCCCTCAAGCCTGCACGGGAGGAACCATCCTTTGCTCGCCGAGCAGTGCCCCCGTCACTCGCTGTCAGCCCCAGCTCAGCCGCGGTGGGCGACGGTGTCTGATTGACTGCGGGTGGTGATGGAGCCGCAGAAGCAAAGGGTGAGATGAAGAGGGAGAACGGGCGGTTCCCTCATCAAAAGGTACGTACCGCTCAGCCGAAAGGGGCACGCTCAGTGGCTGGCTGGCCTGGTGGACCCTGGACCCAAAGGGTTTCCCGTTGTCGAGGCAGGCCCGGCAGGTACATGCATACACTATGGGAGTTAGTACTATGCGGGTGTAGACCTCCCCAGACGCACTCATAACTGCATAACCTGGCACGCGCTAAGCCGTTCCGGGACACGCGCCCAGCGTCACGTCTGCGCCGCCGGTCTGGTCTGGTCTGGGGATTTTCTGAGTCCCTCTCTGCGTCGGTTGCCAGTGCCAGTGCGAGCACGTACGTACGAACAAGAACCTTTACCAACCGATTTTTGTTGTGCGCCGCCTCCAGGCCCCAAAATGAAAATCACAATGAGACCAAGGCCCCAAAACCTACAAGACACGACGCCCACCCCCGTGCTTCCACTTTTCCCTCATCATCCCCATCCCGATCCCTCCAGCGCTCCATCGCCCTGCTCCCATCACCACGACGCCGCCGTGCAAATCCGCCATGACCATCGCCAACGCCAACTACTAACAAATCTCCCGCTCCGCTCCACGCAAGCCCCCCAAGCCCACCACCCCTGACCACACCGGATCACCAGCCTTAGGCCCTTTGCCGCCTCTCCCGTCACCAGCTCATCCCCAAAAACTCCCGCAGACCGCTGACCCGCGTCCGCCTCTTCCTCCTTCATCATCACCATCGCCTCCCATCATCACCACCTCACCACCAACCCTGCTCGCCGCCTCACCACACTGCCGTAATCAACCCCCGAATCCCTTCGCCTCTGTCGCTGCCGCTGCACCCTACCACCAGCGCCATGGCTCCTCAAGCCAAGTCCACCGACGGCCGTCGCAAGTCTGGCAGCAAGTCTGGCTTGCTCGTCACTCTCAACGTCTCGCCTGCCAAGTTACGCGAGATTTTCGGCCTCGAGCCCCAACCCGTCAAGGAAGAGTCCCCCGAAAAGGACATCAAGGAGAACACCAACTCGCCCGTCCCCGACGCCCCGGCCGCGCAGCCAGCTACTAGTGGTTCCAACGCCGACAATGCGTCCGACTCCAACGCTGCAACTCCAGCCGCCGAAGGCACCAACGGCGAAGGCACTCCTGCGCCGTCTGCCATGGGTCCTCCCACAGATGGCCCCAAGAAGAAGGGCGTCAAGCGATCGGCACCCAATGGCAACGGCACGATCGATGGTGTTCCCAAGCCTCGAGGAAAGCCCGGCCCCAAGAAGAAGCCGCGACTGTAAGTCACCCATCTTCCCTCAGAACCTTGAGAACTTCCCCACCCTGCACGCTTCTTCCTGCCACTGTACCATGGTTCAGTCCAGTTCAATCATGCTGACAATTACATCCAGGGAGGACGGCACGATCGATCACGCCAGCGCCGCCAACCGAGGAGGTGCTGGTCACAAGCTTGGTCCCAAGGCAAACCAGGGTGCCATCAACGCCGGCCTGCGCGCACTCGACCGCTCCGGCAAGCCCTGTCGCAAATGGGCCAAGGGCGGCTTCACTCTCAAGAGCTTTACTGGCGTCGTTTGGGAGATTCCACGCTGGACAGCGCCTCAGAAGAACAGTGTTGAGTCTGGCACCGAGGACTCGACGACGATTCCTTCCGCCGACAGCAGCAGCAAGGAGAACAAGGAGAATGGACAAGAGGGAAACAGCGCCAGCAACAGCAACGTCGCCGGTGACGTTGAGATGCAGAGCGCCCCCAGCATCAACGATTCCTCGCCTGCGCCAATGGCCATCGCTGCGGCTTCATAATGATGAGCCTTCAACCCGGCTTCTTGGCGTCCTCATCTAAGTAGGACTGACCTATTGTATAAGGCCCATGACGGTGTTTCAGCATAACACAGAGTTGGCGCTCGACCCTCTAAAGGGACGAGGCCATTTCTCTCTAGACTCTAGTGCAGAGAGAGGGCGTCTGGTTTGGCAATTTTGATTTTTTTTCTTGCGACGTTGATGTCGCAGGCGTTTTAAGGAACAACAGGCAAGGTACACTGTCAAAAAGGATGGCACATAAGGGAGTATCGGGTTCATTGGGAGCGGTCATACTCTGTACAATTATTATTATTAGGATGATTCTAGGCTAGACGGATCTGGGAGACTTGAAAATGGATTGAGTCTTAAACATGAACGGAGCTCTCGAATTAATCGTGTGAGATGAGGCATGCGCTGTACGGTGGCGAGGTTGGGTTGTCCCAGCGCAGACAGAGATTGTCGCAGAGTGCCAAGGGCGAGGTGGCATCAGCGGTTCTCGAGTCGCGGCCGGCAACCGAGCCACACCGACGGTTGTGGTGAAAAATTCCCGCTCTGAAGAATCCCGAAACAAGTGGTAGCCATACCAACTCAGGAACCCGACCATGTCACTTCAACTCTCCCTTGCGCCGTCCCCCGGTTGACGCCGGCCGGGTTAGGCACAAGCAGATGCAACCTGGCCGTCCCCGCAGCACCGCGGGATTTGCTTGAGGATGTGGGCATTCAGGATCGATCAGCTGGGCTGGCGGCGCGCGGGTTGGGATGCCCAATGGCCGCATTTGTGGATACTTGGATCATGAGGAGTCGCGGTCTCGATGTCGCTGGGAGGTAGGTGGTCTGTGGTTGGGGCTGTGCTTAGTCATCCAACCTGAGGCGGCTGCGCTGGGCTTCAGGCCAAGCTTACCTAGACGGTGGCTCGTGACTTCATGGTGACAGAACGGGCGGAAGTACTCCCAGCCCAAGAGGTACTCTTGCATCAAGCCAATCCTGCAGGCAGCTCACGTAGGAGGTGCGGGAACGGGTACCTGGCTCGGAGCGAGCAGCTGGTGACTGGACAGAAGGGAAGGCAAACAGGTCAACGAAATGCTAAATCATGGCCTCAGCGTCAAGTCGTCATGCGTCGTCCGTCTACTCAAGCGTCTCATCATGTTCGGCAAGCTGGCGCCCAAGGCCAGTGGTCAACGAGGGGTGCTGAGAAACTGGCCTGATCAGCGGGCATTGTGTGTATCATCTCGAGCCCAATCCAGCGACAAGGCGCGTTGGCTCTTCATATCTCGCCTCTTACATGGATGGTAACCCACTCGGCGATAGTAGCCGTCCTATGTAGGCACATCCGGACGGTGCCAACGGAGGGAGGGGACGGAGAGAGCACGTATGGCACATGGCGGGAGGATCCTCAGGCAGAGATCATCCGAGAGCGTACCTACCACCTACCTTACCTTGGATAGGCACTCCCAATGTAATGGTGCGCAGTCTATTCCGGCAATGTGACACCTAAGACGGACCTCTATGCAGTCCCTCCAGCATGTTGGTTGGGATCTGGCTGGGAAAGGCTACCTACCTAGGCGAGGACCCTTCGAGTTAATGAGCACCTATTACACTACGTACAGTAGCGGGTCTCAGCACCTGGGCCAGCGATGGTAAGTCGCAGCGAACAGCAAGCGGTAGGCTTGGTTTGGGTGTGAATTGACCTCGTGATGCCCATGATAGCAGTGGACGACTCCAGTCGCTCTTCTCAGCGGGGTGAGACTCCCCCGATTGCGCTGCACCGCTGCACCGGTGCCTGCTACAGCACTAGCCGGACTTGGGGCCGCTGGAGAGTCGCCAACGGCACTGAATCAATCGCTAATCGCCCCTCTCTCTAGTGGATGTCCCTCTGGTGGATGTCCCCCGGAGACACCCGTCGTCGCCAGAGGAGTGAGAGGCATTTGCAAGCGTCATATTCTCTGCCATCGTCGCCTTCGCCTTCTCCTCACATTCGTTGGTTTTAGTCACTCTATTTCATACCTCACTATTCCGGCGAAGCGTTCGTCATCCTTCAGCGATAAGTTGAGTGGTGCTTGGATGAATGCGCAACGAAAGCGGGTCACCGTCTGTGTAGTGACGGCACCTTAACGGAACCACCTCCACCCCATCCGCCCTCCGTTCTCCGCCTCCGCTCTGCTCTGCCAACCGCCAACCGCCAACCACTCGTTGATTAACGCCATCTCTTGGATTCGTCTCCCTCCTCGACACTCACGCTGCTCTCTCTCCGCCCCTCGACCGTTTTTCTGCCTGCTCTCTCGTCATCGCCCGAGCTGGTCCTCGCCGAATAAGCACCTCGACCCCGGTGGTGCCCGCCGCAACTGAAGGCTCCTGGACAAGAAGCACATACTTGGGAGCTCCCTCCCCAGAGCAGCTTCGCCAGCCTGTACGTCTTGTTGCAGGCAAGCACCATCTATACCCTAGCCCACACCCTCGACTATGTCTGGGCCCTACCAACACGGCTCCTCAGGTTTCCAAGAACCCTCTTCGCCCCCAGCCCCGTCCGCTCGCACCACCGGCCGCTATCCCTCCCCATACAGCTCCGTCGCCTCCGTCGCCTCCGTCGGGGCAGCTGCCAACTTCTACTCGCATCCGTCTCGCACGTCGGTCCTCAACTCGGCCGGCGACCTAAACCTCGGGGGCTCGACAGGACTAGGAGGCCTGGGACTCATTAACAACGTCAATATGGAGGGTGCTGAGCTTGTGGCCGAGGCCCGGGTGTGGAGGGGTGGCTTACCGTCCTTTTCGCGGGCCTTCAACATGTTGATGACTGCCGACCCCGCCGATGGCTCTGCGCAGAACGATGAGGAGATATTCTTCATTCCCTCGTACCTAGCAGGCTCGACATACGTCCAGAAGCTCGAGGAGGCACACAGGTCCAAGCTCCAGGCGCGCGAATCGACCCGAACATCGGCCAGCGGGCTCTCTCCAAGTCTGACCACTTTCAACCCTAATCAACACCCTCTTCCTCCGGGCTCTCATCGAGGCATGTCGCACACTGTCATCGAGCGGCCTCCAGTTTTTGAAGAGGATGAGTCCTTGGCCCCTCTGCCCTCGAAATGGAACAAGGATGACCAATGGGGCGGCATCGAGATCCAACCCGACGGCTTGAGCATCAAGTATGTCGGGCCCAAGAACCAGCACGACCGCGACCACGAGGCATGCGCCGTTCGCGCCGACCATTATATGCCCCTTCAGTGTGGGGTTTATTACTATGAAGTGCAGATACTATCTGCCAAGCGAGACGAGTATGTCGAATCAGGCGATGCCATCGCTGAGCACTCATGGCATGATAAGGACTTTGATGCTGACGAACAACAAGTGCGACTATAGGTATCGGCTTTTCGACAAAGACGGCGACTCTATCACGTCCCATAGGTTGGGAACCAGAGGCGTGGGGTTATCATGGTGACGACGGGCGATGTTTCACGGGCCAGAATATTGGACGCCACTACGGTCCGCGCTATAACACTGGCGACGTGATCGGATGCGGCGTCAACTTCCGGAATTACACTGCCTTCTTCACCAAGAATGGAGTCAAGATTGGTGGGTCTATTCATGGGTCCATCGATGCTCTGCTCGCAGATGTGCTAACATCTCACCTAGGAACCGCCTTTCATGATGTCATCCGGGGCAAGTTGCATCCAGCCATCAGCTTGAAAAAGCCTGGGGAATACATTCGAGCCAATTTTGGACAAAGCCCATTTGTGTACAACATTGATGACTTGATGCGGGTACGTGTTGCGGAGCTCACTCAACCTCAAGGTGGTCTCACTAACCCCTCAATTAGGAAGAGCGTGAGAAGGTTCAAAAGGAAATCGAGGCTACAGAAACGTCAACGCTGGTGCCAGGAATGAATGAGACAGATCTCATCCAGGCTCTCGTCCTTCAATTCCTCCAACATGACGGCTACGTAGAGACAGCGCGGGCTTTTGCACAGGATATGAAGGTCCAAAAGGAGGCTCTGAATATCGACCCCAACGTCAAAGTCGACGGCCTCAATATCAGGGACGATGAGGATGCCAACAATCGACAACGTGAGTTCCTTTTGCTTACTCGTTGTGTGCGATTTCCTTTTATAACACGATGCAGGTATACGAAAAGCTATCCTAGAAGGCGATATCGATCGAGCTCTCAAGTATACAAATGCATACTACCCTCACGTTCTACAGGATAATGAGCATGTCGACTTCAGGTTACGGTGTCGGAGATTTATTGAGATGGTGCGAAAAGCAGCACAACTCAACATGCTCAACGATTCGAAGAAAAGCAACGGGCATGCCACTGAGGCGCCCCACGACATGGATCTGGACATGAATGGTAGCGAAAGTACTGTCTGGGCCACCCTGGGCGCCGATGCTGTTGAGAACTCGGCTGAGCTAGCTGAACTGGAGCGTACCATGCTCGAGTACGGTCAGTCGCTGCAGGCCAAGTATAGAGATGACCCACGGAAAGAGGTCGAGAAGGCGCTCAACGAAATCTGGGCCCTGGTGGCGTACCGAAATCCTCTGAAGGAGCCGCAGGTTAGCCACCTGCTGGATAGAAAGGGACGAGTTGCCGTGGCGGAGGAGCTTAACTCGGCCATCCTTTGTAAGTTTTCCACGATACACTAACCCCATGTGTTATTGACGGTATTCTAACGCCTGAACAGTGTCTCTCGGCAAATCCTCTCGCGCGTCCTTAGAGAAGTTGTACGCCCAGACCAGTGTTCTGCTCGAGGACCTTCGCCAGGACGGCGGCGAGGGTGCCTTTGTGTCTGTCGATGACGCCATGGAAGATATTCCCCGGTCGACACAAATCTAACACCCTCGTGAATTAGGGTATCGTTTGGGCTTGCTCAATCTTCGGTGTTTTGTGTCGCATATGATGAATTCGGTTCATACCTCGGCGTTTGGCAGGTTGCTGATCTAAGGGGGCGCTTTTCCCCTTTCACTCTCGAATTACCCCCTCTGCTGCATCTTGGTGGTTTAGGTCTCGGTGTGATAGGCGTTGACAGCCGCGGTTGCTCCTCTTTCCATCCATCACTACTCTCCTCCTTTGTTCCTGCGTTTTTTATCTTGCGGCCTCTTTTCCATCACATCGTGTTTTTTTAGTTTTCCTGGGCAACTTGTATGTGAAGGCCTACTAGGTCGTGCAGTAAGCGAGGGGCTTTATAGATGTGGTTAAAGGGCCCGGGTGGGTTTCGCAAGATGATCAGAGCAACGCACCCCCTGGAGATGAAGATAGGAAAGAATATCATGTAGGCCCAGCACATAGAACAGAGTCAGATATCGAGGTCGAGAAATAATCATTTCGAGGCGACCATTCGCTGATTCAATTCAAAAGCGCCGTGATGCTGTTTGGTGGCTCTTGACCCACCATTTACTCCCCAGTAGTGGAGTTGCTTCCGTCTATGTTGGTGTTCCGTCAACTGTTTCCTAGTTGATGTGTTACAATATGCTTTTATTATACATGCACCCCTTTGTCCCCCTTTGTCCCCCCAGCCCAGTTCCCCATACATCTTCTATATCGATACATTCCTCCCTTTTACTGTGCCTTCTCGCCCCAGCACCGCTCATATAACCTGTTACGATGTCTCCTCAAATTGTGCAACCCGTCAAGACACCCGGCCAGCGCGGTATCGCGCCAGGCCAGCGCATCATCGAGCATGAGGTAGGTGTATGCAAACACATCGGCGTCGAACAGTCCCGGCCCGGAGGCGCCAAAGAACCAGTTATCGTCGGCGAGGATGGCGGAGAGCGAGCGCAGGGCGGCGGCGGCGTCGGCGTAGAGTTGCGGTGGGGATATGTGCGTGCATCGGGTGGTCTTGAGGATCTCGGAGGTAGCGGCGGCGTGGAGGGTATGGTGTAGGGACGCTCGCAGGAGGGCCGAGGACGGGAGGTAGAGGTTTGTGAGTAGGGGGGCGTTGGCAGGGATGAGGTAGAGGGCATGGAGCTGTGAGTATGTTAGAAATTTGCCCTTGCACGACTCAATTGCGTCAGGAAGAGGCAATTGGAGTTTAACATACCCAGGCCGGACGGATATTCTGTGTCAGGAGGGCTTGGTAGGCTTCGAGGCGTGGGGAGGTGACGTCGGGGAGCTCGCGGGCCGTATGCTCAAGGGCATATTTGTAGATCTTTTCGCCGGTCAGGGGCACAGGAGGCCGTTGGGATGACGACGAAGGCGGGAGCAAGAATGGCAGTGCGCCAGAGGGAGAGGCATGGTTGTTCGAAGGCACAATATCTACATCGACTCCTGCAATCCTCAAGAGAGTCTGTATTTGTAGGCAACATCAGCACTCGGGGCTAACTGGAAGTGGGTGGAGAGGACCACACACCTGCCACTTGAGACACGAAGGATTGAAACTCGGTAGGCCATGAGGCGCATCATCATCGGCGATGAAGACATAGAGGGCCGGTCGAGTGCGAGTTGCGGCTGGGGAGCGTACGGGGAGGGCTTCGGGGCCGTAGACACGGAGGGGGAAGATATCGAAAAGGCCACGGACAGGGGCCGGGACGGCGAACCAGCCGGGGCGAGAAGCGGCAGGAGGGGTAGCGGCGGCGGCCATTGGAGGAGAAGGAGAGAAGGACAGAAGGACAGAAGGAGCGTGTGTATGGCGCGCGTGCGCCGTGGGAGTCTCGCGGGGGGCGGTCGGTCGCGCGGCGGGGGGTGGATGCGATGCGATGCGATGCCGACGGAGCTCGGAGGTGTGGTTGAGCTTGTGATGGGAAGCTTCAGTGGCGGCTCGCGTGCAGTGGACCGGAACGCGGCCAAACCCCGGGCTCGTTCGGACGGGGGTACGTACCTCGAGGCTTGGACCCTGAATTGCCTCGACGGAAGAAATACTCCACCGAGGGCCACACCGGGCGAGAGCTGCCACGGATGCCACAGGCGGCTACAGCGGTCATTGGAGAGGGGGGTTAAAAGTGCCGAAATCGGTAATACTGTTCTGGTCCAGCCGAAGACATTGTGTATTCCACGTGGGCAGACGTTCTAGGGCCGTGGTTCTGGTCTCGTGGGATCCTTAGTCTGTGGGGAAGTGTTTACAGTCTTGTCATGATGGGGTTATGTCCGATCTGGGGATGAGCAATAGGAGGCGAAACTTTGGCTCTACGGCTATAATATGCTATTGGAATCACGAATCAAATCAAACGCATTGGCTTCGTCCTCGTGCTACTATGCCCTACTTTCGTCTCAGGCGCACACTGCAAGAGCCGCATCAAAATGATCAAAGTGTACGTCCCTCCAGCCATTGAACGATGGACTGAGGAAATATGGGCACTGATCTTCCGGGGTAAAGCTAGTCGTACCAGAACAAATGTCCGGAATTCCCGGGGGAGGCGTAAACAAATTTGCAAAGAGTTTCAATGGGGTCCAGCTGATCCGATGCATTGAGTTGCGGCTCAAGTCTCAAGTGTGTCATGCCTTGGAACCATGATTATCCCTGAGGGTTTGCAATAGTCGGCAGAACTGCGGCCAAGCAGTCACCTAGTTCTAGTTCTGGCTACTCAACCCCAACGGTCCGAATGCCTCGAGACGAGGTTCCCCAGTCTTGCCAAGGTCCAGAAGCACGCCGCCTCCAGGGCTTGTTGCTTGGGTTGGGAGCCGCTCGTGAGCCGCAACCGACCGCGGTCAATGCTCGGTCTGAATTTGCCCGGACCCCATCGACACGGGGACACGGCACGCGGGGACATGGGACATGGCGGACACGCACGGGATGAGAGCGCACGACAATGACATCGCGGCCGGGGTTATGACGTGTGGCGACTATCGAAAAAGCCCTACCGCCCTGCGAAAACCCCAAAAAGCGGATCAAAGGCCCGAGGCAGATGGGATTCGAGGTCCGGATTCCCAGGCCGATTCGCCGTGGCCAAAGCGGGCAACCTCACAAAGAGAGCGAGAGATTGGCCGATTGACCGGCCGAAGAGACTCCAAAGGGGGAAATCTCGGGATTCTCCACTGGCGGCCACCCAGCAGCAGCAGAAGCAGCAGCGGGGACGACTTGATACTAAGCAGATTCCGAAATGACCCGGCGGCCCAAAGAAGTGCAGGGACCCTTATCACGACATTGACTGGGACTAGAACGACTAGTCATGAAGTCTCATCACTCGGTTCGTCGAGGGTGGACGGAGGATAGCTGGATGGTGTAGATAGGGGAAATACCGTACATGGGCCTCGTTTTAGGCGCCGAGCGACGGGCAGACAGGCAGAGGAGATGAAGCCATTTCCAGGCTCTGTCCACACAGGCTCAACCAACTCGCACGCAGGTCACACCAGCGGCCCAGGGTTTGCATTAGTGATAAAGTCTGTTGATATACAGAGTGCATGGCACTGCAGACGGGACGAGGTAACACCCACCCGCACACACGTGTTTTCGGTTGTTTATGTCATTATTTGTTTCTAGCATGTGTGCTCGTGTGCGTGTGCGTGTGCGTGTGCGTGTGCGTGCGTGTGGTCGTCAAAACATTGCATGGAGTTTCCCGTCTAGCAACATGCGAGCTGAAGCCAGGATGCGATTCTCCCTCACCGGAGGAGTTGCCAAGCAGAGTACGAGTCTGGCGACTTTTTCCATTACCCCACACCGCATCTCACTGCAAACTGGAGCACCGCCCGAGGTGGGGGGGGCCGGTCCCTAGGTACCTACTCTAGCGCGGTCCCCACCGGCTCCCAGCGCCTTCGAGCACTGCAGCGGGCGGCTTTTACAGGGGCCTTGATCCCTTCTTCCACCAGCGGGCTCCTCCATTGCAACCAGTACCCTCCCTGTGGCCAGTCACTTGCAGGCGCTTCTAAATGCCTGGACGGTTTGTGAACAAGTTTGCCCCACGTTAAAGCCGAATGGAAGAGAGAAAAATCGGGAAGCTCGCACAAGCTAGCATGGAGCCAAGGCTCTTAGTACATTGCACGTCGAGACGAAATGGAGAGTAATTATCCGCCTGCCTACCGGTTATCCGTTTGCCACTGACGACGATGGCTTCTATTGAGCAGAGCGCCGGCCTTTGTTCTCGGTCTCTCTCTCTCTCTCTCTCTGTCGGTCCGGCAGCTCGGCGTCCCATCATCAAGGGTCCAACCCAACGCCCGTCTTGGGTTCCAGGCCCGGTCCAAACGTCTTTTCCACGTTCCCGCGTTCCCACGTTTCCACCCCCAGACGCAAACCCATGCCCATGTCCATAGTGTCCATACCACTCGTCCGAGTCGTCGATGGCCTGCGGATACCGTCCCAAGAATCAAAACCGTCCATCCTAAATCCCGGCCCGAGTGAGTCCCCATTCAGGCCCTCACCCAACCGCGCCGAGGCCAAGCGGGGATGGATGCTAGGGTTTTCTCTCTTCTCTCTCGTCTGGCGCGCTTATTACCTGTCGCAAACCCAAATCATAAGTTTCTGAAGGCGCATTATGGTGACGATGATATGCAGGTGCTTTGATGGCAACGCATCATCGCATCGCGTGGGTGGTCCCCTGTCCCGTCCCGCCCTGCTCTGTTGTCAACAACATGAGAACGGCCATGTTACTGGTGGTGTTTGCATAAGATCCAAATCGTCTTGGCTTCGTTTTCCATTGTGATATGCCGGATGCTAAACATGCCCTCGTTCCCTCGTTGCCTCGCTCTTGTCTCCGTCTCCGTCTCCGCTTCCCCCTCCTCCTCCGCCAGCCAAAGCTCGACATCGCATCTCTCCACATCAATCCCGTCGGCGACTCCGTCTCACACAGGTTTGGGACCGCAGCTCACAACCCGCATCCAACAGAGCATCCACACATCCACACATCCACTCACCCACCCTCCCCCGGCCTCTTCCACGCCATCAGCCTAAAATCCGCCGACGCCTCGCCTTGTTGCGCTGCCGCAGCCGCTGTCGCATTTCTCCCCTGCCCTGCCCCCATCCATTGCGTATCTCGGCTCGGATCTGCTAAAAACGTCACCACACAACCTTGTTGTATTGACGGTTCCCATGGCCACTTCCACTTCCACTTCCACTCCGGAGTACCTACATCTACTTCAGTTCCCGCACTCGTCTCAATCTCCCACCCTCTCCTTTACATCCATCGTCTGTTCCAACCATCCATTCTCGAGCCCGTGTGATTCCACCGCCGCCGCCTCATCACAGACACACATAAACACGACATCCTTGGCAAGCATCCCTTTGTGAGACACAGGATACACACCACACCAATACCAAGCCGGCCACACCCTCTCGACGAAGCCTCGCACAAGTATCCAATCTCTCTCCCTGCAACCGACGCCCCGTCAGTTGCACATCCCACACATTTGCACTTTCTTTTGGGTGCCCGCGTCTTGGTCATCAATCATAAGCTCCCCATCGCTTTCTCCCTCGGTTCTTTACCCTTCTTCTCTAAACATTCTACTCTGCGACCTCATCCCCCGGTAAAGGATTTACACTTTGTACATCATCATCATCATCATCATCAACAACAACACGACACTCGTCACTACCAAAATGGACGCCCCCAGCTTCAGCAACACCTCGTCTGCCTCATCGGCTCAGCAGTCCCCCACAGTCCAGATGGTTCCCCAACCCGTGCCCGCCCAGTCCAAGACCTCGTCCACCGACGTCTTTCTCAAGGAGTTCAACCTCGTTGCCGAGGCTGCCAAGCGCGCCCAAATGGCCGTCATGGTGCGCGACTTTGAGGACTGCGGCATCTAATCCCCGTCTCGTTCTCACTTGGACCGAGCAGCGAATGGAGGGGCTAGACCGAAAGCCGCTGGGGTTGGGGCTAATTCATCACCAAGCAAACACTGCCACCACCACCAATCATTCAATGCGATCCAGACATCCAGGGAATCAACTAAATCCGCCAATCCACCAATCCACCATCACCATCCAGAGCTGGGCAAGGGGCGATTATCGCCATTCATGTCTGTCTCAGCCGACGCGTACGACAGTGGCCTGTTCGCACCCTCGCTCTCGTTACCCGTATCGCGATTGACAGGCCCTGGCGCTCCTGTATCCAGCAGCTGTGGCCGCCCGCCGCGGCAACGTCGGGACTCGGATTATTCTCTGCTTTCTCGTCTCTTCCCCTTACGGCAAAGGATGGTTCGATGCGGGCCCGATTATTCCATCTCCCGGCCATTATGCCGGCTTAGGGCGGTGTGGGTCACTGAACCCGGCCCGTTTTCCGATAATGATGAAAATGGATCGATAGATGTGGACTGGACTCGACTGGTTGAGTGGTGGACAATGTGAACCGGCGATGGATCGATGCCTAGGACCAGCATTCCTTCAGGTTTGGGCTCCTTCAACCTGCGGGACAAGCTGCAGCTCGCAATGTGGACGGCCGAATTCCTTTTTTTTCCTTTCCTTTTCTTAGTTTCCTTTTGGGTGGATAGCGACCTTGGGGTTATGGCGCATGGGATGGACTGCGGGATGTTGGGCATCAAAACGCCCTTTGGTGTTTCTTTTTTCTGTCACCAATATTTGAAATGGTTGGCCATAGAATCACATACAGTACCGAGGTACAGGGATCAAAGGGCAGGGAAATGGGGCTTGGCTTTAATTTTGGGCATGCTACAGCAAGGGCTGGATACACAGGTATACCACTGCTTTTATATACCATCACTACACATTACCGGTACCATTACTTGGGTTCATGAGCGACAGATGGTTCAAGGCAAACTGGAAGTTTCAGTAACGAAATGCCAGGAACCTTGACTCCCTTCTTTCCGTATGTAACTTGTTTGCTACCAAGCTACCAAGCTACCTCGCAGTCAATACTACAGGCTGCAGTGATGTGCTCTTGGCACTCGGCCCAACTCTGTTTCCTGCCGTGTGGTTCATGACGTTCTAGACTCCGGTGAGGCGTCCTCATCGAACCAGGGCAGGACTCAGCCGAGACTTGTTTCATTGCTTCTGCCAACCATCTTTTGTCTCAGTGCTGCCCCTCGGATGTGAGGACACCCCGCCCGGAAGTCGTAAGGGAGAGGATGAATAGCTCCCCGGAGAAAGCGGGCACGTGCTCCGGCACCAGTAGTCTTGGAGGAATGGGGGCAGTTCGAGAAGAATCGGCATCGACGATGAATAGGCTCCGTACAAGCATCAATTGTGGATTAACTTCAAGGGATTATGTACTGGGGGCTACAAGGGGCTACAGGCATGAAGCAGAATTCGAACCTTGTTGTGCTAATCGATTGAACTAGCTTGTAACTGCCTGTGATACAGGCATTAATATTATAACAGGCAGTTGAAAACTTTCAACTTAAAAAAATTAGCTCCCTAAGTATTTATAATAAAATTTATTTCATTATTTGTTTTATTTATTTATTTAGTCTAGCCGAGTTGTTGTATTAGTATTTTAGATGTTGGCTCCGACCTCGAGCCTGATCATGGTGGGTTGCACCGCAGAAGCCAAGGGTTGAAAGCCGCGCCTCACATCCCACGCCCTCGTCGAAAAGGGAAAAGCGATGCACACCAGTGACACTCCCCGTCCGGCTGTTCATGTCACTGTCCGTCGCTGTGGTTGTTTCCTCCTGTCTCTACTCCAGTCTCTACTCCAGTCCGCGAATCCTGAAAGCCGAAAGACGAGGCAACCAAGACAACCCCGCCGGCTGCCCCCACCATCCACCCACCCCACGACGCCGCCGTTGCACCCCACGATCCGGAGGCAAGTAGGCAGCCGAAACCAAGTGTCTACCTTATTCACGCAGACCTGTGGCCCGCAGTGAGCCACAGAAAGCAATAGTTTCTTTTGCTCTCCCCGATTGTTTTGCATTTCTTTTCCTTTTTGAAACCTGGGCTCCAGGGAGAAGGATTGGCTGGAAATCTTGAATCAGGGCAGAGCCCGTAGGCGTAACAGAAGCAGGTGCGACTCAATGACGTCGACTCACATCTTGCTCTGGCATCCTGCTCTCACGCATGGAGCGGGGAAACCCTTTCCGGTTGCGACATGCCGCGGCTTGCTGTCATTGTGCGCACCAAAATCTCAGACATCATCACCTCCTCAACTCAATCGGTCTCAGCCCAGTTCAGGCTTGCTCTGTGCGAGTAAACACCACCCATTGCTCCCTCCGCCTCCACCTTTCGCCCCCCCATCTCCACTCCACCCGCCCGTGTGCACTGGACGCTGAACCTGACGGGACCCTCCGCTCGGCTTCCCCTCCCCCAATCCTCTCTCCCGCTCCTGTTCATCTTCAGCGAGTCTGGTCGGCTCCGTTAGTGAGAGGCTAGCTTCCATGAGCATCCAAGAGGGGTCCAGTGAAAGGCCTGGCCTTGGCTCGGCTCCAGCTCCACGCCGAATGCTCTCGTTCTCGTCTACGTCCTGGCGATGCGACTCCGGCCGCCCGTGACGGCGGGATGGTACGGTAGTTGTTTCCGGCTCGATGCCTCCAGTTCGCCATTGCCCGGAACGCACAATTGCACCCGCCCAGTGAACTCGCCGTCCGTCCTCGTCTCCCTCGGCTCGGTGTCACTTCCGTGTCTATTTTCGCCTTCCCCAATGTCGCTCACCATGCCCCTCACCTTGTCCCCGCCAATTCTTACCAGGCAGCATCCCCGGATTCACCCATTGCTCCGTCTCATTCATTGAGGATACTCGTCTACAGTTTTTCTTGCTAATTAGTTCGTTCTCTGCTCCGCTGTCTTGAACTCTCGCAATCCGTCGCCATTCCCCATCATCCGACGACTTGATCCCCTCGCTTCTCCTACTCCCCCAGCTCCAACCCCGCGATATCCTACCTTATCCGAACGCCACCTCGGGCCTCTCTATCGATAACCCACCACATCACCTCATCCACACCACCCCACATCGTTACCACCACCGGCATCATTCTTTCCGCTTGCTCCTCTTCTTCCTTTTCTCGCTTCTCGCTTCTGTCTTCCTGCTCGTCCTCGATGGCAACCCTTTCCTCCAGATTCGCCGGTATTCCCTTCGCCGAACACGGCTCTCAATGGGACTCGCAATGGCGTGAATCTCGTACACCCTGGGACCGCGGCGGTCCCTCGCTCGCCCTACACGACCTACTCTCCCAGCGACCCGACCTTGTGCCTCCGGCCCAGCACCACGATCATCGCGGTCTACCCCTGCGCGACGCAACCGGCGCCGTCGAGAAGAAGAAGGCTCTGGTCCCAGGATGTGGTCGTGGCCATGACGTTCTTCTCCTCAGCTCCTGGGGCTACGATGTCTGGGGGCTCGACTACAGCCCAGCTGCCAAGGAGCAGGCCATCGAGAACCAAAAGAAGGCTGAAGCGGAGGGCTTATACAAACCCATCAACGGTCTCGAGAAGGGCAGCGTGAACTGGGTGACGGGCGATTTCTTTGGCGAAGACTGGACTGCGGGCATCGGTGCCAAGCCCAAATTTGATTTCATCTATGACTATACGGTAATCCCTCATTTTCCACTAGCCCGTCTCTTCACCATTGCATGCATCATGGTTATGGTCGCTTTGCTTAGACAAGCTGATTGACTTTTTAGTTTCTATGCGCCCTTCCCCGTGAGGCGAGACCTCGGTGGTCCCAGCGGATGACAGAGCTCCTCATTTCGGACGGCCGTCTCGTCTGCCTCGAGTTCCCGACATCCAGGCCTATGTCAGAGCCAGGGCCTCCTTGGGGTGTCTCTCCTGAGCTCTATGAGGCCCTTTTAACAGCTCCGGGCGAGGACATTGCCTACCATTCCGATGGTACCGTTGACGAGACTCCCAGCCCGAAGCCTCGAACCGACGCCCTACACCGGCTGAGCTTGATCAAACCTCTGCGGACGCACGGTGACGGCACCGGCAATGATGGCGCTATTCTCGACTTCATCTCAGTATGGAGTCGATAGCTTTCGCGCTGCCCTTGCCTCTTTGCTCTTGCTTCTGCTGCGTCTTCTCCTCGTCTCTAATACCAAAACAACCATCGTACATGATTACCATAAGCATATATAAAAGTAAAGAGTCCTTTTTTGATCTTCTCTTCCTCATGGCGCCTTCCGGAGTGAGTTGTAGTGCTCCCCTAGCCCATAGCCGTGTCTGTAGTAGGCCAACCATAGCGTCTTTCCCGACGCCGCTCCCTCGTCCTCGCCGATACGCTCCGTCCGTCCGTCCTGCACTACGCGGATCTCGGCCTTGTACCGCCGCGCCAGAGCCATAAGCTCCAGCTGGCCACCCCACTCAGCCGTGTCTTGTATCTTGCGTGTATATGCCTCCAAGTCCTCTTCAAGGAACGGTGCGAAGTCATCGCCGTGCTCTAGCATATAAGCGGCCGCCGCCCGGCGCACCGTTTTATAGTCAGGTTCCTTGGCGCCTTCGCCGCCAAGGGGGATGTCGTTCTGGCCCAGCTGGTCGGCGATGGCGGAGAACAGGCAGTGACCGTCTGGCATAATGTCCTTCTGTACAAGGCTGTGCGTCTCGAACGTCTTCTTCATGAACTCGCTCTCGCGCGCACGGTGGTCCGTCATGTTGGCCGCCTCCTCCTCCGCTTGTACCGCGGCGGCTTCGAGTTCTGCCGCACGACGCGCCATCCGGTCCTTTTGGCGGTTTCGCTTCTTGCCAGGTTGTTGCGGCTGGGCAGCGGGCTTTGGCGTATTCTCGGACACACTGAGGCTCTCCGTCGCCTTGGCCAGCTTGTCCTCCTCTGCACCATCCGTCGTCTGCGGCTCGTCGTCGTCGTCGTCGTCGTCGTCGTCGTCGTCGTTCTCATCGTTGTTCGTCCCAGGGCTTAGGGCGGCAACTTCGGCGGCGTGCCGATCGCGCATTTTCCGCTCCAGCTCAGCGCACTCGTCGTTGACGCCCTTGCGCGTCTTCTTGGTCGCGTTCTTCTTCTTGCCCGTTATGCGGCCCTGCAGGTCCTTGACCTCGCGCCGGTGGCGGGCATGGAGCTGCTCGAGCGTCTCCGCGGGCTCCATGGTGCGCGTGATGGCAGAGGGACCAAACTAGAAGCACTCGAGGGTATCCAGGCGAGATCGGCGGTGAAAAAATGGTTGTAGAGAGCGAACGGCGGCGAGCTACTTGAAGCTTTCGGTGTCCAGACGTGGATCGCGGGGTCGTTAGCTACCTTGTCAGTGGGAAATTTCATCGGCGCCGAGACATGGCGGGGCATCAGTCGGACTCTCGGCGCCCGTCATCAACCAGCCAGGTCCGCATACCAGCCGCAACAGCTTCAAGTACGAATAGCCTCTTTTAGCAAGACAGATATCTGTCAAATAACCTGAGCCAACACCCTCCAAGCTTCACTATCTCACTATCATGACGATGCCACGCAACCGTAAACTTAGAATCAAACTCCCTCGATGGGGTTGGGATTTCCATTTGTTTTACTATCTACAGCTATTTAAGTAAGGAGACTGAATCGCGTCAAGGGGACAGCAATATCCGCGGTGAATGACCCGAAATTGTGTTTTGAGTATCAGCTCAGTGCTGTTCCTCGCAATTGTAACCAAGTATCTCAGTTCAGATAAATCCTCCTCCATCCACCAACGCCACCCAGGCGTCACCCATGACAGCTTCCTCCACCCTGAGATTCGCATTTCTGAATGCTATTCTTATTCTTCTTTTCCTTTCTGATAAATCGAAAATAAAAAACAACGCCGAGACACCGCACCCATACAATATTGTCAGCTGGGCCAACCCAAAGGCCAAGATAGACAAAAACCAATCCCAAAATAATCTACAGAAAAGGGTATAAAGTTTTCCTTGCTCCGACTTGTCAAAAAGATTCAAAGAAATTCACAATAATAGTCAGCATAGGCTTGTGTGGCGTGGCTCAGAGGCTAGAACCCTTTGAAGGGGTCATCTCGGAAGAAATCTTCCTCGCCTGCTGTTCGACTCCCGTTGTAGTAGTCATCGGTGCCACGAGTACCTCGAGAGTTATAGCTGTCCCGGTGTCGGCTTCGACTCTGTCTCCGTCGGTGCTCCTTGCTCCTTCTTCGGATCTCGTGTCGGAACTCGTCCTGCTCATTGGGGAAGTCGCCGAAACCGGTGGGTGCGAGGGGGCTGATAAAGGCCTCCATCCGCATCGTCCCAATAGCGTCGAAGAAGTTGCTAGGACGTGAAGAAGCCTCTGACGTCCTCTGAGAGACGGCTTGGCTCACGGGCCAAGTGCCGGCACTCGAAGCCTGAGACTGGTAGATATCGGAAGACCCAGCAGTGCCAGTGCTGGCACCGGCAGTGCTGTTGGTGGGAGCATGATGACTGCCCCCAATAGGACCAGAGAAGCCACGGAAAGAAAGGGGGGGAGGTACATGTCCGCCTGTGTTACTTCGCTTTCGGCTATGGGCCGTCGTAGGATTGCTTCGATCGTGAAAACGGGGAATGAAAGGAGGCTCTGCAGCATCGGCAGAACCATCTCGCGAGTGGTTGGATGAAATGCCTCCCACAGAGTCCGTGAGGGGGAAAGGAATCAGATCGCCCATCTGAGACGAGGGCGCGCTCGGTATACTTGGGACACTTGGAGTGGCAGCTCTGGACACATGGGTTCGTCCCTTAGCTAGTCGGATTGAGTCCCTGATGCCGGATCGCTTCATCTTTATCCGAGGAATATCAAAATCTGGCAGCGGTGCCAGATGTTCCGGGGGCGGTGGAGCTGACATGATTTCTGGGACTGCCTGCGAAGAGTGCGCTAGGAAGGACAAGGCCGTCAGCCAGATGTAATGTCTGTCTGCAGAGGTTGCAGTGAACTTCAACGCTCGCTGCGGAGTAAGGATCAAGATCGACCGGTTGAACAACGCTGGCGAGCCCTTAGGGGCCGCGTTATCGTCCTTAACATCAAGCACGGATTGAATCGTGACTAGTTTGGTCAGCGATGCCAGTAATGAACGAGGGTAAACCACTTACGTTTTCTGCCGGTCTTGCCCATCAGGGCGCTGCCAGACGACGGCTGCTTACTGCTCCAAAGAATTGCCCTTTCATATGGTGCGAGCCAAACCCATCTTTTGTGACGGTCGTTGCTGTTCTCATCCTTGCTGTTGCTCTCGGGCACTCCGAACGACTTCCTTCTGCGCACATACTTAAACATCCACTCTCCAACCATCGTCTGCGCAATCGCATCCACTACGCTGTTGCTTTGAGCCCCATTGCCTACAGTCGGAGGATCGGTGCTCATGGTGTTGTCAGTGTTGACCGTGTTCATTGTGTTAACGGTGTTAACTGTGTTGGCAGTGGTAACCGACAGTTGGTGCTTGTGACGGAACTGCTCACCACCCCGCACACGGTTCCGAGGGGTCGTGATGTCGTTTCTGGGCAGGGGAGGAAGTCTCGGGCTTTCAGGCGCCTCGGTGGATGGAGACAACGGTGGAGGGGAACGGCTGCCCTGTCTGCGACGTCGCTGGTTGCGAGGAAGGGCAGCTGCAGAGCGGACCTTTCGAATGCTGCCTGCTCGATGATGGCTACGACCAGTTCCTCGGCGGAAGAAGTTATCTCCACGAGTCGGGCTTCTCTGTCCATCACTAGGGGCACTTGAACTGAAGGGGGGCTTCCTTGAGCTGGCTCGGGTTGGGATCGGGAAGGGAGGGTTCTTCGAGTCCTGGAGGCTGGGACTCCTAGATCGGCCCTGGTGACTAGCAATACCATTCTGAATCATTGCAGCCTTACGCATAACGCTCGCTCGGTTGGAAGACATGGCAGCAGGACTCTTCTCGAAAGCTCTACCGGACTTGCCAGAAACAGACACACGATGAGTAAGGTCCTTCTCCCCCGAGAAGAAGTTGTAGAGCTCGCTTGCAAATGGCTTCATCGAGCCGCGAGACACTTGTCGAACAGTAATCTGTTCAGGCGAGGTTGGAATGGTCCCGTTGGTGGTTGTTGTGCCAGTCGAGCTACGCTTGCCTGGTCGACTTGAAATGGACTTGGGCCTGGGTGCAGACAAGGCCGTTCGGTACTCTGAGTCGCTCAGATCAACGTCACCAAACTCATCAATTTCATCAGAGCTGCCACCATCAAACCCGGCAAAGAGGCTGCTGAAGCGATGGGGGCGTCGCATCGGAGCCTTTTGGCTGGAAAGCGGACCATCATCGTTGTTCCCAGGGTACGCGTCATGCGTCATGTCGGAATCAGCAATGGAGATAGGAGATGAAGGCATTTCTCCCGTATCTCGTCTGTTCGTCAACCTGCGTGGATTGCGTGGAGGAACATTGCCAGGAATAGGAGTGAAGTGCTTTGACGGCTCGAACGGAGATGACGGCGGGTTAGGAGATGTTGGTCGTGACCTAATGTTTGAGGGCTGCAAATGAGCTGGGAGCAGAGCCAGTCGCTTATCAGTCTGGATGCCCTCTGTCTGAACCGCAGCTTCGCAAGTAGAAACAGGCGAAGAAAGGCTGACTTGACAACCAAAGTCCTTGAAGTATTGAGGCAATCTAGGCTCTCGTGGGGTGGCAGGACGGCTTGTGGGAGGATGAACGCTGATGCTGGGGATCAGCGGGGGGGAGGGGGGCATGGGAGGGAAAGTAAAAGTACGCGGGGGAGGAGAGGGAGGATCCGTTTGCATCGACGATGCTACCATCAAGGGCGTCTTAACCTTAGGAGGCGGTGGCGGTGGTGGTGGTCGCATGGGAGACTTGGGGGTCTTGGGAGGTGTAAGAGGAGGCTCTTCAATGGTCTGTGAGGATGTAGACACCATGAGCTTGCGCGGGACAGGCTCAATCGACAGAGGCCGGGTGATGTGAACACGCTTGCGCCGCTGGTTCGCTTCAATTTCTCCATCCCCGCGTGGAGAACACTCAACCTCTGGTGACTTCGCGCGAGACAGAGACGGCTCAGGCGTCATGGGTTTGGCAACTGGCAACTTGGGGGACGGAGGCGGAGAGAACTGAATTCCAGTATCCGTATAAGAAACCTTGGGGGCAGGCGGTTCAACTTCCTCGTCTTCGCCCTCGAGGGCTTCCAAGACCGACTGGTTCATGAACAATCTACCCCTCGCCACGCTTCCCGATCGCTTCAAGCTCTCCAAGCTTTGGTTGCGGCGATGATGCAGTCGGTTGATGACACTATCCCGGCTCATGTTGCGAGCATGGGCATAGGGATTGTGGTTGGATAAAGCGCTTTCTCGGCCATCAAAGTCACTTTGTTCATCTTCGTCGTCAAAATTGAGCTCATCTGCGAGCGAGTGACCATTGGGTTTCATGGATCCCGGCCCGGTCATGAAGGAAAACCGCACGCTGTTGGTCATGCTCATCGTTCTGACACTTGCAGCATCGTTCTCCCGGCCACTCTCATCGACCTCACTTTCATGGCCGGCCCCGCCGTTCTGAGCCTGGGCTGCCTGGTATGCGGCAACCTCATCCAGGACGAGCTTGAGACGGCTTTCGGCAACATGGATCTTACGCTCATACTTGCGCTTCTCCTCCTCCCAATTGTCCTTCTCCTGAGCCAAGAGATCATGCACTCTCTGGGAATCATCCTCCTGATTTCGAATCTTCTTTTGAGCGATCTCTAGTCGCTTCTTAACATCGGCGATCGATTCGACGGCATCGTCCCTTTCCCGAGCCAATTCGCCCAGAGCGGATGATGTTCCACCCTCCAGAAGAGATAGTTGTCGCTTCAAAGATCGACTCTCCTTGCCTGTGTTCACCAGGTTCTCTTGAAGAGTCTCTCGCTCTTCCCTTGTCGTATCAAGAGCCGATTCAAGCGTCTCGATCTGTCGAAGCTTTTCCTCCTGGTCTCTCCGGAGAGTTAAAATCTCGGATACCAGATTAGCGTGCAGTGTGGGTGTGAACCTCCGAGGGTCCAAAATGCTGATGGTCTCATCTGTCGTGATATCCCTGGAGGATCTTTTTGAACCCTTTTCGCTGGGCATCGGGGGTGGTGAATTACCCTTCCCAGGCGGGGTAACTGAACGCCGGGATCTTCTCGAGGTTCGCGATGGGGTTCGATATGGCGTGTCTTGTGGTGTTGGCAGCGAGGTCGCCGCAGGACCGCTGAGGTACTCGTCGTCTGTTTCCCAGGCACCCATCTTGACTGATGAAGTCTTCCAAGTCCAGGTGAGAGTTGTCGACGCAATTAAAATTGCACACTACCAAATGGTGCATCAAGCTACTGCCCCAAGTCGACAGACAGGTGGTCGTTTCGGTGCAAGGCACGCTGCATGCAGAAGAGCAGTGGTATGCAACTGTGCCGACCCTTGTACCTGCAACCTTGAATGACCGAAAACGTTTCCCGCTGAGCCGACGTTATATGAAGCACTGTTCCCCGGTCAAGGTCAGCATCCTGCAAAAGCAATGTGTCGTGCATGCACATGGAGGGGCGGAGTTGATGTCGGGTGTCCTTACAGGGAAAATGACTGGACAAGAAACACGTTGTTAAAATTCCAGAAAACAGAGGCTTCGCCTGTGAATCAATTGCCAAATCAGCATCCAAATTGCTTGTGGCTCATGGCAACATCGTCGCTGGCTGAATGACTGGGTGCTCGCACGAGAGGGAGTTGGGTCGGCGCTACTCACCTTTGAGAGAATGGTATATATAGGGATTCAGAAATACCCGATTCTGAAACGACGGGAAATAAAAAGGAGATGGGGTTGCGATTGGTAAGATCGTCGACAAGTCAATGCGCGTAAAGGATCGGTCGTGCGGAGTCCACCGTCGATTGAAGCCTGGTGAGATCGATCTTGGTCGTGTAGGTCGCGTTGGTCGTTTTCGTGTAAGTGAGATGCAGAGGATCTGACAATTGGATGGAACCTTTGTTGTCGTTGTTGCATCAACAGGACGTAGGAAGGAAAACTGAATGGATATCGGCCAACGAAGACAGATATATAGATCAAAGACGAATTCGCAAACTGGATAGCTGTCAGCCACGTCCTCCTACGAGATACGTCGTTGCAGCGACGGGAACGGTGTTCAATGACTGCGAAAGACAGAGAGTTGTTCGTCGCGCCACAGGTATCACGGTCTACGCAATTAGGCTCGGAACTCACCAAGTGAAAAGCGCAAAGAATTTAGCGGTGCAGTCCAACCTCGTCACTCACGGGCTTCCAGGCAATCGGTGCGTCATGGCCCCTCGCGAAGGAGACGATGCGACGAGACGTGTATGAGAAGCAAAAGTGGTTGTCGCGGGGAATGGGGGTCCGAGAGACGTAAAGGAGCAACCAGAAGCAGCACCAGCACCAGTCCAGGCCGAGAGGAAGCGACTTTGGAAAAGAGGAAAGGAAAGGAGGACGTGTAGGACGAGTAGAAGGTTTCTGCTATGGTAGAGGAGACGACGCGGGAAACAAGAGGTGCCAAAGGGCGATCAGAGCATGCGCGGGCGCAGAGACCCAGGTCCCTGTTATGTATCCACTTGTATGGGCGTTCGCCGGCCGGACCACGCCAGAGCCAGACCAGGACAAGACGAACAAAGAGGAAAGCTGTGGTGGAGAGGAGGGACTGAGAGCTCGAACAGAGTCGACAGCTGCAAGACGAAGAACATGCAGCAGTAGCGTCACTACCCACGTCTAAAGAGTCAGTACGTACCGGCGGAGAGCAGGGGCATTGGACATTAGACATGGGCCCCAGCAAAGCGAGGCAAGAGGATGTGGGCTCGTTGGGCGGCGGCGCGGGAGGGTGGAGTGAAGCCGGAGACCCGAGAGGATGGGCATGGCTGTTTGATTAAGGGTCGACGAGGCTTGATGACTGACGATTGGAGGTGATGGGGGGCCCGACGCGGAGATGGGATACCAACCAGGACAAAAGGGGAGGACGAGAAGAGTTAGTTAGAGAGCGTTACATCCCGACTGGGCAGGCGAGGCTTGACAGAAGTTCAATGGCCATCCAACCAAGTCGCTCGCACACCTGTCAGATGGAACATGTGTTGATCTTCGCTCCTCTTCAACGACGACGCCGGTGATTTGATGTAGTTTGATTTGCTTCGAGTCCCGTGCCGTAGTGTCTGTCTGTCTGTCTGTCTTGTTTCTCGTTTCTCGTTTCTTGTCCTCGGCCACAGCGGCGGGCTCTCGATTCGACTCGACGGACAAGGGGCTTCGCCCGGCGTGGCCTAGCCTACCGTACCTAAGTTGGTAGCCTTGGCTGTGATAGACTGGGTCCCCGGATGGCCTCGCCCCTGGCCCGTCCGCGCATTGGCAGCTCGCATCCTTGAAGGCCAGTCCCGGCATCCACAGAGCGAGAGACAGCCAGACAGACAAGTGACAGAGCCGGTGGTGTCCATCTGTAGCATTTGTGCTTTGGGCGCGTTTCTGCGAGGAGGTGGGGAGGTTGAAACGACGGTAGTGGCCTTGATCCAGTTACGCGGAGTCTAAAGATGCGAGGCAGGTCCGTAGCTCTGTTAGTCCCATTTCGAGGTGCTTTATTGCCTGAGGTGCTGAGTCCCAGAACTCCCAGGCACTCGCAGCTGCTTCAGGGGGGGCCAATAGCGAGGACCCATAGTGCACTCTCCGGGAAAGCTCCCCTGAAGGCCCCGCTGGAGCAGGAGCAGCTAGGCCACCTAAGGATTCCCTCTGGGATTTCAGCTGCGGCGGATCCAATAGCAGGCCTGGTCTCTACTGGGGCTTGTAATTTCCTCCTCGCTGATCCCACCCGAAGCAGACGGAGCATCTTTCCACAAGCACTCACTCTCCTCACGCAACACGAGTTCACAAGGAATATGCCTAGCCTGCTGCGCAACCTCTGCCTTGTCACTTGCCTTGTCACTTGCCTTGTCACTTGCCTTGTCATTCACCTTTCACCTTTCACATTGTGGGAACAAGCAAAACCACTTCGCCCGCCGCACACGTGCAGATTGCACATGGTTTACCCACACTGCAAATCCATACTGTAACGAATCTCTGGCCATCACATGTACACAGTTGTGCCCCCCTTGGTTCTATCGATCAAACGGCCTTGAATGCCCAACGGCCGTCTCCCAACTTGAAGGCGGCCTAAGAGAGAATTGAAAGTGCTTGTGCATCTTGCCCCAGAGCCAGAAGCCAGCATCGGCTCACCGGGAGGGTAGGTCCTCGTGTTGGCCTTGTATTCGAAAAAAGCAATCCTGAAATTCAACGTCAACGAATCTCCAGTCCCGCCCCTGGTCGCCCCAGCGTATCCTCAATTGCCTCGAGGCTCCCAAGAACCCTACCGCAACGAGCAAGGTCAAGGTCCAGCAGACTGGTACTTTTAATATCGCACAACCTACTGTATGTCTCTGGCCGCCATCAAGCACGTACCACTTCTCCCTACTGCTAATGCAAGCCGACAGTGCGCCGGCAAGGGAGCAAGCCAGCAAGATTAACAAGGGCCACCATGCTTTGGTTCGATCCAGCATGGCTTGCTGTGCCAATCTTGATATGATGTGAAAATAACATATCCGCAATGCACAGCCATGTCCTCCGGCTGTGATGCGGCCATTCTACATACAGTCTGTCAGGTACGATGTGAGCCATGGGTGGAAGCGAGGGTCAAAGCAGGGGGCCAAAGTCAGGGCAACATCAACCGACGCAGGTCTCAGCCAATCTTATTCCATCTCAACCTGACATATCACATTCGTCATGGTATGCAGTAATCCATGGATCACATCTCACAGCCTTGCCCGGCAGCACCGAAGAAACCGCATTAACTTGTGCCATTGCTGCTTCCTCGCCTCCTCCGGACGTCACATCCCCCAATTTGCAAGGGGGGCAGACGACAGCCGGCATCATATTTGCTCCGATTATTCAATGCCGGTTTATTACTTTATCTCACACGAAGACACGCAAATCGACATTGCCAATGGAATGGCACGGACGGGAAAAGCGTCACCCACAGAGACCCTGACATCCGTACCAGATGATATCAACCCGGATCCAGCGTAAATCGACCCTTGTGCCAGGGGTCAGAAGGCCTGAGGGTCATAAATGCACGGCAATAGCACATATGCACGCCCGGTCACCCAACGCTGTACCCCAGATGGCCGCTGCTTGAGCCTTGCGTTGCACGCTCCACAGCGGCTTCGATTAAATTATCATGAAAGGGGTTATCCCGGAAGGTCTTGGCATCCGGCCAGGAAGCTGATGTCGCCTCTTCCGATAACACTCCTCAGTCCGATCCAGCCTCACCTTGCCTTTTTCCGTCTCTCATGTCTGTGGGTTGTCCGTGTGTTCCTGACCACTCCATCTCCGGCGCCGGCTCCGTCTCGGTATCGCGCCGAGACCTGCACCAAGTCGGCAAATCAATTGATGGGGCCATTTGTGCGCCGTCAACTAAAGTATTACGAGAAGCCTAAGCAAGTCAAGGCGCATGTTTCGCAAAGATCGGCGTTTTGCTCATACGTAGACTGCCGAGGTGGTCACCCCCCGGCTGTCATCATGATACCCTCAACGAGGTTAGATGCTAACTGGTGATAGCACGTGCGCAAAGAGAGTTTCCTGGGCAGTAGAATATGGATACTGGTGCCACTGCCACGCTGACGGACGCGTTATCAAGAGGGATCTGACGGTCCTTCCAGTACGACGGTCCATCCGGAGAACCTGACCAAAGTAGTATCCCGTCCTTCGTCTCATCTCATCCTCAGCCTAATCAAGAATCATCGACAAGCCACCCGCCACCCGCCACCATTTCCCACTGCTACTGTAGCCTTCGTCACCTCTTTCGTGTCTCTGCGACGCTCGCGGGTGATTGTGATTGCAAACATGGCTTCGATTTCCCTCAGTCGACGCCTCAAACAACTAGCTGGAAATTAGCCCCAACCGGCTCGTTGGTTCCCGCTTTCACCACCGTCATGATATCCACACAACCATTGGCCAGCTCGCAACTAGCAGAGGCGCGGCCCGGGGCCAGAAGAGGAGAAGAGGGGCAGCTTGGAGAAAAGCAATTCCTGCTCGGTTGACCACCAGGAAACCCCACGTCAACGAATTTCGAGCTGGTATCTTCCAAATAAGGACCCGAAGACGGACCCTTGCGAAGAGACGGCGCCGTCCTAGACCAACCCATTTAAGGCCCTGCCGGAAAAATAGAGAGCGCCTGAGGCACGGATGTTCCGATGACGAGTCCGTCGCGTTTCTTGCTGATTCGCTACAAACCAATGAATACTGGCGCCGGTGAAGCCAGATCAGGCCCCATCCAGGCCGATGTTTCCTTGCTTTCCTCGCGACCAAGGTTCTCCAGCTCCGCTGGGACGGTTCATCATCCCAAGGCCCCCATGTTTGTCTCCCTTTCCACATGAAACGGGCGGCTTCGAGACGGATCCTAGCCCACCGAGCATCCGATCTCCACGCTACCAGGCGCAATCAAAAGGACGTGATGAGGTCGCCACCATGGCTTCCTCCACGCGTGTCGTGATTTTGTTATTGTTTTGCCTCTCAGATCAAGCCGTGCGCCATATGCAGGGTGTTGTATTCGTAAGAAGCAAAGCTGTGGCCTCCGCCACCGCCCTTGTCTGTGGAGATCCAAGACATGGTCTTTGGTGGTCGCAGTTCGGCCTGGTGCTGGTGTGCCTTGGCAGTTGTCGAATCATCAACCTTCGGGTGTCGTGGGAGACGTTCCGGATGGATGCCGACAGGATGCGCAACCCTCAAAGGATCCATGCCGCATCCTTCAACAACTGCTGACTTGTCGACGCCAGTTGCTCCACCATGCACGCCTTTTAGCCCAAGCTGTCGTTCTCCACACAACATGTATAAGTTGAGTTGTGCTGCGATGTGATGCGTTTACGAATGAGGAGACTAAGAGGAAAAAGCAACGTTTTGCCCTCTTATTTGCTCCGCACATTGATCCTGCAGGCGGGACTCGCTGGCGCCACTGAACGCGAGGCGGTCTCAGGGTGTATTGAGGCCTTTTGTCGTCCCCTCCGTAGTGTCCCGCCCGTGCTTGAGCTTCCGTTCGTTGGTGGTACTCTTTGACTTTTCGCGGCCGCCGGTTGCTGGGAAGGTTTTGATGATCGCCGCGGGGATATTCCGCTCCACCAGAAAAAGTCTCAACTCCAAGACCGCGTGTATTCGGACCGTTTTCCGCCTTGCCAATACTCGGTTGATGGTTGAAAAACATTTCAGAGTTTGGGATGTTTCATCCTTTTGATGTCTCTCGTGTTCGGCCGCAGGTTCCGCCGTCCCTTTAGTTCTCTCAAATGTAAAATGCCAGATGAGATAATATATTTGCGTCTAGGACATGCTGCATTCTATCTCGATCATCAATACACTGTCATACTCTATCTGTATCATGTCAAATATCAAATTACATTACATGATGTCAATTAGACCAGTTAACACTCCGTGGATAACAACGGCGTGAACACTAAAGGACATGCACGCTGCTCTGGTGTGGAGGAAAACGTCAACACCTGCAAGTGTCGCTTCTTTTCTTGAAATTAACTGTTATCAACCACATTGCCCGTACTCATGCTCAGTAGAGAGCCTGATTGCTGTCAAACCACCTCAGCCAACTCCGAAACTCGGATCCCCACACGGCAGTTGGTAGTGCAGTCCACAATACATTCCCTCCGACGCAAGACTGGGACTAGAGCATTTGGAACCGGGCTTTGAGAGGCCAAAATGTTACGATTTCCCACAGAAGAGTGACACGACACGTGAAGGCTTGCATATGCCATTAATTGGTATTCCATTGCTTTTCGTGGATGCGCTGCACGGCGATAAATCATCGCACTCCGCCCCTATCACGAGTGACATGATTATCCCACGACGCAGCCAGACAGGTATCACAGTCGGGACATCAAGCCGTCGGTCACAAGACTGTTGGCACGGCCTATAGCAGTCAATATCTAAATGGCACTCTACCAGTTTTCTCCCCCTTACGACTCGTGCTGCGGAAACAAGGCGGATTCTTGCCCTGCAGAACAAGGATGGGTTTTCGTCAAACCGGCTGCACCCTGGCGATATGCGGCCTGTCACATTATCACCCGTCCTCTAATAACGCATGGCGCGTAGAGAAAGCTCGCAACGGGCGTGTGATTTACATGTCACCATGCGACCCAAACTGCGGCCACAGGCAGATCCTCACACCAGAGTAGGGGCTGCTCCAAAGTTGCCTATCGGCAAAGAAGAAGGCCGTTGCAATTCGCATGGCTTCCGGATGATTCTCAAACCGAATGCGGGTTTCATTAAAGTATGGAGTGCAAGCTAGTTTATTCATGCTCCCGCAGTTGAATGTTTCGTGTGCCTGACGTGGCCCAAAAATTATTCGTCTGATGAACAACAACCCTGCCCGCTGCTTCATGCTGCCGTAAGGGTCACGACCTTCTTGTCGACCCATACTGGATACTTGTTCAGACTTTCGAACCACTGGATAACACTTCCAATCTAGCATATTGGTCAGTTAAACTCACGTGGCTCGACAGACGCCTGAAACTCACCAAGAAAGCCCATGAACCTAGAAACGTCGACAGCAGGGCTGCATACTCGACGCTTGGGTTGGATATTCCGAATCCAAGTGCTCCACAGAGCGTAAACCCGATAGCCCCTATGAAGTTCCATAGCCCAATGTGCCATCCAAGAACACCTGGCGCGGGAATATACCAGCGAGGCTGCACTTCGATCATGAAGAGTGCGCTCGAGATGGTGAACCCAAGGCCACCGATGACTTGAGTGGCCCAGTAGACTCCATTCTCTGCTGGTTTAGAGAAGTTATTCAGGATTGGTGGTAGAGACGTGATTCCTGCGATCCAGAAAATGGTAGCACCCATCATCTGCGAGAAGCAGGCCAGGAAGCCAACCTCGTGAAAGTAGTGCGTCTTAAGTTCGTACCACGTCGGCCACCAAGACCACATTCGAGCACCAGCTGCAGAACCAGATGAGGTCCCCTCAGCCAGTGTCCCCTCGACTACTGTCCTCTTTATCCATGTCCTCTTCTGGGCGTGAGCATGACGGCATCCGTGGTCAGGGTGAAGGTGCAGGCCTCCATCGAACGATTCTTCCACTGCCCACCCGAAGCAGTCGGTGCGGTTTTCGTTGACTGCCTCGAGCATTAGGAGGACTGATCCGAACTCGAAGACGGTGGCTCCGATGAAGGCTGTAAGACCTGCTCCCCAGGTTGTCTCTCCTGAGAACTCCGTCGAGGGATCTTGTACTGGTAGCCAGGAGAAAAACCCATTGATTACCCAAATGATGGACCCTATGTAATGTTAGGATGATCCGGCTCCTAGATGTCTGACAGGACACTCACCTATAGTGAAGACGACAGCGACATCGTATGAGATATCCCAGATGGGGTATCTGACAGCCATTTTCAGAATCCCTCGGAAGGTTCGTTCCCACGTATTCGACGGCTTGGGCCCTGTCGTGTTGTGTTTTCGAGGATCGCGGTCAATAACCAACGCGTGGCGACCCTTCCTGTTGTCCCGACTCCTCCAGACATATGTAACCTTGGGCAAAGAGTCACTCGAGCTCGCCGGTGAATCGCCATTTCTCTCTTCGTCGGAGGGTCTGCTGGACCCCTTTTTGGCAACGAAGAAACGCTCCGTGGGATTCAGAGACCGAAATGGCCCAGTGCTATGCTCTGCATCATAGTGGCGGCCCAGGAAGTGCTTCTGCGACGACGCCATGCCGATGGATCGTAGTTCGATGCCCAATGAACTCCCAATGTGGTGGCTATAGCATAATTGAATGCCGTGATACTCGGGCTTTGTGTGTTTGTGATGAGATGACGTTGGAGGTAGCGCGAAGGCAAGCTTTGGAAATTGCGTGAGGAATGCGTAGATGAGACGCCACAAAGGCGAGTTGCTGCCGTGATTCCGACTCCAAACGTCATGACCCTTGTCACATGTATGTCCGATCCCGCCTCGACAATACGACGACAAAACACTCAAAATCAATCATTTGCAAAACCACAAGACCGGAATAATTGCACCGGAGGCTGACTGGTGTGTTACCAATGCTGCCCAAAACCTGACTATTCGCTTAGATTAATGACCAAGCATCTCGAGCAAACGAAGCCGGTTACCCTATACCTTCATGTCGATTGCAACTTGAGCAACGATCTCCTGTGACGAGACCCGTTTAGCCATGTTTGGCAGTTTCGCCTTGAAAATCAGATTGTTAAATCTAACTTGCCATAATAGGCTACAGTAGCTATGCGCGAAATGTTGTCATCTACAGGGCGTGGTCAAACAATATCAGGTGACCCGTCCTTCCTACCTTATTAAGCGTTGTGCTTCCTCGGCATCGCGAGTCTCATGTTGAACTTCTAAACCACATAACACGTGCCTTTACAAGACAAAGAAGAATTTACCTCCACAGTTAAGATGTCTCCCGGAAAGATCTCCCCACTCGCCAAGGTGAAGGCGCTTCTGTTTGACGTCTTCGGCACCACCGTGGACTGGCGCGGCACCATCACCGAAGAGCTTACCCTACGAGCCTTTCGAAAAGCCTCCTCTGACCTTCCCGAGGGTCTCAAATCTCGCCTCCAGGCTCTCACTGAAGATGACTGGGGGAAATTCGCGGAGGAATGGCATACCTCCTACGGCGTCTTTTGCCATACATTCAATCCCGAAACGGATACATGGAAGACTGTCGACCAGCATCACCACGAAAGCCTGGTTAGTTTGCTGGAGAGTTGGAACCTCACTGGTCTATTCAATGCAATGGAGTTACAGTCACTGAGCCTCGTGTGGCATCGTCTCTCCCCATGGAAGGACTCATCTGACGGGCTGAAGAACCTGGGCCAGACCTACATCACCAGCACACTGTCCAATGGCAACACCGGTCTACTCCGTGATTTGGATGACTTTGGAAGTTTGGGGTTTCGAAAATTCTTCTCAGCGGAGAACTTCCGAGCTTATAAGCCGAACCCCGCTGTTTACCTCGGTGCTGCACGCGAGCTCGGTCTTGACCCCGAGGAGGTAGCATTGGTTGCAGCACACCTCAACGACTTGGAAGCCGCAAAAGCTTGTGGCCTCAGAACCATCTACGTTGAGAGGCCAAGAGAAGAAGAATGGGGAAAAGACGAGAGGTATGAGGGGGCTAAGGAATGGGTTGATCTCTGGATCGACGAGGAGGAAGATGGGTTTGTGACGCTGGCCCACAAGTTGAAGGAAGTTGCATAGGACGGAGACAAGACCGAAAAGGGATGGAGAAAAACGAATTCATGCATGATCGCCATTGGGAAATGGAATTCTGGCATTATATGAGTCGTCGTCTACGTCATCTGGCCTCAAATGCAGCTAGGACGAAGGGGATGAAAACCATGCATCGAACACGTAGCACTTAATCTCGAAAATACTTCGAATAAACCCAATCACACCCTGGCTGGTCTCTCCAGAGGTTCATTGTGTTCTAGACTGATGTATCCTTGTCCTCCCCCTCGCCCGTTCAATTCCCGAACAAGAAAAGCGTCGGTTTGATTTAGGCGGCATACGGTTGTCACGCTGATCCTACTTGCGTCCGCTTCGCCCTTTCCGACAAGGGATCGTCCCTTTTGTGAATGATTCGGTCAACCATCGGATAGAGTTGGTGTTGGTGGCACCACAATATACCCTGCCCATGTAAGAGTTGTTGGTCTCACTTCGGCCACGCGTGTGGCGGCAGGCACGGCAGATGATGGTAACTTGAGGATTGCTTGTAACCAACGGCAGGATGTCGGGAACTTTACGGTTCACAGGGAAAAGAAACCGGGGGATTCGCGACATTGGCGGACAAAGCCACACACCATGTTGGTTGTCAAGACGAGGGCGAGGGGGCTGCAGCAGTAGTCTGACTCTGAGCTATTTCATGGCGAGATGAACTTGTCATTGCTCAGGAAGATTGAACACCTATCATTGAGAAGAGGAAGGAATATGTGCTTTGCGTACTACGTTGCTGAGGCTCAAAAGAAAGGTTGCCAGGCAAGTTTAGAGTTGGAGACTGTGTCTCAGCTGATAAGCGGCCGGTTTCTCCGTGTCTCACACGGACCACGAAAGACCAAAGCAAGATCCGGGAACGGCGACAACAAAGCTAGGGATTCCCGATGTGACCTCGAAGCCGGAATCGGTCTTGTAACTCAGCTCAACCCCTCCCATCTGTTTGTCGCCACATTGACGCCCTGCAGAACCGTTGAGAAAAAGGCGGAGAAATGGAACTGCAAAAATGTAGACCCGTTAGTGATATGCACACCGAGAAGGGGTCCTCCCGGCGGTTTGTTGGCGTGCCCAATCCGTGGAGTGCCCGGCATGCTAGGTTCGCCGGGTTCATACCCGCTTGCCTGGGACCCCGGGAAAGGGGGCAGAAATAGGAGGAGACCCATTCCATAAACACCCGAGCCGGTCTTGAAACATCCAACGGCGGCGATGCCATGGGGTGTGAGGAGCCGAGCCAAGCCGCATCGTTGTCTGGGGTGGTCGCAGAACCCATGCATCGCGGACCGAGAATGCATTGAAGGGGCCTAGTAGAGCCGCCACTTGGAGATTCTATGCCCGGGCTAGGTTGTTGATCGAAGATGGGAGCACGTTAATGCCAACATCCGGCAGGGGAGTGAAATGGAGGGCAGCACTTCCCATGTGAAGATGCTAGCCCGGTGTAGGCCAATCGGTCCTATGCGGGAGGTTGGCTGCGACGACGGGCAGATGCTCGGAGGCTATGGAAGTAAGTGAAGGGGGTAGGTGACGCAGGGAGGATAGAGGCAGCCCGTCAATCTGGACAATTGAGGCTGTGCCGCCACTCTGCTGGAGATTGAGTGCCTTTGATATTCGCTGCGTCTGCGTTTACTTTGTATGAGAGATTGGACGTTGGAGGTTGATGTGAGTGCAGCCAAAGGGTGGGGTAAACTGGGCCCGCTGGCCCGGCCCATCATCTGCGACCTGCGACCTGCGACCTCAAGCTGCGGCCCCAAATACCCGAGAGACATTAACCGCAAGCCGAGCCCGGCAATCGAGTTTGCTGCGTGAGTAGGTACCTAGGCAGGTAGGCAGGTAGGCAGGTAGGCATGGAGAGGTAGATGGGGTATATACTTGGCCTCGAGGTACCTGCCGTGCCGCCAATTAGCCCGGTGTCACACATGTGCTTGATTTTCCCACGTCTGGTAATGCGGGGTGAAGGTGTGGTGGTGGTGGGCGGCCATTCGTGGTTGTCGTCATTGTAGTCGCAAGCAAGCAAGCAAGCAAGCGAGAGAGAAAAACCACACACACACACACACACACACATCGAGATCAACCCGACAGCTAACAAGCGCCAGAGCCGGCAGGCTGGAGGGCTGGTGGGCACCCGAACCAAGGCAGGGGGACGGCTCCGAGTGGATGGATGGCTGGGCAAGGAAGCCCAAAGCCCAGAGCCCAGAACCCAGAGACTAGAGGGCTCGTGTCAGCCGCTGTGCATGGCTGTCTGTGCATCCATCTGGCATGACGTTTTTGGCACGGCTGGCACGAGTGATGGCACCAAGATAGACGCCCGCGGATGCGGGTGCGGATGCGGATATGCGGATGCACGCAAAATGGGAACACGGGACAACTCCAACCAGCAAGGGGGGTTGGCTGACTCTACGTAGTTACACGCCTCTGCTTCTCGACCCGCAGTGTCTGTCTCTGCGTTTCCGTGTTTCTGTAGTTATTCGAATCGAATCGATCCCCCAGTTATTCGCATCGCCCATCTTCACCTGCCCGTGGTGGCACCACCACACGGCCGTTCAAGGGGCCGATAAACGTCACGGGCGGTCGTGCGTACATATATCCCCGAGTAGTAGGCATCGCAAGCGCCAACAAGCCCATGAACTCGCTTCATCCTGCGAGATGCAGCGCCTTGTGGCGAGGCACTACGATGCAGTCTGGTCCGCCAGACTCAGACCAGGACATCTAACTACAGCGGTATGCACAAAGTCCTGATCCAAATGACTGTACTGAGTATGAAACGCTAATCTGCATTGCGGTACAATCTAATCTTTATTAGGGTATACTATATTACCACTTTAAAGGCCAAGGTTAGAGTAAGTGTAAGAATCCTTGAGCTAGACCTTGAAGTAAAGAAAAAAGGCTTAGCATATCTAAAGTAATTAAATAGATACATTATTTTGGATCAGGACTTTATGCTTCTCACTGTACCTAGGTGGGCTGGTAACCCCCCTTTCGGAGCCCTCGAGGGCTCCATACTGCCTCTGGCTAGACATTAGGCACTCCCTTTCGGAATATTATGCGGTGGGCTAGCCTCCGCCAAGCCCAGGTATCAAGTATAGCGTTGACGGATTCCCGCTGGAACATGCATCCTGTAGCCCGTGAATTGTGGGATTGGGGGGCGGTAGCCTCGTCTCTACCAGGCCTAGATAGGTACAGCCATGTAGGGAGTACTTTACCCTCTGCTGCCCTTTGCCCTTTGCCCTTTGCCAATGGCTGATAGGAAGTAGCGAGGCATGGCAATGTCAGTAGCTAATGATTCACTCGGTCGTTGGCCGCCCGATCGGCGGGTGTCGAGTTGGCCGAAGGATATTCGTGGTTCGTCTTATCGGAGGGCCGCCGACAGGTCCCGCCGACCGTCTCGGTCAACCAACTGGTTACCGCGCTACAGCTCCAGGCGAACCTAGACAGGGACTGGGGGAGACGGGGAGCAGACGGGGAGCAGACGGGGAAGAGACGGGGACCTTGAAGGCGGCGCTGAAGGAGGCTAGAGGTCAGCTACTGTACTCTGCGTGCAGTGGTTCCAGATTATCATGCTGCCAGGGCGGCCGCGTGGTGGTGGCATGCTCTGCACCGCGGAATGACAAGACCATCTCCCAAAACGGGCGGCCGTGTGAATTGAAACGGGACAAGGCTCGCTTCTCTCCGTGTCTGTTTCGTCGGATGGTGCCCAACTCTCCAACCTCGGACCTTGTTAGGACGAGACGGCTGGGGGGTGGAACGTCTCCCGGGTCGTCTGGGTCTGGACCTGTTGATCAACATGGCACCAAAATCGAACCCACAAGCCACTCGCTCTGCTCTTTATCCGCCTCACTTGGTGTGTGCGCTGGGAGGGGCGAGGAGAGCTACTACGGCTGTAGTATGTATGTAACTTCGGCGCAGACGAGAGAACGAGATCGAGCCAGAGAGATCGAGGGACAGACCCGCCATTGCCGTGTACTGGAGCCGACAAGCGCGGAACCCATGAATAGTTTCGTGCGTTCCCGTCCCGGCACAGGTCTAGAGTCTCGTGTTGCTGCGTGTTGCTGATGCGGTTGCTGATGCGGTTGCTGATCTCCTGTGGATATTTGTGTCATCACCAACTGCAGTTGTGCATCGATTATCTACGCCCTAGTCCCTTGCGCCGTCACAGTACCCAACGGTACCTGACATAGCACACAAGAAACATGGCCGCCGCTGCACCTTTCACTTCGCTGCACCTTTTACTGCTGCACTGCTGCACTGCTGCACCTCTCTGCATCTTTCACTGCACCTCCTCACGCCGCCGGCCACCAGCACACGCCTCAACCGGTGCAAGCCAGCAGTTCAACCCCCTACAACCCTCTGGACAACAATCGCAGTGGCAGGGTTCAACAAACAGCCTCCCCCTCCTCATCCCACCCAGTACCCCCTCCAGTTCCAGCTCCCCGGTCTGCCAGCACACCCGCCAAAATTTTCATGGCTTGTCTTGTTCGCGGTGCAACTGCTCGCAGCTAGAAAACTGTTGCTCTAGCTTGCTCCTTACCTACCTACCTAGGTACCTACCTACCTACCTACCTACCTACTTACCTACCGAGGCATGTACAGTGACACTACCCGCCGTCAGCACAGGCCACCACCACCACCCCAACCCCAAAAACGGCCCCCAGCTAGTCTTCCCCCGGAGAGGGACAGCCCATACCACGGCCGGTACCTCGCTGGCAAACGACGCAGGCAAGCTCGCCAAGGTACCATCGAGGTACAGTGCAGGGCCGCACCATGCCCCTAACCAGCTCTAACCACCGGGTTCTAACCACAACACCACCCACAGCGCTGCGACCACCTGGTCCTGCTTGCTGCGTGCGTGCTGCGGCGTCCTGCAACCACCAGCCCAGGTGCAGAAGAAGCAAAAAAAGGAAAAAAAAAGAAAAAAAAAAGAAGAGGGTAAAAAAGGAAAAAAAAAACGCAACCTAAAGAAAGCCATGGTGAGAGCTGGCAGGGGACCCAAAAAATTCATGCTAGGGAGCGGAACAAATGCGAGGACCGGCCGAAGAAAACTTTTTTTCCTTTTCTTCTTCCCGTGCAGCCCCCATCGTTGCATCATCCCTTCCGAAGGATGCAGAATCGTACAGACAGAACAAGGCAGGCCGCAAAGGCCAAGCCGTCGCACGCTGCGGGAGGGTTGCGACAGAACCGTCACTCCAATACGGGCAGCCATTGGCTCCAGGCGCGCAAGCCTAGTTAAGGCATCTTCCGTCGTTGTTTCGGTCGAGTCAAGTTGAGTTACGTCGAGTCGAGTCAAGTCAAATCAAGTCGAACCAAGTCGATGTCGTCGTCCCGCGCGAGCACCGCACCGTACCGCACCCCGACGGTGCATTGTGAAAGTAGCCGTAGCTACCTACCTACCTACCTTACCTACCTTACTACGTAGTACCTGCGATCCCGGGGGCCCGGGTGGTTGCTTGCCGACCAACAGGGCCAAGACGGGCGACTAACGTTGGCAAGTAACCCTCGCCGTGCGTTGGTACCATCGACAGGCGACAGGCAGTCCAATAGGCAGGTAGCCATACCGACCGTCCAGGTTCTGAGAGGGGAGGGGGGTTTAAGGGTAGTAGTCCCCAAGCTCCCAAGTACCTACCCACTACCCAAGCAAATCCCATCCCCATCCCAACCCCCTCGACGAATTATTCTTTCAATCAATCGGATTAACGAATCCGCCTCGCTCCAGTCACCCAGCGAAATGGGCGCCCAGCAAGCGGCCTTGGAATCTCCCGGGGGTGTAGCGCGTCGTCCGCCTCTACCCTTCCGCTTCCTCCCTCGTCCTATCAGCACCCTTCCTACGCTTCACGCACCCTTGCTCCATGCTCATACGCAGTACTCCTGCTTGCTCTCGCTGCTTGTGCTTCGTCCCCAATAGAGACTTGCAGCACTGCAAACCCATCCTTTCGTCTACCGAGTACTCGCCGCACAGTACCTTGCTTACAGGTACCGGCCGTGTCCCTCAGATTCGATCCCCTTCCTCTGGCCGCTTCCTCTTCCTCATCTGGACCTTGCCCCCCTCATCCTGGTGCCATTCACTTCGCTGCGGCCCCTCCCCTCTGTGCCCCCGGTGGTGACATTCCCTCCCCCAACCCCAAAGTCCTAGGTACCTTGCCTAGCAGCCGCTCCGGTACCAGATACCTACTCCCCCCCCGGCTGCGTCCCCTAGGGCCCCTTCTGGACGAGTGCCCAAGGCGGCTGTCTCGCCCACTCACCCACTGTCCCCATGCCGCACACGCGCCGGATGGGTACCCGGAAACCTCCCTTACAGGTACCTCCCAGCCCGCCGCCTGCACACTGCCCGCCCACTGCCAGCCCACTGCCAGCCCACCCGCGGTCCATGTACCTGCCGGCTCCGTAGCATGTAGCATGGCCCTGTCGCTCCTGTGGGCTACCTTACTACCTACCCATGAAGGTACCTACCTACTTAGTGAACTAGGCCCCCGCCCACAAAAAGTCTCCACTGTCCGTCTTCACTTCGCCGCCAGCGCCAGCGCCAGACCGTCCATGCCTCTCGACCAAACATCTTCCAAACCGGACTGCCCTCTCTCGCTCACTGCTCTGCTACTGTCCGGCTACTGCTCTTGCTGCTGCTAAACTCTTCCCTCGCCCGACAATTGCTGGTCACAGCTCGAACCTCCCTCAAGCCACCCCCTCCTCGCTCCTCGCTTTCCATCCGCTCCGCTCGTGACGACGTCTTGTCAACTCCCCTCGACATCACTTCGAGCCTTGTCGCCGACCCTCCCCTTTCCTCCCCCTCCATCCCTCGGTCTTCGACCTTCCGCCTCCGCAATCTCGCCGCCGTCGTCATTATGGCAGGTCGAATGGTGTTGTACAAGCTGGTGGTGTTGGGAGACGGTGGCGTGGGAAAGACGGCCCTCACCATTCAACTGTGTTTGCAGCATTTCGTCGAGACAGTGAGTCCCCCCCGCCAGTTCTAGTTCAGCCTCGTGCTACCAGCTCCTCTCAGAACCTCCCCACGACTGACTCTCCGTTCCTCGCAGTACGACCCGACGATCGAAGATTCATACCGGAAGCAGGTCGTTATCGACGGTCAACCTTGCATGCTCGAGGTACTTGACACTGCTGGCCAAGAAGAGTACACTGCCCTACGAGATCAATGGATTCGTGACGGCGAGGGATTTGTCCTAGTCTACAGTATTTCGTCGCGCTCGTCCTTCTCCCGCATCAAGCGCTTCCACCACCAGATCCAACGTGTCAAGGAGTCGTGTGCCTCATCGCCGTCGTATCCTGGCTCCCCCATCTCCGCCGCTAGCTCACAGCTGCCCGTGCCCATCATGCTCGTCGGCAACAAGAGCGATCGAGTCACCGAGCGAGAAGTCTCAACGCAAGAGGGCCACGCCCTCGCCCGCGAGCTGGGCTGCGAGTTTGTCGAGGCCTCAGCTAAGAATTGCATCAATGTCGAAAAGGCATTCTACGACGTGGTTAGAATCCTACGTCGGCAACGACAACAGGCCTCCCGGCCCTCTGGTGGCTCTGGCGGTCGGCAACGAACGGGCAATGGCGACGCACACCGAGACCGAGACCATAACCGACACCGAAGGGGGAAGGATGGCGACCGGAACAAGTCCAAGTGTGTGGTGTTATGAGCAACCACGCACCAATGAGAAGTCCATTCGGAATATCGAGGAGAAAGAAAGAAGGAAAGAGAAGGACAAGAGAAGGACAAGAGAGAAACCGCTAACTGGAGGTTTGCCGGTGATGAGAGCCGCGGATGAGGGGTCGGGTTGTCGCAACCCCTCACCTACCAGAACAGGCTTGACGTCAAGTCTGGAGATGATTGGCGAGAAGCCGAAAGGGAACGGAGAGACGATTTATTCTTTATTGCGATTTTTAGATGGCCACATTTGCCCGACGACGAGGGCGACATGACGACGCAGCATCAAACGACGAACGAAAGCAGACCAGTTCCCGCACCGGCGAATGGCGTACGAACAAAAAGAGGCATATTCTTGGGGCGCTAGGTATTCTTTTGACATTTATACTATTCTTCTTTGCAAAGTTACGGGCAAGACCTGGGCGTCAACTGTATTCCCCGGATTCTGCCTGGCTCGCCTCGGACACATGTCAAAGGTCTGGGCGGGGCGGCAGTTGTGGGTGGGTGTGTTTCTGGAGTCTCTGGGGCCGAGTGCCTGTTTCTGCTTTCCCGCCTCTCCTGACTCCTTGCTTTGCGCACCCCTGGAACGAGGGTACATGCTTCCTTTCTGTGTCCTTGTTTGTTTTCTCTATTTTTCTTGGACACTGAGAAAGAGGACTGTATACTCGACACTGGCACCCTGGTTGGATTTTTATGGTTTTGTCACGCCAAGATCTTATGCGTGCCATACCTGGCCTGGAGAACCTTCTGCGCCTACCCGATCCCCCCTCGACCTAAGGATGGTGGACAGACTCAGGGGAGGAGGGGCTAAGAGGGGGAGCGGGGGAAGTCACTGAGCATGAAGAGGATGGATTGATCGGTGGAAGAATGGCTCTTCTTGGCCTGTCTTGGGCTAGGGCCGGGGTGGCTCAGTTGGCAACGACGGCTTGGACCTGGCAGGGAGGGAGGCGGAAGGGAGAAGCAGGGATGTCGTCGCCGTGTACTCGGTACTATGTGCGGGATGAGGTGGAGGAGAAGGGAGGAAGAGGAGGATCAAGAGGGGCCTGGCGGACGAGGAAATGGAAATGGGATAAGACGATGCACTGTATCTACGCATGAGGCAATATTGGGAGGCTGTGGCCCCAGAATAAAAGCAGACCTGATACCACCATACAAAAATGAAGCACTTGAAGTAGAGATGCAGAGCTGCAGAGATGCAGATGATGCACCGTGTCCTGTCAGCGAGGCGGCCTAAGGTGTGCGTCACTAAACGGGAAGGGGAATGGAAGCCCTACGGACGTTAGCCTTGTCCACGTCGGCCGCACTACGAGGGTAACGAGGCTAGGAGGTGTGGGCAGGAGGCGTGGGTAGGTGTCGACAAGGCCGGGGGCCCTGGACCGCGAAGAAGCCCGATTGAGAAAATGGGACTAATTGCTGGGATGTTGCATGGAAGGGGAGGGAACCTAGGGAAGGGATGGGATTGGGGGGTCGACGCCGACGCGTGTTGGGCCAGAGAGGGAGAGAGAGTGCGGACAGCGGCACTCATTTCGGACTCAGCTTTTGGATCCGAGAGTTCAGCGGATTCAATGGGTTCAGTTCTGAGAGAGGATTCCGTTGGAAAGGGAATTCACTTCGGAGGGGAGGGTTCAATTCTGTGATGCGTTCTAGGATCTGGGATGGGCTCGGGGCGACAGGGGGCGGGCAATAGAGTAGACAGCAGCGTTCGAAACAGGGCAGCATCTGTACATGGTCAACTGTATCCGTACGAAGTACACATTCAGTCGTGGGTCGTCGAGGACCGAACGAACGACAGACAGCAGCATGGCGACTGGGGGGGGGGGCTGTGTCAACGCCTCAAATCCAGCCCATTTCATGCCCACATTCCATGTCCATCCCACGCCTCGCTCTGGCTTGCCCCGACACTATGTCAGCCACGGGCGAGCACGTTCCCGGTTCTCGCTGTCAATGCAGCACGCAGCTGCAAGAGCTGGACTGCAGATGCGCTGCAGAACTAGGCACACCCACCACCCCCAGGCGGCGCATGCGCACAGAGGCGTCTCTGTGTCTTTGTCTTTGTCTTGGTCTTGGTCTTGGTCTTGGTCTCGCGGGTCAGACTTGGTAGCAAACAAGAACACCACCAACAAATAATAACTACAATACCAACAGGAGCTGCCTCGGTGGTGGACAGGCAGAAGCCCCCTTCCCTTCCCTTCCCTTCCCCTCCAGGCGGGTTCATGCCCAAGAACGCTCCCCCCCACCGCGAGTGCGCCGTGGGCTCGGACAGTGGGGGGACTGTTCCGACGCTGGGATATTTTTCTCTCTCTCTCTCTCTCTCTCTCTCTTTCTCTCTGGGCTCCCTCTCCCGGTGCCATGTTGCTGCGCGCAGGCCGTCGGGTAGTGTTGGTACCTACTACATGGCACGAGGAGGTAGGGAAGGTAGCTTCTCCCTCGCAGGGCCCCAGTTTTGGGAGAGTGGGGGACCAGCAGAAAGGCGAGATGGATGCAGTGGGAGCGAGGATAAGAGGGTTAGAGGCAGAGGCAGAGGCAGAGGCAGAGGCAGAGGCAGAGGCAGAGGCAGAGGCAGAGGCAGAGGCAGAGAGGGGAGAGGGGAGAGAAGGATGTGTGTAGGAGTGACGGACGAGGACGACGACAAAGTTGTTGGGGACGGAATTCCCCAAACAGTGACAACCTACTTACAAGTTAGTGTTGTTCGATGGAGAAAATACAGACATGTGAATAGCTGGCATGTACCAGCAAGTTGACGGTTCTATCAAACGTCAGGTCTGTCGTCGTCGGTTTTGTCTACCTGCGCGGTCGTCTGTGCTCCCCCTCCCGACATGATAGTACCTGGTAACTTGAGTAGGTAGTCGTCTTTGGATATCCGTATCCGGAGCCGGAGGTCAGCACGCACCTCGACGATCTTCAGCTGTAGCCGCGTTGCTCAATCGCAAAAGGAAACCCGGGCGGACAGAGCGAGCGAGCTGCGGAGAGGGCTGGTGGTTGGCGTCAAACTCCCGTTCGCATCGCATCGTCGCCCACCACGTCTGCCCGTATGCCCATTATGCCATGTAACATCACGGCCGCCCCAGCTCGACATACTACGTAGTAGAGTCACGAAACCAACAAAAAAAAACCTACCCACCCTCCTCGGGACAGCAACCACAAACGGGTGCAACCAACGTACACGGGCTGCCGCACGGGAACCCCTTCTGAGGAAGCCCTCTTCCCACTCACCCCCCATGGACGATGCGATGCTACCGCCATGCAATGCCATGCCCACCCCCCTTGTCCGCTCGTTCCCGGCAGCAGCGCCAACCAGGGAGCAACGTAATCGATAGCCTTGAGCTTGTTGACGTCTTGGGAAGTGATGGCGGCGGCATGCGGAGACGGGTGCAGGCGAGATGCACGAGAAGAGGCAACAAGGCAATGAGACACGGCGAAGCACGCAGCGCAACTGGATCGAAGAGCAGAGAGGCGAGCCGAGAGACCCGGGGTCTGACATTAGGCACAGCCCTAGCATCTGAGTTACGACAGGACGGCCGTGCTGAGCTGGCTTGGCGACTAACAAGTTGCGTGAGGTAGTACAGACTACAGTCAGAGATACCTTACCCATTCATTGACGCCGGTCCGCCAGCACCGCCCATACTTGCAGGTTGCGTCTCTCGGTCTGGTAGCTGTGAGCGGCCTGCCCGTAGCTAGCTCTCACCAAGGTGAAGCGCAGCTCAAGTGCCGATGACCTGACAACCCAAGCCTCCACAGGGGGGGGGGAGGGGGGGGGGGACACAGAACTTAGCACGGCCAGCTCTGGATACTCACCCTACTACGTATGCGGCTTTTAGGAAATGCACCCCGCCGTAGACGCCCTCCCTCCAATTGCGAATAGCACGGAGAGGGAAAAACGAATAAGCCCAGTCCCGCGATGCTGGTCCGGATCGACAGCCGGTCGGCCGTTGGGGTTCGTTGGGGCCGACGCGAACGCATCGTTCTTGAAGGCCGGGGCTAGCACAAGCGGGCAGTGGGGTTTATAGGTACCCTCCCTGGGGAGGCCGAACAGACGGCGGGTGAAGGTGCCGGGGCGGCGCTAGGAGTGACCTGGTCCGCTCGGTATGGTTGGGCAGATGAGGCCTTTGCTCTAGCTCTGAGGTCACCGACCTGCTACGTAGTAGGTACGGGATACGGGATGCCTTGAACTAGCTACCTTACCTGTCCGGTGCTGTGGTGGTTCGTCATTCGGTTACAGTACCGGAGAACGGCTGTACGCGGAGCTGGAATTGGTGATTGTCGCAAGGGAAATGAATCATCAAAGAAAAGGGAAGAAAAAAAAAAAGATCCCAAGGGTTGCGACGTAGTATTCACATCCCTTGCTCACACCGATGATCTCCAGGGGGGAAAACGAAATGAAACCCATGAACCGAGTAGAGAGCCCCCATCCCACTGATCCCAGAGCCTGGGGCAGACAAGCCACGCCAAAGCGGAAGGTCGTACAAAGACGCAGAGCCAAAAAAGCCAGACCAGGGGACCGAACTTGCACCGCGCACGCAAGCAACGCCCAGCGCCAGGCGTTGTCTTGCTACGTACGGACTACGTTAGTAGCTGCCACGGCGGCGCGCCCCAGGCTAGCGAGCGAAACGGGGAAACGGCCCCGGTTGCTGGGGTTGGGAGGAGGAGGACGACGACGAAGAGGGTATCCTGGAAGCCATCCCGGGAGCTTCACGGGGCTCTCGGACATGCCCCTATCGTGGGTTGGGGACGGAGACGGGCTCCCCTTCCAACGGCTCGGGGCCTGCATGAGGGACCAGCGGCCGGAGCCAGCATCGACATGACAGACTTGCTTCCCACATGCCGAATGCGGATGTTGGAAACTCCATTGACCTGGGTACCGAGAACCATGATGGATGGCTTCTGTCTCGTGTATGTCTGCCATCAGGGGGCATCACGTTCGATAAGACAGCCTCCCCCACGCTCCATCTCTCAAAGTCGACCAACCCATCCAGCACGTCCAAAACATCCCACGCACGATTCCATTCCACTGCCGCGCCGACCTCCCTCTGCGGACCCAAACCACCACAACCCGCCCCCGGCCATGATGGCATCGGGGCTAACTATCCTGTACTTCGCGCCCTGTACTCGCGCCCTGTCCCGCCCCCGTCGGACCTTTCTCCAGCCCGTCGTTTGTTCGCTTTTTCGCTTGGTTGCCCATCACCCTCGTCGCCCGGTTCGCCATGCCCGGTCGCGACATCGGTTGCCAGCCGGACCACGACTTGACGTCGGCAGGGTAAGAAAGACGGGTGTAACCCCCGGTCTGGCAGATGGAGGCTGCGTGGGTTTGGTTTGAGCGTACTACGTACTATGTAAGGCGAGGGCGAGGGCCGAGTTGCTCCCCAAGTACCGCTGCTCGGCGTATGCTGCCGGTCTTCCAGCTTGGGATACACACACTTTCCCAACATGACGACGTGGACTCATGCTTTGCGCTGGCGCGGGCAACGGCGGACCACCGAACTTACAGACGTGGGCACGTAGAAACCGGAGACGCAGCGACCCGGCGCCTCAAGACAAAGCAGCCCGTTTCACTACCGGGCTCTGAACGCACAACCCCAATCTCCAGTGTCCTATCGCACCTAGTCTGTTTCACCAACTCAGCCCGGGTCAACAACAAGCTTTGGCCTTTGAAGCCCCCCGGTTGACCATGGACCCATTCAACGTCCGATCCAGGAGATCCTGCCAATTCACCCGGAGTATGGCCGCTCTGCTGTCTGCCGTGTAATTATCGCCTTGAGCGGTCCATGTGTAATGTCGTCTAGCCACGTAGATTGCATCGTCGTATTAGTTCAAAAAGTATCATCAACCGTGATGGAGAGAAAGAACGTAATGGCTAATTTCTCTCGGCTGGAAATAGTAGCGGGTGGCAATTCCCTCCCCCTGATATCTCTCAATACCAATGAAGTGTGTCTTGGTTTGATCCGAGTTGATTCAGAATGGGTCGTGCAAGGTTGAAAGACGAGGGCTCCTCCCCGAACAAAGGATTTATTCACACTTGACACGTTGGAAACAAATCATAAGCTGCGAGTTAAAAGATTGCATGGTAGATCATCTCTATTCAGTAGCTTATAGATGAAAACCCAACTGGCAAACATCCCGCCGTCCTTCGTGCCGTATCCTGCGGTGCAGTCCAAGACGCCATAGTCCATACCAAAAATATCCTCACCGCTGGTTGTTCAAAATATAAAAGAAAAGAAATCCATATCCCGGTTTGAGTCGGGTCGTCTATCCAAAATTTGACGTGAGAAGAGTAAGAAAGAAAGCAGTTGGGCGCTTGAGTATGTGGAGCCGAAGGGGCGGGTAAATTCATGACATCCCCAACAATTGCTCAGATATATATACCGCGAGGAACCGCCTTACTCCTTGGTCGCGTGTTGATCACCAAACGGACTGCTGTCTCGTCGTTGGGAAGAGCCTCGCTCAGAACTCCGATCAGTCTCGCCAGCAGAGTCTTCCATCACTGCTCCCAGCCCGGGGGTGGTGCTCGACTTCTGTGGGGTTGACCGGTCTGGAGGGTCTGAAAAGGGACCTTGGTCGACTGACGGAGAGTCATCAATGATGGTGATGGCGCTAGAGTCTCGAGTCGGGTTTCCGCCGGGTGTGGTAGGTCGTGATTGGGCTGGCAGTGAGAGTGTTGTTGATGAGTCGGTATCAGACTTGGGTGCAATATCGATTTTCTTGAGTCCTACAACCTTGACAACCTGGGCACGAGCCTGCGTAGCAGTGTTGGCGCTGTTGAGGAAGGTCGAGCCAACGCTGAACGCACTGGCTCCGCTCTTGGGTCGTCCTGAGCCAAACCTCTGGAAATCAATCGTCGGGACTGGAGGTGTGTTGACTTCCAAACTGCTGTTTCCAGTGGACTTAACGCTGACAACAGTAGGCTTGGCACGCATGCCGGTTTGGGCGGGAACCTGGACTTGTGCCTGCTTGCCGTAGATGGTTGACGCGACACTGGATCGGGGTGCATATGAGGTGCGGGCGTAAGAGGTTCGGTCAGAGTAGCCAGACAGGCCTGAGTAAGTCGAGTCTCGAAGGTCACCCGGAACGAAAAAGTGCTGCTCGTCGTTTCCTAGGGGACTTCGACCCTCGGTGTGCTGTACGGGGATCGGCGGGACGGGAGGGACGGGAACGCTGGGAGAGTTCGGGGTCGCCCGGTTTGTGACGCCAGGGATGTAGGCAATCTGGATGATGTTGGATGCTCTGGTAAGAACAGTAGAAGCGATAGAGTGGACGGTGTGTGTGGATGGTGGGCGAGTCCTCCTTGAAGCGGCATCCTTCTCGGAGCCTTGCACGGCGTCCATATCCTGGACGTAGATAGACGTAGGGATCTGAGATCTCTTCGGCTTGATACAGAACCTCCAGACCAGATAGGTGGCGACGGCGATAACGACAAGGCCACCAAGAACGCCGCCGACGATACCGCCGACACTGGGACCGCTGCTACCTGAGCTGGAGCTGGATGTATCGTCTTGCATGCAAATCGACTTCGCGCATTGTGTACAGTCGAGAGGGACGGTAAACTGGCAGCTCTCGCCATCGCTACACTTTGGGCATTCGAGTTGGGTAGAATCGTCGCAGGCCACGCAGTTGGTACTCCGAGGAACCAGATGCATCACTGTGTATGTGAGGTTAATTATTGCTGCGAACTCGGAGGGTTCGGTTCTTCATTTACCATGGCTCAACTCGTCCAAATCCCTGGCAATGAGGAATGGTGTATTCTCCATGGCGATGACACGCAACGGTGATCGTGTCGTGGGTAGATGGTTGGCGAGTGTCGATCACTTTGGATGATCGCTCCGGACTAGTTCGGCGATTCTAGATCTTGTTGAAGATGATACTGGTGGTGGATGTTTGATAGATAATATAGAAAATAAAATGAGAGATCGGCTGGGTCGTCGAGTCTTTGGCGCCCGAGTAGTTTGAACGGTCGTTGCGCGCTGTGGAAGCGGATTCGGCGAGGAAGTGAGACGGGTTTGCGAGAAGAGAGGAGGAGTAACGAGTGTAATCAGAGACTGGCTCGGAGGAAGGAGGGAATAAAAAAGAGGGCTCTAAGAGAGAAAAGAACGAGACATCATCGACCAGTGCGACTAAAAGAAGCGACACGAATCAGAGGCAAAAATACCAGAGGTTTCGCTGCAAGTCGGGAGGGATTGAAGGGTCGATGGTTTCGCAGATGCGCTCGTTGGGCAGAGGAAGGATGAAGGAGCGAGAGGAGAGGGTCAAGAGGGTCGAGACGTGCGAAGAGCGCCCCAGCAGCACGCCCGCGACTGGGCGAGCAGTCCAGGACATGGAGCAGGTGCGACAGGGGACCCGTCACGCTTTGTCCTCTTTAGGACTAGCGAAACCATTTAACGGGCACCAGTCTTTCGCACGGTGTGCCATGGCGCCTACGGCCCCTGATTCGCGGCCTGGAGGGACGCCACCAGTCCACTACGAGCCCACTGCAACCAACAAAGCGCCCCCAAGCAACCCCGGAACCATGCCCACCACTCTGTGCGGAAGGCCCCTTGATTTCCTAAACTGGCACTGTACCATGGATGGAACCCTGGCGTTAGATTTGTGGTGGGTGGTGAGCGGTGGATGGTGATTGAACAGGCTCTGAGCACGGTAATAACTCACGGCTCCCAAGACGGACTCAGGCGTCGCATGGTCCGCGGCCGACAGCCAGCTTCAGGTCAGGTGTAGGTGCCAGCTCGACGAACATGAGGTTCGCTGGGCGACACGGCCCTGTCCCGTCCCAGCTCCAGCTGCCGTAACGGACAGACACCTCTCGGCCGGGACACCTCGGCGGGTAACAGATGTGCAGTGCCCTGGCATGTTGCTGTGCGAGATGCCATGTACGTAACTCGTACATTGCGGTCGTGAGGCACGAGAAGGACGGGAGCCAAAGAACGCCGCCCAGGAACACAAGGAATTACGAGGCTTCGACGCAGTGTCGCCATCCATCCATCCATGGCTCTCTACCCGGGCGGCTTGGCCTGTCTCGCCCAACCAATACCTTTCATCCACCCAGGACCACCCGAGGCCACAGCACCCAGCAGCGCGCAAGGATCTGGATGGATGGGTTCTCGGGCGCTGGAGGCGCGGGTTTGCATACCAAACGCTGGCCGGCGTTGTTGCAGAATGGCTTTGTCCCTCGCGTCCTCCCAGGCGATCATCTCACATCCCTTCGACCAGGAATTGCTTCGCCGCCCCCGCGCATGCCGTCGCCGTCGAAGTGAACGGCGACGGTGGCGCGGACGGTGAAAACGATGATGAATGTTGTTGTGACCATTGTCGTGGCCTTGCTCCAAAAGTACGTCGTATTGCGTATTGCGTGGCTCCGTGGGCGACATTACGCTGGCCTCTCCGTGATTTGTTAATTTGCATCCACAGCGAATCAGAGCCTAACGCCGTAACCTTCCCAGAAACCTTCTAGCCGTTGTGTCTGGACTCCAGATGCCTGTTGGCTGCGGGAATCTCCAGGTCAGAGCAACGTTGCCAGTGCCAATGTCCCAGAGAAATCATTTGTTTGTGTGACTGTCGACAGGGAGCCAGCAAGGGCTTCTGGGAGCAGTTAGAGGGGACAGTGTCGCGATCTCAGCTTTCCATCACACTCACTTTAAAACATCTGGAGCGGGGACTTGCAGATCTTTGCCATCTCTGTCACTACATCAAGGAGAGGATCCAGGGGCAGAATTGGCGGGGCATATGGTCCCTCCCAAACAACCGTCAAAAGTCGCTCGCGCGTTACTTTACAGCAATCATTCGAGATTCAGCTTCTGAGCAGGGTTAACAATACCACATCCCAGGTGTTCACCTGCCGTCTTCCTTGGAATTAACACCGAAGGCAGTTCTTAATGGGAGGGTCCAACAGGGCAACTTAGTTTGTTTCGAGGTTTCGAGCGCCGGAACCACACGCCTCTTCCGAGTTATCAGCCGAACACATTCTTACCAACATCAGGCGGTCGTTTGCTTCCCCAGGCGAGGCTATCTGCTCTCATGGTTGCGAACTTATGTCAGCAGAAGGTGCCGGGGATGCTAAGGTGGGGAGCCACAGTAATAAACATGGAAGTCTCGGCGACGCACCCACAAGTCTGGGGGCGAGAACAGTGCTCCCAACCACCCAATTTGCGAACGAAAGACGGGTCCCAAATCTTGGATGTCCAAGGAATGTTAGTGGGGGACACATCAACCGGTTTAGCCATATGCGTTCCCGGAGCTGATGTGTTGGCTCGCCACCTCGGTACGGGGAATCAAATGGCTGAGTCGTGACGTGCTCCATACAGTGTTGAGAACCATTTCAGAGTGCCATCCGTCGGATATCTCAAATCCAGTGGACCGGTTCAGATACTTCAGCAGAACACGGTTCAAGCATGTCTCGGGATCTGAGCCGAGCGATGGGTGCCTTTTTGAGTCTGGACGGGAGTCTATCCCCCGGGCAATTCCCTGTCCCTATGCGAAATGTGCAGTGCAACACTCCGGAGAATTCGCGGAGCTGGTTGCTGTTGGGAGGGGAGAGATACCGTATCCACAGCTTGAGCCTCGCATAGAGTAGCTGACCAGTTATGCCTCCAGAGAAGCAAACTCCAATGGCTTAGATTAATTTGGGAAGAGAGATGATCAATAGAGACAGCAGTTCAATCATGGCCTCTGTCCACCGTCTTGGCATAAGGCACATACGCGGAAACCATATCTGTGGGCACGGAGAATGAACGGCCCGTGCTATCCGGGAGCTGACGTGAGGCGGAGGCGCTCAGTGCCGGCGGGCAATGTCACCATGATCCCCTGCTTCCAGCTTCCAGCTTCCTGCTTCCCGGCCCTGTGTATTTGAGGATTGATATGGCCCGCCAAGCCACCCGCAGTCAGAATAGCAGACTCTTTAGCCCGCTATGCTGCCAGAGTCGGCCTAATGCTTACTGTGCAAAGAGAAAGAAGCGATGAACAGGTCTAGCCTCCTGTACCTAGGCATGTGCATACCACGCAGTAAGCTGATGGCCAGGTCTGGTCTGCTCACAGCCGACGAAGCGTGCTGCCCTGCACCTTAGCGCGCCTGCGCCCCAATGTTGTACCTGGGTACGTACCACACCAGCCCCATTGCTCGCCTCATCCCAGCCAATCTTACTATTTTTGGGACGTCAATGGCAGATTCTTCACGCTCCGGGTCCTGTTTCGAAGTAAGAGGTGGACCCAGTTCCTTTCTGCCAAGGGGGGATTCAGGATTTTGCCTCCCAAGCAGCAAGGCACCGCGATGAGACTGGCTCTGCGGACTGGCAGATGGGCGGATGTGAGATCGGATGGCACAAAGCACAAGTGCAAGCACAAGCAAGCACACACCGTCATTCGGTACGCGGTGATGCCCGGCAGCCCTTTTCTTTGTCACTTGGCCCCAGCCCCAAGCCTTAGAAGTGGGCACGACCCTAGCCGCTCAGCCTAGAGCAGCCAAATCTGACTGATGGTATGGTGAGCCTCGGGATGGCTGGTCTGACTCTCAGGCCCTCTAGTCCTCACCCAACTAAGATGGCCTGGGCTTGCTGCGAGGCGCTCTCAAGCTCAGCGGCTGAGGCCGGATGGGAAGGATCGTAAGCCGCCAGGGCGTTCAAGCGGGGACGGATTGCCTTAGGGACGATGGATCACTACCTATCCGGTCCATAGCAGTGAGAGCCTGGCGCTGGGAAATGAGGTACAGCGCATCACGCAGGCCATGCGAGGGGGGCGCGTGCATTTAGGGCTGGGATCCTCGCAGTTGCAAGTTCGCATTCGCCGATGGCCAGTTGAGTTTCCAAGTGCTGCATGATTGAATTGGAAGGGGGGCTGTAGTGGGCGGGCATTTCGTGATCACCGAGCGGCGACGTGAGTGGCATTTGGCAGGGTGAACGAGGCAAAGAGATGCATGACCGAATAGACGAATGGCAAATGGATGCAAGCAGCAGGGGAGGAGGGGGGGCGACCATTCCCCGGCCCTTCTCCATTCGTAGCGCGCGGCGCCAGGTGGCTGATGGCTTATTTTGGGGGGCGTCAGGCCTACCTAGGCCTGGTAGTTGGTGTTGGTGGGCGGACTGACGTAGCTGGACTACGCAGCGGCACACTGGAGCCCGCTGAAAGCCTGCTGGATGCTTAGGTGGCTCGGGGAGCCTGCACTTCGTACAGTACGACGAAGCAGTGCATTGGGTGGGTGGCTCCTCGTGTCTCTGGGTGGAACAAGGGATGGATCCTCCCCCCCAAACACGGTGGAGTGGCTCAGCAGGCTTAGCGCGTCAGTCCCCTATTCTTGAGTCCAGCTCGCTGCAGGCGGCCGTGGCCCTTGACCCGTGGAGCGAAATCAGATCCGTCCTTCATCAAAAACATTTCTGAAAACCCGACGCCCTGTCGCTCCTGATCTTATTCCATCCTCCTCCTCTTCCTCTCACCCATTTCTCCCCCGACATCCCCGTTCTTTTGAGGCTGGTGCCTCATCGCTCGCGTTGCGAATCGTTGCTCGGGTCGTCTGCTTTGTGCTTCCAGGTAGCTCATACCGCCGTTGACGCAAGCCCGTGACTGCGATTGGATTTCCTTGTTTCTCCTGTTTCAGCTCCCGCACTCCCCCAGACAACAAAAAGGCTGCCCTTAGCCCAACCTGCAAATCCGTCATCCCGAACAAATCGATCCCTCAACCCTTGATCAGACGGGTTTTCATTGCGAGGCTCCGGGAGCAAATTATTCAAGATGGCATACAATGGCCGTGGTCAGGAGTACGGTGGCCACCCCATGCAGGATCTTCCTGCTGGAGGCAACGTGAGTGCACACCAGTGCTGCTGCTGCTGACACCTGTTCTAACTTTGTCCAAAAGTACCACCTCCCCCCTCAGGAGAGCGACGAAGAAGCAGGCCGACATCTCCTGAACTCGGGCTACGAACAAGATCGACTTGGCGCCAGGACTCCCCCAGACCGTCCCGTCTCCGCCTACAGTCTGACTGAGTCCTACGCCCCCAACGCAGCCCAGCACCAAGGCCCTGGTTTCGGCAGTGACAACGGCGGTAACAATGGCTCATTTGGCCAGTTCAACACTGAGGCCCCCTACGGTCGACCTGAGTCCGCCTTCGACCCCGATGACAGCTGGGTCCAGCGTCAGCAGCAGCCCGCCATGGGTGCTGGTGGCGGTGGCCTCGGTCGCTCAAAAACCCGTAAGGTCAAGCTTGTCCAGGGTTCCGTTCTCAGCATCGACTACCCGGTGCCTTCCGCCATCAAGAACGCCATTCAGCCTCGTTACCGCGATGCCGAGGGTGGCAGCGATGAGTTCGTCAAGATGCGATACACAGCCGCCACTTGTGATCCCAACGACTTCACCTTGAAGAACGGTTACGATTTGCGACCCCGTATGTACAACCGACACACTGAGTTGCTCATTGCCATCACCTACTACAACGAAGACAAGGTGCTGGTTTCCCGTACCCTACACGGTGTCATGCAGAACATCCGTGATATTGTCAACCTCAAGAAGTCGACCTTCTGGAACAAGGGCGGCCCCGCTTGGCAGAAGATTGTTGTGTGCCTGGTTTTCGATGGTATCGACAAGGCCGACAAGACCGTTCTTGATGTCCTTGCCACTATCGGTATTTACCAGGATGGTGTGGTCAAGAAGGATGTCGATGGCAAGGAGACAGTCGCTCACATTTTCGAGTACACCAGTCAGCTTTCCGTCACTCCCAACCAGCAGCTCATCCGACCCACCGATGACAGCCCCCAGAACCTGCCCCCGGTTCAGTTCATCTTCTGTTTGAAGCAGAAGAACACCAAGAAGATCAACTCTCATCGTTGGCTCTTTAACGCCTTCGGCCGCATCCTGAACCCCGAGGTCTGTCTGCTCCTTGATGCCGGTACCAAGCCCAGTCCCCGATCTCTGTTGGCTCTCTGGGAGGGTTTCTACAACGACAAGGACCTTGGTGGTGCTTGTGGTGAGATTCACGCCATGTTGGGTAAGGGTGGCAAGAAGCTGCTCAACCCGCTCGTTGCTGTCCAGAACTTCGAGTACAAGATTTCCAACATTCTAGATAAGCCTCTAGAGAGCTCTTTCGGCTACGTCTCTGTATTGCCTGGTGCTTTCTCTGCCTATCGATTCCGAGCCATTATGGGTCGCCCTCTGGAGCAATATTTCCATGGTGATCACACCCTGTCAAAGCAGCTCGGAAAGAAGGGTATCGATGGTATGAACATTTTCAAGAAGAACATGTTCTTGGCTGAGGATCGAATTCTGTGTTTCGAGCTTGTTGCCAAGGCTGGTCAGAAGTGGCACTTGAGTTACATCAAAGCCGCCAAGGGTGAAACCGATGTTCCCGAAGGTGCTGCTGAGTTCATCAGCCAGCGTCGACGATGGCTCAACGGTTCGTTCGCCGCCTCGCTGTACTCTCTGATGCACTTCGGCCGAATGTACAAGAGTGGACACAACATCATCCGCATGTTCTTCTTCCACATTCAGCTCATCTACAACTCCCTGAACCTCATGTTCACCTGGCTCTCTCTCGCGTCTTATTACCTCACTACTTCCGTCATTATGGACCTTGTCGGTAACCCCAATGTTATTACCGGATACCACGGTTGGCCATTCGGTGACAAGGCCACTCCTGTCGTCAACTCCATTCTCAAGTACCTCTACCTCGCCTTTGTCATCCTGCAGTTTATCCTTGCTCTGGGTAACAGACCTAAGGGTTCCAAGTTCACATACATCGCCTCATTCGGTCTTTTCTCTCTCATCCAGGGTTACATCTTGGTTCTCTCCGCCTACCTTGTCGTTCGCGCACTGAACACTAACCTCGGAGACCAAATCTCGTTTGCTTCTGGTGAGGCTTTCGTCAACAGTTTCTTTGGTGACAGCAGTGCTGCAGGTGTTATCATTGTGGCCCTCATTACCATTTACGGTCTGAACTTCATCGCCTCCTTCATGTACCTCGACCCTTGGCACATGTTCCACTCCTTCCCTCAGTATCTCTTCCTCATGGCTACCTACATCAACATTCTCATGGTCTACGCCTTCAACAACTGGCACGATGTTTCTTGGGGTACCAAGGGATCTGACAAGGCCGAGGCTCTCCCCTCCGCCCACGTCACCAAGGGTGAGAAGAACGAGGTCGTGGTTGAAGAAATCGTACAGGAGCAGGAGGATATCGATAGTCAATTCGAGCAGACTGTCCGACGAGCCCTGGCTCCCTTCAAGGAGGAGGAGGAGATCGAGAAGGCGGATGTTGAGGATTCCTACAAGTCCTTCCGAACTGGTCTCGTCGTCACGTGGCTGTTCTCCAACATTTTCCTCACGATTGTCATTACAAGCGACACCTTCGACAATTTCCACATCGGAGTACGTATTCAGTCCGACTTTATGTATCAACCCCCAATACTAACAATGTTCTCCAGGACTCTGCCACTGTGCGAACAGCCAACTACTTCAAGTTTCTGCTCTACGCCACAGCCGTGCTGTCTCTCGTCCGATTCTTCGGCTTCCTTTGGTTCTTGGGTAAGACCGGTCTCATGTGCTGCTTCGCCAGACGATAAGCACCTCACACTCCGCGCTTTTGGGAATCGGTGGATATGTAGGGTATGACGGGTGTCAGTAGATAAATTGGCTCGTTATGGTATACCTGAGTTTTGTAACGTCTTTCTTCTTCTTGTTTTGAGTATTAATGGATGGCAAATCAAAAAGAGTATTGTGTATTTGAGGCGTCTTCCAATGGATTTGGACACGACAAGTATCTAGTCTAATTTGGCATCTATCGGGGATTATGAAAAACTTGACTCATGAGATTTTATATTAATTTCGATGCACCACTGCGTGAATTGCCATGACTGCTCGAGAGTGCGTGACGGTACATGAGTGTGTGAGGGCTTGAGTTCTGCGTATTGTGTGTGGGGTGCGTCATCATGGTCCTTCCTTCGCCATGATGATGCGTGGCTGTGGTTGGCCGCCTAAACCTCGGTGGGTTGGGATTTTGGATGCCTTACGGCTATCTTATCAAGCATCATCGCCTTTTCGACCAAGCCGCCCTCCCACCATACCGTGCTCGTTCCAACCACCCTCTCGTGAGACACGACGTCTTGACCAACTGCGCTATATTTCAAGCGTCGTCTTTCTTCTTGTGTCTCCCTACGAGAGGTTCTCCGTCGCTTTTCTCTTCCACCCCCACCCCTCTACAAACGCCGAGCGTATCCAACACAACCCACCCTTGGGCCCCCACCTCTCACGATGTTGAAGATATGGTCCATGGTGCGTCCTCTTGCCACGCGCCTTGTGAGGCTTCGATCTAACAGCCGGGTAGAAAAAGGAGCAGAAGGAAGCAGAGAATGCCGAGGGACAAGCTGCCGGAGGGAAGAAGAAGAAGGTGACCGCCGCGCAGCTGCGTGTGCAGAAGGGTACGTTGAGCCTATTGGGACAGCACCATATTCCCCAGCTGCGTAGCTTTTAGGAGGCTAACTCTATGGGTGACAGATCTATCAGAGCTTTCCCTAGGCTCGACCATGCAGACCGAGTTCCCTGACCCCGACGACATCCTTAACTTTGTCCTCACGATCGACCCAGACGAGGGAATGTACCGAGCCGCCAGATTTACATTCGACTTTCAAATCAACCAGAACTTCCCTCATGAGCCTCCAAAGGTCCGGTGCCGGGAGAAGATTTATCATCCCAATATTGATCTCGAGGGCAAGGTGTGCCTGAATATTCTGCGTGAAGACTGGAAGCCCGTCTTGAACCTCAATGCAGTGATTGTTGGATTACAGGTACGGCATGCTTGCTTCGATCGCCGTCGCCACTCCGTGAACCCCATGTTCTAGTGGCCCGTCAACTTGGCGGAGACCAGAAGATGACGGGAGAGCGATGTAACGGGACATGGGCTAACACAATCTACAGTTCCTCTTCCTCGAGCCCAACGCCTCGGACCCGCTGAACAAGGAAGCGGCTGAAGACCTGCGAAACAACCGCGAGGGGTTCAAGCGCAACGTACGGACGGCCATGGGTGGAGGTGTGGTTAAGGGGTCGTCATACGATCGGGTTTTAAAATAGGCGGGTTGAGCGAACTCGGAGGCGTGTGTGTTGTCGGGGATGCATCCCCGTAGTCGTTTCATGGGAGCAGACATGAGATTGGGGTGAGGAGATTGGGACGAGGAGATGGACGGCGAACACCATTTTAGCGAGCATAAAGAGGATTCGCAGCATTCCCCCGGCGTCGTACGAGTCCATAATCAGAGCAGGTATTGCTCTTCTTTTATGACAGCATTCCAATTGCTTTTGCGGGCCAGAAAGCGGGAGGCTAGCTGGAAAGTGGTTGACAGACACTAGAGAAAGACATGTTTAACAATTCGACGAGGAACGAGAGCACCGTTCGGACGGACAGATGGCTTGACGTGTTGTGCGTTGTTTTGATCGTGTGCTGGCGCGTTCACCGACATTGTAAAGATCCGATGCTGAACTTGGATTAAAGTCGACTGTCGCCTGCAGCAAGCCACGACACCGATGAGCGTGGGGTTGACCCACTCGGCGGACAATGCATATCATGGAGACGTCGACTTCACAAGCGAAGTCATGAATATTTAGGAAATGATCAGTTGATGTGTCTTGAGACTTGGACGCACCATAATGTTGTCTCGAGCATGGAATTGAACAATTGAGCAGAGTGTCTAGGGTAGCTCCAGAGTCAGGCCGTGGAATACCCGTGCGGTGGCGGAGGGTAAGTACCTACCTTAGGTCTCTGACGCCGATGCCCTACTTATTATTACCTACCGACCTATTCCCCTGGCTGACGTGGAACATGGGTTTTGTCGCCCCGGACGCAACGACGGCGGCCTGCTTACGAACGCACCAAGCATGGTAGGTAGGGTAAGGGCCCGGGTGGCCACAGCGACGTCGCCGGTTGGGTGGAATGAGGTGAGTCAAAAGCCGCCGGCCGGATTCTGTGGCCCACAGCTGCAACTCCTCCGGATGAGGGGGTATCTGGTACCTGCGCCTGCGCGGTGTCCCCGTGCGGAGGCGGGTTCCCGGTACCGGCGCGGACTGTGGCCTCCAGATCGTGAGACCGTGTCAGACAGTACAGGCACAGGCCATCAGTGTAGCAGAGGGTAGCGGTAGGTAACGTAAGGTCGCAGAGGGTAACGTAAGGTAGCAGCTGGTATTTAGCAGTCGGTTCCGGCGACGGTCCAGTGGCGGCCCAGTGATTGCCCCCCCCTACAGCCCACTACAGCCCACTACAGTCCCCCCGTGGCCCTCCGCTGTCCCCCGCTTGCTCGGCGTCGGACCCACTCTGCCACTCCTGCACTGGCCGAGATCGGTGAGTCGGCTCCCAGCCAGAAAATTTAGCTTTGACCTGACCTTCATCGCCAGACTCTGTTCTGTTTTGCCCTCCCCCAGACTCTCTCCCCTCACATCCATCATCAAAATGGCCTCGCGAAGCTTCACCAAGACCCTCCGCGGCTCAATGGCCCGCCAATTGGCGGCGCCCGCCGTTCAGCAGCGCACCTTTGTTGCTGCTGCCCGCAGCGCCGCCCGCCCGGGTGTCGTCGCCCGCCCTGCCCTGGCCAGCCTTGCCCAGCAGGTCCGTGGTGTCAAGACCATGGACTTTGCCGGCCACAAGGAGGACGTTTACGGTGAGTCGAGCCTCCAGCCTGTCGCGGAAAATTGACCCGCGGTGTCTCGGCCGTACAATTGCTGACGACGGTGATGTAGAGCGTGCCGACTGGCCCCAGGAGAAGCTTCTTGTGAGTCACCCCTCCCCCACCGCTTAACTGGTGGCCACCAAACGAAAAATCCAACATGGGATACTAATGCATTTTTCAGGAGTACTTCAAGAACGACACTCTGGCCCTCATTGGCTACGGCTCTCAGGGCCACGGCCAGGGTCTTAACCTCCGTGACAACGGCCTCAACGTCATCGTTGGTGTCCGAAAGAGCGGCAAGTCCTGGAACGACGCCATCGAGGATGGCTGGGTTCCTGGCAAGAACCTGTTCGAGGTCGACGAGGCCATCACCAAGGGTACCATCGTCATGAACCTCCTCAGTGACGCCGCTCAGTCTGAGACTTGGCCCGCCATCAAGCCCCAGCTCGTTGAGGGCAAGGTAAGCCTACCCAAACTAATCTCAGATACACCCGAATCCCCAAAGCTGACCGGGAAACCCCCTTCGTAGACCCTTTACTTCTCCCACGGCTTCTCCCCCGTCTTCAAGGACCTCACCAAGGTCGAGGTCCCCACCAACATCGATGTCATCCTCTGCGCTCCCAAGGGCTCTGGCCGAACCGTCCGATCCCTGTTCCGTGAGGGCCGTGGCATCAACTCCTCCTTCGCCGTCTTCCAGGACGTCACTGGCAAGGCCGAGGAGAAGGCTATTGCCCTTGGTGTCGCCATCGGCTCCGGCTACCTCTACAAGACCACCTTTGAGAAGGAGGTCTACTCAGACCTTTACGGTGAGCGTGGCTGCCTGATGGGTGGTATCCACGGCATGTTCCTCGCCCAGTACGAGGTTCTCCGTGAGCGTGGCCACTCCCCCAGCGAGGCCTTCAACGAGACCGTTGAGGAGGCTACCCAGAGCTTGTACCCCCTCATTGGTGCCAACGGCATGGACTGGATGTACGAGGCTTGCTCCACCACCGCCCGCCGTGGTGCCATTGACTGGTCTCCCCGCTTCAAGGATGCCCTGAAGCCCGTCTTCAACCAGCTTTACGACTCCGTCAAGGATGGTTCCGAGACCCAGCGATCCCTGGACTACAACAGCCAGAAGGATTACCGTGAGAAGTACGAGGCCGAGATGGAGGAGATCCGTGGCCTCGAGATCTGGAGGGCTGGCAAGGCTGTCCGGTAAGTTTATCATGACTCTGCCTATTTGTTTGTTTGTTCCGTTTGACTAACATGATACCAGCTCTCTCCGACCTGAGAACCAAAAATAAGCGGCGGATTGGCGTTGACACAGGAGGAATGGTGGAACGGCTTGGCAAAACTTGTGAACTTTTGTATTTCTATTCCTGGGCTCTCGAAGGGGATCTTGGCTTGTCCAAAAGTTGAAAATCTGGCTCTTGGCCAACTCAATACCAAAGTTTCTATTTCTAATTCTGCGCCCTTTTGACATGATAAGCGGGTCATGACATGGTTGGCGGGACCGTTGACCTGTAACGTTGGCGAGAGAAGGCGAGCCGACGACGGATATTCTGTCTAGTTCCATGAGTAAAACAGCTCAAGAGGGTCGGGTCATGGGCTGATATTGCACTCAACACTATCCCACAACATCGCAACCGCAACACGTCCAGCTCCAGCCCCAGCCTCGAATATATCCATCATGGCCGACCTTTCAACGACGCTCCCTCTGACGCGGGCCTCCGTCATCGAGGCACACAAACTCGTCAAGCCACATGTGCACCTCACGCCCGTCCTGACGAATCGGACTTTGTCGGAGCTGGCATCGACGCCCCGCGCGGCAGAGGAGCTGGCCGGCACACGGTGGGCTGGGCGGACGCCGGCCAGGCCTGTGCTGCGGCTGTGGTTCAAGTGCGAGAACATGCAGCGCATCGGCGCCTTCAAGGCGCGAGGTGCGTTTCACGCCGTCGAGAAGCTGAAGCGGGAGCCTGGGTGGTTGGATGGTGGCGGCAAGGAGAAGGGCGTTGTGACGCATAGTTCCGGTGAGTGTCTGTCGTTGCTTCATTATCTCGCCGGATTATGGCCGTGTGGTCTCGCCCGGCAACACTCAGGCAGAGCAGATCAACCATACTGACCGCACCATCCACCCAGGGAACCATGCTCAAGCCCTGGCTCTGGCAGCCCGCGAGAGCGGCATCAAGGCGTACATCGTCATGCCCGACATCTCCATCCCGCAGAAGATAGCCGCAACAAAGGGCTACGGCGCAAACGTCATCCACAGCGGCAGCACCAGCGTCGAGCGCGAGGCCGTCGCCAACAAGGTCATCGCCGAGACGGGCGCCCGCCTGGTCCCGCCCTACGACCACCCAGACATCATGCTCGGACAGGGCACCATGGGTCTCGAGCTGCAGCAGCAGGTCGTCCATCTCATGACGGCGGCCGACGGCGAGCCCCGGTTCCGCGCCGCCGCCACGGGCAGAGACAACGCCGGGCCGGGCCGGCCGGGCAGCGCCAAGGCGGAGCCCGGGCTCGACGCCATCATGACGCCGTGCGGCGGCGGCGGCATGCTCTCGGGCGTCGCGCTCAGCTGCGAGGGCACCGGCATCCGCGTCTTCGGCGCCGAGCCGTCGTACCAGGGCGCCGACGACGGCAAGCGCGGCTACGAAGCCGGCGAGCGCGTGCCCGCGGTCAAGACGCTGACCATTGCCGACGGGCTGCGCACCCCCGTGGGCGAGCACCCATGGGGCGTCATCTACGAGCGGCGGCTGGTGGCGGGCATGTACAGCGTGACCGAGGACGAGATCCGCGCCGCCATGCGCCTCGTGTTGGAGCGCTTCAAGATGGTTGTTGAACCTAGCGGTTGCGTGCCTTTGGCCGTGGCACTGTTTGACGAGGACTTCCGTAGCATGGTGGAGCGGGAGGCCGGCGAGCATGGCTGGGATTTGGGTTTGGTGTTTAGCGGTGGTAATGTGGGTGCTGATGCTATTGGAAAGTTATTTGCAGCATAGAGCAACAGTGAGAAGTCGTGGCTCTGACGTGGTTATCAGATGGAAAGGAGTATAGACGAACTCATTATTTTCAATCTCTACCTATCCCAACGTCTATACATACAACATAAATCATCCCAAACTGTTGTTGTTCCAGCATATCCTTTTTGTCCTTTTGGTGCCATATAGCAACTACACGCATCGAATCAGACCCTATCTGTATATATGCGGCCACTTATTAACCGTTCAAAGCTTCATCCATCCCCACTCTCCACTTCGTGGAATTCTTGCGTAAAATCCAGATCCCCAAGTAACTCGACAACATGCAGAATATGCATATAGAGGTAAAAACCCAGCCCACGTCAATGGCGTTGATCCATGGGGCGGCCACAACTGCGCCGATACAGCTCAGGATGTTACGCACAAAGTTGTTGATGGCGACACCGGCGGAGCTGCGTTTGCGGATGAACTCGGTAAGCATAGTCGTTGCGGCGGACTTGTAAGTTGGTTAGTCTTGTAATCCTGGTGTGCAACGGGAGGAAACGGGAATCTTACAAAGATGAGCATCGAGCCAAGTCCGAAGAAGAAAAGAGCAATAGCGGGCACCATGAAATGGACCCCGTACTTGAGAGACCACCCAAACATGAGCAATGCTAGGGGATAAACTGTCACAGCAATCCAAGCATTTTCTCGAAGGCGGTCCTCGGGGAAGTATATGAGCCTCCCATTTTCATCATAGCGGTTCGCCTTGCGGGCCTCTCGCGCCATGATATTGTCAATCCACTTGCCGCCGAAAAGCGAGGCCATAAAGTATCCCAGCCCGGAAGGGATATATAACAAACCAATAATGATCTCCCTATAATTGTATGGCGACTTCGAAAACTTTTGCTGGATGGCGATGTTGGCAATATATAACGAACCAAAGGCAATGGCGGCGATCATGACGGTGATGAGCACGGGTGGGTAGCGCAGGTAGAGGATAACACCAAGGGGGTCGATGAGATATCTCCGGAGAGACTTGGTATAACGCTTAGTTTTTTCTTTTGCGGAATCCATAGTGCGCATCTGCTGTAATTCTTGAGTTTGAGCGGTTGAAGAGGGCTCCTCAGGCTTGCGACGAGCCAGGGTTTCTGGAAGGAAAAAGAGGATCATCAAGAGGACAATCAAGCCGTAGATGGCGAGGAACCACATGGTCGCCTGCCAGCCGAGTTCCTGCGTGACCACACCACCGATGATCGGGGCAATCAAGGGGCCCAGCAGAGGGCCGAGATAAAAGATGCTCATCGCTCGACCTCGTTCGAAGACTTCAAACAGGTCAGCCACGGAGCCGGCGCCTGTGGAATGAGCACTCGCAGAGGCGCCACCCGCGCACATTCGGAATATGATGAGCATTGTGATGTTGGTGCTGATGGCCGAGAGAATGGAAAAGATGACGAAGAGAGTGAACGAGATGAGGTAGATGGAGCGGCGGCCAAACTCTTCTGAGAAGGAAGACCACCAGAGAGGAAAGATGGCCATGGAGATCATGTACAAAGCTACAGACAAGTTGGTGATAGTCTCAGAAGCATGGAACTCCTTGGCTAGGACGGGGAGGGCGGCTTATTCTCTGTTAGCACCATGTAACGCTGTATATGAAGTATACAGGGGGAAATACGTACGATAAACGACGGTGGAGCCAAGGGGAGCAGCGGCCGTGGCCAAGGCGATGATACAGACGAGGCCCCATTTTGTTGACCTCTTGTAGTCGTATGGATTTGATACTTCCGGGACGAGAGTGAGACTTCCCAGCAGGCCCCGACGCTTTGAGCGGGGAATAATGGTTAAGGCTCGCGAGCGAGTAGATGAGGCCCTAGACTGGGTTCGTGATCGATGAACTGACTTTGTTTCTATATTTCCCAGGGGCTCGCCTAGGGTGACGACGGGCTGGATTTCATGGAGTGACTCGGCTTGACTGTGAGTCGACTTTGTCGAGTCAGAGTCGGCAGTATGCGGCCGCTCCTCTTCAAGGCCGCGGCCATTTCGCTCTAGGTCGATCTTTTCGTCATCATTCCCGGATTTCATGATGCTTATGCTCGACTGAGAGGGAGCGGTCGCCTCCGAATATATGTGGGACTAGACCAGCCAAGCCGAGGTCAAAATCCAAGTACAAGCCTGATTAGGGAAACAAAAAATCACCGAGAGAAGCGGAAACACAAGTCAAGTTCGGGAGTCAAATAAACCCTAGGGAAACCTCAAAATCAATCCTTTAGATGGCTCTCAAGAGAAGTGTGGAAGCTTTGGGAAGCCGGGACGGGGACCCTGATGACGGGGTCACTGGCAGGCTTTAAAGGGAAACATGTCGGATAAAGGGTCTGCCAAGCTCGCCTAGTCAAAGCTCCAACCAACGTCCACCGACATGCGCAGTCAAGTCATAACTCGGCAACCCAGGCCGGGTAGAGGACTGGGAGATTTGCGGGTGGAGTCATCAAGGAGGAGTGGAGAGGGGCGTTCGCCGAGCACGGGACCGACAGATCGAGAAGTCGGCACTAGGGTGACGAGGTGGTGGTAAATATTTCCGACCGGGAAGAAGGCGGATAATTATTTAGCTGACCAATATGGAACTTGTCATTTGAGGTGCCGATGAATGGGATTGTCCAGTTGTGTGGTGTTTGCTGAACTGTCCGAAGGTGAAAAGGCTCCGGATGGTGATGTAATTCGAAAGGCTTCTCGCGAGATCTGACCCGGTATCCATGGGGGATACAATCGGTAAACATTGCCAGCCATGAGAAAGTGCCGAGGATTGACTTGGATGACGGTTCAAGTTGCAGCCTCTATCTCGAATATGAGGCGGAGTGCAACCCCCTTCTGCATGGTGGCGGCTGCCGCTGCGAAGCGAGCGTATCTCTTCAGCCCGCCTTCAGTGGAGAATGACCAGGAGAGGGATCTTGGGCATCGACTTCGACAAGCATGGCGGGGGAAATGTGGGATACCGGGTGGGGGGCCTGGCTCCTGTGCGATGCCCACATGATGGCTGGGGAGTTAGTTCTCGTTTCGCAGTGTCCTTTGGAATGTCTTCGGAGTCTTTCTTTAGATTCCGGCCAGCGGCCGGCGCGAGGCCATGGAAGTGCGGAAGTAAGGCAGATTCTCAACTGCAGATTCCGGAGCCGACATCGCTCGGGGTTAACACGGCAATAGGAGTGTGCTGTGCTGGTGGTGTAGCTGTGTTGATGAATTGGTAATGCGCTGGATCGAGGATGTTGTTGTAGAGGCGAGGCTCTGATTACCACGCCTTCGTTCGTATGTTATTGAATTCGCCTCCCCTCGTGGATTGGGAAAGTCCCCCTTGGCCATGCCTTCCAGTGCTGAGTGCGAGGCAACTGCCATGGCGGGGTGCATGAACCCCACGTCAAAAAGAAGGGCGCGATGGCGGGGCACACCAAAGACTCGCCCAGTCGCTCACTCAATCATCATCAGATCTTGAGTCATCAACGAGAACGGCACACGACAGCATCCACCACCTTCCACCAGCCGCTGGAAAGGAGCCTCATATATTGGTTGCTTCCTTTTCCATTAAATTGCTTCGTCATCCATCATCATCACCATCGCGTCCTGCAGCCATGTCGCTCACCAACGCCTCCCCCGAGGCCGCTGCCATCGCCGCAAAGACGGCGTCCTTCGCCCTTGCGACTCTTCCCGCCTCAGCCCGCAACGAGGCCCTTGAAGCCATTCACGCTGCTCTCACCGAATCCAGGGATGTTATCCTCGCCGCCAATGCCCGCGACCTCGACCTCGCCCGCAAGGCTGCCGCTGATGGTAGCCTTAGCCAAGCTCTCGTATCTAGGCTCGACCTGGGCAAGAAGGGCAAGTGGGAGGATATGCTTAAGGGTATCTTGGATGTAAGAGATCTCGAGGATCCAAGTATGTCAAAATTTTCAATCATCTCTCTCGTTTCCATCTCATATCACCTCACCAGCCCGGACGAAAACTTCATATACAACATGTGAAAACTAACTTCCCTCCAAGTTGGTCAAATTCAGATGAGGACCAAACTCGATGATGACCTCACCATGGAGCGCGTCTCATGCCCAATCGGTGTCCTTCTCATCATCTTTGAGGCCCGTCCCGAAGTTATCGCCAACATTGCCTCTCTCGCTATCAAGTCAGGCAACGCCGCGATCCTAAAAGGTCAGTCCCAACAATTGTCATCCGACCTCGTCAAGATACACAGACTCACAGTCATCAAGGTGGAAAGGAGTCGACTGAGTCATTCGTCGCCATCTCTCAGGTCATTTCATCGGCCTTAGAAAAGTCCCAGGTTCCCAACTCGGCCATCCAACTCGTCACCACTCGCGATGCTATCGCTGAGCTTCTCGCCCAGGACCGTCATATCGATCTCGTCATCCCTCGCGGTTCCAACGAACTTGTCCGCTACATCAAGGAATCTACCAAGATCCCGGTTCTTGGCCATGCCGATGGTCTATGCCACATCTACCTCACCGACTCCGCTGATAAAGACAAGGCTGCCACCGCCATCGTGGACTCCAAGACCAGCTACCCTGCCGCCTGCAATGCCGTAGAGACGCTTCTTGTCCAGGACTCTGCTCTCACCACCATCTTTCCCAGCGTCGCTTCTGCCCTCGCTGCCAAGGGGGTCTCCCTACGATGTGACCCGGCAAGCAAGGCCGCCATTGCGTCCCTATCGCTCGAGGACGTCCACGATGCCACCGCCGAGGACTACGACACTGAGCACCTCTCCTTGACCATCGGCGTCAAGACAGTTCCCGACATCGACACCGCCATCACTCACATCAACACACACGGCTCTCACCACACTGACGCCATCCTTACCTCCAACGCCGCCGACGCCGAGCGCTTTATGAATGAGGTCGACTCCGCAGGTGTGTACTGGAATGCCGCCACCCGCCTTGCTGACGGTATGCGCTATGGCTTCGGCACCGAGGTCGGTATCAGCACAAACAAGATCCACGCCCGTGGGCCTGTCGGTCTTGAGGGTCTTACCATTTACAAATACAAGATCCGCGGTGACTACCAAGCTACTGCAAGCTACGGCGACGGAGAGGGCAAGCGGCAATGGAAGCACGAGAGGCTCAACCTGTAGAGAGAAAACGACTGACGGACGTGGGCGTTGGGTTTAACAAAAAGCTTGCTTGCATCTTCTTGGATAAGATACTTTAAACATGGGAGTTGCTCACAGATCTCCGCCAATGGTATCATCAATAAAATACTTGACCGCAACGCAGTAGTAATCATATCATTAGTCTACGTGAATCGGACATGGTCTCAAAACAGGCTCCATATCAACGATATAACCCAGCCCATAAGTCCCCGGTTTAACCATCATGTGCCTCTTGCCCCTTTACCTATCATAGCAATTTCGTTAGGAACTGATCTCATATTGCTTGATCAACTCCGCCAACTTGTCTCCCTCCGACTTGAAGTCTGGAACCGACGCGCTCATCACCTGGTATCGTATCCTGGAAACGGTTGTTAGCTCTCAGTCTTCAAGAAAATCACATCACAGTTCATCACTCACTTTGGTGCGTCACCAAACGTGTCCATCTTCGCCCTGCACCGGAAGTTGAGCCTCTTGCAGTTGGCTGCCTCAAACGCGGCCATAAACTTGGTGTCGTCATTCTCCTTGAGCTCCATCAGCTCATTGGCAGTCAGGCCCATAATGATCCGACCAGTGTCGTCGAAGCAGCTGAGCCACTGATGGCTGGTATGATCGGCAACATTTAACGACAAGATGTATCGGTAGTCAGGCTTGTCGTGAGAAACCTGGCACTTCTCGCAGTGCCAGGCATCACCCATGGGCGTCACCTTCTTATTGCAATCTGCAGAGGAGCAGGCAGGGTAGCAGAAGTTATCCTGCTTGATGAAGACAATGGTAGCCTTGACGGAGTAGTAGACTGGGGCGTCCATGCCAATGTTCTCATCCTTGACCTGAGAAATGGTCTTCTCTTCGTCCTTTCGACCGGTAGCACCGCTCATACTTGTCATGTTCTGATGGGTAGCAAAGGTATCATTTCGACCAGCTGAGTCATACCAGCCCTTGAGCCTGTGTGCATCGGGGATGTCAGGGTCAATGGACATGGTTCCCGAGGAGAGTAGACTGAGGCTCTTGCCGTTGAAGTCGGACACCTTGGTACCCTTGAATGCAATGACAGACTCTGGCGGCGAGTCAAACGAATTTGCGATCTTGCCCCAGACAGTAACGCGAACTGAGTAGCTAGTGTCGTCCACAATGGTAAGATCTCGCTTCTGGAAGGGTCGCCCATCCTTCTTGGAGGTAATCTCGTTGATCTCGCCAACTTCCTTCAAAACACCAATAACATCGACGGTGTTGTCCTTCTCGACGCTTTGCAGCTCCTGGATGGAACAAAAGTTGAATCGCACTTGGGGGACATTTGACTGGTCCTCGGCCTTCTCAATAACGGTATCGCGCTCAAACACAAGCTCATAGTCGTTGGGGAGGTTGGAAAATTGCTTTTTTGCCAGCGAGACACGGCAAGGGGTGGAGATGTAATAGACCGAGCCTTCCTGCAAGAGGTCGTAGAACGAATCACACTGGTCGTTGAAGCCAGTAGCCTTGATTTCGCCGCTCTCGTCAAGCAAGTTGACACTGAACAGCTTTCCTTCGCCGGTAGCCTTATGCCAGGTCTTGATGTCTGACTTGACGGTGACGCGGGCCTTGATCGTCCACTTGTGTGCAAAGGGCGACAAACCCTCGATAGGGTAGATGTTGCTGCCACCGTGTGTCGCGGGTCGCGAAGGCATAGACTGTTGTTGTTGCACCTGTGGCTTCTTCTCTTCCTTCTTGACGCCATAGAAGTCGTCTCCTGCGATGGTGGCCTCTTGGGGTGCCTTGGTGTCGACTGCGACCGGCTCGCCGACTTTTTCCTGGATGCCCAAGGATTCGATAACTTCGAGATCGAGGATGACGAGAATGCTAGATGCTGTCAGAAAAGGGCTTCGGAAATGTAGGGGGATGACTCACTTCTTTCCCTTCAAGTTGTTGGGGGTGTACTGCTTCACGCGGACGAAGCAACCACGGACAAGCTTGCCATCGTGAACGTGACGGTTGGCCTGAGTAGCAAGCATCGTTTGGACGTAATGTCCGCCATCGCTCATGACGAGCCGGTATCGGTCTCCTCCCTGGGCAGAGGGCGCCATCTGCTTGACCTGAAGGCACTGCATGACCGGCACGGGGAATAGCTTGGGGGCCTTGTCGGGATCATTGAAGATCACACTGGCGCGGGTCAGTCCTGGGGAAACGAGGAGGCGGTGGAGCAAACGTACTCGAGAGCGCCTTGCGAGAGCGCTGATGCAGCAGAATCCATAGTGACTGTGTGAGAAACCGCTCTGTTTGGTGTTGCGTGGCTGGTTTACGAAAACAATCGGTCGGTCGAAGGGTGCTGTGAACTTTTGCCCGGTGTTCGTGAATTGTGTGGGAGATGGAAGATGCTTGCGACGCGTCCAGCGCGTTGAGTGGGAACGCGCTGGTGGCAATTGATGGCGGGGTTGCTGGCTTACGTAACCCCGCGTCAAGATCGCCATGGAACCCGCATCGAAACCATCGGCGACAGTTTAACGAATGTTGTTCAAGATGTTAGTTAGACTGAAAGTAAATAAGTCGAGTTTTTATAGATCTGTATAGATGAGAACACCCTAAGCTTCTATTATGAATATAAATATCCATTTCTCTCTTGCATTGTCGTGCTCTTCGCCAAGCACTGCCCTCCCAGCTACCCCTCTGGCATGACGTACGTCTCACTGTCTCAGGCTGCCACTTCCATTCATCCACCGACATGCCTCAAGCAACATACTCTCCGTGTCATCTCCAGCTGCTTTTCAGACCGCGCGACCCAAGCCCAGATAGACCAGTGTCACTAAGCAGCCATGGCTGATGCAGACAATGCCACTCGAGCTCCCGAGAGCGATGCGCAGGAGAATGTTGCTCCTACAGCTCCGGCTCCCGTCGTGGGCGAGCATTGTGTAACTGACAGACCTACACGTATGTTGCAATATCCCACAATCATTGCTAACATTGCGACTAACGGATACAGCTTCGGGTCAGGCGTCCACTGGCGAGATGATCAAGCTCAACGACGTTGATGTGAGTCCGAGGGCTCTCTCGCTGACTCTCTGGCTAACCTCCCACTCTACACAAGGTCTACATCTCCAAGCCGGTCGACTATCCCCACACACCGTCCCGTCTACTTCTCCTACTCACGGGCGGCACCGGCATCAAGTCGGTCAACAATCAGATTCAGGCTGACAGGTACGCGGGCGAGGGCTATCTCGTCCTCATGCCCGATATGTTCGGAGGTGACTCGGCCCCCGCCGCCACCACCATCACCGACGACTCCACCTCGATCCTTGAGCAGTTCAAGCTCAAGGCTGTTGAAGTCACCAAGTCGTTTCTCATCGACATGTGGTTGGCCCGTGTCACCGAGGACCGCGTCATGCCGATCCTGCACAAGGTCATTGACGCCGCCAAGGAGCAGTACGCTGATGCTATCAAGCAGGGTGGTGGCATCTATGCAGTTGGATACTGCGTCGGGGCGCGCTTCGTGTTGCTTCTTGCGAAGAAGTCGCAGGCCACGGGTGGGGACGAGGAGAGCGGAGCTGTCAAGACGGGACCATTCATCAAGGCCGGTGCGTTGGCTCATGCTGCGTCAGTTGTACCGGACGACTTCGAAAACCTCAGCGTCCCACTGAGCTTCGTGTGTGTTGAGAATGATCCCCTGTTCCCCGATTCCGTTCGCATGGGGGGCGAGGATAGGATGTCTCACGCAAACCTCAAACATGAAGTGATTGTGTACCCTGGCGTTCCACATGGTAAGCGTGTCATTACAAGCGGAAACGGACTACCTGGAGAATGCTAATTCTGCTTAGGGTTTGCTGTGGTTGGGTCATATCAGGATGTCAATATTCAGGATGCTCAAGTTACGGCATATGAGCAGATGCTCGACTGGATTCAGGAGCATTAAGCGTGGAGCACTCTTTTTCTCTCTTGCGGGATTGAAGGCAGAATGCCGCATCAAGTCATCGGGTTTCCCCCATTCATACATCAGGCATATACGATACTTAGGGGATGGTGCAGATTATCTTTCCCAGGTTCTTGGCGTCCTCCATGTGCTGGTGGGCCTCCTGAATCTTCTCCCAAGGGAGAACATTGTCCACAAATATCTTCAACTTTCCAGACTCAAAATCCGGGAGGTACTCCTCGAGCTTGTCACGTAGCTCCCCCTGGTATACCACGTCACGGCTCCTCAGCGTGCTGCCTTCGATGCGCAGTCGCTTGAACAGGATCTGCGAGATGTCGGCGTTGGGAACCTTGCCCCCACTCAGAGTACCAAGGAGAACTATGCGGCCATCGCGGGCGGCAACGGTGATGTTCTGCTGGAAGTAGTCTCCGCCGACAAAATCGACGATGAAGTCCACGCCCTTGCCCCCGGTGTGGCTCTTGATCTCCTCGGCCCAGTCCTGCGTCTTGTAATTGAAAGCCGCCGTGGCCCCGAGCTTCGAGGTGATGAAGTCGCACTTGTCCTGCGTCCCAGCTGTGGCATAGACAGCAGAGGCGCCGGCCACGCGGGACAGCTGGATGCCAGCAATAGACACGCCCGAGGCGCCCGCATGCCACAGGATCGACTTACCCCGCGCGAAGCCCAGCACGAGGTGGAGCGCCTGTGTCGCCGTGATCCACGTCTCTGGGATACCAGCGCACGTCTCAAAGCTCATAGCCTTGGGCTTGTGCAACAGCATCCGCGTACTGACGGCGATGTACTCGGCGTAGGCGCCGCCGTAGGCCAGCCCAAACACCTCGTCTCCCTCCTTGAAACCGCCACGGTCATCGGAGCCGAAAGACTCGATGACGCCGCTGAATTCGACGCCAAGGGTCAAGGGCGCCTGGGGAGGGAGCGGGTAAAATCCGCGCCGCTGGATGATATCCATACGGTTGATGCCAAAGGCTTTGATACGGATGAGAGCCTGGTCGTCCGTAGGGGATGGTACTGGAGTTTCGTCGTTGATGAAGAGGGCATCTATTTCGCCCTTGCCACCTCGGATGTCTGCAACGGTCGCGTTAGAAAGCCATTGCTCTCGAGCCGCATGTCATCCCGATCCCATACCAACTGCCTTCATAATGCTCGCCATGGTAAAGTATTTCGTGTCACTTGGTGAGAATAATTGATCGTGAATCAGATTGTTGGAATGGGTAACTCGTGCTGCTCAACGTATTCCGGAGGGGCCGCTGAGGCACAGGTAATGGCGTAACATTAGTAATGCTGTTGCTGCATCCACCGGCATGACGAGCGATGACGCCGGCCACTAGCTCTTCAACTTGAAGAGACTCATCGCGAGTCGCGAACAACGTGAAGCATCTCGCATCTGTGGAAATCGTTGCCATCGGAACGTCAGTCAGCCAGAGATGGGACCCAGAGTCGGAAACACAAGAGTATCGGTCTCAGGTAGACAAAAAGTCCTCGGACAGCGCCGATAACAAGGTGGAACCGGCAGTCTCGTGGCCACAATGGAAGGGGATCGTTTCGATCTGCTTCACAACTAGACGACGACCCTTGGCCATGTAACCTGACCGGATGTCAAAGATGGTTTCCCGTCTTAGTTACCACGTCCGCTCTCAGTCTCGCCTCACGTCAGACAATCACAGGCACAAGGGGGAAATAACTCCGTATCGTCTCGCCTCGACTCGTCTCATCTCGACAGTGGGCCAAGCGCATAACCGAAGACATCTTCACCCATGGGACAGAGTGGTTGATGTCTCAGAAAACGAGAAAATAAATCCATACACGAGAGTTCGGTTCCAGGTCCCGCTCACACGAGGAGGTGTGGTGGTTGGGACTAGGAAAAGCCAAGAACATCAACCCACGGCTCGACTTGGCCGAACGAATCATGTCGGTTGCATTTCCGCTGTCCAAAGTGTCGAGATTGAAACTACCGGACGAACATGGGGGAAGCGGTGGGTGTGGTACTTTGGGCTTGGCGATGGGCTTGCAAGGGCCCGATCAGACCATTGAACAGGGAGGCAATTATCAACCAGCCCAATGGCTCCAAGCGCGCGAGACGAGGTGATTCATCGTCCGAGGAGAGCGCTCTGGAAATTACACACTGGTAATTGACGCAGGGCTACTGGCTTGGGAACCTGCGGGCCAAGTCCCGGTTCTGGCAAATCGCCCTGCCATTACAGATCTCTGCCTAGTACGGAATTTGCCCTATCTATTCCGAACATGTTAGCAGAAAGCGACAGGAAAGGGTGGGATGAGATGGAACACCCTGGCACAAGGTTGGCCCCGACAACCAAACATGGCTAGAGGCAAACAACGTGAGAAAACAAAAGTTGGTCAAAGTTGGTATTTGGGCGGCAGTAATTACTACGTAGTAGTTCGGTCATCTGGAGAGATGGATCTTTGGACGAAATTAGGTGAGCCTTGTCCCGAGACAGCCAATGTCAACAATAACACTCGAAACAGTCGGCGCAGGCTCTGAACCACACCGCAAAGGGGCCGGTACGATGCAGGAGCTCTCGGTCTAGACAAACCGCGCACGAGACATGTGGATAGGACGAGCGAATTTGGACAGGAACAGTTAGTTACAGTCAGTACTGAGTGGGTAGGCGGATGAACGATCTCAAGATCACCGCGAGAGGTGGAAATTGCAGCCAGGTGCTCCAGCCAGGCCAAATCTAACCCAAACCACAGCACAGGTGTAGGCGCTAAGGAAGATTGACTGGAGCACACAATCGATGATGGCTTGCTGTTCCCTGTGCTTGGGCTTGAGCTAGGCAGTTTACCGAAGCTCCCAGGTTAAGCAAAGATGTGGTACATGGTAACCAGATGAGTGTGGGAGGGTGGGGCGGACGAGCGCCAGATGTGTTAATTGGAGGATGTGTACGAGACGGGGCCTCATAGACGGGCCTTGCAGACGGGCCTTCCCCAGATACGGAGGAGTCAGAGAAGGTTGGAAGAGAGCGAGACACACAGTCCATGTCGAGGGCCCTGCATAACCCTGCAAGCCTGAGCCGAGTCGAGCATTTGCTTTCTGCAAGACCAAGGTCAGAGACGCTCCAGCTGTTGGTGATGTTCGTGCGTGAGCTGGTACCGCCCTATCCCCATCGACCAAGGATCAGATCCCGGTATGTCGTAACAGAGTTCGGCATGGGCTAGGGTTCTCTCAAGACTTTTTAGGGTGCTCTTTCAGACTCTGACAACGCCCCAGGACCATTCCGGTACCAAGAGGCTTCGGGACGACCATAGCGCCAGAGATGTCTTGCCACATGGCTGGAGCTAGCGGGGGGGTTGGGCTCGCCAGTGATGGTCCAAAGCTTGTTGCTCACTGTTTGACCGTTTGGAGACATTCGGACGGCCTAGGTAGACAGGCTCCCTAGCCTTGCGATCTGTTGGGGGGGGGGGGGGGGCGGAATCGAGATGGGAGACGGTCTATGGGCGGCCCACCAGTCCACAGGGCGAGAGCCTGGGGGACCTAGGATGGGACCATGGGTCACCAGGTAAAGCAGCAACAATAGCAGCAGGCGAACGGGACAACGGGAAAAGGTCGTGGGTCGCCGATTTGGCCGATGGAGACCATGACTCAATGATCCGACAGTCGTGGACCGCCATGGAGCAATACGAGTACCACGCATAAGGTAACGTCCCTCCCACGGTCTCGTGCTGTTGGTCGTTGGATCTTGGATCTTGCAGGGCCCTTGCTTCATCCCGGAGGCGGCTGCACCGAGTACGTACATAGTACAGTCGCAGTGACCAGGAAATGATGCATCGGTGAATGATAAGACGTTGGCGCCGGAACCTCGGGCAGTCAGTGCTCGCCCAGATGTTACTATTGTCAGTCTTAGAAGGTGTTGTTGGATGCTAGAGTTGGCGGGGTGGATAAGGGGGAAATTATGGAGGGGACCCAGCACATGAGCGATAGCACCTGGAAATCTGAGGGCCTGAGGCCTTATCACCCAATGCCCGGGGTGTGTCGGGGGAAGGCTGCATCGGTTCACATTTCGGTCCCTCCTTCTCTGTCGAGCATGAAGCGCATTATTCTAAAGTAACGGAAGAGCCCCAGGGCCAGGATCATGATAGGCAGCCCGGAGCCATATTTTGGCACCGTTGCAGAGAAGTGAGCACCAGCTGCAGTGAGGGTCCGGGGTTCCAATAGTTCAGTTAGCGGATGCAACCATTAAGCCTGCAGGCCCTGAAAGGTCACCGTTGCACCGACCCCAGCCATGCGGCCATCAATCAATCAGTGAATCGATCAAGACACGGCACAGCGGTATGGAGCCTGGAAGGGTAATGATGAGCTACCGGAGGATCAGGTCCCAGAGGGCACAGATATGCTACGTCGTTGGCTGTAATCACTGATTGCTGGACGCGGGAAGACCTAGCTTCTCCGGCAAAAGCTTCGGTATCAGCTCCAGTGCCAACGCCAGCTCGAGCTCGAGCTTCCGGAATGGTGCACTGCTCTCGCTAATAACCAACCGAAGCAGTCTGCGGGCGCCACCGAGTTACGCGGCTGTCCAATAATGATGATGGGCAATTGTGATTCCAACGGACGAGGCCTGGCAACCGCACTGGGCATGACCTAAAGATGATGGTGGCGTGGCTTGCCATCCTTGGTTGCAGAAATTTCTGTCTCGCTTCCAGCAGTGCTTTGCTTGCCATTCTGCTTCGCACCCCAAGCCCCCTGTCTGTGTTTGATTTCTGGGCGACGAGCCAAGAGCCGTGGCTGCAGGTGGCAAGGCGCCAACAAATGGCCGAAGCTGGGCCATGAATCTTTCCGTGAGACCAGAGCTGCCGACGTCCCTCCAGGTCTTGTCTCGAGCGACGGGTGACAGCCCCGGGGCAAGCCTCGTACTGTAAATCACCGGAGCTGCAAGGCTACAGGGGGGCCTCGCCAGGCGCGAGCGTGTGTCGAACTGTGAGTGGCTGGTGTGTTGGAGGGCTGGGTGAGCGGTCAGCAGAGAGTGATAGAGGCGCCAGGCGGGTTTGTTGGTTCCTGAGGTATCCATACAGCTACTGCGTCATGGACGCTCACAGTCAGCTGCAGCTGCAGGCGGTAGGCAAGGCGACGCGGCGTCAACGGGAGGGAATTGTTCCTGCATTAGTGCATTATTATGCCAGGGCAACGACAGGTCAACACTGGCCACGGGTGTGCTGCACAGCGGGTTGGCACAGAAGGTTGGTGGCAGCAGCCGGCGGCTTCCTCCCCACCAAACCTAACGCCCACCGCCCTCGCTCGCTAGCAGCGCAGTGCCATCGCCACCTGAGCCGCCAACACCCCATTACTGCTAGGGAGCGCGCAAATGTTCCTGTCGGCTCCGGATACCGTTTCTATTCGTAGAAATTAGTATGGAGAAGCCGGTTGGTGATCTTCGCTTGGTGCTGGGGCGCAAATATCACTTTACTGGGGCGGTATCCAGGCAAGGTCCATTAATTATGGCAGCACATACGGAGCAATGGGAACGCTTAGAGATCAGCCATTCGACAGGAGGCTCCTTGCGTAACCATGCCTGCTATCATGCTTGGGCCCTGCTGTGCTGGGATGGACAAAGCGTGGACGAACCTGGGCGCCGCGCCGAAGGGCGTCGTGCGCTGTATCTCGCCGTTATCCGTGCCTTAACCTTCTGGGCCCGGTCTGTGCTGCAAGGCCAGGGCCTTGTAAGGCCTTTTGCCGGTCGGCATCTCCGCCGTGGACCGCATTGCAGCGGCCCTGCGTGGTGATTTCAATGCCCTGGTGATTGAGATGATGGGTTCTGATCAGATACGTACGTACACAGGTACCTGTGAAGATGCTGATCCCTCGTATCTCTGGATATCCCGCATTCTCCCCTGAGCGCCCGGAAGTGAGCGGAGATGGCAGGTACGGCGGTGGCGAGAGAAGTCGGGAACCCGGCGCGAGCCGCAAGCCAGCCAAAAGAAACCGAAAGTCAATAAAGACAAAACAGATGGTGCGGGTAGCGCTACAGAAGCTTCCCATGGTGTCTACCGTTGATCGCAACTTGCACCGTATGCTGCATGGACGTACCGCTGCACGCATATGCCCTCCATGGCGAAAATACGTAGTTGCAGTAGCAGTAGCATGGGGGTGGTGTGGACAGGCAATTTCGTCCGGACGGGGGTACTGAGGTTCAGAGGGTCCAGAGTGCCGCAGAGCAACATGCGGCGCCTGCACTCCAGCGAGCATCAAAACAGGTCTTGCTCTAGGTACGGCCACTCATTCATGCACCCATTTCCCTTCGCTTCATCACAATAACTATTGAAACCCATGGCGCCGTCTTCCGCCGTACCATCTCCTTTTTTGGTGGTTTTTTTAGTCCCCATGTCTCGGTCATCTCTTCGTCAGAGCGCAAGACATGGACTCAGACTCAGACGGGCGGTCGGTCGGTCCCCACCCCCCTCATATCCCCCTTTCGGGTGTGTCGACCCTTTCCCCTGTTTGGCGGCCGATGCTGTTGCTGTCCTGGATGGCTGGATGGCTTGACGGCTTGACGGCTTGACGGCGTAGTGTAGTGCTCGTCGGGCTCGTAGTGCTCACACCCACCCCTGATCCCCGTCACATCGCCGCTGATTTGCCCCGTCCTGAAATAACATGGCATTGGAAGACAGCGGCCTGGGCGCAGGATCCACGCGACCGACGGTGGTGTGGCTGCCCTCCTTCTCGTTGACTCTCTGCCGCCCCGACCACATCACATCGTCCGCCATCATCTCCTCCCACCCCGGCAGCCCACACCCCGGTCCATCCGTAAACCTCGTAGCCTGACTCCATCGACACGGTCATTGGAGAACCGCCTATCTCCAGTATTTCTCGCTCTGGAAGCCTCCACTCTCCTCTCCTCTCCTCTCCTCTTCTCTCCACTTCGCTCCGCTGGGCAGGCCGACGGCTCTCCACCCACCCACTAGATCCTTGCTCCACCCCTCCACCTCCACCGCCCCTGTTGCCATCCAACCATCCAACCATCCCATCAACGGCCCAACTCCCACTCCCCCCAGCTCGACTCTTCGGTATAAAGCACGACGCTTCCAGAGCACATCTCTCGATTCTTTCCTTCCTCCTCACCCACATTCGCTCCTCGCTATACAACCTTGACCACCAGTCAATTTCATTCGTTTCAGCACCTCATCAACCTAATCAACCTAATACCCGACAAATCAGTCAAGATGAAGTTCGCTGCTGCCACCGTTCTCGCCGCCGTCGCTGGTGCCTCTGCCGCCTCCAACGTCTCGTACGTCACCGAGGTTGTTGATGTCTACACCACCTACTGCCCTGCCGCTACCGAGATCACCCACGGTGGCAAGACCTACACCGTCACTGAGGCTACCACCCTCACCATCACCGACTGCCCTTGCACCATCACCAAGCCCGTGATTGCTACCTCCTCCGTCGTCTGCCACGACTGGTAAGTTCCCTGACAACACTCTGTGAATCGCTTCAGGGAGCTAACATCTAATCAGCGCTGCTCCTTCCCACGCCAACAACTACACCGTCCCCGTTGTCCCCACCAGCACCGCCGGAGTCCCCGTCACCACCCCCGGTGGCTCTTCTCCCTCCGAGGTCCCCGCCTCCGGTGCCGGCAAGGTCGCTGCCCTCTCCGGCGCCGGCCTCGCTGCCATCGTCGGTCTCGCTGCCTTCCTGTAAATCAGCATCTAGCGCGCCTCGTCGCCGTCCACGTCTTACCTACGATTTCTTATGCGCGGTAATACCTAATGCCATGGTAGCTTTCGCCAGCCCATGACTGGAGGAGCGTTGTGGGAGAGTTAGTGTTGGTTTCGATTCAGAAGGAGGGATGAACGATTTGGGAGTTGTATAGACTTTTCTTGGGATACGAACATACGAAGCGGAGAACCGGTATACTTCTGCACTGCTCTATGGAGTCTTTATCTAATGATGGCCACGCCTTGCAGGATTGAGACATTCTTGTATTTGATCTTTGTCTCGGTGTTCGAAAGGGGTTCGCCATATCTCATCTGAGGAGGATTCTAAAGATTTGTGTGTGCGGTCTTTTCGAGGCTGGGAATATAATGTGTTATTGCAAACAGCAACATTTTGGTACGATTTCGTCTCTGCTACCCGCGATGTCGTCTCCATCTTCTGCTTGACCAGAACTTTCAAGAAACACGTTACCACCTCGAAACCTTTTGGACATTCGGTTTTTTTCTTGTGCATATACTTTTCTGTCCCACGAGGGTCATTTCGGAGCACCTTGGAATGACCTTCGATTGTCGGGCGCGTTTATGGTCTCTTGTGCAAGAGAATCCAGTGTTTGCGAGCCTCATTCTTGTACCATAGTCAAGGCAAAGCAAACATTGCTGGGAGGCCAGTTTTGGTCCGGCGCATATGAAAATTCTGCATTCAACGCAATCTTGCACTGTCCCTCTGGCTAACTGTAGTCTACGACATGTCTGAGGTCGCCAGATGTGTGTGTGTGTGTGTGGAGCCACAGACAATGTCCATTGTGTACCTGATTGTTTGTTTGTTGTCTAACCGCTACCCAGGTGATTGAGTGCTAACTAACACCTTTCGGTTTCTCGGTCTCTGCCCATCGACCCACCTGTCGCGGGGTCCCATAAAGCATCCAGCTCCAAAAGTCCCACTGAGAGCAACGTATCCGAGAACCAGTCAGTGGCGATTGAATTGTCGGATCGCGCGCCTTAGACTGTGCCAACTTACTGCAGGTGACCATTGACACTCTGCATATACGTAACCAATGTCCATTGCAGCGCAAACATGGGGGGGGGATGGATGTCGTGGACGAACCACGATCAGCAGGGGCAGGGTCTCGTCTCGTCTCCGTTATCAATACGAGCTGAGTACACCACCACGCCGACGAGCCGCGCCACACATGGGTGCGATAGTGATAAAAGTGTGGATGAGTCTTGCGGCAACACGATCCGTAAGACGAGAGAGGGTGTGGTCGGTGTGACGGGCGCTGGGAGCGGCGTCAAGACAGCGAGTTGTTGCTAAGCGAGATTGTAACGATTCCTTATCTCTTGGGAAACCAGGTTTTAGAAGAGGGTGTAGGGTGGGTGGGTGAGGTATGGATGAGCCGTCCAGAGTGGGGATTGGGCCGACGACGTCAAGACTCCATTTGGTCAGCACCTTCTTGCTAAGCTCAATGCTGCCAGCTACTAATAAGCTGACTGAGTATTTAAGTTACCTTAATAGTCACTCTCGACGGATTTAGTTAGCCCTCCAAATCTGCATCTAGCGCTAGGTCTGACTGAGCTGTTGCCCATTTCTGCGACTCGTGCGTGTTACTGGTCCATGCCCAAGAATCTCTCTCTGCCTCTGAGAGAAGGGAAGTGACTGAACATCAACAGTAGTGAAGTATACAGTTCTGAATACAAAATTGGCATCGTCCTACTGTGCGGAAACATCAATAAAATAAACATATACGGCAATTATGCAACCCTCTCCCGGTACGTTTGCTCTGCCCTCTTCCAAATCTTCAGTATCTGGCGATCCAAGGTCGAAGCTGGGCAACAGCAACGAGGAATACTCGTCGCTAGCCACGAGCGACCATTGTTGGAAGGTGGTCGATGGCAATAACGCGTAGCTCAGGTCCATCCATGGCCAGAAACAGGGACGGTGGGGCTTTCGAACGAGCTGTAGCTGGAATACACGGGGATCGGGTTGTTGTCGCTGTTGGGATCAACTGACATCGCAGATAACGAAGTCGCCTCTCGAGTCGACAGAGACAAAAGGTGGTGAAAGGAGAAGTCTTGTTGGCACAGGTACGCTTGAAAGATGTCGGACGAAGCTCAGGAATGTCCGCCCTTGCTCGTCTCGGCTACGACGTACTTCAGGATGCTGTCGACGCCAACCTGCTGCTGCAATGGCCGCCACGCGTCAGGGCTCATTATTCGTGAGAACTCGCCGTTGTTCGCAGATCGCGGTCTGCGTTTGACTTCAAGTTCGGTCAGAGCAATCGAAGACTGGCTGGGCTGGAACTCGGGTGTAAGAGTTGGTGCGCCAAAAGCAAGCTGTACCATCCAGCCCAATAGCCAAATGGCCACTCGTCGTCCAGTCTCATCAGTCAAGAACTCGAGGTCGTAGAGTAAGCTCCTGTGAGAAGCGGGATAGCTCGGTAGCCCATCCATGCTGCTTCTTGAAGACGTGAGCAAAGTGGATGTATGTCTGCGGCAAAGGAGCTATAAGGTCCGGGGATTCCCACTCGAACAATGTAGCCGGCGTCGATGAGAGCCTTGGCCGTCTCGGGTGACACTGACCTGTTAGCAGCACCTTTCAAAGTGCGTCTGGGGGACTGTACATGGAGGACGGCGCTCTAGCGGCTTGGTCTCAGACCGTAGGTGGACAATGGGAGGGGGCATTTTCATAATCTGCGCGAGTTGGTGTGTATTGGAAGAGAAGTTGAACTCTCGACGACAGGAGACATCAGTCTCTCTGATATCTTATTGCTCGGAAGATGGTTCCTATCTCAAGGTTATTACCTAGAGAAAGCAAAGTCGTTAGCAGGTAACGGAGCATGGGCGGCTGATTGCTATTCCGCCTTCTTGAATCATGGAATTGAATCTAGAGGTGCAGGGGCGCATTGCAGTCTGATAATCGAGGGTATTAGTTCCAAGACTTCCCCCGCCACCTCTGTCCTCGGGTTCCATGGCAGATTCCTGCCTCTCGTCTTGGTCTATTACTGAGATATCAGTCCAAACTTTTTAGGCTACTGGTCTGGGCTACGCCACCTTCTCTTCCGTTACATAGTTCATGGAGCTGAATGAGTCATTGTTAATGGCTAGTGAATGATCCTCAGTTCTTATTGGCATGGAGTTGACACAAGGAGGTGCTAGGCGTTGCAGAAGGCCTGTTTTTGGCATCACGTAGAGTTCTTCCAATATTTTTACAAGAGTCAAGCCAGTTATTGATAATCCTGGCAAGCTCCACAGCACAGGAGAGGAGGGGGCTTTCATGTTACTACAGATGGTTTGTTGTGAGAGAAGATGGAACAATCCGCCACTGGCACATGTAACCTGTCCATAGAGCACCCGTTTGTAATCAGAGCTGACGAAACTTGCCATAGATGTCGGAAATTTAATTGGTACCTTGTGTCGTATAACCTAGACTCCGGGTTTGAGGCAAGGCCTTCGAACCATCTCATCGGTAGCGATTACTATCACGCACCCTAATTCGAAGAAAAACGCCTCACTCATGTTATTCTGCAGGAAGGAAAAATGCCGAGACATTGGGTTTCTCTCACGGTCGTGTTTTATGCCCTCTGTGTGAGGGTGAGTGATTACAAAAATGAATGAACGTGCTAACCTCCGTTGATATGGTATAGGCTGACCGAGGTAATAAACTCGGGTGTTGTCCGAAGTCAGGATGACGATGACATAGAGAACCGAATCGGGCAATGCCATATTCAATACTGCGTTCCATGCTGCCGGCGAATTAGGCCTTCCAATTCCCAGAGAGAGCGACTGACAAAAGAATTCATGATGGGGCCCTTGAATCTTTCGATTATTAACCACGGCTTGCCACTTGATTTACTGGCGGTCGACTAAACAATGCGAGCTATTTTCTCGGCTACGACACACCTTCCAGGCCATGCCGTTAGACCACCAAGGCCCCCCAAAATTGGGGTGAGATACTTGCCGACTGTCCCAAGTGGACAATTCTCCCGTTCATCCATTTCTCCAACGACTGAGGACCGAGGTCTTTACGGCACAAGTGCGTCACTGCAGCCTATTAGATCGCTCCGTCACAATGGCTCTCCCGAATCACTAGACCAACACGCAAAAGACCTTTGCGTCAGAGACAACGCGCAGAATCCATGACAGTTCCAGTTATCCCCGTTATTCGAGATTGCAGTGGCATGGTGAGTTATTCACTGTGAGACGAGCCATCACTTGTTGGGCGGATAGCGTCATGACAAAGCCTCCTAGGAAGGCAGAGTGTCGCGCGGCTGGAAGAGTTAATAGTAGCTGTCGACCTAGCTCGGCAGTCCGGTACCGCATGCCGGCTCACGTGGACGGAGAACCGGGTCCTGGGCCGTACAGAGTGCTTGCTGGCAGTTTTCATGGAGAATAAGAGTCGGAGCACATCAAGCAATTCATTGGAATCCGGGAGGACAGCAAAGCCGTTGGGACTCAATTGACTCGATTGCTAGATCCGGGCCCGTCTCGGACTCTCGGAGAGAGCGCCGGGTCGGCAACGTCGCCGGGCAAAAGGCAACTGGGAGCTGTGAGCTAGAGTTGCGATTGCCCGTAATGCGGTAATGCGGGGGAAAGTGGGAACTACCGCACCCCAAACTCTGGGAGCTCTCAGGCCAGACCAACCAGACGCGCCGCATTGAGCTGAGCTAAAGGTTGCCTCCAGCCATGGGAAGGCACTCAGTTCGCCAAGTCACGACTCTGTCGTGGGGGGGAAACGTGGGAAGGAGCCGCCCATCCTCGGGCTCAGCACAATTCCTCACCCCCGACAATTGCCAACGGAAGGACCTGTTCATAGCCGCGCCTTCCTGGTCCCTCTCCTTCCGTCCTCGCACGCAAATGCATCTGAGACCTACTCCGGCTCCACTGCCGTAGTCGATTTCCCAGGCTTTGTCACTTGCTGGAAGCTCATTCTCACCAAAGCCCGCAATAACCGAGGGTATTGGGAGGGCCTCATAGCCGTCTGCGACTCATCAAAGAGGCCCCTTCAGACGCGTTATCGAGGTGGTTATGCATAGGACTTTGAGACCGCTTATCCAGAAGGTATTCGCGTCTGTGCTCTCTCGCCCATATATAGTCCCTCCCCTTTTCCCCCCTTCCCTTCTACCTGGTGCACTAGTCGTCTCTAGTCGTTGTCATCCTGCTCGGCTTTCGGGCACACGCCCGATATCCAACTTGCAACCTACAACCTCCAAAGCAGTCGCCATGCCGGACAACCATCACCACATCCAGGACGAGGTGCTGCGGCACTCTCTCGAAGACCCAGACGACTTCTGGCGGCACCAGGCCGAGCACCTTCACTGGCATAAGAAGTTCTCGTCCACCATCCAGCTGACCCAGAAGACGCTCAAGAACGGCATCACCCACGACAGCTGGGAGTGGTTCCCGGATGGCGAGATCTCCACCTGCTACAATTGCGTTGATCGCCATGTTCTCGATGGCCATGGCGACTCGGTTGCCATCTACTTCGACAGCCCTGTCACTAACACCAAGGAGCAGTACACCTACAGCCAGCTGCTCGAGGAGGTCGAAATCCTCGCCGGCACCCTAAGGGAAGAGGGCGTCAAGAAGGGAGACGTTGTCATGCTCTATAGTAAGTACATGGGATTATACTGCCATATCCAGAAAAGGGTGCCTAACCTTTGCATCAGTGCCAATGATTCCAGCCGCCGTCATGGGAATTCTGGCCATCAACCGACTGGGTGCCATCCACTCCATTGTGTTTGGCGGCTTTGCACCGAACGCTCTCGCACAGCGCATTGATTCTTGCAAGCCAGTTGCCCTCCTAACAGCCTCATGTGGCATCGACGGCAACAAGCCCCCTATCGCCTACAGGCCCTTGGTAGAAGAGGCAATCTCCCTTTCTACCCACAAACCAAGCAAGACTATCGTCTGGCAACGTGATCAGATCCGGTGGAATCCGATGGACCGGAATGCTGGTCAAGCTACCTGGCAAAAGCTCGTCAGGAGCGCCCGAGCCCGAAACATCAGGGCAGATTGCGTACCCGTCAAGAGCACCGATCCCGTTTACATCATTCATACCTCGGGTACCACTGGCACTCCCAAGGGTGTCCTGCGCGATGCTGGCGGTCATGCTGTCGGTCTGCATCTCTCCATTAGCTACCTCTTCAACATTCACGGGCCGGGTTGTGTTGCCTTCACGGCTTCCGATATTGGATGGATTGTTGGACATTCATACATCGTCTATGGACCTCTCCTCACTGGTGCAGCAACCGTTCTTTATGAGGGAAAACCAGTTGGAACCCCTGATTCCTCGGCTTTCTGGCGTGTTGTGGAAGAGTACAAGGTCAACACCATGTTCACTGCACCAACCGCCCTCCGAGCTATCAAGCGCGATGACCCCGACAACAGCTTAATCGCCGAGTTTGGCAAGCGAGGCGGCCTCAAGTCTCTCAAGGCCCTCTTCCTGGCTGGCGAGCGATCAGAACCAACGCTCATTCAAATGTACCAGGATCTTCTAACCCAGTACGGCGCTGACGACTCCCACGTCATTGACAACTGGTGGTCCACGGAGGTCGGCTCCCCCATCACTGGCCGTGCTCTCGTTCCACACGCTGGCAAGCACCGCAAGACAGACGTTCGTGACCACCCACCTCCCCATCTAAAGGCTGGAAGCGCCGGCAAGGCCATGCCTGGGTTCGATGTGCGGATCGTGGACGACGAGGGCCATGAAGTCGAGAAGGGTTTGATGGGGAACATCGTCCTAGCAATGCCTCTAGCACCAACGGGCTTCCGGACTTTGTGGCAGGATGAGGAGCGATTCTGGAAGGGGTACCTGAAGAGGTTTCAGGGAAAGTGGCTAGACACAGGAGACTCGGGCTGGATCGACCATCAGGGCTATATCCATGTGATGAGCCGAAATGATGATGTTCTGAATGTGAGCGCACATCGTCTATCAAGTGGTAAGTCATATGACCCTGTTCTCATGCATGCATCTCCTAAGCCAGAGTGTTTCTCATTGATCATTCCACTCGGCTCACTACCATGCACTCAATGGCATGATTCAAAAACATCGTTGCAAGAATCACGACTTACACATGCATAGGCTCCATTGAGCAAGCAATTGCCACCCATCCCCTCATTGCTGAGTCCTGCGTTGTGGGCGTTCCCGACCCCATTAAGGGTCAAATGCCCTTCGCATTCATCACTCTCTCCACACCGGATCACCCATCGTCTGCAGTGCCAGACCAGCAAATCACGGCCGAGATTCAGAACTTGGTGCGTCGACAGGTCGGTCCCATCGCGACACTTGGCGGCATCATCCAGGGTAAAGCCATGATCCCTAAAACACGATCTGGCAAAATGCTACGGCGTGTCCTGCGGGAGATGGTGGAGAACGCTGCGCATGGTGAACTCGCCAAAGAGGTTGCAGTGCCTAGCACCATTGAGGATGCGGCTATGATAGATGTAGCTCGAGAAAAGATCAGGGAGTACTTTGAGCTCAGGGGATCTAAGCATGGTGCCGTTGAGGGCATGATCAAGGCCCGACTGTAGGGGTTGGATGAGCTGGACTCTAGCAGTGCAACCTGCTTGGGCTTGGTGAGCTCACATATTCCAATGTGGCTACTTAGGATATGATCATTCGCTTGGAGAGGATAGTTCAGGCCGATTTATCTCTTTTGTATAGCGTGTTCGTTACGGGGCTGAAGGACTTGTCTCTCCTAAGAAGAGGTTGTTTCCAATATGAAAACAAAAGCACACATGCAATGGCCCAAAATATAATAGTAATGTACAAGCCAGTTATCTCTCAATGTAGTATCAAAGAAAGCTAGATGCTTCAAGAAACCAAAATATGTTGTACTGAGGATGCTGATCACGCCTGTCAATATCAGATGCAGGGGTTGAGCACATAGTTCATTCCCCTTGGTTGCTGATATGCCAATCCATCAACCATGAACCTCGCCCGAGGCCTTCCTTGACCGACTTTCTACGAGCCCCATTCACTCTTCAATCTGATGCCAGAACCACTCAATATTCTTCATGCCTCTAATTGCCGACGTGGCAAGTCGCACAATGCCTCACCCACTGACGATCCTGGCATGACAGACCCATTCCACACGGGGTTCCACACTCTGCGCCGGTCTGAACTTCCGCCTTTCTTCGTCAACAAATTGCAAATGGGGACATGACACCGATGTCTCGGGATTTTCATCGATGTAGTCACACGGCTCAATGGTTTCCGTGTCACAGCGAGCGCTCGACGGTGAGTAGAGCGTACGGGAAGGATCTGTGGTACCGGTTGCTACTAGCTCGAATCATGGAGGGTAGGAGATGAGGGGGTTGTACAATGGTTGGGATACGGGTTGAATAGACCGAAGATATCCGCATGACGACTTCTCGTCTCTGTCGGGTCGGATAATGTACTGGCTACAGGTCTTGAGGCTGCCTAAACATGACTGGGTTCGATAGGACGGCGTTCATTCAACGCGAACAATGTTCTCAAGAAACCTCGGCTGTGTTGCGTTTACTTTATTTCATGTATATGTGGACTTGCTGAAGCAGCTTCATTCTCCGCCTGGAGACAACGCTCGGCGACGAGAGGAGAGGCACCAAAGGAATGGTACAAAATGTAGAATTTGAAATTCAAAAAACCTACCAAATTGTCCGCGTGGACATATCCCGCACAAGTTCTATGGATGCTCTCTAGGCCATGAAACCAAGGGCGATGCTGTACTACCATTCATATCATGCAAGTCCACCCGTCGCCTCCAATGCAAACGTAAACTGCAGTGCTGCCGAGAGCCAGATGTCTGCCCAATGCTCCGTCATGCATTCGTACCAAATCTCGCATCCTCTCAATGCTCTGTTGCATAATCGTGTCTCGTCCAAACCAGTTCCACTCTGACAGGATGTCGGGGGTGGCAAGGTTAGGTTATGTCTTTTGGTGTTGTTTATGGTAGAGTCCATGGACGCTGCTCTGTCCCTTGGGTGCAATCTTCATGTTTGAGAAGCGAGTCTCGGGCAGCCTCTTACCTGCCTTGAGGCTTTCGAGAACCCTAGTCGAGTACATGTTAGCCACCATATTCCTGTTTCCTCCACAGTTGTCTCTTCGCGGTTGTCTCCTCGCAGTTGTCTCCTCGTACGCGATATTCACATGTCAGAGACAATGACGAATACGGGATTGTTGCCACTCACCACTCAACCCCAACAAACTTGACCCCAGCTCCTCCAATCTTCTTGATCTCCTTGTCCAGTTTGCTTCCAGCTAGTCCTCCTCCTGTTCCTGGTGCAGCTCCTCGACCAGCGGGGCGCCCGATGACAACATGGGTGACCCGCCGCCGCCCAAGGTGCAGTGACATCTGGCCGCCGTTCTCGGTGAGCAAGTGCTTCAGCTTGTGGTCCGATACGAGGGGGAACGTGCTGCCGTTGACGTAGACTACTACGCCGTCGAAGAGACCCCGGGTACGCATTCGGTCGTTGTGGTCTTGATCCTGCAGTCGGCGCTTCTCCATCAACGCCTCCTCGCCTGTCAAATTCTTGGCCTCGCTGCCGTCGGCGAGGGACTCGTTGGAGGACTCCTTAGAAGACTCGTTAGATGACTCCTTGGCCAGGCTCTCGCGCATCTTGCCCGGCTGCACGAGCATGTCCCTCACGCTGCGCTGCGCACGCTCCCGCACGGCCTTGGGGATCAGCGTCTTGTGCTTGTCATCCCAGTCCTCGGACCCGGCGCCGCACGAGACACCGCCGCCGAACTGGCTGTTGAGCTTGCGGTTGCGGGAGTCGCGCCACCCGATACCCGGCGTGTTCTCCGGCCGCTGATGGCCCGTTGAGGACGAGTTCCATGGATCGAAGCTGGCTCCGTAGCGCGGCGCCGCCGCCTGCGAGGGCTGGCCGCTGGGAGGTGGTTGCATGGATTGACGAGTGAGAGGCGACGGTGTTTTGCTTTTTTTCGCGGTACTGTGGTAGGTTTACCGGGGTTTGGAGCGCCCCTCGGAAAGCCTCTGGGAATAATACGGTGCCGTTGAAGAAATGTATGTCTACCTAGATAGGTAGGTAGTAGGTAGTTGCCTGTAACCAGCATCTCATTGCGAGGGCAAGAATACAGCCGCGCGAACCTGACGTTACCGAGGCAATCACGATTCACGACCTTACAGCCTTCCTCGCTCAAAAAAGGTCTCTATTCCCCAACAATCGTCCTAGTTTGACTTGGAAATTCTCAGCCGCCGCGTGGCGCGTGCGAGAGCACAGCCATAGTTGAGTCGTGCACGTCAACCAAAACGCGCGGTCACATGAGCCAGCAACCACAACCACAGCTTGTTCTCTCACCTCCACTCACCTACACCATCGTCCCCCAATTACCCTATATCACCGAGTGTCAAGCAAGGGGAATTCAACTTCACCTCACGTCAGCTGCCCATCACACCACTTGACAGCCTTAGCAACCCCATGTTCTGGTCATTCAGGTCTGTTGACGCGCGTTGGCACATATATACCGTCCGTTAATCCACCGATCACCCGTCTCACCGCGGCGGACTGCCATGTGTGACAGCTACTAAGCTCAGATACTACCACACGATATCCCATACTTAGATGTTCGCATCGCCCGTGCCCCTGGCTGAGACGCACATCTCTCCACAAAACGGGCCCCCTCCGCAGGACCCGCGACGCCCAGCAAGCATGTCTGGTGAAATGCATGCAAAGGCCTGCTTGCTGCAATCATGATGCGCATCATCCAGCCAGGGCGTTGGTTGCAGCCAAGCCAAGGCACGCAGCCTTGCTTGTTAGATCGACACAAAATGCACAGACACTTCGCCCATCTGGCTCGGCACCACAGGGCCACCCAACCAGAAACCACAGGGCCAGCTGAATCGAACATGACATGGCATAGATCAGGCATAACCATGGTAGAGGCGTGGCAGAGGCACTAGCATCCCTCATCACCATCCATCGGCACCATCCAAGGATCCGAATATGCGCCTCGGCATGAGCATCAGCATCCATCAGCATCGGCATCAGCATCGGCATCAACATCGGCATTTGCAGCACATGGCATGGCCGACGCTTGTCCTTGCACATTCGTCTGCGGGCTGCGGGCTCGGCCATACCGCTCGCCAACCTGTTGCATTGCCATGGGAATCCCTCCCCTCAGCTCGGCCGAGTATACGTCTGGGCGCCCCGGAACAATGCTCTCGCAGTACGTATTCACACGGCAAGGGAAGCTCCTCTGGCATCGAAATGCAATGTACTACCTACCTATGTAAGTGACAATGGCCACGAAACACGTGGGCCTACATAGGTACCTGGATCCTGCCCACAAACCCTGCATGTCCTGGGGAATATTTGTTTGCATGGGTCTTCGGGATGCGCGCAATCAATATACTTTAGAGCAGCTGTCGGGTCATGCTCGTTCGTTGACGCAATCCAACCACAGCGCAGGCACTTGAAAGAGCCTTTGCGTGCGTATTTGCTCCAAGCAAGCCAGCCAACCGTTCGGGGGGGGGGGCTTCTCATCCAAACGTCCATGCCCATCCCACCCTCCTTCATTCAAACAAGCCTGGTCCGTGTCTAATCTATCAAATGGGAAACCTCCTCGTCCAAGGGCCCCCAATAGATCCCTCTTCTCTCCTCCTTCGTAATCACTCGTTCTCTTGGCCAGGCCAGCCCCAAAACCTCTCAATCACCGACTCTGAGCCGAGCGAGATACACGCCCCCCCGAAGCCCTGGCCATGACTTCATACACCCTTCCTGAACCCGAAGGCGATTTTCATCTTTTTCTCACTGCCCCCCCGTCCAGGATCGCGGGAACTAATACCACCCAGTATGAGGTGTTCGCCAAAACCCACGGTCTGACAAGGCCGTGGCCACCCCTCTAGCACCACATTGGCCTGCGCATATGCGGATCATACCTGCAGGCCGCCCCCCGTTGACTGCTTGTGAACTTTGTTGGCCTATCGTACCCCAAATTCTCCAGATGTGAGGGACGTTAAGCAATGGGATGCTGCTGCCGAGTGGTTTTTGCATCGTTGGGCTGCATGGCTGAGCATGGCCGAACGTGGAGCATGGAGCATGTCCGTGGCAAGGTCCAAGGGGCGACTCAATGTAGACACCACGTTGAGATGATCATGACAAAAGAGAGCGAGAGGTGGGGATGCGGCCACTTGCCTTGTCGAACGCCCCTCCATCGCCCCCATCGTCACCATCCGCGATTAAGCTCCCCTTCTCATTACTCTTCTATCTCACTTACCCTGCTGGTTTACCGGGATGCCACGGAAGCGTCAGCAGATACTCCCCTCACCGGCAACGCCTCCGGTCCCCCCAAGACACAGATCCTCCAGGTAGGCATTTCGTCCCCGGCCATTCAAGGCATTCCCATGATTGTACATATTCGTACATGACCACGGCTGTCCTGCATGAGTACGTACTGGAAGGGGGCATCCCGTACATTAGTGAGCAGCCGTGGCAGGTGGATCACGGACCATGCCATCCCTCCCCCCGACCTGCGCTGGTCTGCGGGAAGGCTAATGTAGGCAGAACGACAGCGAGATCTTCACTAATTCACAGTCATGCTTCTCCCCTTAGCTGAATCTCACTCTTCCGGGCTTGTGTACCAAGAATACGATATGATACGGTCTCGAACCCTTGAGATTGCAACGTGGACCTGGTCGCCACCAGTCCGTCCGCTTCACTGCTTCCAATTATGTGATGATGATGGATCCTGCAATATATCGACGGGAGCGGCCCGGGTTACACAGTTCAAAGTCACCCTTGGCTGTGATTCCCTCGTGGTCTCGTACCAGCCCAGTGCGGAGTACATGATGCGGTCGACGGCACCGGGATGCTGACAGGGGAGCGACAACCGCCGATGGCTTTTGGTTAGTTTCTTTGAGATCTGTTTCGTCGTCGACCAGCGGGTCCACCAGGTGAGTTGGCAAGGAAGTGGTACCGTTATCACGCCCCCCGTGCATGGGAATGCAAGGGAGGGCGTTGTTCTATGACCGGGTACCTCTCACACCCATAGGTACCTCCAGACGAGGGAGTAGCGGTGAGAGCAACACTAGACCGCAACGAGTGCTATTCGGGCGCAAAGAAAAAAAAAAATCAATCCCGAGCAAGTGCTATCCCGGTGTTTTCTTGGACTAGATTCGGGAGCAGTTGAAGGGTGAGCCTGAGACTGATGGCTGAAGCCCTACAGGCGCCCAGGGACCGAAGTGAGGTTGGAAGAGCGAGATGCGCATGCAAGCATAGGTCAGATCTCGGACAAGCGCACCAGGCTCGGATGGACGACAGAGCACAGGAGCGCACTAAGCGCTGCCAGATCGCATCTGGGGGTCAGGAAGCGCAGCGGCAGTCTGTGGACAGAGCCGTCTTGGGGGGACCGGGGTGTGGAAGACATCGCCATAGGGCACTGGGCGAAATGTCCCGGAGCTGTCGCGCTGTCGCCGACGAAATGTGGACCTGCGGCGAGGGATGTCCCCCGACTTAGAATATGCTAGACGCCACGCCGTGTGGGCAGTTGGAGTCAAGGGGCGGACGCTCATCGCCCTCTTCACCAACGCGACGCCATTCCCTGTTAGGAAACAGCCTCGACCAGCGGCATCCCATGTGAAGCGGACCGTTGTCCACACATGCACGCACATGCAGCGTGAGCCAGCGGATGGGTGTCGAACAAGTGAGCTTCTTTGCTTGCCTGTGTGTGTTGGCAAAGACCTTTAGGTTCGGCGTGCTCAACGGCCCCCAACGCTCGAAGCGAAGCGAGCCTGATGAATCACTCAATGAGGGCTTCGGAGAGTTTGGAAAGCCAATGGGGGGGCTTGTCTAGAGCTTGTGATCTGGTCTCATTACTGCCGAGGCCATTGGACAGCCGAGTCCGGCCTCGGAATAATGAGTTGATAAAGCACAGAGATTGATGAAGAACACGCCCCAGTAAGTTCAGCAGGCTCATCGATCTGATGACCCAGGAACCAATGGTGAAGCGAGGATCTGGCGGCTTCGGTTGTGCTTGTTGGGGTGGTTGCGCTGGCGGTCATGGTAGCGGTGGCCGGGGTGGAAATGGTGGTGGTGTGCCAACGACGTGGTGGGCGCTCATTGGGTTGGTAGAGAGTCAGCGGCCGGCCTAGTATCGACACCAACAAGCCAACCCGGGCCTCAAGCGACGGGCTGATAAACACCAGTGCGGAACTATACGTGGCTTCTCTCAGGCCGTCCTTCGTGCTGGTTACGTTAGATGATGGTCCTTGTCGCCGTATCGCTTAGAGCAAGGAAGCACCGGCACATAGCCTTCCTAGTTTTGGGACTAGGGGAATGCCTCGGATGTTGTGCTGCGGGGAGAATGGATAATTCCCGATGTCCGATGTGTAGGCGTACCGGGAGAAGCGAGGCATTCAGCTCTCGGCCGGCCACCAGATCCGAAAACCAAATATCTTCGGCCGCCAGGCGTGGTGACGGCGCCGGGGCTGATTCTGGAGCTGGGTGGGACTTTTGCGATCCCCCCGGCTTCACGATATCGCCTTGGGCAATCCGCACTGTGTCCATCTCGCATCTGACAGCAAGACGAACGGGTAGGCTAATGCCAGCATCCACCAAAGAGCGTAAGCTGGTGCTGGCGTACGAGAAAGTGGAGGCCCCGGCCAGGAAAAAGTGGCGACTAGGCTGTTAATCCTTGGCCACTTCCGATCCCCCACGACGGACGGGACAAGGAAATCGCCCGGTGGTTGGCCGGCCCAGAAAACAAAGGGCTGGCGATGGACGGCTGGGGTCGCTGAAACGTCCCAGCAGGGGTCCCTGTCCACTCTTCCCGATCCATATGCACCTCTCATTGGCTATGTTCTAGACATGCACTACATAGCCGCTGTGCAGGTCATGCAAGTGCTCAAGCCAACATGATCCCCTCGCCACCCCTGTCTCCTTGGCCAGTCGGCTGCAGGGACTCATGGGAAGAAGGATGCTGATGAGCAATCGAAGCTCAGCCCTCCCGGAGGCTTGCAGAGGACATGGACATGGGAACAACGGATGATGACGGGCAGAAATGCATTCCTCACGCCATCATGAGGATAGCAGACTGAATAACTTGCGTCCGGATCCCGGTGGGTTGAGTTGAATGAAGCGATTCGTATCCGGATTGTCCCTTTGAAGGCTGAGACAAGTCAAGTTGCTGAGAGAAATAGAAATTTTCATCCGCGGCTGCAGGGTTGTATTACCCCCCCAAGGTTGATATGAGGGCGGTTCTCTGTTATCACGTGTTGCAGTTCCGAGGCTGACATCAATCTCACCAACTTCTGGTTGAGTCCCCGCCAGGCTTGGTTGTCTCGTGCTCTGTTGCACTGGCCTTCGAGCCGGACTATTCGGGCCTCAAAATGAGAGATTATCAAAAAGACCTCCACCACGTTGCGCGTGGTCAATGCGCTCTGCTATTTGACAGGACTGTAGTTTGTTTGGTTGGCGAGCTGGCCGCATGCTAAATGAGGTGGCGTTGAGTAAGATAAATTGATCCCGTTGATAGTACAACTGAGCAAGCCGAGCCGCTTGACCGAATCTTGCTGTTGAGCCAATAGGCCGATAGCTCGGGTTCCTTGGGGTCAGCGAAGTGCAAAGTCCAAGGGCGGAAACACACGGCCAAGCAAACTTGCCAGGGTTGAAGCCCCGGAGTGAAAACCAATGGTTGGTTTACTTGCTCTGGCCCTGGTACCTACTACGTAGTACCTTGTCATGTCTTTCATGTGGATAGAGGAGGCTCTCAGGGCTCCCTTGAGCGGGTGCCTGGTCTGGGGGCAAACGAGAACGCTCATTGAAAAAGGGCCACGACGGTAAAAGGCGCGCGGCAACGGGACCTCCGGGATTCGGGTGGTTGCTTGTTCAAGGCGTCGCGGGCCGAGTCTTCACACTGTACAATGACGAGGTTGGGTGTCACGGTCACGGGCTAGCGGCGTCCAGGTTGAATACCATGGTACGATGGCGGTTGCAAAAAAAAAGCAAATGCTTCCCCTCTGACCTGGTTCCGCATTGTGTCAGGGCCATGTTCCGAGATGGCAAACTAGACGGGCACATCCGGCCACGATGGGATGAGACGGACAGGAAACCCCAACCAACGGAGCGGGGCAAACCTGGAGACCATGATTGATGGCGGCTCTAAAGGCGCTGGACTGGGCCGGCCCCGAGTCGGGCCCTTGTCTCGATCCAAGACACCTGTGTCATGATGGACGTCCAAGTGAGACAAGAAGCCTAGATCGAGGACAGAAGGAGGCTCGTCGAGGGCTCGGGTCGACAATGTGGCTGGCCATGTGTCTCCCGTTGAAACGTGCTGGCGGCCCGTAGCAGCCAGTCGGGGGCGGCCAGCTGTCAAGCCCTCCCGACATGAAAGACACGAAGGGCGCTCTAGTTGGCTGAGGGGGGCGCCTGATATCGATAGCGATACTGGTCGACGCAGGCCTGGGCTGATTGTCAGACTGTGTTCTGCGATTATGCCAGTGTGCGGTGCCAACGCCAGCGTCCCGTGTACTGCGCCGCGGGAAGGGTCAGCCACACCAACCTGGCTGGCGCTTCGAGCCTCTGAGGGAGGTAAAAAACGCTCTCGGACCACATCCTTGTCTAGCCCGTCAACGGCCGATGGCCAGCATGGCGATCCCTGGACGAGGGGAGGGAGACTCCCCGCTGTGGGTGGTCCGGCGGTGGCTAGTGAGTTGAGCGTGAAAGGCGGAGAGCGAGGGTGAGGCGACAATGGACAGAGTCCGGATTTTCGGTGCGAAGTACCGGTACATGGCCCGGCGCTTGCCTGCCACAGTGCGCGTGTTCCTTGCCTCACCCCGGTCGGCGTCAACGCAACGGACTGGCCATTCCTGGACAGACTTGCGAGATTCGGCTGACGAGGATCAGTTTCCACTTGGACCGGCCAGTTCTTCGTTGTGTGCGGGGAGGAAGAAGGGCGGGCTCCTCTAGAATGGCTCATCGGAAGGGTTCCTCTGAGAAAAAAAAAAGCAAGCGGGAAGGAGCATGGGAAGCTTCCAGACGATGCACAGCACGCGTCATCCCTGGCCAGCGCCCGAGCGTCGAACATTCTATCCAGCACTGCAGATGTGCGGATGGGGCATATCAATTGCACTTTTAGAGCCGGCCTTGGGTACCTGCGTTAACCAGAAAAAGCGTCAAGTTTGGCTCTGCTCTACTACGTAACTTAGCAGGAACTTACTCAACCAACCCCTTCACGGGTGGGTAACTTTTGGCCGTGGTTGTGGAGTCATCGTAAGAGTTTGGTTACTTTTTCCTGTCATCGAAGCCTCGACGCCCGTCATACTCCGAGTTCGCGACAAGGATGCGGTGACTCGCCGCGGGCTGTTCGCGGTTCAGCAAGCCTCCCGCTGCTCTATTGCTGGATCATCTCGCCATCGCCACTCCGTTTCCGATGGACTTGTGACTTGTCTGTTTCCAGAGGTCTTTCCTTTTTCCGCGCTCACCTGCGTTGGCACTCGGCCGGATGACGAAGGGTGCCCTTGTTCCAACGGAATCTTGCATTGGCATACATGACACATGGTCCCCACGGCGGAGCTTCTGCACGCTTGTCTAAGGACCAGTCTGTACTGTAGCGTGTACTGTACTGTCCTGTACTGTCCTGTCCCGGCCTATCCTGGCCTGGAGTGGCACGGGTTTCGATTCGAGCCCGGACCCCGGTGTCGACGATTGACGGCGGCGGATCCGGATTCTCGCCCGGTGCGTGCCCTTTCTGTGATAAGTGACAGACCTGTGCCTGTCTCTACTGCTCCGTCGTTGAAGATATGCACAATGCCAGATCTGATTGATCCCCATGCTACGGATACTTGGCTGAGCGTGGCCCCGGCCTCGGCACTGCCTGGAATCACACGGTCCACGTTACCTGGCGCGATGTGACTTTCTCCTCACCCACGTCGGTACATACTTTGTTTGTCGGACTACTGCATACGGAGTAGCTTTTCTTCGATTCAAGTTTGGTACGTCGCCGAGCTCCCGCCGTTGACTAGAGGCCATAGTCTCGCTTTAGCTCCCGCCTTTGACGATGTTAGGCAGGTCATGCTCAACCTGGCTGTGCCAGCACACCCTCCCTCAGGTCGTAAATAATCTTGGGGGCTGGGTGAAAAAGACGACTCTTGTCGGCCGAGATTGACGAGATAGGCTGGCGTCGTAATCTCGCAGCACTCGTGGGCTTGATCAGGCAGTGACAGGGCCCTGGGGTCCTGGGATGCTGGGTCACAGGCGACCTGCGGGGATGTTTAGCCACCAACCTCTCTTGTTACTTTTCCATCCATGTTGCCCATGTTACAAACAGCTGCAAGAGGTAGGAAATGACGACAGCAATTGAAGATTGAATTGCAAACCGCATACGGAGTATTCCGCGCGGCGTAGCTTGATGCATCCGCGATCCATCTTGCACTACATGAACTCCGTACAGGATTATCAGATGTTGCAGATCCCCCGGCTCCAGGGTCTAAAGAGGCAGGACGCTTTGCGGTCCCCAAACGGGGAGGTGGACGACTACTACCCAATGCTGGATCTGAGCGAGGTGGAGACATGAGTTTATCATAACGCAATACAGTTTGAGGGATGAGGTTTTTGGCTTCCTTTGTTCTCTGGAGCTTTGTCTGCTGAAGTGGTCTGGCTGAATCTCTAAAATGCCACTTACGTAGAAGCTTGAAACGATGTTGACTACTTACCTTGGTAGGCGTTTAACACCCCCCGTGGTTCCGTGCCATCCGCGCCGTACCTGTCTCCGGCGTACTGTAGCGCATCCTACATACACTCATGCACATTGCCCGTCTACTTGCCTATGCATTGCACATGCACAGGAGACCGGCCCTGTCCCTAGCCTGGTGGCACCTTATGCACCTTGCATACCCGGCCAACGGTGCGTGCGCAGGGCAGGCGGCCATGCCATGCTAGATGGGCAGCATGAGATCTGCCAAAGTTTATAATTATAATTATCTGTGGTATCCGTACCTGGAGTTTGACCGTACCGGGGAACTGCCAAAGCCTACGAATGTAGGTTATTGAAGACCATCTCAGACACTCGCCCTTGCAAATGAGCGAAGTTGATTGATGCTGCACTGGCCGGAAGGGCCGCCCTCCTCCTTGAGCCGGCGGCTACTGCGCCGCATTGAACTATTCGCCATCCCAGGACTGGAACCAGCAGTCGACGATATCGGATGCTTCCAAGTACAGACGAGCAAAATACTAAGATCCTTCCACGGCCAGCATGAACCATGATGATGTGAGTTTCGTTTAGTCCCTGCAAGATACTTTTGAAACAGGACTATCAGGGACGGGATGCCTCGAACATCCGAGACCGATGCAATGTGCTGGGCTGCCTCGGTCAATTAATCATGAATATCTTATCGGAGGTTGGTCAAAATAGAGAGGGGATTCGAGCCCTGTTCCTTGCTAGAAGCAAGATATTTAACCAACCGAGGACGGGCGGAAACAGACATGGCAGGGCGGCCAATGCCCAGGTCCCTGTCCAATCCGAAAAGACGCCAAAGATACAAATTACAAAGTACCTCGACTACAGCATTGGATGTGGGAGGTGGGCAAATATGATGGAATTCAAATTCAGGGTGACGATGGACTGAGCGAGGACAGGGGAGAGCAAACATGAGCTCGCCCGGGTACTTTGGCAAAGAGGTACAGGTCGGAGTACATTGCCATGCCATGTCTTTTCGGAACCGAAGTCGGGGTGGCTTGACGGGGGGCCGAGGATTGGCAACCCGACAGGCTCAATGCTGGCTATGCCTCTGTCAAAGTCAGAAGCGGTCGGCTGAAGCAACATGCTGGCCTTCAATGAAAGGGCAGGCCGAAGAAAAAAAGGGCCAGAAAAGAAAGCGAAGTCGAGTTGCAGGGCAGTCCTGGGCAGCGATGATCGTCCCCTTGCCGCCGGAGGTGCATGATGGGCCGAGTCTCTGCGAGGAGACACAATGACAATGGCGCAGACAAACCGCTGGCGGGAAGAAGTGAGACATGGCTCGCCGCGAGTGGCCCATCGAAACCGCCACAACCCACCGCCGGTACCCAAGGACCATGGGCATCGGAAATAGCAGCCCTTCCGCAAACTAGTTTCTGGCGTGTTGGCGCGTTGGCACTGTGCCCACTTGGTCCCATTGTGCGAGGTTTGTTCGCGGGCCAGTCCAGCCACGGGGGCGATAGGCACGATGGGGACTCAAAGAGACAGACGGGAGAGGAGAGGGAGAGGAGAAAAGGCTGGGTGGCGAGGACCGCAATCGCGCATCACCAACACCAGACAGAGCCAGCACAATGACCGGCGCATTCAGCGGAGTCTTCAGCGGCACACTTCAGCGGCACACTTCAGCGGCACACTTCAGCGGCACACTTCAGCGGCACACTTCCTTCAGCGGCACAGTCAGTGGCACACTCAGCAACGCCCTTGACCCCCATTAATTATCCCAGCAACCCAGTCGAGCAAATCCGGTGTCCTCGGGAGGCGACAGGCGAGGCCCGTCATGGGGGGCCACGGAACACGGACCACGGGTCAAATGGCCAAGGGCACTCCGCACCAGCGGGCGCCGGCTCGCACGATTGCGCCCGAGATCCAAACGACCGGGGGTGTTGGATATTCGCTCAGTCATCCACATCGACGAGGAGGAGGCTGGCGGTGACGTTCAAGACAAGACAAGGGGTAGCCAGTCTGGAGTCTAGAGTCTGGAGACGCGAGCACCATTGACTTTTCTCCTCGTCGGAGCGAAGCGCCATGGGCCTCACTTCTCAGTCGGTACCGAGTTGACTGCGAACTAAGCCAGGGCACAGCCCCTCCGCGTCGCGAAGACAAACCCAACAGGGCGTTTCCAGCCGCCAGCCGCCAGTCGCCAGTCGCCAGTTGCCAGTTCTCAGGCCAGGTCCCAGCCAGGGCTCCAGTGTTTGTGCGAAGTCTCGGTGGTTGTACTGTACATAGCCTGTAATTGGTGACCATAGTCTTTGCCTAGGAGGGACTATTTTGACGTAGGAAGTGTGTTTGTGTGTGTGCGGCGCGTGCCCGCAACTTAATGAATGGCGAATGGGCGGTATGGACGCGCCGTTGGGCCTACGACGTAGTGAAATCGTAAAGTTGGAAACGCCGGAGCAATCAGAGGCGCCAAAGGAAACCAAGCAAAGCCCGAGGTGCAAAACCTTGTCGCCCTCTGGCTCGTGTAGAGCGGTGGTACGGAGTAGTCGTCGCCATGGATTGGGGGTGAGAGAGTCTAGAGGCGTACCAGGTACCCAACCTTGAGCTAGCCCACCACCGTGCCGCAACAGGAGGGGAACCTCAAAGACTTACCTACCTCGGAGTGAGGGGAAAAAAAGGCGTGAAAGCACACAACACACGACACGACACCACAACACAACAGCACAACAACACACACGACACGACACACAACATCCATCCCCCCCAACCCAACACGACACCAACGCAACGCAACGCAACCTCCCGCACCCGCGAGACGCCGAGAAGCAGGGCCTGGCTGCCACGAGCCAACCAGGAGAAAAAGCAAAGAAAGTCACCACCCGCCAACCCAAGCCCCAGCTTCCAGCCCCAGCCCACCGCACAGCAAAGTAGCGCGTGGCATGCACTGGGTGTGCTGTAGTGCTGGCGCGAGTGAGCGGAGCGGCCGGGGGCCAGGAGGGCAGCATCCATGGCTCCCGCCCACCCCCCGGTAAGGTGCCCCCCCCCGGCTCACTGGCCGCGCCGACCAGCCCTGCCCTGCGCCCTGTGGCCCAGCGGTGGTTCAGTGGTGGCCCCGAGGGCGATCCAGTGGGCTCTTGGGGTGCTTTGCGGGTGTCCTTGCGCGAGCAGATCCCCCCCGTAAGGGAGCGCTCCCTACAGGCCTCCCCAGGGGGCCACGCCGCCCACGCCGCCCGGCCAGCAGCGAGCGCCAGCGTCCGCCAAGCGCCATCACCCCCATGATCACCTCTGCACTTCTTCCCCCCCGTCTGGTACGACACTGTTCCACCCACCCCGCTGAGGCCCCCGGTCGACACGCCCCTCGCACCACCCACCATCACATCTCCGGACGCTCTTTGGCTCTCCAAGTCCCTACAGACCCTCCCTCTTCCACCGAGAATGAGCGCCAGGCGGCCCTGGCTCGTGCGCTGACAAGAGAGCGAGCAGTGCGCGCCCAACTGTGGAGCTCGCGCCGGGGGATAGGGACGGCAGAGAGAAGCGCAGCGAGGCTAAAGGTCCTGGTCAGTCTTGGTCAGTCCCGGGCGTTTGCTCGACTCCATCCCGCGAAACGCTAGAACAGAGACAGAGGGAGCGACGAGAACCAGCACTGTACAGCGCAGCACTATACTTGCCGGGCTCAACAAAACGTCCAGCTTAGTCAACCTAGTCAATCCAGTCGGGTAGGCCCTCGGCCGGGGAGGGCGAGGTCGGAGAGAGAGAGGAGAGACAAGAGACAAAAGACAAAGAAAGTAAAATAAAACCCGACGAGGAGGAGATACGGATGGATAGACAAGGAGAAGTCAATCAGTCAGTCAGTCAGTCAGTCAGTCAGTCAGTCAGTCAGTCAATTGGGAATCGGGGGCGTGGGCATCGGATTTGTCGCGTCGGTTCTGTCTTTGTCTCCCCGGCCGAAAAAAAAGTCAAGCCGGCCCAGATCAAAACCCTCGGCCGCGGTACCTGGTCAATCCCCTCTCGCTCTCTCCCTCTGTTCGCTCAATCAAAACCTTGCGACAAGAAGAACAGGCGCCAAGAACCCAGAACCACCTAGGAAGAGACAACCAGAGACAAGGTCCCAGGTCCCAGGTCCAAACGGAGGTCCAAAGACGCACAAAGACTCGCAAAGTACCTTGACAAGTTTCTCTCTCCCCTGGCTCTTCTTCCGCTTCCCCTTGCCCTTGTCTCTTCCATCCACTCACTTACTTGCCTTCCGTGGACCGTGGACCGTGGACCGTGGCCGACCGACGCCCCCTACTCCTCCTACTCCTACTCCCTGTGTACTCCTCCTACTCCTCCACTCCCACTCCCGACCCTGTCTAGCTTCACCCTACCAGTCGTTCCCTGCAACTGCGGGACCCGTTGACCACTACGTACCGTACCCGTACATACCTGCCTCCTCTCACCACCACCACCACCACCGACCACCGACCACCACCGCCAAAAACAAAACCTTCCCCAGAGAGGCGGTTCCTCTGTTTTTCTTCCGTCTTCACGACTCCACCGACCTCCTCATTTTTCCTGCCCCGACCTTGAGGTTCACGAGGAAGGTAAGTAGTGTCGTGTCTGTGCTTCCTCATCTTCCATCTCTTCCTTCCTCGCATGATTCCTGCTCTCCCCCTCTCTTCCTCTGCGCAACATCCAACGTCCCTTGTCCCCTCCTCCGCCCCGATCTCCAACGCAGCTAATCCGTCTGCATTGCAGTAGCGGGTGAACCCCCCCCGACGCCAGAGAAGTCAAGAGAAAAACCTCCAAACACTGGCGACTGTTTGCATGCGACTGTTCCTTCCGAGCTTCCATCCCAACCGACTCAACCCCTCCTACTTCTTCTCTTCATCATACTCTTTTTGCCTCTTTCACCGGCATCGACGCTGCATCCATATTCGCTCGCATCCACGTCCGTCGCTCGTGCATCGCCTCCGCCAGTAACTCGCCTTGCATTCGCCCTCGCGCTGGCACTCGCTTTGACATTGGCCCTTCAAAAAGATCCCGTTGGATGTTACGATTTGACACGATTGAATTTTTTATGTCCTGTTACGATTAGCACGCCTCTGAACGAGTCCGTCTTGCAGCCATTTTCCAAAACTCCACGCCTTCACGTCTCCCCCGTCGACGACAAGCAGTGCCTCCTCCGGGTCTCACCGTATCCCGGATCCTTGCCAATTCCACCTGCAACGAGCCTCTCGTCTGCCCAATTGCCCCAGCCGTCATTGCCGGGTCCTCCCTCGGACACGAATCGAACCCTCGCGCTCCCAGCAGCCTGGAAGCGCAGCCTTTCCTCGAGGTCGGCCAAGCTCCGTCCTCCTTTAGGAACTAGGAAACACCGGAAAGCTGGATTTGCCGTCGATCTCGCAAGTGCAGACCCGGGGTCCGTCCGACGTACAGTGCTACAACCCCCACGCCGCCCAGCGTTTGTCGTATATGAGCAGGGAGAGATTGCCATCTCTGCCGCTTCCACCGCCGGGCCAGGCCTACTCAGGCACTTCGTCACCTCGGGTCAGCTCCATCGGGTCCTACAACGGCTCCCACTCGGGCTCCCAGTCGTCTTTCACTTCGGCCGCCTCCTCCAACGGGCCCAAGACCCCTTCTCCAACTCTGCCCATCAACGCCATCACCGGCCCTTCCACCTCTATCACCAGTTACGACGCCATGAACCAGGCTGCTACTGACATGTACTACCCCCAGCACATGTCTGCGGGACAGGCCCCCGCGCCCCAGACTGTCACCTCTGGAGGAATGAGCCATTACCCTCAACACCAGCAGCCTCCTTTGTTGCAGCCAGGCCCTGCCCAGTACTCGGCCCCGGCCCCGTACAACCAATATGGCGGCTATGCCAATGGACTCACCTCTCCTCCCACCGCCCCTCCGGTGTCAAACCCGATGGGTGCTCAGAGCGTGCTTCCTCTGCCCGGCGTTGGCGCCCAGGGCACGATGCAGAGCGGTTACCAAGGTTTTGATACTACCGGCCAACAGCCCCCGCCAGGTATGAAGCCTCGTGTCACCGCTACGCTGTGGGAGGACGAGGGCAGCCTGTGCTTCCAAGTCGAGGCTCGAGGTATTTGCGTTGCTCGACGCGAGGGTAATGACTCCTGAATATACCAAAAGTAAATTCTTAACTGACTGGGGCGATAGATAACCACATGATTAACGGAACCAAACTGTTGAATGTCGCTGGTATGACCCGTGGTCGGCGAGATGGTATTTTGAAGAGTGAAAAGGTTCGACACGTCGTCAAGATTGGCCCCATGCACTTGAAGGGCGTTTGGTATGTTCATTCTCAACGGTCAAGACATCGAGTGGACCACTAACCGAGACAAGGATTCCTTACGACCGAGCCCTGGACTTTGCCAATAAGGAGAAGATCACCGAGATGCTTTACCCGCTGTTCGTCCATAACATTGGCGCTCTGCTGTACCACCCGACAAACCAAAGTCGGACCACCCAGGTGATGGCTGCTGCTGAGCGACGCAAGCAAGAGCAGAACCAGATGCGAAACCCCGCGCCACCCGGACTCCCTTCGATCGGCCAGCACCACCCCTCAATGGCCCTTCCCGGCCCTCAGCCTTCTCTGCCCTCTCACAACAACATGGGTCGCCCATCGCTTGACCGCGCACACACCTTCCCCACCCCTCCTACTAGCGCTTCAAGTGTCATGGGAGGCATGGGAACATCAGAGAGCTTCAATTGGCAGGGACAAGGAATGAGCGGACCTCAAGGTACCAACCCAATGTCGATTGACACCGGTCTAAGCAACGCGCGCTCAATGCCAAATACCCCAGCTACCACCCCGCCTGGTTCCTCTCTTCAGAGCATGCATTCGTACCCCTCCGGCGCGCAACAGCAGTATGACAACTCCCGGCCAATGTACAACACCCAGTCGCAGCAATCTCCCTACCAGACCTCAAACGCCAACCCGCAGGATCGGATGTATGCTCCACCCAACTCGTACCCGAAGAATGAAATGGGCCCTCCTTCAAGCAGGCCTTCGGCTTCAGGACCGTCCGGAGAGCAGCATGACAGCAAACCCCCCAATGGTTTGATTCATTCCGATCAGGCTGCCCAGCCTCAGAACGGCGATGAAGAGAACGAGCATGAGCACGATGCGGAGTACACCCACGATAGTGGCGCCTATGATGGTAGCCGCAACAACTACAACTACACCGCCCCTGGCGTTGGAGCGTTGGCAAACGACACCAACCTGTCACCTGAGATGACTGGTTCACCCAATCATCCGGCCCCATCAGGACGAGCTACCCCTAGGACGGCCGCTCCCACACAACCTTACTACCCCCAGCACGCCGGATACAACACTCCCCCTCGTGTTCAGCAGACCACCAGCAACCTCTATAATGTAATGAGCAACGACCGCGGAGCGGCAAATGGCGCGCCCGGCAATGACGTTTACGCACCTGCGGCTGACATGTCTGGTATTCCCAATGGTTATTCTGCCCAGCCTCCTGTGATGAATGGGGCTGCAGGTGTCCTGAAGCGCGGACGCGAGGACGATGAGGAACTATCCCGCCCCTCTAGCGATGGCCCTGGCTCCATGGGCAATCTCGATCTCAAGCGACGAAAGACCATGATGGAGTCGACCGTGCCGGCCCCCACGTACGATGCCATGTCGCGTCCTGCGTCAGCCGTCGGCGCCCCCCGGCGGCGATAGTGTTGTGTACCGTCACAATCCTTATCGTGTTCACCTGTTGCGTCTCATCTACGGAGGCGTCGCAGCATTCTGGGCGTTGAGAGACACTTTGGGAGTGTCTCCAGCGAATAATTCAGATTTTGCGCCGCTCTTTTCACGGTGCAACGACACATTCCTTAAAAACTTTCTTAAGCTCTTGCTTTGCTTTTCCTGATATTCGCAGTCGATTCTCGGCGCTACTCTCGACTACAGGATACGCTGACGAGTTATGATACGACTTCCAATTCTATGTTACCTAAGATGCCCTGTCACGGATGTACATGGCTGATGAGTCACGCTTTGCATGGAGGTCTTAATTTTTTTTTAAGAGAGAGCCACTGCAACCTTTTCCCTTACCATGGACTGCTCCGAGAAACGATACGAGTGCACGGGATGAGAGACGGCACTGCCTGTAATGATCCTCAGGCGGGAAGGATGAGTTCGGGTTGGACCCGTTCAATACGCTTTCCCTTTTTAACTACCTTCGAACTTTCCACTTGGAAGAAATCATTGGGAACGAAAGAGACATTTTATGACGACTTATGACATTTTCCCCTGTTTTTTCCCCTTCTCTCTTCTGATGCTCTCAAAAGCGCCAAAGACGGTGTGTTTTTGGAAATGTTGCTTTAGTCGGTAACGAGTTATGAAGGACAATAAAAGCTGTTTTTCGAGTACCACAAATACAAGTCTAGAGATTTGGATGCGATTTGGATGCGATAAATTTGACTTTGTGATAACCATGGTCTTGTGCTTATACCAAAATAATTTTCTAGTTGAAAGGTGGGTTACTCATTTGAATTGCCATTCATGTGCAATGGCATCATCATACGCAGGAGTATTAAACTCTCCACTGCAGATATGCGCCGGGTTGTCTCGGCTGCATGCGCCACTGAGGCACCAGATGAAGGGGAGGCGTTCCTTGAAGTTCCTTCAATACCACCTGCATGATGATGTATGTTGACTTGGAGTGGAGTCGCTGAGTCACGTGGTGGTCCGAGAGCCGTCGTCAGGCCAACAAGTAAACAACTCCCCCTTAGTCCCGCGTCCGAAATGATTTGGGATAATGTCACTTTTAGGACAAGCAAACGAGATCGAAAACCTCTCCCATCTCACTTTGCATACACTCTTTGCATTAATTGACCTTGCATTTTGATTTCAGCGGCTTCACGATGGACGCGCCCCTTACACCTACAACAAACTCGACTCTTAACATTCAGACGCCTCCGACTACTCGGCGGTACGACGCGTACGAGGTGCGGGCTGTTTCTTCCCAGTCCGAAACCGACAGCGACCCTTCTCAAGGATCGTCGCCTTTTGTTTCGACAATCAACGAGACCACTGTGTCTGAGAAGGAGAACGCGTCTCCTACCAAGTCTCGACACTCTCGTGTCCTGTCGGGTGCCACTCTTTCCCCCTTTAAAATCTTAACCGACCAAATGGAGTCTATCGAATCGAGAGCATCTGATAAGTTCGCGTCGCTCTCGCGTACCCCTCGCAAAAAGTCGCCCGAGAAACGGTTTCCTATTAAGGTCAGCAATCCGATCGAGGCGCCGCGCTCTCCTCTCGAACGAACGATGAGCATGGAGGATGTTGTGCGGCAGAACACGGGCCTGAAGCGCGCTATTGAGATCTTCGAGGACGACCAGAGCGACAATGAGGACGAGCACGACCTCACGACCGGCACCGTCCATGTTACACCTTCTGCCCCCATAGAAATGGACGAGTCGATGTTCCCTGACGACTCCATGATTAGCACCTTTAGCACATTCTCTGCTATTCCTGACATGACCATGTTTGCGAAATTGGGTCAGAGCCCAGACAAGATGTCGAGTTACGGTGGCCTAACACCCCGTGTCAGCGGCAACGCGAGTCTCTCGCCCGCACGAACTCCTCGTCCAATGTCCATGCACGAGACTGGCAACACAACCAACTTGCTAGATTTCACGGAATCTATGCGGTTCCCGCAGAAGACGCCTTCGAGAAACCCCTCGCCATTACGAACAGGCACGAACGTCGCTGCCACCCCATCGCGACAGCTGACCAACCTCATCGACTTTGATATACCCCCGATGCCAACACCCCGAAGCGTTCCGAGCATCACTCCCCGCGAGCTTGAGTCCTTGAAGTCAAACTTCCTTTCTGAGATCAGCTCACTCAAAGCATCTCTAAGCGGCAAGGAAGCCGAGGCTTTGTCTCTCAAGGCCGCCGTGGGGGATGCCGAGAAACGAGTTGGCGAATCGATGGAACAGCTTCGTGAGGAGCGCGCCCTGAAGGAACAAATTACCGAAGAGAAGGAGGGCTGGGAGAACCGTGGACGAGAGATGGAGAGCGTCCTGCGAAAGGTTAAGAGTGAGATTGTTCACACTGAAAGAGAGCGGGAGGAGTTGGAGCAAAAGTTAGAGGAGAGCGAGAAGAGGAGGGAAGCTGCAGAAATGATGCATCAGGAGGCGGAAAGTAAGATGGCGGGCATGCGAGCTGGGAAGGAGATGGACAAGTCGCCAGAGAAGGCTAGGAACCCCGGCGCCGGATCCAACCACGATGTTGAAATCGCCGTCGAACGAGTTGCTCGCGAGCTTCACGCCCTCTACAAGGGCAAGCACGAGGCCAAGGTCACCGCCCTGAAGAAGTCGTACGAGTCCCGATGGGAGAAGAGAGTCCGGGAGCTAGAGGGCCGCATTGAGGAGCTCGGCGATGAGAACGAGCAGCTCCGTATGGGACGCGACGCGACTATGACGAGAGTCGAGCCCAACAGTGCCGAAACTGATGAGCTCAAGGCCAAGGTGGTGCGTGATAGCGCTGCCATGAAGGAACTCAATGCCGATATCCAGCGCCTCGAAGCCGTTGTGCAAACGGTCCAGTACGACAACGAGGAACTCCGCGGTATGCTGGAACGGGAGCGCGTGGAGAAGGGCGAGCTGGTACAGCTGGCTGAGGAGATGATGAACATGCAAAGCGTCGTGGTCCAGCCTACTCCGGCTAAGCCTCAAATGCCCCAGATGCCGCAGGAGAGACAGTCTGAGGCGAAGACGCCCAAGCGAACCATGGAGCAGCTTAGGAGCAGCACTCGCGGCTCCGGCCTGAGAGCTCCCGGCTCCAGCCTGCGCGCTCCCCACGAACGAACCAAGAGTGCCGGTGGCCTTCCGCGTCCGGGCGGCGCTCCCCGCAGCGGTATCATGAGCTCCATCGAGAAGATGGGCAACTACCGACGGGGAGCCGAGTAGGCCAAGGAAGGCAGAATGGACGATAACGCGAAGACTCACGAAGACAAAACTGTATGATCGAATTTTGTTGTTGGCGAGCATTGGGTCCTGGTGGCGAAATCCGTCACCTGGACGTGGGCGTGAAGGGTATTCTTTTGGTCATATCATGATGTTGTGCGGCGTTTGGGAATGGGGACGGACTCTTGTGTATGATGGCATCTTCCGTCGTTTTAATTGATGATGTTTGGACCTATTATGTTGCCATTGCCTGAGTTTGAAACGTCGATCCTACTCGCAGCGAATAGAGACATGTGCACGACCAACTTTGTAACTGACGGGTATAGTTCATTTAACTAACGTCTGACATCCGTCAGAGATGTAATACTGCCTGGTAGGAGCAGTTGGATGGAGGTTTGTTGGAGTCCCTGTTCCAACCCGCGATAGAGTCGTTGCGCTCACGCCCATCCATTATTTTCATGTCATGGCAGCGTTTCATGCTTAAAAAATCCCAATCCCTTAGTTTCTGCCCCCTTTTCCCTATTCCTTTACAACCCGTAAGCCTTCTTGGCGGTTCCCCCAAAGATCATGGCCCGCTCCTCATCGCCCAGAGTCGCCATCCAGCACATGCGCTCGACGACGCTGTGCCAGCGGGGCCAGGCGTCCTTGGTGTTGACGGTGCAAACAGGCCAGTCGCTGCCGAACATGATGCGGCTGGGGCCGAAAGTGGCCAGGATAATTCCAAGCCAGCCAAGAGTGGACTCGAAGATGTGATTGGCGGTTTCATTCCTAAGGGAATCGGGCATCTCAGAGAAGCCACCCGACAGCTTCATGTAGGTGTGGGAGTCCTTGCTAAGAGTGTACATGGCGGTGCGCCAGGCAATGAATCCTTGGTCGGAGGTGAGGTTGTAGATGCTGAAGTCGGGTTTACAGAGGTGGTCTAGAGGAAGGCAGTTGCATTAGTTACGGGATATTGGGATAGGGATGCTAGGAGTGGGGATAGATAAGGGTATTCTTACTCAGGACCAAGGTGACCCGTTCCTCGTCGGGGACGCCGTCGTGGACACGGTCGACAAAGGCGACGAGCTCATCGAGTTGCTTCTTGCCACGTCGGTGTTGGTCCACACCGACCTCGAATACCAAGTTCTTACGGCCCAGCAGCTTGACGCTCTCAACAAAGTCATCCTCGAGCATGGTTCCGTGGGGCTTATCCTGCACCAAATATCGGAATCCCTTGACCTTGGACCACGCCTCGCCGGCCTCCTCCTTCACACGCTCGAGATACTTCTCCATGACAGCCACGCCGCTAGGCAGGGGGGCCCAAGGGATGATGCCCAGGCATAGCTTCGCATCGTCGGCCGAATGGCCTTCGCCGTCGCGGGGCTGGCCGAGGGCAACACGCTTGATCCAGTTGACCTCAGCAAGGGGGCCTTCCCACCCAGAGCCATCGGCGGCGCCAGACTCGAGGTCGTTCTTGCGGTCCGTCTCGACGAAGATGAAGCCGAGGAGAGAGGGGGCGGAGCTCGAGGCCTTGCGGTACTCCTCGACCGAGTGCTGGCCGGCAAGCGGGTTTTCGGGGGTGCACCAGGCGAGAGTGTCGACCTCGGAGGCTGGGTAGAGGTGGATGTGGGAGTCGATGATGGGGAGGAGGAGCTGTTCTTCCGCCATGGTTGCGGTTCGGGGGAGGTCGAGATTTGAGGTTGGGCTTTTGATGGATCGGTTCAGGATGGAATTAGCGCTCGCGAGGTAACGGCGGCGTGATTATCGGGAGTCCGATATATCAATCTGGGCTGGACAACGGGCAGTTGGATGAACAAGTCAAGTTGCTTTAGGCTGGTGGAAGTCGGTGTGAAACAACTGAAGGGAACGAATGGTACGCGACAAGTGGTTTCCCTAGGTACGGTACGGCAGCTACTGCCCACCCCAACTACCCCGCTATTATAGCCCCGCCCTTAACTAGAGGTTGGCTATCTACCTAGGTACCGTAGGTATGTTTTGGGAGCTCCGCCGCTGTGGCTCACCCTCTAATTACCCCGAAGTAGCGAAGAGCACAGTGGGGAGCCGGCTCTGTACTAACACGACGAGAAGTGTAGAGCAACATCTACTTACGGACCGACGAACAGACACATTACTAATACTACACGAGGAACAAACTTGGGATTGCGTCACGTTCATGGGCATCAAGGATTCTCGGGTCATGAATAGATTCAAATCGTCCTCTATACACTGACAACTACCTAATAATTGACTTGTGGTGTGCCTTGTGATATGTGGCTAGTCTGGACCACCTCCATCGTTGGGTCCAGTACTACATCCACAGCTTGACCATCCTGGAGTTGGAATCTCGTCCGTTCAAAGGCGGGATGAGATCTTCCAGCATTGTCCATACCGATCCTGTGGAAGGACTGTTTTGTCCTCCCAGCTCACTCAGGGGTTGGCAAGTGATATTATCCACGCAGGCGCGACAGGAGCCGCCGCATCTGCGGAGGGCCGCAGCATCGACCAATTGGGATCGCACGCATCGAACGCTGGGGCATATACCAAGGCCAGCTTGGATTGCCTTCCAGCGCCGTGGGCGTGGGCCGTAAAGCGAAAGTTTGTGCTGTTTACAACAACAACATGGGGCGAGTCAGCCCGGCGCAGAGTCGCAGCCAGGGTCTGCTCGAAGCAAGGAATGAATGGCGGCTGATTTTCCTCTCAGCCTTCTTCCGGAAAAATTGAAGTCCATCGATGATTTCTTTAACCGACGACCATGCCGTGACGACGAGAGCCGCCTTGCGGGACGGAAACGGGCTCATACTCGTCCTCGCTGGCGTCGCTGGAGCACAAATCGCTAGAGTCGTCGTAGCCACATCGTGCGCCTCCACAGTCGATCTTGACACGGTCGCCCTTGCGGGTGATGCCGTATCGCTCACAGGTACAGGTGCTGCATTCGGAGCCAGGTGTGCTGTAGCCGGAGAGCGATGAGTTGGGTGACGAGCTGTCTGAGCGGTACGACAGGGAGGAGCCGCTTGAAGATACGGGCGATGTGCTAAAGTCGGTGACGACGTCGTCGTCGAGGCCGGCGCCGCCGAAGCGAGCGGTGAGTTCTTCGATTTGTTCGTTGTCGTAGTAGTCAGACTCCAGGATGTGTTTGGTGGCATGAGGTGACATGGGCTTGGGAGCCTGGATCTGGGAATAGGACAAAGGTCGGCCCTTGGGGATGTCGACGGACAGTGCTGTGCGGTGGCGAGACGAGCGGTGCTCCTTATCTTTGGACGAGTGACGGGAGGAGCTCTTGCTGCTGGACTTTGACGACGACGACTTGGAGGACGAAGAGGACGACTTGTGCGATGATGACTTGGAAGACGACTTGGACGACTTGGAAGAAGACTTTTGCGAGTCGGTGGGAACGTCAAGAATGTTCAGTTCTCGGCCAGTGGTGGGCTCGACGGTTGAGGTGACACTGGGGTTGTGGGCAATGTGGTAGCCATCGATGATGTAGTAGTACCAGTATCGCTGGCCAGCCTCAAGAGTGGCGTTCTGGAATCGAAAGGTACCCTTCCAGGTGCCAGACTTAGACGAGGACTTGTCCTTGGAGAGCGGGAGCTGGCCAACATAGCCGTCCCAAGAGCCGAGAAGGTGGACGGTCTTGACGCCGGACGAGACGCGGAGAGAGAAGGATAATTGAATAGCCGACATTTTGGTTGTTGGTTGCTGATTTCAATGTTGTTGCAGATGCTGGGCGGTGATTTGGGGAATCCAATACTAGGGGCGAAGGGCGTTTGCGAGCAAGTGAAACCCACGATTTCTGTTATTAAGGTATGAAGCGTGAAGATGTGCAGAATAAAAAAAAATGATATCAGTGTAAGTGGGTATTGTCTCTAAGCTGACCAGCAACTTGGAGAGGGAGTGCGGCTGGAGATTGTCGTTGAAGGCAGGTTAGAGACAAGAATATTAGAATGGTAAGAGACCGGCTCTATGGAACTAGGAAACAAAAACAATAAGGGGACGGGGGGGAGGGGGGGAGAAACGCGGACTTGGGGATTGAAAAGCTTGCTGAAGAAGAAGAAAGAGAAAGGAAAAGTTGGGGGGTGCGGGTGTTGGCTGGATGTTATATGGAGGCGGCCAACTATCGCGGCCCGGTGGCGGGAAGGAAAGGAGAGGGTACCACCCAAAGGTGAGTACAATGTACAATCGGGGCCATGTGAGTGCCGGAGTGGATTCGAATTCAAATGCCCACCAAAGAAAGACGCAGACGCAGGCGTAGGCGTAGACGCAGGCGCAGGCCGACCATGCGGTGCGGTGCGGTGCGCTGCACTGCACTGCGGTATTCGTACAGGAACCCGACCTTTTTCCCCTGCTGGTGCTAATAAAGCTGCTAAAGCTGCTGGCTCCATCGGCCACCACCTTACGTTGCCATGGGCTGGCTGGATGCTGGATGCTGGCTGGCTAACTTGGGCGGCGGGCAGCTCTCGGTGGGCACGGGTCTGCGTGCGTGTGTGCGTGTGTGCGTGTATGCAGGCTTCTCGCAGCTCCACGCTCCCAAAGGTTTCTACCGCCGTCCAATCACATCCCCCGTGCAAGGAAACACCGAGTTCGCGGTGTGGGTGCCCGGCAGCGCTGCCGTCGCTCATCACACGTCCGGCGATGAAAGTCGGCGGTTAAGCAGTTGAAAGGTTGAAAGCACGGACGGGGATCCATCCACTCGCAGCGCCCTGCCGCTCTTGCCCCTCCCCAGCCGCGAGAGGGTTGCAGAATGTAGAAGCAGCGCAGCGGGGGTGGCCCCGGCACTTGCACTAAAACACCGCTACCGCGTCCGCCTCCGGCTGCCTCCAGGGGCCTGTCCACTCGCCTGGGCGTCTATTCTCCAGCGCTGGTTGGCCCGTGGCACCGCGGGGCTGGGTCCCCTCGTCACGCTGCAGCCCGGCCAATGGGCGGCCACAAGTCCACTGTGCACGCCGAAATCCACTGTGCACGGCTGGACTCTCCCGATCCCACGCCGGCCATTCAGGATGCCCTCCATCCTTTGTTGATGCCATGGGCTGGCTGCATCGTCTCTGCCTGTCTCTGCCTGCTTCTGCCGGCTCGTCCTATTCGTCCTATTTGCTCACCTGTCATCATCCTCACGCTAGCCGCTTTCTGCTAGTTGCAAAAAATCATGGATCATGCACGCCGCTCACATCCATCCTTGATCCGACCCTCTCGATATGCCCGTCATGCCCGTCAGTCGTCTTCATTGGCAACGCCCGAAATCCACCGCTCCGGGATGCGCCTGCAGCCATTCGGGGATCGAGCGAGTCGGAGTGTGCACGCCGCCGCAGTTGGCATGCTCCTGTTCATGCTGCCGTCTGCTCATCTGTCGCTCCCGTCAATCAATGACGCTGTTGGGGACAGACGTAATTAACCCGATACTGTACGCTGCGTCACGGCGCCAATCATCGTTGATAGCTCACAGCATTCGCAATGCACTCGTCAACAGAGTGTTATTCTGGTACTGCGGCCATATCCGCGACGTCCACACAAGCCGTCTAGCCCAGGTTCCAAGGTACACGGCCTATCCAGCGTTAGCCAGGCCCCATGGCTCTGTGGCTCCATGACTTTCCTTCCTTGGTCAAAGGACCAGCCGACGTGCTCGAGGCTCGCAGAATTCGCTCTACTGCAGCACTGCTTCTCCACAGTCCACGCCGAAACCCTGGTCTCTTGTTCTTGCCTCTACTAGCACGACCAGCCTGAAAAACATAGTTACCAGGGAAAATCACGATTGAACCATGCTCAGACATGGATGCAGTGGCCTTTGTTTCTGCGGCCCGTCCGCGTGTCTCCGAAAGCTGACCCTGTCCCACTCACATCCCTCGCCCGCCATCAACGCCCTCCACGCTGCCTCTCGGTCTAGTCCTCGACACCGTCCTCTGGTACCATGCATGGCATACACTTTTAGCCCCGGCGGGTATGTAAGATCAGTCACACGGTGCCCGTTTCCCACCGCTCGTGTTCCTGACCCTCATCCATCTGTCGTAAAGTCTGGCTCTACAAGAGGGGTTCCACGGCCTTCATGCCTAGAATGTCTTGGTCTAGCCGAGCCGAAGGGGCAAAAGATCTTCGGCGTCTTTGGAGGGAACTGGAAGCTGAAAAAGTATGGAGACCGTGGTGGAGTGGGTGGTGGGCAAGTTGACGCCCACGCGTATGCTTCTCGGCATGATGACCGCCTCGAGTAAGGCTCTCGATCGCGAGGAGGGCGCTCGCTAGTTGTAGGCTTGTGATTCCAGTTACCCGAGCCCCTCGCGCCAGAGATCAACCTCATCACTTGTGACGACTGCAACACACCGATTCCGGGCGAGTTTATCTTTCAACCTGAATGTGCAAATGTGCCTCGTCTCCGTCAATCATGGGGGACAGTAGGCGCTTGGTACTGTGATATCGACCTACGTTATCATGCGTGACTCGTAAGCTCAACATCGCCATTGCCGAGCGGCAATTCGTCCTGTAATTAACTAGATGTCCGATCCAATAATACCCGTACCCATATTGTAGCTCAAGACTTGGAGTCGCCTATCTCCAAACTTACCAAGTCATGTGAAGTTTACAGGTGAAGCCGTCAGGAGCTGTTAGGCCTGGTTCACGATTTTAGTGACATGATGAATAAACAGTAACACTTTTACGAGATATAACAGAGCACCGAATGCCCCGTACGTTGAAACAAGGTATTATCCAGATTATCCAGATTATAGCAACGTAGCATGAAGTCGTTACTCTGAACTCAAACCGTGCAGCTCGAATTGGTCAAGCAGCGGCATTTAGTATACGCATCACGTGCCAAGGTCCAGACCCTCATATACCACAATAGCGAGCCTCACTGCCACAAACCACCTACACAGGCGACAAACGCCTGCCATCTTCCGTAGTATAGTGGTCAGTATGCAAGCTTGTCACGCTTGAGACCCGGGTTCAATTCCCGGCGGGAGAGATCCAGCCACCTGTGTCACACAGGTTATTGAATATTTTTTTGGACTTTTTGACATTTGACACACGAACCTGCAATTTCCCGTCCCTGGAGTCTGAACGCTCCTTCACCGCGTTGCGGTGAGCCATCGTGAATAGGCAGCGACGTTAGATCGGCACTTGTCCCAATCGACTTGCCTATTTGAGGTGTCCTGCCGGCATGGCAATGACTCTTCTGCTGTTTGGGCTTTTGATCGAGACGAGTGCTTAGAAATGCAGAGGTTCTGAATGGGGCTTGTGAAGTTGTGTCTTAAGAACATCAACCCCAACTTGTGAGAGCTTGTCTGTCTCATTCTGCCTCCTCGAGCACACTGGAGGCAACTCTACCAAATCATTGGCGTCATTGGGTTATCAGCAAGAAGTTTCGCCGCACCATTCTCTCGTCGTAAACCCAGCCTTGCATCAGAGACGGGAAGCCAACATTTGTCGTCATGACGTCCCAAGATTTCACTGTGGATGACGCCCTCATCACCCAAGTGACGGCCTACGTCGAGCGCTACATGTCCAACTACGACGCCTCCCACGACTTCAACCACATCCAGCGCGTGCTCCGCCTCTCCCAGCACATCCAAATTCACACTCCCAACACCAGCCGGCCCCTCGTCACCCTCGTCGCGCTCCTCCACGACGTAGGCGACAAGAAGTACGTGAAGCCCGGCGAAGACGCCTCCCGCATGGTGTACACGTACCTCCGCTCCCTTGACGTGTCCGAATCCCTCGCCGAGGCCGTCCAGACCATCTGCCTGGGCGTCAGCTACTCGTCCGAGATCAAGGACCCCGCGCGCGTGCTCGCGCTCATCGACAAGCACCCAGAGCTGGCCGTCGTGCAGGATGCGGACCGGCTGGATGCCATTGGTGCCGTGGGCATCGCCAGGACGTTTGCGTTTGGCGGCGCCAAGAGCCGGACTCTGGAGAACACCATGGACCACTTTGACGAGAAGCTGCTGCTTCTCGAGGGAATGATGAAGACGGAGGAGGGACGACGGCTGGCCAAGGAGCGGACGGAGCGGCTGCGCTTGATGAAGCAGTGGTGGGAGGCGGAGACGGGTGAGCACGTTGTGTGAGGAAGTACCAGCTATAAAGACGGACGTTGGAAGACTAGAGGAAACAGAAAGCTACAAAATATAGAAGATAAATGACATAGGTTCAGATGGACAAAAATTTACTGTTTAGACCACTCCGTCAGCGTGGCGAGTAAGACGAATCTGACGCGAGCGAGTGCATCATGTCAGACGAGTCGGCAATTCTGCCGGTCTTACATCTCGCGCCTCAATGAAGGATGCGTCTCGTATAAAGAAGCGATCCCCTGCTGATGATCAAATCATTCCTCGTTGTCGGGATTGTTGATTTGTCCAGTGTTTGATGTACTGCTAGACCAAACTCTTCGACAACGGCTTTCACGAAACACCAACTAAACCATCACGACACGAAATTCACTTTATTCTGATACCCAACTTCAAAGACAATCTGTCCTCAAACTCGTCGAGTCACACACTTAACCTGGTCTCACCCATCCCAGTGTGCCACGCCGCCTCCAACAATGGACAAACTCCCCACCGAACTGCTCGTTGAGATCCTCCATCAACTCCCCATCCCCACTTGCAAGACGGCCCGCCTCACCTCCCGGACTTTCAACTCCATCCTCTCCAAGCGCACCTTTGGCGTCCTCGTCTCCTTCGTGGACCCGCACACGGCCGAGTCCACTCTCACATCTCTTTCGCAGGACCTCACCCGCCGGCGCCGGTCCATCTGGTCCCCGCGGTGTGGCGTCCCCGAGGGCTTGCCCCTCACAGAGCCATTCCTGCTGGCGCTCTGGGCCGGTGTGCGAGGTGAGCCGTGGGTTCCGTCGCGAGCTCCCGGCTCACCCAGGAGGTTAACCCTCAGCGAGCTACAGACGGGTCTCGACAGGGCTGACATGACGGAAGGCGTGTTGCGGCAGACGCTGTTCCGGTATGCGCTGTATCTTAGTTATCTCTGCGCAGACGATAAAGTCACCCCACATACATGGGTGTTTGACTTTCTCCTGCATCGAGACGCCGAGGGTTACGGTTTAGAAATTGATCCGTGGTTAGATGTGACCACAGCAATCGAGGTACCGATGTTTGCATATTGGGAAGGAAACTCGGGAGGGGACAAGGTTACTCTAAAGGAATGATGAATATAAGAGAGTGATTGGTCTAAAGCTAAGGAGTGCCTGGTGTAAAGGAATGATTATTTCAATGGTATTAATAATATATGAATACGTGTTGCTATCTATAGATGGGCGCATGCCTTTCCAACCGTGGGGGTCCTCATCCGCTTGAGTCCCGTTTAACCGTAACCAATTTGGTATGATGATCTGTACCAACGCCCCGTCGCTTGTGCGACCCCGAAAAATAGATGAATCCCAAATGCTTCGCTATCATATCGCGTCAAAGGAGTGTAAAGTTTTTATGAAATGCAGTAGGTAATGCTTTAGACGAGGTAGGCGACAGCGATGCCGACGACGGCCAGCAAGCCGCTCACGGCGTTGGCTGAGGCGCCGCTGCTCGGGACAGTGTCGAGGACGGAGATGGAGGTTGAAGCAGGGCTGACAGGAACTCGGGTCGCGGACTCGGCCCCAGTCGGGCTCCCCTTGCCGCCATCACCGTAGCCTCCATTGTGGCACGTAGAGCAGGTGCCGTTATGGTGAGGTAGAGGTGATCCACCAGAGGGGACAGGGACGAAAGTAGTGTAAGTGTGAGGCGGATTATAAGTCGCGGTAGCGTTTTGGGTAGGGTAGGCCGGTACAGTATAGGTGATGGTCCTGGTCACCGACTCGCCGTGCTTGGTCGGGTTAGGGTAGGTGTAGGTGAGACACTTGGTCGTGTACTGTCCCGGTTCTGTGGGCTTGGTCGTCTGGCCAGGCTCTCCCGGTACTGTAGTGTTATAGTAGACTGGCTTGGTAGTCTCTGGAGTCGGTTGAGAGTAGACGGTTGTGGAAGACTCGACGGATGAAGTACTGGTGTAGCTGGGCTGGCACGAGTCGGCGGGGAGAGTATAAGGTGTGTCGGCATAGACAACACACTTTAGGGTTGAGTCAGCTTAAGAAAACATCTCATCCATGGATACAGTCACTCACGTTCTTCTCACAGGCAGCGTTGCCGTAAGATCCAGGCTTCTCGTAGCAGCTAGCAACTCCACCGGCAGGAAAATCGCCGGAAAGGTTGTCTGAGCATCTTCCAGGCGTTCCGTTGCCGCTCTCGTCACATCTTAGGATGATGTCGCCGCCCAGGCAGTAGTTGGCGTTGGCCATTCCACAGACGTACTTTCCATTGTTCTCTGTGTACCCGGCGTTGGCCGCGGCCGCGGCGGCAACAATAAGGAGACTGGTGGTCCGCATTATAAGTGTTGGTGTTTTCTGTTGTTTAACAAGCGAAGGGATATATCGACAAACAGTCAATACTAAGCGAAGCGAATGTCGATCGTGTGCTGAGGTGATGGATAGCCAGATGAAAGATCAGGCAGAGTGGTCCTTATATTCCCAACGTCTGGTGGTCGGCCCGGATGCTTAGTTCAGTAAGCAAGACGTCTCGCCCAAGCTAGAGTTGCCCTCTTCACGACAGTCGGGACCAATGGCGGCCGCCTCATTGCAGGGCTGATAAGACGACGGTCTGGTGGCTGGAGAAAATGGCGAAACCGATACGAGGTGCGGGATGTCGAGTGAGCGAACGTGGGTCGCCGTATTGCTCACAGCCACTGCCAACCCTCCCTCCCAGTTCCTAAAAAGGAAACCCTTTAAGGCGGACGCCGTCTAACGGGCTTTTCCATAGTCGACAGAGCTGCTGCTTTCCCATGTTGGCGATCCGCCACAGAGCCTAGACCCGTTTCCATATGCAGGATCCGGTCCCCGCGTATGTCATCGTCAGAATTTCGGTGGGTCTTTGAGGAGGGCTGCGATCAGCCACAAGGAATTCGGGGTTACATGGCGAACGTGTCGGGCCCTCTTACTGCCGACGGCCGGGAGTCTCTGCCGACGTGGCGATTGACAGGCTGCCAGCGACTCACGGGGGCATTGCTAGAAAGCCACAACTCAATGTTTGCTGATGGGCGGGGGCGATGTCAGGCCCGTCAGCGTTGACAGGGCTATTCTTGGGATATGGCCTTGTCGCTTCAGGTTAGTCGACCGCCATGTGCCGACCGGCGCTTCCGGGTACCGATTCGGTCGATCCCGCCACATTACTGGCGCCAAGCCCTACCGGATCCTCGAATTCGCCTTCGAATTCGCTGGAATGCCCAACGGGTGACAAAGGCAGGGTCCGGGATGACCTCATCGTGAACGCTTTTAGCAACCGAATCCTGGGTCTGGGTCCCGAGATCCTGGGTCCGAGGTCTTCCCTGGGTCTCCAGGATTAAGATTGAGAGATCCAGTGCATCGTTGATCGCGACAATGAATCCATATCCCTGTCGCCGTCTTGACTCGGCTGGTGACTCAAGCAGACACCAGAGACTGGAATATTCGGCCCTCTTCCAGGCGAAGCATTCGTCATTGTGTGGTGGCTCGTCACCAATGAGAGCACATGTTTAGCTTGCATTCGTAAAAAGCCAGTCATCGACAGGGCTCGTGTTGACGCCTTGGCGGCCACAGTTTCTCCCGAAAAAGAACATCTCTAGCCCCAGCGATCCAGTGACAGCGGCTCGCGAGCTTCCGTTCAATGATGGCGGCCGCCCAAAGCAACGTTGTGTTGAGAGGGAGAACCTTAGCCCAGATATTTGCGTCCACTCCGACGGTGGCTTGACCTCAGCCTCAAGGTTGCACAGGCCCATGTCTCTCCCCAGCCCCAGCCACATATTGTAACCCCACCAATGTCCAGCACGCGTCCATCCCACCAAGTGAGCACTGCCGCGTGTTTGCCTGCGAGGTTCGCCAATGTTAATAAATAGCACACGGGCCTCTATTGTAATTGTAGTCGTCAGCTCTTTGGCGTGGAGACCGTACATCAATGGAGCTTCCCCTCAAAATACGTAAGCGCATTCGACCCGCTTCGAGATCGAGATGTTGTCATGCGAGTATCGGCAACGACTCACTCCGAGAGCGACTCAAGAAGCCGGCAATACGAGCAGTGAGCACTCGCCCCAGCGAAATCGTACCTTCTTGTCTTGTAGTAAAATTTTCCTAAGCATGACAAAGGCGTGGAAATATGTATGAGGTGCAAAATGACATTTTGGCAAAACATACGACGACGGCAGGTTCGTATATCGGCAGCCAAGCGATGTTCCCCGCGCCACCGGACTTGATCGTGGTACGATTGAGCCGATGAGTCCACATCAATGTGATCACTCTAGATTATTCGCTATAGCGGAACAGATCGGGCATCACATGAATCTTCGACGGCCTGTAGGGATCTGACTCCCCTTCAGCCTGGTATCCAGGGTGGATGATCATCAAATGCGCCTCCATCGCCATGATGGGATACGTATGAGCTAGTGGGGGGTGCTCAGGCCATGTCAGGCTGCGTGAAGGCGATGAAGCATCCGTCAAGACAATTTGAAGCGTGAGGCCCGACGTCCAAGTGCCTAATGGAGTTTGGACAACTAATATGGCGACGTAGAAGCGGAATTCCAGCAGCAGGGTAACAATGATTATGGAGTAAATCAACATATTGGACATGCGCAAGGGGTCGTATTTGAACCTAGGCGCCGGTAGATGCGACGAATAGCTAGCCATCATCTTGATAGTGACAGGATGCGAAATTTTGAATATCCAAGCTAAAGCAAGGCTTCTGTGGGTGTCCTTCTAATTACGGAGCTTCGAGGCCCAATATTCAGTCGCTCAGCCGATGCATGATGCAGGTTGATGCACATTCCCCGCTTCGGCACCATTGGTAATTATGTAACATCGCCATTTGAGATTGTTGCTACCGGAGGTGTTGTTTCGGATGCTGATTCGGTCCGTTGGGAAAGCAAGTTGAACAACATCACCATGGCGCATAGTGTAAGGTGAGGGGCAACAAAGGCCCCAAATATAGGTGCTGCAGTATGAAACACTCTCGGTCGATTCCTGCGGGTGTGCAGGAGCTGCATTGCATGGGCTGCGAAATTCCCGGTGAGAGCGCTGTATGGTGATCTGCGATTATGTGACACAGACGAGATGCGTGTGGACAGCGTCGGGTAGGTGGCTTTGAGGCGGTTTTGAGGCGGCGAAACCTGATGGCCGGAGGGCAGATACCGGTACTGCTTTGACCTCGACATAGACACCACTCGCTCGTATTTGATCAGTCGATTGAGAACAATGGACTACCCCGCACTCGTGCATGAGTCTGGGAGGTGACAGAGGCCAGCATCAAACACCAGAAAGACTAATAAGACAAGAAGCAAAATGCAGGGACTCGGGAACTCGGACAGCTAGTGGTCGAGCGGAAAGACAGTGGCGCACTGGACAAATCAGCGGGCCGAGAGCGTGTTTGCGGTGCGGGATGCGGGACGCATGAGGCGATTTCATGTCTCACCTTCTGCTGCAACTCCATCTCCCGCCATCGGCCATCTATCAGCAGTACCGGACAGGACGGCTCCAGGTGCGGGCCGCCAACCTCGACCCCACTAGCGCCATGATGGAATGCCAGATCCCGTCTGGAAAGGGATGACCCGGAGGAGACAATGGTCAGTCGTACCAAAGGCCCAGTTGGAGGTATGGTTGCAGCCACCAGTCGTAGCGAAGACCAGCCACCCGGGGGAGGGCTGGATGGCGAGTCAAACCACCAGGAAAAAAGGACCTGCCTATCTCATGCTAAAGGTCTGGCCGCGCCGCTTTGGATGGCTTGCAGACGTGCAGCGGCCTGTTCTGATTCGGTTCATGGCCCTGCAAAAGAAAGAGGGTCGGGAGGAAGGGCGAGCAGGAATCGCCTTGTGAGTGGCCTGGCACAATGTCCAAGTCTGCAGCGAGCGAGCTGCAGAATGCAGTTTCCTGTTAGCGGCATCCTCCCGGATTGTGTCTCCGACTCGGCCTATTCGTCGGGAGGTGTGGTCTAGGATGCTTCCTGTAGCGCCGCTGAGAGCACGAGGTGAGATGGATTTTTTTCCCTCTCGCGTCTGCTAGGACGATATGGTCTGCGACGGGATGGGGGCGAGAGGGAAGAGGAGGAGGGGGAGGTTTGCAACACCCACTCACACCTTCAGCCAACCATTGATTCGCCCTCCATTTATCCCACTGCAACTTGCATCACCAATGCGAGAGATGGTGCGGGGTTTGGCCGTCACCACGGTCGCAGGTTGATCGAGACGAAAGGAAAGCTAGACAACCGTCACAACCCTCAAGCCAATGGGTGTTCATCTTCCCTTGACTCACCAAAGCCTCAAGAGGCTGTGGAGGACGCCTGCATGATACAAATGTAGATATTAGGGGCAGCGCGCTTAGCAGATATACGAAGCCAGCCAACATGGATGAAGCCCGCAGAGTCGTCAGCCAGTGTTCACCATTGATGAGGAAAAAACAAGGAAACATTCAGCCAGCCCAATCCCATGCCATCCCAGGTGTTCTCTTTGCGCTCCGCTCCGCTTCCGTCCCACCAAGCTACTACTGGGTCCATGCCTTCCGAGAAGTAGCTTTCCATTCCCGGGGAGCGTACGGGTCAGTGGTCAGGCCAATGAATGCATTTACCTGCACCAAGACTTCTCGCTTGGCCACCCGGCGCAACGCAACGCAACCCGCGCAGCCCGCCAGCCCGCGCAGCACGCCTAAGTCCATTTCCAAACAGGGCGGCGGAGACGACACTCTGTCCCATCGCAGCTGAAGGCGTACATACATCCGGGCGTCCATCCACTGCATGCGCATGCAAGCAAGACCCAGTGTCGCTTTGGTGCGAGTGGAGTGGGGGAAGCGCTCCCCCTGCTGAGTTGCGTCAGTGCTGAGAGACCCCACTGGACCATTCGCTGCCCGGATTACCACTCAGCACCACCCGCGCTGGATCACTCACTGGACAACCCACTGGATCACACACGGCGACGGGAGCTTTCCAGGTTCCCGTCCGTCTGCTGTGACGATGGCTGAGTACCTCCCTCCCTACCTCTGGTGGGTGGCCACTGCGCTGCACTGCTGCACCGCTGCACCGCGGTGGAATGCGAAATGCATCTCACTGAAACCTGGAACCACCAAGACCACTGAGGCCACTGGTTTCTAGCGCTTCCAAGGTTCCATATGTTCCGTGCTCCTTGTCCTAGTTAATGCCACCTCCAACTTCCACCTCTATTACCCATCCATCGCCCCCGTCATCCATCCGGATTCAACTCCCTCTCGCCATTGTCTCACCTCGATCTTCGCTCTCCGCCGTCGAGACTTCAACACTTGTCCTTTTTCTTTGCTCGACTCGATACCCACCGTCGCATCGCCCTGCCATTTCTTTGCACCGCACCACACCGCGCCGCCGCGACCATCAGCACTCGCAATTAATTCCCCTGCGACCGCACCGACGCCAACTATGTCTTGTCCGCCCCTGCGTTCGCCAACATCGTGATCTCGGCGGAATCCTGCCCAGCGCAACGTGTTTGGTCACTCTCGCATCCGTATCGCCCCGTCGCCAGCTGGCCGAGACTTTGCCACCACCGCCAGACGACATCGCTTGCCTGCCCTGAATGTCTCGGACCGCCATCTAGCCCCTCGCGCCCATTGTTCGCTTCATCGACTGGCCTGCGCCAATCTCGCCAGACGTGCTTCTCGATTCGACAGAGCAGCCCCAGCATGCCCACGGCCACCTGCGGCAGCCACGACATTGTCGCAACCCCTGCTTGCTAAGCGGACCACCGCATCCCAGCCTCTGAGAATGCTGGCACCTGAAAACACCAGTCCACAGCCCATCATGGCTGCCTCTCCCCCCGATTATTTGAACGGCCTGTCCCCCAGCACCAACCTCACCGGGCAGCGACAGTTCAAGAAGCACAAAGTTCTACCTCGTCCCCACAACGATAAGGTGCATGAACCCATACACAACCCGCGGGTCGGGCCGAAGAAGTATGACTTAATCATTGATACTTCCCGTCCAACAACAAGAGACGACTCTACCAGGAGCCGCGGCGCCCAACCTTCCAGCCCCCGAACCCTCAAACACCAACCCCGGAGGATAGGGAGCGGCCCTGACTTGCCACCCACCCCGCCAAGGCACTCGCGCAAGTCATCTAGCAATTCATCTGGCCTGCCCTCTAGCCCTACCATCGCCGACCCTGCTTTTCAGACGCCTCGGAATGCGCCTGCACGACCACCCGCGACGCCCCCGAACCAAAGAAGCCCACCCACACCAGACGTAACACCACCTCAGCCTGCAACTCGCCCTGGAATGTTGCGCCCGACTATGAGCGAGCGCGCAGGATCGAGGACCACGACCGCGAGCGGCTCCTTTAGGACTGCTCGAGAAGAGGCTTTCTCCTCCGAAGAAGACGAAAAGAAATCAGCGGGCACCAAAACTTCCCTGTCAACCGTTCGCAAGGTACCCGAGAACAGGGGCACCCCCCGTGCTCCCGTACTTAACGGCCTGGGCTTGGCTCTTGCCAGCCTTTCCCCTCCAGAGGACAGCAACACGTCCCGGTCAGGGGAGGGTTTTAGCACCTTTGACGGAGATTGGAGCTCCGTGAGCGAGGTCGAACAGGAATGGGACGATAATTTGTTGAGAATGGTAACGATCAAGAAGAGACCCCAGGTCCTGGACACTGCGCGACCGATTTCACAAGCAGCCATCGTTGTTGAGCCAGACATGGTATCACCGACGCAAGCAACCAAGGCAGTGCGACATATGCCTTTGCACAAGAAACCTGACACCACCTCCACCAGGGGTATCTCAAATCGTGGAGCTCTTTCTACAGCTACCTCAAGCACGGGCACTTCTATCAGCTCCGACGCTCGACGAACCTCTGTCATCTCTACCAAATCGACTATTTCCACCGTAGTGGAAGCAGTCCTTGTGGACGGCCCTCCCCAGAGGCAGAGAACCTTGCGACATGTGCGAAAGCAAGGCACCCTAAGGGGACCCGTTGACGCTTCCCCAAGCTCTACCGTCAATTCTCTGAAATCGGAGGCATTCCCGAGAGAATCACGTCCCAGGACTCGGCCTCAAGATGGGAAACACGATAGCTATATTTCAAACACGACAGGCCATTCCATCTCGAGTGGTAAAGCCAGACGCGAAGTTTGGAAAAATGGTGGCATTCCGGTAATTATCGTCCCTGATCGGCGATCCTCCAACAAATCCCGGTCCAGGGAGCCTTCTCTACGATCTCACTCCAGCAAACGGTCAAATCAGACGCCTAGTGTCAACTCTATACCCCTGGATGTGTCGTCAGTCAAGGATGCCAAGGAAGTTGGTCCGGTCTTCCCCAGACAATCTCGACGAAGCAGAGCCTACTCCGAATCAGATGGCTCCGATCAACGGACCATTGACTTCCCTCCAGTTGTGCCGGCACGCTCATCTTCTCTATCGGCTCCAACTAGCCGCAATACTTCACAGGCTGGCTCACGAGCCAGCTCGTTGACTGCAGAGAGCATTAAGATGCACAATGCTCTGCAAGAATCTCTTTTGAAGAAGCCTCAAGACAAACCTCAAGTGCCAGTGGTTCGCCTCCCGGAAGATGCGACTGTTCGCCCGTTCATTGCGATTGAGCCGGATAAAGACGAATCTCAGCGTCGATCAAGCAGCGATCGCTACTCGGGGTTTCTCCTTGTAAAGAGCTATGGGTCATTGAAAACTCCATTCTCTCTGGCGTCTATGGAAACCAACGGAACTGCTCTTGAGGTTTCAGAGGCTTTGGCAGTTCAAATGTACCCGCATCAGAACTCCTCCGTGTTAATGGTCGACCATTCGGCTAAACCATCCGAGTCCTCCATTGAAACCCACAATGAACCAGAACCCCGAGAGATGCCCGCCAAACCAAAGATCAAATTGATTGATCCATCGGGTGGGGGTCCTGTCACCCCCCCTCAGCCACAGTTCTCACTTGACGATGTCGATTCTCCGCTGCGAAACCCCAGGGCGCCTCCCGAGCCTCCAAGTCACCCACCGGCCATCAATTTGATCCCAGCAACTCCCTCGGGTATGACACCAGCCAACGAAAAGATGGTTCAACTAGGCAACTACTTTGAAGTTGCGAGACAGAAACCTGGGCGCCGCCCTTCTATCGTCCGTCGGGCACTCAGCCGTCGACGTCGTCATTCTATCGATTATCCGCCGACTACACCTAGGGCTCCGGGATTTTTGACACGAACATTTTCTCTTTCTCGTCATATCCGCAGTGGCCAAAGGAGCTCATCTCGGGACAGGGGATATGGAGACATGGAACGCGAATCATCGTATCCCAGTCCTGAAGAAAATCCGGCAGAAGAGGACAAATTGCATCCTTTCTGGCGTCCCCTGTGGTCTAGTGAGGATGACGAGTGTGATGGGAACTGCCACCATCACCATCACCAGGATGATTCCGTTGACGATGTGGTATACAGGTACCCACCTGTCAACAACCGACCCCAAAGAAACCTTAGCGCCAGGATGAAGCGCACATTCGCCATTTTGCCTCCCCGAGACGAAGACCACTACTACGTCGATGAGTGGCAAGGACCTGAGCGGCGCACAATTCGACGAACTCCTAGTGGGAACCTCCGAGTCATGCGACACCGGGCAAGCCTCGACTCCTTGAGACGAAACTACAAGCACGATGAGGAAATCCATGCTGTATCTGACGGCGAGGACAGGAGGCCCTTTTGGCGCCGAAACACCTTGCGCAGACGTGCCAGTAAGGAGAGGCACCGACTCTCTTTAGGGAGCAGACTGGAGGAGATTCAGAACATCCCACGAAAAATTAGTGAGAAGAGACGTGAGAAGCGAACACAAGAGCTTCGCCAGAAAATCAGTGGACCACGGGAAGTTCGCGATGGAGTCGGAGACGTCATTAGGTCAAGCACATTCCGAGACCAGCACCGCCCCAATGGACGATTTTAGACCCCCCGAGCCATCGGAGTCTGCAGCAGGTATGTTGCCAATGCGACGAGCGTCAGCGAAAACGACACCATCGACACGAAGCAACTCGTCCCTGCAGATGTTATGAGACCTAGATGAGATGGAGATTTACGATTGATACGAGGTTACGCTTAACGACTGAACTTTGAACCAAGGGAATGATTTTTGAGCCATGAAACGCTAGCTGGAATTTGATTTGAACGATGCGGAGGATGGGAGGATGGGAGGCGAGATGTGTTTGGATGCCGGTCTTCCTCACTGTCACTTCTGCGTGTGGTTGGAGGCTGTGCTTCATGTAAAAATATATAGGTTGAAATGATGTTCCTCGAGATACCACAAATATTGTTAGGGCTCTTTACACTGCAACGATGACCAATGATGGACTTTTGAGTGGGCTAGGATTCAGACTTAGCCTACTACTTGACGCTAGTTCCTGTTCCACGCCCATATCCAAGCCATGGTTGTCAGAAGAGCTCTCGCTACTTATCTGACATTACAATGATAATTTTGCCATGTTCCACCTCAGAACGCCGAGTACGCCCACGATGCTACAGATACAACCAGCCGAAACCCATCCTTCCTCGCTATTTCTGAATGCTCATCGCTTGTCCTGACCAGGGACACCTGGTGCTCCAGGAGCACCGAATCCTGGAGGGACGACACCGGGAGGAAACTGGCCCGGTGGAGGCATACCAGGCATGCCGGGCATAGCGGGCATACCAGGGAAGGCAGGCATACCGGGAGCACCAGGAGCTCCGGCGACACCAGGAGGTGGGAAAGGTAGGCCGCCCGGTGGCGGGAAAGGAAGACCGTTAGGAGGGAGTCCGTTGGGGCCGGGAGGGAAAGGAGGCATGGGCATGCCGCGGGCGCCGCCGGGAGGTGCTGAAAGACGTTAGATGAATTGGTTTCTTGGAGAGAATGGGTTGGACATACGGGGAAGGCCCTGAGGGAACTGGCCCGGAGGAGCGCCAGGCATTCCGGGGAAGGGAGGAGGGACACCTCCAGGGAACGGGAACGGGGGCGGGTGGAAACCCTGGCCCGGCTGGTTGTGAGGAAGCATAGGGTTCGCGTGGGCTTGACCCTCGGCGGCGTAGGAGGAGGTGATGGAGTCAATGACTGACTGGGCCTTCTCGTGGCCGATCTCTGATGACATGGTTAGTCTCGGGATTGCGCGCAAGGATCGAGGGGCATGAAGGGAAGACGAACGCTGGTAGTAGTCTACCACATTTCGCAGGTGGTTTCGGCCGCTGTTGTGGGCCTTGCGCACGCTCATGGAGTCGTGCGTGAGATAGACATCGCAGTAGTCGCCTAAGCAGCGCAGGTTAGCTTTGGGGTGTTTCGCGCGCGGGGGATTATGGTTGCGGCCTACAGAAGACTGGGAGAGGTTAGCAAATGGCCGGGTTAGACGCTGGATTGGAGAGCTTGCGAGACGTACACTTGGGCATCTTGAGAGACGTGCGCGATGGCGACTGTCGATAATCAGGCGCTGATGATGGTGATGCGACGCGGTGCCCGGGTTGGAAGCGTCCAAAAGTCGACAAGGCTGACCCCACACGTGATGGGCTGGACAAGGCCAGCGCCAAGACGCGGCTTGATTGGCGCACAGCCACCAGCGCCTCGCGCCAGCGTGGGTCCGCAGCGCAACCGGGACACCTTTCAGTTTAGATCTGGGCCCCTGTCGCTTGATACTGGACAGCTTGTAGACTCCTTCTCCCCTTCACGACGACGAGAAGCAGCAACGAATTCCAACATCTCCCCCGAAAACCCGCACGCACACCATGGCGCCCCAACGCTCGCTACTGCAGTGCGTCTGCAGCGTCCTGCTGTTTGTCGCCATCGCAAACGCCCTCAAGTTCGACTTGATCGCCCAAACCGAGTCTGCCAAGAAGGAGCGCTGCGTTCGCAACTTTGTCGGCCAGGACACTCTCGTCGTGGTCACGGCCACCATCGATGGATACAGAGGCGATGGCATGCTGGTGAACATTTACGTATGTTGAATTGGGTCGGTTTAGAAGGGTGCGCAGAGTCTAACGGAGCTTGTAGATTCGAGATGCCGTTGGCAACGAGTACGGTCGCCCTAGAGATGTCGTCGGAGAGTCGAGGACCGTCTTCACCTCGCACGCCGACGCCGCCTTTGACGTTTGCTTCGAGAACGTATTCACTGGTTGTATGTGACACCTCCTCGACGCCCTGTTGAGCACCAATTCTTCCCCTCGGCCGCGAGCATCGCATGGTATCTCCCTTGGACACTATTCAACTAACACCTCCCAGCCAAGCGAATCAACAACCCCACCCGCCACGTCGAGCTCGACATTGACATTGGTGCCGACGCCAAGGACTGGTCGGCCATCCAGGCCACCGAGAAGCTCAAGCCCCTCGAGGCTGAGCTCCGCCGCATCGAAGAGATCACCGGCGAGCTCGTCACCGAGATGGAGTACCTCCGCACCCGAGAGCAAAAGCTACGAGACACCAACGAGAGCACCAACAACCGTGTCAAGTGGTTCGGTATCGCCACCACCTGGCTGCTGATCGGCCTCTGGGCTTGGCAGATTATGTACCTCCGCGCCTACTTCCGATCGAAGCATCTCATCTAAGGGGTCTGTTTTATGAAGCGTGCGTCTTGAGTCCACTAGACGGCGCTGAGTCACGTCATCAGCGTCTATTCGGGTGGAAGATGCAATTGTTTGGGAGGACCTGAAGGCATTGCAGCCTGCGGTCCTGCTGGGTCTAATTGTGGAAGTGCTTTCCGGGCATGCTGGCGTTGGAAATCGCTGCATGTACATGATCGGGATGGGAAAACAAGGCAGAGCCTGCCGTCGCCGATATGCACTGACGAGCTAGAGTGTAACAAAAGTCATGAAAATGCAATATAATATGTTCATATTTAGTCTTTTCGACGAAGCAACATCTGAATGAATACGAATGAACACGAATGAACACGAATGAACACGAATGAAGCACGCGACCCAACACCAAATTCGCGGCCATCTATCTTTTCGACAACCACAGCTCCTGTCTAGCGTGTGGCGCGTTCTCTCAGACTAGGACGTGGCTGGAGCACTCAAACGGTGGCTGATCATACGATTACCTAACGCATACGGCTGATTTAAGTGGTGCGATGCCCAGATAACGATAGCTCTGACTCAAGCGCAAGGAACAGTGACTCGTCGGAAGTACTCCTTCCTAAGCTGCCCCTCCACACGAAGCACAACCCCGCGATCGACTAGACTCTTCGCCAACAACAGCGTCCCTAGTCCACAAGCGCAACCAGAAACGACCGAATCATGGCCGACAACTCGAACCCAGCTTCTCTGGAGCAGGATATTAACCCCTGGTCCGTGGAGGGCGCCCAGGGCGCGGACGGCGAGGTCGCGGCCATTGACTACGACGCCATTTGCCAGTACGCTCTCCCCACAGCGCAAAATCGCACCAGATTTGGTATACTTGGGAATACTAACAAGCTCCCCTTCTCTAGGAAATGGAAGACGTCTAAGATTGACACGGAGCTCCTCGAGCGCTTCGAGAAGGTGACGGGCCACAAGCCGCACCGCTGGTTACGCCGAGGCCTCTTCTTCAGCCACCGCGACTTCGACAAGATCCTGACCCGATACGAACGAGGCGAGCCCTTCTTCCTATACACCGGCCGCGGGCCTAGCACCGGCAGCCTGCATCTAGGACACACCATCCCCCTCAAGTTCACCAAGTGGCTGCAGGACGTATTCGACGTGCCGCTGGTATTCATGTTGACAGACGACGAGAAGGCCCTGTTCAAGGACAACCTCACTTTCGAGGACACCCTTTCGTATGCCATGGAGAATGCGCGCGACATCATTGCTCTCGGATTCGACGTCAAGAAGACGTTTCTGTACAGTGACTTGAAGTACCTGAGCAACCACTTCCTCATGAACGCCTGGGAGTTCTCTAAGCTCGTCACCTTCAACCAGGTTCGCGGCGCCTTTGGCTTCGATGGAAGGTTCGCATGCTCCTTTTTTCTCACTTGACCACAGTACATTAACCGAACCGTAGCTCCAATGTCGGCAAGATCTTCTTCCCGTCAGTTCAGTGTGTCGCTGCGTTTGCCACCTCGTACCCCGAGATCTGGTCGGACGAGCCCGCCTCTGTGCGAACAAAGGCCATTGCCAAGATTCCTTGCCTCATCCCCATGGGCATTGACCAAGATCCTTACTTCCGTCTTGTCCGGGACAACGCCCATCGCATGCGATATCCTTCACCAAAGCCTTCTTTGATCCACTCCAAGTTCCTTACTGCCCTACAGGGCGCTGGTGGCAAGATGTCGTCGTCGAACCCCAACTCGGCCATTTTCATGACCGATACCGCTAAGCAGATCAAGGTACATACCCACAACAGCGATTCAATGGCCATTCGAGCCAATACACATTGCAAAATGTAGATTACAATTGCTAACATTATGAACCTCTATAGACCAAGATCAACAAATATGCCTTCAGCGGCGGCCAAGTCAACATTGAGGAGCACCGACGACTTGGAGGCAATCCGGATGTTGATGTGTCCTACATCTACCTGACGTACTTCGAGGATGACGATGAGAAGCTAGAGAAGATTTACAAGGACTACAAGAGCGGAGAGCTGCTTACCGGAGAGCTGAAGAAGATGGCTATTGAGTCGCTCCAGCCCGAAGTCCAGGAGTTCCAGGAGCGGCGAAAGCTTGTCACTGACGATGTTCTGGAGTCGTTCATGAAGCCCCGAAGGCTGGAGTGGAAGGGAAACCAGAACCCCTTGCCCAAGGAGGAGGTTAAGAAGGACGAGAAGAAGGACGAGAAGAAGGACGAGAAGAAGGACGAGAAGAAGGACGAGAAGAAGGACGAGAAGAAGGACGAGAAGAAGGACGAGAAGAAGGCTGAGAAGAAGGCCGAGAAGAAGAAGGCCGAGCCCAAGGCTGGCGAGACCACTGAGCTTCCCATTCGAGAATAAAGACGAGGGGTAATAGAACAGGAAGAAAACGGCTTTCTTAGTGGGCTTTAGGCCTCGACGCGATGGTATACTTGAGGTGAATGAGCTTGTGGCCCTGGCACCTCTACATTCAAAATCAAGCACAATGAGATGTCGCCTTTGTACCTCTTGTGACCCCTCAATCGATGGTTTCTCTCGTATCATTTACACGTTGTTATTCGCTCCGAGGTGGGGGGGGACGATTCAACCCCGGACCCACCCGATCTCCGGGATTACTTAGCAGTTCAAATCTTCGGCCTCGGCTGGTTTGCCCCGGATCTCTGACGTCGACGACAACACCTCTCCTAACCTCCCTCGACGCCGCAAACCCATTGTCCCTAGCCGACAACACCGCCTATACGGACACTACTGTGACATTTTCACAGCACAATCACCTCCGTCTTTTTCGCGTCTCCTAGCTACCATGGCGTCCATCGCCTCGCGCGCCCTTCGACGGCCCGCCGCCGCCCGCCGCTTGCTTGCTCTGCCTGTCCGCCCGCTGTCCACGACAGTGGCGCACCGCGCTGTTGACGACACTTCATCTGCCGAGTTGGGTGTCGGAGAGCTTCAGGGTGCCAAGTTCAAGATCGAGCCGCTGCGCCGCGTGGGCGAGGACGACGCCACGAAGCGAGCCCGCCTTGTCTGTATGTCTTTCCCCCCTGCGGCGTTGTCGTCATTGACGCTCGCCTCTCGCCCCTGTGGTCAACCAACCCTTTTCTAACAAACTCCTCAGACCAATCCCGCAAGCGTGGAACGCTCGAGTCCGACCTCCTCCTCTCCACCTTCGCCTCCAAGTACCTGGCGACGCTCCCCCCGACGCTGCTCGACCAGTACGACCTGCTGCTCGACGAGAACGACTGGGACATCTACTACTGGGCCACGCAGAAGGAGGAGCTGTCGTCGACGAACCCGTCCAACTCGCCCGACGCCAAGCCCGCCAGCGACCAGGTCACGCGCCACCCTCCCACGGGCGAGTGGGCGCAGACGGTTGGCAACTTCAAGCCCGCGTACCGTCCCGTGCCGGCGCGGTGGAGGGACAGCGAGATTCTCGACATGATCCGCGCCCATGTGCGGAGTCGGAGCGTTGACGGCGAGGGCACAGGGATGCAGTTCATGCCCGAGCTGGACTCTCGGTAGACGAGCAAGATTCACTAGGGGAACGACCAGCAATGGTAGAAGGTGAAGCAGTGCATCGAGATCAATGATGCACGAGTGTACAGTTCATGTCTAAATCTGGCCACGGCCTCACGCGAGGCTGAAGATAAATTGGGCGGCAGTGGCAATGTAAGATGCATATATGGAAGAGGAAGAAGAAAAACGTCAACTCTTTGGAATCTGTAGCCCGCTTGTACAATGCGTGCGTCCTCCTTGCACATGTAGAATAGCCTCCCTCGCGTCCATTTGCCCTGTCCCAACGGGGGAGAGGGGGACCGCCTCCCAAACTCCACAGGATGCCAACTCCTTAAGCCAAGGTCCGAGAAAAAGACCACAACCGCAAAAAAAGAGAAAACCACAAGGCCGTCTTAGTAGTCCCGGGCACATGACACTGTGCCGGGGGTGGGAGTATCAAGAAGAAGGGAGTGAAAGGAAAAAGAAGGAACTCGTCTCGTCGTCAATGTCGTAGTCCATAAATAGTCGAGCAACTGTTTGGTCGAGTCCTAGTTTCGCTTTCACCCGCCGCCTTCTGGGAGAATATTGCCTAGACTCCTCAGCACTTCCATGACGGGCATCTCTTTGGTGCCCGCCCTGGCCTTTTCGCGTTCGTCCCGCTGGCGGAGGCGGAGCGCGCTGATGCTCAGAACCTTTTCTGCCTCTTTTCCGGCCACCAGAACCCGTTGCTCGAGTTTGTGGACGTTGTCGGAGAGCTGGTCGATCTGGAATTCCAGAGAGGACTGGATGGTACGCAATCGCGATTCCGTTTGTGATCGAACGGTTTCGAAAGAGAAGGCCTCGTCAGCCAGGTAGCCCCTAATCTTGCCTTCTTCTGGATCCAGAAGGTCAAAGTCTGGCAAGATAACGGGATACGTTTCGTTCTCGGCAAACAGAGGCGGTTGTTCAGGAGGTGGTTTCCGTATTGCTTGCCAGGCCTTCTTTTCTTCTTGTAATCTGGGCATAAACATTAGCAGCTGCAATACAAGCCATTATCCCACAATCACTCACCTCTTAACATTAATCTCTAATTGTGCCATCTTCTCGTCGAGCTCGATGTTCTTGGGGTTAGGTTGCAGGACCACGGGTGCTTTTGGCACCTCGTCGTCTCTGCTAAACCAATCTGAGAACTCCGATCGAGCTGCGAAGTCCTTGAGTAGTTGGTCCTGAATCGCGCGAGCTACAGAAAAGTTGTTAGCATCTCCGTTTGCAACGTTGTTCAGTCGGATTATTCGCGCATCACTCACCACCGAGAATGGCACTCGAATTAGGCGTTCCATGGGGTGGCTTCTCAGCCAAAGCACGTTCTCCGCACCAAGTTAAAAGTTGCTTCATTCTTCGAGGCTCCAGAAGATCAGCCCCGATGTGCTTGTAGAAACCAGCCGGGTCAACCTCCCGATGCGGAATTGCTGTTTGGCCGCTGTCGATGAGGGAACTCGCTCGTCGCCCACGCATTCCCAAGCTACTCCGCCGGCTTCCGTTGCCCTTTTTTCTCATCTCCTTGTTGCGGTTGATTACCGGTGTGTCGCTCATTGGGAGCTTGATTTTGGCTGCGGCAATCGGTGCTTCACGCTCTGGTGACTCGTCCCAGTTTGGTACCACGCGTTTCGGTGATTCTGCCTTGCGGCCGCGTTTCGGTTGTTCTGCATCGTGTCCGCGTTTCTTTGATGCGCCATTTGTCTGCGGCACTGGCTCGTCCAGCTTTTCCCCAGAGACTCGTGCGCTTTTCCTGGTTGCCTTCTTGGGGACTTTGCGTGGCGGTTCCTCGTTTGACGCGTCGACGCTGACTTTCCGTCTGGTAGATTTCCTCGTAGGCTTAGGTTTCGCGGGTTCCAACACGGTTGCCGTCGCTGGCTCCTCCTCCTCCTCTATTACGGGTGCGGCATCCTTCGTAACGCGTTCCTTTACCGCTGGTCGTCCTCGCCCCCGCCCTGGCTTCTTCACGGGCTCTGGTTCATCTGCCTTCTCCGTCTTAACCCTCTTCGACTTCCGCACAAACTGAAAATCGTCATCCTGCTCGTAATCGGCCACAGCTGGTGGGCGGTTAGCGCTTCCTCCCCACGGCGCGTCCTCGTTGTGCAACATACCGGCAAGACGCTTGCTCGCCCGCCGCTCCGCCTGGTTGCTCATGCTAATAAGTTGTAGCGGCCGCCGAGTCGTCACCAGAGTCGTCATGAGTGGCGCATTCGGGACCGCATGGACTCCGGGGTTGCGGGTGGTGGTCTGGAGGGGGCTCCGACAGTCGATGTCGGGCCCGAGGCGGGATGGGCGCGCGGGTTGCAGAGTCGCGTCGCTTCGTGATACAGGGGCCGCTGCACGTTCTGGATGCCGTAAAAGTCGCGCAATCGGTGTCGTGGTTCAATTCGCGATGGTTCGGCCGTGCTCCGGGTCTCGGTGGTGGTTTGCGAGTCGCGACGAGGTTGTGATGGTTGAGGCGCATCACCTTGTTTACATGAGGGATGATTTACCACCTCTCGCGCTAATCCTATCTGGGCAATATGGCGCCCCACTACCGCACCCACCCACCCATCAGCGGTGACTCCCACCGCCCACCACAACATCCGCCAGTTCCAGACATCGTCAGCGGCTTCGTCAATCTACAAACGCAAGTCAATAATGGAGGAATCTCTCATTCACTCAGAGTCAGTCAGCGCAAATCAGGACATATATCCAATTCAATTCAACCAATGCATTTCTTCTCATCATGTTCGATTGCGCAACTATCGTTCAACCACGTAGCTTTTTGTTGCCTACAGCTACCTGCAAAACCAATTCCCAACACCACCAAAGACTTCATCCCCGTGATTCCGAGTCCCTAAACGCCCCCAGGCAGGGCACATCCCGCCTGGCCGAACACCTTTTGATGTACGTCCCGTGTGCTTTGCCAAAAACTTACGTACAAGTGAAATTTTGGGTTCGCTCCTCTCATCAAGCCTTCACAGTTTGAGAGTCACATCCCCCTAAGAATCCCGCAGACGAGTCCCGAGAAGCTCGTCCACTAACCGCGAACCCCAGACACCGATCCCCGTCCGGATGTTCCACTCGTCGTGAATTGTTGTACAGGCCAAAAGAGGTGAAAATTAGAAAGAAAACAGATTTGGCAAGGCTCCAGAAGTTCCAAATCCCCTTGCCCCCCTTATGTATATGTGGTTCGAGCCCCTGCATGTCGCCTATATCAGAGAGACACCATCATCACCTCATCTCCTCATTGTGGAAAGAAAGGGTCATCCATGGAAGTCATTTTGCCGTCCAGGGAAGCCGGTTCACCCTGGTCATTGACGGATCGCAACTCGTTCTATGAGAAACGTCGTTGGACACCCTGGCCAGCCATGACCGGTTGATTTGGCATTGGCGCACCCATGCCATAAGGATTCATCTGAGGGTTGAAGGGCTCGACAACCTGAGACATAAAAGCACTGTGGAGACCTTGCTGTTGCGTAACTGGGCAGTCCTTGTGTGCGAGGAGGAGTGTCTTCAGGTTGACAACTTCCTCTCTCAGCTGCGTGATTTGCGCAGACAGAGCATCGTTTTCTGTGCTGAACATCTCCACCTTGGTCTGCAGGTTGGCAAGCCACTGCTTCTTTCTTTGACGGCACTTTAGAGCAGCCACACTATGACATGTTAGTAAGCCTGGTTTGATACAGAGACATGTTAAAATATTGAATGAGACGTACCGGTTTCGCTCAAGGAAGTTCTTGCGCTTCTCCTCATCTGTCATCTTAGTTTTGGTTCCGTTTTCATCATACTTCATGTTGGACTCGTCGTCGGACATATCCATGTCATCAGGCATGGACATAGGCATGGGCCCGTTATTAGACTTGGCCTTCTTGCTCGGGGGTGCCTTTGCAGGAGCCTCATCGGCCTTTCTTCGACCGTTTGTGGAGGGCGGGTTCTTCTTGCCCTTGCCTCGTGTATTAGGTCGGGCCTGGTCACTATCGTCCGAGGCCATACTAACTTCGCTCATACCCCGAGCGGAGGCGATCGAGCCACCATTGGTGCTCGACATCTGTGGCGAGGTATTCATACCCTGGGGGACAACGGGAACTGGATGTGCGTGACTAGCTGCGCCCGGAGCGACAGCAAATTGATTTGTGGATTGGGCTCCGTTCCTGCCCTGGGCAAGCATGAAGAGGCCGTTGGCAGCGTCGTTGTCGTGAGGATCAAAGGGCCGGAGGCTGGCTTCGCCTCAGGCTTAACTATCGCGTTGCCGTTGGGGATCTCTTGGGGTTGAGACGTGACCGACGGCGGTTGCTGCTGAGGAGGTTGTTGGGATTGTCCAGAAGGCCGCTGAACTCCGTTTGCTTGGTCTCTCTTGGCAGCCGCGCTCATAGCAGTGCGATGGAAATCGATGGTGCTCGGCGTCGCGCCTCCGCTGGCAAGCTGGGCAAAGAGGGCTTGGGAGTTGGGGCTGGGCGCAGGGAACATAGACCCGCTGCCGCCTGGAGTCAAGCCCGTCCTCAAAGAGGACTCGTTGGGTGTAGGAAAGCCGCCGCGTAGATGAGTGTCACCAAAGTAGTCATTGGCAGGACCAGAAAGCATGGCTGGGCTCAGAGGGCCAGTCCGCAGCGAGCCTCCACCCCAGTTAAATGGTGTCGCGTTGGGGCCGGGCAGGAGGGACGAAGGGGACGTTAAGGCGGCGACCGAAGGCAACTTGGTGCCTCCTGGTGTCTCTGGCGCACCCCCGAAGGACTGCTCAAAGGGATTGGGCTCCAGACTGAGGGATCCGCCGACCGTGGCCGCGAAGTAGTCAGGAGTGTCGGTACCTTGTTGTTGGTCGGGTCGAGGAGGAGGCGCAAGGGGTTTTGCGGCTTCGGCATTGGACGCGACCTCTGGTTTCACGGACGGTTCGGCTTTTGCGTCGGTCGGAGCATCTGCGAGGAATCAGGTGTGAGTAGGATGGATGGACGGCGACAACCGTATAGACGGTGACAGATGATGAGAACGGAGGTCAACAGCGGTGACGGAGGCCGGGACGGGGACGGTGACGGGGACGAGACGGCCACAGGAGGTGGATGAGGGTGACGGAAACCGATGACGATGATGCGTCATGGCGGAGAAAGAAGACGGGAAAGGATAGGTGGAGGGGGGTTGGGGCTCACCTGGTTTGGGAGGGGATTTCTTTGACTGCTTCGGGGACTTCGACTCACCTCTAGCAGAGGCGTCGGATGTTGAAGTCCCCATGATGACGATGATGTATTATAGCTGGGGCGGCAAGGTTGTGGAAGTTGGTCGAGTGGGGGGGGGTGGCAGTGACGAAACGAGGATGGAGGAAGACAAAAAAGCCAAATGAGGTCAGAGGCGACGATGGCGAAACAAGCCGCTACTACGGGGGGGGATTGCAGTACAGCACAGCCGCGCAGTGCAGGCCTAGGAGCAGAGAGAAGACGGCGCGCAGTGCAACAACAAGCCAAAAAAAACCAGAGAGATCCGGCCGAATCAGTGGAGTGCGGCTGGCGTGGGAGTCGATGATTGCGTCGAGGCGTCGAAGAGCAAAAACGGGCGGTGTTGCGGGACTGCGTCGACAGGCGAGGGATTGTGAAAGGATCAGGTTGGAAAAGACGTCAGAGATGACGTTGTGAAGCAGCGAAAAAGAAGGCGCAAAAAAAGAAGGCGGGCGCTGGGCTCCTAGAAGGTCTTGTGTGGCCACCCGGCAGAGACAGGGAAGGACCGGGGTGTCGCTGACAAAATGCCATTCGACGGGGAGCCTGAGTTCGCACTGTGCTGTCGGCGCCGTCGATGGCATCGTCCGATTGCCCCAACCCAACCCAACTGGCTTGTCGCGAGGACGATCACTGGCGGCGAATTGCTCAACTGGGCTGACCCGCCCCGTGTGTAGTGTGTGCTTTTTTAATGTTACTGCTCCATTGCATCGGCCATTGCATCGGCCATTGCATCGGCCCGCCAGGCTCGGGCGATGCACCAAGTCACGACGCGGAGTGACTCTCCGACCTCTCGGTGCCATTGTCTCATCCCTCGAATGCTTTTTGCCGTCATGGGCTTCCTAGTGCCGTCACTGTGCTGTTGCGCCGGTACAGGTCTCGGAGCCGAAATACAGTGCGTGGAGGCACCTGCAAGCCCAAGGTTACAGTGGAGAGCCCCTCTGTTCTGCTTGGCCTGCTCCATTATTACCGGCCGGGGGGGGGGCCAGTCGTGTCTCCCCCGGTGGCGTCACACATACCCACCCACACACACGCTCAGATGCTAATGAATTGAGTGCGCCATGGGCGATGGCAATGGGAAACAGAGCAGTTGAGTTTTTCCTACACTGTGCGGGTACGAGCGACCAGGGATTTTTGGCCATCTCCACACCCTCGCGTGGAGACAGCAAATGCATGCAGTCGCAAGAGCCAGGAGACATGAGGGACGCAGTAGAGTGGGGCCAAAAGCCGGTCCATCGCCGTCATTCCCCCCCTGAACCAATGGGCCGCCCACGTCGCGATGACGCAGGGCCATGAGGCGCGACTTGCCTGGCCGTGGTTGGTTTCCTTCGCACGCCTGTCTGCCCATTCTCGGTTTCTCATCAATCTCTCTCACAGTCTCTTCCAGTCCCCCGCCAGCCCTCCCCTCCGGCATCTTCCCCTCCCACCGTATTGAACTGTGATTCTCTGGGGCGACCAGATGGGGGGGCAAGAAATGGGAAAGCCGGTGCTTCCGTGTGGTTTTCCCTCCTCTTCTTGGAATGTTGGGACAGCCAATAACACAAGTGGTTTCGGAACAAAACTATTGTTGGAGGATGCCGCACCGTACGCACTGATGGAGCACCTCTCCACAATCGGATAGAGCACCCAGCTCAACACTCTACTCTGCTCTGCTCTCTCGTCTCTCGTCGACCTCTTCCCGCCCCTTCTTTCTAACTGGCTGATCTGCAACGCGTCGTCTGTCCGGGCCCCTTATTAGGTCGAAGCACGCACTTTGCTGGCCCCTTCTGCGACCCCGGAAGCAGCCATACAAAGCACACACACGGAAGCGATCCCCTGGCCTCACCGACTGTCGTTGACCACGCCAGCGGGCAGCAGCCGGTCGGTCTGTCGATAAATGAAATGGATTCCTTTTGCTGCTCCTCTAGCACAATTGACAAGGTCTCCCCCCTCCCCCCTTTGCTAGTGGCGAACCCGGGACAGCTACCCGTTCCCAACGCCGTTTCCCTCGTTCTCGCTGGACTCGACGTAGTACGTAGCAATGCTGCCCGTCCTTGAGTGGTTGATGGACGCTGTCTTACAAATCGAGGACGCTGGAACACGCTGGGCGGCGCACTAGCCTTGCGCCGACCTTATCGGATCCTCGTCAGCGTCGCCCAATATGGCCATTCCCCGGCCTGGTCACGGACGAGATCGCGTGTGCAGGTCCTTCGTGCGTCTGTCCATCCACTTTGCCTGCAGGACTTCGTGGAGCACTGTATTCTTCTCCTCCCCCATCAGGCACAGGCTCAACACGCACCTTTTTAACCTCAACTCAAGCATTCGTATCCCAGGCCCAATTCGACGTCTCCGTCAACTCCGAATGGGTTGTGTTGAATAGGCCCAGGCTCTCTCGTTGGCTGGTATCATCAAACTCTAAGCCAAAAGAGGCAAACATCGAGAATTTTTCAGAGTGAAGGTTCCCAAATCGAGCACAGTGTCGCTCGCGACTTGCACACACGCTTCCGCAGACACTGTGTCGGTACTTGTCCCAGCACAACCAGGCGCAATATGACAAGGCCATGACGTCAGCTCGCAAACGTACTGCAACACATGAGACAAAGCCTCCTCTCCGCTCTCGCCAACCGTATGAGGTGCAAGGAATGTCGCCCCAGCCCGCGCAGATTTGCCATCCAACTGTGCGTCGCCTGCTGCCGTTCCCCTCCTCCTCAAACTTGTTCTATCTTGTTTGCTCTTCCCTCCGGGGGTTGCGTCGCGAATCTGCCGCCAGCGTCTCGCGGTGCTGCGGTTAGCGCAACGCGCGACCACCAGGGGAATCGCGATTTCGCCTAGAGCCCTGGGGCCATGGAGCCTCACTTCAAGGCTCATGGAGCCTTTGTTCGCCCCACCACAAGACCCGCCGATTTCAAATTATGACGCATGTCCTTTCGTACTCTCCCAGTCCTCGCAATCACGCCAACACACCTCCTCTGCATGCTTTTTGTTGATAACAAAGAATGTGTGTAGCTGATGGTTGAATCCGGTCGCAGAGCTTGGGACTGGAAATCCCCGAGAGTGAATAACTACCCCAGTAAAGTTAGTGCGGTTCCCAAACTCTACACCCCCTAGTGTTGAAGCGTGTTGCAATCCCGACCTCATGTACAGGAGCATTCCGTGCTACGATCATCAATCTGTGGATTCCGTCTGTGAACTGTTTGGTCCTCGGTGTCTCAAGGCAGGCCATTGTCCCATGCTCTTCAATGCCGCTCTTGTCCAACCTTCTGACCCGGCAGTCGGGCTCGATCATTGTCCCAGATAGTCGGATATTGAAATATTCCCCTCCACGCTTCAACAAACACGACGCGCCCACCTTGGCCCTTGATGATGCCAACCATCTGGACGAAAGGAGATGAAGAGCTCGTTCCTCACGCTAAATTCAACCTTTTATCAGTAGCTGCATATCCATGCAGTGCGAAAGCCACATAGCTCGTGTTCTGCAGGCCTCGAGCAATTGCATCGAACCGATCCCAAGGTTACAATGAGAAAGGCTAGCCAGGCATTTGCCTCCTATCAATCAACACGCCCCCAGATAGCTCTGTTCGTGTGCCTTGACTAGGCGCTTGGTCCCAGTCCGTGGCCGCAGCCTTGGAGCATCCCTTGCGTTTATATTTTCCAGGTTATGATGTCAACGACACGTCACAGGTCTCTCGTAGCTACCCTAGACACTATTGGATGCACGACACCACGGAATCAACGAGATTAGACTGGCGACATTGTATCTCCGAGTGATTTAGATGATGTCTTGAGAGAGGTCTGATTGTTCAGACGTATTTCATGTAGGGGTATGCTCCGGCTCGGTTATGCGTATCCAACTCAAGTAAATGGCATCAATAATCTACCAAGCATGATTCAAGACCTAGACAATACCAGCACAACCTCAACAATCACAACTTCGCGCCCTTGTCGACCACCTTCTTAACTCTAAAACCATGCCTAGGCGCATGCACTCTAACTATACGCCCCCCTTCTCCGGTCTCGTACACCACCTCCCGCGCATCGATCGCGACCAACTTGCCCTCGTCCCTCCCCGACGAGCCCGTGTCAGTTGGCCATACCCGAATGCGATCACCTTTCTGAAGTCCCTGCGCAATGACCACGGCGTCCTCAGCGTCCACAACCCTTTCATTTCCACTGAAAGGTGCCTGCAGGATCGTCTGCGCGGCCTCGTCTCCCTTTAGCGTTGCTGGCTTGCCCACCTTCTTCTTCGCCGCGGACAGGGCGTCCTGGAATCGCTGGATCCAAGCGTACACGCGTGGGTAAACGGTGGGCGAGAACCGGTCCTTTGGCAGCGCGCCCGGGAGTCCGAGCAACCAATGGAATGGCCACACGGCCTCGATGTCCGCGAGGCTCGGCCCAGGCGTCTTCAGGATCCAGTCGCGTCCGTCGGCTAGCAACGTCGTCTCGAGAAGGTCGAACGCCCGGATCACTTCAACCAGAGCCTCAGGCCGCGCGGCGGTCATGCCCTGAGGGCTGAGCTTGCCTCCCATAAAGTCTGCACGGTCACGGTAGTATGCCGGGTCTTGGAGCAGAGGCAAGTCTGTTGGGAGCAGCTGGACGGCTTTGCCAAACAGGCCGGTGTCGGTGGTGAAGAGCGACAGGAGGCGCTCGACAGCAAGTTGGTCTGGCTCAGTGGCGCCGAGGCGGGGCATTTCCGGGAAGAGTTTCTCGAGCTTGGGTATCTGCAACCGAGTATCCAGGTAGACGTCGCGTCCTATGGATAGGATCGGGATGCGGCGGTAGGATATCCCAAGTTGCGAAATGTCCGGCCGCGGCATCATAGGAGGTTGGAGCTATCGACACATCAGTATATTGCGTTTGTGGCATCGCTAGGAGGCACCGAGACTCACACATTGGCTGTAGGGGATCCCGCGAAGGGTCAAATACCAGACTACCCGCCTGGCATACGGCGAGTACGGGTAGTGGTATAAGATAACTGCAGGGGTTGACATGTCGATATTTTCTCGTCGCAGCGACGGAGATACGTGGTGTTGATTGCGCACAAGGACCCGATACTTATGTAGAAAGTATTTCCAATCGTGCACTTCAGTAGCTCAAGTGACAGCCAAACCTCCTCATGATCGTCTTACGCCGAGCCTCGGTTGATGATTTTGCGGGGTGCAGGGGGTTGGCGAGTACGTTCTCGGTTGGCCTCTAGCCAATAGCGTGTTACACTTTGCCCAGGCTGTTCGGCCCTCAAGAAGACAGAAATCCAAGCAGAACACGAACAGCACACCAAGAAGCCTGGGTCCATTTCATCAATTGTCATATATCTGCTTATTGGTGGCATCATCTTGACTGATTTGCTCCTAAACCTCAATTAAGCAGCCAACCATGCTCGTAGCCCATCGGCCCCTTGAAACGTAACACGCCCTCAAAATCTCATCGGGTACAACTGAAGTCGCCCACACCAAGAAGATGACAGCCTGACTCTTACGGCACTCTCATCTTGGGATGCAACTCCACTACCAGCCACCTCCATCATCCTGGGATGCTCCACCACCATGGTTGGCATTATCGAATCCATCATTCGATGGAAAGCCTTCATTCGAAGGCGCTGGAAAGCCACCATCGTTGAAGTCCTCTGTCTCAGCAGGAGGCGCCTTGCAACGGACCTTGGTGTGTCCGAATTCCTGGCAATTAGTGCACTGCACCTTGCTCCCTGTGAGATGGTTAAATTGTCTGTAAGTTGAGGAATCTCGGTTCATATTGACTTACAGTCACGAGGCTCGGGACATTCCCTGCTGAAGTGGCCGGTTTTCTCGCAGTTTCGGCAAGTGACAGTGTCCATGTTCCGAGGTTGGTCACACTCTTTGACCATGTGGCCCTCTTGACCGCAGTTGCGGCACGCCCGGCTCCCGCCCTGAGGGCAGTCTTTCGCGAAATGACCCACTGCACCAGTTAGTTTGAGTGAAGGAGCGCGACCCTGGAGACGTACTCTCGTTGCACTTGCGGCATTCGACATTCTCCGGGTTCGGTGGTTCCTCGCATTCGGCAATCTTGTGACCCGATTTCCTGAGTAATAATTAGCATCAAGTAACAGTAAATATAATTCAAACATGAGACTCACCCGCAGTTCTTGCACGCAAACTTGTCAACACGAGGTTCCGGGCCTACTAGGTTAGCAACGTTAAGACAGAGTTAGGACAGGTTAATAGCCTACAGTCTCTGACGCGGTGACCGTCGCCGCCACAGTTGTAGCAAGAAATCTTGGGGGCGTCGGTTCTCTCAACCTTTTCCTGCTCACAGTACTTGGAACTGTGACCGAGTTCCTTGCAGTTGAAGCACAGTGGAACCCCTTTGTCAACAACCTCTCCGGCATCATCCAAACGAGAGAGAATCTCGGTGCGATCCTGTGGCCAACCCTCAATTTCGCGAGGACGATCGGGTTTCTCCGAGAACCGATAGGAGACGGTGTACTTTTTCCCCATGTCTCCCTGGAGATTCATGTTGGTAAAAATGCTGATCAGAGGCCTCTCAGTTGCAATCAGCCAAAGACCGATATCTTGTTCGATAAGAGCCTCCTGGAGCTCTCGATAAGTGATATTGCCCTCAAGAGCTTTGACGTACTCCTGTACGGCTTCCTTGGCATCGTCAACTTCGCGCTCAGAGACTGCCTGCTTGAGCTTCTTCCAGGCTTCATCGGGATCGACGGTGGCAATATGATCGCGGTTGATCTTGCGAGCGTTCTCGCAATTCTTTCGCATATGACCTGGTAAAGTTAGCACAGCATCCCGTTTATCTCAAATCCAAACAACGAACCTTCCTCTCCGCAGTTCTCGCACAACATAGGAGGCTTATCCGGGCAGTCTCGGACCATATGTCCGGGCTGCTTGCAGTAGCGGCAGGTCATGTCTTGACCCGTCTCTTGAGCGTTGGGACACTCAGCTCGGCGATGGCTTGTAGCATGTCAGTATGCCAAAGCCGATTTCCACAAACGTGCTGGACGAAAAAAAGAACATACCCAGCTTCACCGCAACCGAAGCACTTGTCATCGCCGTTGCCATTTCCATTTCCATGGCCGAAGCCGGTGCTGGTTTGTCAGTAAATACAACATAATGGGTATCAATACAACTTGAGAGTTTGCCAGTGATCACTTACTCTCCCTGTCCATTCTGGTCAAAGCCATTGGCTCCTGCATCTGTTCCATTGGAACCATAGGCAGCGCCGTCGCCTCCATAATTGTTGAGGGTTGAACCGCCACCACTGTCCCAGTTGGGCGCGGATGGCCCGGAGTTCCAGTCAGCCATTTCGGAGTGCTTGGCGGGTCTCCGTAAAGGCTTTCGGCGTCTATTGAAACATGTTAGGAGTCGTTGAGGAATAAATGTGAGGCTCGAACAAGGTAGAGCAGGCCGGGACAGGAATTTCAGTCGCTCACGAAACTGCAACAACTGTGTGCCTCCTATATGTGGCTAAACAACAGAGAGGTGATTTGCCTGCTTGGAATAGGTGAAGTGCAAAGAGAGGAAACACAGGCAAGTCAGGTATGGATCGCGATTCAGACCAAAGCGTAATCGGACAGACCCAAAGAGACTGATCTGGACTACCTCACCGGGATAGAAAGAAACGAGACTCTCGAAATGCAGGTGAACTTCAGAAGCTCATTTGAAGAAATGAGGTAGATGAAGCACTCACTTGTAGATGTTCTGAAGTTGATCTTGTGCCGTGCAAAGTTGTTCTCCACAGCGTAGGGAAGTGCGGAAATGGGAGGAAAAGAGTAAAGTTCTGTGCAGGCGAGAAGTGAAGGAAGAGAAAGGCCTTAGGGACGAGAGCCTGATGCCTTTGTGCCTGAACGTGAACGTAAACTTGAGGAAGGCGCGTCTCAGGTGGGTGCACAAGTTGAGACGAGAGGCCTTGGGGAAGGAGAAAGAAGGAACACTCAGGGGATCAAAAACTGGGTTTTTATATTTCGACAAAAGAAACACGCCCACCAGTTAGAAGTGTTTCCTTGCCAGCTGCGGACACTTGGTAGCAGGAGGTGTTGAGCAATGATTCACTGTCAACCACAGAGAGGCCTGGGCTTCTTGCGGTATACCACCTAGGTTTAGGGGCCAAACACCCTAAAAGACAGGTGCCTGCCTACCTGCAGGATGTGCCCGGGTAAACAAACTCGCCATGGCGGGCCGTCGCGTCTTTGTGACATATGGGTGCTTTTTTAACCTAGTGGTTTGCTCAACATAAGGTGCCTAGCCTCGTTTGCTGGTTGCGGGTTGTTGGAGTTGAGGAACACTACTTGATATGAAATGGACCCTCTCTCCCGGGGACTATGGGTAGATGATATTGCATGTGTAGTATTCAACAAAACCTCGACACACATCACCCGCGTTTTTACTGACATTTCCTACATTTAAGATGCGCCAGAGTGCAAGTTGAAGAAGATATGGCATCGGGTCAGCGATAACCGCTGCCACTATCCGTAGAAAGCCTGGAACTAGGTCCGGCCCGTTTCTTAGTGATGGCTAGAACTAAAACCAAAACCAGACCCATACCATCCATCCAGACACAAAGGCGGACGGAGGGTCTCTCGAGCGTGAAGACGCAAACGGCGCGGATACCCACACCCGTAATAAGTGCTCGGCGTCACGTCGCAAACTCGGTGTGAGTAAAGCCCAGCCCAGCCCAGCCCCAGCCCCGAAAGCCATCCCCACAGTGAAGAAAAAGCATGCAACCATCTAAGACAAGCATGGACCAGGCAGAAGAGAAATGTCACGAGAACAACCCATGGCGGCAAGTGCAGAATGCTCCGACAAATCTCCAGGCGGGGATTGGTCCGAGTTCGCACCGCTCGCCTCCCCCCTTTCGACGGACAATTAGGCGATAGGTCAGCGGAATCGGAAGATGCCGCATAGGATGGGCAGCCCTCGGGCAGGCCTTGCGCCTGTGCCTGTGCCTGGCCCAGGGAGGTTAAGGTCCCGGGTCGTACGGTTTGGCAGCTGACTTTTCCGTAAGCGACCGTTGGCGTAATTGTTGCAAAAACATTTCGGCACATCTCCGAGGAGGGCTCCGGGGAGTCGCAGCCACGGCGATGGTCAGCAACGCAACGTGCCCGCTGCAAGAGGACAATTGAGGAATTGACGCCAGCGGCAGTCCGTAAGCAACCGGTCATCATTATTCCTGCCTTAGCTGGCTTTCGGATGCAGGGTCGATGGTGGCTGGCTCCGCACCTCCGCAGTCGGAACCAGGGGTGCTTATCGATATCGCCCTTCGATCGCTGTCCGAGGAAAAGCAGAAGTGAACCCCGCAACATAGAACATCGATGTAATACCGTCTGTCGGGACTAACCTGGCACTGTGCTCACCACACGATAACGAGCGAAGCGCACAGTCCGCAGAGCCTGCATGCACTGCGGATCTAGTTCACTCCATTGACTAATCTAGTTCACACCAATCCAATATCTTGGGCGAAAAGTCCGCGGGCTTCCCTACAAATCCAACGCCATCTCCCCAAGTTCGTTCGTCCTTCTCCTCACTCCTCTTCTACCGTTCCTGCAACCTCATTCACAATGGCGCCCGCGATCCTCATGATTGACCCGAGCGACGACTTCGTCCCGTCGACTCCTTCGACCTCGCCACCCAAGCGCACCCTCCTTCTAGCGCCTCCCTCTCTCGCATCGCACTCCTCCGCCCTCACGTCTGTTCTATCCGACTATGACCGCTCCGTCACCGATCTCCAGATGCTCGACCGTCTCTCCGCGGGACTGGTCAACCTGCCGACCTCCACCTACGACCTCGTCCTGATCCTGGCGGATGCCTCCTCCATGCTGGGCGAGTCTCTCGCCTTGATGAACCGAACCGTCCTCGGCCCCGTTGCTGAAGCACTCAAGCCCAACGGTCGATTGCAGGGGCAGAACGGAAACAACTTGGAGGAGTCGACGCTGTCAAAGGAGGCAGTCCTGGCCGGTCTGGTTGCCTCCCGAGGAGGCTTCGAGAAGCCCGACTACGGCGAGAGCGAAGGTGTCGTTAGCCTAAAGTTCGGAAGCAAGAAGAAGAAGAACCAGGGTGGATTTACTTTTGGAGATGGGTCGGTTTCTCTTAAGAGGAGTGCGCCCAAGGTTGAGCCACCAAAGCCTGTTGCCCCCGCCGGTGTCGGCTTCATCGACCTGAGCGACGATTTCGACGACGACGACCTCATCGACGAGGATGACCTCATGACCGAGGAAGACCTCTTACGCCCCATCAACATCCGTACGTTCCCCCATCTTTCCGACCCCTCCCCCACTCCCACTTCCCACTTTTGCTAACCTCTATCCAGCCGCCGAGTGCCAGCCCAAGCCCGGCAAGCGAAGGCGCGCCTGCAAGGATTGTTCGTGTGGTCTTGCCGAACGCCTCGTCGCCGAAGACGATGCCAAGCGTGCCGAAGCCGACAAGAAACTCGAGAGCGTCAAGCTTGCCTCTGACGATCTGGCGGAAGTCGACTTTACCGTCCAGGGCAAGGTGGGCTCCTGTGGCAACTGCGCCCTGGGCGATGCATTCCGATGCGACGGCTGCCCCTACGTCGGTCTGCCGCCCTTCAAGCCCGGCGAGGAGGTTCGACTGCTGAACATGGATATCCAACTGTAAAGGCATTGTGATGAACGATGGGAACGCAGAAATGCAGGCGTATATACACTTCTTTTTGGGATGGGTTGGATTCGGGTTCAGGACAGGACATGGCGTCCGCAACACACACGGTCAGGAGGTAAAGGATGTTTGTACGGAGCGCTCTACATTTAGATTCGGCGTTCCTGGCGCAGCTTGACCCATTTAGATGATACAAAAAAACCGAGTTGCATTATCAGACTCCAAACGCCGCTCTAACCATGACATGCTCCAACCCTTTGCATATGAGAGTAGCCTAGGACACCAGATAGTAGACATTGCCTCCCTGACCCAAGCGGAAGTAAGTTTAGAAGGGTCCCAGATCATCGCGAGCGTCCGCTCGTGTGGTTCTTTTCGTTGTCCGAGTCGCTATCACTGTCATCACCCACGGCATACTCGGCTCTGCCAGCCACTGTCGGGGTTTCTACATGTAGGTCATCTAGTTCGCTCTCATCGAAAGCGGCGGCCTCAAGATCGCCAGGGCCTTGCTTAGCCCGTAACCCATCCAATCGCCCAGAAGAGTCGTTGCCAGCAAGGGCGTGGTAGGTAGCAACCTTGCGGCGCTCACGCCAGATGAAGTACGCCCAAGCCGTGGCAGCGACGGCGACAATGACGAGGACGACCTCGCCTGATTTCTGATACGCAGCCCACTTGGCCTCCTCCAGCTTCTTCTGCTGGTCGTCCTGGGCCGACTGGGTATTGTTGGTAGCACCGCCGACAGTGGTCTCGGGTCCCTTCTCTCCGTCAATGCGACTGTCGGCAGGGTCTCCACCGATGTGGTCGATGTTGATGCCCATGAAGCGGTCAAGCATGTCTCGGCTTCGGCGGGGCAGGTCGAAGGGAACCATGTGGGAAGAGTTATAGAACAAGACGTAGGTTAAGTTGCGAGCCTCCTGCCAGAAGCCCGCAGCCTCGCCCTCGAAGGTCCAGTCTCGGCGAGGGGCCCAGTTTCCAGGGGTGACCTCGAAGCCTCTGCCACCGTTCCACTTCATCTTATTGAGCATCTCTTCAGTGCCGATGTGGTTGCAGATCAGATCTTCGGCTCCCGAGAAGAGGAGAATCGGGATATCCGCCAGGAGATCGGGAAGATAGTCGACCGCGGGCTTCGAGTTCTTGGCAGAAAACGCATTGCCTACGGCGCCGTTGCACTCCTGCCATCCGGTATTCTTCTGTTCGCTGACGTGTAGAGCGCGAACAACATCGTCCCTCCTCAGGTAGGGACCGACGTGCTTCAAGTCCGGAGGCCAGTTCATGCCGCAGCTGGGGTAGGAATCCTTCAGGCGTACGTCGTACATGTTAATGCATGCATCATTTCCGTTGCCGGACTTGGTAAGCCGGAGGATGGATGAGAGGATGGCTTCGCATTCGCTGTAGTCGACACGACCAGGCTCAGTCGCCATACGCTTCTCGCAAATTCGCAGCTCATGCTTTAACTGCTGGTGTTCATCCGAGCCCTTCTTGATGATGCCCTTGTCGACAGCAAAGGAGATATAGGCGGGATATTGCTCTCGTGGGGAGATCCACCCGTTTCCAATCAACAGCCCCTTTAGATTCCATGGGGTCTGAGGGTTCTTCTTGTTGCGCGCAAGAATTGCTTTCGCAATGTAGGGGATATGTTGTCCAGCATACGACTCACCAGAGATGTAGATCTAAGATAGGTCAGCAAACGAGAACAGCTGAGGTGAGCAACGGAGTACCTACGTCATCAGTGTCATATTGAGGGAACAATTCAAACCACTTCTCGAGGAACTGGACAAACTGGTCGGCCATGTCGTCCAGCTCGTGCACGAAACTGTCGGTGTCGACATAGCTGAAGCCAGTGCCGACCGGATTGTCGACGAAGAGCAAGTTGGCAAACTCGTTCCAGGAGCCATTGTTTGGGACCAGGGTCTTCTCGTCCTTGACTCGATAGGGGCCGATTTCCATCATCGCGCCATCCTCGGAGCTGCATCCAGGTCCACCATTGATCCAGATGACGGTTCGTTGCTTATCGGCGATGTGCTGGTTCTCGAAGTGCCAGAAGAAGAGGTTTCCGTTGTGCTCGGGGGTGATTTCGATATGGCTGCAATTCAAGAACGCGTCAGCAAGGGCGGATATGGCGGAGGCTCGGAATCACTTACCCAGCATGCATCTTGATGGGAGTAGAGTCAGTGGGCAACCCAGGAAGGTTGCGAACATAATAGTCTGCAGCCGAGTCTCCCGCGGAGCCCGTGGCCTGCCAGAGCGCCAGTGAGAGCAAGGCCGACCATTGTCTTGGGCCCGGGAGCATCGAGAGGAGAGCCATGGTGGTGCGGTTGAGACGCCGCGGCGTACTAATCGGAGATGATTACACACACAATAATGGCGACGGCGCAGGAGCCTCGAGGACTACAGCAATGTCGTCATGTATGTGAGGAGAGGAGAAGGAGTCGAGGGAGTTGAGGTTGTAGGTGATGGAGATTGAAGATGCGAAAGGGTGAGGTGGCCCGGAAGTACTCAGCCCCAGCATATGGAGACCCCTTTGGCGGGTTACGGGGATGCCTGGAACCTGGGACGCGAAAGCGACTAGGGGCGTCTTTAGCGGCAGAACATTCGCTGAGATATGGGGAATAGGGCATTGCAGGGCCCTGTTCTGGTCTGTGCAGGGGCGTGTGGCGCCCTGTTGTCGCCGGGAATAGGTGCTGAATAGGGGTGCCGACAGCTTATCCTCCACTGAAAATGAATGCCGCACTTGACTGGCCGTCATGGTTGTCCCTGCGCGTCATCATATCAATTAATACCAGGCCCGCCTTGAAAGAGCCATAGACTTTGGATGAAGTCGAGACTCAATAGGGTTACATTGATATTGCCGGCATTATTCGCCAAGCCGCATGTGCAGGAAGCCGCTATGCTAAGCTTTCAGACAAGGAGAAAGGCTGAAGCAGCTGGAACCGGATGACGATTGTTCTGCTTCGGGCTCACCACTCACACACGCACACTGCCGCTCGCTAGTGTAGACTGGGGAATTTTTAAACCCTCCCTTGGCCAAACCTCACCCATCACAAAAGTACAAAAGTATTCCGAGTCAAATCGCCTCTCCCGAAAGTATTTGTGCTTTCATCGGACTGTGAGTTTATGAAACCGACCCCTCTTCCAAAGCTGCGATCCGTTCCATGGTGCGGACGTAGCTCCGTCGTGCGCAGTGTGCTGAGACCTCAAAGAAAAACAATGGCTGGCAAGACCTTCATCGTCGAGCATCTCGACCCCGAGCTGGGGCCCTGGTCAGAGCTCGAATACCTGGCCATCGCCTCCGAGACACAGGCCACGGGGGGCTCGTTCATCTTGTCTAGCCTGCCGCCTACGTTCCAGGTTCCGGCAGACCTGGCCAGCAACCCGGCCTTCAAGGCGGAGAACCAAGGTGTGGAGGAGCTATACGCCGGCCAGAAGTCGCGCGTGTGTCTCCTTGACCCGTCCGCGGCTAAGGATTTGTCTCCCGAGGACGGCGAGACCTTTGATGCTTTCCTATTTGGGGGGATTCTGGGTATGTAACGCTATTCTCGGCTAAGCAGGGGCCGTAGCTAATGTGTTTGATAGGCGATGATCCTCCTCGAGGTGAGTGACAGTGACAATTTTCCGTCTCACCATTTGTTGACATGCACCTCTCTAGACCGGACCTCTGAGCTGAGGAAGAAGGGGTTTGAAGGCCGCAGGTTGGGGCCCAAGCAGATGACGACTGATACGGCTGTACGAGTAACGCGCATTGTGGTGCAAGACAAGGGTTCGTTCCCTCGAAGCGCGCTACTACACCAGTTTGCTCACAGTAACTAGTTGCACTAGACCAGGTGCCTTACGTGGACTTCCCGGAGCTCAAGTTCAATGAACATGAGAGCACTGAAATGCCCTTCCGCTATGTCAAGACGGAAGACGGAAAGCCAATCATGCCCAAGGTACAAGGCTCACCAACCTGTGTTGTGGATGGATTAAATGCTGACCGCGCTTCGCAGGGCATGGTGGAGTTGATCCAGAAAGACGCCGACAAGGCAGTGAATGATCTATTCTAAACCGTATGGATTTTTCGGATCTGGAATGGTCCGTCGGGTACCATCGCGACGTTGCGTCAGCATCTGACCTAAGCTTCGAGCCGCGTTTCAGGAGTCGATCATACTGGTATCCTCCGTCTTGGAACACAAGGGGGGGCAGATGTCAAAATTTGGGACGAAAGCTTGTTTTTCTTCTCCTGGTTCATACTCGAAAAGAGATTAGATGAGCGACGGATGTAACGAAGTACGTTGCCACAAGCTGAATGAGTATCAGCCAGTTTAATCCACCAGCTCCTCATTACCCCATGAATTTAACCGCGTAACAACGGCCAACTCTAAGTCACACCCTGTAAATCCCCCGTTGCTAGGCACCTCTATTGGTCAGAGACTGCTGCTGCTCTGCTTGATTGGTAGTCCCACAATGTACTGAAAATCGACATCAAGTATAGGGTAGCCGGGTTGAGACTGGTTGCTGGGAATCTCTCATTAGTATTGACACTCGCCTTATGATTCGTTGTCTCTGGAAACTGCTTGGAGTATGAACCTGTTACTGTAGATCAACTAGTCTCTCGCGACTGCGTAGCTGTTGAAACATGGCAACCATCCCAACGTCAAATAGTAAATGCTATTCCTATAGTGCCCAATTAGTTCTCATATCTCAAGGACATGTAGAGAGCCAAACACTGGAGAACACATGAGTCTACAATATACATGTTAAATCCACCCGAAACAGTGATTCGGAGCGTTGATAATATTGAGTCTTGCTGGGCAGGGCTCCAAGTGATGTATGTATTCAGGAAATGCATATAAGCAGTAATGCAGCAAACGCGACATCAGTCCATTCTCGGCGCGACTCTGAATGCAAACTGATGACGACGAAGTCTCGGAAGTCACATTGCTAATAATGATTGTTTTTTCCAGAAGAAAATCCAACGGTACGGATACTATGAAAACAAGATCCCATGATGCTGCACACTCTTCTTAAGCCGAGGTCGCTGCTTAGCCGCAGGTTTTCTCCATGGCGGCAATGTCTGTCTACCACCGCCTCAGATCCCCTGAGAATACTCTTCTGCGGCTCCGACGAGTTCAGCTGCGCATCACTCAAAGCCGTATACGAAGAAAAGAACAAAAACAAGAACCTGATAGAGTCGTTGGATGTGATGGTCTTGCCCCCGAAACGGGTGGGAAGAGGCTACAAGACCATCCGCGAAGGTGAGGGAACCATGCCCCGAGACTAGCGGCTGTACTGATCGTTGTTGGTAGTACCCTGCAAGGTGTTGGCAAAAGAGTTAGGGCTCAAGATTCACCAGCGAGAAACTTTTACTAAGTGGGAGGTGTGTATTCTCAAGATTCGGAGATGCTTTGGATTGATAGAGATGGGCGTTCATGACTGATGCACAACAGCTGCCAGAGGCGACAAATCTCGTCATCGCTGTCTCATTTGGATTGTTTGTTCCTCCCAGGATACTGAGGTCAGCCAAATATGGAGGTCTCAACGTGCATCCATCCCTGCTACCTGAGTGAGTTTCTTGCGCTTCTTTTCCACGAAAAAAAATGGTCACCTAACAGAGGTAGCCTCCGCGGCCCGGCGCCCATACATCACGCCATCTTACGTGGTCATCAGTGCACCGGAGTCTCGTTGCAGACATTGGATGACAAGGCATTTGATCATGGCACCGTATTGGCCCAGACATCGTATCCCGGAATACCAATACCGCCGGGATCAACTGTCCAGGAGCTCACCAACCAACTGGCCCCCATTGGAGCTCATATGCTGGTACAGGGCTTACGGGACGGCGTGTACCTCCCCCCGCGTCAGTCAGCAGGATGGAAAGCCAAGGAGCTCGACGGCGAGGAACTGGTGCATGCCCCCAAGGTCAACAAGGCTGATGGGCAGATCGACTGGGCACAATGGACGACCGAGGACTTTGCTCGTCGAACTCGGGTCCTTGGGTCGGTATGGACACGCGCAGTTAACAAAAAGGGAGATGTTAAGCGGATCATCATTCAGGATACCGAGGCGGCTCCTGTTGATAACCCCAAGACAACTGGCGCACCGCTGTCCTTTGTACAGAACTTCGGAGTGGACTCAAATGATTCGCGGCATGAAAGGCTGGTCAGCGACCTTGGTGATGGAAGCTGTCTTATCCAGCTCGCCAATGGAGAGCAGATCCGAGTGAAGAGAGTCAAAGAGGAGGGCAAGCCTGATCGCGATGCCGCTGTCGTGCTCAGGCCCTATTCCACCCAATGGGCGTGAATCAGAATGGCAGAGGCATGTTATTCTGCATAGTATGTGTCGCTGTTGTGAACATCGAGTGTTGACAAGAGCACATGCATGTGGAGTGAAATGATCAGAATTACACAACAAGATGATCAAAAGCGGCATGCTCACCAGTGATGAGTTGAACCTGAAAGAAATTATTGATAGACACTGGATGGGGCAAGTCTCTGCCAGTGGCTCGCTGGGCTGTGAATGCGGTATTGCGGCTAAACAAGAAGTTAACCGTGTCTCCCAGAACTCTGAACCCTAGTGTGTGTGGATATGATGCCGGGTTGTTGACATGTACAATCCATGCGGTACGTTGGCATTGAATAATATGGCAAGGTTTGTAGGACAATGGTTCAAGTCAATTTCGCAGAGCTGCGATTTAAGCTTCGAGCGTGAAAAGATGGTTTGAAATGGCGTACGTGTAATGTGTTTGGCGTTGAATCAAGAAAGGTTGATGCATATATATTGAACGTTCAAGTAGCAACGGTTCCTTGCACCTCAATCGAACAAGCAACCCGGAAACCCTGTAGTACGAACCACCATCCTTCCGTTTCCGAACGAGAAGAAGCTATATACCCAGAATCCAGAACCGTATCGTGTACCAACAACCGAGAATTAAGCTAAAATGTGCAAAATCTTCCACGTCAGACAGCTCTGTTGGCATTGCAGCGGATATATCAACACCTCGTCAGAGACAGAAGAATGTGATGATCACAAGGAAGGCAAAACATGTGAGACAGAGACTTCAAATGTAACCGTCTACGTAGGGCCGAGTCTGTGTCCCGCGTGTATCATTAGGGAGACATGGGAGAAAAACAGACATAGATGGGAATAAAATAAAACGAAAGCTTGGTGTTTGACTTCGGCGTTCACGTTAAGCTGGATAGGTGGCACATTGCAGGAATGGGATCTGAGCTAGATATGATATAGATCCAACAATATTGCGTATCTCAGGATGGGGTTTCTCGGAACGACTACCTCGTGAATGTGACAGTGTAAGTCCTATGTAAGAATCCTCCTACGGCATTTCGGGAAGATGGGGACTCTTGCTGTTCCACAAGACAAGAGGGAGCTATGCAGCTTTTCTCAGGCCACGAAGACAAGGATATTGGAAAGGCGGTATAGAGTGTAGCGAGAAGGCATGAATCCAGGAGCGAAGATAGTATTGGTTAGTGGAAAGAGGACCCTGTGGACGAGGACGCGCGGGTGTAAATACCCCTGAGCACGGGTTGATGGCTTGCTGTCAACGCATGAAGCGAGGTTGATGAGCGTGGAGTTTTGGCAATGGGCCTCAGCCAGTGAGTGACGTTGAAATACTGCTTGAACCATCGACTGAGATTTCAAGTGATGAAGATCAGCAAAGTCGAGAAATAAGCTCAAAGGGTCTTAAATTCTAGACCTCTAAACCCTAAAAAGATCGACAGGATCGTGGAATCCTTTGGCGCGGCACTCGAAACGCTGGGAAGTGGCTAATCCACCGAAAGAAATAACAAGGGGTGCTGATATGGGGTGGAGCGAAACACCTGCTTAGTCCCAGCTGACTCTGCCCGCGATATGGAGCATGTATGCGCAAGGCAATGCTCTGTCATGTGTCAAGCGTCTGGCAATTTGGGAATGGCTGGAGTGGTGATGAGTCTGATGACGACGCTGGTTGTGGGGATGGACAAGTAGCCAGCGCAATGGAGTCCTGCCCTGTGCGGACGAAGGTAGATGAATGAGTACTTTTTCGGGGCAAATCTTGAAGGTTGTATTCATTGAAATTGGAGCTGTCAGTTGCCAACGCGGAGGAGAAAATTGCCGTCTCGCTCCGTATCATTGTCCTGTCTGGAGTCACAGCTCGGCCATGATTTCAAAGCATCGCGTTCAGGAGTTTGGATACGTCCTTGGTATCCGAGCAAACTCCATAAACCCAAAACTCAAAACCCGAAAAATCCAAAAATCCAAAAATGCCCCAAAACAACTCTCCGGAACCAATGTGTTGTTTCCGGTGCAGCGCTAAACTAAGGTAGCACGCCCATCGAATACCCGGAACTCAATCTCTTGTGATGCTTGGTGGATGCACTGGATGATAGGCCAATATTCCCCTGCGACGAATTAGCGGTATTACCGCTGCCAGCACGGTTGGTGAGCTGGCGCCTGCGTCCCCTGAGTCCCCTGCATCGTCCGCGTGGCGTAGCATTTGGCGGCTCCACCACCTGTCTCTGGCGGCTGTAGTGTGGCTGGCGCGACTCCTCAGTGGACTTTTACTGGACCACCCGTGTAAAACGTGGAACATACACCATCTCCGATTCTCCATTTTGACGCCACATTACGACGACTCCTGAAGCCGTCTGCTTCGAAGCATGACACAGCGCCCAACGGGAGGCAAATATGGGAATACCGCCCCTGCTGCTGGTCACTCTGCTGCCGCTCTGATACCACACTATGCAGCATGAACCAATTACCAAGAACCCTTGTACCATCCGTCCCGCTGGATCCACCGCAGGGTTCTGCTCGACTTCGTCCACCTCCTCCATCTCGTCCGCATCTGTCCATACCTCCACATCGTCCGCAACCCCTGGCTCCATCGTGCCGGCAAATGGACGACCAGTAAGCCGCTGCGCTCGTCTCATCCGCCGTGAGCGGTAGCAGGGGCTCACGTCTCAGCGAGATGACTGTCCTGCGTTCTGGATTGGATCCCGGCGGGATGGGCGGATGAAAGGGCCTCCAACAAACAATGATACGACCACCAAAGAAGATGAGCATAAACAACCAAGGATCTTGGATTCTTGAGAGCTCAGGCTTACCATGTAATGCCAACGCGTACGGCAGTTGCACCTTTGACCGGCTCGGTGCCCTAGTTCTTCTCGAACAAGGGAGGTTATCGCCGATGCTTGTTGGCATGTTTCTAAGCATCCGAGGCAGAGCTTCTTGTGAACTGCCGCTGATGACGACGCCGCATAGACCCTTTACTCGTCATCCCATGGCAAATACTTATCAACATCCTCAACAAAATGTGTGCTGGCTTGTGAAAACGCACTTGCGAGCCTCAAGTCCGCTCCTTTTAGGTCTGGCCGAGAAGTTCCTGCAGTAGCCCTGTCAGGGCGTGCTGTTTCAAGCGCCACTCTTCATGCCCCCTCCTATGCACTACTATGTGCATCAACAACAATGGATAACGGAATGACTCGCTGTCCTGTCAAGACAGTGTTCCCTTTGCCTTCCACGTACCACTCGCGGTCCACTCAGCATCCCCAGTGGGTACCGCCGACCCCAGTCTGGTAGGCCTGGGCATGTTTTGTAATGCTGTCCGTGGTAACGTTGAAACGCCGCCTCCTGTTCTGCTTCCCAATCACGGTGGTACCCAGTCGCCGACAATCTCCTAGACCCTTGAATTCCCAGAACGGGAGCTATTTCTGGAGTCTGATTGGTACCTCGGCGGATCCCTCGCCCTCCGCGAAAGACAGGACCTTGATCAGGATGACTGCTCGTCTGTTGGACCTAGCCCACCCTCTCCAATCGGCCAAAACACCCTGGGAATCTCATCAGGGCTCTCGGCAACCCACCTAACCCGGCCAGCCTCCCAACTCCCGGCCCTGTTCATGTCAGTAGTAGGTCCGAAAGGGGGAGGGAGCCCGTAGAAGTTGCTCAAAACCATCCCTATCCCGGCATCGCAGGTTCAGGAAGAATCTTCTCTTCTCATCCGTATACACGGCTCATTCTTTTAAACACCCCGTGTCCATCGACGTTCCCAGAGCTTCAAGCTCGCTTCTTTGACGTACCGCACGTCTAGCCACTCATTCTTTTACTATCGTCACTCACTTCATTCTTTGTCTGTTTAAATTAACGAATCAATTCCAATATCATGGCTCCTTCTCTCCGTTCCGTCGGCACAGCTGCCCTGGCTTGCATCGGCAGTGCCAGTGCTAAGCAGTGGTACATTCACGACACCTATGATGCCACAAACTTCTTCGACAAGTTTGACTTCTTCAGCGTATGACTTCATGTAACATACCATTGTTTGCACTATCTAACCCTGAATTTAGGACGCGGACCCCAACTCCGGACATGTTGCGTACAAGACCCAGGCTGAGGCCACCGAGCTCGGCATTGCCAAGTGCGAGAACGATGAGGTTTACCTTGGTGTCGACCACACCAACGTTCTCGATTCAAACACCGGACGTCCCAGTGTTCGACTCCACTCCAAGACCGAGTTCAACCATGGCCTCTTCATTGCCCGATTCTCTCACCTTCCCGAACCCAAGTGTGGTTCCTGGCCTGCCTTGTAAGTATTAACAAGACGTTATCTTATTTCTCAACCCTCTGCTAACGACAATCATAGCTGGTCCGTTGGTAACACCTGGCCCGCGGATGGTGAGATCGACTTGATCGAGGGCTGGAACCTGGCCACCACCAACAAGCCCGCCTTCCACACCGGTGACTCGGACGAGTTTGGCACTTGCATGCTCGATGGCGAGAACCAGACCGGCGTTGTTGACACCGACAACTGTGACAACACCTACCAGAACACCCCCGACCAATACCTGAACGAGGGCTGCACCGTCGACGATTACGATGCTCCCTACGGCACCTCCGATGGTGGTGTTTGTAAGTGATGATGACTATCTGGATGCCAAATTGCCCTACTAATTGCAGCTAGATGCCCTCGAGTGGACCGACTCCTTCATCAAGGTCTTTGCCTGGAAGTGGGCCAGCGTCCCCGACAACCTGGACTCCGATGAGCCCAACACCGACTCGTGGGGCACTCCCACTCTGTATCTCAAGAACGACAAGTGCAACATTGACGACCACTTTGTCGACCAGACCCTCATCATCAACATCGCCTTCTGTGGCAACCCCGTTGGCAACGACGACATCTGGGCGCAGGCTTGCAAGGCCGAGACCAGCTACGACACCTGCTCCGAATACGTCTCTGCCAAGCCCGGTGCTTTCGAGAACACCTACTTCAAGATCCAGGACATTCGATACTTCAAGGCTTCCAAGTCCGCCTCCACCAGCTCCGCGATCGCGTCCGCATCCTCCTCCGCATCCTCGTCCGTGTCCTCCGCGTCCGCATCCGTGTCTGCCCCCGTTAGCAGCACGGCCTACACTACTGATGCCACTTCTACCTTTGCCACCCAGACCCGAGCCGCCAACACCTCCATCGCCGTCACTTCTACCGAGAGCGTTGAGATGACTACCTCTGTTGTCTACACCACCCGAGTCAGCACTGTCACCGCCTGCCCCTCGTCCGTCACCAACTGCCCCGTCGGCTCCGTCGTCACCGAGACCGTTGTTGCTTACACCACCGTTTGCCCCGTGACTGCTCAGGCCACCGAGTCTGGTAGCTCTGGTTCCGGCTCTGGCTCCGGCGATGACTCCGAGACCATCACCGCGACCATCACCAACGTCCACACCATTACCAGCTGTGCCGCCTCTGTCACCAACTGCCCCGTTGGCGAACTTTCCACAGAGTTCATCACCACCACCTACTGCCCTGGCAACGGCGAGGGTCCTGCTGCTACAACCACTGGCTCTGGATCTTCTGGATCTGGCTCCGGCGATGACTCCGAGACCATCACCGCGACCATCACCAATGTCCACACCATTACCAGCTGTGCCGCCTCTGTCACCAACTGCCCCGTTGGCGAACTCTCCACAGAGTTCATCACCACCACCTACTGCCCCGGCAACGGTGAGGGTGTTTCCACTACCCCTGGATCTGGCTCCGACAACTCTGCTAGCGAGACTGGTTTCTTCCCTGCCCCGGCTCCCTCTGGTACTCCGGCCTCTGGTACCCCGGCCTCCTACGAGACCCCCGTCGTTGTGTCTACTCCTATTGTCGTCAACACCCCCGTTGTTGTCAGCACTCCCGTTGTCGTCAGCGTCCCCGTTGCCTCCTCCGCCGCCGGTTCCTCCGCCGCCGCCGAGGTTCCTACTACTGCCTATGTCCCCGCCACTCCTAGCACTACTCCTGTTGCCGCTGGATCCTCCTCCAGCAGCGGTAGCACTGCCAGCGAGGTCCCTGTCACTGGCAGCGCTGGTAAAATGAGCGCTAGCCTGGCCCTTATCCTCGGCGCCGCCGCCGCCATGGTGATGATGTAAAGAGGGACACTTTTAGTCGCCTCTTTCTCCTTCTTCTTTAGATTTGTCAATAGAATTGGATAATTAATTCCGAAAAGTACATATTCTCTTTCATAGATTTGTCTTAGATCGAGTTCGGTGTATTTGTGAATGCTGTATGAAACAACGCGCACGGTATGACATATTTCGTTCTAGAATTGCCATTCGCAAAATATGATATGGTAATTGTGTATTAACACTCCGGGGAAAGTAAATAACTCTTATTCTGCTTTGGTATATGAAGTATATCTACGAATATCCTAATGCTAGCTAATATGTCATGATTTTGACAATAGCCTCGACTGTGAGAGCCGGCAAGGCCATCAGGGCGATTATGCGAATGGCCGTACTGGCGCTCTTATTCTCCTTTTGTCTATTCATGTATGGAGACAATGTCCAGTTGAGTAGCTGCTCCTTGATTAAAGCTTGATGCCCGATTCTCAGATGCAGATGAACATTAATCTAGGGGTATCATTCAACTCCATCCCACATCCCTCTACTGCTTATCTATGTGCCCCAAAGTGCCTTCATGACAGACGCGTGCGGATCCATTCGGCCCACTTGCACAGGTCCTCCATGTGCTCCAGGACTCTTCCAAGATCGGCCCTGGTCAGCTCCTTGCTCTTCAGTTTCCGGGTCTCGGTGTCTCCCTCGCGGGGAATAACGTTCTCGTTAGCAACCTCGACGATCCCTTCTTCAAGAACCTTGAGGGTGATGTTGGCGGTTGAGTTCCGGAAGGGGAAGACAACCTGTAGATGTGGAGTTGGGTGAACCCAGAGAGTCACATCCAAGTTCAAGTATTCTTCAGAAGGAGCCTGTTTCTTCGGTTCCTCGGCCACGGGGGCTGGGACCATGTTCATGAAATCTGCCAGTTCGTCCTTGGTTGTTGTGGTGCTGGAGTTCGCCCCAGGTCCTGGGGCCTGGCCATTCGTCGCCACTGGTTGTGTTTCCTTGGTCTTCGACCCGAAGCTATTTTCCAGCAGGGTGGAAATGAAAGCATACTGCCGGAGCAGAGGCATCATTTCGATGAGTTGCTGGGGGTGAGAGAAGGGCATCTCAGTAACCACTTGTGAATATATCTGCTTGTATATAAAAAGGGTATTTCGATGCGGCTTGATCGACGACGTTCGGTCTTTATCATAAACCCGGACGTCTCGCTGGCGAGTAATGGTCCGCAACTCGCTTGGATCCTGCGTGCTGCCTGGAGGAATAGGAAAGAACAGACTGTCGAATGTGGGCGGGTAGCCAAAGACAGGAGGAGCATTCACGTTGGCGAACGCGTGCAGCCGCATCCAGTCGTTCTGAGGAAGAATGACCGGAGGGTCGAATGTGACCGTGAACATGACCTGAGGCACCGTTGCGGTTGAAAGATCAGGCTGCAGCATCTCTATGCCGGCATTCTTGTTTTCCTCTGATGCAGGAAGCACAACATTGGCTGGATCCTGCCAGTCCAGATTCGGCTTCTTTGGATCCATCGAGGGCTCGGCTTTGACAATTTCGTTGGAGATCCAATTCTCCGATACCCTTACGGGAAGGTGTGCCATGCCGCCTGTAGAAGCGCATCCGACTAGTAGCGACCATACCTTCTCTCGAGTTTCGGAAAAGGTCGTGGATTGGTCGTTTGATGGGGGGATAAGTCGCAGGGCCTTCCAATACTGTACGGCCAGTCCCACCCGTTCTCTTGAATGCATAATCGGGTAGCCATGCCTTGTGCACATGGCTACGATAGAGAGGGCGCGGTTTGTCTTGTCACTCATTCCCGGTTCTTCACGCAACTTGGAAATGTCCCACTGATGCAACTTCTCCAGGCTCACATAAATGCCTGCTAGAGCCTCGTGGCAATCTAGACCGGGGATAATGCTGAGCTTGTCCAAATTTGCCAGCCGCTCCAGATTGACTGCAAATTTGTCCAGGGTTTTGGTGAGCGGACTTTGATCCGGGAGAAGTTGAAGGTCTTGGAGCAAGATTTGGCTTGCTCGATCCACGTGCTTGGTGACCGAAGTGGCTGACTCTGGGAAGGCTAGCGAGATATTTGTGACAATATTATTGTCCAGGACGATATCCAACTGGATGGCTGATCCGGCTATCACGAGAATCCTCGTTTTCCGGCCATTAGAGGCAGTCTGTTCTTCGGAAAGGCAGTCGAGTCCTATGCGCTGCGCGAGACGCTCTAAGCCAACTTCGCTGACGAGTCCCTTCTTCTTCTGCGGAGAGTTAGGGAGGTCGGGAGTATTGCCACGGGGTACGTACGTTCAACATTTCCATAATGGCCTCCAACCGCTTCAACTTATCGTCCTCGCTCACAAGGGCACCGAGGTGCCCCAACCCCGCAACACTGACGCTTTCAAGGCCCATATCGAGACCACCACCCATGGCGAGGGCGCCCATAGCGGCCGCGGTCGACGGGCTGTCGAAGTTGAGGGGGGCATTGCTTTGCTGGGCCATCATCCCTGATGTCGCGGGAGACTTCTTGAACTGCTGGGGCGACGAGCGCGGCCCTCGAGGGGAGAAGACGGCATGGGCAGGGTTCGAGAAGGGTGTCGATACAGGAGGTGTTGCGGCGGCGAACTGCGAGGGGGTGCGGCCTTGCTGCGAAGCAACGTGCTTCATGGCTGTGGGTGTCGCCATGGCGATGTGTGTATGGTGGTTGGCGTAGGAGTGGGCGTCTCAAGTTGCGCGAGAGACGAGCGCACAGCCGGTGTCGCTCTATGAGGTTGACGACATCCGCGGGCGGCGATGGATGGGTTCGGAATGGAGGAAATCGCTGGCGCACTGGTGAGTGAGGTTAATTGCGCCGGGTGAGTTGGTGGTTCTTTGATGTCGAAGATGCGAAGTCGTCGCCTTCCAGCCTCACGCACGCACAGTTCAGGTACAAGCTCCAGGTACCACAGAGGCCCCACCAACCCCGAGTTTAGCCGCACCTCCAGTAACGCGCTCTGCGTCGGAGCAGCTCGAATTCTTACGGTAGAACGGGCAGCTTTCAACGAAATCGACAATTGCGCGATGCCGTCTATTTCAGCATCCACGGCAGCTACGACAGCGTCGGCGGCCGCCAAAGCTGCAGCAAGTTCCAGGCAGCAGATTGCGCCGCGGTCGATCTCCATCCTTGTCTCTCCGCCTCCCGTCAACTTTGCAGAACGGCGCTCCATCCTTCAGGTCTTGGAGCAGCATGGCCAGGTCGAGTTCTTCAAATCGGTGCCAGTATGTTGGCCTCGCATGCGAAATACCAGGGATTTGCTAATCATGGCATTTTAGGGCCACGACTCCATGTTCATCTCGTTGATGAAGGATAAAGAAGCCGCCAGCCGATTAATCACCACCAGCCCACTCAGCTATGCCGTATCAGCGCCCCGGAAATCTCCCGAGTCCGTCCTCTCCGACTTATATGCCGGCAAAACCCTCATCAAGTCGAAACCCGTGACGACGCTCAAGAAGGAAGGCACTTCGTCCTTGTCAACCTCGTCATCCTCCAATCCCGACGCGGGAACCGGGGAAGATGCGCCACAGAAGGAATTCAAGATCCAAGTCTGGCCGCATCCGACGTACAGACATCACATCAGCTCGCGTTCAGTCTTGCATAGGTCATGGCCTGATTTTATCGGCAAGAACGAATCCTTCATTACAAATGCCTTGAAGCAATCCCTCCCCAATACCATGGCTGCGAAGGGCCTCGCCAATTGGGAGCCGGACCTGGGCAAGCAGCAAACAGCCGCAGTACCCAAGTCTAAGATGCACGAGCGAGTGCAAATGTTGTCTTGGCTTCCTGGAAAGCTACAGACGCGAGGTGTACGCCGGCAGCAGTATGCTTCGTCTGCAACGGATGCCGAGCCGGACGAGGCAGTGTCATCGACAAGGGATGCTACACCAGCTGAACCAGCTGCACGCCGTCCATTCACAACGCTGTCTGGCTAAGACAACTGCGGAAACGAACCACCAGGAACAACACGTAAACCTGCAGGCCTCCCACATCCTCGTCACTAGTCGCGAAACTCTCTGCCCACCGCCAAACACCCTGTCACACGCTTGATCACATTGCATCCAGCCTTGGCACCCTGGTCACTCTTGTCACTCGTCGCAAGCGAAAGAGCGCAGCGCAAGAAGAATAAATTTGCCTCGGTGCAATAGTAGCGAGACACAACTGGTCATTCCATGTCATCACACTTCAAGGCTATCCTGATTTCAATTGGACCATGCCAAGGCGGGCTTGTGACGTCTACATTGTGCCGTAGACCGAGAGCAAATGCCGCCTGGGGTCAAAGCAGGGCACGCCGATCGCCCATCCTAGGTAGTATGGAGTAGTAACTTAGCCCGATTCGACAAAGCCACATCAGCTACGTCACCACATCACAGCCCGGGACACACTAACAGGGGGAATATTCGCATTGCAATGCGCCACGACACACAGACATTTGCGACGGGTGCGCAAAGACAAGGTCTTGACAAAAGCCATTTGATGACGTTTCAGCCAAGGGCTCGGCCCATGCGCTGTGGATCTGTGGCGTGCGGATTCGTCTGCTTGGGAATTAGATGAACCTGCTACTTAATAAGTATATATGTCAAGAGCCAGAACCACGATTACTGGTTCGACATTCCTTTTACTATTCAGTATCGACAGTGTATCCCTACATCAAAAGGCAACCTCCTTTTGCTGCATCTCTTCACTCCCACCACTTAGACCCAGTCAACAACACAGGACAACATCACAATGGGACTTGGACGATTCATCCACCACTTTGGCGCATTCTTGCTGTTCTCAGCAACAGTGTTGCTCGTTGTTGTTGACATCACGGCCCCCGTTGTCAACGACATCTCCCTTCTCAAGGTCGACTTGGGTAACTCCGCTGATGGCTCGGCTGTCACGTTCGGAACATTTGGCTACTGTGTTCTCGATGTCAATGGACGGTACGTTGTGATACTCGAACATGTTCCGAAGCCATAATACTAATTGGGATTTAGGGACGACTGCTCAAAGGTCAGAATCGGTTACAACCCGGCCCAGGTCATCACAGCTGTTGATGGCACCGAATTTTCCAACGCTTCTGAGAATACCTCCAAGGCATTGACGAGAGTCATGGTGTTGCACCCAGTTGCCACTGGCCTCTGCTTCATCGCTTTCATCCTGTGCCTCGGAGCGGGCACTCTGGGTTCCTTCGTGGCTTCCCTTGTCTCTGCCCTGGCTTGCCTGGTCACTGTGGTGGCGCTCGCATGCGACTTTGTCGCCTTTGGCATCATCAAGCGCAAGGTCAACGACTCCAGCACCGGCAGCAGCGCTAGCTGGAGTGCCGGGATCTGGCTCGTCCTCGTCTCGGCCATTCTCGCACTGGCTGCTACCGTCGTGGTTTTCTTCACCTGCTGTGCTGGTCGATCCCGCCGCAGACGTGAGTCTGGCAAGATGGGAACCATTCACGAGTAAGATCGCAGCTCGGCGACACCGAACATTACGAGAGTGGTGCATCTAATACTCTGCAACTTAATGTGAAATGAGTGGGAAATACCTGGTGGTAATCACGAGTCTCTGAGGCGGCTCGCTAGGAAAGAAGGAGTTTATGACGGAGTACGACACCGCTGTTGCAATATCCTGTACATGCTATGATATCCGGCGTGAAGGCATCTTACGTCTCACGTCTTCCTTCAATTTGTTAAATAAAACCAAATACTTTGATTCTGAATCATTATATGCATACAACATAAATGTAATTGTGTACTGCTATTGCCACATTTGAATTCACCAACTAATCACGCCATGGTGGCTCGGTGACTGTATGTGATTGTCATATTTACACTAATCAACTAATCTCGTGATGTTGACACCATCCCAGAGGGGCAGAAGGAACGTCTCGAGCCTTGGGTTCGACACACACAAGTCGTTAAACTCCCTCACCGCAAGGATGTGTTTCATCCTGTCCTCCTCTAGGACTGTGTCAAGATCAGCTACGAGGCCTCTACGCAGCACGTTGTCGGAGACGACGAGTGCACCGGGGCGCAGCAGGCGACGTGTGCTCCCGGGCTGAGACCCCTCCAGCAGCTGCTTCAGATACCCAGGGTATCCCGTCTTGTCTGCGTCGATGAAGACGATGTCGTAGGGCTCGCTCGGGCTGAGCTTGGACAGTCTGTAGGGTGTTAGAATCTTGTAGTGGAGGAGTGGAACCGGCACTTACGTCTCGGCAGCGGGGCCCACGACGATCTCGACGTTCATGATGCGGTTGGCGGCGAAGGCGTCGTTGGCTATCTTGGCATACTTGGGCTCGAACTCTAGGCCCGTGACGCGTCCTTCCGGCCCGACAGCATGAGACCAGACCATGGCGGAGTAGCCAACATAGACGCCGATTTCCAAGACTGTAGCATTCAGTGGTGAGCATTCTGGCGTATGGGGTGACAGAAGCACTCATTTGCTCACCTCGCTTTGCGCCAATAGACCTGGCTAAGACATAGTTCCACTGGGACTGAAAGTTGGAACTCATGAAATATGAGTCATCACGGTTCGCTGCGATGGAGGCGTGGAAGTCGGTGATGTATTTGGGCAGTGGCGTTGAATGCTGCGCAGAGTACTCGGTGACCTTGCGGCTGAGCTCGGGGGTTGCGTACAGCGGGGTTTCGTTTTCCTTCATCTTCAGAATTGTACAACAATGGAAGCCTATTCAATGGAAATTGTAATTATGTAGTTATCTACCGCCGACTTAGCCTCTACAACAGGTGTTGAGGGGGCTTATTTATGTTGTTGAGGCAGGCTCGGAGTCCGAGTTCACGGCGTCTCGCGATACCCCTCCACTTGCCGACATCCGGTCCGCCCAATAGTCCGACCTCGTAGTAGCGTGTTGGCTCGGAGTTAAATCGCTTCTTGATGGTTGGATAAAGACTTTGGATAAGCCGATGATGGAGATCACACGGGGGATGGGAGCGGAAGCGGAATTTCCGCGCAGGGCACAGTGCTTGAGCTGCGGAGGAGTGGGACCAACCGTACACATCTAACTTTGACGTGACTTTGGGCAGGGTTGACACAATCACACTTCATCCTGCAAGCCATGAGAGCGGGTTAAAAAGACAATTATTAATGACAGAATAGATGCGTCTTAAACTACTAGTTGCCAATACAGAAACCACTAGATACACAAAAGCCGCACCCCATCCATCCGCAGTAGAAGCACTTTTCCCATGCGCCCCTTTTGAGGGAACTCGTAGTGTCGCCCGTGGCTTACAGGAGCATGAAGGCGACCAAGCCAGCGAGGGCGAGGCCAGCAGCAGACGCGGCGTTGTGGGCAGCACCGGCAACGGGGACGGTCGCGGGAGTCGTGGCGCTCGTCTCGGACTGAACAGGAGGAGGGCAGGGCTTGGCGGGGGTAGACTTCGTGGGCTTTGCGGGAGCGGGAACCGGGACCTCGGGCTGCTCGGGGGCAACAGACGGGCAAGGGGCGATGACCGACGATGGGGCCGGAGCCGGAGCGGGGGCCGGAGCGGGCTTGCTGGTAGGCTTGACCGGGGCGGCGGAGGACTCCTTGGTGGGACAAGGCTTGACCGGGGCAGCCGAGGACTCCTTGGTGGGGCAGGGAGCCGGAGGGGCAACAGAAGACTCCTTGGTTGGGATGGGCGCAGCGGACGATTCCTTGGTAGGGCAAGGGACGACAGGGGCAGCCGAGGACTCCTTGGTGGGGCAGGGAGCCGGAGCGGCGGAGCTGGAGGGGCAGGGCTTGACCGAAGGAGCCTGAGAAGAAGCCTTGGAAGTCGTAGTCGGGCAAGGCGCGGTGGTGACGGGCTTGACACTCGAGGACGGGCACTTTGTAGTGACAGTCTTCAGAGAAGTAGGGCACTTGGTGGTAGTCACCACCTCAGCCTTGGAGGTAGAAGTCGAACATTTAGTAGTGGTAGAGGTTGGGCACTTGGTGGTAGACGACGGGCACTTGGTGGTAGACGGCGGGCACTTGGTAGTAGACGGCGGGCACTTGGTAGTAGTGGTTGTCGGGCACTTAGTAGTAGTCGGTGGGCACTTGGTGGTGGTGGTTGTCAGGCACTTAGTGGTGGTTGTCGGGCACTTAGTAGTAGTTGGTGGGCACTTGGTAGTCGTCTTGGTTTCCGTCTTGGTGTAGCACTTCTCACCGTAGCATGGCTTGGCCTCCTTGCAGTGCCAGCAGCCGGGCTGAGCCCAGTTACCCTTGCACTCGCAGCACGGCTTGCGCTCGCAGTCCTTGCCATGGCATCGATACTTGGGCCACGGCTTATGCTCGCAGTGCTTGCCGTGGCATCGGTACCTGGGCTTCGGGCACTCGCAACGACCGCCGGTCTTGGGGCAAGGGCAAGGCAGGGGCTCCGCGGGCTTGGGGCAGTGGTCACCCTTGCAGGGGTTGGGGCGGCCCTTGTGCTCCTTGTGCTCCTTGGAGATGTGGTGGTGGTGGTGGTGTTGGTGAACGTGAGCATCATCGTGATGATGAACGTCGTGGTGTTGGTGATAGTGAGGGCAAGTAGGGCCCTTGCAAATGACATGCGAGTGCTTGCCATGCTTGTGAGAGGGGTCGTGGTGAGAAGACCCGTGGCGACTGTATTCCTCAGAGCCGTGGCTAGACTTGCCAGATGAAGAGCTGTGGCCAGACTTCTCAGAGGAGCTGTGGCCAATCTTGCCAGATGAAGAGCTGTGGCCAGACTTCTCGGAGGAGCCGTGGCTAGACTTCTCAGAGGAGCCGTGGCTAGACTTCTCGGTGGACTCGCCAGACCTTCCAGCGGAAGAGCCGTGGCTAGACTTCTCGGTGGACTCGCCAGACCTTCCAGCGGAAGAGCCGTGGCTGGTCTTCTCGGTGGACTCGCCAGACCTTCCAGCGGAAGAGCCGTGGCTGGTCTTCTCGGTGGACTCGCCAGACTTTCCAGCAGAAGAAACGTGGCTGAGCTTCTCAGAGGAGGACTCGATAGACTTTCCAGGAGAAGAGGCTTGGATGACCTTCCCAGAGCTGCGGGAGTCAGTCACGACGATTTCATCGGACAATTTTCCGCCACGAGAGGTCTCGGCATCAACGCTCTCGCTCTTACGAGAGCTGCCGCCAGAGGGGGAGGACTCGGAAGACTTCTGGACATCCAAGTTGGAGATGGCCCTCTCGCCGTGGAAGTCAGTAACCCCAGCCCGGGCAATGCCGTTGAGGAGGGCCAATACGGCCAAGACGTTGTGACGCATTGTGAAGTAAAATAGAGTCGAGACCCAAACGATTGACTTGAAAGAGCACAAGGCAGGAGAGGTTTGGCTCCCGATGAATAGATGAACGAGCGAACTGAGGAGGCAAGTGGCCAGGGAATCAAAAGACAGGCCCAGATCCCCTCTCTTATAATCCACGACTCCTGTTCTGACTTCCATGTTTTCGTCACCCAACTCAATTGTCTACACGTCGCTGGCGTTGAAGCTGTCAACTTGCATCTGCTGACTCCGGTGAGGAGAAGTCAATCGCGCGGGGTAACGCATAGGACCGAGCGACGAGCCATGGTCTGGACTGATCCTTTCCCACAATGAGTGGCTCCAAGACGAGCAGAGAGCTTTCAACAGACTTCCGTGAGACCTCTCGCAGACTGGGCTGAACTGTACGCGACACCCACAGTAGACTTCACGTCTCGAAAATAAACAACTTCAAAGACAAAATCGTCGCGTATCATCTGGATGAGTGCTGCAGACGTCGAGAGTTTGAACGGTTGGCCTGGAGAGTGTGTTGAGAAAAAACGTTGATGTTGTCTAAATCCAATTGTTGTCCCCGAAGCTACCGCTCAACGACCAAACCTTGCGCCAAAGGCCGCGTAACAGATAATGCTCGCTATTAATATGCACAGTCTCAATCCCCAATTCTGTCTTTTCTGTACCACCATTCTTTCTCGGCCAAATACAGAAACCCCCCAACGCCCCTTACGCCAGTAGAGGATAGCGAGATACCGGATAGACGCACACTTATTCTTCGGGAACGCCAGAGAAAAGTCCGAACCGCATCCGATGGCTCTGTGGATACGTTAGCATGCAAGACCCAACTAAACCCGGTAAAATCGAGAGCATGGCGGACCAATGCTGCAGGAGGAGGGACAGGGGCGGATCGGAGACGCACCCATGGTAGCTTTGGGATGACTACAGCCAAGACGGCGAGGAAGTTAATGATGAAGTAAGCAAGATCGTAGTGGGTGTAGTGGGTGCTGAGGAGAAACAGCGAAATTGGGACACTGAGGAGAAACTTCTTGGTGGGCGTGTACTGGGCACCGTTGTCGATCTGCTCCCACATGTTAAGGTTGTCAAAGGCACCGCTGTTGAATTCGAACGGCACGCCGCGGACATAGTGAAACATCAGGTACGAGCCGAACATGTACGTCATGTTGGTGAGGGTCCACGAAGTCTCCTGGGAGACGCCGGGAATGATGTCGTAGAATATCTTGAGGCACGCGATCAGGACAATGTGGATGGTCCATGCTCCTGGACAGGATTCGACGTCAGCAATGTAGCCCTTCGGCGTGCACGGAAGGATCAAGGGCCAGATATACCTTTGGCGTTTGTCCAGTTCGCATTGAGGTTGGGGAGGGCAGCCTGGTCGCTGATCTGCTCGAGAGTCTCGGGAGGCTCATGGTAGACCTGGAGGATACTGCTAGATCTCCTCCTCCGGGCGCCGGCGCCTGCGTTACGCTCGGGCATGTTGAGATATATGCTTCCCCGTCGCGCAGGTTTTGTGCCTGCGTCGTAGGAAACGGTGCGCTGGAGCAGGATTGGAGAAGACAGCTTGGCGGTATTGACGGGTGAGGACGCGGAGCGCGAGTGAGGAGGGTCGGTCGGTGCGGATAGCCGGATCGGCGGGAAGATGGACGAATGGGATTGGTGATGGTCGATGGGCGAGGAAGATGAAGCGAAGGAGATTAGAGAGCGTGGCTGAGTGGGAGACGGCTGATTCAGTGGCTCCCCCTAATGATGTCACGGAGAGCGACGGGGATGCAAGGCGGATGCAGGGGAGAGAAAGGCGAAGTTATCGATACGAGGCCGGATGGGCGGAATGGCCGTCGAGGCAGCGGCGGCGATGGGCGCGATGGGTGAGAAATGAAGATGAATGAAGATGATGGAGATGAGACGACCGGAGCGAGTCGTGGGTAAGGGCGAGGAGGAGGGGATGTCGAGTGGAAGATTGAACGACGCCGACGGAGGCGACACCTAAGTTTAGAGCGATGAGCCACTCGGACGCCCACGAGACGAGCAAGCAAGCGAGACGGGACACGCACGAACCAGCGGAATAATCCAGGGGACTTCAGGGGATTCCAGGGGACTCTAGGGACCTCAGTTGCGGATGCAGGGGAGGAACTGGGCAAGATGGGCGATACTGGTGCGTCGGGTGCGGCTTAGTGAGGCCAGTTCGGCCAGTTCGGCCAGGGAGGGTGGAGGCTAGATTGCTGGAGAGGGGCTTTAGGGGACTGTTGAGGCCCTAGGAAGCTAGCGGGCGAGTGCTAGCGCGGCTTCTGGACCGGGGCCGGACCGAGCTCCAAGCAAAGGACACCGGGTTGCTCTAGGCTCAGGGAAAGGACTTGAGACACACACGTGCACAGGCTGACGACGACGAGGAGCACGAATGAATGGTGGACTACCGGCGACCGGGCAAAGGAACTGCACACGGGTTGTGGCCCGTGGGACGTCGGTACGGAGACGGGGGATCGGCAGGGCCAAGACGGAGGTGGACGGCGACGGTGACGGTGACGGCGGGATGAATAAACACACAGATGTTGGTAGTTGTATGCAGATGGAAGACAGATTCAAGGGTAGGTTCCGGGAGTTCGGAAAGGAAGAGCGTGGGGTGGTGACAAGAGATATACTTTTTTTCTAGGCGTCCGCAGAGCTGGGACAGATGCCAGAGATACGAGATGGATACATAGATACATGGAGATATGGAGAGATTGCGTGGCTTGCACAATTGTTCTTTGGGTCGACTGCTTCGCCGCCTTTTGATCTGGCCAGACTCTCCCAGTCGACAGTCACATCTCGCACGCTGCCAAGTTTCGTGCTGCACACGAGATCTCGCAGCACGTGTGGAATTGACAATATCGGCTGACGTCGCATGTCTGTCGGAGCATTGGGCCGGGCCGTGCAGTGCATTGTGCAGCGCCACTGGGGTCTGCTGACGCTGTGCCCGCCGAACCGCTCCATCGCCCCATCGCTCCATCAGCGCTGGCAGTGCAATTCAGGGCATTCAGGGACCGGCCCTGGCATTCCTGAACATTGCTATTCCGGGCAGCACGGGAAATTGTTTGGGATGGCCGCTCGGCAGGGAGGCCGTGGTTAATCCTCGGGACCCGGCCCAGCTTGGGAGTTTGCCCGTGCCAGATGGAACCTGCAACATACAGCCGTCGTCTGATTGGCCGCCTCTGAATTTTTTCAATGAGCTCCCAATATCACATCGCCGCTCTCATCTCTCTGCTTGAAGCGAACGCAACGCGGTGCATCCCCATCACCACTGCCCTCACCATCTGACGACTCCCGCCCAGCCTAGTCGCTAAAAGGGGGGATCTCACTTGGTCCAGGAACACGCCGCTAATCGCTACCGAAGCGATTCTCCTATCCCATTCCTTTTTCCCTGGCACCGCGTTGGTACGTACGTGTACGTAGTACCTCGCTCCAGGAAGCGCGCTCAGAACAGACAAGAGCCTGCACAGGGGTCCGGCGTACTTTTGTTCTGCCCGCCAGCGCCCGTGGATGCCTAGCTGCCATCGAACCACATCTTGATGAGGTCTTGACTGGGGCCATCTGCTCACACTATCACCTTCCGCTTGTCGAGGCAGGTTGTGGTGAGACATCACGAATCGAGGCTGAACGAAAGCCTTGTGAGGCGCCAGCCTTGCGAGCCCGAGGAACTGAGCTCGAGCCTGAAGGACGAGCTGCATATTTTCGGCAGTTTCTGCGCAGAAAACTGTGCCTTGCCTTTACGGCAGGTTGCGCCAGGTCGCGACACACCGAAAACAGGTAGGGTCTCCTCTCACTTTCCTTTCATCTTGGAAACATGGCTGGTGCGCAGTTTGACCGCGAGGAGGTGATTGAACTCGTCTCCTCCGACGCTGAACCCTCATCCCCCACGAAAAAGAGACCTCTTGAGGATTCCCCCGATCCCACATCCCCCAACGACGCCTCGTCTTCCCTTCGCAACTCTAAGCGCGCAAGGACGGACCCGCCTTCAACAGCAGACCCTGAGCCTCTTGGCCAGGAGCCTTTGGGCGAGGAATCTCTAAGCGCAGAGGAAGGGGAGATTGAAGAGGACGAGCCTCAGGAAACAGCCGTTGGTGATTCACTCGAAGCTGAGGCACCAACCAATGGCGAGTCACCCACAACAGCTCCCTTGAACCAAACCAAACCCCCAAAACAAACAGCAGGTTGGAACCCAACCATAAGCAAAACCGTTGTGCGGACGTCACTAGGCGATCCCGCTGTGCCCACAAATGCTCTCGTCTTTCAACACAACTCGCTCACCTTCCAGCTACCCAGTCTCTCTTCGAAGGAGGGCTCCTGGCTAGTCCGCTTCAAGGATTGGGTTCGCGGATTTCATGGTACTAATTCAAAACTTGCCCATGCCATTACTCCTGCCCTTGTCCAGTCTGCTTATGTTCACTACATTGACAACTTCTCGGCTTTGAAACCCAAGAAGCGACGAAGTGCCAAACAAACGGCTAAGGAGGTTGAAAGTACTGGTGTTCTGGCGGCTCTTCTCAATACCCTCCAGCCCAACGACGCATCGCGTTACTTAACTGCGCCCGTCGTCGAGACTACCAACGGGTCTCAGCATACCCAACCGTCGAAACAGCCTGTCAAGGAGGCTGCTCGCAAGCGAAAGAGCTCACGCGCTTCTAGTACCAGCATGGATGGAGCTGTTGATCGTGCAGAAGACATAGCCTCTGATAGCGAGGTGGAGTACGAACCAACGCTGAGCAAGCCGGAGCGAACTGGCACAGCGGTCCCCAACGTCAGTGATTCAGTGTCAGCTCAACCTGACGCGGCGCACGCGAACGGCAACTCCAAAGCTTCGCTACTCAAGGGACAACAACCTGCCGCAGCATCTGCAACGTCGCAGGACGAGCCCATCATGACCAAGAGAAATGTTCCTACGGGCTCTGTTGCGTTGGAGCAGCAGCGCAAATACTTCCCCTCGGCTAGCGACCCTACCCTGATGTGTCTGCTTTGCGGACGTGGAACGCACTTGGCAGCCAATTGTCCCACGCTGATCTGCTCATTTTGCGGTAGCCTCGAACACCCAAACCTTTGCTGCCCAAGTCTCGAGAGGTGTAACAAGTGCCGTCAGCTTGGTCACCGGGCAGCTCAATGTACGGAGAAGCTTGCCCTGACCAAGGATGAAGGATTGGCTTGTGGCATCTGCAGCAATTCAGACCACCTCGAAAAGGAATGCACGCAGGTGTGGCGGTCGTTTCATCCGGAGGCTGGGACTATCAACAAGGTCGCGTTTATCCCTGCGTCTTGCTCCATGTGTGGGAGCAACACTCACTTCTCTGCCGACTGCAAGCGCCGCCGGGGTGGCGATGTGCCCAACCCTACATGGTCAGTGAAGAACCGCGATCAATACGTGGATCCGGATTGTGGTTCGTCGAGTATCGAGGAGACGGGTGGGGGTCAAGAGAACGCCAGAACGACGCGAGCCCCTGAGCTCAAGATCCGCGGGCACGCGGCGCGGACGACCAACATCCACTACTCGAGCGACGATTCGGATGTGGAGTTTTTGGGCCACAGAGTTGTCAAGCAACGCGCACCTCTCGGACAGATTCGAATGGCTAGCAACATCCAGATGCCGCAGAATGCGACGTCTCGGAATGACAGGCCATCTCGAGGGAACAATGGCCGAGGACAGAACCAACTGCCACCGCTGCCTCCCCTCCCTCCTGGACCTCCCCCCGGACCGCCTCAGCACCAAGCATCGTTTGGATCAAGGTACCCTCCTCCCCCTGGTGTAGCGGCATACGGGCCACAGCCTCCAGCGGCACCCCCATCTCTGCCCGCGAAGCCGCCTGCATCTACGAATACGCGAGACTACCGGAACGTACCTCCTCCACCATCACACCTGCAAGGTCCTCGTGGACAGTCTTATAGCGGGAACACACCGCAAGGACCCAGAGGTAGGGGGGGACAACGTGGTGGTCGTGGCGGGAGAGGAGGCGGAGGAGGAGGAGGTCGCGGCCGTGGCAGAGGTAGAGGAAAATAAGGCTGGGCCATTGATTGGCAGTGGAAGGCCGAGGCGATGGTACCAACCTAGTACTGAGGCGTTTCCAGGGCACTCATGCGGGTCTCAAAAGAGTTGACGGAGGCTTGAGAGTTGGTTGGTGGTCGTGGCCCGGCTTTTTCTTTTGTGGGCGGGACTAGAGCCCAGGCGAGTTTTGATACCCACCATGTGCGAGCATCTAGGAAGGCGTTGGCATCGCTTAACCAGGGCTCTTGTGAAACGAGACGAGAATCAAAAACTATTCGCTATGGAACCAATGCTAAAGAAGATGAGTCAACTTGCTCGACATGCTTGAGACATGCCTGTACTAGAACAGAGGTTGACGTGGTTGAAGCCATCGTCTCGAGGCTACGTGGCGATGTATAAAGACGAAATGAAACCGCCAGTTAAGTGTGTGCATCCACCGGACTAGAAGCTGTCTAGATGACATGGCATGTGACAGGGCAGGGTAGGCCATGAAGGTGGAGGAAGTAGAAAAAAAAAGAGTTGAGATGGACAGGACGGGCGTTGCATCGTTGTCAAGGCAGACTTGAGAGGTGGGAAGGAGGGTCAGCAGGAGGAGGCCCGTTTCGTGTAAGTGAATGACTTGAACATCACGCAACACTTGCAACTGCAAGAAGGCTGCAAGAAGACCTGCAAGAAGACCTGCAAGTAGACCTGCAGACATAAGCCACACGATCTCGCCGGAGGGCTCCGACAGGTGGAATGGTCGGCCGACCAGGACACCACGATACCCCAGACACACGGGATTGGGCCGTCGCAGCTCGCGGTAGCTCGGATGGACGAGTGGCTGGGGCTTCGAGGCACTGCGACTTTGAGTCCTAGAGCGACGGCGCAACACGACGGCCAGAGCACCGGGACCCGGCAGGACGGGGCGGACAAGGAATGTTTCGAGGCGGGAGTAGCGTTTGAAACGGGGTGTGCAAGGGGCCAGGGGACGGGGTGATGGGGCGCAGAAGAGTCAGAGGCAGAGAGGTGGATATGCGATTGTTTGTAGTTTTTGTGGAGAGCGAGAACAGAGAATGGACGAAGAAGCTTAATGGCGATGCATGTCTAGGGTGAGGGCTTTTCGAGTTTCTTGACTCGTCGGGTAGGGCAGGGTGGAGGAGGACCGGGAGGACCATGAGAACATGGACGTGATGGGATGTGAGGTGACGGGGATAGCGATTGGAGATGGAGATGGTGATGGTGATGGATGGGTGATGGCTGTGCGATGGCTGTGGCCCAGTGGGATGGATGGGCAATGGATGGGTGAGTGGAGACGGCTGGCAGAGGTTGTGGCGCGACGTGAGAGAGACACGATGTCGTTCGTCGCGCATTTCGCATTTCGCATTTCGCATGAGGGGATCGCCAGCAGCCTGCAGCGCCCGTCCTGTGGATGCGGGTGGCCCTGCTTCAGCCACGCATCGAACGCATGAAAGAGACGGACCTCAACGGCATTGGCTGCCCGCCGTCTTCGTTGAGCCTCTACTACGTAACCACCGCACAATTAATTTTTTCAATTCGTGTTTTCGTCCCGAGCCGAGACGGTTTGACATGGTTTCTTGTTACGCCAGAGGTGGGCATCGCGGGTGTTTGCGTTCGGAGTCATCCATCCCCACGGCCAACGCAGCCTGGGCGAACCCACCTGCCACACCGAAACTCCATCAGTGGCTGTCGCTGTCGTCGTCGTTGCTGTCGCGCGTCCCTGTCGTCCACGTTGCGCGTCTGTCGCGTCGTGACACACGAGCGTCATTGGACAAGTGCCATCTGCAGCTAGCGAACAGCGCGGGAGGGTAGGGCACCAGGGTGCGGGAAGCGCTATCGATAAACAGCCGTGGACGGGGAGTACTTGGGGGGTACACGTTCGCCGCCGAGGTTCTGGGGGCCCTGGGCTGTCAACAAGGGGAGATCAGCAAGCTGGCCGGATAAGGGTGGGTGGGCAATCAGGGATTTTCCGGGGGCAGACGGCATTGCTCGAAGGCATGAATCAATCCAGTGCATCCTGCTTCCCAGTGGGGGGGAAGAATGGGGGATCTGAGGTGTGGTGCGTGTAGTGCAGCGCAGTTGCAGATAGACAGCTCACGGGAAGAGTGTGCAGGAGGATGGCCCGCTGCAGGCCGCCCGACTGGCCGTCGTTCCTCAGGGCGTGAGACTCGGGAGAACGAGGACAGGACGAGCGCACGAGGGACTGGGTCAGCTGGGAGAATGAAGAATGGAGAATGGAGAGGGACCCAGAACGCAACGTCGACGAGGCTGGCGGACGGGTCCTGCGTATTGCTGGCTTGTATGTACAGCTCAGGTACATGGTGTCCAGCGATCCCAGGCGTTGCCGGGAGGTGTGGCGTAGGTGTGTCGGCCGTGCATGCGCGCCCGACCAACCGGAGGGCGAGGCCGGCGCGCGGTCGAGTCACAACGCGGTGTGGCTCCCCCGCGACTTCAACGTCGACCGAGCATCGCCACCCGTCGGCCAGTCCACCACGAGGAGGATCCACGGACGGCTCCACGACAGCTGGATCCAGCGTCCCACGACAGGTCCCCGCCGTCTCTTTTTGCTACTCTGCGTCCGCGTAGCCCTCCCGGCTGTGTGCGCGCTGCCCACCCCCCGGTCCAGCCGTCCAACGTCGAGCGTCCACAGCGTCCACAGCGTCCACTCCGTCCACTCCGTCCACTTCATCCACTTCGTCGATCACAGCAGCTTCCGGCATGGGTTGCGGCGCCGTCCTGTTCCCCACCCATTGCCGGGCCCTCTGCAGCTTCCTGCCGCTTCTGCAGCTGCTGCAGCCCTGCATCCAGCGTGAGTCACCGACAGCCAGTCAATTGCGGTCAGCGACCAGCTTCTCGCGATGGGCCCATGCACCATAGCTCGGCACTAAGGTAAGGTTGGTGTCAAGCATGGGAGAGGATAGAGCACAGAATGAGTATTTTTTTTCTTTCCCTCCCTCTCGTCGGTAGGGGACGGGAAAGGAGAGGGTAGGGTGATCCGAAAACGAGCGGCTGCAAGTGACGGGAGATATATCTCGCCCGTCCCTGGCCAGGGGCCGCTTGTCTGTCGCATTACTTTGTTTCTCCTGGCTTTTGTTTCCATTGTAAATCCTCCTTCTCCAACTCTCCAACTCTCCCGTCTCCCATCTCGACTACATAGTCTCTCTCCAAGACATCCTTCTTATCCATCCCGCTCAATTGAGGCTGGGACTGCGTTGGAAGACCTCAAGTCCAGGGAGAGACAGCCAGACAGACATACATACATCTTCCTTTTACTGCCTTGGGATTGCAATCCGAATTGGCCTATGACATTGCCTCGCCTACCTCATATCTTGATCAAATCTGCCCATCTTACATCATATAACACCACTCTTACTTACACGCCCAACAACACCAACAACACGAGCTACATCCCCACGACCACTCGCAACCACCATCGACATCATCCACCTGGTAGTCCCCAAAACACCATTGTATTAATTCCTGCTCCTCGCGACATGCTATTATTGCCATGGCTTCATCAACGGAACTGCGCCTCGTCGCCCTCTTGAGGAGCGATCACATCAAGAACTCTCTCCTGCCTCTCCTCTCCACCGAGGACATCTGCGCCATCCGCCAGACCTCATCCGCATGCTGCAACCTCGTCACCAAGCGCCTCTTCACCCGCATCCACATCTCCTTTACTGCCTCAACATTCACCCGCCCAGCGCGAGTTGCCGCCCTGGCCCGCATCGGCCACCACATTGAGCATCTCACCTTCTATCTGCCGCACTCAGCCGCCACTTTTCTGCCTCCTCTCATCCATCCCCTCTCTGGCAATGAGATTTCGTTCCTCTACACGCCTCATACTAGCATGGGATCTGTGCTCTCGCGCCCCAAGTACGCCAACTCCGAGCTCGGTGATATCCTCACCCAGCAGTACCCACCCATGTTCCACGCCGCCACCAATGTCCCCAGCTTCATCAACGCCATGCGCAACCTGCCCAACATCCGCCACCTCACTATCCGCTGCCCCGGACAGGATCCCCGGGAGCGCTACCGCCGCAACATTGTCGACTACGCCCTAATCAGCCTGCGCATTTCCCTTGAGCGTGCTCCCCTAAACAAGCTGCATAAGCTATCTCTCTCTTCAGTCCACCCTTCCGCCTTCAACTATCTCCGCCACGTCCCTGGATTCGGAAGTGTTCCCTCCGCAGGCCGCCGCTGGAAACAGATCCGCAAGCTCTCCATCTCTGTCGACGCCTGGGACTTCTATGGCTCTTCTCCCGGCCTGGACCACCTCAAGATCATGGACGACTACATCCGCAACTTCGCTCCTAACCTCGAAAAGTTCGCCTTCAACTGGATCGGCCGCAAGGGACCTTGCCCCGTATCATTGGCTGGGGATCCTCTGTTTGCACCTCCGCGATCCACTAAGAAGCTCTTCCATGAGGTCACCTCCCCAATGTCTCCCCTCCCTACCCGCCCAACCCGTGGGCCTATCCACTTCCCCAAGCTGCGGTACCTCCAGATCCGCAACTCCACTATGAATGCGCCCCAACTAAGCCAACTCATCAACTCTCACCGCGGCACCGTCAAGGAATTCGACTTTGAAAGTGTCTCCCTCGCCAACAACGGAAACTGGGACGATGCTCTGGCGCCCCTGGATAGTGACTCCCTATGGTCTCGGAGCAGCAGCATGGTCACGCCATCCGAGTGCAGCCTCGTCACTAGCCCTAGTTCTGAATACCTCCCGAGTCCCAGTGCTGCTGTGGCTGCGGCGAGCCGGGAGCTCATGGATGTTGACCTCGGTGGCTTCGCGTTTAGCGATTCGGACCGGGAAATCATTGGAAGTATGTTGGGAGGTGATGATGCCACCACTGTCATGGGCCCTGCCCCTACAGAAAGCGATGTTGGCACAAGCTTCACCACCAGGTTTAGGAAACGCTCTCGTCGTCGTCGGAGAAAGCACCGCAATGATGGCGACGACGCCCCAGAGAAGTCACCTCTCTCACAACAACACTCCATCTCTGATCATCAATCTCCCTTGAGTCGCTACAAACCCTCTCGCCCGTCCTATGAAGAGGAATTCCTTCGCCCCGAGACTCCTGTTCCCAACCCAATCGTCGCCCCCATCCTCAGCGCCGACCCCCAGCCCATCCTTCTCCAGCCTACGATATATGATCCCGCCACCAAACTGGCCACCGCCGCCGCTCGCCCTGATAACAACATCTCCCCGGTGCAGCGCAACATAGAACAGGAAGAGACCCACAGACTCTTCGCAGAGGACGCCGCCGCGCGCACCAGCGCCCTGCAAAAAGCCAAGGCAGCCGTCCTGACCAAGCTCAGCCGCGAGTTCTGCAACAACAAAAAAACCCGTCCCGTCGAGCCCAACGCGTGCCGCTTCCTTGCGGGCAGGGATTTGGGCACCGCGTTTGGGCCGAACATGGTCATGGAGGATTGCAGGGGGCTGGAGAGCCGAAGTGTACTGGTACCGTTAATGTTTAGCCGGTCCTGATTTTTTTCTTTCTTTTGTATTTGAAGTTGTCTAGGTTGGGTGTACAATGGAGTTGGTGGGAAAATTACACCGTGTGGAGGAAGGAGTTTTATGGTTTGTGATGAGATATGATACCATGATTTCACGCCCGTGTATTTTTTCTTTCTTTCTTCATGTACGTATCATGATACTTTTTAACGCACGACTTATGAGCTGTACATATCTTTATGTCATGTACGAATTCGATGTATTCACTTGAACCTCGATGCGTCTCCTCTTCGAACCCTTTCGAGTGATCTATGAACTCTCCTTGACTACCGTTTCCAATGCCTTGACGTAGTCTGCAACCTGTTTCAATCCAGTCAGTGTCAAGTCCCTCCGCCGCCCCTCCACCATCACCACCGGCACCGCGTCAATATCCATACCCACGCTGCGGATCTTCTCCTTCACTTGCTTCTGGCCCTTCTCACGGTCGGCCACCAACGCCTTCGCTTGCTCTTCTGGCACACCAGCCGCGATGCATGCAGCCACGAGTGTGTCGTCCGCAGCAGGGTGCTGCCCCTCGGCAAAGTACCGTCGAAACAGCTCGTCCACGAGGCGGTTCGTCACGGCGGCGCCGTCGGACTCCTGGACGAGCTGGATGACTCGGTGGGCGTGAAAACTGTTACCCGTGGGACCGGTGAAAGTGAGGGGCACGCCAAGTTGTTCTGCGAGACCGGTCATGTGCGCCTGGTAGACTTGCTGCGCCTCCGGGTTGTCGTTATGTTTGTGCTGCAAGGCCCATTGAGAGCGGTCCGGGACGGTGTCGGGGAGGTCGGAAGACGGTTGATAAGGGTCAAAGTGCAGAGTGAAAGGAACGGATGGGGATTGGACCTGGGAGAGAGCTTGGTCAAGTCTGAGAGGGGGGATTAGTGTGTACTTGACGATAGGATGGGAGAGGCGGGATGCCTTTTCTTGGCTAGGTATGTCCTGAGGAAGAGACTTAGCAATGTGATCGCAAGAGAGGGAGTGTTACTTGGATATGGGTAGCTGACTTGTGAGAACTACTTCTCATCGGGAGGTTGTGAAGCTAACATACCAAGGACAGGTCGTGTCGATGGTAAAGGTGACCTGTGATTCATACATGATGAAAATCGGCGATGTGCTGTAAGGGATCAAGTTGAGGATATTTTGAAGCTATAATGCAACTCCAAACTCCGGGCTTTGCGAGAAAGAGTCGACACAGGTTGCGGCGACGTCACGGTTCATGGAGCTTTGAAGCGGGGGAAGGGATCAGCGGGCCGTCTCACCTCCGTCCGGCCGGGAAGAGGCATGCGGAGCTATTTACACTAGTCGGACTGATTATCAAAACATGCCCTCATCTTATGTATCAAAACACAACAAAGAGAATCGTGTTGTAGTGATGATGGGGGTATCTCAAACGTGAATTCTTTTTCCTGCTTGCCAAGCTATCTAGTCAAATGTCATCTTCGAACCCGTGTGCTTAACCACCGCACCGGTCAACCTCGCGACTGAGATGTCAGTCGCCTCCTTCAGGGGCTTCGAGGCACCGCTGTCGGCGCCCTCGGCGCCCTCGTTCGGCCTGTAGGCCTTGCGCGCCGGCGGTCGATTCCGTGGGTTCTCGCTGTCGTCGGCGTTGGGGTTCTTCTTGAAGCGCTTCTTGTACCGCACTTGGTCGTCCTCGGCCAACTCGATCTTGAGCTCGCGGCCTAGCATTCGGTTGACCCACCACTTGCGCATCTTGAACTGCTTCTGCTGGGGCTCCTCGTCCTCATCATCGTCCGAGCCCTCCTTGAAGTCTTTCTCGGTCTCGATCTCTTCCTTGATCTTCACGAAGCCTTTGACGGCCCACGCTGCTGCCTCAGGCTCCTTGAACTTGACCCAGCCGTAGCCCTTACACTTGCCCGTGTCTTCAAACGTGGCGACCTTGACCCACTCGATCTCGCCACACTTTTCGAAATTCCGCGACACGTCCTCGTCGGTGGTCTTGAAGCCCATGTTGCCCACGAAGATCTTGCGGCTCGCGTTGGCATCCTTCTTCTGCTGTGCGGCATCGCCCTCCTCGGTACCGGGCTCAGGCTCGGCCTCCTTCTTGGGGCGGCCCTCGAAGGATTTGGAATCCTTGATGAGGAGCTTTCGGGCACCGAGATCGTTCTCAGAGAGGGCGATGGCGGCGACCTTGGGGCCGATATCTGTGAAGTCGACGTAGGCGAAGCCCTTGTTGGTGGGCTTGGAGCTCTTGTCCCGACCAGGCTCCTTGTTGTTCGTGGGCAGTTTGATACGGGTGATGTTCTCTTCGGTGATGACGCCGCCCGAGTTGTCGATAAGCCACTTGCGCAACTCAACGGGACCGACGAAGAAGGGCAAGTTGCCAACCCAGACGCCATGCTCTGAGCGGGCGTCCTTCTTGCCCTTCTTCTCGCCCGACTCGTCGTCGCTGTCCTGCTTGGCGGGGAGGGACTTGCCCTTCTTGAGGGCACGCTTTGCGCGCTTGGAAGGGGGCTCGGGGGCGGAGACGTCTACTTCAATCTCCTCGATCTCGGCCTTGCGTTTGCCAGAGGGTGTAGCTTCGGGGGCGGACTCGGTAGCAGGCTCGTCGGATTGTTCAACCTCGGTGGGCTTGACGGGCTTCTCAGGCTTTTCGACCTCTGCGGCCGCGTCAACCATGTCGACATCAGGCTGCTCCTGCTTCTTCTCCTTTCTCTCCTTCTTCTCCTTCTTTTCCTTCCTCTCCTTTCTCTCCTTCTTGTCCTTCTTCTCTTTAGTCGCCATTATGTCGGTCTGTCACGATGATGATTGAATGTCGAGCCCACCTAGGGTCAGCCTCAGTTCCAATCCAATGCGACCAGAATTTTTTCTGCCAGTGGCTGGCACGATAAGCGATAAGAGACAGTAAAATATGGGGCCCGGTTCAAGACCCTGGCAACTGGAGTCTGGGATGCGGGGCGGCGGCGGCGGCTGTGACTGGCTTAAACATGGCGCGCCAATCAACTGGAATCAGGGATTAGGCGACAATTTGCATGAATTTGACCTGCACGAAGTAGACAGAAACAAAAGCCCATTGGAGCCTGAGGTTTCCTTTGCTGTTATGATACGTCATCTTGTTAGATTTTTGTTTAGTCTGAAAGGCAGTCGTGAGCGACAGGTAGTTTTCTTTGTCGTGCAGTTTGGGTGACACAAGAATCATGCATGCATAGCAATGCCTTAACTCGCAGGCCTCACCACACAAGCTAGATTCCGGTTCGCTGACCTGAGAGCCCCTAAAAGAAGGGAGAAAACGACAGCTTGACGAAGCTCTGAAGTCATCTTAGTGACAAAGGTTCACGCCCTTGGGAGCCTGGCGTTCTTCTTGGCGCGGCGATGGAGCGGAAATGAAACCCGCAACCTTGGTTGAAGCCTGGCGCCGCCACATGTAGCATGTAAGGGGAGCGACCACATTAGCTGCATCGTGGTCGCAGTGGATGCTACGCTTAGAAAATAATGGGCAGTGTTTGAGTGTCTCAGTTGACAAGACGCCTCAGTAATTCCCCGCCGATCATTGTTAGTGCCCCCGCCCAAAAACCCCTTCGATTGCATTCGCACCGCATATGCAGCTACAGACTGAGACACAACCAGATGATGCGCAAGCGCAGATCGAGGGCTGCGCGAATACCCCACAATGTCTCTGAAAACTGGAAATGCGCTGCCAGGCGAAATGAAGGTCTGGGGGGCCGAGAACTAGAGTTTGTTAATGGTATTTGAGCGCGAATCTAAACGGATCAAGTCAAACCAGGACTGGCATGTCTTAATGTCGAGCATTCGAAGTCTTGGAGGAGGGCTTGCTAGCCCGAGCCAGAGGGCCGGATGACCACTCGATAGTGCACGGATTGGCTGCGACTAGCATGAAGCTTGGTCTAGGATGGCATCGGATGGCGCCACACCATAGAGGCATGGGCAGAGACACACAGAACCAGCTGAATGTGTAACTCTGATCTGCTCTCGTCACGGTAGCAGCAGACAGATTCTGTCATTATGCGACGCTGCTGCATCAATAAGGGGGAAGGGTCCGAGAAGGGGAATGTGGCCGGCGGTAGTTCTGGCTCGTGCTGTTGGAGCCGGCCCGGGGGGCGGGGAGAGAACAAAACCAAGGCGCCGCCCGCAGCCGTCGCCGGCCGACCAGACCGAGACGAGACGGGCAGTTAACAAAGGACGCCAAAACGGCAACACATTCGGGGTTCGATAGCGGCGAACTCGGGCGGTTCACTGGCGTGCAAGCGAGGGAAGACGACCCGGGACCGAAAGCCCGTCCGCCTCCAGCCAGTTAAGCACAGAGCATAACGCCTGGCCTGGGACGGATTGAAGGCGACCCGGAGGTTTGCCTAGCAGCGCAGACGTCCGAATGTGCAGAGGGGCAAGATGACGCCGCAAAATGCCATAGAAGGCAAATGGTAGCAACCAAGCTGAGATGCCCCACTACCATGCCACGCGGGCCCACTCCAGTAGCCCACCGGCAGCCCACTGGCGCCCACTGGCGTCCACTGTAGGGGCACCGCCACAGCCCCCGCTAGCAGGCGCCCGATGTCCCGGCGTCACGTGCGGTTGGTGGCCCTGGACTCCAGGCGGTCCAGTGGGTGTGCTGGGGGTGCACTGGGTGTGCTTGGTGTGCCAGTGGTTGCTCAGGGTGGCCTAGAGCTTAGCCCCAGCGAATCAACCACCCGGTGACTACAGCGACCGCAGGGACCAACGCAGTGGCCTCCCGTCACACAGCTCCGCTTCGCTCGTCTCTTCTCGTCTCTGCTTCTTTCTCCCTCCCCCGTCTCACTTCCCTTTCCAGGCTCCTTTGGTCACATACAGCAGCCCAAAACAGAGGCCCAACCCTATCACCAATTCAATCCAATCCACCCAATCAATCCATCACTTTCCCCACCCGCCAACCCTGCCTTGTCCGCCTGCTCTGCGCTGGCTGGCTGGCTGCGGCCTTACGTAGGTACCTACCTACGCTACGACGCTACGCTACCGTACCCTTAACAACGCAATCTTTTTTGCGCCGAAGCGGCGTTTCGCCGTCTGGGCACACCCATGCCGCCGGTGTTGACCGCTTTCTGCTGAGACTCCCGCCCCGACCTCCCTTCTCCTCCTCCACACTTCAGCTTTGCACGTCCGAGGCATCTCTCAATCTCTCGACGCACTCTGCACCTTCCCGTCGGCACCTAAGTCTTTGATCAACCCTCCACAGCCAGCACCCGGAACTCCTCGATTTCTTCCGTTTTTGGCCGTCGTCTCTCGCCCTCTGTCGGATCCGTCATCACCTCATCGACATCGTCATCGTTGCAACCCAGCGCACTCCGGTGACTTCCTGTCTCCCACCATGAACGTTTTGCTCTCGCCACAGCCACCGGTTTTCCCTCACCAACACGAAAACCCTCGTCTCTCACCTCAGCGATCTTGTGAGTTCTTTTCTTCTTCGCACCCACCTCTCTCTCTATCTCTGTTTCCTCACCATCCCCATATCCTTCCTTCCACGATGCCGTCGTTGATCACTAATCCCCCCTAAGTATCGCCATTTCACAACATGACCTCCCGCAAGCGAAAAGCCGATGAGGATGGTGATGAGACCATGTCGCCGCAGAGTTCTCCTGCCATTTCCGCCAGAGCCCTCTCCCGACCATCCAAGAAAGTCCGGTCGAACGAACTCATCGGCCGGCCCCTCTCCCTCTCCCGACTCCTCGAGACCCTCGATACTTCCCAACTCCGAACTGTCCTGGAGCGGATATGTGAACGCCATCACGACATCGGCCAGGAAGTTGTTTCCCAGGCTCCTCGTCCGTCTGTTTCGTCTGCTCTTGGGGTCTTGCAGGACTATTTGGAAAAACTCAAGGACGCCGCTCCCTACGGCGATTCGAGTGCGGAATACACCTATTATCGAGTCAAGGATGCCCTGGTTGCTTTGATCGACGCCCTCTTCGACTTCACTCCTCAGTTCCTTCCTCCCAACGAGACCCAACCCACCAAGTCGCTCCAGTTCCTCGACGGCGCTACGAATCTCATTCACAAACTCCCCGACTGGGAACCACATGCCTACCGCCATCACAAGGAAAATGCTTACGAGGAGATCTCCAAGGCCTGGGCCTTGGTTATCAACGAGGCTGCTAAGCGAGGTGGAGGTTTTAACCTTCACTCTGGAGGATGGGACCAAACTCTCTCCCAACACAACCAGCAATCCGGTGGACGTATGGCAAGTGCAATCAGTGCGATGGGTAGCAGCGTTGGCTGGATGGGACCCAACGGAAATGGATCAGTCCCCAACTCGTCAGATCCCAACTCCATCTTGAATCAACTCATGTCTGGTACGTATGGGGCTCCGGTCCGAGTTGGACCTCTCTAGATCAACCCCCAAGAGGAACACGATTGCATAACACGGCGCTCCGGACGAGTCATCACTGCATATATCATGACCACATCGTTTTGACGACTTTCATTTGGCATCAAGGGCTGGCATAGACTTATCAGGCACCTCATTTTCATGTCACGGCGGGGTTGGGCGGCGTTTTGTCTGCATTTGTTGATATCCCTTTCTTTCACTCATGAGTAGCAGGGATTATTAATGTATCTGGATTTCCTTCTTTCGTACTCAACGTGTGGACAGACCACATGATTCCTGTATGTAGAGATGTTTGTTTTACCCATCATCTACCTTGGTTCCTTGACCAAGGGGATGTCTGCAATCACAACGTGGTTTTCGCGGTACTTCGGATAGTTAAACCTGAGATGTGATGTGAACCCTCAATTTCCATGTAACGATCAAATCGGCACTCAGCCCCATACCCACGGAATCGCAGAACAGACAGGATCTCGGCCGAGAGTCTCTCAACGCTCTATACAGGTAAATCCCAAAACCGAATCGAAGTGGGTTCTGCCATTCCTTCATCTCCTCCAAGCAGGGACTCAGAGAGGGGCTAATTTGGCAACGATTTTGCGGCATGGCCATTGATCAGGCTTAGCGTCCATGCCGCCCTTGTCCAGTTTCCCAAACCTCGGATGCCCTGCAAGCGATGCTATCGGATCATTCTTGAAAGCACAGGGACCTTATCTAACGTTACTCGATATGAAACACACCCCGACCAATTCAATTGATGGAAAATTTCCCCGCAGTGTTTTTCCTTGTTCTTTTATCGTCTGTGCACGACTTTGAATTGTCATGGCGGAAGAACAACTTGAATTTCTGTCCCAATGCATCGCACGTAGCCTGCGGCAGTTTCAAAGGATACTAGGCAACATGCTTCTGGTTGAAAATTCTGCATTCTAAACTATAACTTCAACGCCCACTCACTTTGAAACAGCCTCTGATCTTGAGGAAATTCGGAACCGAGTTAAGACACCGCAGAGGTTCAAGTACATAAAGCGGCTGGCGCTGTTGTTTGAAAACCAGCGGGGCAAGCTGCGGGACCTCCCGGCGATGGGGCAGATGGCGAAGAAGTGGGCCCCGATTTCAAATCGCAAGGTCACGTGCTCTCCCGTCACGTTAGGCAGGACGCGCGAGTGCCTGGCTGTGAACGCGTTCTCACAACCCCCCATCCAGCTGCTTTCTCCACAGCAGCAACGCTTCCAAGTGTCGCACGACCCGGCCAACATCTCATCATAGCGGTTTGTTTCTTCATCAAGCTTCTGTTTAAATGTCGACATAGACGGTGTGGATTGCTCAACCCTCCACCATGCCTGCGTAGGTTTAGCTATCTGCTCGTCGCGTACACGCTTCACCATACTGACCGTTCTTAGCCCAGGCCAACAACACACGACAGTGGCCAACCCATTCGAGGAGGCGAAGCCTCGGGTATCAGAATGGACGGCCAAAGAGATTGCCACAATATCAGCCAGGCTCGACAAACAACTCGGTCCCGAGTACATCTCAGCCCGTGCCGGTCCGGGCGGCACCAAAGTGCACTACCTCACCGCCGAGAAGTGCATCACACTTGCAAACGAAGTCTTTGGCTTTAACGGATGGTCATCCTCGATTCAAAATATCCAAGTCGATTTCGCCGACGAAAACCCACAAACACAGCGTGTCAGTATCGGCCTGTCAGTCATCGTTCGCATCACCCTCCGTGATGGAACCTTTCACGAAGATATCGGGTACGGGTCGATCGAGAATGCTAAGGGGAAAGCAATGGCATTTGAGAAGGCCAAGAAGGAGGGTACCACCGACGGTATGAAACGAGCGTTGAGGAGCTTCGGTAATGTGCTTGGCAACTGCATATACGACAAGGATTACGTCAAGCAAGTCACCAAAATCAAGGCCGAACCAGTCAAGAGGTTTGACCAGGACAACCTCCATCGCCACTCTGACTTTGTCAAACGGGACGTGGTTCGGGTGGAACCAACCATAGCCGTGACTAAGGTAGTGCCGGTGATTAAGGCGGAGCCGGCTACCGCAGTTGCTGATTCGTTTGAGGACTTTCTCGGAGGTATGCTGTCATCGGATGGATTTGAGGAAATTGAGGCTGAATGTCTGTAGAGCTCGACGAGGCCGACTTCTGCGTGCCAGAAGACGACCACCCTGACGAAATAATGTTGTCCACGTCTATCATTGGGCAAGCTCCGAGTGAGAAACCAGCCAACAACGCCAATCGCCCACCAATGCAGCAACCTGCCAATCAACCCAACAGATCATTTTCTGGGGGAGCCATGAATCGCCCACCCCAAACACCAAACCAAGCCCAACCACCACGCCCTGGGCCTTTGAACGCCAGCCACCAGGGTCAACCGAATCGACCTCAGCCTGCTCCTGTGGCCCGAACAACAACACCGAACCAAATGGGAGGCCCTCGCCCGCCGCCACCTGGTCCTCAGACCGGAAATTCCACAGAGCCTGTTGGCTTCTTCTCCGCCAGGGCGGTCAATCAGCTGCCAGAGTCCAGTATCCAAGGCTCGACTAATGGTCGTCTTTCAATACCTCAGGCACAGCAGGCCTTCAATCCCAAGGCAGAGAGCCCATCCATCCGAAAGACCCCGGGTATCGATCACTCATCCTCCAAACCTCTCTCAAGGACCGGCCAGCACGTACCGCCAACAAGCAGCCAGGCATCTGCCGAGCCGGCGCAGAGGAATGCCGGCGGCTTCACACCTGTTCGCCCATCTTTTCCTAGCTCCCAGAGTGCTCGAGGAAACTTGAGCAATCCCTCGTTAGACCACACCCGTCGGATAGGCGCGCCAGGCGGGCCGGGTAGCCCACTTGCGAACAGGGGATCGTATAAACCACCAACCATGAAGCGGCCACCTCCTGGAGACGCCAACGGGGGAAGGCCTCCCCTAGCTGATCTCCCAGCGAACGGAAGCGGCACGACTACTGGCGTATCAACAGCCAATGGCTTAGAAGCGAAGAGACAGAGGATGGCGTAAGTTATGAACTGGGAACTGGGACAGCGCGGAATGGAATGGATTGGAGGAGTACGGCGTATGGCATCGTAGACAGCTAAACGGTGTCTATCAGGAGCTCAGGTTTGGGACAAATTTGCAATGACAACAAACATTGCTAGATATCTGTTTTAGTCAAACACCTCAATTGGGGGTTATAGCTCCATGCATGATGCAAGCATTGCAGTTGTTGGTAAAATCAGTCCCTGACACGCAATGTGAAGTAGATGATGGTGTTTGCATCTCTTAAATACGAAAAGACTAAATTGCTTTTGATGTTGCGTATCCAGCTATAGCATTGCTCTTCAATGCTATGCTCAAAGACATTTGCTACGCTGACTGTCATGAACGATACAGTTGAAGTCCCGAATACAAAAGTGACTGACTCCCACCATAATGCATCACAGGTAACAAAGCACCGACTGGTTTTTACTGCAAAACGCAAACGTGTTGCAGAAGTGGCCCACGAAACATAAATTCCAAATGAAATGTCGCCCACTAATTGCGCAGCCTGGGCGTGAGCAACAACTGGACTAAGGTTTTTGAGAACACCAGATTATGACCCAAGCCCCGACAAATTTTCACAATTTGTTCAAGTCAAGACAGAATGGCATGAGCTTAGGGAGCACAGAACTGACCTGTTCCGTCTCCTTGGGGGCTTCCGAATGAGCACTTGTGAAGTCCAGCTAAGAGCAGAGCTAGAGATAGAGCATGAAGACATCCTCTTAGAATCACATCTCCATTAAAGTGAGATGATCTTCGTTGTTCTCCATGGACTCAAATAGCAGCCTTAACTTGGCAAGAAGCCAACCACCAAGAGCTGACTGACGTTATTTCCCACTCGTTGTGAACCGCGAAAACGAGAGCGCCGAGGCTGACAGTTGCAACCCGGCCGGCAGGTCTGGCTGTGGAAAGACTCAAAGGAGTAAGATATAAGATAAACGAGGATCTCAGCTCTGCAGACAGAGTCCAGAGGTGGTTATTAGAAGGATTGGACAGTCGCTCTAGGTCCCACGGATTTATCACGGCAATGCTTGCCGCTTCCCAATGCGACAACTATTTGGGAAATGAATCCAACTTTCCCGCTGAAAACACTGGCTTTTTGAGACTGTTACTTCTAGTATTCAAGTGGCTAATCGGATAATGGTCAAACAAGCCCAGCTGAAGCAGCAACATGGTCAGAAACGTCCAGGCTGGCGCCGGCAAAAAGCTAAAGATAACACGACTTGGAATGCTTCGCCCTACAGGCCTTTGCAAACGATTGTGCAGGATTTTACAGCAAGGAGATAGCCAGACATGACGCGAAATACAAATTTCATGTCCGAGCACCCCGAAATGATACGAAAAATAGACTGTTGATCAAGGCTACCCTTTGTCTATTGTCACCACTGTCTTTAACGAGATCAGGAAAAGCCCAATCTGACGAATGTGATGCCAGCGGATTACATTGGAAAGTGGGTTATGGCATTATTCACAACTTCTTGAGTCATCTTACTGTGAAGAATGTTTAGATGAGTTCCTTGGAATGCATACTGTCCCTAGGTTTCTATCCCTCTACTGATGGAATCCCTTTACTAAAAAATGTAATGTGTGGATTTTTGCTGTCAGATCGGGTCCGTCCAGAGAAAGGGGAGTGTGGCCATTTAATCAACGGCAGTCTATTCCCCAACAAGATGTAAATATCAAAGACTCTTCAATGATAACAAGACCTTGATGGGAGATTCGATTTCCAAACAGTGGTTTCTTAATGTACAATCGCCGTGTGCATAAGTGTACAAAGATCAGACTCTCGCCGTTACTCAGGCTGCCTTAGCGCCCAGGTTTGCGAGACCGCTGCGAGCCTGCTTGGCAGCGTGAGGGAAATCAAGCTTGTTGCCCATCTCGATGCACTGGTTGTACTTCTTGCGAGCGAGCTCGGTGTTGCCCATCATGGCTGCGATGTCGCCCCAGTTACAGAGGGCGACAACGCAAGCCTCGTCACACTCGGGGGTGTGGTCGTCGCCTTGGACGTCCTTGGCGTGGAGGTAGGCGTTCTTCGACCAGTTGAGGGCGGCTTCAAGACAATCATTGCGGGTCGTGGGCATGGCCGGGTCGTGTAGCTCGCGAAGGGCGTCAGAGGGCTGGTCGGCGAGGGTCGGGGTGAAGATGGGATGCTGAGCGAAGGTGGCGGCGAGATTGTTCATGATGACGGCGCGGTGGCAGGGGGTCTCACAAAGGCGGAGAGCTTGGAAGAAGAGAGGGATGGCGAGGTGGAACTGTGATTTACTCTCATAGTCGCGCCCAAGGGACTCTATGGCGCCACCCGTCTCCTCGGGGGAGAGCCAGTCGCCTTCGCCTTCCTTGACGCCCTCAGTCTTGCGCCGTTGGAACTCCTTCAAGGCGGTCTCGACTGCCCAGATCAAGTGCTTCTGGGAGTTGTCGGGGTCGAGGACATGCTCGTCCGAGTACAGCTCTCCTAGCTTGACAGACGTTCCAATGGCCTTAGCGAGAAGTCGCCTTCGCTTGTGCCAGAGGTTCTCAGGTACGAAATGGTCATCAGTTTTATTGACTGATGCGGTCTCCGCCTCCTTGTTCGTTTCGGTTGTCTCTGGCTGCTTCCGCGGAGGAGTGAGCAGTTTGCCAGTATTGTCGATCTTGCCGTCGCGAACCGACTGCTCCATGACGTCAACCCACTTCTTGAGATCCCCCAACACGGCCTCAAGGACATGGAGGGTTCCATCGTAGTTGCCAATCTTCTGTAGCCAATACGAGGTCTGGATTCGGATGCCGAGAACCTCGTCGGAGAAGGGATCCAAGCCGTGGTCAGCACACTGCTCCATGGCCCGCTTATAATATTTTAGGGCCAGCTCAGGATCGGGATTAATATTTGTGTAGTAGAGGGCGCGTCGTAGGGAGTTGGCAATGGGCTTCGGGTATCTCGTGAATTGGAGGTGGTAGAAGTAGGTGAAGTAGAGCTTAGCAGTGTAGCCAGCCATGATGCCAATGACGAGCAGGCTGTTCAGGTTAGCTGCAAGAAGCGGAAGAAGGGTAGAGGTTGTCGCACATTGCCAATGCAAACACGGTAGCTCCAGGGCTTTGGCGGAATGCCGTCTTGATGCCGGTGGGACTCACGGCAGTCATGAGACTTCGAAGACCGGCGCCCAGGGCCCGTCCAGCGAACTTGCGAAATGTGATTTGGGGTTGAGCAGGCTGCTGCTTCCTGGGCAGCTGGTTCTGCTTATCAGAGAGCTCCTTATTGGGACCATTCTTGGAAGAATTGGAGCTTGCGGTGGTCTGGAAGCGTCGCTGTACGGGATCGGGTCGGAGGGGTATGACGGCGCGGATGTGGATGGTGGCAGCGCGGGACCGGAGATGGATGGACAGCACGCCGGAGGTGGCATGCCGGAGACACTGGCCGCGGACTGGCCGCAGCGAGGCGACGGCCGAGACGGACATGGCGGGCAAGCCGGAGGTTGGGGCTGAAGAGAGGCGATGTTGTAGATTTTCCGAGGAAGAAGCCGATGGCGATGCGATATAACTTCGTCGCAATAGTGTGGTGCGGCGGTCCACTGACTTGCGATGGGAGCACGGGCCGGGTCGGGGAATTGTGGGTCTGAGGAGCCAGGAAAGCGTGCATTGGCAGGCGCGGCTTTGCTAATCGTCCCGCGTGTGTTTTGTCGACCGAGGCTTCGGGGCAGTTTTTGGTGGGGAGCTCATGACGGAATCGGCAGCCGCTTCTCATCTTCACAACTACAAGACGCAATCTCCAGCTTCATCAACAACTCGTAAAAATGTCGGGAAAATTCGAGCCCAAGGTCGCGGTCACCCTGGCCCCTCCCAAGGACGACCTCATCTCTGCCGAGGAGCTGGCCAAGGCCAACGGTGCGTCGACGCCAACCCCGCCATCGACACCATCATCACCATCATGGGATCGGGGGTTCAGGTGAACTGCACACAATGGGCCCAAGCTGACTATAAAATCAGGAGCCGACGGCGGAAAGTGCTACGTTGCTATCAAGGTAAGTCTTTTCTCTCTCTTCCTCTTCCTCTTCCTCTTTCGCCGCTCAGGCACTGCCACACAGCCACTAACCACCTGAGAACAGGGCAAGGTCTACGACGTCTCCGGCAACAAGGCCTACCTGCCAGGAGCATCATACAACGGTAATACCTCACCCATTTATCTTCACATTCCTCCCACTGTCAACTACAATTCGCCGTTGCATAACCGTATTCCACCCGAATCCACTCACTGACGTGCCACAGTCTTCGCTGGCAAGGACGCCTCTAGGGCCCTAGGCATGACGTCCACCAAGCCCGAGGATGCCCTCCCCGACTGGCAGGATCTGAGCGACAAGGAGAAGGGCGTCTTGAATGACTGGGTCACCTTCTTCTCCAAGCGGTATAACGTCGTTGGACATGTCGAGGGCGCCACCAACATGGAATGACTAGCCGAGGCGTCTCTTGCCGACAAAACCAAGCTGTGAACTCATGCCGTCACGGCAATCCCCCCGGTCCATTCTCTTACCTCTCTGGCTCCCCTGTGCAAATGTATTCTCCGCTGCTGTGAAGCTGTTTTACCATAACCCCTGAACGTAAGACGCTTTGTCCTCTCATGTTGTACTTTGGCTTTGTCCTAAGTCGTGTCATCCTGATTTGTGGCAGGAAGCCTCCCTACTTGGTTCTCCTGTCATCCACTATCGTAAAGTGCCGGCGAGCGGTTTGATTTCACCCTCTACTGCGAGGCGGTGACTGACGTGCCTCTCCTCGAGTCTCATTCCCATTCCGCTCAGTCCTGCTCGAGCCTGTCCACCCCAGTGCCTTGGAGAAGATCCGCAGTGATTTCCACGGCCTTCATAAACCCACAAAACCAGTCCTCGTATTTCACAGAGATCCTCGTTAAACCGACCGCCCCCACTTGAACGGTTCCACGACGCCCCTCGTGACACCACCCCGGCGCACCGTGGTGACTTCTTGCCACGGTAACTCGGCTCGTGTCGTTACATGCCATGATTCGATCGGCACAAGCCCTACGTACACTGGGATCAACCGTTGTTTCCTTTGCCCCATGGAAAAGGTGGCTTTGTAGCTCGCGGTAATGTCAATGGCACTGGGTAGTGGGCAAAGCTGGCTATCAAGAGAAGATGCACTATATTAACCTGGCTATTCTAGTCTCAGTGATGTAGGCAAACCGTCAGAGTGTCCGGTGACGCTTCCACCTCCACCTGCACTTTCTTCCCCATGGTCTCGTTGTGAGTGGGCAAGTTATATAAAACAGAAACCCCCTTCAAGTCTCATTTAAATCTATTAGGTGCTCTCTCTACCCGGATAAGCACTGAAGCGGACTCTCATCGCCGAGAATATCCACAACAGTTGTTTGTCACCAATTACTTCGACCCCTCTTTGTTGTCAGACTTCTGCTCGTTGTCAGGCTCAGGTTCCTCGCAGTCCATCATCTCGGCGGTGGTCTCTGCACTCTTGCAGTCGTCGCAAACCCGAGTTTGTAGCCACGAGTTGCGCAGCTGGTTGACGCTGAAGCACTGGTGATTCGGGTCGTTGCGCGCGAAGTGGCAGTAGGACTTCAGGCGAACCGTGTAGTGGGTGCAAGTAAAGATGAATTCTTCGAAATCACACATTGCGCAATGTTGGATGATGAAGCTTAGGGGCCTAAGCCGAGTGTGTTAACGTGATTTCTCGAGATGGTGGTCTTCAGGACTAGTTACTTACTCGTAGTTGGGGATCCAACGTTGCTTATTGTAAGATGACCGATAGAGATGGAATATGATGTCTGGGGCGAGGGGGCGGCAGGAACTTATTCTGACTGATACAGGATGGCAGAAGATTGTTTTGGACAGACTACCATGGGGCCCAGCTGGCATTTTATAGACGAGCACTTATCCTTAGAACAGCGAGAAAGGCAAAAAAGCTACATTGAAGCTAGTCGGAGGGATTAGGGCGTCATATTCACTCACTACTCTCAAACCCCAATCATGGCTGAGATTATACGCACTTGAATGCGAAGTACCCAATAGATCCAGGGGTCTGAAGCAAATAGATCATCTCGTTATGCAACGGCCTCGCCACGCATGAGAGCTACCCCCTGTTTGCTGCTGAAAACAGCGATCTGCATGGGGATGGAGGCAGATATCCGAGGACAGGGCGCAATAGGGTAACAGGTCCCCAGCTTTTTTGTTGCACCATGCAGACAAGTGTAGCAATCTCTGTTTGATGAGGTGGGAGTCACTGAACATGAGTACAGTAACGGCCATGGCCCTTCAGCATGCCACGTGGATGGTGTTTGCCTATAGCGGTCAATCAGTGTTTGGCAGTCGAGAAGGCTACATTGGAACTATGTAAGTATCCGTCACTTGATGGGATTGTAGGAGCATAATCATTCAGCAAGGTGTTCAAGGGCGGATGAGTCTTATCAGCAGTAGTTCTCTAGCGCCAATACGTCCATCTTCTAGGTGGTTCTACTCAAACTTTGAGGGCAAATCGCACGGAGCAGACGGTCTATACCTAAGTTTCCATAAAACAATCAAGTGGGTTATGTACCTATTCACGATATCCATGCTAGTCCTCAAAGACAGCAAACTGCGTGGAGAGAAGAAGACGTAACCCCTAGTTTGCAAGAGTCATTCAGCTATCGGGTTTTCCAAGACATTGTTCAATCAACGGACATACGTCCGATCCAGATGGGATCTACGATAGGCCCGGGAAAACAGAGTGGCGGCGAAGCTGAATCCTGTGGGACTTTGACAGGCTGGACAGATTGCGCGGACACGGGACGGCAACTTGCAGGCGGGCTGACAAAGCCGGGCACTGAATGCGCAGCTCGACTCACAGACTCACATTCAAATACAAACCGGCAAATGATTCAGAGATAAAAAAGTGGGCAGCAGGAGGTTAATGGGAGAGAAGAGAGAAGAGAGAACAAAATCCAGCGATGGCTGCAGTATGCCCCAAACGGGGCGTTTTTCCTCGTGTTCGAAGTGGAAGTCATTCATTCAGCTTCAAACTATTGTCGGGAAGTCGCAGCAAACTAATGCCTACATCCACGCTATGAGATAGACCAAGGCGAAGTGTCTTAGTTACCAGGTTGGACTAGTTAGGTAGCCAAGAAACCCACGGCACGTCATCAAAGGGCGGAGTGACTGACAGCAAACTCGAGGAAGGCCGGGGATTCGAGGACCAATGTATCGGATTGTGACTGATAGGAAAAAGGGGCGACCATCAAGGTGGGATGGCTCTTCAGGTCATAGTGAGACAGGTGCCAGCCCAATAGGTGTCGGTCCAGAGGCCAAACAACAAAGAATGTCCCCGCAAGGCATTGCTGCTGGGCTTGCAGGGGGCGTCGTCATGAGCCCCCTTGGTCGTGGCGCGAGAGGCGGAGCGGCCGAGCAAGATATCGAGGATTGATTGTGGATAACTAAGTACCTTAGTCGGGGGCCTCGATGAAAAGCAAACGGCAAAACGGCGAATAGAGGTTAGGTTGCAAAGGGGGGTGGATGGTGTGCTGGAAATGCAATGTTGGGTTGGAGATCAAGTGGGTGTTCAATGGGAGGAATTGTATGGGTAGACTGGCGTGGCTTTCGGAAAGGAAATAGTCTAGCGCTGTATCTACGTCACTCGTTCGAGTCTGGAACCTCGAATCTCGAATCTCGAATCTCGAACCTCGAACCTCGAACATCGAGTCAGGAGACAGAAGTCGGGTCTCAACGTGGCGTCGCCGTTGCAGTCGTAGAGCAGACTCGCACCATGTATTCTCGACAGGTGCGCAGCAGCGCAGAGCAGGGCAGTGCACTGTACATTGCACATGGAAAAGGCGGGGAACTGGATTGATCACAAATGCGCGTATTTGCAATGTGATGGATGTGATGGATGATGTGACGGATGTGCGCAAAAGTGCTACGACGATGCGGTTCTTGGTGGTTCGCAATCGGGATGGCAGCGCAAGTGTGCAGTGAGCGTTTTTGGCTTGGCTGCCTCGCGGTTGCCTTGCGGCTGCCTTGATGCTCACCGACGCGAGAGTGTGGCAGAGAGGGTGAAACATGGCCCTCTGATTGGCCCGCGGGCCCGACACAAGGAAAGAGCGGGCGAAAGTGAGGCGGGCCGGAGCATGATGGGCCGCATGGGGACGCCCTCTTTGGCTCTCTGGGGGGAAGCCGTCCAAACCATGGCATGTAGGAGGCCCAAACCACTCCGTCATCATCATTCTCGTGCCGTTCGACAAACGTCTCTCGCCCTGTCGTCGCCGCATTTTCCTCTTCACTCCTCTTGCACTCCTCTTGCATTCCTCTTGCACTTGAACTGCCGCCACCGCTCCGTCCGTTCGTCGCTCCGACGTGGCATACCCCCGGCCTATAACCACCCTCGCCGGCTCTTGTCGTGCGTGCATCCCACATTGCGAACCACCACCACCACTACGCGTCGCTAGCTTTGAGCATCAGAACTGTCCAACTGTGCGGCAACAAGGCAAATTCTCCACCACGCTGTTTCAACTCCCCACCTGCTCAGTACCTCACCTATCGACATACGACATCCGCTAGGCGGCTCTGTCTCGCCGTTTGCCAGCAGCAGCACAAGGAGCAGAAGCCTTCCGTCTTCATTCAAGACGACCTGATTTGGTTGTCCAGTTTCAACCCCCTCAGCCATTTTCTCGCTCTGGCTCCCCTCCCCGCATCGTCTCTCGTCTTCAGGTTCCTGCCCGACTGAACTTGTCCTCCTCTCTCCCCCTTCCCTTTCCCTCCTCTCTCCATCATCACCGCTGCCTGGCTCCACGATCGGTCGCCTCTTCGCCACTCTCAAAACTCCCGGCGCCTTGTTTGGTTGCTCTATCAACCTATCTCGTTTCATCTGTCCCTCGACTCTGTCGTTGGCCGAATATCGTGCTCTAGTTTGTTGGTGCTGTTGCTGTCGCTGTCGCTTCGACGTCACTACGTTGCCTCGCCTAGCTATCTTAGCTAGCCACACCACCATACCGAGCGTCTCTGCGGATGTTCGTGAGATCCTTGGATTCGGCCGTACGTCCTCATCTATGACCTTGTAGAATGGGCGGCGTCGCTGACATCAAAGCAGTCCTTCGCTATCCTCTTGCCTGCGCCGTCTCCTCCCCGTGTATACGCCTCGCCTGGCCCTAGTCTCCTGACGCTGTCTCCAATCCCACCCAGTGCACCTCTCGGTTAACAGCACGGGTTGAGTCGGTTGAACTCTGATTCCATCTCCGAATAACCATCGCTCAACTCCACCGGATCAACTCTTGCAATGGCTACCTCCAACTCGGGCCCAACCCGCCGCTCCGGCATCGAGTCTCTCAATCCCAACCACCAACAATATGTCCCCAATCGGACCGCTTCGGCTCAACAATCCTCTGTAAAGGCACCCTTCCCGTGGAACTTGACTCGATTTTACGATCTTGATGACTCCCCATGGACACCGCAAGGCCTCATTTCGGGCATCCCTACCAACACTCAACAAGGTCAGCATGTAGCAGGGTCGGGTGGTTTCCCCGGTGCTCCCGCCGCTTTCCAGAACTATAGGAGCAGGCCCTTGCCATCGGAGTGCGATACAGCCAACGAGGATTCGGGATACGGTGGAAGCGGTGCCCCTTACAGCATTGAGGCCACATCCGTTTATGATGATGACCAGAACCCGGAGACTCAGAATGCCGCGCAACTCATCGAGTCATTCCACCTAGACGTATCCCCAACTTCGAATGCCCCGCAGTTTCCCCAATGGTCACAACCGCGACCAACTCAAAGCGTCGTCACTGCCCCTGCCAGTGAAGACAGCAAGCACTACTGTTCGTCATGCAATATGTGGCTGAAGACAAAGTCAGAGCTCAAGTAAGCTATTCGGTCCATATCTTTTACAAACACTCTGTCTCACATCCAGTAGCAAGCACAGTCTCCGTCACAGCAAGCCCTTCCATTGCGACGCCCTGGGCTGCAGTCGTACCGAAGGCTTCAGCACCAAGAATGACCTCGATAGACACAAGCGGAGCGTTCATTCAGACCTGTCAGTGTCTGGGCCTAGATACGTTTGTCCTTTAGGGCAATGTGGCGCGAAAGACCAGCCTAAGCTTTGGCCGAGGGCAGATAACTTTCGCTCCCATCTGCGCCGCATTCACCAGAAGGAATGCACTCCTGAAGACGATCTCGAGGAATACCTTTATCAGTATGTGCAAATGACTCCCCCAGTCCTTCAAACTGTGTTAGCTCACCCATTCCTAGTCAACCCCACAGGCGTGAAGACCTCGAAGGAATTGGAGGGACCGCCCTCTCATACATGAATACCAATCAGCCCTCCAACATTCAACAACCTGTTGGGCACCTGTTTTCGCAATCGTTCCTAGGAAACCAACCCACCGCTACCAGCTTGAAACGCAGAATCCCAGAATTTCATGAAGCCATCGACTCCATCCTTCAGAACTCGACACGTGTGTCTTCTGAAAAGGGCGAACCATGCCTTTCCCAGGACAGCAATGATGACTTCCTACGGCCAAACACTTTGCATGGAACGGACCAACGCCCGTTGCATTCCAGTCGATCATTTGACAACCACATGGCGCCAGTCTCGGCTGCTCATTATCACTACAGACATGCAAATCACGATGGTGTCCCTGGTGACATCGAACTTTCCATGAGTACCGATGATGAGTCTGGAGCCCTTGACAATGTCATGGAGTCTGCCGAGCATGATGATGTACCAAGCAACACTTGCGGGCCAGATGTCACCCATCCCAAAGGCCCACGGATGGTCCAGCTCGAGCCAGAGCGATCTGACATCAAGATGACAGGCGCAGAGCAAGATAAATCGAGCTCTGCACCTCGTGTTTCATCTGACATTGCTCCTTTCGATTTCCCCGGAGTGTTCAAGGGTCCCGGTCTGGTAGAGTATCTCAAAACCCTACCCAAGGAACTCCTCAAGAGCGTCCTGGATGGCGATATGGACGACATCAAAGCAGTGAGTCCACCGCCAGACTCTGTGGGCCAGAAGTCTGCAAATCCCTGCACAGAATGTAACAAGACATTCGCCCGGCCATGCGAACTCAAGTATGTCCCCTAGTACTTTTTCCCCGTACTATAACTAATCAGCTCTGCAGGAAGCACATGAAGCGGCACGAGAAGCCCTATGGATGCACATTTTTTAATTGTAACAAGGCTTTCGGCAGCAAAAATGACTGGAAGAGGCACGAAAGTAGCCAGCACTGGCAGCTTGAGTCCTGGAAGTGCGGAGACAATAAGATGGGCCAGACACAACCATGTGACAAGGTCTGCCACCGGAGGGAAAGCTTCAAGAACCATCTTAACAAGGAACACATGATGGTCGACCCCAAGAAGATCGAGCAGAGACTCGAAAGCTGTCGCATTGGGCGACATTGCGATGATCGCTTCTGGTGTGGTTTCTGTTCGAAAGTCATAGAAATCAGAGGCGAAGGGGTTAACGCCTGGACGAAACGATGTGACCACATCGACAATCACTTTTCTGGGCGTGATGGGAACCCAAAGATGAACATCCGCCAATGGGTATATGTTGAAAACCAGGACCACAACCGCGAAAATGGTGGGTGCGAGTCAAACACGCAGCCCTCAAGTCCTGACTCCGACACGAGCTCTACCCTAAAGCGCAAGTTGAGTACTGAGGCAGAGCTTGCGACCCACAAGAAACCCCGGCAAGGGGTGGTGGTATACATGTGGACTTGCGTAAGTAGACCAGTATTTCCCGGCTCTGGATTCGACTAACATAGACCAGTGTGAGTGCAAGACCGACATGAATGTGAAGGTTTCGGCGTCGTGTCTCACTTGTGAGCATCAGAGATGCCAGGCAAACTGCTCCGTCACGCGGGTTATACATCAACATGAAGATGACAAGGTAGACACGGAGTAAGAATGACTGATTAATGCGGGTATAACATAAAAGGTGGAATAATGACGGGCTTGGTTTTGGATCACGGCAACGCACTTGTACTTCATTTAGGATACCCATAGTAGCGGTGTTTAGCGGTTCGGGGGACGGAACATGGGGAAAATTCATGAACAATCTTCGCTTTCGGCATGACCGTTGTCCATCCGTCAATGACAGCACTCACCGCCGTATCAACCAACGCATCTCTTGACTAGTCGGTACTCGGGCTGGGGTCACGTTGCAATGACTGCACGCCAGATGTAGCCATTTCTTTTTTGGGAGTAGGGTACCTAATGACCTATGCCTGGCGAGTGCGAGGCTTCCCCGAGATTGCACAGATCGATGAGATCTGCAATCGCAGGGTGATTCACAGACCCGGGCCGGAAGGAAGCGCTTCGTCCCCGGTAGGGCGACTTGTGGAGAGAGACGTGAGAAAGGAGTGCGAACTAGTTGGCGGAGCTATGTGCGGAGGATTCGGTGTGCGGTGCATCATCCGAGCTGCGGTACATGATCCGAGCTGCGATGGTGGCATTGAACCTGGGCTACGGCTGTTTCTGCCGGTCCATGTGAAAGCTGTTAGAGGCGAGCTGTGAACAAGGATCCGAGCTATGTGAGATGTGACGAAGGCATTCTATTAGTCGTATCCCTTGACCGTGCCAGCTGGCGGCCGTTTCTGATCGTCTAGGCTTGGTCCACCTCCCTGACGAACACCCGGGGATCGCGGCATATGCCGTCCCGTCGTCCGTGGCAAACTTTAGACCTGAGCAGAGACTCACCGGTATAGCTTCAGCCACCGAGCTAAGACCCGTGGTCCACCTGTTGATGCCCAACAACAAGCGGTACAGGGGGGAGGGTCGATAGTAGGAAGTAGGAAGTACAGAGCGATGGTGCTTCATGGCATCAGAGGCATACTAGGAAAAAGGGAAAAAGAAACATAGAAGCAATCTGTCAGGGTAACTACATGGGTAGAGCTGCTGCTGGGGCGGTTCAGGGGGTCGTGCAGACCCAGTTACCTAGTCCTCGGAGACCCAAAGTGTGTGGGGAGGCCAGACACGGGGCCCCTCGAGGGACTCAGCAGGGGAAGTGAGGGCGCTTCGGCCGAGCCAATCAGAGTCGACCGGTGAAGAAATTCTGAACATTTTCGAGGGCCATGGGAAGAAGCAACGAGAGGCAGCCGCACTAAAAGGCCGGTGGAGTCGGATCATGGCTGGTGGTGTTGCTTTTTGGAAGTGGAGTGGGGTTGGAACTGGTTCCAGAGGTGCTGCTGCGCTCCTACACCGTAGTCCGTAATTACCATGTGCATCCTTACGTACATGACATGCACGGACTATTGCAAGGCCTAACTACCTAGGTATTAGATTACAGTGACGGGCATGGCAGGAGTACCGGTACCGAGTGCTCTACTACGTAGTACTTCGTTCACAGGAAGGGAAACAAGGGTCGTAGCGGTGGACTTTGACCAGTGCGGAAGAGTGGTGGGCCTCCGGGGGCCGCCATGTGGAAAGGCAACGGGCCCACAAGGATGCGTGCCGTGGGCGATAGAGATTACGATTGATGATGTGATGATTGACAAGTGCCCTACCCAATCTAATGCCGCCCAGGGCAGTCCTCGTGGACACGAATAAGACGTGCCGTGTTAGAGCGAGGCCCAAGAGGGTGTGAGAGAGTGTCGAGACTCTCAGTGAGACTCCAGATGGAGGGCAGATGGAGGGCACGTCACGCCCGGACCGGCCCATCAGTCCACGGACGACAATCAGCCCTGCTGGATGGTTGGGGGCCGTGGGGACTCAGCCCAGCGGCTCCGTGTTGCAACTCCTCAAAGTACTCTTGACTTGGGCCAGGCGAACATGCCTTGACCCAGCCATCCTCCCCCCTCCGTCCGCGTTCCCAAGACACGGCCTGGAAAGGACCAGGGTTGGGGGCCGGGGGAAACGAGGGGGACGGGAGGGGGGAGGGGAACCGGACGATGGGGTGGCATGCAATGAACTTGTTCAGGTCGAGCGCTGTGAGATGACCTCTTGGCAGTTACACAGCAAGGGCCCCTTTTTCAGCTTTGAAAGAGGCCAATGGTGTTCAGGTGGACGAGTTCCCTGCAAGTCGAAGTATTCCTCGAGCGACAAACTCCGTCTTGCCTCCGCCGAGGATCCTCGGGAGCGACGATCTCCGCGCTTAGACAGGGCCGGTGACAGGGGGCAGGACATGGCGAGACCTCACGAGGTGCGGTGCCGACCAGCCGCTTGGTACATTACAGGGAGACACGATGGGGTCGATGAGATGCGCCCAAAGGCTTGGCGATATGTGCACGATGCGTATTTGTCAATTGCCGGGCTGCTTCCCACTGTCTCGCCTTTCAGCCGTACCAACTGACCGGCCGCGTTAGTCAATGCCGTGAATCATGTCCATATCTGCGCATTCCTTTTCAACTTGGGCTTTCAGCCTCTGGGGGGGGCCTAGAAGCCCGGTGACAGTCTCATCCGCTCGGTCTCCGGAATAGGATAGGAGAGAGGAGAGAGAGAGCGCATGTTTCAAGCCCGGGAATGTGTCTCTCGGACCTTTGCAACATGTATGTCTTTCGAGGCAGCAAAGTTCCTGTATTTCGTTTGCTGCGAAATGGCCTTAAACATAAGCATGCTGGATAAAGCACCGGCAAGTCTAAAATAGGCCGTCAGAGTCAGCCGTCAAAGATCAGCCGTGGAGCAGGTCAAACACGGGCAGAGACAAGCCATGGTCGACGGCCCAGTTGCGGCTTTCCAGGACGCTGGGTGGCAGTGGTGTCTCTGGGCAGACAGGGTCTCTAGCCCCGGCCATGGGCGGCTGGGCCTGCAAAATTGTACGCATCGGTCCTGGTGCAGCCAGGGGGGGAAGGAGGGAAAGGGGGGGAGGGGTGGCAGTGGGCTTGAGACAGTTGAATGGGGGAATGGGGGTTCTCTCACGCGCGCACATACAAGCCGGGCGTCGAGATTATGTCTGTTGGTTGCGTTGCGTGTTGGTTGAATTGTGTTTTCCCGTTGCCTTGTCGCCTTCTTTTAGGGAGTGGGCCACTCGCTGGCCCGTGGGGACGCGCTGAAGCAGTGAGCCAAGCGGGTGGGGTGCCCTGTCACATCGGCCAGTTGGGGGCTAGCAGTTGGCCCCGGGTGGGTTCAAGATCGCCAAATGGACCAATCACTCGTTTAGCTCGATCGGCAGCCCACACCACCCGTTATCCCGTCATGAGTCCCGGACAGCGCTACAGTGGGAAGCAGCACCTCCAACTTGGGCTCCAGCGTATCGGATGCCCGGCCAAGTTGCCTGTCCCCGCCAGCCGCATCTCCACTATGATCCCATCGCGCCCTACTACCAGAAGACCCTTGAACCCTTACCAGAACCCCTACCAGCGAGAGCCGCTAGCTACCACAGCGAGCACCGACCAGAGAGAGCACTGACCATGATGGACCGGCCAGAACGAGCACCTGCCGCAGCACTGACCGCAGCACCTTCCTCGAACCAGTGATACCAAACACAGCACCTACCACCACCAGCCAACCACCTGCACAGCGCCGTGCGTTCCCCTTCTCCACCACCACGACACCACGAAAATACACACCAGTCCATCCAAGTCCAGTCCAGTCCAGGGCTGTGCCGTGTCGTGCTGGTGGTTGTCAGCCTATGCACCTTCATGCTGCGCCATAGGACCCTTGCCCTTGTTGTCTCTTGTTGTCTCTTTGTTGTTGTTGTCGACGCTTCTGTCATCGCTGTTGGAACGGTGAAACGACCAAGTTGACCATATAGCATGCCATTGGACAACTACCACACATATGATTATTCAAGGCCGTTTGCATCCTTTCGTCTCATCTCGTATACCCCTATGTCCCCGCAAGACCGGCCGACCATGGTCGCAATAGCGTGACAGCGAGGGTGAATTCACAAGAGGAGCCAGTAGCGATGGCGACGACGCACCGATCGTGTCTGCCCTCCGGCGTCAATAACGTCACTAGTCTGACTCCTACACCATCAACACTATCGCCGCCATCTCTTCCTCCACCGGTCGATCCCCTTCTTTCCGCTCTCTCGGCTCCTTGTACCAAGCTACTTCCTCATCGAGTGCCTCTTTGCTCCTCTCTCCTCGCGCCTCGTCTCCTCTGCCGGCGGCTATTCAAGCGTCCGTGTGAGAGAAGTGACCCATTATCGCCATCTCACGCTTCAGCTCTCCACACAGCCACCTCAGTCCCTCCTATACTTGGCTCTCATCTGCGACATGCAGTTTTTGGCTAAAGATTAGGATGCCCTCGCGCCTCCACCTCGGTCGTCTGGTGGCGTCAAATATTCGTCATGCTTGACAATATTGCCATTCATTGCCGCCGAAGGTTTCTTTGCTTCTCTCACGAAACGCCGGCAACTCGAGCGCTAGGCTCGGGGACTCGGACGCCAAGTTCGGGGTTCTCTATCCATTCACAGCACCGTATCTGCTTAAGCCTGCCCGAGGTACCGTCTGGGACCGAGACCCGAGTCTCCCTTCGCGGAAATTCGTGAAAGAAGCCAGCCAAGGCGACCATGTCTTCAAGCCAGGTAGACCGGCATCGAGATGGACTTGACCAGTCAAAATGGAAATAGGCCTCTCGCATCTCTATCGTCAACTGCAGACCATACCGTGTACAGGCGGCGCAGGCTGCAACCCGAGGCGACCGCACACAGCGGCGAACTACCAAGGACCATCCATCCACCTGGATCTCCGCAGGGTGTCTGCCTGCCCCCTGTTCTATCCTGGAACCACCGTGGACCTGGCCCCAGCGGTGTCTAATCTGTCCATTCCCGGGCATGGTGTCAGGGGTCATCTGCAAGTGGTGTCTGGGCCTCGGGTTGTGGCTTGAGTAGGTCAGTCGTTGGTTTTGTTCCCCCAGTCGCGAGGTACCCGGTACAAAAAAGTTGAGGCTCTGCACCCTCGTGGGGCTCACACGTCAGGTAGTAGACGATTCCCGCGCCGCTCAGTCGTCAACGGGCACACTCTAGGCGTACTACAGCCTACAGGCGCACTCCAGCCACACACATGGCTATTTTGACTAACACCCTTAAAGCGTCCCGTCATCCCATCATCAAAGTGTCCATGTTCTATATCTGCCCCAGCACTCCCGGATCTTCCTCTCTATCTCTTTCTACTCAACCAATTTTTCTGACAATTGCTTGACTGCATTTCGTCTCTATTGTTTGCCCGCAACTGAATGCATTGTGCCTGGGTCCGCCCGCTTCCTGCTCTACCCTTGTGTTAGCCCCTGTGCTGTGCTTTGGTATCTTGAGGCACCTTTACGTTCTGTCTTTCGACCAGACTCGATCCTGAATCGAATCTCCCACCCTTCCACGTCTTCAATCGACTAGCCATTTAATGGCCCAAGTTTTCTGAGCCTCTGCTCAGAATCTCCCCTGATCCCCCACACGACCGAAGCCGCCGGAACATCGACACAATGGTTTACAGCCCTTACTACGCCAGAGACATGGGGTTGATGAATGGATTGAAACCCTCCTGGAAGGGCCATCGTGCAGATCGTACCCAACAGGATGTCATTGACCCCGGGCTGACGGGTGATGCTTCTCAAATACAACATTTCCTTCAGGATCCGGACACGCCAGCCGTCTTCGGCATGCACCCGATGCCTATGAATAACTTTAGCTTCGGAATGGAAGGACGACACGGATCTCCTTCTTCCCAACAACAATCCTCGGCAGCCAGCCCTGGGACAGAGAACGACATATTCTATGACAGACCATCCACCCCTCCAGACATGAAGTCTCCATTTCTACCGCAGGTGTACGACGCCTGGGATAGCCAGATATCTCTGAGAGGACTCTCTTCTTGCCGGCCCGGCAGATTTGTGAACCCCTCCGATATTCATGGCAGTCAAGTTTCCCTCTGTGACTTGAATGAAGGCGAAGGCCCTAAGGACTTCAATCTTGGGCCTGGATTTGACAGCTTTGACATCAACAACCCATCTCCTCACTACCCAGGAAATCACATTGCCCATACGCCTTTACTTCGTGTCTCAAGCCCCGCGAGCGAGATTCACGTCCGATCATCACTCGATCCCGTTTACCCCGACCCTGAGAATATTGGCGAGGGAGCCAACTCGGCTGAAGAAGCCTCTGTCAAGCTTCCATCTCAGACAGGAGAGAACCAGGGACGCATGCCAACAATCACCCGCAGCAAGCCAACTTGTGCCTCCAAGAGCGCCAACGGTCGCGGTCGCCCGAAGCGACAGGCGACTGCTTCACTCACAGAGCCATCCAAGGTCACGAAAAATACGTCATCCTCTCGCACCACTAGCAGCCGCAGGCTACCTTCAACTTCTTCCCCTATCAAGCATACCTGCCCTCATTGTCCCGATATGACTTTCAAGGATGATGCAACGCTCCAGAAGCACATCAAAACCCAACACAGGCGGCCATTCATCTGCGTCTTCCACTTTGCCGGCTGCCCGGAGGCCTTTGCCAACAAGAATGAGTGGAAGCGCCACGTTTCGGCCCAGCACCTGTGCCTCCAATTCTGGTTATGCTCCGTCACCGTATGCGAGAACCCCCCGGATCAGGAACATAAAGCCTCGGGAAAGACCACTCTTGGCCGACCTTTCAGACGTAAGGATCTGTATACGCAACACGTTCGACGCATGCATCCCCCTTCACCGCCAACAGACGTGGGAAGAAGCAACAAGAACGCTTCGCGAGGGCGGGACGACCCGCTCAAGGCGATGCAAGACTCTGCTTTCCGCAAGCGGTGCGAAACGCCAACCCACATGCGCTGTCCCGTTATAGGCTGCACTCTACAGTTCCAAGGTGACAAGGCTTGGGACGATCGGATGGAGCATGTCGCGCGACACCTCGAGCGCGCTGCCAGCAACGAAGAGCCTCGAGTGCAGTTTGGCGGTGCTCACGATGATACCTTGATCGAGTGGGCGTCAAGTGAGAGCGTCGGTGTCATTGAACGGGCTCCAGATGGTAGCTGGAGGCTAGGCCAGCCGCTCGAAGGCATTCAGAACAAATCGAAGAGAAAATCCAGCGCTAGAGCCAGTCCTAAAGCCACCGCCGACGAAGACGCGGAAGGGGAGGCCTGCTAGTGAGAATATGAGGGGTGCGCAGACGGTATAGATCTGTGGCAGCCATTGGGAAGATTGCAATTTGCTTTATTTGGACTTGTTTGTGATGAACTTGGGATGGGTTGGTGTACCCGCTAATCGTTGGCGTTGGGAGTATTGTCGTTTCACGATACCATCGCTTGAACTCCTCGGGGCGGATATTGCTTCACGCTTGTTAATGATTTCCTTTTTCTCTCTTCTCCTATTTCTTGGTTTTGGCAATGCAGTCGATACAGATACCACCGCTCATAGGCGGTTCACACACTCATAGGCGGTTTCATAGACGGAATTGGATACACCTGATGATTTACGCGTACTTGTTCTTGATTCCCACTTCTCCAGATCGCTTTCCCATCGCCCGACAAGCCTCGGCTTCGGTCTTCCAAACGGTCTCCCTATTCACTTCTCGCACATTTCCCACCTGTCCCAGACCGCCTAGCCGCCTTGCACAGAGCCTCAACACCGCAGAGCCGCACACTACTATCGAATCCACGCTCCCTCGTAACAACATGTCATCCATCCACACGCAACCTACATTCCATGCAGTAACCAGCCCCCCTAAGCCCACCACCACCACTACCACCGCCCCCAAAGTCCTGCCGCCGCTGCAGTCCCCCGGCAGGCAAAGGTCAGCCCAGACACCCAAGAAACCCCCAAAACCCGCTCGTCTCGGTTGCCCTGGCTCCTGCAGCACAGCCTCATTGCCTGAGTCCTGCACGCGCGGAACTGGTTACTGGAAAGGGGGTGGGTACTGTCCGTAGGGCGTACTGGGTAGTGTTCTACATAGTAGGGTGGTAGGCATATTAGGCGTCTGAGAGGGTCTGGGGCTCGCTTCAATCGGAGAAGGTTATTGCTACGGCAGATCGCCCGTCGGAAACATGACTGCATGGCATGGATGGGCTGGAGGGTGGGATTGGGTAGTCGTCCAGGGTAGGGATGCATGGGTGACTTGGTGACGTTGGTGTGGCCATGGACTTGAATCTCCCAATATTGTGGCTTTTCGCCACCAAATTAACTTGCAAGGACCAGCATGCCTGCTTATCGTACTGTGGTATTGGATATTCTAACATGTGTAGTTGAGCCGCATTATGGAGGCTATACGAACACCAAGGTCGTGTGACTACCTCCAATATGTGACACAGGTCACCATCTAGAGAACCTGTACATGTACCAAGCCATCCTTTGAAACAAATATTCATCGAGGCGCCTTTTCTCCAACGATCAAACGACACTGTACCGAATACAATGCCATGCTGATTGGGATAAAACAGAAACAATGCAGATGCCCAGAATTGATCCGGGCGGGCCGTGACAGATTGATAATGGCGGAGGCAAAATCGTGGCTACAGTTATCTCTCGTTTTCTAAAAAAAGCCTTTTGGTCAGCTAGTTGCACTTTCGAAATTTTGAGGGATTGAATTTACCAATTCCCATTCGCTGTCGCTGTTACTCGTATCGTTTGAGCCAGACACAGCTTTGAGAGCCCGCCGAGAATTGTCTCTCAAGGGACGCCTTCTTCAACCACTGCTCCCTGGCATGTGACGAACGAATCTAATAAATGTTGTCCCCAAAACGCTTTATACAACACTTTGCCGTACTCAAGCACCGGTCTTTCTCAGCATCGATACAAAAGAATGAGAATTCCGGTCGTGCTTCCTAACGCGAAGTTACTCGAGTCATATCATCAAACATTTGAGACGACATGCGCAGGAACAGCGATGTCCACGGTCCGTCGAGCTCGTCGCTGTTGTCTGTTCTTGCACTCCATGGCATAGCCTGGTTCGGTAGCCTTGCGCCACTCGATCCATGCCTCGTATGCTTGCTGGTCTTTGGCATCCGGAATGCGCGGCTTGGGAACAGGGCCCTGTTGGGAGCCGAGCCTCCCCAGAGTCCCACATGACAGGGGCTGCATTCGCAGGGGAGGTTGGGCATTGACAGCGAGAGGTAATGGGTTGTTCATGTTCATGACAAAGGACTGTAGTGTCGATTTCAAGGGGGACAAATCCACGGATCCTCGAGGCGTGGCTGAAAACCCGCTTTCAAGTCCAAGACTTGGATGAGGAAGGTTGAGCGGTGGTGCAAACCCCGATGTAGGACGAAAGGTTGGAGGCAGCACAGGGCCAGCCGGGGGTGCAAATCCAAAAAGAGGACCAAATGCTGAGGCAGATACATTCGAAAAGGGAACCTCTCCAAAGCCAGTATTCGAGTGAGTAGTCATCTCACAGTGCTGTGGCTGGTTGGAGATGACGGGAAACGGATCGTAGGGTGATACATGATCAGCGACACCCGGGTTAAGGCTCAATTTACCTTTATAGTCCTCGCATTGCTTCGGAAAGAGGCCATCCACAAGGGTTCTCCGGAACTTGACAGTGCGGTTTTCCCCTGGCACTTCTTCGCTCTGTCCGTTGAACGACAGAAATTCTCTTGCCCTTGGATTGAGCCGTTTGGTGCTGTTCCTAAGGGAGACTCCGGAATCGCGGGAGCTTTCATTTTCGTGAGTGAAGACGGTATGCACAGAACCGATTGCAGAATCCGAGGTACCTTCTCCTCTTAACTCCCTCTTCTTCGAAGGTTTCTGTTCAGAGTCCGATTCCAAATACACCTCTTTTCGCGGACCAGGACGACCATGAGAACCTCCCTAGGGGACCTTGGTCAACTGATTGGCTCCTTTGTGAAGCTTTCCAAGCATCTTTTGGAATGCCGCATGCCTTCTCTTGAGATCGGGATTGTCGTCATGAGAATCTTCGGTTATTGAGGGTTTGCTGTTGACCACGCTTGTAGGTCGAGCGTCGCCGAGAGGGGTCACTGCAGATTTGTTGAGCGTGGAGTGCGTAGTGTTCTCCAGATTTTGTGTCGCCGATAAGGTTTCCTGCCGGAGCTGGCTTTGAAGCTGACACTTCGAAGATCTGGCGTGCATTCTAGGAGGCGTAGCTTCAGTTGCTGCTAGTACTGCGGCTAGTTCCCGTTCTTGTTCGTTGCGAGGCATCTTTCGCGGTGTTTTGCGTAACGGTCGACTTTCCTTGTCAATACGTTGAATGTGCGCAATGTTGGAAAATGTTCCATCATGAATCTCTTCGGTCAGGCTTCTGGAACCATCTGCAGCGCAGAAGGGGACAAGCTCAATGATGCTCATAGGTTTCCCGTTTGTTCGGCAATCAGATAATTCTCTTTGTCTGACGAGACCGCATAGACCCCATTGTTCTGCCTGCGTGGTAGCCTTGTCCTTAACATCGGATGCAGATATATCCGTAGGCTCAGCATCAGGCTCGGAACTCCCATGGGTAGACTTCCAGTGACTGAAAGCAATGTGATCCCATGGCCCAAACCTTCCGAGGTTCTGGTGGCCACTCGAGGAAGCCTTTGAGCAGGGTCTTGCAAATTCCATATCTGGCTTGGAGCCATTGGATTCGGCTGCCGTGAATCCTGATTGAGTCGACGTAGAAGACGTGTTATCCTCGCGTCGCCTGCGCCAGTCGGGGTTCTTCATGGCCTCAACGAACTTTGATGTGACGTGGTGCTCATCCGAATGCCCCCTCCCAGAAGTAGCCGGGGCGGATTTATTTTCCTCAAAGGATTCGTCTGCCGATGAGAGGGATATGTCGGTCTTTTCACCGTGTGTGGGTAGCGACCGACTCTTGACACCAAAGACTACCATGTCGAATGCTAGAGGATGTTAATTTTGGCAAGGTAATTGAAGACAGCAAAATTCTGGAATATCATGCGAAGATTATTTGAAATAGACTTCGAGTGAATCTCTTTGGGTTGACTTACGAGGCTGTCAAGGCTCAGGCTAAGTAGGTTGGCTGGGCTGGTGGTGAGGTGGCACGAGGCTCGCGGGTTTGGCCTTTGCGTGACTGCGTATCTGGGTAACCGAGCACCAGGTGGTGATACAGACTACAGGGTGATATTCGACCCTGGGTAGGAGTTTTTCCGCGTGATCGAAGGATTCCTTTGGGCTGTTTTCATCGAGTGTCAGTATTTGCTGCTTGGTGTTGGGGTTGTTTCACGAACCCACCTGACCAGGCAACTCTCTCAAGACTCTTCAAGCCCGACAGAAAGTAGGCCCGAAATGCGTCCCGTTTGGCTTGGAGATGACAGGTAGGCCGCTGATTGGGTGTCCGAGTTGCTGAGTAGCAAATTGGCGCGGTATCGTGCGGGAGGAATCGCGCGAGACAACGGCCGAGGTCGCTGAGAGGGCTTTCTAGGCCCGTGGGTAGGGTAGATGCCTAATGCTGAGTGTAGCGCAATGAAGATCCAAAAAAAGGGTCCCCTTGCCAAAAAGCAGGCGGAGTTTTGGGTGGCTTTTGTTCAGGTGATGTGCAAGGTGATGAGAGTCTGAGGTTGTGGTGCGAGTGGTGGAAATGGAAAGGGGGCCTGACTGGATTTGCGGTGGCCAGAAGTTAAGGCTGCACCTGCCAGGTGCATGAGAGCCACGATGGAGCAAAGCCAAACCAACTGGAATCTTCCTTCTTCGACGATGCCTAATTTGCCGAGACGCGTCCCGCGTTGCCGCTTGCAACGACGGTATTGGGGATTTAATCTTCGTTTGCTGCTGCCACCTGGAGGGCGGCTTTCACAGCATCTGCCCTATCCACATGTGTTAGAAGACTTTTGGAATCGCAAAGTAATAATAGCAAGCTATCAAAGGCTGACTCTCCTACTTGTTGCTTTGGTACTGCCGGACCAAGAACTGACGAGCCGAATGACGCACAATGGAGAAAGATATTAACGAATGCGTTCCAGGTATCAAACTAAGGTACTCCAGGCTGAAATACAACACGGCACCGGCGCCAACATATCCAATCCGGGTGCAATGCAAGATCTATATACCCCACTCTTGCTCCTGATGCGTCGGTCGACATATACACTCTCGCCCCTTCCTGCCTACCACAGGCCGTGGTCTTACCCTTGGTATTGTTGCCCTCCCATGTAGGCACTGAAAGCTCTCTGCAATACAAGTCAGTCAAATGCAAACTATCAAGGAATCTTTTTCTTTGGGTTACTACTCACCGCATTCCGAGTCTGCATGTAAATGGTTCCGGGACCGGTAAACTTGCACACAAGGCCCTCGGCCGAAGCCAGGCCTGAGATGATGCCGCCCGATGCCACTCGTTCCATGACGTACTTGGTGTTCCACGCGATCAGATGGCCGTTGTCGACAATGTACTTTTCGTTTTCAACCAGCTACCAGTTTGTCAGCACTCACTTCTAACCATCAAGACAAAGTAACACTCACATCCTTGCGAATAATGGCTCCAAAGCTTGAGAGCCACAGTAGTCCTGTGCCGCTGATCTTATACACCCACAGTCCCTCGCCACTGAAAATGGCCTTGCTAAGGGCCTGCCGCTTAGAGTCCTTGATGATGCCTTGCGTCGATGCGAGATAGGCGTCATGGCCTACGGACCAGGAATCCTTGCCCGCCAGTCGCAAGCTAGTGATGTCGCCGAGCATGTGCGGCCCCAGCAGAAGCTCGCCGGGCCCGGTGAAGGTTGAGCTAGAAATGTCGCCGCCTGAGATGACCTTCTTCATGCTAAACTTGAGCTGACCTTTGAGCGTGATGGTTGGGGACATGGCAATCATGGCGCCGGGTTTGGCGGCAACAGGGCAACCCATGGCGAGTTGGATGGTCAGAATAGTGTTGGAGTCACGATGACTGATTCTGTAACTGCCACCATTGAAAGTTCCCACATCGTCGTGCGTGGCACTGGCGCCTACAAATTGCCCAGTCTGGGGGGCTCCAGACACAGTCATCGAGTATCCTTGCTGTTGTTGTTGCTGTTGCTGCTGCTGTTGCTGCTGCTGTTGCTGCTGATTCTCCTGGATCACCTCCTGCTTGGGCTTCTCAGTTGGATAAGCGCTTCCAGTATCCTGAAAGGCCGGTGGCGGGGGGTCAAAGTGCTGCTGCTCTGGGGTCGCGGTGGGACGGACCGCCATGTTCATCTGCTGTCCTGGGGGAGGAGCATACTGAGCCTGGGGTTGAGGCGGCGTCGGTATCGGCTGCTGCTGCTGTGGTGGCGGAGGGTAGTTCTGCATCGGTGCTGAAGTGGGAGGAGGAGGATAGTGCCCCGGCGTCGGCTGCTGCGGGGGAGGGGGGTGCTGAGGCGAGGGAGTCTGATGGGGAGGCGCCGGGTAGCTCATCGACGAGTGAGACGTGTGGTGAGGAGACGGCGTGTGCTGAGGCGGCGGAGGATAGTTCATGGCCGCGGCGGCCTGGGCCTGGGGCGGAGGAGGGTAGAACTGCGTCCGGTTTGCGGGAGGGGATGTCGGCGGCGGCGCAAACTGCTGCTGCTGCTGCTGCGGTGGGGGAGCTGAGACGACGGTCAGTTACGGCCTGCGAGGAGTCGAATTGGACTCTCGTCACGAACCTGTCTGTGCCGGAGCCGCGCCGGGCGGAGCTGTGAAGCCATCGTCAGTCGGGTCCCTCGGAGCTGCGATGGCGGGGTCGGCGGGAGCAGAGGGGAGGGGCACTCACGGGGATAATAATGCTGGCCAGACATGGCGATTTACTGATCAACTACTGCTTCACAAGATGACGATTCCGTGAGGCTGGGTAAGAGGGGGAAGGAGGGAAAAAAAGACGACGAGGCGGGAGCTGTCCTCAAAAGAGCTCGTGAGGCGTGCTGTAGCCGCCCAGGCAAGCTGTGTGCGCCAAGCTCTGACGACACAGCCCCGCACAACGTTGGCGTTGGAGTAGTCCGGGGTATATATCGCCCAACTCTTTGGGTATCAAGACGCGCCGCTGACAGTCGAACGCAACGCCAATCGATTCCGCTTTCCGTTGTTAGAAACGCAGATGAAATATAATCGTCGATGAAAATCCACAATGGAGACGGGCGCGGGAGCAAAGGCGCAAAAGAAGGAGTCCAGGAGCTGGCGCAAGGCACGCAGTTACCCGGGCTATCGAGCCACGGCCGCATCGACCGCAGGCCAAGCTCCCGCTGCCGCGTCGTCTCCAGCAAGTGCTTCTATTTCCAGCAGTGATTTCGCGGTACCGGCCAATCATGCGCCCACAATCAGCTCACGATGCACTACCGGGCGTCTCTGGGCCCTGCTGCGGCCAGGCTGTAGCCGCCGCCGCGGGGCTGCCCAGACGTATTTCGCCAACCTCATTGGCCTGGCTGGAGAGTGGGAGGCAAATGGCCCGACGAACCGGCTCCTCTGCTTTCCCCATTTTGAGAATTTCCCCGTCTTTTCTTTTTTGTATTCTTTCTATTCCCTACTCTGTCGTATCTCCTTATTCTTGCTTATAAGTCGCTCTAGCCCTGAGACTATTGGAGACATGTGTTCTCTGACTCACCCATGCTAGACCTGCAGTCCCACTCACCCTCATCTGCTTGAGAACCAGTAACACCCCGTAACACTTCATACCATGCGTGAGATAAAAAGGCCAGTTTCCACGTGGAATGAGTACGTTGTCGTGGCTTCCAAGTACTTTTCCTCAACCCTTCCTGGTCCTGGTACGTGGCATGAGACACCGGTGCTTTTCTTTCCGCACACTACCCTTCTCGGGTGCTCTTCTTCCCGGGTGCGCTTCTTCCGGACCATCCTTCCCGCAAGAGCTTTTTGTGGCAAAGACACCTCTTATGGAATGCCATTTTTGGATTTTGGGGTTGAATTTCCGGCATACGCGATGACAAATACTCAATAGTTGCTTGTCATGGTCGAAGCCAGAGATCAACAATCTGACTCAATGCCGCGGTCGATAACCCCTTCGGTTGTCATCTTCCGTCAATCTCCACGATTGGGGATAACCAGTGACATACCAAGCCCACTTGAGCGAATCTTGATACCCATCGTCATCCATCTAGCCCAATTGAAGAAAACGCTGAGGGATCAACGGGCGTTGACGAATGTTAAACATCCTCCAAAACAGGGCGGACTCGCCAAGAATCCTGATCTGGCCTGAAAAGTCTGATCCAGGAGCCTGGTTTGTTATGGGGACTCGGACTGAAGTTCCCGGAGCCGAAGCGGTGATCCTGTTCCATGAGGCTCTCTCAACATCACTTGAGGTTAAGCTCCTTGTAAATGTCACTTCAACCATGACGCCACGGTCGTGGATCCTGTCTCTGCATGGACTGTCCGAGGACACTACCATCAAGTTAGTCTATGTATGACCGCAACCACAGTCTCGGGTCCCAACCCGTTGGCTCCGAGAGGAGGTCCAGAAGAGCGAAGCGGTCAAAGAGAAACAACCATTTGGTGTACACGATGACATGAGAGGTAATCCAGGGCCTCTTGCTTCCCTGTCCGGGACGCCTCCCGCCACTGTCTCACTCCGGGATGGGCCGCAACAACCAGCTGTGGTGCTAGAACGGAGGAACCGAAGGACTTCGCCAAGCAGTTGGTCCAACGTAGCGGCCACTTCGCCCCCGACGGCTTCCCTTTTGCTGCGTCCATGAGAGTCCAGACAATCGTCACCATGACCAGCATGTCACCGGCGCCGCCACTTGGCCCAGCGAGTTGGTACCGAAGGATGCGAGGTCAGACGCGGGCGCATGCCGTCGTTTGGCCCCCGAACGCCCAAGTTTGGCGCGGCCGTCTAGGTCTGGATAGAGTTTTTTGAGTTCGGAAGTGCCGTGAGATGGAGTTTCGAGACGAGGGCCAGTTGACAGGTTAGCAATCGAAGGCAAGACGCCACTTCTTGCGGAAAGGCAAAACCTGATTGAGAAATCCGCAAAGTCATTCGGAAATACGGCGGGAAAGCCCCTTTTCTGGACTGTTTGTGCGAGATAGACTTTGCCGTCACTCCAGCTGGGTACCGGGCCCGTGGGCCTAGACGAATAGGCTGAAGGTGTGAAGCCAATACCTCACCAACAGTGACATTTGATAGGGATTATTCCATTGCCGCTGGTTCTTCCCGGCACTAATGTTAGGTTACTCACAGGTGGGTGGGTATCTTTTTGGCCTGTATCTGCAAGGCATCATCAGCCGATACATGTCGTCCAGCGCAAGTCAACGAGATTACACCATCCAGGGCGAACGAAGGGAGGGGTCAGGGAGTTAGAGTCTTGAGCTCACACTCGCGAGGTTGGGGGCCGCGACTAAACAATATTTTCTTTTTCTGTGTGGCTTTGTCTGATCCATCGGAGCTTTCCAGCGTAGCTCTGTGTCACCTCAGCTGTACGCCGTACTCGACAACTGCCATCATGCGGTCCTGCAGATCTTGTTGGTGACGGTTGTGGCGGTAGATCTGGGACAGGGAGGCCGAATGCGAACGACGTTGACGAAGTGGTGCATGAACGGTTTCCAGGCAAGGGTCGAGGACTGCCGATCAGTCGTGGGGCACTCATCCCCGAGCCATGTCCGGATTGCCGTCGTCCCAAAGAGTGAGAGGCCGGAGATGAAACTTCGAGCCGTCCAAACTGGGGTCCCTCGAGGCCGGGTACCGTAGCATCTTGGCCATTGGATGTAGTCCGAAAGCAAAAGCAGGGCAAACGGCACCCGGCACAACAAGGAGGCGTCTACAAGTAGCCGAAGCGGGAGCCGATCTTTAGTCTTAAACCATCGGGGCTACTCGCACTCGCCTACCGCCTACCGCCTGCCGCGATGCGAGAGTATGTCATCGGTCTTGGGCGGTTTCTGGTGATGGTCTCCGAGGAAGCCAGGGCGCATCCTCTTGGTCAGCTCTTACATCTGACTCCCTGGTGCGCGCTAGGATAGGAGTGGCCAGAACTTCCCGAAAGTTCGGCCGCGGGCCAGGATGGAGCTGGTGGGCCCCACTGAAGCTTACAGGCCTTAGCGCATGGCACTTGGGATGGAGCATAGCGCAGCATCGAGCTCTAGCGCGCTAGATCCCAGCCAACTCCGAACCCCCTGTAACGCCACTTTTGGGGGGCTTGATGCGTGGGGCGTAAGGGACCCAATAGGGGCGCGCCAATCTTGGAGCTTGAAGACGACCCCCGGCTCTCTGCCCTGAACCAGCACCAAAGCAACGTCGACCCAGCATCATGGGCTGGCATCATGGGTTGGCATCACAGATCTGGCTCTGCATTTGACCGCTGTCAAACATGCCACACTGCATAGATCCAGCTTGTTCTGCCCTGCCTCGCTTCCTCTCGCCTCTCGGGATGATGCAGAAGCTTGGGCTTGTTGGGTGGGATTAATTACGACGTAGTAAGAGAATGATCGTCACGACCCAGCACTGTGGTCAGCCGCGTCTGACCTGCGGCATAATTACTCCGCAAGACCCGCGAGTATGGTTTTGTGGTAACACGGAAACCTCCATGACCACATGGAAATGTTGGGGCCTTTCCCCTGCCTACCTTGTACACTTCATCCGTTCTGATGGTTGCGACCGCTTTGCCGAAACGAAGTCTCAGCCCTCAAAACACCCAAAGATTGGGTTCGACGACCGCCTCAACGCATCTGTCCACCTTCCATTACTCCGTACGAACGCCAGAAACGGTGGAAGGGCCAGAGTCCAGACCAGGAGCGGGCCGCAATGACCTGAGCAGATCAGCCCTGTGCAGCGCCATCTGGGTATTGCAAGAGCTCGTTTTATGGGTTCATGGTACAGACTCGTGTCGAGGGCTTTCCGTTGGCTTCCTGCTTACCGCCAACGCGGGCCATGGCGTTGATCGAACAGACCAGTTGGCAAGTTGACATGCAGGAATGCGGGCGGTCACGATGTTGGCCCACGCAGTGCTGGTCCTCGGCCCCCAATTCCATGCTCTAGAACCAGTCTACTGGCGCAATACAGGGGCTCGTCCACGAGGAAACATGGCGATGTCTCGAGTCCAAACGCACGTGTGCATAGGCGACTAACTTCTTGCTGTCGAAATTGGCGAGTGCGAGTTCCACTTGGCGGCAGCAAAGGAATCTAGTGCAAATGGTCGACGGTATCAGGCTGCGAGCGTTTGCTCAGACGTGCCACGGGGACACGCGCATCAAGCGTCAATCATTGGAAGTTGTGAAGCATGCCGCCGCGACCATACCCTGTCGAACAGCCCTGAGCACAGACCGCACACATCAAGTACATGGTATCTTGAAGTCAATGCCAGGACGGGACTGGCCAGATCGAGAGAGTGGCTGTGATAGGATAGTCGCCTCTGCTGGACCTACCATGTCCTCTCGCTGTGGTACTGTTGATGGTGCTACCAGAAGTGCCTGAGCTGGTTAGTTAGGAAGCGGTCAAGCTCCCGACACCACTCAGTAGGTCGGCAAGAAGGCGACAGGGAAGTGATCATGCGACGATACTGCACAGTACATAATAGCGCCTTGCTCTCTGAACGTTGAGCGACTGTGGTCTGTGTGGCCTGTGTGTGTGAAGATTAGATAACAGGGCTTGAAGGGAGGAGAATGACTCGTCAATCCTCGACGATGAACCTGGAAGATTTCGAAGCCAGTCCGGGCGAACGACTCGCAATGGATTAGTGGCAATGTGTGAAGGTGTGCTCGGAGAAGGACGGCCAGTACTGGTGACTCGAAGGGAACTTGGCTAGCGTAGATATTGAGCAGCATTGGGACACTGGTTTCAGGTACTGGCGAGGTTCTAGCTACGTACCTGGGGAGATACCTGGCACTGGGGCACTGGTCAGGAACGTCCAGGTTCTGGTTTCCAGGATCTGGCTGATGGGGGAGGGGGAAGGGCAGGGAAGGGGCAGGACCGACTGGCCGGGAAACTGGGGCAGGTACACTTGTACTGCCTTGTGGGCAGATACGGCAAGGCGAATCAGCACCCTGAGCAATTGAACGTTTGAACTGCCCACCCGTGGCCGTACCTTCCCATCCAGGGGTACTCAGTTCCGGGGGGGAGGTACCTGCCGATGTCCACTGGAACCCACTCTCGTCCGCACTTGACCTAGCCTTCCAGGCCTCCCTCCCAGGATCCGCTTTTAGCAGCATTCCAACACTCCCACTCCCACGCCCAAGGCGGTGACTCTTCGCGGCATGTGTAACTCAACGGGCGTGTGAGATAGGTAGGCAGCCAAGCCGCCAGCGAAGCAGCAACGAAGCAACGGAGCAGCCAAGCCGCCAGAGAGCCAAGCCGCCAAGCCGCCAAACCAGGCGTGGCGGGTGTGGCACTCGGAATCTCGAGAGGGGGTAATGAGGTTGTAGGGATCGTTGGCGGGTACAGTACACACACAGAGGTCCAAGCTGGGGACACTGATACCGAAGCATTTTGCATTCTGGGGAGCCATTGCCAGCCGGGAGTCTGGTCCTGGTGGTCCGCCGACTTGGTTCGCCTTGGCAGGCCAGTACGAGGTTGCATAGGGGCCACGATGCATTGATGCCCTTGGGCGCGATGCGATTGTGCAGTGCGTTGAATGCTGACAGCTGACGCAAGGTGAATCTTTGAGACCCACGATATCATCGCCACCAAGCCAACAAATGTACGGAACTGCACAGAGCCACCAGGGCCGCCAGAATCAGGCCTTGGGTGCCTGCAAGGGCAATCTAGACGCAGAGCCACCACCCACCCACACGCTTGACACGACGCTCGATGAGGAGCGCACGAGTCCCGAGTCAACGAGTCCACGAGTCCCCACGAGTCCCCACGAGTCCCCGACAGCTAAGCCGAACCTGGGACGGACGCCCTCTGTGACCCCGGCCCTTGCTCTTGGGAAGAGGCTGAGACGGCCCACTGGGACAGGAACTGGGACCACCATGGGCGCGCTCTGCCTTTTGGTACCCAGCTGTCGGTACCGTCGCCAAAAGGCAAAAAAGCAACGGACGAACGGACTCAAAGGCCACCATTCTCTGCGACGAGCTGGACTGTCCACAGCTTATAGCCCGTGGCTTCGTGGCTTTCGGAGCTGTCCATGACCCGGCGTTTGGGGGCTCCAGACTCTATGGCTCCACGGATACCGACATGGTTACATGATGAACTACCAGAGGGCACTACCAGCGGGCTGTTTGGTTCATCGACCGTCGACCGTCGCGCGCTGGCTTCTCTGAATGCGACTTAGCCTCCCAGCCCAGGCCGCTCCACCCCCAAGACCGGGCGGCGTCAACGCCTACTCGTCTAGCGCAACGCCGTGGATGCCTTCATATTACCCGGCCTGCTCCCCCCCTGCTGCCCGCTCCCAGTCTCTTTCCTCCTCGTCCTTGACACTCAGTCTTACTCTCTTCATCAAAACGTCTGTGTCTGCCTCCCTTTCCCCTCGATTCATTTCTGAATCGGCTTCCACCACTCGCCCAACACACGCCTTTTCGCCCGATCATACCGTCGAACTCGTTTTTTCTATTCCATGGGCCGACTGGCGCCCGGCAATGTGCGAGGCTCACTCAAATGGGGGACAGGGTCACTCGCCCTCCAGGGCTTCCACGCATAATCACCAACATCTCAACCCGCAACCAACGCCCACAGCCACAACTAATATCGCCTCCTTGGACGATGCGTCTGCTTGCCCACCGGACCTCGCAGCCTGTATAACCTCGCCCATCTCGCCACCAACATCACCCCCGCCTTCATGTCTCAATCTCGAGTCTTTCCAACACCACCCCGTCGAAATGCTTGCCTACCGACTACGCAACCAGTCATTCATGCAGCAGAGCCTCAATTCGACACCAGCTCACATGAATCCTTCCGCAGCTCTGTCACCTGCTTCCATCTCCGACGACGACTTTCTGCCTCGGCGCGACTTCTCCTGTCATGACGATTCCATGGCCATGGAAATTGATGACGCCGAGGACGACCTGACAATACCTACTATCCCCAATCGTAATCAACGTCGAGGGTGTCGGAAAGGCTTAGGAATTATTGTTCCCAGTCCACCGTCGGAATCCCCCGGTTTTATTCAACCTTCACCTACCGCCATCAATCCTCCCGCAGATGTCAAGGCTCAAGCTCAGAGTACTAACCCAACATTGTATGGGCCATCTCTGGATCTGGTCTGCCCTGAGCTAGAAGTGGATGAGGGTTATTGCGAAGAAGAAGATGACTTCTCTTGGCTCGAGCCAATTGTTCACGTCAGAGATGTTTCCCCAAACGACACCAGTTCGCCAGCCGGTATTAGGAAACGATATGGGCTTCGATATAGGTCGTCTACTGAGGCTGCAACTCGGTGCAGCAATGCCGTTCACAGCGTCCCCCGAATGCGACGACGCGACAAAAGGCGTCGCCAGCAATCAAGGGTGTCTGACGTATCTACCGGCGAACGTGCAGTCAACGTAACTTGATGCCCCTCTGCGAAGTCGACTAATATGCTTTTTTTTTCTGTCAAAACACTGGACGGTGTACATATCAACGGTCCGTGGCACGGGTCTCGGCGCACACACGGCATAGGGGGAGGCTCAATGACCACTCTGGCGGCGTTATCACGGGACAAGAATTACTAGATGTTTTGCTTTTATACTGATGAGGCACACGCCATCTGGGACACGGGAATGACGGGGCTCTAGGAGCGGCAGTTTTTGGCGTTTGTTTCTCTTTTTTTCGGTGTTATTTCAACCACGGACCTGGGGTTTAACGGGTTGAACTCTTTTCACGGCATGCCATTTGATGGTCAAAGGCGTCAGTTTGGGTCAAATGATGACACCCTCGGATCTTGAGGGTTTCTTGGGTAACGGATGCGCAACATCTGGCTGTGCTTGGGGAACAGGACATGACGGGCACCATGGTTTGGATCCTCCAGGCAGGATCAGGGATCCGGAATGGACTGGCGCTGTATCGACCGGGAGAGGTCGGGAACACAGATTAGTGTGTATATAGGAGATACGTGCTCCCTTCGTGGTGCCACGCCATGAGCTATTCGTGAGCAAGGATAATGCAACGATTTAAGCCCTCATGCAAGGAAGTCCTTGAGCAGTCCCGAGTGATGGTTACTACGAAGGCTGGCGCAGGAAGTTCGACAACTTCCGAAGATAACGTACGAGCCGTACAGTGTAGCGCAGTGCATGGGTGACTGCTCTGTTCCTTGCATCGTTCCATCTCTCCTCTCTCTCTCCCTTGTCCACCGTCGGCGGGCACCTCAAGCTCAAAGCGGACCCTCCGAGTATCCGGGCCCGGATCGCTTCTCGTCTGCCGAAGCGCCCCGCTCGCCTTCGCGGGCCGACCAAGCCAGTCGTCTTGGCGGGCAAGGATTTGGGTTTAATGACGATTGATTGTTCGTGTCTCAGGCCAAGAATGAGCATTGCCGCATCAACAGCCGGGATTGTAGATTGATTACTATAGTGAGAGTGAGAGTGAGAGTAAGAATAAGTCATAGTGAGCGAAGTGTGTGTGTGAGAACGAGAGGGGCTGCGGCTTTCCGAGGCGACGGGGATCTGCACCTCCAATGACATGCATGGACAGACTGACCTGCATGCATGCGTGGGTAACATGGGTCTGGATGTACTCCGTATACGTACGAGAAAAATCCACAAACACGCACAATGGACAATGGCCTCGACTTCGCTCCCCACTTGGAGAGGAATTGAATCTCGACCTCATCCTCTTGGCAGGCATGGGTTATGCTGACCTGTGCGGACGTTGGCGTGTCGCAATTCTCTCACCTCCATTTGACGAGCATGGCTTCACGTTGGATGTAATTCACCCTCGCACAGCATGAGAAATGCCACACAGAGCAGCCACACTATTATATGGGAAAGTGTACTTTAAGCTAACAGCAGCTAAAACCTCACTTTCCTGAGAACTAAACTTGGGTGTATCCCCTAAGGACTAAATAAAAAGCAGGGACGAGGCCGGCTTCAACGGTTGAGGAATTAAGCGTGACGAGATGACGGCAAACGAATGAATGGGAATGAATGAATGAATAAATGAATGAATGGGTGAATGGGTGAATGGGTGAAACATGCCGTCGACACTCGCGTGTTCCGCCACCAACACCAACACCAACACCAACACCTATACGCACGCTTTTCTCGGCGGCTTCCAGCTTCTCGGCGGCTTCTCAGCTTCTGCATTATCAACTTACCCTCTCGCATGGCTTTGGCCTTGCACATCGCCCCCCACAAATGCCTATTGGCAGAACGTCCGGCCTGGCCCGGTCTGGCCGCGGCGGCTCCGCAAAGCGCAGCGTCGAGGCGTCATCTCGACTCCGGCCCAGCCCATGTATTATTTGTCGCCCGCCGGTGAAGGGTAAAGGTAAAAAGAAGGAGAAAACGGGCAAGGATTCGCAGGATTCGCAGGCGGCAAAAGAGGCGAAAGCTGGGCGTCTTTGTGCATGTCCTCGTTGCTCCATCGCCCAGCCTCGCCCGGTTGTGAGTTTGCGAGTCTGGCTGGAATGCTCGTCCATAGCCCGGTGCATTCCTCCCGCGGGCGACGCCCAACTCTGCTCCCATGTCCGGTCCTCTCGTCAGGCCTGATAAATCACCTCACGGCAACGGTTGCTGCGCTGGGCCACATACGTAGCTCTGTTCCAGCCCGCCTGGTGGTTTCGTGTCTCGCCGGTTGCTGGTGTTTTGTTGTTGTCCATCGCCCGCCGCCGCCAGAGCCGTTTACTTCGACCTCGGATTCCCACTCGGCCATCCTCGTCCTTGTCGGCCGCGGTCCAGTTTTCTGTTGCTGTCCAGCTCGAAACTCTACTTCGCTTCCTCTTGCTTTCCTCCTCATGCCATCGTCGTAGCCATCGACTCAGCCAACCATCCTCCTCGCTGAACCGCGGCGACACTGCGTGAAAGCCGGCTCCTCTGGACCAACCGTTCTCACCAAACGACTCAGCCCGTATACAATCACCATGGCCTCCTGGACGCTGCCATATCGGCACGAGGCCGTGGACCGCGATCCGGGCTTCTGCTGGCAAGATCTCGACGACGGTCCCACCGACGGCTCCAACGACTTCTTCGGCCAGTTCATCAACTTCGACGCCGACATGGGCTCGTCCATGGCCAACCTCCATAGAAACGACCCTTCTCTGCCCACCATGCCCGACCCGCTCATGCTCGACCGGCCCTCCGAGTCGACTGCCTCGTCCGGCGTGTCCACGGCCGGTGATGAATTCGACTTCTTCTCGAGCAGCTCCCACGCCGGCCCCGTCATGTCCGGCGCGTCCATCGGTCCCCAGACTCACGAGGTCGATCCTCAATATCTCGCCATCGGTGGCGAGGACATGGCTGGAAGGGTGCCTCGGCCCTCCATGTCCGACCCGGAGCTGCCCCGTCTCGAAGGCATCTCGCTCCACTCGCCCACCAAGCGCAGGCACATCTCCCAGCCGTCGTCTCCGACACCTCCCAGCACAGTTACCGCCCGCAAGCCCAACAAGTTTGTCGAGGCCCTCTCATCCACGTTCCGCAGGGCTGGCAAGTTCGCCAGGAGCCGGAAGCCTCCCGCCATTGCCGTGGACCGTCCGGGCTCTCCAACTATGGAGAACCCGCCCATGGCTTTGAGGATGCAGGCATACGAGTACGGGAATGCCAACGCGGGGTCTCCTCCGTCGCCTACTACAATCCCGGATCACGGAACCTTCGTCCACGGGTACTGTGACGACCCTTTCGGCGAAATTTCACAGCCCCCGTCCGCCACTTCGCTTCATTTCTTCCACGGCAACGGGATACACACTCCTGACGAGTCTCCCATCGTTGCCTCCGATCCAGGGAGTTATCGATCTGACATCGGGACCCAAGGGGACCCAAACAACTGGCCTCTCCCAGCAAATCCGCAACCTCAACAGCACGAACGACAACAAATGCCTCCTCAGCAAATGCTTCAGCAACAGCAGCAGGTTATTTCTGCAGGTGGGCCACCACCCGAGTCGTGGCCCGGCACCGAATACATGGCTCACCAGCAGGGCGCCGGCTGGTGGGATCTCAACCTCCTGAGCCAGAACGGCGAGTATATCATGGACCCGCAACAGCAGCAGCAGAAGCACGCAAACCTCAACATGGCCATGCATGCGCAGCACGCCGAGCTTCCTTACGAGTACCAGGCGGGGCCGGAGACAGGCCCCGGAGGTCTCATGATCCACATGCCCCAGCCGCGCGGCATGCCCCCGGCCGTCATCAACGACCTCTCCGTCTCGGGCCCGACGTATCTCCCGCCGCCGCCGCCGCTCCCTCCGGCCGTCCCCGGCTCCGACCGCCAGCACCGTCCCCCACGAGCCCCGTCGTCCGGCGCGCGACACCTCTCCTGCTCGCCGATCCGCAAGACCCGCGCCCCCTCGGCGTCGCCCCAGCCGGCGCACTCGCGCCACAGCTCCGGCGGGTCAATAGGGTCGACGCGCAGCGCGTCCGGGCGAGGCATGGTGCCCGGCACGCCGACGACGATACGCAAGCAGCGGCGGTCACGGGAGCCGAGCGGGAGCAGCGCCGGCGGCGGAGAAATCGGCTTCGTCAACTTCACGCCCAGCGACGGCGGCATGCTGATGACGGGCGTGGCGCCCAGCGGGAGCTCCAAGACCAAGGCGCGGCGGGAGCGTGAGGCCATGGAGCGACGGCGACGGCTGAGTGAAGCAGCCCTGAAAGCTGTGCAGGCGGCTGGCGGCGATGTCGACCAGTTGATGCAGCAGGGCTTCGCCCTCTAGGGAGCGCCGCCATGCCAATCGCCGGTCCACCCATTAATGTACTGAAACAAACAAACCTAGGCGTTCAGAAACGATCCACTGCTCGAACGACTTCTCTCGGGTCTTGCGTTGTGTTGTGTTGCGGAAGCGTGAAGGAGTCAAGCTCGGACAGCTTTCGCGGCGTTGTATCTTCACATCTCAACCCCTCCTTACTCCTTATTTGCCCCTTTTCCACCGAGGCCATCTCAGCCCACCTACTTGCCTTCTTCGACTTTTCCTATGTTTGCATCCTTTCAGCGGGATACAGAAAACACAGCTCACCGAGCACCATTCTCTTTTCCTCTTTTTCTTTTTCTTTTTCATTTTCATTTTCATTTTCATTTTCATTTTCATTTTCTTTCTGTCTTTTTCTCCAGATACCTTCTTGTACGAATATTTATATCCCCCACCAGACTATCCGGTTTTTGGTTTTCCTTTGTCGATTGCTCGCTCTACTTGTCGGAAATCGGATGATTGATGGAGCAATACTGTATGTGTAAGATGGACGCATTTGTGTAGGACATTTCGTTGTTGGAGAAAAGAGGTAACGGGACGGGGCAGAAGCAGAATACGTGCTCGCTGGCCTTCGGTAGTAGCTTCGCTCGTTGGTAATAGGAATTGGTAATGGGGTTATGCGTTGTGAGGTGTAAGATAGCTCTTATAGGGGCATCCAAATGGGCATCCAAATCATGGATAGATCTGCCTTCTTGATAGATATAGTCGCCTCTGCGACATCTCAATAACAGACCAAGCTTATCTCTTGACATGTAGTCCATTCATGCATGATGCAATATTTTTTTCAACGCACGCTTCGTAGTTTCATCGGATTAGTATGCGACTCCTGTCACCTCCAAATGAAAGATTTGTAAAGTAAATAGTTTTGATTGGGTAAGGTGGTATTCTCAGCTATTTCTCTTATCTTGGTTCACGGCCATTTCTTGGCCGTGTCTTCCCATATTCATCTTGGCTAGACTTCCAAGCCAAACCCAGCCCAGCTGTATGAAAATGTCCCTCCATTCCCTTTACTTTCCCACTATGATTTATATATACACAAAGCAAAAAAAATCGCAGTAGAGCACAGGGGTTCGATATACGCCAACGCCAAGTCTTGTCGCAGACGCCGTCGTCATGCTTTCGATATAAAAAGCCAACCAGAAAAAAAGAGAGCCGTGTCTCGGTATGGTCTTGCTGACAGTCGGGGGTCGCTTCGATTAGCAATGCTATGCCCGAGGTTGCCCTCAAAATGGGTGATATCCCAAAATGCTACAGTCCACCCAAACTGCGTCAATCCCAAAAAAGAACTGAATTTGATGCAAACTCGGCTCCGGCGGAGGCCGAAGTAGATGTGGAACTCATCAGGATATGCGACCAGGACGAAAGTATCTTCAAATCAATTCGTTTAGTGGTCATAACCCGCACCGCGTTGCCAGGGACTATCAGATCGGGTTAGTATGTGTATCCTCGTGGTCAGTATTAACCAGTGTAACTTACCTAGCATTGTTCTGTGTGCGGAATGTAGCAGGACTCTCGTTGTGCTGCTGTCGTTGCTGCTGCTGCTGCTGGCCGAGTGGCGATCCCGAATTTTGGTAGGGGCTCGGGGAAGCGGTGCGGAAGGGACTCGCTGGTCGTTGCCCATCGGCCGGGAAGAGGGGCATCGATGGGTTGATGGGAGATCGCGGTGGGTTGTCGCGGAACGAAGTCTGCGAGTGGTTGTTCATCTCAGCCCGCCTCCGCATGCTGTCGGAAGACAGGGAATCATCGTCATCGAGATCTAGGTGAGTCTTGTAGCCACCCTTGTCACCTCGGGCCGTGGCAGCCAAGGCATCCAGCTCAGTGGTAGTGTTGAGCTGAGTTTGGGACTTCATAAACGACGCACGGTCATCAGCCATGAACTGGTACCGCGCGTCAGGATTCTTTCGGAAGAAGACAAAAGACGTTGACACGATGACCATGATGAGGAGGATGAGCGAGAAGGCGGCATTCAGAATAAAGAGAACGACACCCACAACACCCACGACGAGCTTAGGTGCGCCGAAGACGTTGGAGAAGACAAGAAGGAAAATGGCGTTGATGAAGTTGACAGCGCAAATAGCAATGTTGAAAGAGTTAGTGCTCTTGTCCATCCAGGGTCGGAGAACTGAGGCGCCGATCAGAGCACCCGCTTCAATAATAATGAAGCCAATGGCCTGGGCAACCGAGGCGGCTTGGGAGAAAGCCACGAAGCACGCCTTGACAAGGGTGTAGCAGAGGACGGGCACAATGAAGTAGTAGGCCGAGGCCCGGAACTGGACGTAAAGGAATCCCCACTTGTTGAGCGCCTGGGGGTCAGAGAAGAGGATGTAGGCAGGGTTACGGTGCATGGCGACCGAGCGGCGAGCGATGCGGATGACTTTGAAAGCTCCCCATCCGAGAGTAGCGAGCATGCCAAAGAAGAAGAAGACAGCGAGCACAACTTCGGCCGCCGAGTCAACCTGGGTGAACTCCCACAAACAGAGAATAGCCATTTGAGGGAAACCGATCAGGGTCAGGCGGAACAAGATACCCTTCAGGACGGTGAGCCATCCGTTGCGAAACTCGAGGAACTTGTCACTTGTCATCATCTTCTGCTTGACGAGAAGCTCGCAAATGCCCTTGAATGCGGAAATGACGATGATCGTGATGACGACAACGGTACAGAAGAACGTCAGGCCCGTCATGAACAGATTTGTCGTTTCAATCTCGGCCTTGAAGGCAACGCGCTGAATGCCGTAAACGATGTAACTGCCAGTTTCGGTCTGGATGTTACTACGTCGAAGAACCTCGTGAACTGCCCGAGGCATCATCGCCGCGCCACGCTTAAACAAGTCGAGACTCGCATTAGCAAGCTGGAGGCCTCTCTTTTCAACCTGAACTGAGACGGTAGTGAGGGAGTCAAAAAGCGTGGAGGGTGTGCCGCCCGTTGCTCGCTGGTACCAGGTAAAGATGCTCTGCATAAAACCGACGCGTATAATACCCATGGACCACTGGAAGTTCTGGGTCCACGCCGAGACGATGGGAGGGAGGCCTACGCTAGTAAGACCGATAATAGCCTGAGCCTGAAAGTAGCCGAAGAGAGCGAGCGAGTTGGAGGCAACGTGAGCGGCAGTATTGGAGTGGCCGAGTCCGGAAACGACAGCGGAAGCGATGAGACCGAGGCCGGCGATACAGGCGGTGGCCCATTTAACGCCAATGAGATCGACAGTCTTTCCGTTGGAAATGTTGGCCTCGACACAAGCAACACTCTCGCCAGTGCTGGTCAAGTTGACGTAGACGCGGATGCTAGCATCCAAATCTGGAACGCTGTAGGCAATTCCGGGAATGTTTTTCAGGGCATCGTCGCCAATGGGGAGGTTGAACTTGAAGGGGATCTTTCCAGCAACCATGGGGCAGAGACCAGCGAGTCCCATGTCACAAGGGTCGACCTCGCTTCGCAAGAATTGATAACCATAAGCGGAAGCTCTGACGTCGAAGACAACCTTGCCCTGAATAGAGGAAGTGACGACAACGTTAACCTCAGCGGAGCCGTTGTTGGGGGTGAAGATGACGTTGAACAGACTGCAGTAAAGCCGGAGTCGGCCTGACAACTGTTCAGCGAGTCGGAGGTGAGCATCCTTTCAGCCGCGACCGGTGTCATCAGCGCGGCCATCGATGACAGCACCACCAGGGGCTGCTTTAATACGGACCACATCATGGCGATGGGTTCTGGCGTTTGCTCGATAAGATTTTAATCAGGAGAGAAGGCGGTTCCTCAGGTGGGAGGGCGGTCCTGCGAAGCGCTCGTGACAATTGACGGCGGATTGTCGTCAATCACGGCGCGGTCGAAAACGGCTCGTTCGGAAATCAGAGAATAAATCTCCTTTCCTTTTTCAGACAGGTGGTCGAAGCGATTCGGAGGCAGCGTTCAGGCGCAGATCGAGAGCGACGGGTTTGAATGGCGAGGACCGGCAGCGGCGGATTTGCGTTTTCAGGAGTCGTGACGTGGTTGACTGTGCCAAGGCGTAAAACGAGGGGAATCCGTGGAAGCGACAGAAAAAAAAAGAATTACGAAAGTCGAAAATGAAGAAGATAGGTTAGCGAACGTTTCGAGGCGAGATCCTCTCCGCGACGAGGCGTGGCTTCGGGCGGCAGCGGCTTCGTCGTCGATGGTTTGTTGATCGTGGTCGCGGGCGAAGGACGGATTTGTGTGGGGTGAGGCGAGGTGAGGGAGGAAAGAATGAACGACGGACACAGGTTTGGGAAGGAAGGAGGATGGACCGAAAGGGAGTGGCGGAAGGGGCCAGGAACCTTGCACGTCCGACAAAGCGCGTATACGTCTGGTCGGTAATGTAGGAGGGAGGTACCCAGCAGTAATTACTCCCTTGTAGGTGTACTTGGTGCTAGGGGGGGAGGGAGGAGCGGCCTGGATTGGCTTGGCTGAGAGCGGACGTTAGCTTGGCTGAGTCTACAGTGCAAAAGGCATTGAGACAGGGGAATCATGGGGGGGATTGGGCCAGGGAGAGACAGTGAGACTTTTGGGCGGAAAAGCAGGTTATGGCACGGTAAGGTACCTAGCGGTCGGGCGGTACCTAAGGTAGGCGTTGATGGTGGCCAGCCAGCCTCTCGCGCTCCCTCTACGCCAGCCAGTCAGCAGAGCTAGCCACTGAGCGGAATGGCCACGGCGGCGCAAATTACGCAACACCGCTGGCAACCCAGAACGCCAAGGGCCGCAAGTATCCAGCGGTACTGTGTCTTGGGCAAGCTTGGACCACGCGCGGTAGCGTCGAGATCCGCAGGCTGTGCAGTACCTGGAATGCAGGCGCGGGGCCCGACCATTCCCAAGTCAACAGGCCCGTCGCTGGGGACAGCATGGATTGCGATCTCGTATCCGTCCTAACAGAGGTACCTCTGCTCTACCTGTCAAACCCTCGTTTCCCCTGGATGTCTGTTCGGGCTGTGCTGGACTGGACTGCTTGGCTGGGAGAGCGCGTACTCACACGTGTGTACTACGTACGTATGTCCGACGACGGGTCTGTCTTTTCTCGTCTTGGCTGTGGTGGCGCCTTACTCTACAGAGACTTGAGCCTGGAGGCTTTGCGGCGCATGTCCAGCGATCCTGTCGTAAAGCTCCATCGCCGCTTAGGAAGCGCGGCGACACGATGCGATACGATGCGGCACGATACGACACGGGGTCGGCGACAAGCGATCCGGCGACCAGCGAGACGACAAGCCCGTCATCCACGCGACACCAGCCGTCGGCCGTGTGGGTGCGACATTGCTTGTTTGGGCTTTTCCGGTGTATTACCTTGGATCTGACTTCATGCACCCTGCACACCCACATCACCAAGTTTGCCGTGGTCCTGTTTCTCCAGCGCAGGAAATCACCAGCGCAGTAAAGCAAAACAAGCCGTCGTATCCAAGCGCCTCTCTTGGCTTGCTCGACGGAACGAACCCTTTGATGACCGCCCGTCGCAAGCGGGGTGCCCAGGCCGAACCAAGCCTCACACGCATACGTATTTCCATGGACCGACTTCGTACTTCGTGCAGCAAAACGACAGTCACTCGTCACCACCACCGAGACGGTCTCTTGTTAATTTACGGGAGACCCAGCACCGCAGGCCAGCAACCCACTCCCCAAACCCCCCAGACAAGACGAGAGCGAGCTGGAGGCTTGCACAGCCCCCCTTGGTGGTCTTGGTGGTGCTGCCGAACCCCGATACGTCACACGACCCCTGCTCGCATAGCTTCTTTGTCGCACCCTTCCGCGACCCCGTGGCCCCGAATGCCCTTTGCGGCGCTCGCTCTGCGATAAAGGCACTGCAAAGGCCAAGCCAACTGGTCCATCCATCCCGTCTCGTACCTTACATATGTAGAGTGTGAGATGCTCTTACATGGCGCATCCTGAAACGGGGACGTGATTATTAGGGACGAACCACGACGAGTCGGTCAGAGCAGAATTCGACTTTTCGTATTGCCTTCGTATGGCCTTCGCGTGCGGCCTCGTATCTAATACACGCTGACAGGCTGCCACGCCGCCACTCAACGAGTGAGCACTGCGCTGCATCCCGGGCTGGCGCATGTTACCCATCGGCATGTCCGCCGAGGTATTTGTTGCTCGTAAACAAGAGAGAAGAGAGGGCGGGAATGCAAACCCATCTCACCTCGACGTCACGCACATCGGTCCACCACCATCTTTTTCGTACAATCCTACAACAGATGCACCTCCCTACAATGAAGAATCAATTCATCAATCAACCGCCAACGAGAGTCCCCAGCTGGTAGAATCTCCGTTTCAACGCAACATGCTGGCAGCCAGGGTTCATCCATGTCGCGCACGACCAGGGACTAAGTACCTACTACGTAGTAAGCATCTGGGGCCCAAAAAGCGCCTCTTCTAACTGGCCTCTCCGTACCTGATTGTGGCGGCGGGCTGCGAGGAGGTACTTTCCGGTGCTGTCAGTCAGAAGTCGGTCATCAGCAAAGTCAGGCTTGGTTTCGGTCTCCATCACGGTCTGATATATATATTTTTGGCTTCTCATGATTGCCTCTTGTTCGTATAGCCTCAGCTCCTCTCTCCATGGCTATTTCTGTCATCTCTTCCCATTCCCGAACAAAACCGTACCCACCACCGACAGGTATTCTTCATACCCATGCCCACCCAAGCCGCCTCTGGCTGCAGGGGCTTCTCGCGCATGGCATTCCCGTGGATCCCGTCCTTTCATCCTGATACCATCAGTGTGGAACCAAAAGTGTGGAATGCATGGAGAGAGAAATTGGGTCTCAGGAGGCCCAAGGGAACCAACACTCCTCCAATCCGAGCCTGCTCACCGTTTGAGGCCTCCATCAATCCATGTGTAAGTAAGTAGTTGATATGTCCACCAAAAACGTCATCGCAAACAAAGCACTGTCTCCACGGTGAAAACCCATCATCCACCTCTCCTTTGACGCGCAACACTGAACCCACTTGGTTGTCACTGTGTGCTCCACGATCGGCACAGAGCGCGGTCGGCTGGCATCCCGCTCCGCGCAAGATCATCGCCATGCGTTCCTCCCCTTGATTTCGGCCCCAGTACGACCCGCGTCCCATCGGCTGTTTCGCCATTCCCATCCTCGTCCCCATTGGACACCTCAGATCGCCCGGTTTTGAGACAGTGTGAAGGCCTAGTATCTACCGAGCCCGTCGGCCTTCGGGTGCGTTTCACAAAACTACGGGGAAGCTAAGCTTTTGCTGTGCACAATCTTAAACAAGCCCTATACCTTTTGCACAGTTCAATTCCAAACCTCTAGATAAAGTGCATGCCCAATCCATGAATCGTAAAAGAATCTATCTAAATATAGCCATGCCCAGATCCCAAAATTAACCAGTTTACCGTGCAACATTGCATGTGCCCAAAAATATTCCCATATGTAGTCGGCCAACCCCGACATTGAGTCATGGCGTGAAGCCGCCTCTCTCATAACATGCATCAAATACAGCCTCAACTACAACACATCCCATTGGGTCTCCCAGGGCTTGGTGCCATCAATGTAGTTGATGCCGTGTTTGTAGGAGCTGGTGAGCTCCTCCTGGTCCACACCACAATGTGTCTGTCCATCACGGCCCTTAAACCAACCCAGACCGTACGTCTTGCCATCGTCTAGTTTCTTCACCATCTGGGCGTTGTTGAGTTTGGCCGTTCCCACAAAGTTGTACAACATCTTGCTCTGGTGGATAAAGGCGAGAATCGATGCAATCGTGTTGGGTTGTCGAGGTAGGAAGGCATGGCGTCGTCGGAAGAAGACGATGCTTGCCACGACCATCATATAGGACAGCACGAAGAGTGTAAGCCCAAGGGAGATATAAAATGACAGCACCGTCTCCTGGCCGGAGTTGACCAGTTTTTGTTTTTCTGCCGATTCACTGTCGCTATGCGTGCCGAAGCTAATGATGAAATCCTGTCCTTCCACAGTTGCCAAACTGGTCACCATGATGGTCAAAAACTCGGCCATCACAGTACCAAATCCGACAAAGAAGACAAGTATATGGCCATTCATAAGGGCGCGGATAGGCATGTATCCGAACGGAAGAGCCGTGTAATCGAGTGTGAGGGTTTTCGAGGGCGCGTGTCGCTTCGAGAGGATGTAATATGGCTCCATGACGCGGACTGCTGTCTCCATGGCTCCCCAACTCATCTTAAGAATAACGGCCAGCGCTGTCACGGCCCAAGCAGCGTGTTCAGTAATGCTGCTCGCCTGGGTGAAGAGGAAGGTCGGGATGAAACCGGCAAAGAGAAACAGTCCAACTATGAATGGGATGCTCCCCAGTGCACGAAGCGCCAGGGGGTGTGGGTTCTCGGAGAGGTGAGTGCTATCATCCTCTTCGCGATCCTGCAACTTAGCGCTACCTCCATCGTAAGGTGCAAGAGAGTTGTTCCGCAGCATGTAACGGCGTCGTTTAAGTTTATGGTGGATATCCTTGTGCTTGGCTGTATCCATGTCTTTGAAGTCCATCAAGATATGGGCCACGACGGCCATGGAAGCAAGACCGGCAATGCCCCTCACATCACCCTGGAGACCGGATCGCCTTCTTTGCAGCACATAGAACAGGCAACAGCTAAGCACGGCGCAGAGAGCCAGAGTGGAGGTCAAGAGTCGGGACCAGGTTGCCGCGATATAGATTTCCTTGTCGTGTTCCGGGTGCTTCATCCGCTCTGCTCGGCTCGGGTTTAGGACAACGGATGCAGCGGCGAATGTCGGGACCAGGGAGACGGCCAGCGTCGAAGCAATAGATGATAGGGCGACAGCATAGTGACCCAGCTTGAGGGCATGGAACGGTCGGAAGAAACTGATACTCGTAACGTAGTCAACATTGATTGACTTGGAGGCCAGAGCGCCCTCCTGCTTTGATAGTTGATAGTAAGCTTCCAAACGACGGACTTCAAAATCGGTAAATTGCCAGAAGATGCCATACGAGACGGCACATAAGGTAGGTAAGAACTTGACCATGAAGTACAGACTCGGTTCCACGTCGTCAGGCGACTTGAACTTTATTATGGGATCGTGCTTGTACTTTTGGTATAGCACCTCCTGTGTGACTGCCAAGAGAATTGAGAGTATGACCAGCCACAACAAATATGGCCACTTCATCGACAAAGGTTTCCAGTTGGGTTGTGGGTAAAAGATTTCAGTCTTAGCCTCCTTGGAAGGATACGATGAGCGCCGCATATCGTTGACAGACATGGTACTCGGTCCCTCCATACTGCTCAGATCGGTGGCGGATGAATCTAAAATCACTTCGATGACTTCGCCTCGTCGGTTGGCTTCGTCTTGTCCCATATGCCGAATCGTCTCATGGCGCCCCAGGCGCTTGGCGGGGTTTCGTCGCGTGAACGATCTCGACAGGTTATTCTGGCCATGCATAGGAGAAGACAGGAGATCGGCGTCTCGAACTATAGCCTCAGGCTGAAACCCCATGCCGAGACCTCCAGTCAGCTTTCCCTTGGCCTCCTCTTCCTCGAGCTTTCTGAGAAAGTCCGCATCTTGGGCGGTGGTGGGGCCTAGTGCCGCGGTTAGGTCGAATCCGGCGAAATCATCATCTTCCTCCTCGACAATGGGTGCGTATTGAGACGATTTTCCTGTTGGGGTGGTTCTCATTGGCGTGGTTCCCATTGGAGCAGCAGTCGAAAGGAGTGAGAGGTCATATTCCTCTTCGTCAATGGTGTCATGGGCCGGGTGCCTCAAGCTAGGCATGCGATTTCCTCGAGAAGGGCGCCGCGAGGGCGGACCACTGGATCCTGATACGGGCGCGTAGCTTGCTCCAGCTCCATTGGAATAGGCAAATGAACCCGACCACGACGAGCCCCCGGACAAGTAATCGTTGCCGCCATACTGGGGATCCGGACTGGCGGGACCACCAGCATAAGAATCAAGAGAAACCATGGATTCCCGGCCGTGCAAAGGAGGCCGACCAGTGGAGTAATCATATTGAGTTTCATGCGCGTCGGGATCAACCGTCATGGCAGAAACGCGATGGTGGAGGGGCTGCTGGGGAAGCGGCATTCGCGAAGGTGCCGGGGCATTGTTGGTAGCATCGCCCGGATGAAAGGGCTCAGAGGCATCATAGTATCCGAAGGGCTGTCCGCCCGAGTCATCACGGTAGGCCATGGCGCGAGCCGCCGATCATGACGAAGACAATCGAAGGCAGCGGTTCTGCCGGGGCTGGCGATGCAGCGTCGAGAGTCGAGCGCGAGTTGCTGAGGGTGTTGGTGAGAGCGGTGGTGGGGCCAGCGACTGGGGCGTGAGTGATGCGAGAGCGGTAGCGAGTGCGGTAGCGAGCGGACCAGCGAGCGAGGGACGGATTGCGAAGCGATTGCGATCAGTGTTGCAGACGGGCAGCAGCGCAACAGTGCAAGAGTGCAAGAGAAACGAACGACGGGACGAGCGAGGGACGAAAGACGAGGGACTAAGGTTGGCGGAGGTTGGCGTGGAAGATGGAGCTGGAGCGAGCAGATGGAATTTCCCCATCCAGCCCATGTCAGCCCGGATCCTGTTTCTTGCTCTAGGCTAGGACCTGCCATAGTAAGGCTGGAGCCGCTTTCCGGGGGTCCCCGCCAGCGCTCAACAACAGACCAACAGTGGCGGAACAGCAGTGCATGCGCAGCTCCAGGCTTGAGCCGGTCGGCTTCCCAAGGTCCTGCGGGCTCTTCAGGCTCTCCATGCTCTCCATGCTCTCCAGGGCTCTCTCCTCTCCAGGCAGTTTAGGCAGCCCATGGCGCTGGGGCATACCGATCACATTATGCCGGACCTAGGTATGGACGGGATCTAGGCCTCTCCAAGGTCTGAGGGGCTTACCGATAGTGCGCCGCCCCCTAAAGCCCCGTCCCAGCAACCCCACCAGCGACGCTTCGCAGGCCTTTAAGTGGCCGCCCGGTATTGTAGGGCTGGCTGCGCGGCCACGCGTAGTCTCCACTCGCGATTCGAAACAGTCCTAAAGATGTATTTGCGAGACTTAGATGTACTGCGCAGTATGGAGCGCCGTGGTGTTGTAGTGCTGTGATGCTTAAACCAGGGGCTGGGCCATCGCTGGCAATCGGCGAGCGGCCTCCCAGGACAGACACAGACCCCGCGTCTTCAGTGCGTGCAGGTGCAGCTTCGTTCAGGGCTTACCGCCCCCACAGTCCTTGATGGCGTCCTTAGCTGCTGCATTTCCTCCTTGCCCGGGACTCAGGGGCGCTGCCGGCGCAGGTTCGCTGGCGTTTGGGCGCGCTAGTAGGGCTGGTGGCGGAGGGTTGCTTCGATGATGGGACAGGAGCACAGTGCCGTCCAGGGGGGTCATGTTCTGTGGTTGCAGTGCGTCCACTCGGTCGATGCTGGGTGAGAGACAACGAATGATAGACGGCGGGCGACTGAAGACGACAATGCAGCCAGCAGCCAGCACAGCAGCCAATATCCACTGTGGACTGTGGTGGGGGGCGTAAATGCTGATTCCAAGCGCCTGGCAAAGTGTACAAAGTCATCCGCGGATCCAGACTTCCAGTCAAACGGACAGATGACCATTCCGGGACAGCCCTATGCTGCTTGTGGCCAGCCGCCTACCGCGGCCAATGGCAACAGGCTTTCGCACAGCTGGACTGATTAGGGTTGCAGGGTCCTAGGGGCCCAATCGCGTGAGGATGTGTGCTGGAGCTGACTCTCTCCCTGAATCTGCGTCGACTAGTCGGTACCTACGTCAACTTTCCGCGCTTTACTGGACCACACACGGCAGAGTGCCGGGTAGGCCGCCCCCAACAATCCCCAGTTGACGCCGCCGTCTAATTATAGCACCCCAGGCTGTCGCGCATCACAAGAAATGCCGTTATTAGGTGACACCGCCATTATTAACTTTACCAGAACGCCAACCCAACCCCTTGCATTGTGCTGCTTTCCGATAATCATGGGAAGGAGGAAACAAAGGGAGTTTGCAGGTAACATGAGTATAATGTAGTCTAAGACGCGTACCGCTACCACATGAATGATTGATCATGCACCCATAGCAAATGATCAAACTGAGGTGGGTTACCTGCATGCAAGCCGGAACTCCAAAATCGATAGTTGCTCTCTGATGGAGTGTCGCTGTGTCTCAACATTGGATCAGCTGGCTCATGGTCACCCTTCCTTTCATCCCGATCCGGTTGGAGGTGGTTGATTGGTACGTGAAGACGTTGCTAACTATTGGTATCTGTACGTACTTCTTTGCTATTTGCACGCGAGTATATACCTTGATCCTACAGATACGTACTACCTAAGACAGCATTTTAGAAAAACAATTGATGAGGCGAAGTCTAGGCACCTATTCCCTATTAAAAGGTTTATTTATCTTTTGGGGTTTTTTCTTTAATTCATTAAATGACAACTCTGGGCCTCTGCCCCGTACGTGTACAATGGGGTAGGTACAAAGATTAAACTGCAACTTCTGTGAAAGGATTTGTATGCGTGTGCAAATAGCAATGTGTACGTGCGAATTCATGTTGGATACCCTATACCACACATCAAGCGACTACAAGGAGACTATCCAGCGTGCCCCGAGTTCCTTGATCGCTAAATGATGATAAAAAAAAAATACACAATTTATCACATCCATCGGAATACGGTAACGGACTCTGCAGGTAGTTGCGACACAGGGTGTGATGGACAAATCTGACACCATATCCGCTTTCACCAACCTCACGATCCTGTAGCACCCAAACGATATTTAACAAGATATCAATTCAACAAGGCTGACAAGCCTCGAACATTATCTGTATTCAACGTGTAACCCAAACAACTCCAAGTCTCATGTTGAGTAGATCTTAACCTAGACCCAAACATATGCATTGCCATGTCTATCCCAAAGAAACACTTCGCTCCTGCACAATGGACATCCCAAACAAGTCTTTCATCAAATACGGACCCCGGCCAAACATGGCCAATTAGAGCAGGAGATAAGACGACAACATGGCGGTCACCAGGACGACCAGTGACGCCGACTGTCCCGACTGGAGTTGGGGAGCCGCGCTGGCGATGCCACAGCAGCTGCTGCGGTTGTACGTGACATTGTTCATCTGCGCCGCCACCTCAAAGACGGATCCTGGGAATCCGCCGTAGTTGTAGTAGTCCACGTTCAGGAAGTTGGGCGCCCGGCCCCAGTCGGTCCGGCAGTTGTTGGCCGACAAGCCCAGGCTGCCGTAGCCGGTAACGTTGTTGGTCTCGTTGAGCAGTGACACGGCTGGGACCAGCAGCTCGGTGCCGAAGACGTTGAACTCGGCGTTGAGGTTGTGGTTCAGGTAGTACAGGCGATCCTTGGCTGACTCGGCGCTCAAGTTCGGCGGGCGTTGCGGAGTGCAAGGGAAACCGCGGTCCACGGGGTCAAACGGTGTCTCCCACATCTGTGAGAACTCATCGAGTAGCCACGGGTACTCCTTCTGGTCAGCCTCGTAGTCGAGGAACATGACGACACGTTTGCCGCGGAGGATCATGTCCTCCAGAGTTGGCCAGTCGTCCAGGGACATGGGCAAATACGGCGGGCTGTAGACGTATTTAAGAATGCCGGTTTTCTCAATGTATGGGACGTAGAGAGAAGGATGAGAGTAGTTGCCGTTGCCTAGAAGGATGGTAATGACATCGTAAGGGTGGCTGTCAACCCACTGCCTCACAGTGGTGAGCCACTCGGTGATGGGCCCGGCATCGAGGAGATCGCACGACGTGTGACAAAAGTGAGGCGCTGACGAGTTCGATGGCCATTGAATCTGGGCCTGAAGAAGGCGGATGCCATCGTTGAGCTGTGTCGTCACGCCGAGTTCCTGGTTGGATCCAGAGTTTCCTGGTCGCACAAAAGGCGAGTTGTGGGCAGCAATGTTGGTGATGTTGCTGTACTTGCGTGTACAGTACTCGACGTGGTTGTTGCAAGGCTGGGTGTTTGTGGGCTCAGCAGGCCCGGTTACCGTCCCTGTCACCGTCCCCGTCTCCGTCCCCGTCTCCGTTTCTGTCAGGTTGGTGGCGGTTGTGAACTCGGAGGTAAAGCTTCCAGTAAAGGTGCTGGTGAGAGAATCCGATTTGGTCCCGCTGGCCTGTTTCAAGGTGATTTTGGACGTGTAGGTGACGTATGTGCCGGTGATTGTCTGGTCGTCCTTGGCTGTCCGCGTGCCATGGACAAAGGTGATGTCTGAGGTGTCAGAGAGGTCGACGGAAATGGCAGCAACATGGCGAGAGCACAAGGCCGCCAAAACGGCCAAGGCTGTGTGAGAGACCTTCATTTTGGACAAGCAGCCAACTGTGGCACTGTCAAAACCCGCCGGAGGCGTTACTGCGAGATGCTACTCTGCAGAGATGGCACTGGTAATGCAGGTACACAATGCTGTGGGACGCTGAACGCGCTGCAATATATCGGTGTAGCAAGCTCTGGCGACGATAGAAAGACTGGGTTTCACCAGGTCGACTTCAGCAAGCTCAAATATGTCCCAAGCGGCGAGCACAGTAAAGGTGCAAGACGGGATACGGGATCAATGTGAAACGATGGCGACCCGAATAAGAGATGCAGGCAACCAAAGCGGGAGTCCGCAGCTTGACCCCTGCAGGAGAGACGCCAAATGAATATCAGGAGTCGCGAAAGAAGCGATGGTAACAATAATCACAAGGGGGGGGCAGGCCAGTTGCACAGCCGAGTGGAGCAGCAGATTTTGACCGTCAAGATCTAGGCGGTTTCCGTCATGAAAAAAAGATAATCAGGCCCAGTTTTCCCCAGGAGACAGGCGGGTTGCGATGAGGATGCGAGGGAAGAAGTTAAAAAAAAAAAGAGGAAAAAGAAGGTGTTCGGCAGCGATCCAGCCGCCATGACATAACCGATGATGTTGTCTTTGAGGCGAGCGAGACGCCGGGGGCACTTGATGGGGACACTTGATGGGGGCACTTTGGCTAAGACATTGTGGGCTGGAATCCACTCGGCAAGAAAGTTGAAGCTTAGCCCTTCAGGAGGAGCCCAGTTGCCAAGACAGATGAGAACCCAGTAGGCAGTAGGCGCCAGGGCCGTCGTAGTTCGTAGTTACAGCAGCCGCTTGGACAGACAGTCGATAGTACGAGTTTGGCCATTCTTCTGACCCCGTTTTTACGGATGCTGTCGATGGTGTTACCAAACATGGAGCGTGGTCGGTGCAACGCGTCATCGCATTGGCCGCAGCCCTGCGGCAGCGACTGGCCGAGTCGGTTGGGCGGCAGCGGTTGTTTCGAGGGAACGACTCAACGGGGCCGCCAGAGCCGTACATACGAGACGCCATGCGGCGGCTGCAGAAGAGCTGGCCAGAGGTCGAGAGGGCCAGAGGCTCAGCGGCCAAGATTAAAAAAAAAAAAAAACACACGCAGCAAGGTCCAAGACATCGGCCCATGCTAGGGCAGATGCCAGGCCATGCCGGGCTGTTGGAAGCAGGGTTTCTAGGCGGCTGGCGGCTCTTGGCCCTTTCGATGAATCATGACGACAAGGAACGAGCGAGACCTGAAGCGCTGGAACAAGCAAGCACTGGGCCCCTACTGGAGCCTCTGGAATCCGGCGCTGCCTAGCCAGCCAGCCAGTCTAGCCAGCCAGCCAGTCTAGCAAGCCAAGGCGCTGAAGGAGCCGAGAGCCGCCCGTAAAACTGAGCGTCCTGGCCGTGGCTTGCACGCCGTCCAAGGGGTTGGCTGCGGTGGACGCCTGAGGGTCCTGTCTTGCAGGGGGGTGGCGGCCCACCGATTCTCGGCACTGCAGGGGGCCGGGGCTTGTGCACATCTGCCCCAGTGGCCGTCCAGGCGCTGTCCAGTGGGAGCCAGCGGCCACCCTCCAGTGCCGTCCGGGTGGGACCCTGGCGGCCTTGCGATCCTGGCGGCAGCAGCTGAGAGCCCCAGCGAGCCCTGAGGCCCCGTAAAAGCCCCAGTGAGCATCGCATCCTTGGAATTGGGATTCTCCTGTTATGACGAAACCATGTCGACCGTCCCATCTTTTTTTGCGCGAGCTATCGAACCCGACAAGGGACAAACTCGTGTCAGGGCGACTAAAACGTGGGCGGCGCCGCGTTCGCAACCTCGCAGCTCCATAGCCAACTGCTGCCGTGGCCCCGTCGCCACTGACTGTCATTTTTCCTTTGTATCGTTCGTTGTATCGTTGTATTGTCTGGACGGAAGAAAGAGAGCGTGTGATAGAGACTGCAGAGCGCCTGGAGCGTGTGGATGACCCTTTCGACCCGTTGACTTTGTCGCCTGACCTTGCTGGACGGCACCCTCAAGATTCGGCCCTCTCCACCACGAAACGCACTCGACGAATACTGCAACACCACAAACACCACACATTCTACCATCACCACCGCCATCACCCACCATGGCCCCGCCCAACGCACGGCGCAATACGGCCGTCGCCGCCAGCATCTTCTACTTCATCACCATTCCCTTCCTTGTCCTCGTCATCATCGGCAACACCTACAACAACAACATCCTCACCGACATCTACTTCTTCTCCCTCGACGTCTCCCAGGTCATCCCCATCTCCGTCGAGAACTCCAACCTGCTCAACTCGGTCGCCCGGAGCCTGGGTCTGCACGACTTCTACCAGGTCGGCATCTGGAACTTTTGCGAGGGCTACAACGATGAGTGCGTTTCCTGAATTGTGTCGTGAGAATCACCATGCTGACTGTCGTTTGCTTCCAGAGGCGTCACCCATTGCTCGCACCCGGAGCAGTTCTACTGGTTCAACCCCGTCGAGGTCCTCGTCAGTGAGCTTCTCGCTGGCGCCCAGATCGCCCTGCCGTCCGAGGCCATCACCGTCCTCACTATCCTCCGAATTGGCTCCCAGATCATGTACGGCTGCTTCATGGCTGGCATCTGCATCAACACTGTCCTTATGCTCATGAGCCCGCTTGTCATCCGCACTCGGTGGTGGAGTTTGGGTCTGTCGTTCCTCAGCGCCATTGCGGCCATCGTCGTCAGTCTCGCGGCCATCATTGCCACCGTCATCAGCTTCGCTGCGAAGATCGCCTTGACGGCTCAGGACCAGTTGAACATTAAAGCCAATATCGGCATCAAGATGTTCGTCTTCATGTGGATCGCCGCCATCGCCACCGATGTCGCCTTCCTGCTGCACGCTGCCATGGGCTGTTGTTGCCGGCCTGATCGACACGGAGCTAATTCATCCGCTTCACCCGTGTCGGAGAAGAACCCTATCGTTGCGCTGCCGGCCTTTGTGCGCCGGAGGAGGAGTCAGGCAACTTCAACATAGAGCTGTTTGAGATGTTGCCTCACAGATTACGAGGCTGGCGTAATGGGCTTGAATTTTTGGGTTGTCCGGAAATAGACATGTGAATGGTTTCGTATGTGTTGGAAAGGAATTACTGGAAGCGGTAGACCGATGCATAGTGCCCCGTCAAAAGAGACGGCATATTGGGCGCTGTAGAAGCTGGACCTAGACGTTCTTACACACCATCACACAGCATTATAGACGAGCCCCAGCATTGGGAAGGAGAAAGCAACATAATCATAGTTTAACATAGAATTTGTTCAATCTCTAACAACTTTTTGCAAATCCATCAACTCGCTCTATGATGATAAATTCAACCCCGTTTTCCGTCCCATCTTTTGTCCTAGGTGCGGTTTCAGACCAATCCCTCAATCCGCCGACTTGGCTCAACGAGCTCACGATAACCAGCTTTCTCAAGCAATAAACTTCTTGCCTGTCTTGTCTTTTATGAACTTCTTCACCTTGCCTCCCAGGCTGCCACACTTCCGTGCAACGAAGCAGTGGTTCAGGGCCACTACGAAGCTGGTCAGCTCCGACGAGTGGATGTTGTCCGTCGCGATCCAGTTCGGGTACACCTGGTCCGTCGTCGCATTCCAGAGGTCGTTGTATAGGCCGCCGTAGGCCTCGAGCGCCATCTTGTTGATGGACCGTGTTGGGAAGACGGCGTCCTCGACTGATTGCGTGATGACCCAGTCCGCGTGGAACAGCTTCGAGTCACGCCCTGCCCGGTTGCGTCGTATATATTCGATCTGGTCCCTAAACATCGCCTTTCCGGTATTCTTATTGGACCACCGGTGGTTCATGGGGAAGTTCTTGTCCGAGACGAAGCCGTGCTGGCCGCCAGGGAAGCTCTTCCTCTCAGCCCAGCTCTGGCTGACTCGGATGATGGTGCCCGACGTCTTGTTGCCGATGAACCGCTCAAGGGGCCACTTGGTGATGTCCTCGTCGTCAGGGAGCATCAATGGTTTGGTCAACGAGATCAATATCTTGTACAGGCCTTGAATTTGTTCGTCGGTCATATCTTGGCGCCCGTTGAAGATGTACCCGGTATCGGGGGCGGGGATGTCAATGATGATCAGTTCGCCTGGGTACGTATTGTGGAATGTTCTGACGGCTTCGGCGATGCCCTTCACAGTCTCTCCCAGCATGCCGTTCCACGCCCCGAGGATCATGGTGCCATGAGCGGCACGGTAGACATTTTGGAAGAGGAATGGGCGAACGTCAAGAACACGGACGCCAAGCTCTTCAATTTGATGTTTGGTAGTCTTTGTTTGACAGAGCGTGTTGGCAGCCTGACCGAGACCGATTCGTACTTTGCCCCTGGACATACCCACATGGTGTGACCTCGGCATGATGATTGATCTTAGTGGTATATGGCCAATCTCTGGGAGCATGTCCTGCATCCAACCCTTGGGAGGACCGGTACACACGAAGTTGCGCTCCGTCCCGGACAAGATGAAGGTCGAACCGCCAGGGAACATGTGGAACCCAAGGTCTACCTCGGATTTCTTTCCAAGGGTCTTGGTCTCAAAGTTTTCAAGGAACCGGATGAATACGGGGTGCTTCACGCCCTTGCGTCTTTCGATCATGAAAGACATGGGCTTGGACGTGCCCTCGAGATGGTAGGCGACCTCACCGGCTGAATCCGACAAGTGAAGCCCGCCTATTATAGCGCTGAAGATGCGATGCGACTGACCCGGTTCAATATACTTGGGGAATCTCTCGTCCCACTTCTCCATCTGGTAGGAGTTGGAGTAGCCTCTGCGCCAGCGGTACGGGGTCGCGTTAATCAGTGTGATAATCGTGGACCCTTGGTCTATGGAGCGGCCCTCAGGAGAAACCCAGCGCTTTTCCAATTGGCTAGAATCATCGGCCGTGCGATCAGCTTTTTTGTTGAAGGTGACAGGTTTGCCGCGGAAGAGATATTCTCCCGACTCTTTGGGCTTGTGGTCGACGCTGGGCACGTTGAGATCCGGTATAAGGAGAGGACCCCGATACTGAGTAGGGCGAATCATATGAGGCTGCACCGGAGTTTCGCCATCCGGTTGATCAGTGGAAGGCTGGGACTTTGGTTCTTCATCCGTTGTATCAATATCAGTGGTGGCGTCGTCCGAGACGTCATTGTTAGGGACACTAATTTTGGGCCCGATGTGAAACAATGGACTTTTTAGAAACCCAGGTGGACGGTGCTGGACCTCGATGGGATCGTTGTTAATTGTATTCCGCGTTTCAGTGGCTGCGATGAGTGTTGCATCTGCATCTGGAGGGCGCCGGTAGGGTGGAGAGCCGTTGACAACTCCTGCCAAAAGCCCAAGGGAGAGGACAATTCGCCTCAGCGAGGGTGAAGCCATCTTCTTCTGAGATGAAGGGTGTTGGTTTGTGGGTTGGGCGAGTGAGAAACGAAACTGAACAGAAAATAGATAGTGTGTAGTATGTGGTACAGATTTGAAGCTGAGTAAGGGGAAGGAAGAAAATACGGGGGAAGGGGAAAAGAGCGACGTTATTTATACAAAACCCGGAGGTTCAGTGGCCATTAAGGTATCTTCGAACAAGGGTGGTCAGAAAGGTAGTTGAAGGTTTGTTGATGCCTCCTTATGGCAAGGTAAGTGATCTTGATGTCCTCAAGGTTCGCTGGGGAGGGGCGCCAGAGATCCGAACTCTCATAAAAATGAAAAGTGTAGTTATCCTAACTAGGGAGAGCAATACTACTAGATTACATTTATTCTCTCAGCATATGTAGGTAAATCCTTACCCTCATCACCATCTAAGACTCACCCGCGTGTGAACACATACCTGAAGAGAAGCATGATGCGGCGGACCTATGGCACAAATCATGACACAATGGCGCTACTTGTGAAATGGGGTAGAGTCGCTCCCCTACCTATGTTGGATTTAATGCGTACAACCACTAATACTCAAAGATAAAACTCCAGTCAGGGCACTGAGCGTCATGGCAATGAACTTTACGAGAATATCTCGGCATTAAATCTTGGTCGGTAGTACGGGACAGTCACAGTGTGATAACCTGTGTCTCAACTCTCCCCATTTTGAGAGCTGGAACTACGCGGCATTCCTTCATTTCCCATAATTCGTGAGGCATATAGCCACTCCTCACCCTGATCTGTTCTACTTCATACACCCGGCGTCCACCAGAGTTGTCTCAATGTTGTCGTCAGTACCTCTTCTTGAGAGCAACTCAACCATGCGCCATGATGCCAGTCATCAAGTCCTCGTCTTCTACCTGCGAATCAAAACCAAGACCAGGATCGGTTCCGTCCTTTTCCGCCCTCTTCTGCTCTCTAACCATGTGCCTCACGTATTCCTTGCTGCTGCTTAGGCGCTCGTTTGCTGCCTGGTACTGCTTTCCTAAGCTCTCAATGTTGTGATGGCGTTGGGCGATTTCTCTTGCAAAGTCCGTCTCTGTCATAAAATCGCTCTCGTCGTGGAACTTGAGATATGTGTCTTCGCCGCTACTTCCCTGGAGTAGCTCTCCCTTGAGCAAGTTTGACTCAATCATTTCGCTCACTAGGTTCCAAACCTCGTCGTCGCTCTCAAGCGATTCACCGGTTTCGGCACTGAGTGTCACCCATCGCAGCTGGGAGATCGATATTTCTTTGAAGATGTCTCTGAGGTTGATGATCTGCCACTTTTGATAAGCTGCCACCACCTCAGTGATGAGAGCAAGGTTATTGTCTTCCTCCCAAATGTGATGATTTCCTTCCACCTCGCCATTTAATTGTGTCGCATTGTTTGTGGAAAAGAGACCCGCGACGCTCTTGTATGGCAGCCCCAAGGTGGCGTAAGTAGTCTTGGCTGAGGCGGCGGTATAGGGAGGGAGAGTAGGTTCCTTTCCGTCTTTCAGGAGCCCCACTAGCACCCATCTTTTGTACGCCTCATCCATAATTTTGGACACTCCCTTGTCTCTTGAAGGATGTGTGATGACTCGCTCTAGGGCCCGATAGGCCCTGGTCCAATCCTTTCTCGTCATATAACACAGGCCAGACAGGAGATTGTACTCCAGCACCGATGCGCTTTTAACGGACTCGGTCAATCCCGTATCGACAGAGATGTAAGAGGCTGGAGAAATGCTGGGGTCGCATAGCAGCCTTGCGTCCCTCTGACCAGCCATTCCTGGATAGAAGGTGATGTCACAGTCGAGAACCTTCAAAGCCGGCTCAATCCACGACGATTCGTACGCATATTTCACCAACATCAGATGTGTAGATGTGAACATGCTACCGCTAGGATCCATTCGCAGCATCGCGGAGGCTAGTGCCTCAATAGAGACAAGGGACTGTCATGGGACGATACATTAGCACCTCAAGACCAAACTAGGGGCATTCATTACATACCGAGAACACTTGACCAGCTGCTATAGTCTCCAGAAGCTTCCGGAACGATAAACCGGAGTATCTAATCTGAAGTGGGTCGAAGTTGAGGAGAAACCGGAGCGTTTCGTCGAGGAGCGCGGTTCGGTCAATGCCAGCTGGGGGGTGGCGAGGGTCCAACGACGCATGGAGGACACAGAGAAACGCGAGGGAGTTTTCCGCAGGATCGAGTTTCTGGTAGGCATCAGCATCGAGAAACAGCACGGAGGGGTAGAGAAGGTCCGTACTGCAAGGATCTGGCCAACGTTGGCTGCGATGACCTGGCGATGGGAACCTAGGAGCTGCTTGACAGCTTGTGCATGGTCTTTGAGGACGGCGTCAAGCTGCTTCTTCGAGCCGGTGGCATCTCTAGCTGTGGGAAAGGCCGACAGAGTGGGCCAGATGGAATCCATCTTGCACAGGCCCTCTCCGGGTGGGAGGCTTCGCGAGACGGTCGAGAGCGGTGGCTCGGGAGGGCGGGGGAATCGGAGGTGGAATGGGCGTGATAGATGGATCACCTGCTTGTCATGCTCGAGCTAGCGGGATGACTAGGTCTCAACGATGCCCAGCTGTGGTGGTTTTCGTCAGAGAATGCACCTGAAGCTGGGTGCTGGTGTAAAGTCAGTGAGTGAATGGCTTCTTTGTTGTATTAGCAGAGTGATCGTAGGTAGTTGACTTAAGGCAGCGAGCAGTCGTGCAGCTCCAAGCAGTAGTAGCCGAGGTTTCGCCGCCAGAGACCGTCAACAGCTGGTGAGATAAGCCTTATCGATAAGCCCCACCAACCGCGGGGTCATCTAGTGCAGGTACTGACTGTATTGAAAACTCCAGACTGCGGGATTCAAATTTCCACGATCGTCGAGAGTTCTGTGTAAGACTGCTTGTTGACTTTTCACTTGCTGAAATTACACTACTACCACTACAATTGAAGCTGGTAGATCTGAGATTCAATCTCCCAATTCTTCTCCAAATCCCTTCACCATGACTCTCGGACCCTTCGAACTCCCGGCGGCGGCCGACTTCCACGTCCACCTCCGTGACGGGAAGATGGCCGAGACCGTCACCAAGACGATTCGTCAAGGAGGAGTCTCTCTTGCTTACGTCATGCCTAACTTGACGCCTCCTGTAACTACCGTCGAGCAGGCGCTCTCCTACAAGACCCGTCTCCAGGCTATAGATTCGTCCATCAACTATCAGATGACCCTGTACCTTCACCCGACAATCACTCCCGAGGTGATTCGCGAGGCCAAGCGAGCAGGAATTGCAGGCGTCAAGTCGTACCCCGCCGGAGTTACCACCAACTCAGATGCTGGAGTCATCAGCTATGAGGAATATTACGACGTCTTCGCTGCCATGGAATCGGAGGGTCTGGTACTCAACTTGCACGGAGAGGTTCCCAGCGACCCCAAGATGGGAATTACAATTCTCAACGCAGAGTCCAAGTTCCTCCCGACTCTGAAGGAACTCCACGAAAGATTCCCTCGCCTGAAGGTCCTTGCCCCCGGGAATGCTCTTTTTCTACAACATACTTACTGTGATTAGATTGTCCTTGAGCACTGCTCCACCAAGGATGCCGTGGAGGCTGTCAACGCCTGCGGAGATAACGTTGTTGGCACCATTACCTCCCACCACCTTTTCCTCCTTGTCGATGACGCCGCTTCAGATGTGGTGAGTAATTGTTCATTCATGCCGCCAAGGTGTTTGCTTCGCTTAGGTGCCAGCGGCTAACTTGTGCCACTCCAGTTCTGCTACTGCAAGCCCGTCGCCAAGGTATGTGTAACCTGCAATGAGACTTTTCAAGTGATCCGTCATTGCAATTAGTTCTGAAACGGGTGGAGGAAGCCACGACTGACGAATCGATAGACCCCCGAGGACCGCACCGCTCTTCTGCAGGCCGTTGTCAGCAGCAAGGGCAAGTTTTTCCTGGGCACCGACTCTGCCCCTCACGATATCAGCGCCAAGAAGAAGGGCAAGACGGCTGCCGGTGTCTTCACCCAACCCTACGCCACCCAGATTGTCATGTCTGCGCTTGAGGCAGCCATCGAGAGGGAAGAGATTAAGGAGGAGGATGTCACACAGGAGCTGCTGGAGGGCTTCTTCAGCACTTTCGGGCGCAAGTTCTATGGAGTTGAGGATAAGTCTGGTGAGAGGATCAGGCTATCCAAGGGAGATGAAGTCATCTCCGGCAACGTTGTGGGTGAAGGCGTTGAGGTCCAGCCCTTCCGCACCGGCCTGCCCACCTGGACTGTGGAATGGATCTGAGACACGGGAACCAGCTCAGTGCAATATGGAGGCGGCGCCTATAGTGTGCGCGTACCCCTTGATATGATTTTATCTACCCAAAAAAGTTAAAGGCGAGAATAAGAAATGCCACATTATCATCCCAATACAACAGTCCCGTAATATTCGATGCCCAATTCTCGACCCTTTAGACATCCCCCCTCCCCTAGGTAGCCTTGTTGGTTGGAGAGCGACCGGGGTAATTTCCTCCACGAGGAGCCCAGGTGTTGCGTCTGGAATTACCCACCAGGGCAGTTGATTGACCAGCCTTGTGCTGGTGGTCGACGGGGCTCCAGCCAGATCCAACAGCTGATTCGGTAGACAACGGACGAGGAGCATCTGCGAACCCATCAGCCCATGTTCCAAACCTCATCATTTCCACTTACTGTGTCGCTTGTTCAAGTTCTTCAAGTTTAGCTCTGGGGGCACCCGAGGCTGCATGTTGCCAATGCTGTCATTCTGCCACCCCGGCTGGTTCATGAAGGCAATTGCATTCCTGTCAACACCGACCTGGTCCGCCAGAGTAGCAGGTGAAATAGGAGCGACTGAGGTCGAGTCCTCAAGCTCCTTCCTGCGATCCTCCTCCTGCCTCCTCAGCTCAACCTGGAGTCTCTTCCACCAGCCTGGGAGCCCCTGGAAGAGACCCAGGGAATGCTGGGTAGCTTTGTCGAAGGGCATTTCATGCTTGAACTTGCAGCCCTGCTGGGCGAAGGCGCACTGGCCGTCGTGGATCCACTTGTCGCAGTAGATCTTGGGTCTCTTAGTTATGACGGGGGACGTAGCGACGATTTGATCGATTTGGTTCTATTGTGAATGTTAGTGTTTGGGTGTAGAAGTAGAGGACTGACAGAGGGGAGGGGGTAACGCCTTGTTACCTGGAGGACATCAGATACTGGCCCCATTTGGGTCTGCCAAGTCTAAGCTCCTTAGCTTTCTTAGGCAAAATACGAACCCCCAACACCACACGTACCTTCATCGTGACTGGTTTGTTTAGAGGCGCGACTCCCTGAGGAGGAGCGACATGCAGCTCTGGCAGAATCACCATACCTGGGGGTCCGGGCTGGCGCGCAGGAATCTCGTTGAGGGGAGGCAACACATCGGCGGGTATGAGCCTGGTGTACTGTCCATTACCTCGGTCGAGGCAATAAGCGTAGCCTTCCAGGCCGCCCGAAGCCGCCTCGCCTCTGGGAAGCGGGAAGCTGCCCAGCGTGTAGTTGGCCTGGGTCGTGTGCCCCCAAACGCTCACGTCCACAGGCATCTGAGGGACACGCCAGTTGGGAGACGTGGCACCCCGAGGCGCCGCAGCTCGGTAAAGCTGCTGGCCCTGCTGGGTATCCTTCTGCGAGTTGGCATAAATCCAGCTGGCGCGGGCGCGGACGTTGGTCTGCGAAGGGCTCTGACGGTGGTCCATGGCATGCGAGGCGTCCATAGGTTGCTCCGTGTTCGGCTCGGGGGAGGTTTCGTTGGAGGAAAGCGACAGAGAAGCGAAAGATGGAGGAGAAGAGGGAGAAGGGGGCGGCGAAGGAGCTGGGGCGGGAGCGGCTGATGTGGTCTTGGAGAGGACAACTCGACAAACGGGATCCATGGTCAAGGATGGTCAAGGATGGTCAAGGACGGGAAGAGCCCGGGCGAGGTGCAAACAAGACTCAGGACGTGCGCGTAATTTATATGCCGTCACCCAAGATCGACGGCGGACGCAGGCAGTCGGCAGGATGCCGCAAGCGTGATGCAGGTTAGCGAATAGGCGGAGTGATGCCACAGTATAAACGGAGCTGGCGGCGCTGAACGAGGCTGGAACCAAGATGAGGCGTGTGCCTCGGCAGCAGGGAACAGGCGGGCGGGAGCTCCTTTTATCATTATTCGCTGATTGTGATTCGAGCTCGAGTTTCGCGGCGCCGGCTGTTGTTTGCCTCGCCCGGGCAGTTTGGTGGCGAGGAGGCCAGGATGTGCGGTCTGCGCGCGCTCTACGGTTACCTGCATTGGATGTTTGTGTGTCCCACGTGACGGGCCTTCATGGAGTTTTCAACAACAGGGCAGGAATTGGGCTCATGCGGCCTCTCCCCAAGTTTCCATTACCTAGATATGGAGAGCTGATGCCGCGTCTACCTGATATTTGCTGTTGCGTCGTGGCAGGGAAGCTAAATGTGCTTGCTTGCTTGCATGCATGCATGATGATATCCACGCCCATGTCCGCGTCCAAACAAAGGCCCAAAATACCGAGATCCTCCCACTTCCTCTCTCTGTCGTACCTCCGGTGAGCAAATCATCTTCAACGGGACCCGCTTTGCCCGGTGAATTCCCTTAGTTTGCGGATCAATACCGCCTTTTGTAGGTCTTTGGTTCTCGTGTTTGACGCTGAGCGTTGCACCCGGTCCAGGGCTACCCGCACTTCGGCCTCTGTGGCCAAGCGCACGCTCATGTAGTCAGTAAAGTCTGGTTGGGGTTCGTTTTGATAGCAAATCTGTTTGAGATATGGGGGGAAGGCTAGTCCGCCTTTGATTGGGTTAGCAACGGTTTGGGCTCCGGGCATGACGGCTTTGCTGTAGCCAAGGAGTGGGATTTCCTTGGCTTCGCCTTCTTGGAGCCGGTGCTTTCGACTGCGGCGACGTTTCGAGGTTTCGCCTTCTGACCGCTTCGAGCCGGAGTTGGTAGCTGCTTGGTTTTCCGAGTGGGTGGCGTGGCGTACTTGGTCTTTGAGGCTGGGGCCTTTACCGTCGCCGCCTTTCCGCGCTTTGGTGTTGCTGGAGTTGGAGTGTTGGCCGCTCGTTTCGACGTTTTCGTGCTTTTCTTCGGCGTCTGCGCAGGGCGTCTGTTAACATTGTTGTTCTTCACTGTCTTCTTGGTCGGGGTGGGAGCTGGGGTCCTCTGTTGCGGAAGAGAAGATTTCTGGCGTTTACCTTTTGACAAGGACGTGCCGTCTTCCTCGTCAGTGTCATCCGCAGATTCTGCGCCGGCAAAGTCATCGGAGGAGTCGGAGGATTCGGGTTCGGGGTCCCCAAGGAGAGGTGCAACCTCCATAACATTTCCCTTGTAGTTGACGGCCTGGCGAAGGAGTTAGCTAAGATCCAACACTTGTCACGTCCAGACTTACCGTCCGCCGTCTGCCGCCTCGTCCGAGAACCTCTCGATTGGCCTCAGCTTCTCTCCGGGCTTCCTCCTCGCGTTCAGCAAGGATCCGATCCCAGACGCTCGAGTTGATAGGCATCGGTTCGTTTTCTTCTTCAGTAGCACGAGCATCTTCAAAACCAGACTTATCGTTAGCCCAAACTCGAGTATGGGCGAATTGAGCCTCCCCTGAGCCCTCATCTGTTGACTTGGGCTCTTCCATCTGTGTCCGATCTAGGAGATTGTCAATCGAAGCAGAGTCATAATGAATCGCCTTCTTCTGGTAATTTTCGTCAAACAACGCCTGCGCACCATGTTTGAGAATGGATTCCAAGTCGTCGCCAGCTAGGTCATCGTCGTCCATGCTTTCGATCAGAGCATGATCAAGGGCCATCTTCTTTCGGCCAACCTGCATAATCCTCTCCTCCACAGAGTCTTTGGTCACGATCTGAAAACAGAGAACCTTTTTCTTTTGCCCAATGCGGTGAGCACGAGACAGCGCCTGGATGTCTTGATGTGGATTGAAGTCAGGATCCAGGATGATGACTGTATCTGCTGTTGCAAGATTGATGCCCACGCCGCCGGCTCGTGTCGAAAGTAGGAATGCGAAAATGGATGAATCGGGCGCATTGAAAGCATCAATACGTCGTTGCTTCTCCAAACTCCCGATTTGTCCGTCAAGTCGGCGGTACTCAAAACCTAGGCCGGCCAGAAAGTCCTCAATGATCGCTAGCTGCTGTAGGAACTGACTGAAGATGAGAACTCGATGGCCTCTTTCTTTTAGTTTGGGAAGCATCTGCTCCAACAAGAGTAATTTGGCAGATGCTTCCACGAGGTTGCGTTGCAGGACGTCGTTGTCGTGATGCTTCTCCTCGATAGCTTCAGAGTACATGAACGGGTGACAGAGGCACTTCCGCAGCTGCATCAAAATGTTGTTAAGGCTTCCACGTTCCTTCTTGTTCATTGTGGTGTTGGCAAACATGGCCTTGATCAGCTGAGGGTTTTTGGCCATGATACTCTTCGCAAGCTTTTCCTGAACGCTGGTCATGGTGACGGGGAGAATAATTTGTGACATTGGAGGGAGGAATTTGAGGACGCCAGCTTTGGTTCGTCGGAGGAAGTATGGGCGAATCATCTCGTGCAACTTCGGTAGAGTCTCCTTGTCAAGGACTTCATATTGCTCGTCCAGCTTTGCCGCATTTTGAGTTTCGTCGATGAATTGGAGCAAGTTGAAGAGTTCTCGTTTGTTGTTTTGCAGAGGAGTTCCCGTAAGAAGGAGTCGGAAGGGGATTTTCATGGACCGTAATGCGATGTAGAGGAGATTCTGGTCGTTCTTCAATCGCTGACCCTCGTCCACAACAAGACCTGTCCAGTTGATAGACTTGAAGAGGACCTTTGTGTGAGGATCTGCGGCGGAGTCATATGACATGATGACTACATGCGCCTTCATGTCTGGCGAGTTGTGGGGGAACAGTTCGTATTTGTAGGCGAGCTCTTGGGGCTCTTTGCCGCCGTGGTAGGTCACAACTCGCAAATCGGGTGCCCACTGCTTGAACTCGCGGCGCCAATTGGGACATGTAGCGTTGGGAACCACGACGAGGAAGGGCCAGCACTGGAATAGGGTTAGTAGAGGGTATATCATCGTTCAGAAGATCGCTTACCTTGGACTGGTCCTGGACCAACGAAGTGACCAAGGCGACAACTTGCACGGTCTTGCCCAGGCCCATTTCGTCGGCCAAGACAACGCTCCGGCCTGAATGGTAATTTCCTAAGAGCCAGTTGACTCCCTCAATCTGATACCCCATGAGTTTGCCTCGCTTGAGCCCCGCTGGCTGCTCATCAACCTCAATGAACGGTGCTGCTTTGAAGGCTTTGATACGTTCTCGAACTTTGGATGGCGGGTCGTTCTTAAAATATTTCCCCTCAACATACTCGTAGTAGGCTTCCACAAAGGCGTTGTGGACGGCGGTCATGCTCTCCTTGGGTGGTGAATCCCATACAACATCGTCGTAGCCAAGACCTTGAAACTTGACTAGGACTTTGCTGACTCTGGCCATGTTGGCTAGCTCAGCCTCTCGGGTACTGAAATGTGGAGCAGACTTCTGCATCTTGACGTTGAGTATGATGTCAGGTGTGATGAATTCGTCTGGGATGGCCTCCTTTTCATCCATTTTGAGTAGATCGTGTTCCAAGTCCTTTTTTCCGAAGGACACCCGCATGGTGGATGCTGCGACGCCGTGAACCCAAGCCCCAGGCTTCCACGTGCAGTGGACATAGGATAGGCTTTCCCATTTAACGAGATACTCCTTGTCGTCCTCTTTGACTTTGCTGTAGGCTGGTCGACGAGTCTTCTCGGTGAGGTCAGGCTCGGAAGGTCGCCAAGCAACGAGACGATGGATCTTGTGCTTCGAAGTACTGCAATCGTCGCACTGCCAGTCTATGCAGTAGTCCTTGAGACGTTCTGACTTGAGATCTGTGCTGACATCATGATTATCTTCGCCCGGCAAGTGTTCAACGTGCCAGCCTCGGCGGCATGTGGCGCATCGAAAGAGAACAAGATCTGGATTGTTCAAGAGATCAGCGGAAACAGTTGTGGTCGGGTCCACGCCGTTATTCTCTTCTCGAAGCTTCTCTTCTTGTCGGGCGGTCTTCTTTTCGGAAAATGGAGTGCAGGCACGGCCTTTGACTTTACAACCTTGGCACATGTCATGTGCTGGAGCGTTGCGATCCTTCTTTTTGTATACGCAGACGCAGAACTTGCATTGTAGTACGAACTCATCATCTCCAACCTTTGTGACCATATGATCTCGTGCACTTCGAATGCCAAGGCAGTTCTTGTGATATGACAGTGTGCAACCCTGACAATGGATAATCTGGCCTCGCTGCCTCGACCCTCCGCAGGTATGGCAGGTTTCCATGTGCATCGATGAAAACGCAGAGTCCGGATGGGGTGGCTGAAAGACTTCTCTGACAGAGATGACCTTGGGAACCCCAGGCGCCTTGTCATCGACAACATAAAATGAGTCTTCATCCATCAATGCATCGTCTTGCATGTTGATCTTGTTTCTGGTGGATCTAACAGACCTCCGAGGTGCTTCAAATTCGATATCGGAGTCGGGAGACTTCTTTCGTCGGAGTGTCATGGAGTTTTGCGCCCTTGATCGTGCGTGTAGAGTCTGCTGGCGTTTCGATCTCGAGCGTGCTTTGGTTGGGCGCCTCTTGGTCACAATGTCTGAAGTCACAAGATTGAAATCCCCATCTTCCTCATCTGATGAGGCGGGATGAGGTTCTTGAAGCAGTTCGTCTTGATCTTGGCTTTCTGCGTTGTTGGAAAACGACATGTTTGTCAAAGTTCTTTGCCTTGGTTGCCGTGTTCTGAGCGTTCGGCTTGAGCCGGCAGGGGGGTCGGGCTTGAGGTCATCAGGCTCGTTGAGTTCGTCATCGTCATCTGAGATGAGAGAAATATTCCCCGAGTTTTGCCTGGTTGATTCTCGAGAGCGAAGTGGACGACTGAGTGCTCGCCGGGGGCGACTGGGTTCATCGTCGCTATCTTCCTCATCGAGTTCCATGGGGTCCGATGCAACGGAATTTACATCCGTGTCCCACTCATCGTCTGAAGCTCGCTTTCGCTTGAGACCAAGTCCGGCCATGTCGCCGTCAGGTAGCCCTACGCCTTGGCTAAACCGAGCGAAAGCTGCCTTGCCGTTCTCGAGGGCAATAAGATCGGTAAACAGAATCTTGACGCCGCGTTAGTGATATGAGGTTCCGTCTTGGACGCTGAAGATGATGAAAGACGTTTGAGATGAAGAAATGAGGATAACTAATAGTGTTGATGGTAGAGATGAGATTGAGGGGTATGCGAGAAATCAGAGGGAGGGTTGCCTTCAATAGGCGGGGCTAGCTGTTTGGATTCGGCAGTGAATAACACGGGCCTGCATTAATAACACAGCCATCTGCCCTATAGAGAGTGAGGGAGTGGTAGAATGCGAGACAGCGTTTGGTCAAACACCGCTCTGCTCACTTGAGCTGAGCTGAATCTGACAAGCGGCTGAACACGAAGTGACAGGATGCGCAACCCGTAGGAAAACGAAGATGGTAGGAAATAGAGCATCATTGAATCAAGTTCAGGGTATAGACGAAGCGTGTGTCTACCTACCGGCTCTTCTCTTCCGTCTGTAAACTCGACCAAACACCGTACTTGGCCGTTCTGGGCCGGGAGCTCTTCCGTAATGGCCTCGACAATGTTGCTGCGCACTTCGGCGTATTCCTTGAGCTTTTCTGTTGGTATTTGTGGAATGACGATCTCTATTCCGTTGCCATCTGTTTGGGGGCTCTCATCGAGTTGTCCATCGCCCTCAGCGGAGCCACTCGAGCTTTCCTGCTCGGCAATGTCGCCAAGCTTTGCCACTAGGTCGTCGAAAGGTTCATCGATATCCATCTCCGTGTACTTGTTATCGCCGTCGAGAGCCTCCAGCGACTCGAAAAAGACATCGTCGCTGTCCATCACTTCCGGCGCATCGGGTCGAGTTTCGAGGGATGTCGGTGGGGTCTCGGCGTTGTCGTCGGCGTTCGGTTGCGCGGGAGAATCCAGGAGCTGTAGATCAAGGTCTTCGGTAGGGAGAATGCAAGAATAGACTTCCTGTCGGAAGTTTGGGTTGAGGGGGGGAGGCAATCCAAGCGATCTCTTGAATGTCGGGTCGAAATGATCATTTCTGGTTGGAAACGGAAACGCGACTTGATCCTACTCACGCGTTGCATCCATTAAACCAAGCTGTCCGTGGCTGAGGGATCTTGAAATTAGTAGCCAATCAGAGCCCTGGTTCTTCCTCACCGCCTGCCAGGGGCCCCTGCAGAGGCTGGCAGAAAAAGTTCGAATAATACTTCGAGAACTTGGCATGGCTTCCACAAGACGCCAATACCATCACATCATACCGTATCTGGCCTTTTCCCAGGACCAAGCTCTGCGATGCTATACCCGGCACAATTGAGGGTAGTTGCCTTGCGCCGTCCATTTGCGACACGTCTTCGCGGCACCCAAAGTCCTTCCCGAATCCTAGTTCGTGCTTCAAGCCTTTCTGCGATCCACCGAGGAATCCGTACCTCCGAGCGAGTCCAATACGGCGCGCCACGATCTTCCGGAGACTCGATCGATCGAAACCGACGTGATGGATCTGAAGTGAGGCCGAGGAGGAGTGGTTTTGCGGGTCGGGAGTCCCGGGGTTCGAAACCTGGCGGTCGATCGGACGGGAGATCAGGCAGGAGACCGTCCTTCAGTCGAGAACCTCAAGATGAGTTTGCATCAAAGTTTAATGCTCGAGCCGGTTCTGCACCAAGGAGGGGAGCTTCTTTCGGTCGAGAATCTCGAGATACCTTTGCCTCAAAATCTACGTCCAAGGCCATGGACGGTGCCTCCAACTGGCGTCAGCAGCAAAAGCTACGGAAGAAACTTGCAAAGAAAAAGGAGGAGGAAGATGAGGAAGACGAGGAGTACCGCAGGACCCGCAGAAAGCGATTTACAGACTCTGAGTTCTCTTTCGGCAAGAAGAGCTTGGTTTACCGACTGAAGTACGGCGATCTTAAAGAAACGGCCGCCAACCTGGACTTGCAAGAACCCGTCCGGCCTAGATCGTTCCGCGATGCCAGGCGTGACAATGCGCGCGATGAGCGAGAGGCAAGGGAAAAGGGCCGCGCTAGTTTGAGTGAGGAACTAAGACGAAGCGAGCGACGAAGCGACAGTGATGGGGATTCTCGCGATACATCTTCTCCGTTCCGCTCAAGACAGACTGAGCAGCGAACCGATCGCGATGGGGGGTATCCTGGTTCGTCGGCTCCCATGGGCTCAAGGCAATTCGAACGACGAAGTAGCGGCGGTGGAGGATTCCGCGACGGTGCGAGGAGCTCAAGACACACCGAGCGACGAGGTGACGGCGACGAGGAATATCACGACTCGATGCCGATTCGCGGGCGCAAGAAGGAGATGATGCCCATGACGATCAAGTACACCACTGCTGCGTCCCAATTCTTATATGGAAGGTCGGTTGTCAAGGCAGCCCTTGAGCAAGGAAGGCGAAAGCTCTACAACCTCTATATTTACGGCGGAGAGAACCGGAAAGACTCCAAGGACAACACCATCATGACCCGGCTAGCCAAGAAGCACAATATCCCCATCACCATCGTTCCCAACCACGAGCAGCGCATCATGGACAAGATGAGCATGGGTCGACCTCACAACGGCTTTGTGCTTGAAGCATCACCTCTTCCACAACTCCCCATTAGGGCCTTGGGAAGACTGGAAGAAACTACGACCAGATTGGGATTCCACGTTGAACTGGACTTCCAAATGAAGGAGGAGGAGGCCATCAACGGGACCGACACATTTGTTCGACGTGCCAACGATGTCATGCCCAAGCCTTTCGTTCTGTTGTTGAATGAGATTCTTGACCCTGGAAACCTGGGAGGCATTCTCCGTACAGCCAGTTATCTTGGCATTGATGCCGTCGGTATTACTACTCGCGGCTCCTCGACCCTGACACCCGTCGTCCTCAAGTCGGCGGCGGGTGCGGTGGAAGAGATCTCGTTGTTCACCGTGGATGACCCCCTCACATTTATGGAGGAGTCGAGCAAGGCAGGATGGAAGACCTTTGCGGCAGTTGCACCGCCGGACAGGAAGCTGGTCCGAAAGCATGGTGACAAGTTCATCTCAACAGATGCTATCGAGGCCAAGAGCCCGCTCAATGAGCACCCCTGCATCCTTGTTCTCGGCAATGAGGGACATGGACTATCAAAGCCGCTCAAGATGGCCGCCGATCACGAGTTGTCTGTGCCGCGATTCGTCCAGGGCAGTTGCGTGGACAGTTTGAACGTCAGCGTTGCAGCTGGACTTTTGTGTCATTCTTTTGTCAAAGAAGTCGAGGTTGCGAAGAAGGTTGAGCAGAACGTCGAGCAAAATGTTGTCTCCGATGAGACGCAGCAGGTCATTGACTTGGTGGCGAAGTTGGAGATGAAAGACGAAAAGAAGGAAGAAACGCCGCTGTCCGAGGTGGAAGAGGCGACTCAAGAGCAAGAGCCAGAGGAAAGAATCATCGAAAAGAAAGCAGAGGAGAAGAAGCCAGAAAAGGAGATGGACTTGGGCTTCTAAACGACCAAAACCACCATGTACCACATATCATGACACCACTACACACCCCTGTATTATACCTAGGCCCATGTTCATGAGGAATGAGCCACTGACATGTAAACCAAAATCTTGTATAATAGGATGACCATGTATAGATATAGATTTGAGATGAATCTTACGCACTCGACTTCCCAAACAATGCTGGTTTGATTGCGATTGTGATATAAAAGCGTATGAAGCTTGCCTGTTCTGGTGGTGCATGTGCAGGTGCAGGCGCATGACGTCGTCGGGCTGTCGCCATGAGACCTAAACTGGAATGACAACCACCGCACTCATGTCAGATTAGCCGTATCATTTTTTCCTGATTCAAACCCATCTTGCCAAGGTACAAAAAACCTTCACTTTCAAATCTCAGCCAGTTTTGTCGTGTTGTTCTGAGCGATTCGCGGGGAACGCAATACACCAAATCCGACACGCCGGGGCCTGGTTTCGGGCGTCGCCCAGCCACCCAATTGTTTACCAACGGAGCACGAGCTGCCACGCCACATCGGCAGAGTCGGGCAGCTCCTTGTGCGTCAGACGATTCCTCCACCGCCATGATATAAATATCTTCCAGCAGGACAGGTCTGCATTTCTTTTCTCCCGGACTAGCTCACCGATTGGACCAGATTCAGCGGTGTAGACCGAGCCGTCGAGCTGCGAGGTCCAAACTCCCATAGGCTCTGCAGTGCAACATCGCCAGAGCTTCAAGACGACGCTACGCAAAGTCCACCATTTTCCTGGGCCAAATTCCTGGGCCAAGTCAGGAGAGTAGCCCGCAACCATGAGGCCCTTTTCGGCTTTCTTCGCGTTCCCTGTATCCCTCCTCGTGCTTGTATCGCAAGTCGCAGCCGACAATTCCGCACCCACGGCAATCAAGAAGCTCGCGCCCGACTCCAACGAGAAACTCCTTGCTGAGCACCTCGCCTTCGCCGCCATCCCCGTGCTCTCTCCCCGCGACGCAGCCGCAGCCGCCATCTCGTTCCTCGACGAGCACGGCGAGACCATTGATGGCACTACGCGCTACCGGCCGGCATTTGCCCGCCACTTCGACGATGCCGAGTACAACGTGCTGCGCCGGGCGGCCGAGGCGCTGACGCTGTTGCAGCGGAGGGAGGCGTGTCCCGAGGGCACCACCAGCTGCTCCAATATCAACGCGTCGAACAAGTGCTGCCAGGAGGGAACATACTGTGTCTCTGTTGAAGACTCGAGCGTCGGCAATGTCGCCTGCTGCCCCGACCAGGCGACATGCGGGGGAGGGGTTGGCGCCTGTCCTTCTGGTGCAACGAGCTGCTCCGAGGAACTTGGTGGTGGATGCTGTATTCCGGGATACGTGTGCGAGGGTGCCGGCTGTGAGTCGACCCTGAGATATTGATCCGCCTTGACGGAAATGCTAACAAGGGTGAAGGCGTCCCGAGTGCTTCTGCAACACTCTCCCACACCAGCACCAGCACCAGCACGACGGTCCAGAGCTCTACGCAAGAGCAAGTTGAAACGACGACCACCGAGGAGTCTTCAACTACCACAACCCAAGCTGAGACGACTTCAGACGAAGAGACGACTACCACCGAGACAGCCACCGAGACCATCACAGGAACCGCCACGGGCGTCCCCCCGTTCCGTCCAACCCAAGCTGACACGACAACCTCAACTAGCGCCAGCTCCGATACGCAGACCGGCTGTCCCACGGGTTACTACGGCTGTCTAGCAACACACGGGGGCGGCTGCTGCCGCACCGATCGTGACTGTAACACGTACGACTGCCTAGCTCCGTCCACCACCCTCGTCTCCGATGGCGTCACCATCGTGCTGCTCGCCACCGACGCTCCTCCAGCCGCCGACGCTACTTCCACCTGCGCGGACGGCTGGTTCATGTGCGGCACCGACGCAGGCACGGTGGCGGGGTGTTGTCCTAGCGACTACGACTGCGGGACGGCGAGCTGCTTCACCGTTTCGGCCAGCCGGACGGCCAAAGTGCAAAAGCAATTCCCGGACGCGGGTTCGGCGACGCAAGGAAGTCCACGGGCGTTTCTGGGGGGAGTCCTCGGGGCCCTGTGCCTCTTGATTGTGATGTGAGGGCAAAAATGCATGTTACGACATGCGATAGAGCCTGGATGTTCGATTCAAGTACATAGACAAGGTAAATATGGGCTGAGGAAATTAGGCTGTGATGGAAGATGTTGAGATGAATTATGTTTGAGAAGACAACGATACCCACGTATCAAAATAATAGATGAAATTGCTTTGGAGGCTGAGGCTTGAGGAAGGGACGCGCGTGGGCTGGGCTGAACACAATCAGGTATGGCATTGGACTTAAATGTAGAAGAAGGATCATTCGAATCCCCTCCAATATCACAAATATCAGCGTCCATGTTGTTGGTTTGGTAAATACCATTTATTTCTTAACAAGCTATCGGCTGCTTTGACCCACTCCACTCTCCTTGGAGACATGGATAGTCCTCTTTTTACAACCTCCATCATCGCGCTTGATCATCATCGTTCGTCAACATCGTCAAATACAGCCCATGGTCCATCCGTTTCAGGTGTCCATTCTTTACTCGGGCATGTGGGTGAAGGGCTTGGCCAGGTGCTCCTGGCAGAAGGGGAGCTTGCTGACGGTCCAGATCTCGGTATCCTAGTGGGCAGTGTCAATTTCTTTACTAAATGTAGAGAGCCGCGGGAGATACGCACAGGCTTGAGGTTCTTCTTCAGCTCAGTCTCGAGAGTACCGGCCTTGAGGGCGATGATCTCGGGGGCGGCATCGGGGTCGTGTGCGATGGGGGAGCCGCACTCGGAGCAGAAGAGACGGTGGACAACCTTTCCGGAGGAGCCCTTGGAGCCGGAGTAGGTCTTGACGGGGCCGTTGATGGTGAGCTTGTCCTTGAGAACGACAGCGACAAGGGCTGGGGTGTAAGGTTAGCCGAGAGCTCTCCGAAGAGGAATCCGACAAACGCCAGAACCAGGAAGCATCTCTAAATCAGTACGTACAGTAGGTCGAACCGCTCTGGCGTTGGCAGTCGTCGCAGTGATCGTAGCCGACAAGGAGAGGTGCCTCCATGTCCACCGTGTAGGTGGTGGCCTTGCAGAGGCAGTGTCCGGAAATAGGCATGATGATTATATATGTCCAAAGACGAGAAAGAAGCTAGATTTAAGAGATAAAAGGGTCAACAGCTGTGTAAATCCGTGAAAGAGAACAATGGGAGTTGGGAGGAATGAGAGGAAGGGAGCCCGGAGCTATGGGGGGGAGCTCTAGATGAAGCTTTTGAGGGCCTTAGCGGGGTAAGGCATGGCAGGTACCTAGTGAGATTGGCGCGAGCGATTGGAAGCTCAGAATGGTGGGGCAGCGATTGGATGACGTTGAGGAGTCTGGGCAAAAAGCGACGGCGACACGGGGGCGGTAGGTTGGGCTATAGACGATTGGGCGAAAGGACGGTGACGGCGTGAGAGTTGCGAGGGGTGGGTGAATGCGCTGCAGGTCTCAACTCAACATGGAAATAGATTGGCGGGGGGGCTGAGAGTCGAGATGATGCAGAGTCTTTATAGCGGCGCGGTGTCTATCATGGAGCTAAGAAGATTCCATAGAACAGGGCAGCAAGGATTGCCATCTCTCGTCTTCGAGTTTGGCTGGCTCATTGGGAAGCGCCGGGTTGCGTCGCGATTGCGACGGGATCTCGACCCTCTCGTCAGCCTGAGCTCATAGTGCCCGCACAACCCCAGCATTGACGCAGCTCGGTTGGTGATGTTTGGGAATGTCGGCGAGCATTTCCGCTGCATCTCAAGTGTTAGTGCGGGTACAGCCTGTGTCGAGAAGCAGCGTGTATTACTTGCCCACTAAGCCCAAGCCGAGTACTCCCAAGAAGATTCCACATAGGTCCTCATCTAACAATCCTCATTTGTGTCTGACAACAGACAAGCCAGCCCAGCCATTTGTCATTTGCATCGACGTCGTTGTCCACATCCAACCACACTCTGTCATCCTTGGAAGCGCAGGAAGCGGGGCTCAGAATTTGGAATTGTCGAGCAGACACGAGCGGCGCTTCTCGTTTTAGTGGCGGACGGATCCATGCTGGCGCCCCCCTTCAAATTGATGTAATGCAGGACTGATGCTGGTGAGGTGCCTTCGTTTCGCCAACTTCAGTCCAGCTTGCATGGTATGAGATCCGAAGGAGCCGCATCCTTCTGCTCCTGCACACATGGAGCAAAAACATTCCAATTCATGGCTTGCTGATGATGATTGAACGCGTCTGTAAGCAGCCACTCTGGCTGACCATGGCTGGCGGGGGCCTTCGTCATCGCCAAGCTTGGAGATGCCAAGCGAAGCGATTGGTTGTTGCGGGGAGCGCATCCGGTTGCCAGTTTAGGCCGGGAGTTTCCCCCACAATCAACCAACTCAAGTGCAACAATTCCAAATTGTGCTCGGGATATAACATGCCCACAGTCGGGCTCGTCAACAATGACTTGATAGCTTCAATCCCTTGTCTAGGCATGCCACTAATCGTGTCATCGTGAGAGTGGCGGAAAATCTCTGTCCCTGCTGTTCACTCCGTCATGACACACTCTTGATTGTCCGGCTGATGAGGGACGCCAGCATCCATGATGCCCCTGTTCTGCCAACAAGCTCCATCAGCCCGAGTAGTTCCGTGCTTCCGACCGCAAAACGGTCAGCGATGAACAGTCGGGCTACGGCCGATCTATACTCCTTCTTCAACCGTACATCGTCCTGTCCCAACACGTACGCATCCATCGAGGAGATACGAAAGCCTCGAATGTCCGTCATCGTATGTGTACTGGGTAAGGAAGTTGCAGCAGATGTAAGCGGTCTCTCGATCTTCTGAGGTCGGCATCGCAGGTTCTTGATCAACTGAAAGCAAAGGTAATCAACTAGGTTCGACGCTTGCAATGGCGGTGCAGCCTTCTTCAGGAAGATCTTTGGCAATAATTCCGGCTTGTCGACCCAAACAGTATGACTCTCGGCTAGTTCACTGAACATGGCTTCGAAATCGTGAGCATAATGCACAAAGCGCGAGTAGAACACCGGTGTCAGTATCTTGATCTCAGCGTGCTCCGCGGTCTTGAGTGCTTCCGTGGACGAAGGAGAGGCAAACATCTCTTCGGCAGGGCCTGAGATCCCGCTTGGGATATACTTGATAACAATAGGACTCGGGGATTGATTAACGAGATGGCGGAGGTATTTTCGGAATACTTCTTCCAATTTCTTCTCTGTGTTGTCGGCAAGGCGCCCCATGCTCTCCCTCAGAGGCTCGGGTCGATACCAGACATGAAGCCTACGCTTGAAGAACAAGACAGCAGCTTCCTTGACGATTCTCGGGAATGTGAAAAATCCAACCCAGAACCAACCAGCAAGAAAATTTGTTTTCCGGACAACGTTCATAGTGCTAGGCTCAATTGCGTCCCCTTCCGAAAAGAGTCGCGCAACAAGTTTTGGATGTCCCTTAGATGACACCAGGTTTATCGTGACATCTATCCCGAGGAAGCCTTGCATGTCGGGGCCTAGAGGGTCGCTCGCGAGGAGTGAATAGGATCCCTGGCGAGAATTGAAGGGCGATACATGGAAATCCTTTGCCCAGGCACCCTTTATCCGAGGACGGGACGCCTCTTCTCCATCAGGGGCGCCAGGATAATGGAGGTTCTTGGCCTCGGCCTCAAAGTCTCTCTCGACTAGGTATGGGCGCCTCTCGCCAAAGGTATTGTTGACTTCTAGTACAATTGCTGAGAGAACTCTTTCCTGTGAATAAAGAAACCAGAAGGAGACTGGATTGAAGTGGTAACCCAAAAACCTGGCCGCAGTGACGAGATAGGCATGAGGATACAGCGATGGGTCGACATCCTGCTTGAGATCAGCCTTTGTTCGATGGATATTGTCTGCTGTCTAACCTGGGACCTAAGGTAGTTATCCAACTTGCCACGCAAACCAAGGTCAGCACCTCCGCGCTGGAGGTAATCGACAGGATTTACATCGAACCAAGCTCTCAGACCAAAGGTGAAAGAGAACCAGGAGCTGGGTTTCCCAGATACATCGGCGGAAATAATGCCATTGGCATTTCCTGAGAAACCCACAGGGACTCCGACGACAAGATACGAGTACGAGAAGCAATGCTTCTTGGGAAAGAATCGGGTGTGCGATGTACGACTGGGAATCAGGTATGGGCTACCGAGGCCATCCCAAGTCGTCTCACTGGTTGAAAAACCCAATCTGTAGATCCGATGGCTGAAAACAAGGGTCGCGATCGCAAGCCCGGCGAGAAGACCGGCAAAAAAACCGAGACGTTGAATGTCGACCCTTGGGATGAGTGAGGTTAAGACTGAAGCATGCTGCCAACCTACCAAGCCGAGAACAATGCACAGGTCCAGCTCACATCCACAAAGCGCATAAGAGGCCAAGACGAGACAAGCCAAGCAGGTGAGCAGAGACGGGGGCCAACCCTCCAGTAGGCGGTCCAGATAGTCTCCAGCGAGAACCACCGGCAGAAGCGGCGAGTCCTCGGACACTCCGTCCATGAGATGGTTGGTGAGTTGCTCAGGGCATGCGTATCATTGAGGTGAGCTGGAACTTGACTCTCCTTCTGTGAGAGTCTCGGGTGGATAAGAAAGGAGGAGAAACGAATGGGACACAGAGTCGGAGAGATTTACAATGTCCCCCTTTGACATCCGTCTGAGTCTAGAGGTATGTGTCCATCAAGGTGCTATGGCACAATGAAGCCCCATCGAAGCTGCAAGTCGAGACACCTTAGTCATCACCTTTGGATTCTTGGGACTAGGTATGAGCGCATCACTCGGCAAAGTCGCGGGTCCCGCATTGTCGTCATCGTTTTTAGAGTGCGTCAGGCCGAGAATCAAATTCCCTTGGGATTGATTATTATGTCAGCCGGAAAGAATCTGAGGACATGGCAAGGATGTGGTAAGGACAAGGACAGGACAAGGACAAGACAAGCATCACCGGCATTGCCGTACCCGATCTCCGACAACCCGAGAAAAGAGGGAGATGTGAGGCAGCCCGGAAGAGCTACGGGCTTGTTGGTGCCCAGCAAAGCCCAGGAATCGACTCAGCGCCTCACAGTGGCAGAGTGGCAGGGCTCACTCCCCTCCCTCACCAACCAGCCAGCGTCTAGCACCTTCCACAGGGCACGGCATGGCCGCAGGGGGACCGTGCAGCGAGGGTGAGCCAGAGTGAGCCATCCTCCAGCCACGCGGTGGCGCTGCTCTCCCTACCTACCTTACAGCGCACGAGACACTGCGCCTCCACAGCCTTAATAACGGCGGGCAGCCAAACGGAGAGGCCACCACCCACCCCCGCCAAATTCCCTTTCAGGCCATTCTGTCCCGCCGATTGACTCAGGCCCCCGCGACGCTGCTTTCCATCAGCTTCTCCATAAATTCTTCCCTCTCGGCCTTTATCTTTGCTCTCAACTCCTCCATTCAACGCCCGTCAACACTCGCAAACCACTTCGACTCATCCTCACGAACTACTCGCTTCTCACCTCGCTCGTAACACATACTCGCCTCCAACAACACCCCCACCAACCGCAAATATGGATGACTGGGATACCGCCACCAAAATCGGCAGCCGCGCTCGTGGCAACGGTGCTTCGCAGCGCGAGACTGTTGTCCGAGGAAACGCTGCCCTCAACGCTGCTCAGCGAAGCGGTGGTGTTATCGGCACTGAGAAGAAGTACGCTTCTGCCAACGCTGTAAGTCTCTCCCAGTATCCTCGCTCTAGTACTTGCCTCGCCCACTTGGGCTTGTTTTCCCTCATTGTTGCCGCTGCCCCACCAGGAACCTGCCTGAGGTGGCTTTGCATCAGACGGTTTTATCCATCATGACATGTGTCAAGAAATCAACTGACAATCGATTGCTTGCAGGTCTCCAAGGGTGGCGACGGCCAGCGCCTGACCAAGGTCGACCGCTCCGACGATATCATCAAGCCCAACACCGTTGGCAAGGAGGTCGGCGATGTCATCTCCCAAGCCCGGCAGAAGATGGAGCCCAAGATGACCCAGAAGGATCTCGCCACTCGCTGCAACACCACCCAGTCCATCGTCGCCGACTTCGAGCGAGGCTCTGCCCCGCCCGACCAGAAGGTGCTCACCTCCATGGAGCGCGTGCTCAACGTCAAGCTGCGTGGCAGTGACATTGGAGCCCCCAAGTTCCCCAACAAGAAGAAATGAGTGGATAATGAACGTGGGATATGAATTGTAAGAGAGCGCACCAGGGCCGAGTCGAGCGTAGCGAAATGATATCTTGGCTGGGAATCCGGGAGTTTCGTGTGGGCTGTCACGACATTTTTATGACATGGGTGCATGAGACTCGATGAGACGGGTGAGGTTAGATGGCTATGGAGAAGGAGCGGGCTCTTGCCACTCGGTAAAGATGCCCCATATCGTCAGGATGCCTGATGGATGATGCCTACATACAGCTAGCTATTTGAATCAAAATCCCCGTCCAACATAACAAGTTTGTGTATCAATGAGTGAGTGATTTCTCGGCAACACAGAGGCCTTGACACATAGACCCAGGGCCGCTGAACAATCGCGACCAGATTTCCTCTCAAGGAACCCAAATGACTTCAACTCATGCGTCTACTATCCGCTAAAAAGCCTCCATCCTTTGGTTTCCCAGTGTTTGCAACCCATTTGTCGGGTTGTGCAGTAGGGGTCCAACATTGTAACCACACACCAACGTCAACATAGATGTATCATCTACTACGCACCCGACGGGACACTTGCCGCACATATTGGACTTGGGTTGGCACTGTGACATCTCGATTCGAGCATGCTGCAGGCTTGTGGCGGGGCTGCACAAGGATCATGGGCAGCCCAGCCCACCCGTACTTCGAGGCTGCCGGGAGGCATCCCATCTTGCCTTAAAGTCCGTTTTCCATGACAGCCGGTTTCAATCATCAGGTTGCGCTTGTAATTGTAGTGCCCTCGGAGGGTCAGTTCAAGTTTTAAATACGGTCTAATAAGGGTGGCTCTAACACACGAAACAGTGCTCATGGCCACACAATTGCCTGATGACCGTTTGACAAACGAAGATATTGAGTGACTATGATTGAAGAGACAATGGAGTTTCTGGGCCATCGAAGAATGAAAATTAAACAGAACTTCATGCCTTGGTAAACTAACACTAAGTAGAAGGATTTGTTTGACGTAAATGAAGACATAGTCAAGTTCTTGAAGTGGGGTGTAGTTGGCCTGATTAAAACGAAGTGCTTCAAAGTAAATAAATAAAAATTTAATGAGGTATATATGCTATAAAAAAATAGATATCTAACCAATTCACTAGAATAATAGCTAATTATCATCAGGATGGCAGTACATATTTATATGTGCGAATAGCAATACTCATTCTTCATTATCCGGGGAGTTGAACTTAATTCTTTTCGATAAATTTAGCACAGGACCCGTAGGTACCTAAGCTATGGCGGCCATGTCACAGATACACCAGCCAGTGAGCCAACAACTCGGGACAGAAACTGTTCACACAGCTACGTAAACATCAACTTCCTCTAATGACAAGGTCCCTAGGTATTGTTTTTGAGGGATCAGATGATAAGAGCGTAAAATCAGGACGAAGCTACAGGGTAGCCACATCACATCGAGAAGATTCCATATTTCTCGCTAAGGTTCCGATCGTCTAACAGCCATGCGCCTATCATAATAGTCATTCCATGCACCGTTACGCCAGATTATGCCGACACCTTGGCGCTATACTTTGTCGCCGCCTTGTCGAACAGTGCGCTCTTCTCCTCCAAGTCCACCAGGAATTGATGCTTAGGGTTGACCTTCTTGAGGATCCTAGAGGCTGTAAGCAGGTGTGTTACAAGCTCAGGGGGGAAACATACTCAGTTTGCTCTGTAGCATCGATTCCAGAGATGATGTTCAGCACCAACAGGTTGGCAATGGCATCGGCGTGCTCGGCGTCCTTCTGAAGGGCTTGCTCCAACGCGGCCTGGGCCTCCTCCAATCTACCAAGGTGGACTTCGCAAACCGCCTGGGAGACAAGAGTCCGGACCGACGATGTGGCGGCGGCTTGGGCGAGCTCCTCGAATACGTAAAATGCCTGTTGATACTTCTCTCCACCCTGGACGGTGTTAGTAAACATCCAACATTGTAGAGACAAAATTCATACCACTCTCAATCCAACCCATGACTCTGCCAAGTTCACCAGCAGGCTATCCTGGGCCCATCTTCGAGCGCCGGTAACTTCCTTGATGGCAAGGTCGGTTCGGTTTTGTTGCAGGTGGATCTGGGCAATCAAGGCGACGGCATCAACTAGTCGACGTGTCAGTGCAAGCCCGATATTCAGAGAGAGAAAGGTAAAGAGCCCAAGTTCAACTTACGGCTTCCCTGGTGTTGCGACAGCAGCGCGAGCGCTTCCTCGGGCTTGCCAGAAGCCTGGAGCACTGATCCACCGACGATCTGGACAGTCGCATTGTCGGCTGACGATGCAGCCAACTTCTCAACCGTCTTGAGCGCAGAGTCGGTCTTGCCCAAGGTGTACTCGGCGAAAGCTCCTAGAGCCTGGAGATCTGGCTCCTGCTCTCCCTTCACATCGGCAAGGACATCTTCGGCCTGGCCAAGGGCAAGCTGAGCTCGGAGAGTGAGGACGCGCACCGGCAGGGCGTTGTCAGGGGAGAAGGACGAGGTGTCGAAGTCGATGACTTCCTGGTACTGGCCCTGGTGGAAGTGGTTGTGAATGTTGATCAATTCGCCCTCGGTCGAGTAGGGATCCATCTTGGCGGTAGTTGTGAATTCGGCTGTATTTACAAGAATGCGGTTCCGTCCCGTCGCTAAAGAACACCTTGGTGATGCTGCCAGCGAGATCCAATGGTGGGGTCCTCCTTTCATGGGTCCGAGCTCCCCTACAATGTACGTAGCCACACCGAGGTGAGGCGTCGGCCGTTGACACCCCGTAAATCAGGCCGCATTCGTGGCTGGTACACGCGAGAGCCACATCGCCCGATCAGGCATGGCGCCGACCCTAGTTGCCCACAAAGCGAGAAATCACCAAAACCTCCCAATTTCGCACTGACTTCGGAACTTTGCATCACCAAACACCCAAAGGAACGGCACCCGCACAACGTCGTCAAAATGGTACGTCGGAACAACAATCCAAAGCCCCTAACCCTCTCGAACAGAGAGCCGCATCCATCATTCTTTAGAGCAATGCGACAATCGACTCCCCGCACGATGACAGACAGTCTTGATTTGGGAAGTGGGATGAAGTTTTGAGGCGCCGGCACAAAACGATCTTGCGCGACCACCGACCAGCCAGCTGCGAACAACGAAGAAGACCGTCGACGTGGACTCTTCCGCCGTCGAGCGCAATTCGAATATTGACACGAACACCCATACCATGACTGTCTCGTGCGGGAGGCCGATAGCCATTCTCTACTCGGATGGATGCGTGATGGCTAGACGCACAATTTGCAGGCCGCTGACTTGATGGATCACACAGGTCAACATTCCCAAGACCCGAAACACCTACTGCAAGGGCAAGGAGTGCCGCAAGCACACCCAGCACAAGGTGACCCAGTACAAGGCCGGCAAGGCCTCGCTCTTCGCCCAGGGAAAGCGACGATACGACCGAAAGCAGTCCGGTTATGGTGGTCAGACCAAGCCTGTCTTCCACAAGAAGGCCAAGACCACCAAGAAGGTTGTGTTGCGATTGGAGTGCGTCAAGTGCAAGACCAAGCTGCAGTTGTCGCTGAAGCGTTGCAAGCACTTCGAGCTGGGGTATGTGATCCGCGTGTTCTTGAGATCCGTCTTGATGCTAACAACCTGTGTAGTGGTGACAAGAAGACGAAGGGCGCTGCTCTGGTGTTCTAAATGCATTCTGTTTTGGGTCACCATTTCTCATGCTTCTCCTTGGGGGCATTCGGGCATCATGGACACTGGCGAAGGGAGGTACATGTCCTCGGTTGAGGAATGTTTCATAGGGAGTGAATAAAAGAACATCTCTGTGCCTGCATCTTTGGTTTCCACCCTACGTGCCTGAAATGAGCTTAGATGGCAGCTTCCATGAGCATCAAAACCGCAGCGTTTCCCCAATATGGTCCCGCGTGGGGACCATATTCCCCGCTGCCACAAACGTTTTTGCAAACGAAACTTAGAAACTCATCAGCATCTCACACTTGGTTCGCCATTTAAACATCACGTTGATTTCGTCTCCTGTTGTCGAGGTCGACCCTCATCTATGATCTACCACGTGGCTAGTCTAGAATCCTTCTCCCAGCATGATGGTTCGGCCACCTCCGTACCAAAGAGCGCCATTTCGAGCGTCAAGCCCTCTTTCCTGGCCGACAACCCACTCTCCAACGAAATCGGAGTCTGAGTTATCCCAAACTTCCTTCTCCAGCCACTCGTTGATGCTGTCAATAGCCTCGATCCACTTCTCCCTCTTCTCGGGGGTATCGTGATCGTCGTGGTTCAGATACCGACCAAGAGTGATGTGAGCACTGGGAACTTGGTATCTCGACCCAACCTCAATGCCGGCATCCTGGATCTGGTCGAATACATCGCGGCGAAGGTGGTGATAGGTGTACGAATCGCCTTCCGTAATGCCCTCCTTGATCACAGGCCCGACCGGCTCTGGCGAGAGGGGAGACTCTCCCGAGGCAGGGACGAATGAAAGGGCAAAGGCGGACAAGTCGTATGAGACCATGGGCTTGACGATCCGCGATCTGTGCGAGAATGGGTAGTTTACGGTGTTTGGGATCGCTGGTCGCAAGGTAGAGACCAGAGCGGCGATCTCCTCCGGGGTCTTGGAGAATGCAACTTCAAGCACGGTCATGTGCATTCTATGAGCGGGCATCATCCAAACGCCTGCCAAGTGTGTTAACTACTGCTTTATAGAGTTATTCGATGTACTCACTAGGGGCGGCTTTCTTCAGCAACTCCTGGACTTTCACCGCCAGCTCAATAACATGGTTAGGCGGTCTAGCCCAGAAAACCATGCAGTTCCGCTCATCACGAAAGCCAGGCTGGACGGTTGGGACTTCCAGTCTGAGAAGATACTGGTCAATGACAAGTTCTTTGAAATCGGAAGCCAGAAACTTTTTTTTTTGCTGGGCGTTTCTCTTGGTCCGGTGAGCAGAGTAGAGAGCTTGAATCTCAGCCTAACATCATGGCCTCAAGTTAGCAGGTACATTGAGCGAGACGTGCTTGGAAGCCCACTCACGGGCTTTTCGTCACAAGCTTTGATCAAGGCCATGTACGGGTTCTCTCCAGGCTTAAGTACAATGCCCGAGAGGTCCTCGAGCTTGTTCTGTGCGTCAGGCAATGGGAGTTGTCCGGTCATTTTGGAGGCTGAAGTTGCAATCGACTCAAGTTTCTCAAACCAGAGGCTGTTCTATCCAGAAGCAAAGCTGAAGCGACTCTAAGGAGATGTTGCGGTGAATGCAATAAAATCTAGAGTGTCGTCGGGGCATCTAAGTTATTTGTACTCGGCAGCTTGTTGCAGTAGTGACTCTGAAGTTCACGTGGAGATAATGTGAGATGACTAAGAGCTGTCTGCCGCGCAACATGTAATTTTACCATGAGATGCTCCCCGTTCTTGGTTTCAGGTGCAAGAGCTAGCTATTATTACTTCCCGTGTTGCAAAGGGCGCAGGCTGATAATAGTTGTAAAGCCTTGGCAATTCATCTTGATGTGTGACTGTTGGGGTTAGAGGAAGAAACCCACATCTTGCTCAGCCTCCCCCTCGCCAGGTGAGCGATATTGAGGTGTCTATTAATGGAAGCTCAATTTGCGATGGGAAGAGGGAAATTAAAGCACAGAAACCAATTTCCCCAGCCGCTCTTTGATCGTGGGGACCCTCACTTTGATGTTTGACTCATCTGAACCTTTCGACTCGAATATGGCTAGCTGACAATCCTCCACCGCGACTCCGCTCGAGAACTGCACAACCAGAAAGTCCAGAGACGTCCCGGGTTCACCCAAAGTCGCCATTGGGGCATGCCACGTTCCAGCTCCATACGTCACAGCTTGCTTGCTCGTAGCCAGGAAGGCTTTCAGTCCCCGCAGGTCAGGCAATCCCCTCCCAGGTAGGCCGTCGCCACTGGGCACAGGGAGGCCTTCATCTGACGGCCCAGGCGGTAGAGTCGGTGCCACAATGACCAAGTAAGCCGAGGCGCTCGATGCCAGCGGGGCGAACGTCTGGGATGTAAATGGGTGTCGCTCCAGGACGCCAACGGTGAACTCGCCCTGCGAGGGGCTGCTCGTGGCTGCGAGCTGGCGAGTCCCACAGACGAATTGGCTCATGATAAGCTGGCCATCGCCGCTTGGTGCTTGGGCATACAGGTTCCGGGGCCGGCTGACGTGTCGATACTGGATTGCGGTGCCTTGGTTTGCGGAAACTCCGTCGTAGGGAAGCTGGCCGCCATGTGATGCGTATGTTGTGGGGTGTAGGTCTGGCCGAGGGTTGGTGACGACGTCGCCAAACGACGCAAACGCTTCCTGGGTCAGGGGCTCAGCGGTGATTTGGACACCAAGGTCTCCGATTTGTATTTCCACAGACATCTCGGTGGTGTTCGAATTTTCTTGGTGCGATTAATCGGTCAAGAGAGTAAAAGGACTCGTGGAATGACGGTTCCTATCTCGGTACAGTGAAATGTAAACAGTGTTTGCCCCACTGACACGGTCCCGGAAAGCGGAGATGCCCGTGCGAGAGTCGTTTGGTAGAGGGCACAATTGAGTTGCAGATATGTTTTAAAGTCCGATCGAGGGTTATATTTGATAATAATATATACTCGAAGCCAAATATTCAGTCAAATGCTGGTATTCTGGGCTAGAACCTAACGTGTGGGAAAGATGATAAGGGGGCTCACATGTTCAATGTCTGAAGGTATTAATCAATCGCAGCATTGTGGTCATCTCAGTTCCACGAGGAAACATTCCTACGATCAGAAGTCAAAAATACGCACACCGATAGACCCTTGCCCAACTAAATTTCTCCGGGACCTTTCTCCAATCTCAAGGATGCACAAAGTCTAGTTTGGACTAGATTGGGTTGTAAGTTATAGCCAAGGCCACAAAACTACCCTATAGCGGCAGACCATTGAACTGCGGCTTCTATGTGTTCCCAACGTAAAGTAAAGTGTGCAATTGAACCTGCATGTGGTTTATTAAGCTGAAAGCAACTGCCTAATTAGTTCTCCGAGTCTTTGAGTTATGTGTGAACTCACGCAGATCTCGGCTGGGTACTTGATTACACCGGGGAGCGGAATTTCCAATAGGCGTCTGGGGTAATCGAAATGACCGTCAACCTAAAGCCGTCGAATGATTAGCAATCGACCAACTTCTGAAGGCTTTATCCCCCAAACACAACTGCAACAAACAGTTCATCCCCGCGTGTCCTGGTTTGGAATGCTCCGCTATCGCTCCCAGTTGTCCCCGCCAATTGGCTCCACCCTTCGCGATCTGCGATGCCCCGGAAGCAGGATGCCGAATGGAGGCCCCCAGTCCCGCCCAAATCCCGTGAATCCCGTGGGGGAAGAGTCTCCAGGCGCTGCTTATCTCATTCGTCGTAGGTATCTTTGTTGGATGACGAATTTGCTGTGAAAAGATTCAACCTTCAACCAACTTTCGCCACAGAGCACTTTTGACGACGCCTTCTTCTACTGGACCATAGACATCCGGTTTCCGGCACCAACCAGTTACACAAACCTCTCACCGAAATATCGCCATCTTTCTTACGAAGCTTTATTTTTTTCATCTCTGACCGTCACTTGCCTTGTTTAATTACGCCCTCAACTGCGGCGCAACTGGGATAGATGGTGTATGACAGGGTTGACAGCGACGATGAGTCCGAACTCTCGGACAACCTCGACTTGACGGAATGGCAGGATGAGTCGAGTCGTGAAGTCGACCATGATGGACTGGCACGACTAGCCACCGAGCACGATGAACCGCTGCCTTCAAGTCCCATCGCCCCAAAGACAAATCACAATGCGCCGGTGGCGTGGAGGGATCTGCCTCGAAAAAAGCAGCTCCTCGTCATCACGTTGGCCCGCATGAGTGAGCCGCTCGTTCAGTCCTCGCTCCAGGTATGATAGCTAAAACACCTCGATAAACCCCCTCGCTATAGACATATACTAACCAAGATCGGGCAGGCATACATGTTCTATCAACTCAAGTGGTTCGACGAATCGCTTCCGGACTCGACCATCGCCACGCAAGCCGGCATACTGTATGCCAGCTTTACTGCCGCACAGTTCGTCACGGCCATGATTTGGGGCCGTGTTGCCGACTCCCCGCGCGCCGGCCGCAAGACTGTCTTGCTCATCGGGCTGTTTGGAACATGTGTGTCGTGCTTGGGGTTTGGCTTCTCCACGACCTTTTGGCAGGCCCTTTTATTTCGCATTATTGGCGGAGTGACGAACGGCAACGTCGGCGTCATGCGCACCATGTTCGTCCCCCTGTGTCAAGTCCTATTGCACGTCAGGTCACTAACACATAGTCTAACAGGATCAGCGAGATAATACGGGAGAAGAAATATCAGTCTCGGGCGTTCCTCCTGCTTCCCATGACGTTCAACGTCGGCGTCATCATCGGCCCCATCCTCGGTGGCATCCTCTCCGACCCGGCGGGGAGTTACCCAGACCTTTTCGGCAAGGTTAATTTCTTCCTCAAGTTTCCCTACGCGACGCCCAACATCGTCAGCTCAGTCTTCCTCGCCATCGCAACCTTGGCCGTGTGGCTCGGCCTGGAGGAGACCCACGATGTGTTGCGCGACGGGCGGCCTGACCTGGGCACGAGGGTCGGTCGGAAGCTTGTTGCACTGCTTCGATCGAGGTTCTCGAGATCTGGGGGAGTTGGTTACTCTGCCATTCCTAGCTCGGAAGTTGAACTGGTAGAGGGCGAAACTGCGGCGAAGCGCCCCATGAGACGGTATACACAGCGGCTTCCATTCCGTCGCATGTTCACCCGCAATGTCACTATGACTCTGGCTGCAAACTTCCTCATGGGTGTTCATATGGGGAGCTTCAACTCACTGTGGTTTGTCTTCCTCTCTACCCCAGTTTGGGATCCACAGACATCCCAACACAAACAGCGCCTCCCGTTCCTCTTTACTGGCGGGCTGGGCCTTCAACCCCAGTCCGTGGGCGTAGCCATGGCGATCCTGGGCATGATCGGCATCACACTCCAGCTGGTTTTGTATCCACGGATATCCGGACGTCTGGGGACCATCAGGTCGTGGCGGATTTCTCTGCTCTGCTTCCCCGTTACATATTTCCTCGTCCCATACCTCTCCGTCGTGCCCAGCAGCGAATCATCCCCGCCACCAGGTCCTAAAGGAGGACTACTTATCTGGCTCGCGATAGTTGGGGTGCTCTCGGTCCAGGTCATGGGCCGCACCTTTGCTATCCCGGGCCAGACTATCCTTGTCAACAACTGTTCGCCCCATCCCAGCGTGCTGGGGTCGATCCACGGGGTGGGACAAAGTGTGAATAGTGCCTCGAGGACAGTCGGGCCTATGATTGGAGGAGTGATATATGGCTACGGTCTCAACAAAGGAGTCGTGGGTCTCGTATGGTGGATTTTGAGCTGCTTTGGGATTTGCGGCATCTTGGCTAGTTTACTAGTCAGGGAGGGAAATGGACACGAGATTTGGCTTGAGGGCGACGAGGAAGAACCGTCGGTTGGAAATCCAACAGGCGAGCGTGTACGGACAGTTTAGCGCAGTGTCATCGAGGGTTGTATAGACGAGGGCGACTATCAAGTAGTATGATAGCAACGGCCGCGCTAGAGCGACGACCGTTCAATATATAGCCATATATCCATCGCTCGACTTCTTTTCGCTCCCGGAGAGTCTAAGTTGTCGTAGAGTTTGGCGCGGCTCTCCCTTCGTAAATGGTCTTGGTCGTCTTCCATCAGACTTGAAAAATATTGTGATTAAGTTTATTGGATGTTAAAATCAATCCATCCTCCGCCCTCTTCTTATCCCAATCTTCACCCAGCCATCTAGTGCTGTGCATGGATCTCCTCCTCTAGGACTGGTTGTCACTTAGGGTCTTTTGCTGGCTAATTGGAACTCGGGTTGCAGATTTCACTACGTATGCCGCATAGTCAAACCCGCCTATTATCTCATTACTTGCTCTTCTCATAAAATCATATTATTTAGCCACAACGCCGAAACGAATAGGTAGCCTTGATCCTAATCGCCTTGTTGGTACACACGTGCTCGACGGCGTTCCATTGGAACCACTGGCCGCGAATACACCTCCCCAATAACCGCTGAACGCCAGGTCTCTACTTAAGAGTGAACCAATTTAAGTAAACTCCCTCGGCCGTGCCTGGCTCCCCAAGTCGAGGTCCACGTCGTCGTCTTTGCGACCAGACTGCCGCCAGGGCGTCGTGGGAGACACAGAGCGGAGTCCAATATGAGCCGATGAGGCATCGTAGCTTGGCGGAGGATCGGACATGTATTCTGAGTGTTGCGCAGGAGCAGGCTGTTGTCGCCAGGGCTCTGGGTTGTAGCCATATGCGGGAGGCATGCGCTTCGGGCCTCGCTTCTTGCTGTCGACAAATTTTTGACCAAACAAAAAGACAAGGGAGAGGAAGAACATGAAGATGACAATGGCGGCAAGGATCATGCCATATTTGCGGTTCACGGCAAAGGTGAAGCCACTGCGAACAGGTTAGCAATGGCGGGACGTCAAGCAAGGGTTGAATACGTACATGAAGCAATTCATTGTGCCGACGAAGATAATGATGCGCCCAACCCAAATGTGGATTCTGCCATACTGGGTAGGGGCCTGGGTCTTTTTGTATTGGGTATGATGGAAGAAGCCTAGACCGAATTGTGCAAGCAGCAAAGCAATGACGACAAACCCAATGATCTGGTGGGAAGAGTCGAAGCTACGAGACTATGATTGATGTTAGCGACTGCATGGTGGCCATTGCCTGGGATAACCTACCCGTTGGTAGTAGAAGCTGTTGACGATGCCCAATGCGGTCGACGCGAAGGCACCAACCATGGCAACCGTCTGGTTCAGAGCATGCCACTTCCATGAGGTTCCGTTCCGAAGAAGGGCCACGCCAAGGGGCATGGCAATGGCGATGCACAGAATCATGGTGATGCCGTGCAGAGGCGTCTTCCAGTTGGGTGCGGCCTTGGTGAAGCTGAGTTGCTCTGCGCCGACGGTCTTGGAGTCCTTGGTCAGGACGGGAGTGTCAGAGCCCTCGGTCCGCTTCAGGTCGATGGTGAAGGTGCCGTATCCCTGGTGGTACTTGAGCGGGGCATCCATCCTGTCACTGTTGAAGCCCTCCTTGGGGCCATAGGCGTAAATGGCCTTTACGTTGGACGACGAGACATCCATATACCCACTGGACGTGCCGCCAGCTGGCCAGCTGCGACAGTGCTTGGAGCATTTTACGGTGACTGTCATGTACCCATTGTCGAGGCCAGTGCCGTTGAGCAGTTCGTATTCCATCTCGTCAAAGTACTTGGGTTCGTAGTGACCGTAGGCGAGGCGTGGGGAGAAGGTGACGCCGGTGGTGCGCTCGTTTCTATATATGACCAGGTACAGGGCGCCGGGCATGTCGTCGCTACCCAGGCCAACAGCGGCCCAGGAGATGTGCTGGCTAGTGCGGATACTGAAGTAGACATCGGTGCCGTGGTTTTCGCCGACGGTAATGGCGAATGCGACGTTGCCATCGGAGGAGACGAAGGTCGACTGGCTACCTTCGTTTTTGTCTTTGGCCAGGACGGAGGGTAATAGGCCTGAGAAGAGCAGGCGCTGGGTTAGTCGAAGAATTCACTGGGAATTGCGAGAATCAAGGGAGGGTCCAGCTGGCGAGAATCACGTACTTGCGGCCGCGGCCAGGGCGAGACGCCCAATGTTGCGAAGGAGCATGTTCGTTGAGGAGCTGGAGGAGCTGGAGGAGCTGGAGGAGCTGGAGGAGCGGGATGCAGGACACGAGATGCAGGACACGGGACTCGAGACACGCGGTGCAGTCTTGAGATCCAAGCTGCTTGGCGAGGCGAGTGACGAGGACCAAGGCCAAGACGGTGAAAAAGGGAGAAAGGGACTGGAATCGAGTGAGTGGAAACGCGGTTGGGAAATATGCTGCCCTCAGGTGGCTTTCTGCCCTACGCCGGAAAGGAGACGCGCCGCTGAGGCTCGGCCGGCGTTCGGGTGGTTGAGATTCACTGCTAATTTCGCCAGCCAGGATCCTCCCGCATTTGGGCTATGACGACACATGTGACACGGGCGATGTACTTCGTAGTAGCTGTCTATTCGTATTCCGGCGCACTAGAGCTGGAGCGAGAAGTGGTATGAGGGCGTGTGGTTTTAATATTGCTCGTAATCGCGGCATTGTGGGTTGTAGTCGACACCTGCAGCTGCACTTACAGCGTCATGACAGCGTCAATCCCTCGTAGCACATGCTTCCGAAGCCCACCACCAGCGAACTACTCCGTACAGTAGCAACGAATGCTCTTCCCAGTGCTCGGTCCCCAGGCGCGGACTGACAGGTCGATGCCACTATCGGATGCATCCCGAGATTGGTGGGTCTGGGCTCCAGTAAACAAGCAAAAGCCAATCCGGAGGCCCCTGTATGTGCGCTGACCAAAGCCTGACCCCTGAATGAATTCGTCTTCCCGGCATTTTAAGTTGGGTTGCCTTATCACGAGATGGGACTAGCGGCTCTGGCGAGGTGCGTAGGTACTTCGCATTTTGTGCCTGATGCAGTGACATCTCGCCATGGAGATGGAGCCCGGCCGAAAGGGAAGCCGCCTCGCCATGGCCCCGGAGGAGCGACGGCCGCCTGAGAGCCATTGGGTACGAGGAAAGACCAGGGTGAAGCTCACACAGAAATTATTTCCAGTATCTAAAGGCTATTTTGTTATCAAGACATGCGTACTACGTTAGCACATCCGGTCGCGTTCTCCTTCTTCTGATAGGCTACTTGCCCCCTTCCCGGTCCTCCCTGCAACCCCAGGTCCATTGTCTAATTAGACTGAAATTGCCATGCCAGCACCGCGGATTCCTCGGAGCAGAGGGCACTTTATTTTTATTTTTTTACAAAAAAAGTCATGTGTATCGTACTATAGACTTCTGGTATAGAATCTGCTGAAGTGGTATTCATACTGGTCAAGTCAAATTGAACTACTCCGTCAAGGTACTAGGGAGAATGCGACATCCTCTATCGGCTGATAGATGGATCATTGCTAGTCAAGTGAAGGGGGCTTTTTGAATGGTAGAGGATTTAAGAGTCAACTGGAACAAGGAGAGGCAAGAGTGAGAAGGTGACGAGGTTAAATGTAATTTATGTTGTCGTGTTGGCACGGAGTTCCACAGTTGAAAGAAAGCACCTTTCTGTGTGGGTACCAGTGCGAGTAAATTGTGCCAACCAACATTCTCACCTGACAACCCAGGGTATCATCCTAGAGCAGGTCGCTGACAGTAGAGCAGGCGACTTTCGCATAGTTAATTAGGCTAGCCTCTTGCGTGTTCAAAATCTTATTTGCATTTATATCGATTCATTGTGTTCCAACTCCGAAAACGCCACACCTCACTCAACACGCCGATTTCTTCAAACAGGCTCATCCAGGTATCATGAATTCCAATCAACCAAAACGTCGTTTTACAGCCCATTCAGTGACACTTGCATGTCAATCGCATCTCCAATATTAATCCAATCCAACTATAATAGTCATCATCAGTATCATGCCTTAGCGACACCCATCGGAAGACTCACAAGAACAACGTTGGGTTTCTCCCCCCACTGGCCCTCACACAGGTCGACCTGCTTCTGAATCGACTCCTCCGAATTGGTTTCGTCGGCGGCTTCTTGCTTTGGGACTGCGATGCCGAGAAGATCATAGTTGAGCATGTGGTTCATTATGCCCATCAGTTCGCTCGGGTCGCCGTTTTCTGGACGGTCGACCTCGCAGGTCGGGAAGTCGGAGTCGGTTTCGCCAAATGGCGTCTCCCAGAAGTAGTCAAATTCGTTGATAATATAGTCAACCTTGCTTTCGTCCATGTTGTAGTCTTGGAGTGTCAGCTTGGATTAAATTGGTTGAAGTAGAGGTGATGAAGCATACCCATGAATACGATAAGTCGGGTTCCATCATCCAAGAGCTTTTGAAGAGTTGGCCATTCGTCGAGAGCCATTTTCTTCTCAGGGTGGAAAACGTATTGTTTCAGCCCCGTACTGTCGAAGGCGTCGTCAAACATCGTCACGGATATGGCGTCAATGTTGGTGAGGAGCATCGTCACCACCTCATCTGGGTTCTTGCCCATCCAGTCGGCAACTTCCTGGAGATATTGCGTCAAGGGACCCTCGTCCAGTTCCCAGCAATAGGTGTGGCACATCTCTATCTCGCCATCCTTGTCTTGCGTCTGCGCTTGCAGGAACCGCACACCGAGATCAAGCTGCTCCGTCACCGACTTGTATTGGTTGTGTACCGGCGTGATACCGACGAAGGCACTGTTATGTGAACCCACAAAACTAATGTCCGAATACTTGCGGTCGCAGAGATCATCATGGCCGTTGCAGGCGGCCAGCGCTGCTCCAACAAAGGGGACAACGGATAAGAAACGCATAGTGTGAAGAAACAAAGGGATGAACGAAACTGCGGAAATGCGAAAGCTTGGATGATCGACAGGTTTATACGCGGGTTGAGACTCTGATATACAATATGGCATTCGATATACCCAAGACACTTGCTTGGATGAGGTGCCTTCTCAGCGAATCATGTACGCACATTTCATTTGACCCTAGGAACAGGGGCAGACAATACTCAGAGACTTGGCCTGGGGAGCATCCGCTTGGACAGACTCGCTGTCTCACATGTCGGATTGCGGGCTGGCATTGGCATGGTCGTGGCGCAGCTTGCCAGCCTCCTGCCTCTATGGGCGACGGAACCTGATCCCTCAATAGGAGTTTGATGACCAGAGGTTGCAATAGCCACCTTAACAGGAGAATGATGAACGCGGTGGCTGAGTAGCCTCGGCTGCGAGAGGGAGCAGATATGAAGGTTGATTCGATGGTTCCTTGTTTGGTGGGCGGGAAGTGAAACATGGGGGCACTATATCGGGCTAATATGGGACGCTGACCGGCTGATGAAGATGTTCAGGGACGGGAAAAGGCACTAAGTGGGAATTTGTTTTGTCGCTCGAGGCCGCCATGTTGCATTCGGCCTTCGCCAGGTTTCATGCGTGTAAAGCGATCAGCTTGCATTGATGAGGATGGATTCCTGGGGCGGAGGGACGCTTGGGTGCGCATCTGCCACGAGCCTGCATGGAATACAGCATGGGTGCCTGTCTTTAGCTGGCGTATCAATTCTCCAATCCTGCATTTTTGACGTGACGTGTACTGAGGTTCCAAGTCGGTCCGGGGGGAAGGGTGGTTGAGTCGGATTTGATGCCAAATCTAAGTATTTCTGAGTGTAGTGTTGTCGAATGCCACCCCTGCTGATGGAGGGGATCGTGGAAATAAAGTGCTGGGGTTATCAATGATGTCAAGATACTGGGGAAGCCGAAAACACCTAAAACAGGGAATCGCAGCCCAACGTCTTTCGGAGGCGTTCTGGCTTGGTCTTTAATTGGCGTTGACGACCCCAAAGCCCCTAAACCGGAAAGTCAGTCGCTAGGTACTAGGCAGAAAGCCGCCGGGTGGTAAGCCGACAGCGAAAGCTACGTGCTACCTAATTAGGGACCAACCGCCCTACGAATGTGTGACCCACTCTGACGCAGGCGCATCCCGCTCTGCATCCTTTCAACGGCGCGCCTGTGATCCTTCAACAAAGTGGCCACGTCTTTGGGCCTTTGATCAACTCCAACTCCAACCTTCACCAACCGCCCTTGAATGCTCTCTCCGCATCCCAACAGCATCCTGTGATGCTCCCGCGCCTACCATGTCTGGATATCTCTCCATGCTAGGCTGGGCCTTCCTGCCCGGTGTATGTTTCCCCTCTATTCTTTCACATTTGTCACCGCACCGTGATACCTAGCATCACAATAGCTAACGCGTTCTCCCACAACAGCTCGCAACCTCTTGGATTCAGACCATCTACTATGGCGTTACTATTCGCGCCGGCGACCCCAAGCCCGCCCCCGGCTCCGTTCGGTTCAACACCCACCGCCGCATTATACACATCCTCGTCATCGCCACATACCTTCTCTACACCATCTACGAGGCCGACTACGACCAGCGCCGCGAACCATCCTACTACGCCGACCTCGGCGTCTCCTTTACCGCACACGACCGCGAGATAAAATCGCGTTTCCGCCGCCTCGCCGCTCTTCACCATCCTGACAAGGCTGGCGCCAACGCTCCGGACTCGGCCGCCTTCTTCATGCACCTCAAGCAGGCCAGCGACACCCTCCAAGACACAGCCAAGCGCTTTGCCTACGAGCGCTTTGGGCCTGAGATTGCGCGCTGGCAGAAGTGCATCACCATCAAGGACTTTGTGTCTCGCGGTGTTATCTCTGGCATCCTGCCTCATTACGGCGTTGCTGCCGCCTCCATTTATATCCTAGGCCTTTTTGGCTACATGGAGTTTGGAAAATACTACCGCTGGCTCATCCTGCTTACGCTGTGTACGTTTGAGCTCCATACCGTCACGCGCCCTGACTTCCCTCCCTTTGTCACGGGCATCAACGCTATCCTCACTCGGGTTACCACCCACCACCCTTACCTCCCCTTCCAGATCATATCGCTGGCCCGGAAGCTCACAATTACTGGCTACATCGCACTCGCCCAGATCGGCCCGCTCCTTGCGATACAGTTTAACGGCGATCAGAAGGCTGCCGAGGAGACTGAAGAGAAGGCGCTCAAGCAGAATCTGGATCGCCTCGAGGCGTTTTCCAAGCAGCTTGATGGTGATGCCGTGCGGCTGCTGGACATGGAGTTGGCTCCGTACAAGGGCGATGCCGAGGCGACGTCTAATCTACAGGGAAAGATGAGGGAGTGGTTGGTGCAGAACACGATCCGGGCCGATCCGATGGTTAGGGACGCGCTGGGGACTTCGTTGAAGCGGAGGAGGGTTGATGCTCCATCTGGCGCCAAGGGCAATCGATAAAATCTAGACAAAGACAACCTATTATACCTAAATAGACCAAATAATTTACAAAATAAACAAGACGACCAAACCGTCCATCGGTCTCCAGTGTCATCAACCACCGGCTTGAAACCGACGGATAACCATGGAGGACATCGTTTGAAGAAAGTTTGAAATAGCAGCTGGACAAGATTCTACGTATCGTGAAAAAAGGAGGGAAGATACTGGCCACAGTGCGTTTCGAACTTTGCGGGCGGTCTCTGCATCCCAAATCTGAAGCGAAGAATGGGTGTTATTTCAGCATGTCAAGGATACAGAGACTGACACTCGCTCTGAATCCCAGTTGAACACTCAGACTCACAACGGCACCCAGCCCAACCTTCAAGGTGAATTGCCCAAGTATACAACCGCAAGAGTGCTAGCGTTTAAGAAATATAAAAAGACAAAATAAAAGAGGATTGCTGTTCGCCCACATTCGTTGCCATTTGCTCGCTCAAGACATACCCTAATTCTGAAAGTAAGTGATGATCATGCACTGTAAGAAAAGTATTTCAGAAAAATCAATAAGGAAACCCTGACTCTTGACATTTATCCTTTCGAATTGAACTTGTTAAGTTTCCTGGATTCAGTACATGGAATACGCTGAGACTTGTAGGTGAAACATGTGTGTGCGAATAGTAATAATCTATGTAAACGGCTGAATGACGGCACTATACTGAGGGTCTATACATAGTAAGTTTATTCCAGGTCGTTGAAGGCATTATGCCCATATCATGTGATGCCCTCCCCCTTAACTGACATGCCCTACGGTGTTGGCGCACTGCGCCCATTAGAAAAAGTTGGTTGTATTACAGCCTTTCGGCGCCTCTAGTCTCGATGGGAATCATGCACATGCCAATAAATGCTGACAGGATCAACGCTGCGGACATGTAAATGGGTGTGGTGGCGCCATCTCCCGGGACCGTGGCAGCTAACACGGGGGCCATTAGGCCAGTGATGCGGTTGAGGAAACTCGCGACACCTGTACCCGCGCCGCGGACTGGCGCGGGGAATATCTCTGGCGTTATTGTGTAAAGAACGCCATACATAATATTCTGTGAGAAGGCCTCGACGCAGGAAAAGAAAAGCTGGGTGGATGGGGTGGTGCCGTAGATGACGAAGAGAAAGAGGAAGATGGCCGAGATGAAAGTGGAGCTGGCGAGAGTGCCACGACGACCGAGGAAAGGGGACGGGTGATCGACGAGATAGGCGGCTAGAAGGCTGCCAGGGACGCCCATGATGGACGTTATGGCATAGTTTCGGTATGTTGCGGCAGAGATGGCAGCCGTCTCGGACTGGAATGAATCGGCATCGGCATCAGCGTGCGTGCGAGCAAAGTACTGAGGGAGAAAGGCGTTGAATAGGGGGTAGCCCATGCCTATGGTCGCCCAGCAGAACCAGATGAGCACCGTGGTTATCCCTAGGGTCTTCGTCTTAAACAGAGGTTTAAGCCGCTCACCGGAGAAACCCTTGAGCTTCCCCATGATGACGCCGGAGGTGGCGTGTGAGGGTATCTGCGACACGGCACTGGAGCTGCCTGGCTCGTCGTCGCTGCAGGCGACCTGATCGAGGAGCTCTGACGTCAACCAAGTCTTGGTGTGGTTGCGGAACGCGAGGCCGTGGACAACGGCGACGGCCTCGTTCTGACGGCCCTTGTTGAGGAGGAACTTGGGCGATTCGAAGAGGTGGAAGATGAAGAACCGAATGACGAACATGGCAAAGGTGATGATGCCAATGGTGACGACAAAATACCGCCAGCCCTGCTCAACCGGCCAGCGCGCGATGAAGTACCACGCAACGAGAGACGCGACGAGCTGGCCGATCGGCCACCACACGGAGAGCAGGGTCAACAGGGCGCTGGAGGCGTCGGGCAGGAACTCGAGGAACAAGGCGCCGTCGACGGGCAGACTGCCGCCGACGCCGAAGCCAAGGGCGCCGAAGAGGAAGCAGACGGCGCCCCAGCTCTGCGCGTAGGCGGCCATGATGCCGAAGACGCTGGTGATGAGCAGCGTCGTGTTGAAGGCGATGCGGCGCCCGAGGAAGTCGGAGCCAATGCCCCAGAAGAAGCTGCCCGCCGAGAGGCCGACGAAGAGGGCGCTCGTCGTGTATCGGACTGTCTTCTCGTGGACGCCGAATTCGGCTGAGAGGGATGGGAGAGTTAGAGAAACACCCTATGTCTGTCAGTATTGATGGTGGGCAGATAAGGCAATCCCAGTGTGATGCTCACTTGTAGCCATAGACTGAGTCTCTCGTTAGCATAGTTGTTGGCATGTCGGAATGAAATGAATCAAACTTACTTATCGGCTAGCCACCCAAAGCCGCAGAGGGTGAAGAGTTGCCAATTGTAGCTTCCCATCCCGATATCTCCAATCGCCTTGTTGATGAGTTTCGATTTGACTGTTTCTCCCGTTAGTTGAATCCATCACTTCGTATTGCTACCAACTCACTCTCATATGTTGTCCACCGTCCCTGTCGCCCTTCTCTCATCTCTCTGCGCAGGCCTTCGATGGTGTACCCGCCGACATTCTTCTGGAGCATGCCCTGCATCTCATAGTCCCCATCCTTGGTTTCCTCATCATCTAGTTGGTCGTCATCCTGGGTTTGAGACCTTGCCTTCTTGCCTGACTTGGCCGATTGGCCATAGAGATGGGCCTGTTCCAAGGGCACAAGAACTCCGACGTAGTCATCCACCGATTCAACGTGCCCCATACCCAGTCGCCATGAGATCCTCATCGCCGCAATCGTTTTGTAAAATTCCGTCCCAGCCAGCGCCACCGAAAAACAGCATGTATAAAGTCTCGGAGTAATGTAAGACACACGTGACTACCTGCCACTTTTAGCCTGGCTAGGGGGTGAGGATTGTTGGAAGTTATTTGGAAAGTTATGTACGTCAGTGCCTACGTCACCTCGCGATGAGGTTGTGGGTGACGGAGTCGTCTTTTACTGCGTCAAAGGGCCGCAAAGGTGATATATGGGAAAAGCATCAAGATAACCGGATGTAAAGGAGCGTGATAAATGAACGATATGTCGAGCTGATGACACAATGGAGGATGTGAGGTGAAACAAGGTTGCGAGAGGACAAGTCAGACAGTAATAATAGGAGTTGGCGGTTTATTCCCCATATTATCTTACCTTGGCAGGGGGCATGCGCTAGTGAAGCCATGTTAGTGGCCGTTTGGGGCACCGTGACCTGCACAGTGGGCTTGGCTATCGAGATGCCTCGCATTGCTTCAGTCCCTCCGCCCTGGAATGTCGCCTTCAGGCGAAGAGGGTATGGGATGTGGAAATTACGTGCGTAGGTAGTAGGCGACTACTCCGTACGTATTATGGCATTGCCAATTGCCATCCATCTTTGAACATGCCCACTCGACCTCTGCACTGTGCGGAGTGCCTCAGCATTTTCTTCAATTTCGCACTCCGTATCAATCGCGTAGACGCTGCCTGTCGTGGCAGCTGACGACGACATGCCTCTGGGGTTTGCCCCTGCAGGCATGACAAGTTACTGACCCAAGTTCATGATGCTCAGGTGGATGGTATGTGGGCCGCCGTATTTTTGAGTAGCCTTGGTCACTTGAGAAAAATACTGCTGAGAAGAAAGAACCAAGAAGGCTGGATAAGACTGATTAGTTATAAATTGGCATGGTATTGGCGTCTACCGTGCCGTGCGTCTCCCTCCATCTCGCTTGGAATTGGCCGTTCGTTGATGCCGGAGGCCACCCACCGTGTTAGGGTGGAGCGCCTCTCTTACATTTTCAACTCCACATCGCACAGGTCCTCATATGTCGAGATTCAAAATGCGCCAGCGTCGAACTAGCACTCAGCTACAGTACGGAGAAGTTAAATTCTTGTCTGGGGTACAGGACATGTCCTGTTTTCGGTAAGTTGTTGGGTATGGCGGAATTAATCTCAAGCTACGAGGGGCTTGTTTTATTTCCGAACCGGACCCTGTTGCTGATCGACTGGGGCGGGTGGTGACGTCGTGCAAGTTCTCGTGCTCATGGCATTTGAGAGCAAACAACGCTCTTATCATTTAACTCGTAATTCCGGACAGATAAATCAAATCCATCTGGATTGAAACCTACAACTCCAATACTCCATATCGCTTCCCCCCTTCCATGCCGAAATTGTCAAGACCGTAGGCCACCTTTCAGTCCTCATCTTCGTCACTGGTTGCGTCGATATTGGCCTTGTCCGATTTCGACCTGTCTTTCTTAGGCTTTGAGGTTGGGATGAGAGCGGTCGACGTGGGCTCATCAGATTCGTCAATAGTGTTGCCGAGGTCACGTAAAGCGGCATTGATAGCCGGGACTGCCTTGAGCAGGGCCGTGTATTGTTCGACGGAGAGGGAGATGCCCTGACAAACTTGGTAAGTAATCACTTCAGGGTCCAGGGAATACGGATAAATTCACCTTCTTTCCCGGGAGCGTCTTGCCGTCCTTCTCGTAGAACTCTCGGATATTGATGAGACTTATCTTCTTGAACTGCGAGACTCCCACCCGACGCTTATTTGACAGCTGATGTATATTAGTGCTTGGCTACTTGACCACCTCGGCTTGATGCGCATACCTCCCAGAAGGGGTTTCCTTCGTCATCTTTGCCATGCGAACCAGCGCCCGAAGAGGAGCCCTTTGCCTTCTTGGCTGGCTTTGGCGCAATGCTGGAGCCCCCCTCGTCATCCTCGACCATGCTCGCACTGCGCTTCTTGGAATACTTTGACATTTTGCCGGTGTCGCGTCGCGTCGCGCAGGATGTTTTCAGTTGCAAAATACCGAGTTGAGGATTGCGACACGACCTCTAGCGGGGAGTGGGATGGAATGTCTTGGACAGATGCAGTCGCGATGGATCGACATGGAGGGAGTCCAAGTCAGCGCTCGGGAACGCGTTTGGCGCGCAATGAGACGGCTCCATCTGGAAACGCCAACACACGTGACACACATTACAGAGGGAGGTGGGGTAGCTCATCTCAACTGATAGTGGGATCGCTGGGGTGGGCCGTATTCGTAGTATTCCTTGTTCATATGGAGGTTATGCAATCTTGCTTTGCTCGCTTAAGTGGTGTAATCTACCTCGTACCGTCCATGAAGCAGCTTCAGTCGCCACGGGGAGAGGTTCGTATTCAGAGGACTCAAGAAGCGAAGTGGGCAAGGAGAAAAAAATACGAATTGACCAGGAATGAAGCGATAAATACGTAGCTGCATGTTTCGTGTTTCCCTTTGGTGGAGTGAGTGGACGGGGCAGGGCGGCTTTGCTGGCTTTGGCGTGTGGATGGCGGCGTGTCAGGGGCAATGCTTGGCTGCTTGGCTGGTCGGCTTCCGTTTTTAGTGTGTCAATTACAGCCACTGTCGTTGATGCGGACGGCGCCCGTCCACTGGCCAGCCGCCTAGAAGCCCGCTGACTGGGTCTAGACCCCCTGAAGGATACTTTTGGATGTGTTGGGGGGCATGGGGGCTTTGATTGACAGAGACAGCAGCAATCCAATCCGTCCAAGCAATTTGAAACCAATCCCTCTCACCCACAGTCACGTCTAGACAGCCAGTGTTCCAGTTACCACGGCCCGAGCAACAGCCCCCCCGAATACTGGCATTGCGATATTTTCTCTTCTTGATAAATCTGTCTGCTGCAAGGCAATGCTGGCGATCTCCTGCGACCATCTCATCACGGTCCCTGTTTTCGTTGCCCCTCAGGGAAGCTCCCCCGATTCTGCGCCAAGCATCTCGAAAGCTTCCCACCACCGATGAATTCAACTGCCGATCACGATGCGCTCCCAGCAAGCGCCGCACTTGTGGGCGCGCACAATTCGGACGGCCTAGAGCCTAGTCGGTCGCCATCAGCAGCAGACAGCGAGAAGCAGCCGTTGATGGATGCGTTCGGCGGAAAGCTGGCTGATGGCCAGCCCCAGACCCCTTCAGCCCTAACAACGGCGCACGCGACCACCTCGACGACTACGACGACTACGAATACCACAACACCAGGAGAAGACACACCCGTCGCAAAGATCCTTCACTTCCTCGCAACCGCCACTACCGGCTCACTTGCCGGAGTTGCCGTCGGCTTCGCGGCCGTCACATACATTACCCTCGGCCGACTAGGACTGGTTCTTATCGGTGCATTCGGCGGAGTCGTCGGATTCATCTCGTGGGAACAGAGGAACCCAGAAGTCTCCAAGGCTGTCCGAGGAGAACGGGGCATCGATATCCTGGAACGAATTCTACACGAATCGACGAACAACAAGGCGAAGGTGGAGGCTGACGACAGCAGCGATGACGAGGACTCCGCCATCAGGGCCCTCGACGACTTCCGTCCGGAAACCCGCGAGGCACTGGGAGGGCTCGTTGACGCAGTGGTTAGAGACTACGTCAAGTGGTGGTACAGCCCTATTATCCCTTCAGACCATGCCTTCCCTCTTGCTTGCCGGCGGACTCTCACCTCTTATCTCCTCGCCATCTCCAACCACATGAGCCGGAAGCGACCGGCTGATGCGTTCCTCGATCTCCTTACCAACTCATCCTCCATCGTCATTGTCTTCATGTCAGAGCTCGCTGCCGCATTTTCCGACCTCCCTCCTGATAGCAACATGACTGCGGCCGACGCTGTGAACAATTACCTTGCTGCGAACCCCGACTGCCATTTGGCGAACCTATTGAACCAGCGACAGCAGGCGGCAAAGTTCAAAATGGTTGCGGAAGACTTGCTTGCGTTCCTAGACCGCAACTCATACAATTGCGACCCTCTCCGGGTGTTCCTCAGGGAAATTCTGGCAAACTCGGTCCTCGAGAAGACTCTGCAAACATGCAGCAAACCCGAGTGGATCAACGGGTGGATTGTGTACCTCCTCGAAGCTGGAGAGCCAAATCTCAATCATGCCATCGACGTCGGCATGCAAACTGGACCCGAGACAGCGACAGTGACACAAAATGTGTTCGCTGACTTGGACGGAAACGTCGGCAACATCGGCATCGCCAAACCCGGCCGGAGCTCGTTGGAGAATGAAAGGGGGCGTCGAAGGGAAACAGTCGGCCATAAGAAGAAGCTCAGCAAGGCAGATGAGGAGATGGAAGAGGCCATGGGAGAGATGAAGCGGATGAATGAGATGATTGCCAAAGAGGAAGCTCGCCGCAAGCGAGACTCGACGGCCACCGAAGTGTCTCAGGGCAGAACCTCGAGTGACAGTGAAAACAAGCTGAAGCGGTTTAGTACTAGCGAGCTGTCTCCTGGTGCAGTGCCTAACGGCCACAAATCATTCTCATCGATTACATCAACCGATGGCTTCTCTGCAAGGAGCGACGCAGCCCCGACTCCCAATACACCTCAATCGCCAGTGGACAATTCAAGCCCCAACTCGTCCCTAAAGGATTCCGATGGCGCCCGATTTACAAGTTTCGACCAGATCGTGCCCCCAGGCCAAGAAAACGACGCAGAGGAAGATGTGCCCAAGAAGACGCCGTTTACTCTTCACAACGCCGGGCTAACTCTACACGATGATGCTTCCGGCGAGAAAGGCCGCATCCGAACCAAGCCCAACTGGGACTATTGGGTCCAGGTTGAACCCTCAGTCGCAGGCTATTCGGGTTGGATGATTGTGCGTAGATATTCCGACTTTGAAACTCTCCATGAGATTCTCAGGCGAATTGCGAACATCTCTGGTGCAACAGCATTCACGGAGCTTCACAAAGATCTGCCAAACTGGAAGGTTCACACCCGGGAGTCGCTCCGGGGAGAGCTTGAGAGGTACCTGCGGGATGCTTGCTGGTATAAGAGCCTGGCTGAGAGCGAGGGTATGAGGCGGTTCCTGGAGAAGTCCCAAGGACATACTCATGGAGATTCCAAGTCGGGCTTTGGCTGGGAGGCTGTTGGCAAGAACATGCTTGACGTTCTCACAACAGCGCCTAAGGGAGCCATGGAAGGTGGCAAGACTTTGGTAGGCGGTGTCACGGGCGTGTTTGGCAACATCGCTGCACTTAACAGGAGATCGACAAGCCAATCCGTGGATCTGACGGCGAATTCCAGTAGACTCTCCATCTCGACACCCCCCCGGTTAGACAGTATTAAGTCTCCCGTGCGATCGACACGAGACAGCCTGGACAGCCAGCGGTCATCTGTCGTCTCTACGCAGCCCGGCAAAATGCCGCCCATGGAACGCCGCCCAAGCTACCAGTCGCAGGGCGACTCGGATGGAGACGCCAGAATCATGCGCATGGATTCAGGCTCAGCGCCGGCGAGCGCTCGACCTAGTCGGGAGCACAGCCGCGCGCCGAGTCTAGCCCAGTTGCGATCTCCCTCATCAGCCAGTCTCGAGTTTATGAAGCTGCCTCCTCCACCAGACCAGATGGCGGATGACTATGGATCGCCAACGAGCGGCGGCGATATGCTAGGCAAGATGGGCGATGGCGAGAACGTCACAACAGAGAAGCACAGGCGCGGTGGATCTCAACAAGTCCCAACGCCTCCTCCATCTGTGACGGGAGGCAAGAAGGGACCTCAGAAGCCGGGCCGCCAGTATGCCCAACTTTCCGAGGCTGAGACGCGGGTGGCGGTGGAGCTGGGATTCGCCGTCATCAACGAGATGTATACATTGTCGTCAGCGTGGAACATCCGCCGTACACTTCTTACAGCAGCGAAATCGTTTTTACTACGTCCAGGCAACCCCTCGCTGCTGACGGTGCAGTCGCTAATACAAAACTCTGTCATCGACGCCAACACCTCTGACGCAGGCATCGCAGCTCAGTTCCGCAAACTGCGAGAGAACATGATGCCAACAGAGCTAGAACTCGCCGAGTGGCCACCTGAGCCGACGGCAGAAGAGAAGGAGCAGCTACGGGTCAAGGCCCGGAAGCTACTGATCCAGAGCGGCGTGCCAGCGGCGCTGAAGGGTGTCATGGGACAAGCAGCGACGGGCGAAGCCCTAGGGAGGGTGTTTGACTGTCTGCAAACCGAGGAGGTGGCGAGAGGGCTGATGTTTGGTTTGATCTTGCAGATGGTCAGGATTGTGACGCATTGATGCGCAAACGTAATGGAGAAACATGAACCAGGTGTTCGGTGTAGGGCCGTGTACGACTTGAACTTGAAAGGGACTTCCAGAGACGGCGAGCTCGGGAGATGCGCCAGCGGAGCAATTGCATTATCATCGTCATGTACAACAAATAGTCGCCGACCAGGCCTAGACGACCTCTACGAATTATTAATACTGATATCACTTAGCACGACACGAGCAAAGCCGCTCCCGATGCTTCCGCCATGGCCTCTAATGAGTTGTTTCTTCCACCTGAGCTAGGTGCCAAGCGAGGTGTTCTCGAAGCCACCCACGCCCGTCACCGTACCGTCCGGACCCGATCCCGCTGGCGGACTGCGACGAGGGGCAGTTTATCCGTCCGGTGAAGCGTACGTCAGCTTCCAACGGTGTACCTAGTGCAGAGATGGGCCCTCAGCAGGTGTTGGGCAAGGAGAACCCTGTCCATCTCAGCCTTGAAGGTCTAAGTTACTGAGTACAGTATGGCATGGGAATGTCCGGCTACCAGGGACGCCGACTACTGGGGACGTCGGCTACTGGGAAGATCCTTCTGGGAGCATCCACTGCACGCATGGGAGCTGGCCCCCAGTTCCCAGCGTCGTCTTTTCCCCTGGCACTTGCTTGTCCACCCTGCTGGCGGCGCGCCGTTAAGGCCTCTCTCCCTCCTGTAGCGGTCCTCAAATCTCCGCGCCCGCCGGGTCCCTAGGAGCGAGCGGGCAAGCGTCTGCGGGGGGGCCACGAGGGAGACGGGCGAGGACTTCCCATTCCGGCCGGGGACTGACTGGCCTCCATCCCCAGCGTGTCATGGCAATGTAGGCTTGTCATACGACCAGGTCGAGATGCACGCTCGGTGCGCCGCGCAGCACGTGTTGACCGTTGACCGGTGTCAAAATCCGTCCCCCTAGGGTTCGGACGACGCTAGTTGCGGCCGGTCATAGTCGCGCGTTGACGTGAGTAGCATCGGAAGGGTTCGTCGACAGGCCGGCGCAACTGGTTCCTAGGAACGAGGTCGGGCGAGCGTCGATTCGAGTGTCCATCATCTTGCCGTATTAGGCACGAGCGGATCCATCCACGAGGATCTGCGTGGGAGCGGGAGCAGCATCCAAGGGTTTCTGTGTCAAAGGAGAGGACCCGTTGCGCCGCTCATCATCAAACCTGCGACGCGTGCTGAAGGCGAAGGGCTAACAGGACCCTATCGCAACCTCCACGACACACACGCTACCTGCATCGTCTATTCTTCTCCGCAACTGAAACCACATACCCAACACAGAGTTCACGCGTGCGTGCTCTCCCCCAGCAAGCAGATTTAGAGATGTGGGCGACTCTCTGCCCCCCTGCCCCATCGCCTTCCGGGATTGCCCTTGCTCCTCAGGGGCAGACCATCGACATCCCGAATCTAGACAGCACGCCCAAAAGGCACCCTGGTCCACATCCATCACCATTTCAACCAACAGTCAAGAGTGACATCACCTCGTGATAGCGAGCGGACCCTGCAGCTTCCTCATTGAGTGGGATACAGCCTGGCCGCTCTTCGACATGAACCCAGGGTCCAGCTGGCCCTGCCGGTATTTACCACTGAGCTTCGGGCCGAAGACAGCAAAGTTAAGATACAAACGAAAATGGACCAGTTAGAGATCGCCTAGTCCGTTTTGTTCCCTCGGCATTAACTCAAGAATTAAGGAAATGGGGACAATGAAGGGGTGCGGTCAAGCCAGCATACCCCACAGTCCCATGTTTCTCCTTCCTCTTAGGGATTTATTGCGAAGAACGTTTAAGTTTGAATGACTTTGTGGGTTTTATTTTGTTGTCTATTCTCTGGGCGCACGACTGCGCATCCTGGCAAAGTAGTTTGCCTATCCGTTCTCAAATTGAGCCATCTCCCCCGCCACTTCCAGCCGTGGCGGCACTGTGTCCAAAGTATAAGAAAATGTGAACAGAAATTGAAAATATGAGCATTATAATGCTAGCTGAGTAAAATTATACATAAAAAAGATACACTTCCATGCCCTGGAGTAACATTAAAAAAAAACCAATAGACTGTCCAGCGTCAAACCTGCTTGGCAAGGTCTTGTAAAGAGCCATCATAAAAAGCCCGGGGAAGAAAGGAAGGTTGGAGAGCTATGAAAATATTGAAATGCTGTAACAGCCGTGATAGTCGTTGTATGATTATGACTCTGTAGAGATAGTAAGGGAATGATAATGCTGCAAATGTTGCGGAGTAGAATGCTCGCTTTAAAAGGAATGTCGGTCGGGTATCAAATGATTGTTGTTGTAGGTTGGCCGTAAAGTCGTGCAAAATGACAGCAGACAATATCCAAAAGATAGACGATAATCGTACCAGTTGCGCGAAACTAAGTTCACGGCTTGTAAACGGTGTTGGCCAGGATGGAGAGGGAGTCTCCACTGGGCACGTTCTTCTTGTGCGCCGCCGGCGTTAGGGGAGAAGGAGATTTGACAGGGGTAGACTCCGCTCTGGAAGCCGTTACATCGGCCTCTGAGAAACCATTCAACATCTCGTGGCTCCTCTGGCGGTGGAGGGCAATATGGGTCTTCTCGGGAAGCAAAGTGTTGGGGTTCGGGTTTGGAGGGTCGTTTACATTGTTGCTCATCTTGGTGATTTCGTTTTCGACATCTGCCAGCAGGGCATAGACATCGTCACCAGCGTAGATGCGAATGCTTTCAACATCCTCACGCTTCAAACTCGAGGCACAGGAAGCTCGCTCCTCAGCAATCACAGCCGCTGCCTCCTCAACAAGAGGCTGCTCAATGATGGTGCTGGGCACTTTGCCAGATCGCTGAGGCGATGGAGACTTGCTTTGCGCGCGAGTTGGGGTAAAAGACTGCTTAGAAGGGCTCCTAGGGGGTGTGGAGATGTTCCCAAGGCCATTCGGGGGTGTCATGCTGATCGTCTGCTGGGAGGACTGGGGAGAAGTGGGCATCCCGCCAATGCAAAGGGAGGCAGCTGCGGCAACGTGCTCGAGCAACTTTTGGCGAATAAGCATCCTGCGGCTCTCAGCCTTCTCGAGCTTGTTGACCCAGTCGTCAATGGAGGCGTCTAGCTCGGCCAGGGCCTCTTCCTGACGAAGCATGGACTCGTGGCTGAACTTGACGACGCGGGGTGAGCGCAGATACTGGCAGATGCGCGAGTGAAGATTGCGCCGCCCAATACGGAGTGAGTTGTAAGTCCGGCGGAGGTACTCTGTCCTCTCATCGAGGTGGCGAAGTTCCTGTAAACTTGTTAGTCCAGATTCATCATACCAATGCACGTATGACTAACCCTGGAGAGCAGCTCGAAATCTGCCGGCTTGAGGATCTCGAATCCCTCAGCCTGAGCAACTGCTTGCTTCTGGAGCATGACGAGCTCGTTAGGCTCCAGTTTGTCGACAGCCTCCGACAGGACGACTCCTTGGGGAAGCTTCTCGAATGCAGTCCGCGAGCTTTGTTCCGAGCTCTGGCTTCTCTTTGGCTCCGTCCTCTGAATAATCGGGCCATTGTTCGGGCGAATATCAGACCTCTTCCTTGGCCGTCCCCGATCCATGATTCCAGACGATTCCGACCCACCCCTCCTGTGGCCTTGCTCTGGTCTAGGCAATTCGGTTTGAGTGGGAGGCGTGCTGCGGCCATCCCAGGGCTTTGGAGAGGATGTTCGAGATTCAAAAATGGGTGCGGAGACCGGTGTGGCAATCGTGGCGGTTGACGGCGCAGTAGTTGAAGCCGACTTTGGCGATGTGAGATCGGGCAGCGACGAGCTTGGCGTTGTCAAAGGGGTGCGGCTTCTTGGCGACTCCTCCATGCGACCTTGTCTATGAGTATCGACTCGGGAGGGAAAGTGGTTGAGTGATTGCTGTCTCCGGAGTCTGGAGGCGATGAAATCCGACTTGGGGATCACAAGAGGTGTAAGCTGCCTCGGTGAGAGGGGGCCGGAACCCTTTGAATGAAGTGACTCTGCCACAGGAGAGAGGATTTCAGGTGCGTCATCGTCGCTCTCAATGTTGAGAAAGTTTTCCGCAAGGTTATGCTTTCTCGAGGTGTGACCTGGGGCACTGATTGACCGCTCATGAAGAGGTGGTCGTCCAGGGATTGTGGCTGCGACTTCAGTCAGTTTGCGAACGCGAAAGAGAGGCCTGCAGGTCAACATACGAGAGTCCATAGAGACTTCCTGGACCGTAGTCATGGGCCCCAGTTCAGGGACGCTGACTTTTCGTCGCCGGACGATGCTGTGCTGGTTAAGCCTCTTCTTCAAACCGCTTCCCGTCGACTGCTTCTCGGCCTTGTCGTTGGCTTGGCCGCCCGGGACGGGCAATGGCTTCTCAACATCGGGGGCTTTGTTGTTGGAATTGAGCACAGGAAGCTTCCTCTCCTTGGGGAAGAGTTGGTACTTCCTGGGAGGCTCCGGTTGTTGCATTCTCCAGGTGAATGGTTTATCCGAGGGAGGAAGGGGGGATGTTTTCTGAGCGTGGTGGGACTGGTAAGCAATGGGTCGGAATTGAGATGCAAGAGAAAAATGTGGCTTGGGGGTTTGGCTTCATACCAGGTCATTGGGGTGGTGGGAGGCCAGCTTTGATATGTGGTTCGCGTCGACATCGACAATGCACTTGGCTATGTGAGCCATTGGGTCGAAACAATGCCGTTTGGTCCGGTAGCGAGGAGGGGGAGTGAGGGTGTCAGAGCCGGCGAGTATCAGATATGGGGGGACTAGTTCGGGATGGCGCTGCCGTATATGTCGGGATGCTGGGACCGTGAATTGGCACGTTTCGGGTCGAGTAGGCTCGCAGGACTAGAGTCGACTAGAGTGCAACCTCGAAATATGGAACTGAGGCTATATATCAATGGAGGCAGGATGAAACTTCAGACGCTGGACCAGATGCCAAGCTCACAACCCGCAAGCCGGTGCCTTCGCTTATATCTGCTAGGTGCGCGCAACCGGGAGACGGCGAGCGAACAGGCTTGTCGTTTCTTAGCCACTGGGCCCCTGTCCCTGACAATCTGACGCCCCTTGCTCAGGACTAGGGCCCAGGGCCGGCCGGGGGGCCGAGTCTCAAAAGCATCGAGAAGCTTTGACACGCACAGCCTGAGACATGGCCGCGGGACGTGGTGGAGGGCGGTGCTCGCTGGTGACACGGGTCACAGGGCGCCACACCACCCCAAGCCGCGAGCTAGGATCGGGGGTGACGGCGGAATGGGGATAGACCCGAAAGCATCTCGGGGCTTTGAGGGCCTGTCAGGAGGCAGGGGAGCAACAGGGGAGAGGCAGGGAGCAGTAGGGGGAGGGTCCGCGGACCAGGAGGGAGGTTGCCACCCACCGCTCGCCAATTGCTAGTTGCTGGATCATCGCCATGGCCGTCACTCACCCACGTCCTTACTCAGGTTGTCGGCCTCCCTCATCCTCGCCCTTGTCCTTCCCACGCCGTCCACCCCTCGACCCTGTGAATGGACCTCCAGCCGTTGCGACCGTTGCTTCTGGGGCCGGCCCCGCTCGACGCTAGGGTAGCGATGAAGGGATCCGCTCTGCCATGACGCGCGAGCTTCACGGACTCCTGGCCGCTTTGCGAGATGGACCGGACTGTCTTGGCAAGGTCGGTTTTCTGGGCGCGCCAGGAACGCGGACACGGTGCTTGCGGGCTGTTGCGGTTTTCTCCCGTTGGCCTATGCTGCTTAGGCTGGTGTTTGGTTGGTGGTTTTTGAGAACGGCCGTAATAGTGATTAGCACGTAGTAGAGGTCCGTGATCCAACCCGAGACTACACGGCGAATTCGATTCCCAGGCAGGCAAGCAGCAGGCAAGCAGGCAGGCAATGCAATGCTGTTCTGTTCTCTGTGTACTCCGTGACTGCACTCCGACCCTAGTCCCTAGTGTGCCTGGTGTTGAAGCGACAAGGAGCTCCATGCCTCAGGCCGGCAGTAGCTCGCTGCCTTGGCCGCCACGCTGCCTGAGGTTGGTCCGTCCCCCCACCCACTCCCCCAGGTGCCGTGATGTGTGTGTGCTGCCTGTGCGACTGTGCCTCATGCATGGCGGACTGTTGCCGAGCAGATGAGTGTTTCATAGGGAGACATCGCGGAGACACTCTGACTCTGCTCTTGCCAGTCTGTTCCATTGGGTTGCTTCCCTCCAAATCTCGCCCTCCCTCATGTAGCATCCCGATTTAAACTCCGAGATGCCCAGAACCCAATCGGACTGCCTCATTCGCGCATTTCGCCACCGCTCTCCCCGGTTGTACAAGCACTTGCAGCATCACGACTCGGCTGTCGCAGGCCATCTAGACCGAGATGCGGGGTGTTGTTACTTCTTATGGAGTAATGTAGTAGTACTGCAGTACCGGAGTCCTGTTTATCACCCTAACGCCGGTCACACTGATAGTACGGCAGTGCACCACGCTTTCTATTCTCCGCCGCAGGCACACATCCCAACGTTACGCTGTCTACCTCGGAGACGTCTAGTTTGGGATACTCCCCATACATCGGGACGACCAAAGAGATATGCCTCCGCGTACGAATACGTGCAACAACCAAACTGACAAAAAGGAAACTGGCCACTTAGGTTTGCCGTAGTAAGCAATTCACAGATTACAGATTAACTTCGAGAACAGGCCAAAGGTTCGCATTTGATGCCCAATCTAGTGACCCCTAGCGAGCGACGAGATCGACGCTTCCCGCCATGGCGCTCTGGTGATCCAACCCCGGAGGATTCGAGCATGCAAGGAAGGCGTGGCAATTATTGAGACACACAGCAAAGCCGCGGCATTCATTGTTTGGATCTTTTACTTTTTGTCCCATGCTGACACTAGTCGACGTCATGGGTCTCATTGTTTCTTTTTCCCCTCCTTTGCCTCCCTCTCCTGGTGATCAATTGTCCTGCTGCTGCCACGAGGCCACTTTAGGTTCACAAGAATTTGGCGCCAGCTGCATCGCGGAACATCTTCCATATCCGAACGGACCAACTTTCAGCTGGTGTCCGATTCAGGCGCCGCGATTGGATCGTCACTGATCAGCACTGTCCCATCGGGGCCTTTTTTTTTCGTTTGGGAATAAGCCTTGCTCAATGCGTCCATACACCCGACGCCGGTGCAGCACACCCTGAGAAGTACTGCACGATTCCTAAAGTGAGTGCATCGTAAACATCGCCCAGCCAGATCTGAATACATGTCCGTTTTTGCAGCTCCGGCGCTGCTGCACATCTCCGAGTCGTCTTGTTTCGCCATGACTCTTGAGGTGCTGCGCCTGTTCTCGTGAAGCCGATTTTGCCCCTTGCTGTGGCCGTGCGCAGCTTCGCCGCGGAGCGCGGTTGACCTTGACTCTGACTTGCAAGCCCGATGACGGTCCTCCCTTGTCCAGACCCCGATAACCTTACCGTTCAAGCGATATCTTAGTGTTTTATTGACGGGGTCCCTTGCTGCTCGGTCGTGTCGTCCGGATGATGGAGCCGGCCAAGGATAAGCACACCACCGGGGAGTCTCCATGATCACCCATGTTGGTCCCCCATTGACCCCTGTCCGTCACGTCTCATTTCTCAGTTGAGCCCCGGCGCTTTTCTCCCAAGACGCCGGTGTTTCTGATCCGAGCTGTCACACACGGAAGTCCTAACTCCCTTCTGTCATCCACGTGAAGGCGGAGGGAGAGAACTTCGTCAGAGGGGTTGGGAATGGAATCCTTCATCTCGCTCCCTCGTCCCCTGTAGCCTACACCAATGCCGTATCATAGGATTCAATGCAACCGCATCACCTTCGACAATTGCATCCTACCCTATGACATTTCGATAGCGCAAGAATCAATGCGACCCCAGCATTCGGATCGGACCCGGTCTTACATATCACAGCTTAATCTAGGTCACATTTGATCTATCCACGCGTAAGCCTTGGGTTGGAGGTGACCTTGGGCAGTTGGTTGAATCGCGGGCTATCACTTTTGTTTTTGTTGTTTAATTTCATCACATCCTACGCGAGGTGGCTTTTTATGAGACAAGTTCCTAGCGAAAAGAGGAAGCTAGAGTTATCTCCCCGCGCACCAGACGAGCTATGAGCTTGAGGCGAAGCTACCCACAGTACCCTCAAACGACGGCGCTGCAGGAGCTCAACCGCCCTCCCGGAACCGACTGCCTCGTGGCTTCTTCCAAAGAGACGGGATGGGGGGAAAATGCAAGGCGGAGAATTTTTTTGGAAGAATGAGGGCTAATTGATCGAGACCCTGACCTGCCGAGGTGTTGAAACGGGGAAGCCGAGGGGACCTGCTTATTTGTTACGCTTCCGGAAACGAAACAAGCCTCATTCACTCAACGTTTGACGATAACAAATCCTGCACTGCAACCTGCAATTGATCTCGCATACGATACGGTGACATGGAGATGTGCGACATTTCGTCATAAAGCCAAGGATCAAGTACCGAGTGCGGCATCTTGATTGTTACTTACTACGTAGTATCACAGATAGTCATAATACAACTCTTAGTTGTCCTTGATATACCGCGCTCGCCGCCTGGTCTAAGAATGAGGACCCCCATTCTTAATGTTGCATCGATCATCAAATACCTCGCAGGCAGAGACCCTGTGATCATTTGGGAGCATCAGTGATGGAAATTTGCCCAAATGAGTTATGATCGCCTATTCCGGAAGAGAAAGCGTCGCAAACAGTATCTGCACTGGCGGTGAAGCCAAGCACGCAAGGTTTGGGTGTGCCATGGTTACCTCGATGCAATGAGACCTTGACTCTTTCACACTTACAAAGCAAGGTCACGCGCACCGCACCTCTCTATCACTGACTCGGTGCATCCGTCATCAATCTTCGACATATCGTCAACCATTTAGCCTCCAGTTCTCCCTAACCCCGCTTGTTGTCTCTACAAGTCCGGGTCTGGAACCCTCACCCGGCCGAGAACAAGCTAGGGTCCATTTTTCCAAGGCTATAATACCATGCCGTATATCACTCGCATCTGGGAAGTTCAGGGGTCCTGGCAAAGTCCAGGCCGTCGTCAACTTTTAGCGGCCCCTGCGTTAGCCCAACGGCCGGGATCTCCACCGCGCACTCACACCGTAACCACCGTCGAGCGGCGCCTGCTCGCTTCAGTTTCGTGGGGTGATGTCGCCTCACCATAGAATCTCGTACACCGGCACCTGGAAACCGGTACGCTGTTCGCCACCCGCTATCCATCGCCATGCTTTTCTATGTTGATCCAGCTCGAAAAGGGGAAGTGCACCCCCTCCCTGTCCTGAACCAGCCACCTGGGAAGATTGCCGCCGTTCTGCAGTGGCCCAGCCTGGAGAGCCAACTGACAAGCTGCGGGGTATAAACAGCGTTTCATGGACAAAGCCATGCACGAGACTTGACTCCATCTGTTGAGATGCGTGCGGAAATATTTCTGCAAGCACTCTGTGTTGTGCACACCGGGGGCCTCGGTAATCGCCAAACGGGAGCTTTGGACGGGGCCGGCATTGCCATGTGCACGAAGTCTCCACTTGATCAACTTGCATTTGCTGTATGTAGGAGGCAAAGCATTAGGGGAAAGATGCAACACCGTCAGGTTTCATCCTGCACAGATTTTTGTTCACAGATGCACCTGTCATCATCACCCCGGTGCTTAGACGCCACGCTGCAGGATTTTTCTGCAGGACTGGGGCTGCAGTCTCAGAACCCTGGAAGTGTCATTGCGCTCATCCAAGAGCCCTTAGGCAAAAGCCGACTAGATGATGATATTACGGAAATGGTATCTCAGGTCAACTGAAAGACCCTGCAGACTGCTTTGACAAGGTGCTCAGTCTATTACAAGCCAGCGCAAGCCCGCGACCATCTCTGGCGGAATCTTCGGTCCCGACGGGGGAACGTCCTCAATTGTGGCATTACCGTCACCGTTATGATGTTTATCACGGACATGAGTTCTCTCGCCTCATGGGCAAAACGCAGGGGCAGAGGCGAGATTGCGAGGTTTTTTTTTTTTTTTGGAACGCGGACGGAGCTCAACGATGAGCCGGGGCCAAATCGGGTCGAGTGACAGCAAACAGAATCTCCTTTTGGCAGATACGATGACAGCCCCCATTCTTTTCTTAGAAGTCGTGAGATCTATTCCTTGTTTGAACGGCCAAGGCCACCGGCGAGCAGAGTTGTGGCTTAATTATTAGACCAGGCCAACGTCCGGATTAGGATGGGGCGCAGATTTCCGACCGTCAAGCCACAAGGTGAGAGAGGGGCAAACCAGGTTGTCATATACGACTGATAGTTTTCTCTTGTGGATAAGGAAAAAGTTCCTCCGGTTTGTCCTAGTGTTGTTGCCACTGCTCGCGTGACAAAAGCTGCGATGCCTTCAATCGTGACGACGCCAGTTCGATTAGAGAGCTTTGGGAAGGTGCCAGACAGACGTTGGCTACAGTGTTAGTTCGCACTATTTGCACTGCCTCACGTGATGGGCCCCGCGGGGAACTGGCAAATCGCATTCGCCCAAGCGGATTTCATGACGTGGGCTCATGTCGGACAGCAGCCAGCTGTACTATTTGGGGAAGGCAACTTTCTGAGAGGGGACCTCACTCATGTCGTGGCTCTCATTCCTCAAGAGGCCATTCCCCCTCCGAACCACGCAAATCACCGTCACAAACAATCTAAGACGCGGCTTCGCATCTGTCAACATGGCTACTCGAGATCCCAGCACCTTGTCCAACTATGGCGCTTGGCGGACTCGGCACACGACGGCTGACTTCAAGATCGACTTCGAGGACAAGTGCCTCAAGGGATCTGTCGTGCTGCAGCTTGAGTCTCAGACCGACAAGGAGAGCAAGGAGATCGTTTTGGATTCGAGATTCCTAGATATCTCCTCCGTCAGCATCAACTCTGCCAAGTCTAAGTGGGAGTTGAAGGATTATTCCGCTCCCCTTGGTGCCCCGCTGCACATCTCTGTCCCGGATGGCGCCGCAAAGGGTGAAATCATCAACCTTGCCATTGATGTCCAGACAACCAGCAAGTGCACAGCTCTTCAGTGGCTCACCCCGGCCCAGACGTCGAACAAGAAGCACCCTTACATGTTCTCGCAATGCCAGGCTATCAACGCTCGGTCCATCTTCCCTTGCCAGGATACTCCCGACGTCAAGTCGACTTTCACCTTCAACCTCACCTCGTCGCTGCCAGTGGTTGCCAGTGGTGTTCCTGTTGGTGACCACGACGCCACGCCTGGAGCTGAGAAGCTCTATAAGTTTGAGCAGAAGGTTCCAATTCCTTCGTATCTCTTCGCCGTAGCGTCTGGAGACATTGCAACTGCTCCTATCGGCCCTCGTAGCGTAGTAGCTACCGGCCCCAACGAGCTAGAGGATTGCAAGTGGGAGCTTGAGCGAGACATGGAAAAGTTTATGGAGGTTGCCGAAAAGCTTGTCTTTCCGTACAAATGGGGCGCCTATAACGTCTTGGTCTTGCCTCCTAGTTTCCCATACGGAGGTGCGTCCTGCTGCTCAGAATTCCAGTTTTTGGGCCTTGTTAATCACAGTCACAGGCATGGAGAACCCCATTTACACATTCGCGACACCAACTATCATCAGTGGAGATCGTCAGAATGTTGATGTTATCGCCCACGAGCTGAGCCACAGCTGGAGTGGTAACTTGGTGTCCAATGCAAGCTGGGAGCACTTGTAAGTGACATATCCTTTGCGACTCGATCTCAATACTGATTCCCCCTAGCTGGCTGAATGAGGGTTGGACCATGTACCTTGAGCGACGAATCCAAGCCGTTATTCATGGTGACGCAGAGTTTGACTTCTCCTCCATCATCGGATGGCAATCTCTCGGTTGGTATCCCAAAGTGGCCTAAATATCAATACTAACCACCTCAATAGAGGACTCTGTGGAGCTTTTCGGCAAAGACCACGAATTCACCAAGTTGATCATCAAACATGATGGCTTGGATCCCGAGGATGTCTACAGCACTGTGGCATATGAGAAGGGTTTCCATTTCCTCTACTACCTCGAGCGTCTCGTTGGACGCGAGAACTTTGACAAGTTCATTCCTCACTACTTCACTAAGTGGTCTGAGAAATCTCTTGATTCATTCGAGTTCAAGGACACTTTTCTTGACTTTTTCAACGGTCTAGGAAACGACGAGATCCGTCAAAAGGTGTCAGAGATCGATTGGGACGACAAATTCTACAGCCCCGGTCTCCCCCCTAAGCCGGATTTCGACACCACATTGGCAAACATGTGCTACGAACTAGCAGCCAAGTGGAAGGACCCAGTGAGTACATCGTCATAAATTGCTGGATGCAGCTGCTAATATTCAAGCCAGGACTTTGAGCCAAACCCCAACGACGTTGAGGCCTTCACTGCTAACCAGAAGCTCGTCTTTTTGGCAGAGGTTCAGGCGGCTGGAAAGCTCAGCCCAGAGAAATCTCAGCTCCTGGGTAGAACCTATGACTTTGTCAGGTCAAAGAACGTTGAAATCTTGTCGGCCTACTACCTTGTTGCTCTTAAGGCCCATGATCCAACATGTTATGAGGGCACAGCCAGCCTGCTGGGGCGTGTCGGAAGGATGAAGTTTGTGCGACCGCTGTTCCGTGGGCTGAACAAGGTGGATAGGCAGCTTGCGTTGGACACGTTTACCAAAAACCAGGATTTCTATCACCCGATTTGCAAGGGCATGGTAGAGAAAGATTTAGGCCTCTAGATTAGAAGCCATCTGTACTCGTATCATGCAAATGGAAAGCTCAGCAGACCATATCTACCCTCTACTCTAACCATGCCGAAGTCTCCAGAACACTGGCCCATGTTTGACCCTCAGACTTCTCAAATTTCTCAACCGAGTCAACATCGTCCACTCCAAAATTACCGTACAGATGAGGAAATCCGCCCTCCCACTTAACAGGATCGGCGAAGTCGGCGAACTTCAGCTTGGCCACCCAAATAGCCGGCGCGTTTTTGAAGAACCGATCGCATGTGCCAGGAACCTAGCGTCTATTAGCTCATCATATCCTGTATTGCCTGGCCATTACCTACCTGGGCCGCAATACTCATGTGTATGAAGCCATCTTTCTGGTCAAGCTCCGACAGAGGGTTCTTCTGGGGGAAAGGCTCCGGGGGAGCGGACGGGAGAATCTTGTACACAAATTTTGGAGAAGCGTCAGACGTCATGATGGAAGGAGTCTTGATGGAGGCAAGGGCAGGAGTGGTGAAAAGCTAGAGTATGTCGAAACTTGTTGAAAGCCCCCTCAATCTCGCAATTCACGCTTGACGTAGTGGGAGGCCAGAACGGTCATTGGTCGCCATCACGCTCTGCTCCACTTTGTTTGGCTACCTCCGAATTGTAGCCCACGAGATTCATTATGTGGATTTGTGACCTTGTCGTGGTTTAGGCACCTTAGACTCTTGGCAAGCGATACAAAGAATTGCCGATACTTTACCTAATGTTAAGAGTATACCCAAGTATTATTGCAATCAAAAACTTTTGTGTTGTGCTGACTGTCACATCGAGATGACAAAGGGTGCCACCGATAATACATATATTTCCGGTAAGCATGGTGGTGTGTATTTAGCAGTAGCATTGGTGGTCTAAGTAAACATGATAATCACTGGGTGGACCGCCGCAGCGTCCCATCGTGTGGGATATTCGTAGGAGACTGATCGTGGGTTGAACACTAAGTTCTGGAGTCTGTATGCCACTGGGCGCGAAGCTCGTTCGCAATCTTAGCATTTTTTTGCTTCGAGTTGCGTGCTACATGTAGGAAATAATCAAATCTATATTCAAAGATTCTTCAGATATTTTGACCTTACGGATCCGGGAACTTAAACATATCGTGGTCATAGAGTTCATCAACTCGATTCAAAGTTGATCTGATGTTGGGATACCTTTCCATTTCAATAAAAAGACGTAATCCAGACGAAAATCGGACCCACGCAGGCATAAAATCCCTGTGAATCGTTTAATTTCATCGTATACTACATGATTAGTAGAAGTACTGTTTTTGTGATACTGGTGAGCCTGGTGGCATGGTGTTTAGGGTAGCGGGGAAAGTGCAACTTGCCCACTTTGGATGGACGCCTTGGTGGGGTTCCACACTGTGTGAACACGGGAACCAAATTGCGTGAAGGTGAAGGCACATCGATCGGCCTGAACTTCGCCCTCCCAACCACTTCGCGTTTATGTCCTTGCAAGCGCATGAGGCCGCGAGGTTGCATCGGCTCCCTCATGTACGGGACTCGTAATAAACGCCCAGTCATCGCTTAAAGGTCGCTACCAAGAATGTCGCGAGGCCCGATTCCGTCTCGCCTTCAGCTGCTGTCAAGCCTCCCCTCTCGAGCGGTTGGCGATAAGGTCAGATTTCTAGGGTGGTATGACAACCTGGGCCTTGACCCAATAGCCTTGGCTTCTACTATCTGATGCCGCTCTCATTACTGGAAAATACTGACTTGCTGCAGTGTCACTTCCTATTCAACCGCACTAGGTTGCCTCTCTTTGGGTCACCTCTACCCCCTGGGCACCGATGTCACTGTTCTCGTGGATGTGAACTTGATCCTGGAATCGCTCACGTCCGAAAAGACACGTGTCGGTGAATATGTGAACGTGATAGGCTACATCACTTCAAAGCAAGCACCTCATGCCCCAGATACGGCACAGCAAGAGACGGCGCAGGTCTTAGTCCAAGCACTGATGCTCTGGTCTACTGGCCCAATGGATATTCGCACATACGAGAAATCCGTCGATGCTGGCAAACCTGGTCAACGAGAATGCGCGTGAGCTATGCGCACCCCCGAAACGGCCACTGGTGTGCAAGCCTACTCAAATTGTTGACTTCTCAAATTGACCATCAAATCGGCCCAGTATTGCTGTACGACTGGACTACACGCGAGGGCTGACAACAAAACGACGTTCGAAGCCTGTGAAACCCCACCAGGCCGACAGAAAAGCCGCCGGGTCGTCCTGTTAGGTTGCAACCTTGGTGTCCGGCATCTCGCAGCGCGCACCATCATAGCGTCGGGTTGACATGGCCCCAATCAACAGCTTTCGTTCGGAGTGTCGCCGGCGGGTGGGCCGAACGGTTGAAAACACCTACCCTTCTTGCAAGAACTGCAGCAGGCAATCCAATTGGAATGCGAACATTCCCGGAACCCGGACTAATCAACTCCACTACCGCCTCTCCTTGCAGATGGACAACCTCGCATGCATATACCATGACACAAAGAAGCAATTTGGGTAGTGTTCAGACTCACATGGTATGGGTTGGGCTGAAACGGTGCCAGATGGCATCGTGTCGCTGGACAAGATGTCCACCAATATGATGCCATACTCGAACTCTGGTCAATTGGGTATCTTTGTCCGTCCTCTATACTCGCTGTCAAGCGCCCAACACCACCACCACCTTCTCCACCACAGATGCACTACCCCGGCATATGTCTCTCTCACCGCAGTCCTCAAGCCCCAACGACATTCTAACGAGCGGGGTTTCCGGAGCCGAGTTGTTTCCTGGTCCACCCCCCAGGTGAGATCTGTGCACTTTCGGAATGTTCGGTACGCGCGCCATGGCTCTGAATCGCCAAGGAGTATGTTCGAAGGTCTGCAACGTCTACTGGGGATCATTGATCATCGTTGCGGCGACGATCGTGATGATGCCGCCGCGGCTCACGTCTTCTGGGCGCTTCAGCTCCTCTGGAAACGACAACGGGTTGATGCAATGGTCGCTTCAGGGGCCTTTCGGGATTCTGCTGAAGTCTCGCTGCCGTTTGTCGATCCCATAGCTCCTTGGACTTTCGGCATATGTCGTCGATTTGTTCCTAGGAACGAGCGTGCCGTTGTCAACTTACCGTAGAAATGATACTCGAAGAGGAGAGGCTCACATCTGTCAGACAAGAGCCCGGGGTAGTGATGAGAAAACCATCTTCTCCCTAAGCCGGCGAGCATGAGTAGGAATGACTTCAAGACTGTCTCAAAGACGTGGTACCTCAAGCGTATATGGGCGGACCGTGGCTTCGGGCCCCAGGTAGTATTGAAGCTCCTGAGTAATGACTTTTCTGTGGATGTCTAGATGTGGAATCCAGTACTTGTTCATGGAGGAGGACGACATGGTCGAAGATATGGCAACATAAATGCACCCGGCGATGTACTCGGGAAAATTTGGGCTAAACTGGGAGATTCCTAGAACAGACAGACGAGACTGGGGGAGGGTATTTATCTAGAACGGCCCTGTGCAATGATCCTGGCCCAACAATGTGCCCAGAGTGTGCACTTGATGTCAATGTGCGCAAATCCAGGGAGGCAAGGAGGTATGCCACCGGTCCAATATGCCCCTGTGTGACACGCTCACCGCTCCTGCAGACTGACAACCTTCCTAAAGCCACTCCGCATGGGTGAGCTGCGCTGCATGTCTGCACATATGTCTCGCCCGTTCCATATTTCCGGAATATTGTGGCCAGGAACCCTGGCGATACGCCACCGTCGATACGCCCCGTCGTGAAAGTGAGGCGAGCGACGTCGCCCATTATTGGCGAGTGGTACCCGCCATCCGCCTCGCCAGCGTGGCAAACACCAAATCAGCTGAACTCTACCAATGGTGTCAATCAACCGATACCTCCCGAGATTGCGCGTGTCCAAAAAGAAGGGGACTTTGCTCCTCTATTGCATTGTCCTGGTGATGCTCGAGATCAGGTGTGACCAATTCGGGATCAAATCGGCCGTAACCGGTGAAGTGGCAGATGCAAGGTCTCTCATCTGTCATGGTCTGGAACCCCTCCCGACGAGTTGAGAAATGAACATTGATCTGAGCGGTTTGCATCCGTAGTCTAGCGAACCTTGTCTACCACGAGGTACCATCGGGCTGGGGAAGCGCGGATGTGCATTTGTCGCCCTGACTCCGGGGTGTGATACCCTTTTGCCACCCTAGGTGACATGCGGGTTGTCGATCTGCGGATAGCAGGGATAACGGTCTATGCGATGGCGAGTAAGGACGGGAACATGGCCGTGGCTAAATATGTACGGATCTCGCTTCTGGTATTGTTTGAACTCACTATGAGATGGCGCATGGGGCTCATGCAAGTCATATGGACACTATCGTGCCTTTCTGCGCCTCATACTGTTGGACATGGTCCCCATAATATGGAGTTGATGCCAACTGTCGGACTAGCCCTGCTGACCAAGTTCCCTAGTTAGAGCCAGTTCTAATTCGTGGAGGATTTCGTACAGTGACACCTGATTGGAAGGAAGTCCCGTTGGCCGTCTGGACCATCACACCGGCTTCCATTTGCCTGGCATGACGTAGCGAGCACCCTACCTGTAATGGAGGGCAAGTTGTACGATGGAAGGCTATCGGGGCTGAGACTCAGTTCTGAGACATACATTCGTTGGGCTATTTTCAGCTGCCACACGTTGGGGGGGACTAACGTCTGTGTGGCTAAGAACGGGGGCATTCCCATGGACAATTGGGGTGATTTCTACACATATGACTCTCCTATGACTAGGCTTGTTGAATAGGATTTGTTGGCGCTGCAACCATGTGGATGAATCCCGACATTATCGGAATTTCGTCTAGCTAATCATCCCAAACACCTGATTAATGCGAAGGCCCGAACCGTACGGCAGAGGCTGGATGAATGAACATACAGCGTTCAACGCCTAGATCCTTCAGGCTTCACCACGCTCTGATTTAAGCCGGGGAGGAAAAGTCCGCCTCTTGTAAATGCCCAATTGAGATTCAAGCCATCTAAATGTGCAATGTAATGACCTGACCTTCGATTTCAAGGAGAAGCGAACCCCAAGCTGGTGTTGTTGCGTTGGGGTTCATCAGCATCCTAGATCCACAGAGCCAGTGCGCTAAGGGGCGTGGGAGCAGGCTAAGGTCGTGACAGCTGCCAGAGGTGCTAGGAGACAAGCCATGAAACACGCAAAACAACTGACATCTAGAATAGCAGAGCGTGCACGCGCATTATCTACCTAATACTAGTAATAAAGAAGATGTTCACGAGCTTGGAGAACAGAACAGGCTGGAATATGCTGGACATCAGCTGCGGCTACTTTAATGCTCGGCTCCCGATTGGGCAACGGGGTACGTCACATGCACGTGAACTCCCGGCTCTCCCCTTACCAGCATAAACTGCCAATCAAACCAGGCCTGCACGAGACCCAGCAAGTGCAGCAGCAGCGCGACCGCGTCAACCTGCGAAATTTGTTGACAGCAGCCACCTGCGCCCGACAACAGCACAGCTTCTGCTTGCGCCGACCCCGATTACGGACCTCTGGCAAGCTGTACCGGTGCTGTCGCCCTGAGTCTTGCCCGAGAATCGACGACTACGACGGCCGAAACCTGCAGACCGCTGCTACGCTCCAAGCGGCGACACGGTGTCGTCATTTCTGGATACCACCCCGAGACCAGACGCCCGGGCCAGGGGGGACAGACGACCGTACAACCCCAACGGGAGATCACGCCGACGGGAGGATGCGCTGCGAGCCTTGATGGAAGTGACGTCTCGGGATTGCAACTAGGTCTCCTCGATACTCCCGTTTTCCGCAGCCGAAAGCTTCGCCGGACTATTTGAAACTGCCGAGCCCCGCGCATTGCCTACGTCGAAGCTCTCATCGAGAGGGGACCAAGCGAGGTCCCCTTGGACCAATCCGCAGCTATGGCGCCCGCAGGTGGAGGTAACATTAAGGTGGTGGTGAGAGTGCGACCCTTCAACGGGAGAGGTAGGTTATCCCGACAGGAATTCCGGCTGCCAGGCAGCTTGGCTAATTGGGAGCAGAAATCGACCGAGGAGCGAAGCAGATCATTTCTATGAAAGGGAACCAGACGGTTCTTACAACACCTGACAACAAGGGCGTGAAAGACAATACCCCCAAGGCGTTTGCGTTCGACAGGTCGTACTGGTCCTTCAACAAAGCCGACTCCAACTATGCTGGCCAATCCGACCTTTTCGACGACCTTGGTCAACCTCTGTTGGAAAATGCGTTTCAGGGCTACAACAACTGTATCTTCGCCTACGGCCAGACAGGTTCCGGAAAGTCATACTCCATGATGGGTTATGGCAAGGAAGTTGGCATCATCCCAATGATTTGTCAAGATATGTTCAGGAGGATAAACGAGATCCAACAGGACAAGGCAACCAAATGCACCGTGGAGGTCTCCTATCTCGAAATTTACAACGAGCGAGTGCGCGATCTTCTCAACCCGTCTACCAAGGGCAACCTGAAGGTTCGAGAGCACCCTTCGACCGGACCATACGTCGAGGATCTTGCTAAGCTCGTGGTGAGCGGTTTTCAAGAAATCGAGCACTTGATGGACGAAGGAAACAAGGCCCGAACCGTCGCCGCAACCAACATGAATGAAACATCCAGTCGAAGTCATGCTGTCTTTACCCTCATGTTGACACAGAAGAAGTACGATGCGGAGACGAAGATGGCGATGGAGAAGGTTGCCAAGATCAGTCTGGTCGATTTGGCTGGTTCTGAAAGAGCTACGTCGACTGGTGCAACAGGTGCTCGATTGAAGGAGGGTGCCGAAATCAACCGATCTCTGTCGACCCTCGGTCGTGTCATCGCCGCTCTCGCTGATTTGTCAACGGGAGGAAAGAAGAAGAAGGGTGGCGGCCAAGTCCCATACCGAGACAGTATTTTAACTTGGTTGCTCAAGGACTCTCTGGGTGGAAACAGTATGACGGCCATGATTGCAGCCATTAGTCCCGCTGACATCAACTACGACGAAACTCTGAGCACCCTTCGATATGCCGACTCTGCGAAACGCATCAAGAACCACGCCGTGGTTAATGAAGATGCCAATGCCCGGATGATCCGAGAGCTCAAGGAAGAGTTGTCACTCCTGAGAAGCAAGCTGGGGGGTGGTACGCCTGGTGGCGTGGGCGGTGCTGCAGTCCCTCCCGAGGAGGTGTATGCAGAGGGTACGCCTCTCGAGCAGCAAATGGTCAGCATCACTAGCTCAGATGGTGTTGTGAAGAAGGTCTCAAAGGCAGAAATCGCTGAGCAATTAAGCCAAAGCGAGAAGCTGCTCACAGATCTCAACCAAACTTGGGAGGAAAAGCTTCTCAAGACTGAAGAGATCCACAAGGAGCGTGAGGCTGCCCTGGAAGAGCTCGGCATCAGCATTGAAAAGGGTTTTGTTGGCTTGCATACCCCGAAGAAGATGCCCCATTTGGTCAACTTGTCCGACGATCCGTTGCTTGCCGAGTGTCTTGTGTACAACCTAAAGCCAGGAACGACCACTGTCGGCAACGTTGACACCAATGCAGACCATCAAGCCAACATTCGACTGAACGGCACGAGGATTCTACACGACCACTGCGCCTTTGAGAACGCCGCCGATGGCACTGTGATGCTCGTTCCTCAGGAAGGAGCATCGGTTATGGTCAACGGAAGGCGCGTCACTGAACCAAAGCAGTTGCATTCCGGATACCGAGTCATTCTGGGAGACTTCCACATCTTCCGATTCAACCACCCGACGGAGGCTCGAGCCGAACGAGCAGAGGTTGGCGGGAGCTTGCTGCGACACTCAATTACGGCAAGCCAACTGCAGGCCCTTGATCGATCATCGCCCTCGCCTAGCCCACGCCCAGGCCACGAGAGATCCTTTAGTAGGGTGTCGGAAATTGGTGACTTGTCACGGCCGGAATCCCCAGCACTTTTCTCACGCACCGGCAGGGACTCAGACTGGTCTCTGGCGAGACGAGAAGCGGCTGGCGCAATTCTTGGCACGGATCAGAACTTTACAAGTCTTACGGATGAAGAGCTGAACGCACTGTTTGAAGAGGTCCAGAGGGCTAGAGCCGAGCGTGTGAATGGTCGAGAAGACGGAGAAGACTCGGAGTCCGTGACCTCCTATCCGATCAGGGATAAGTACCTGTCAACTGGTACCCTCGACAACTTGTCCCTGGACACGGCACTTACAATGCCCTCAACACCCAAGCATGGCGAACCCGACGACAGACTAAGAGAAGTCCGAGAAGAGCTCCAAAGTCAGCTAGAGAGGCAAAAGGAGGAATACCAAGGTCAGCTCAAGAATGCGGAAGTAGCCAATGTGGAGATTGAGGAGATCAAAAAGGAGAAAGTCAAGATGGAGGCAGCTTTGCAGGAGTTGAAGGAGGATATGCAAAAACAACTCGTTGTTCAACGGAAACAATACGAGGAGAAGATTGAGAAAATGGATCCGCTGAATAGACCGAAGATGAGCCCGAAGCTCTCCGACGAAGAAATCGAGCAGGCGAAGCGAACTGTCAAGATATGGCGGAGCCGGCACTTTGTCAAGATGGCAGAGACCGTTCTCCAGAACGCTGCTATCGTCAAGGAGGCGCAGATTATGAGTAACGAACTGGATGAGAGCGTCGTGTTTCAATTCACTGTGGTGGATATTGGACATGTCCTGTGCTCGTCGTACGACATGGTTCTGAACGGCCTCACAGGAGAGGGAGACGACATCGCGCTAGAAGAAGCCCAAAAGCCGTGCATTGGCATTCGGGTGGTCGACTATAGAAATAACGTGGTTCACCTCTGGAGCCTGGAGAAGTTGCAAGATCGAGTTCGACAGATGCGGCAGATGCACCAGTATCTCGACCAGCCGGAATACGCACAGCACCTGAGTCTCGACAACCCGTTTGTTGAAACCTGCATGCCTTCGTACACCTTGGTGGGCGAGGTTGACGTGCCGCTGAAGGCAGTCTTCGAGAGCCGGGTTCAGGATTCCACGTTGGATGTTCTCTCCCCGTACACGTCCCACGTTGTCGGTATTATCAAGCTCTCCTTGGAGCCATCGCATGCACGTGCACCAACGAACACCTTGAAATTCAACGTCGTCATGCATGAGCTGATTGGTTTTGCCGAGCGAGAAGGCAGTGAGGTGCACGCCCAACTCTTCATTCCTGGCATTTCCGAAGAGGATGGTATCACTACCACACAGATGATCAAAGATTTCGACGAGGGGCCCATCCGATTCGAGAGCGTTCATAGCATGAGTGTTCCCCTCTTTGCGCCCCAGGATGTTACACTGAGAGTGGCTATTTTTGCCAAGGTGTCGACGATGCATTTGGACAAACTTCTTAGCTGGGACGACATGAGGGATGCGGTGCCGATGAAGAACGACCCCAAGGGAACTCGGATCAATGAGTCGCAGTTTTTCACGCAGGAAAAGCATGATCTGCTCTCCCGTGTTCAGATCATGGAGCTTAATGAGGTGGGCGAGTACGCTGCTGTGGAGGTGACGCAGACCAGCGAGCTGGATACTGGGACATTCCAACTGCATCAAGGCCTGCAAAGAAGAATCGGCATCAACATTTCCCACAGTTCGGGCGAAGCCCTGCCCTGGGGAGACGTCTCTGCTGTCCGTGTCGGGAAGATTCGACTGGTGGACTCCGCTGGAAAGACCCCTGATATGGCTTCCAATGACCCCGATCTTACGCTCAAGCTGTCTTCGAGTCCAGTCTTTCGTGAGAATGCCAACGGTACCCGGAACATTGCCATATTCGCCCAGTGGGACTCGAGTATGCACAACTCGCTTCTACTCGACCGGGTGACTGCGGACAAGTATCGTGTCCAGATGACAATTTCTTGGGAGATCAGTTCAGAGAAGCTGGCTGAGCCAATGAAGTTCTCACAGAAGGTCTGCGTCCAGATCATGTCGAGATCCTTTGTGCGCCAAACCTCGGTCTTTTCGTCCCTCTTTCAAAATGTTAGGTTTGTGCGGTCATCGACCGGCATTTTCACGCTGACCATGCGACCTGCCCCCATCAAGAGAATCGGTGATCTGTGGAGGATGAATAGCCAGCATGATTATGTCAAGGGAGAGGAGAACTTGACCACCTGGACTCCTCGCGGAGTGTCCTTGGTTGGTGATTTTATCCTGGCGCGCAAGAAGAAGAAGCGAATGGCAGAGATGGGGGCAACTCAGACAGTTCTCTCGAAACTTGGACTGGATGGCACCAACGACAAGTCTGCCCAGGATGAACCTGTACCCGAACCCTCTCCGGAGCTGAAGCCCATCATCCCGGATGACGATGACCTCCTCATCGATACTCCTGACACTTCCCAAGCCCCTCTCGACGAAGATGAATTTTTGGATGGGGAAGCTGAGGGAGCAGATGGAGTAACTGAGATAGCCGAGGAGGAAGACACCATCAAAGTGGAGGAGGTACAGCCTAAGCCTGAATATGACGAAGAAACGACGGATCTTCTTGGGAGGTGCCTCAAACTCTGGAAGAAGTATCCAGATCCGCTGGTCAGCATCCTGAGCCCAGCAAACACGGCGCCACCTACGAATGGTGTGACGAGCGACTTGCCGCCGCCGCCCACTCTAATTACAACCATTATTAGGGTGCCCAAGAACCCCAAGGTGTTGAAGGGAGGGTACCTGTTGATACCAAACAGCGATTCGACGCGGTGGGTTAAACGGTTTGTGGAGTTGAGAAGGCCGTACCTTCACATCCATTCTGCCACAGATGGTGACGAGGTTGCGCTGGTGAGCTTGCGAAATTCGCGTGTCGATAGTCAGCCTGGAGTGCTGGGTCTCCTGCACGGTCCAGATGACTATGATGCTCCGCAAGGCCAGAATGCGGGAGCTGATTTCACACCGGGCCACCGGCGTACAGGGTCGGGTCGCGTCATCTCCACCATCTGGACGGGCACGGGCGGGGGAGGCTCGCATGGGGATGGTCCCGGACTCCAGCGTCTCAGCGAACGAATGCAATCAGCTGTATTTGCCATATATGGTACGGACAACACGTGGCTCTTTGCGGCGCGGAGCGAGCGCGACAAGATGGATTGGATCTTCCGGATTGACCAGACATTCATGTCGAGCAACGATAGCGTCCCTGGCAGCGGAGTGGCGAGCCCCTTTCCTGGATACTAATTCTCGAAGGGGGAGTGAGTGAATGAATGGGGTTATGACTTGAAACGTTCTCTCATTTCAGCATATAACTTTTCTTTTGTCACGTTTGGCGGTGAATTAGATGAGATGAATTATACCCCCGAAGAATGAGGAGGGAAACGCCGCTGATGTAGGAGTACTGTTAAAAAAAAAACCTGGATATAGGTAGGCTCGAGAAGTCTGGATGCCGACGTGGGCGCAGGCCCCAAGGCGGCGAGCACTCGAGTTAGAATCCAATTTGGATAGGACTATAATGTGAACGAATAATATCATATCGGGTTCCAACTTGGGCTGAAATTGGAGTTTCTCTGCGTGATTCTACTCACTGTACAAGCACGGAGGCTAGAAGTCGCTGGCTATGTTTTGAGAGACCGATACTGACTGGCTGAGACTGTACGACGATCAATTCACTAGTCCCGGGAGTCGTGGTGTGGCATTGCCATACGAGATGATTCAAGGGATTGCCTCAGAGACACTTCACTGCGGCTGCTTGCTTGCCTTCTCAACTGGTGAAAGGTGCATATGGCTGAGAAATCCTACTAACGACGCAGCCACATGGGGAACCGGGCGAAAGTGCATCACAGTAGCGTTTATTATAGACAACGGATATTTCCGTGGCATCACAGAGGGAGGCGTGGCCTGAATACCGACTTTCTACGGACTAGATACTCCGTACTACACAGGTAATGTCATTCGTAAGCGATGCTATTCGCTATTCGCTATTCGCTATTCGCTATCCGCAAGCAGGCGTTTGAGCCGGCTGTTAGGTAACAATTCTGTGTAGCCTGTTGCTTGCTTTTTGGCAACCCTGAACATCAACGGAGTGGCTTTTTTCGGTTAGATGGGCCCCCAGACAGATTGCTTTTTTGCCTGCCCGACTTTCCCATGCTGTCGATCGTGGTTCACAGACGAGCCGTTTTAATTTAGGGGAAAGGTTAACGCCGACGACGACGCAATGCAATTGTGGAAACGTCCAATGTGAGGGAAAGGGGGCAAATTAGGGAGGGCATCGAAGGGTTTGGGCGTGAGCGGAGAGGAGACAGAAGGCAAAGTCAGGCCATAGAAGGCAAGGAAAGAGAGACAGTGGAGGGGCAGGATGCTAGCAGACAAGCCAGAGAGGGCCTCAAGCGGCGATACGACGGTTTAGATCCGACGGCCTTTACTAATTAGACCCGGCGCGTTGGAGGAGCCAGGAGCCAGGAACCAGGTTGGAGGAGAGCCAGGCGGAGAGTCAGGAGGGAGCCAAGAGCTAGGAAGTGGCTCAGGTACGAACGATGTAAGGGACGCTGTTGGGGTCTCGCTCCGTAATAGAGGCGGTCCAGTCCAGTTGCGCGCTGGAATCGAGTGACAAAGAGCGCAGTGTCGTGCTAAATGATTGCCGTGGGCATGGTACAGTAGCATCTCGACGGAGCAACAGCCCGAGCGAGCGCGCTGTGGATGAGGAGGTGGATACGGGTGTAAATGGGCTGGTCGTACGGAGGAGTAGAGCTGGCTTAGGTTGGTGAGGTGCGTGTGCGGTGCGACTTGAGCGCGGGGAACAACCCAAGGACGCCTCCACTCCTAACATCCACTAACATCCACTAATAACACCCACTAATAATAACATCCACTAATCCTCCACTCTCGCGCCCTGCGTTGCTCAAGCGTAGGTACCTCAAAGACACTGCAACGTGCGTTTGCTGGCGGAGGAGCGGGATGCTACAGACGAAAGGGAGAGAGGGGTGGCTAGTTAGCAAAGCATGCATCCAGGGTGCCGGGTCCGAGGCATGGGCGGACCCAGCGGAGTGGATGTGACGGGATGGGATGTGAGGACGGGATGTGGGAATGGGATGTGGGAATGGGATGTGGAAGAGAATCGGGCACGTTCCGGCATATCTCTCTCTCTCTCTCTCGGAGAAAATAACCCGAGGCAATGGAGAGGTTACGTTACCTTTCAAGCAGCATCACTCCATCTACAACATGGAAGCGGCAAGGATCAAGGGCCTCGGGAGGGATGAATAACTCTCTCTCTCTCTCTCCACACGCGAGACCGAGGCTCAGAATGAGATGAGACGCGCTTCGAGACGAGGTTGGCCTCCCCACGAGCCCGAGATAAGAGATTCCGCATGGCACGGGGCATGGGTATTGCACAGCACATGCATGGACGTGCCATAAATAATACTACTACGTATGGTATGTACGCTGCTCGGTCCGATCACCTTCTGTCGGTAATGAAGCTGACCAAACGAGCGCAGGGGAGCAAGCAGCATGATACGACGCTGAGCTGTGTTGGGGATCATGGTGATCCCGAGACAGACCCAGATGGTCGGTAATTGTCCTCGGCCACCCCTGCACATCGTCCGTCCCGCCGGGACAGCTGGGAATGGGTTTATACACGAAATCGTCTCGTTTGGACGAGACGCCACTAATCAACGGAAATGATGATGGGAATGGCCTTGGATCGGCATGGAGTTGAAGGGAGGTGCTGCTAGCCCGGCCCGGATGCTCTGGCCGTCTGTTCCGCCGTGCTCCAGTGCTACAGACTGTCTACCTAGGACCTAGGGAGGTACCTAGGGACAGTGAATGTGGTGTACCCACAAGACCGGAATGGCATAATCCCGCCCGTAGAATGCTAGCATGCGCCGGCGTCCACAGCGAGGCTTGTAGCGCGTACTGGATGCGAATAGAGCGGGCTGTACTTAGGACGCCAGGTAGCCTGGACATGACCGCTTGCACGCTGGGACGGACAGCGCACCACACCACACACCAAGCCCGGTCCCAGGCTGGCGGGCCACGCCACGGGCCAAGCCACGGGCCAAGTTGACTCCTCCACCGTGAAGTCCAGTTCTGGCTGCGCGTCAACTGCTTCCGTCACAGCGGTGAACCTGGGAGAGCTTCCCGTGGAGCACACAAGGCAGGGGAAGCGGGAGAAGAACTCGGGAGGAAGAAAACGAAGGCGCTTTGCGAGAATGGGGAAAAAGTAACGCGCAAAGAGCAACGGCGTCTTGGCCTGCTTCGGCCCCAATGCAAACAAGGTCTCTAGGCCTCTAAGTTAGGCTTCTGCTACGGTCAGCACCCACCGCTGCCAAGCAACCCCTGGCTTCTCGTGCCACTCCCCTTGCCTCCATGTCTACTTGCCGGCTAAAGAGGCAATTGGCGCTCTTGGCGTCAGTACCGACAATGGGGGAGGACCTGACGAAATCCAGCCCAGGGCACGAACGTCGTCCCAACGCCAAAGCATCAAAGAGAAATTGACTACTTTTTTTTTTTCCCTTCCCCGGCGCATGAGGCTTTGACGTTTGGGGGTGTTGGGGGCCGTGGTGTGTACGGTTGAGGGAGAGACCCTGGTTAACTGTGGTGACGGGAAGGGTGCGGAAAAGGCAAGGCCAGGGCTCGGAATGGACCTGGAAATCACCCGGCAAGGGAGCTAAAGCGGCCGGGAGTCGATTGATGCACCGCTGTGTGCGTATTGGGAACTGCGCCGGTACTTTTTTGTCTTATTGTTCTTCTCTTAATCGGCGCATGCGTCTTCTGGCGGAAGCATCGGAGGGGCTTTGAAACTATCAAACACCGACCCCTCCGAGGCCCCATGTCGTCGGGTTGGAGAAAAGAGACGGGAGGCCGGTATAGCGGCTCGAGATATACATGAAGTGGTGCATTAGCGGGAGTCGCTTTAGGGTTGGAGGGGGACTATTCGCTATCAAGAAGGAACAGAGTTCGAGTTCTTGTTACGGAATACTACGTAGATACTACCGGCCCCTCGAAGCCACCTAGGCCCGGCATTATTTGGAGCTTGGCAGTACCGAGCCTGTACTAAATTAACTTCATAGGATGGCGCCCCTGCTGAAGATAAATGACAGGCAGACAGATAGGAAGAGAGAGGAGCACAACACATACGTGGATAGTAGGATATGTATCCGCAGACGGGCGTGTGAGCCAAAAGGTCCGTGTCCAGTTCGGCTCATGCACGGCATGCCATGGCTTCTTCCCAGCCGCGTGAGACACCGCAATCACCACGTAGCATCCAGGTACGCAGCCTGTCCGTTGTGCATACACTCTGACGTCGCCAACTAACACAAAGCTAGCTGGGCTAAGGAAGCCGGGGGGCACAGACACCTAAAAGGAAGGCTACGAAGAAGAAGTTCGGCAACTAGTTGCTAGGGTTGCATAGGGAGGTCGGTAGGTAGGTATCTTTAGCCTGGCGTTTCGGGAGGATGATGAGTGAGTTGTTGCTTCTCTGGCCCTGGGGTCTCGGTTCAAGACAGAATTGATGCAATGATCGATCGACTGCCGTCCCGTCTTCTAAGGCTCGGCGTGTTTCTCCCTCCCTCTCTCTCTCTCCCTCGCGCTCTCTTTCCCCCTCTTTTGTATTCCCCAGACGCCATCCCCATCCATCTCACCTCCCACACAACCTAAAGTCTCGGAGCAAAAGCCACGGCCGCCCTTGTATGTCACCCAATCCCGTGCAGTCGGTTCCTTGCCCCATGCCCTCCCTGCACCAGCCTTTTGCAGAGTGCGGGTTTTGCCGTGTGCCTTTTTTCTATCTTTCTTACGGTCTTGCATTCTCGCATTGCACTGCAATTTCCCACACCCCCCCCTTTTCCCTTGCCTGGTTTGGTGGAAGATCGCCGGGTGGCATTTTCTCCGTCCACACACAGCACAGCGTAACGTGTAACCCACGCCGCACAAAGCATTTACTTGTCCCTTCCCTCTGGTTCAGATCAAACAAAAACCCCCCCAACCGGGCATCCAATCGGCCGTCACCCACCCGCGTCCTTTTTTTCTTTTCTTTTTTTTCTTTTTTTCTTTTTTTTCCTTTTGCCTGTTCTTGTCTCACACCCCTCCCCCCCTCCCAGAACAAAAGTGTCCCAGATCTCCCCGGTGCCGTCAATTTCCAAGCCTCCGGGAACGGGCTGCGCTTCCCGACCCAAACCACCGGATCCCGGCCCCAGTCCCTTGTTTTAGCCTACCCGAGTCGCTGGGACGCCTCTGAGCGGGCGGATTTCTTGTGAGCGAAGAAGGAGGCTGGTCTGTGAGTTGGCCTAGGTGTTTTCCTGTCTGGTCTTTGACATTGGGGACCTGGACTCGGTTATAGAGTGCGGGCTAGGGCGCTGGCTCTCGCCATCTCATCTCGCACGCGCCATAACGCACCACGCAGACACTAATAACATTGCGCAGCAACACGCAACTTACACACCACGAACAGTTCCCAACCATGCGGTCCTAGCCAAAGCCGATAGAAGGGCTAAAAGGGAAGAAGGAGAGAGAGAAAGAGAGAGAGAAAGAGAGAGAGAAAGAGAGAGAGAGACACACACCCTCTAATTCAATCCCGTCCCGCCGGGCCCTGCTCGGTGCTTGGGAGGGAGTCGAGGGACCCTTGCCTCTGAGCTGACGCACGTCGCCGAGTTTGGGAATAGGTCTCGCCCGCACCAAAAAGCCCCGGCCGCCTGGGGTGTCTGCGTGGTGCGCGCGCGGCGTGCGTGTAACTTAGGTGGTTGTTGGTGGACGAACAGCGATTCCCGCTTCTCCCGTAGCGCTCCACGACCCGACCACCACGAGCCCTCCCCTTGATTCCCATCTTCGACTCTGCGGCTTCCTTTTTGGTCGACCGAGCAGTCGGACAGACAAACTGGCACGCGGGCACGGAGGCGTGTTGCTTGTTGCTTGGCTTGCTCCGAGACAGGCATCATCATCCTCCCCGTCCCTGCCGCCCACTAATTATCACGGCCGCCTCGCTGTCTCACCTCGCACACACACGCCCTCAAATATCCGACACCGACAGGCTGGGTCATAGAAATTCGGAGCGGCCACTGGCCAGGAGGGTACGGCACCCAGACCCAAAATGGGACCCCCCAAACACGACCCAGAGACCAGGTTGCTTAAAGACGGGGCGCACCAGGCCTGGCTGGGCTGGGCTAGAAAGCCGAGTCAGATACCCGTCCCAGACTGCTGGGTCCTGTTCGACTGAGTTGCCGTCTTTCTTGATCCTGTTTTGATCCTGTATTGATGATCTTGTCTCGTCTTGTCTCTGTCTGCACTTGTTATTAAACTCTTTGAGGCGGGAAACTCCCCTTTTCGCTTCCCCAGTCGAGTATCATCTCCATCTCCATCTCCATCGTCGTTCGTTGCCTCCGTCTTCCCCATCTCCGTCTTCATCTCCCGCGCTCCTCGGCCAAGGCTACCCGGTTCCCGTACTTGGCAAACCGACTCCTCGTCCTTTTGCTTCTTTTCTTTTTCTTTCTTAAAGCCATCTGTCCCTCTGCTTAGATCGCCCGGATCACCTCCAATACTCACTTACTCGCTCATCAACAATCCTCATTCGGAAACTCCCTGCAACGGCCGCACCACCACCACGCCCACTGTCTTCTCTCCCTCACTTCGCCGATCCATATCCACACCTGTCCACACCGCACATAAGCTCGCCATCTGCCGCCTTTCCACTCGCTTCCTCCCCCTAGACTTTGTCTCTTTGGGCGACTCGCATTATTTTCTCTCTCGCCCCCCCCCCCCCTGACCTGACCTTCCCGACTCTAACGGCTTTCGTCCTTGGGCAACTTTTCTCAACCGCTTTTCCGAACGGCATTCCCATATCCCGCACCTTTGGTTCACCCCCTCATATTCTCATATTACGAGACCACCCAATTCCCTTGTGTGTGGGGTGGTGGCCTCTGCGTTACCATTCTGACGGGTCGCTTGCTTCGCTTGCATCAGCATCCTGACGCTTCTGTCCAATGGGCTAGGTCATTCGAATCTGTGGATTCTGTGCGTCTGCTGCGTCTACTGCTTCTATTGCTTCTGCCGCTTCTACCGCTTCCGTGATTGCTCCGCATTTCCACCAGCCAAAGAGATCATGTCGAGGCCACCTCTTCCGTCCAACGACTCGGACGACATGTCCAACTCGTCGCCATCCAACATGAATAACTTTCAGTTTACCTTCAACTGCTCAGCTGCAAACTCTGCCCAAAATAGTTTTATTGAGCCCGATGTGTGTTCTCATTCCTTCTCCTCTCTCATCAGCTGTCTCGCTCAGCCGTCACCGCCGTCCACACCTCGTCTTGTACATGCCAAAGGGGCTTTTACTGACTGTTGATTTCACCCATACAGTCCGATGCACAGGACAAGTAAGAACACCCATCCAGACCTGACGCTTCGAACCCTTGACTGATCATATCTAGCAGGGACTCAGAATCCTTGACAGACAGTGTCCAAGACTTCCCTGAAGAATTCGGTCGAACGTACCATGCGTACAGAGCAGGCTGTGAGTTTTGCCCGCTGCCCCATTGGGAGACACCGCCCTCCGAAACTGACCTTCACTTCAGCGTATGCCTTCCCCAACGACCAGCTGGAACGGGATCGACTGGAGCTCCAAAACGATGCCCTCATGAAACTCTTTGGTGGACGACTCTTCTTTGCCCCCTTATCGAAACGGAACCCGCCTCGTCTCGTCCTCGACATCGCTACCGGGCTGGGTGACTGGGCAATCAAGATGGGCGACGAGTTTCCCCAGTCCGAGATTATTGCAACTGATCTCTCTCCAATACAGCCTCGGAAGGTACCCCCAAATGTTAGCTTTTATGTTGAAGACTCGTATGTCACCCCATATCCTGCTACGTTTCTGGCCAGTGTCCTGCCGTTGCTGACTCCCTCCTGTAGCTCGCAGCCATGGGACTACACCGATAAATTCGATTACATTCACACCCGGATCACGGCGGGCTGCTGGTCGTCTTTCCAGGAGCAAGTCGCAGAGCAGGCTTTCGAGTCGCTCAACCCCGGCGGCTATTTCGAATCCCAGGAGTACGATGCCATTGTGGCCTGCGACGACGACACCCTCGACCCGGAAAGCCCCCTGGCTCGGTGGTTTCATGACTTGAGAGTCGCCTCGGACGCCATGGACCGTCCCGTCGTCCTTGCCGCCACGCTACGAAAAATATACGAGGAGGTTGGTTTCGTTGATATCCAAGAGCGCATCTTCAAGATGCCTATGAACGGTTGGCCCAAGGACGAACGTCTGAAAGAGCTGGGCAAGATGTGGGAGAGGAATTTTTTAACAGGACTGAGCGGCTTCTCCTTTACGCTCTTCAACCGAGTCTTTGGGAGAACCCCGGCGCAAATAGAGGTGAGGCAGAGAAAGGATTGAACAACCCCTTTTATTTGGAAAAATAACTGATCGAGCTTCTTAGGTGTCACTCGTCGACGTGCGGCGAGACCTTATCGACACCCGGATCCACGCATATCTACCCATTTACGTTGTGACTGGACGCAAGCCCTTCCCCGGCGAAGGACCCATAGCCCCTGTGGCATTGTCTTGAGCAAATATACCCATCGTTGGGGTCGACAATCGCCCCGACCACATGATAATAAGAGGAGCTGTGCACATGGCGAAGGGATGAAGGAGCCACGATGTGCGAGTTGGCATCATCCCCAGCAGACGGAAAACCAAGAGTGCGAGAAGCGCTAAGCATGCCATGGCAGTTGGTTTTTGGACATTCATACCCATGATACCCTGAGCGAGAATGAATACCCATAATGTTAAATGACATGCATGATTAGAAACGGACGATATTATTCTAGATTCTGCAGACACAATCAAGAAACACACTCTGCTTTTATTCTTAGGGTTGGTCCCTTGCGACTAACTGTATGTCGCCTTGTCCGTCTTACTTTCTCAAACTTCTTTTCTATGTGTTGTCCAAGGGGATGATGATCCCGTGCCAGGCATTCATCCCAATACTGAGTCACATTTCCTCTTCCGCTTTCCCGACTCTGAGCTCGACCGTCTCCCCAATCTCTACCGTCTCTCCAGAGTTGACCTCTGGCGCATCGGATTCCTCGGAGCTGTCCGTCAGCTCCTCTGCGTTTTCGCTCTTTCTCGCAAGCCAGCCCAAAGACATGGCTTTGCTCTCGGGCACAAGCTCCCCTAGGCGGCGCTCAGAGAGGAATTCATGGTCGGCGTACTCAAACCCAGGCACCACCGTTTCTGAGATGAGAAGACCGTCGGGTTCCTGAGCACCTCCCGCGGCCATGTTCTCTTCGGTGTCGAGCAGGTAACTGGCCTTCCATACGCCCCCTTCGACGACCCACTGCAGCCGCTCGCCGCGTTCGACTGCATGGCCGACGATGAAGGACTCGACTCGGCCATCGGGGTGGAGCAGCACGTAGCGCCCACGCCCGCGGTGCAGCGTGTGAATGATCCGGCTGCGGTTGCGGTGGAATCGGCCCAGGGGACTGCGGTGCGTGAGGAAGTAGAAGATGGAGGTCGACAGGCGGCGAACTGCAGGGTCGAAGCCAGGACGAGACGGCACGGCCTGAGAGGCAGGCTCTCCAGATAACGGGTTCAGGGGGTAGGGCGAGGGGATGGTTTTGGTGTCCTCGTCGGTCTGACTGAAGTAGCCGCCTTCAACGTGAGGGAGGAGGTCGAGGGCTTGGATGAGAGCTGCTGTTTTGGAGGACTCTGGCTCGGAAGACGGGATGAAGGCGGGTTTGAGGGTGTCGAGAGCGACTTCGTTGAGTATGTATTCACCCATGGTGGCTTCAGGTCTCAATGTAGCGGGAATAAGATGTTGGGGCACAGTTGTAACGGGGTCCAAGACTGAAAGTTTGAATATATTAGTTTCATGAGATTATGGTTGAGAGGCTCCGCGGGATGCGGTAGAAGATGATTCACCTCCGGGATGTTATGGGTCAGATTAATTTGCTCAGTGATGAGATTCGTCCCGGAGCTAAGCGGACGGAAGACGGTAGGCGGAGTGATTACCAAGAACTTGTGAGAACTTTCAATGATTGCTGACGGAGTTTACGAGGAGGCTGTGTTTTCGTCGAGTCACGAAGCAAGCTCACCTCACTTCACTCGGGGCGTGGACGGTGATTGAGTCGCAAAAGAGGAGTTGTTTCAAATGGGGATTCAAGCAGTGTTAAATAAAATCATTTGGCTGCTTGCGCGTTGAAGGTGGTGGCCAGACGCTGACGCCGAAGCTGACCATGAATTTGATGCGCATCTGAGAAGGATGCGAGGATGTGACGAGTGCGCATCGCAAGGCGCCAATGGCAGCTTATCTTGTCCATCCGGGTCTTCCGAATAGCTGAGCATCTTGGCGGATGATGAGCGACACTAGCAGCCAAGTGAGCAAAGATAAGATGAAGAGTAGTCGTCCTACCTCGGCAGCGCTGGCTTATCTTGGTGTTTTCTTGCGGCCACGAACGGGCGATATAAGTACTTGGGGGCTGCGAACCACAAATCCGGGAATTCTGCCCGCGTCCTTCGCTTCGTACTGGGTACCACCGGAGGCTTTATCCCAGCGAGGCCCCGACGCCACCGCAGGGCGTTTGTGCCTGTTTCACAGGCGCCACTCGCGAACTCGCACAGCGGCAGAGCCGCCTAACCGGCGAGGCTTTCGGCTGCTACAGGGGCCGGGGGCCTAGCCCGAGCTGGCAGTTTTAGGGCATTCAGCAGCAGTACGTACCTAAGGACCCCCGGGAAAAAACCTCCCATGACGCAACCCAGGCTGAAAACGGCTCCCCCGCAGAGGCGCACAGGAAGATCCGTCAGCGAGGAACGTGCAACACCAACCAACTCCAACACGCACCTCGCCTCGCCGCCCGCTGCTCGTCCCTCGGTCGCTAAATGTCGAGGGCTCATTTCTGACTCGCCGCCCTACGATTCTCCTGAGGCGCATTGGGCCCTCGTCGTCCCATGCCTGCCCCGCGCCTGCTCGTGCGGCCAGTGCTGCTGGGTGTCTCCCGCCCGGCCTTGTCTCTCCGGCTGCGAGCCGCACCCACCATCGTCCGATACCGCTTCCTCTCCCACACGCGACCACTCGGCGACGAAAAACTCCCGCCTCAGAACCAGCAAGACCCTTATGACCGCCTCCGCGATGCCAAGCCTCTCGTCTCGAACCGCGCGGCCGGTCGCTTCACCCGCGCCGGCACCAGTCGCAACTCGCGCTTGTTCGTTCTCGCAACCGTGCTCGCGGCGGTGGGCTTCTACCTCTACAACTCGCAGACGGTGCCCGTGACGGGTCGCCGGCGCTTCAACTTCCTCTCCGACTCCATGGTGGCGCGCGCGCACTCCAAGGCCGCCGGGCAAATCATTGAGCAGGTCAAGGCGCAGGGCGGTCACTTCCTCGGGGACTGGGACCCGCGTACCATTTTGGTCAAGAGGGTCATGAAGCGGTTGATTCCTGTGAGCGGCATGACGGACCTCAATTGGGAGATTTATGTCATTGCTGATAGCCGTACGTTGTCGTGCTGCTGGCTGCGCTCGCTTGGACTAACAGGGTGAATCAATAGGAACGGCCAATGCCTTTGTCCTCCCGGGAGGCAAAGTTTTCGTCCACAGCGGCATCCTCAATGTCTGTCGAAACGAAGACGCCCTCGCCGCGGTGCTGGGCCACGAGATCGCACACAACACGGCGTCGCACGCGGCCGAGCGCCTGTCAGCAGCGTGGGTGGGCAACCTGACAGCCGGCAGCTTGTTCTTCCTCGCCGGCGCTCTACCCGGTCTCGCGCTCTTTGGACTATGGAATTTCGTGGGAGGGTACTACCTACAAGACCTATTGTTCTACTTGCCAATGGGCCGTAAGCAGGAGAGCGAGGCGGACTACATCGGGCTCATGATGATGGCCGAGGCATGCTACGACCCGCGGCAGGCGGCCGGGTTCTGGCAACGGATGGAATCCATCCAGAAGTCTGGTGGGCAGGAAGTGCCGGAAATGTTGAGCACGCACCCTTCAGTAAGCTCCCTTTAACCTCGTGAGATGCGTGCACAGAGTTGGTTGAGTTGATGCTGATATGTGTTGCTACAGAACGAGAATCGGATCAGCAAGATTGGGGAGTGGATGCCGGAAGCGATGGAGAAGCGGATGCAGAGCGACTGCAGGGGAACGACGGCGTTTGCAGATCGATTCCGAAGGGCAATGCGGAGAGGGTCAATTGAAGTGCCTGCTGCGTCTGCGTCTGCGTGAGCCCTTGGCGGTCTTTGCCCGTTTTTAAATAGACGAAAGAGAAGGACGGACTGCGTTGAAGTAAACTAGACGGAGACTCTCCCCACAACACAAAAACTGTAGAATATGCCATGGCCGTTGGACGTCCCCGTGACGAATATCCCATGATGGTCGGGTTGATGGACGCCCTCTTCGTGGGGATGCGGCCTGAGTGTTGGCAATTGTCCCGCTGTGATACGCTGGCTCCCCACCACGCGGGGCATGACGTCGGGGCCCTTTAGCGCGAGAGGTGCCCCCAGACATGCCCCGGATGGCCCAGATCTCCGCTTTACCTCGCTATTCGCCCAGCGCAATAGCGCTCTAGCCCGCGTGCCGGCGACAAGGTGTACCGAGGCAAATCTCCACCCGGACAGCAGCCGTGTGCCTCGGAGAGAACTCCTTTCCATCCGCCGCGATCTTGGAACTTCCCTTCCATCTTTTTGTAGTCGATCCATTCACAGCAACGAGCTCGAGAGTGTCAACCAGTAAACGCACTTCTCACACCCTTTCTCACAACCCCGAGCGTCACTCTCACCCGCTATCTCGCCATGTCGGAACAGTACACGGCCGCCGAGGTGGGCAAGCACAAGAGCGCTGCCGACGGCTTCTGGCTCATCGTTGAGAGCGACGTCTACGACGTAACGAGTGAGTCTGTCCCCTGCGGCTGTCGCATCTCATCGAGTCCGACTCGTTTTTGCACGCGCCCTCAATTGAGGACGCAACGGGACGAGACGAGATGAGACGAGATGAACAGCATGGCACGACCTCTCCCGCGCAACGGCATTGCTGACCTTGGCCGCAGAGTTTATGGACGAGCACCCCGGCGGCGCAAAGATCATCAAGCGCTGGTCCGGAAAGGACGCCACCAAACCCTTCTGGAAGTACCACAACGAAGACGTCCTCAAGAAGTACGGCGCCGGTCTCAAGATTGGCAGCGTGCCCGAGAAGGCCAAGCTATAGACGCAGTCGCGGTCGCGGTGGTCCGTGGTGGTCCGACTTTGGGACCGTGTACCAGACGATAGAGGAGCGGACGGCGATGGGTTTCTCGTGTGTTTTGCAAGGCGCAAATGATATTGGGAAGGACTGTATATGAACGAGGTGGATTTGGATTTCTTGGTTTGGACTTTCTGTGTAGACATACGCTCTTGGCTGGACTGTCGACCATCAGACGACGCCCTGGGGCTAAGCATGCTCTGCTTTGCTGACGACACCAGTTAGCCTGGGTAGCAAAGATTTTATGATGACTGCCGTGAACACAAGACTCGTGGTCCATATCGAAGCGTGACAGGTATTTCTCACATCCTCACTAACCGAGGGCATCTCGGAGTCAGGGGCTCACTCCAGACTGTCGTGGAAAATGACCTGCCGGATGCGGGATTCACCGGTGCCCAACAAAGCGGCATATGATATGAAAAAGAGCAAGTGCAATAGCCAATTCAATTAGCAATAAATGAAATCCCCCAGTTTTATTCACACTTCATCATCCTTGCAATCGACCATCTCACTCGACTGAAGCCCGGCTTCACCATGCCTAGCTCTCCGCTTCCTCCCAGTTAGCTTCGCAAACTCCTGCCCTTTCATCCTCGAGTGGGGCCAGAACCGGCCGCCCCTCCGACTTACAAGACGATGAGTCTGCGACGTCGCTCCAAAGGCTGCGAAGAATACAGCGCACTCGGCGGGACTATAAAACTCGGGCGAATCCGCCAAGTTCCGCAGAGCGATTATTCCGCCGCTGTAAAAGCAAAAACACAAGGGATCGTTTTGAGAGCCGTCAACGATGAGCAACATCTTCGACTACGATGCCTGTGAGGGCCGCCTCGCGCAGCGTCGGACTCGCTCCGACCACGAGTACGGCACGCTGCCGGCCCTCGAGGATATCCAAGCTGCCCAAGCCTCCCTCCCACGGCCCGGGTCGCCGTCTTTCCTCAGCGGCCGCTCGGACAAGGACACGGTGGCGCACGTCGTCGACGACATCGTCGCGGGACTCACCGGCCAGGCGCTGTCCCAGCGGTACTACGGCTTCGTCACGGGCGGCGTGCTGCCGCTGGCCGAGTGGGCCGACAATGTCGTCTCGATGATGGATCAGAACGTCCAGGTGCATTTGCCCGAGCAGTCGATTGCCACGTCGGTCGAGGATGCCGCCTTGAGCATGCTGGTGGCGCTGCTGAGGCTCGGCGACGAGGGGACCTGGAAGGGCAGGACGTTCACGACTGGTGCCACGGGGAGCAACGTGCTGGGGCTCGCGTGCGGACGGGAGGCTGTTCTTGGGAAGAAACTGGGAGGTCAAGGCAGTGTGGGCGAGCTGGGCTTGCTAGGGGCTTGCATGAAGACTGGCGTCACCGAGGTCCAGGTCCTGACGAGCGCCGCGCACAGCTCCCTCTCCAAGGCGGCCAGCGTAGTCGGCTTCGGGAGGAGCTCAGTCAAAGACCTTAGGCTGAGCGAGGAGGAGCCGTGGAGACTGGACCTCGCGGCGCTGGAGAAGGCGCTTCGGGTTCCCAGGACAGCCAGCGTCATCGCCCTCAGCGCGGGCGAAGTCAACACGGGTCGCTTCGCCATCAGCGGCATCGACGAGATGCGGAAGGTGAGGGAATTGGCGGACAAGTACGGGGCTTGGATCCACGTTGATGGCGGTGAGTCTTGCTTTGAATTCGTTGCGAAAAGGGAGGCCGCTAATAGTCCCAGCATTCGGCATCTTCGTTCGTGCTCTTGAGGACAAGGATGAGTACAAGGTGCTTCACAAGCGAGTCGAGGGCCTTGAGCTGGCCGACAGCATCACGGTAGACGGTCACAAGCTTCTCAATGTGGTAAGTATCTATAGCCCCAAGCCCAAAGGCCGTTACTAACTCCAAACGCCAGCCCTACGACTGCGGCATGTTCCTCACTCGATCTCACCTCACTCTGCAATCCGTCTTCACCAACCCCAACGCCGCCTACCTCTCCTCCGGTTCCCAAGATTCCATCCCCTCCCCTCTCAACATCGGCCTCGAAAACTCCCGCCGCTTCCGTGCCCTGCCCGCATATGTCGTCCTCCTGAGCGAGGGGCGCCCTGGCATGGCTGGCTTGCTTGCCAACATGGTCGAGCTCTCCCGCCAGGTGGCCGCCTTCCTGCGCTGCTCGGAGCACTACGAGCTGCTGCCCGACGAGAGTGCCGACCTCGACGAAATCTTCATGATTGTGCTGTTCCGGGCAAAGGATGCTGCGCTGAACGAGGTGCTGGTCGAAAAGATCAACCAGACGAGGCAGATGTATGTCAGCGGGACCAAGTGGGAGGGACAAAAGGCGGTGCGAATGGCCGTGTCGACTTGGAAGGTGGATGTTGCCAGAGATTACAAGGTTGTGACATCGATCCTGGCTGATGTTGCGGAGGGCAAAGAATTCGACATCAAGAGCTGCCGAGAATAGAGGTTTAAAGACCGTGGCAGAGGATCGGATTCCTGAGATGGCCGAAGGTGAAATGAGAATTGAGAGTTGTAATGCTCGAATGTCGTCGGTCTCGTCGTGTATATATTTCGTCGCCATGTTGTTCAAACCAACGCCAGGAAATCCAATAGAGTCCATAACGCAAAAGCTTTTCCCTTCTCAACCAGCAAATCCATGCCGTATCGCCCGTGACGCCATCCCACCGCCGCGCGCACTCCCCCCGGGCTCCAGCGGCCTTTAGCCAAACTTCTTGGAGCCTCCCTTGTTGGTCGACTTCTTCCCGGCCTTCTTGCCCTGGCCGATGAGCTCGAGATGGCCGGCGCGCTCACCCAGCAACGCCTCGGTGCGGGCCGCCATGCCGCTGGTGAACTTCTTGTGCGACTTGTCGACGGCCGTCTTTGAGTTTTTGGGCTTGGCCACCTTGGACGCCTGGCGTTTCGAGTGCGTCGCCTTGACGGTGGCGGGGCGCCCGAGCTTCTTGATCGCTCCCTGTGCCATCGCGGGCGGGTGGTGAGGGCTGTGGAGGGAGGTTTGGGCGGTGGAGGAGGAGGAGTTGTGAGAGGGAAGAACCAGGCCAAGGTGGTTGCTTGGTGGATGGTGTGAAAAAATTAAGGTGGGACAAATCTGGAGCCAAAACATCCCCGCCCCCACCGAGTTTTCACCGACGGTGAGCCAAGCCAGCGTGCCCCACCTCGAAAACCATCGTCTAATGAGACAGACACTATGATTTCTCCTGTAGTAAAAAAAGACCGTGTCTGAAGGCGTCCAGCATGTTGTAATTAAATTCGGTAAGAGCGTTTTTAATTAATTACTGTGCCCATCCAAGAGATTGGCAAATATCCTGTCTTCATAACGCTCATGCCGAACCATCACTGGATGCTATCCTGATATCAAACTCCAGCGCCAGCTACATGACGGCAGACGTGGCGGCTTGGTTTACTCGTCTTTCACTCTCCCAAGAACCAATTCTAAACGTTGCTACCATCCATCACCCCAACCATCATCATCATCCATCTCTTTAGGCTTCATGTCGATCTTCTTAGCCGCGACGGGCTTGGCGGCAGGTTTGGCCAACGGCTTCTTCGCAGCGGCAGACTTTGACAGACCCTTCGGTAGTGGTTTACTCAGTCCAGATTTTTTCTGAGATTGAGCGGCTAACCACCCAGCAAAGTCTGGCTCGTCGCCATCATCAAATGGAGTCGCCGAGGTGGCAGGTTGCTTTGCCGGCTCTTTGGTTGAGGAGCCAAAGCCATCATCGTCTCCCATATCACCCCAAGAGTCCACACCTTCATCTCCATCATCTGCCGGCAAGAAAGCTTCAGCAACCACGCTAGACGATGATTTGCGCGACACGTTTGGTGGTGGTGATTTTACCGCTTGGCGATGAAGGTTCGAGGCAGAAGACATGGCCGGCTTCTTCGCCTCTGTACCGAGGGACGGGGGTGGTTTGGGAGAAACGGCCCTGGAACCAGATTCGGTCTGCATTTCGCCTGCCGCGGCTGAGAGTTTGTTCGTAAACGAGGAAATTGCCCACCCTGTCCACCCAGCATTCTCGGTCGGCTGTGGCGTGCCCATTCGAGGTGCTGCGTCGGATGCCTGTGGGGGAGGAAGAACGCTGTCTGGCATAGTAGAAGCAGCTTTCCGGATCTTCTGGAGATAGACGTCCGCAGTGCGGTTAGCAGCGTCACGAATGAGCTTCTCCTTGTCGATCAACAGGGGGGAAACGACGGGAATGATTCTACAGGCGCAGTCCTCGTCTGAAAAGTACTCGGAAGTAGCGCCTAGCGCCAGCAGGGCAGCGTTTCTCGCGTGAAGGAAAGGATCTCTCAAAGACCGCGTGAATGCAGCAATGAGAACCTTTGATCTAGATGAAGATCCTAGGTTCTTCGCAATCTTTCCAAGACAGATTGTGGTGTTTGTTCGAATGCCAGCTTGCTCATCGTTTGCCGTCTTTGCAAGTTGCTTGAGCAAATCGCCGTTGATAGTACGGTCTGATAGTTTAGTAATGATGACAAGAACAGATTTCAACGTCTGCTCCCTGACAATGGGTGCTACATCTGTAAAGCCGGTCATCTGTGCTCATGTTAGCTGGGTCGTATGAATTCAGGCGTGGTTACAAACCATCTGTGGGAAGATCTTGTCGTTGACAATCTTCTGGGAAAGCTGATCAATCATCAAAGGGAGGCTATCCAAAAGGCAGACTCTGATAGCCCGATCAGGGTTTCCAAACAGCCGTACAACGAAAGGTGTAACCTTGGATTCGAAATCTTCAGCAGAGAGCTTAGTAGCAATCTTCAATACTACTCCGACTGCCTTTGGGCCACCACCGCCGAATTCGGCCGACTTCATCAGTTCAGGCATAACCTTCATCTTAAAAAACTCCTCCGGGAAGTCGTCGCTGATTTGGTCCAGGCCACTAGTAGAATGATCAGTAAATGGCTGGCATCAGCCAACGGGCCACTCACGTTAAGAACTCCTCCTTCTCCTCGGCCGACTTGATGTCGAGGTTGTCGATGCCCTCAGTCAATTTAATAAGAGCGCTATCGAAAAAGGACCCCGCCCTGTTTCCTTGGTCAAGAAAGTTACCAACGCTAGTTCTCGCCTTGGGGTTGGCGTTGCAGAGGCGCTTGTAGCTCGAATGCATCGTTGGTGGGATATTCTTTGTCTGGCCAGCCCGATCCGCTCCGGAGTAGTCGCCATTGAAAACTTCAAACACCAGGACTCCGAGGTTGAACGCATCAACGGCTGTATGGGGGTTCTTCTTGATCACCTCCCACCCCCCTCGGGCCAATTCAGGGGGCGCATATCGACCTGCATCTGGTACCACGCTGCCGTACGTCTGTTGCGCCTGTCAGTCGCTGGTTCGGTCATGACCCGGGCATACACACGTAGATGATTGACTCGTCGTCCTTGACACTGCTTAGGACATCAAATCCTCCCAACTTCCACTCTCCGCTTTCTGAAGTATAGATCGATCCGACCTTGAGGCTGCCGTGAATGGAGGAAGCCTCATCGTTGATGAACTTGATCGTGCGCTGCGGTTTGATCAGCGCCTGTGGCTAATAACTAAATTTGAGTCTGGCGTACTGCAATGCTGTGAACTCCCCATTTTATCGTTTCCGGGCTGAGGCTCTTTCTTCGGACGTGCCACCTCAACGGGATAACTCGCTCGGTCGCAATGTAGATGTAGGTTTCGGTCTGCACAGCGCATGATTAGCGCAACGTCCTAGGCAATCTCGTACAGTTCAGGTTTACCTCAACAGCATCAAGGACTTTAATCACGCCTGGGTGTCGAAGGGTTCGCAGCTTCTTGAGGGCGTTCTTGGCGAGGGGGAGTTGGGATCGGTTTGCGGTAATGTCGAAGGAGAAAATGCTGCAGTTCGAGCCGTCTTCCTGCAGTAGCGCATTAGCAAGGGCCGGGCGACAGGCGGTTATGGGTCGGATAAAGTACCCTCTTTGTGCCGTTGTATAGTGTCCAGATCGACTCGTCAATATCGACGATGTCGCCAAAGTTATAAGGGAAGGGGGGTCCCTGTGCGATGGCCGAGGCCACGGCAGACTTGAGGAAGTTCATGGGGGTGTTGCAGAGGGAGGAGTCGCCTCTTTGGACAAAGAAGAGGGATGACTGCAGCAGAAGGACTGCGAGTCGGGGCCAGGCAGAGAGGACGTGGTATATACCGGAAGCGTAACCCACCCGTTATCGTATCGCAACGTGGTGTTGCTGTCCCCAACTTAAAGCTCCCCGCGCTAAAACGGGTTACGTCGACAGCAGCGCAGCCAGAGCAGCCAGTTAAAGCGTGCAGCGGCGGGGCGCTCGGCGTCGCTGTTATTCCCGCCCCGACAGCGGCTTAACGGGGCCCTTGCCTGAAACGTCTGCAGGAAAGCGCCACCAGGGTGTCGCATTCTAGTTGCTTCACAGCACTCTGCCAGCAATTTGCCAGCACGCCCTCACTGATCGTCAAGGTGCCCGGGCCAATCGCCAGCCACTCGGCCGCCAGCCGCCCAGCAGCCAGCCGCCGACCAGCAACCAGCAAAGGACCCGACCGCTCGCATCACAGCCTTGCCATGAATTTCTTTCTTACATCTACAACTCTTCCCTGTGAAAGGCCCGGGTGCAGGCCCAGATCTCCAGCGCAAGAACCTCATCTCCCGCCATTTCCCGGTTGTGGGGCATGATTTCCATCCCAAATCTCAATCCTCAGGTCAACAACCGAGCCAACGCGTTCGCGATCCTCCCCGCAGCCACCATCGCCAGCGTTGCGCCCACGACCTCGGCGTCTCTGTCCGGTACGTAAGCCTCTCTCTTTGTTGTTTCTCAGCAACCCTCGACTGTCGAATGATGCGCATGGTAAAAGGTCTGACTGAACGGAACCCTCTGGTCACGCCATCTCTCACTCTGGTTCCGCCTAGGCCGCTGTTGTCTCAGGCGACAAGCCTACTATCTCGTCCCCAACTAGTCTCATTCTCTTCACATGTCCCATGTGTTGCTAGAGTGCTTGGGGACGAACAAATCACCACCTGCATTATCGCAACATGGAGTCATCGTCCTCGTTACCTCCACGGGTCCTGACCAAAGGCCGCGACAAACAGCAGACCCACGTCTGCCACGGACCGAGGAGAGCTGGTGTAACCGTTGAGGTACCTAGCGTGACGGCCAAATTAATATCTGAAAAGATCTGACATCGACACATTTCCCTTCATCAACACCTGCTTCTCCGCCATGACCCTTGCATCCAGCTGACCTCGAGTCTTGTGTTTAGTTGGTCCTTTATCGAGACGCTGCCTGCAGCTCGGCTCACATTCTGCATCCAGACGAGTTAGCCGAGCTCGGTATGGGGCGATTAGAAGCCAGATGCAGCAACAGATGTCGCAATTACAGCCAGATTACCTCTACTTTCATCTCCGCACTACCGCATCTTTTGAGCGAGCTTGTACACGACGCGGAGTTTTTATTACTATGCAGATTCGATAACCCTGCCATCCTCGGCATCTCATCTCCATGTCAAATGTGGGCATGGCTCAGCGCGATGCGCTGTCCAATATGAGCGGAGGCTGCGCTGCGCCTGCTTGCGATTCCACAACCCTATCAACCTCGCCTTTCTGCAAGGCGCATCAAGCACTCAGTCCTAGCCCTGGCCCTGGCGGTGGCTCTTCGTTGAAAAACAGCTTGCCCAGGGTCACTCATTTCTCGGAAGCCCGGGTTGTGGCTAAGAGAGGTCACAACCGCAGTCGGATACCATCGTCAGGACGTACTTCGGTTAAGCCCCAAGCATCTCCAAGCCCGAATGAAATCGCCAAAGGAAACAAGGCCCTGGGGTCCCCAGTGGGAACGAAATATCAATCGTTTTTCGGCCCAGAGAAAGTGGAAGCTCAGACCAAGCCTAACCCTGTTGCGCCGGAGGATAGGAGCATGAGCCCGCCCAAAGACTTAAACATCAATGGGTACCAAGGGCAACGTGTGTCATTCGCAACCAATGTCCTCAGGTTCAGCAACGGACTGAAAGAAGATGGAAATGTCCCAGCTTCTAATATATCCCCACCAGAGATGAACCACTGCGCTGAGATCTCAGACCAGGCAATCTTGAATTCGAAAGTCAGGGAAGAAAAAAGTCACAGCGTTTCTCTCACTCCTGAAAGGACTCAGCCCACTGTCTCCAATCCTACGTCGAACGGAAAAGAGGTATCACAGGGTCGCGAGGACATGGAGTTGGAGGATGAGGGGGTAGAGGTATCACCACTCACTCCAGTCCAAGTATCAACACAAGAACCCATAAGCAATGGCCAAACTCCCAGCAAAGTTGTTTGGGCCAATTTACCTCCTCCTATACAACGCATCGCTTCTCCGAACAGCACAGATTCCGGGGAAATGTCCGATGACGAAGATGAGGAGCCTCTAATTCGTTCACGCTTGGGCAAGAGGAGATTCATCATGATGGATCACGATGATTCCGAAAGTATCTATGAGCCATCATCGGCGCGAGAATCTACCTATTCTCAGAGTCCCCAGATTCTCGCCCAAGAGTCAGGTGATGAATACATGCCAATGGTTCCGGAGTTACCCGTCCTGTCGCCCCAACACCACGATGGCAGTGATTCTCATAGCACTGTTACCAGTAATTCTTCGCATGGCAACCGCCCTGTGGTGTCTACAGTCATTACCCGTTCCAGAGTGAGAAGTGAGGCGCGCAGGGCAAAGAGACTGGCCGAATTTGATTCGGATGCATTTGACGCAATGATACAGAAACAGAGTGAGTTGTCACCTAACGTTGTTTCCGCCTCGCCCCGTTCTCCCAGAAAGGTGATGGCTGCAAAGGAGGACGACCGAGTAGCTCTGCATGTGAACCCGGCCATTCATGGGATGCATAACCGATCAGAAGAGTGGCATCAGAGAAAGGCAAAGGAAATCAAAAGCCGTGGCGGGCGAAAAGCTTGGTTCGGAAAGGTCCATGAGAGGCAACGCTATATACATGCAAAAGCGGAGGAGGCAGCGAAGGAACGTGAAAGGGCTCTACGAGCGGGGGAAATGCCTCCTCATCGAGATCCACAGCCTCGGGTGTACAAAAGAACCCTGGATTTTGGAGACATTCCTATGGCAGAGCTTCCAGAGGATGTGAAGAAAAACAAAGCCTGGATGAAGGCGTGTGCCTGGCATCGCGCGACGAAAAGCCAGCCTATCCAGCGACAGGTCCCCCAGAGGACAGCAGAAGAGGCCCAGCGAAATATTCATGTTCAAAGGGCGACAGAAGAAGCTCATCGGTTTTACCTGGATGCATTGAAAAGCCACGGCTTGGCTGGTAAAGAGAAGGCGAAATAGCGAGAGAATATGCTTGGCCAGAGACGACACAGGCCAAGCCGCATTTTGGCGATTAGAAACGGCGGGTGCCGTCATGAGGCGTTCCGGATTGATCGAAAACCATTGTTCAAAGGGACACATGATAGGAAAGGAAGACAAGCATTCGGTCGGTGTTGGGTTCAATTGATACTCTTGTTGACAGACGGAGGAGCATGGCATTTTGTAAAGTGCCTTCACTTGGAAGTTGGGACGGGGTCATCGTAATGATACGTGCCTCACAATATCTTTAGCAATCATCGCCAGGAGCGCATAATTCAAAGCTCAAAACAGAATACAACGCTCAAAACATAATCCGACACAAAAGCCATAATCAAGCACCAAAGGCCAATGCTAAAGCCATAATTACTAGGGCTCAAGGTGACTGGAAATCAAACAGAACAACTGGTATTGCTATATCCTATCTATCACTTAGACATTTTCCCGTCCAGACGCCACTGTTACAAAACATCCAAAAACTTGGAAGCACATGAACCAAACCAACGGCGACAAAACGAACGTGAGTCATCAGAATCATTCGCGCTGTCGGCTCTTTTTGCGCCATCACGCGGCTTTACACGCCCTTGGACAGCAGGTTCAGGGCGCTGCCGGCGAGGATGAAGCCGGCCTGGTCCTTGGTGACGGCGTGCTTGGTGGGGATGAGGAACTCGTCGCCCGAGGCCTTGGTGACGCGGAGGTTGACCTCGCCCTTGCCGCCGTTCTGGAGCATCTCGAGGAGGCCGACGGTGGCGACCTCGTCGCCGGCGCCGATCTTGTCGTAGTCGGCCTCGTTCTCAAAGGTCAGGGGTACGACGCCCTGCTTCTTGAGGTTGGTTTCGTGGATGCGGGCAAAGGACTTGGTGAGGACGATGCGGGCGCCGAGGTAGCGCGGCTGCAGAGCGGCGTGCTCACGGGCGGAGCCCTCGCCGTAGTTGTGCTCGGCGACGACGAGCCACTCTTGGCCACGCTTCTTCCACACCTCGCCAAGCTCGGGGATGGTGTGCTTGGAGCCGTCGAGGTCGTAGGCGGCGTTGACCTCGCCCGTCTCGCCGTTGATGGCCGTGTTGAGCGTGTTGGTGCTGATGTTGGGCAGATGGCCCTTGTACTTGAGCCAGGGGCCGGCGGCCGAGATGGTGTCGGTGGTGCACTTGCCGGTGACCTTAACAAGGACGCGCAGGCCCGAGAGGTCGGAGTCGGGGAAGGGAGGGAAGGGCTCGAGGAAGGCCAGACGCTCCGAGGTGGGAGAGATGGCGATCTCGGCGCTGGCGTCGGGGGCCTGGGACAGGACGTTGAGGACCGGGCTGCCAGACTCAAAGGGAGTCGGGGGGCCCTCGAGACCGTGGGGAGGGGAGAACTTGAAGTCCTTGCCATCAGGGGTCTTGATGGTGTCGGTCAGGGGGTTGAAGGTGGTCGTGCCGGCAAAGGCCATGGCGGTGACGACCTCGGGCGAAGCGAGGAAGTTCATGGTGTCGGGGTTGCCGTCGTTTCGGCCGCGGAAGTTGCGGTTGTAAGAGGTCAGAATGGCGTTGCTGGTGCCCTTGGTCACGCCGTCGTGTCGCTGCCACTGGCCGATGCAAGGGCCGCAGGCATTGGAGAGCACGATGCCTCCGGCGTCTTCAAACGTCTCCAGGGTGCCGTCGCGCTCAAGGGTGGCGCGGATCTGCTCGCTGCCGGGGGTGATGTAGAAGTCGGCAACGGGCTTGAGGCCGGCGGCGGCAGCGTCCTTGAGCAGGCTCTCGACTCGGGTCATGTCCTCGTAGGAGCTGTTGGTGCAGCTGCCGATGAGGCCGGCGGAGAGAACCTCGGGCCACTGCTGGTCCTTGACAACGTCCTTGAACTTGGAAAGGGGAGTGGCCAGGTCAGGCGTGAAGGGGCCGTTGATGTGAGGCTCCAGGGTTGACAGGTCGATGGTGATGAGCTCGTCGTACTCGGCACCCTCGTCGGCGCTGAAGCGCCACTGGGCGTCGGGATCGGAGCTGTTGCTGGCAAAGTTCTCCAGCGCCGCGATGTTGTCGTTGGCGTGTGCTCGGCGGGTTGACTCGAGATATCTGGCCGAAGCCTTGGTGTAGGGGAAGATGGAGGTAGTGGCACCAACCTCGGCACCCTGCGAGTCGTTAGTATGAATTCTCATTCAGGGACGAGTCAAGGGCAATTCACCATGTTTGTCACCGTTCCCATACCAGTAGCTGAGAGAGTGTCGACGCCAGGGCCAAAGTACTCAATGATGGAGCCAGTACCGCCGCGGACGGTGAGCTCACCAGCGAGGCGCAGGATGATGTCTTTGGGAGACACCCAGTTGTTCAGCTTGCCAATGAGCTTGACACCCAGAATCTTGGGGGCCTTGAGCTCCCAGGGCGCTCCGACGAGGGCCTCGACGGCATCGGCACCACCAACGCCAATGGTAACGGTGCAGAGACCGCCGGCGTTGGGGCTGTGGGAGTCGGTTCCCAGCATCATGAGACCGGGCAGGGCGTAGTTCTCGAAGACGGTCTGGTGGATGATGCCCGCACCGGGGGGCCAAAAGTCCATGCCGTACTTGCGAGCCGCAGACTCGAGGAAGTCGAATACCTCCTTGTTGGTCTGGATGCCAGCCGCCAGGTCGTCCTCGGCACCCTTGGAACCGACAATCAAGTGGTCGCAGTGGATGCTGGCGGGAATGGCCGGCTTGGCGAGATTGCACGACATGAATTGCAGAATGGCCATCTGGGCCGAGGCGTCCTGCATGTTGACACGGTCGGGCTTGAGGCGCAGGTTCGCCTTGCCGCGGATATCACGGCCATTGGCGGTGTTGGTGAGCAGCGACTCCTCCACGTTGTCGAGATGGCTGTAGAGGATCTTCTCGGCCAGCGTCAGGCGCTGCTTGCCGAGCACGCGACGCACGTCGGTGTACTTGGTGTACAGCTTCTCGTAGGTGGGCGGCAGCGACTTGACGGTCGAGAAGTCTCTGCGGGCGTCTCTGGTCGCGGCGAGGGCGGCAGCAGATCGGATGGCACTGGGGCCGGCGCGGCGCAAGAGTTGCTACCGAGGTTAAGACGAAGAGTCAGTGATGGATGTTCTGGGTGTGTCTGGCGGGGATGAAGCTCAATTGCACCTAGAACGAGGCACAGAGCTTGCAATTCAGGCGTACTCACCGTCATGGCGCCGCCTGAGCGACTGGCCAACTCCATTGAAGCCATGATGGGCGGTGCGCAGTCACGATGTACCGAGTATGGATGACTCTACGTCGGCCGGGAGTCGTTCCTTGTGTTGGTTATTTGGTGGGGGCGAGTTCGGGGGGAAATTTTTGGCAATTGTAAATTGGCGGGATTGGATTGGAGTTTGACCGAGATCTGGGGATGCGGGGGCTCCACCACCGCCGAGCACCGGCCCAGTGGAGGCGGAGATTAGATCTTCAAATGACACACGGTGCAGTCACTTGAACAGAAGACCTTCTTGTTCATTCACAACACCTACATAGCAAATGTACACCAACCATGATATAAACCAATCCTTCCTCACTCTGTATCGACAGCCAAGTCTCCAAGTGACGCTCAGTACTTTGTTATTATTGCAAGCCAGGTTTCGTCCCAGCATCCATCTTCGGTTCATCCACCTCTCATCCCCATTGCGTCGTATCGCTCTAAAACATGGCAACTCCATCCGCATCCTCTAACCATAACCTCGCGAGGTCCTTGTTCAGTCCTAGCCGCAGCTTTCGTAGCACATCCTGTCCCTTGGTCGTCGCCAACCAGCCCTTTCTCCAGTCCCATCCTCGCTGCACCTTGTTTCCAGATGCCATTTTGTGAAGATGATTAACCAACACCGAGCTACCGCTCATCACATAGCTGCTCCCGCTCAGTGAGCTCGTCGACTTCTGCATCATGTCCCACGGTGTCGAGCCCTTGAGTGCCTGTGCTGATCCCAGCACCACTTCGAAGAAATCGGCGCACGCCAGGTATACACGCTCGCCCACAGTCTCAATGTCCTCGATAGCCTTGAGCAAAATGTCGATCTGCTCCAGCGTAATCACAGCAGGTGACTGGTTGATAAAGACGGTAGCCTCCCCGAGTAGTGCCAGCAGAAAGTCCTCGCTGACAACCGCATCCCGCGTGTCGTCGTATAGTCCACCACGAATGTTGTCGTCGGAGCTGGAGATGACTGCCACCAAAGCAATCGCCGCTTGCTTCTTGAGCTTGAGCGCCTTGGTCGCGGAAACGTCTTCGAGCTGCTCAGAATCACGAATCTCGTAAAACTTGCGCAACGTAGCATAACCACTCAGCATACGGCCGAGGAGCTGTGCCGCTTCCAAGTCCTGCGTGGCTCGCTTCTCCAGCGTCTCGGTTCGCTTCCGCAGCAAGTCCTTCAAATCTTCATCGAGATCCTTCTCTGCGGGATACGCACTTGATTGAACCAGTGAGTACGACATGAGGAGGTTAAGCACTGCCCGTACGCTGTCGGGTCGATGAGATAGAGCGTAGTACCACAGTGCCTCTCCATATCGGTGCGACTCCTTGGACAAAATCTCGGCAAAAGTCTACCGAATGTTAGCTTGTAGTCTTCAAATGATAAGGTGTTCTTACCTCTGCTGTCTCCTCAGCGTAGTTAATCATACCGAGATCGTTCAGTATCCTCCAGATCTTGTCGACGGTGCGACTCGAGTGCTCATCGAGGGTTGCCAGGAGATCCCGCAGAAGCTCCCCAACAGTCTCTTCTGATTTCTCTGGCGAATCCATTCGTCCAAGAACTTGAATGGCCATTTCCCATCCGTCACGCTCCGAGGTCAGTTGTTCGATGCCGGCGAGTTCTCTGGCGTAGAGGACAAGTGTGGTGTCCTTGATACCTTCCAATTCGTCGGGTCCAGGTTGAGTTACACCCAACAGGGCGAGATCATCCATGTCCAGAGTGTCGAGGGGTAGGGGGTTCGCTGCCTCAGTTGCAGGGAGCCAGTCGCCCAAGGATGCAACCTCGGCCACAGCGCAGGCCACGGGTAGGGACCATGCTCTGAGAAATCCGAGAACAGCGTTGACGTTGCCCTCGAGGGCGGAAGCGATTGCAACCTCCACAGGGTTCATTGCGTTAGGGTTCATGTCGGAATCGATAACGTGGTGGAAAGCAGTTGCCAGTCGTTCAAAGTAATCATCCGTGCTGGCCAGCCGCGACGCTGACGCTCGGAAGCTCTGCGAGTGCGACAGCTTGGGCGCCTTGTGACGCAGATTTCCATCATCCCACCAGCCGAAGAGGCCAATTGTTGCCTCGCACCAATCTTGGGCCACCTCCATAATCGCCTCGTGGCTTCCGAGAATGATACCATAAATGGTCTGCAAGTTCTCGTAGATATCCCAGGGGATCTGGCTAGACGCCTTCCTCGCCATTGTCGACATGGATTGCAGTTGGGGAGAAAACTCGTCATCAAGGGAGTCCCTCATGCCTTGGTCCTTGCCTTCGGCAAAAAGTGTCAGTCTATCCAGAGCGGCACGGGCCTGAATCCGGAATAGGGTCCAGTTGCTGTTCCAGATGTCCCACTCTGACCTCTTGGCAGGACACTGGTCTAAGACGTCGCAAATTGCAGCAGTAACCCGTCTCACATTCTCAAGGGCTTTGCCAGTGTAGGCAAACTCTCCGTGAGGACCTCGGCGGACGTTTTCCCAACCAGCATTCCGCAACAGCTGCGAAGCGCCGTTGACATCTCCTCGAAGCAATGCGCATCGGACTGTTTGCCAGTAGAGGCTATGAGACGCAGGGCTTGGCTTGTATCGACCGATCTCTCGTACTTGGTCGGGGTATAGGTTGTGGCTCGTTTGCATCCAGTCAAACAGGATCTCGGGTAGGGGGGGCGTCTTTTCGTCATCGGTGTTGCTGTCGAAACGAGTGTGGTGCATTCGGAGAATCAGGTGAGCAACGTAGGCGGCCTTCTCAAAGGGCTCGGTCTCTGGTCCGGGTCCGATGGTCGCATAGTCTTCACCCTCTGGCTGGGGCAGCTCGTCGACATGGTCATTCCACAGGCGGACAAGACGATAGGTGATGTTTGCCAAGGAGTTGTCCATCTTTTCCGCATCGTCCTCTGTGCCAACACCTTCCTCGTAAAGGCGGCAAACAAGTTCCTCCGTCTTGAGGATCAGATTGGCAGGCTCAGCAATCCTAGCTGGGTCTTGTTGGCTGTATAGGTCCTTGGCGATTGCCGCAAACTGGTAGCCTCGCTTCCTGGAGGACATACCGAAGTGAGCGGCGGATCTCTTGAAAATGTCTTCTGCCTCCCTCCTGACTCGATCAGTCGCGGCCGGTGTGTTGAGCATCATCAGGTCCGACTCATCGCCAATCATCGGCTGTCCATAAGGCCGATCATCATGGCGCATGTTGAGGAACATGTCGGGTTCTTCTGAGTCATCTCGTTCGTATTCCTCGTCGTATTCCTCGCCTTCTGCGTCCTCGTCCTCGCCCTCGTCCTCGTCCATATCCTCGTCAATGAATCGCTCGATCTCGGCGTCAACTTCATTAGGGGGGCGAGAAGGAGCAGCGTTCATTCGGAAAAGGCTGTGTCGATGCGGAGGCAGCTCCATCTCTCCTTCTGCGTCGTCGTCCTCTTCTTCGTCCTCCTCGTCTGCAGCGCTAAACTGGCGACTCAAGCCGGACGGTTGTCGATCCCTGCCTCTGATGGAGCGACCAAGGGGGTTGTTGGACGTGCTCTTCGGGGCAAAAAGATTCTTTGCAGTGCCTCCACCCATCTGTGAACCAAAGCTCAAAGGTCTAGTCTCGCTCATGCCATGCATGATCGAGCTCCCCATGTAGGAGGCAGTCGGCGCGCCAACGGGAGTGAAGGAGGCGGCGGAAGATGGGGGCGGTCCAGCTGGGGTGGTCGAAGGGTTCTCGCCAAGGAAGGAAAACCCTGATCGCGACGGGTTCCTATCTGGTGTCGACGGTGCCGGGCTACTAGGCGGGCTCGAGTCGGGAACGACGAATCTGTGAGCCATGATGGCGATGTCTTATGAAAGAGCTCCCTAAAGTGGAATGCGTAGAATTATCCGAGTCGGGTTGGCGCAGGGGCGGCGGCGGTGCCTGTCACGCATTCAGAGGATCAGGATCTTGTCGCATGCAATAACCGTTGTCAGCGACGCGACGAGATTGATCTTTGTTCTTGGTGTTTGTCCAGCTGCAGGTCAACGCGTTTGGGATATTTTTTGGAGCTATCGCGATGGGTAACGAGCTTCCGGCCGGGGTTTTGCCGGCGCCTGGTACTCAGCTGAAAGGCTACCTAGTCTGGTCTCTCAAAGACGTTCTCTGCGTTCATTGTGGTTATTTGATATAAGAGGCGTCTGTGGAAACAACTATAGGCCTCTTATTCGTTAAGATCGTAAGTAAAGCCCAAGAGGGAATGTTGCTTCCCTGACCCTCTGCAGCTTTACCTAGGTACCTACCTAGCCAACACACCTTGGGTGCCAGCTGTGGCTGTGTTGCGGTTGTGGCGTCGGATATGGCTGAGTTTTGGCTTCTCTCTGGTTCTCTGCTCAACTTAAAGTCTAGCGTCCGGGTCTCAATGTCCAGAAATTAATCCGACGAGATAAGGAGAATGGAGATCAATGCGGATGACCCGGCTAGCGCAGGCGACGGTCTTTTCTCGCTGAGATGCTCGGGATTTCTATGGCATTCAGGTCCATTTTTGTCTAGCAGTTTCCACGCCCAGGCCAAGCAACTGCCAACGCTCCGGTTTAAATCGGGTTCTGGAATCAGGTTCTGGGATTGCAGAAATGGCGTTTGGCTCACGTCCCTCTGCTCCACGAATAGCCTGCGTTTCTGACTCACTCGGCCTGTTGGAAACGCCGGGATGCGGACGGTATAGACGGTACGGCTTCCGTGTAAAGCATAAACTGCCGAGCTATTCCTAAGCTATCACCGCACCTCGGAACGGGTCCCGTACTCGTCATTTACCTTTGACGAGTAATGCTTCCCCGCGTCTCGTACACAGCTGGGTGCAACGTCAAAGCCTGTACCAATGGCACAGGCTTCCAACCCACAGCGCGCCAACCTCGTCGCGGCGCACCGCGTGTCGATCCAGTAAAATGGTGTGGCCGTCTTCCAATGGGCCAAAGCTATGGAGCATCGTCGGGTTCCATTGCCTATCCCAGCTGACACGGCTGTGCGGATTTCAAAGTCCATTGCGGGGTAGGCGGTTCACGGAGTTGCTCGGGGATCGGAATCTGGCATCGCGGCCTGTCTCCTTACATAAACGATCCTACCTGGGTTGAAATTGGCCTTTCTCGACCATTTAAGCCAACAGCTGAGTCCCAGATTCGGTTTGTCCTCTCTACACACAGATTCCATCTCAGTTCTGTTGACACAATGGCTTCTACCGTGGGCAAGGTGCGTTGCGTCTCCAAACTACCCCTCCATTGCTTCGTGTCCTACCCCGCCCGGTTCGAAGCGATTTCGGGAGGCTTTTGCTGACGCTCAATACATTCAGACCATTACGTGCAAGGCCGCCGTTGCCTGGGAGGCCGGCAAGCCGCTGAGCCTTGAGGATATCGAGGTTCTTCCTCCCCGGGCCAACGAGGTCCGCATCCAGATCTACTACACTGGTGTCTGCCACACTGGTACGTGATGCGTTGGGTTTGGCCACATCGATGCTAACATCAGATCAGATGCCTACACTCTGTCTGGCAAGGACCCAGAGGGTGCTTTCCCCATCGTCCTTGGACACGAGGGTGCTGGTATCGTCGAGTCCATTGGTGAGGGCGTCACCAACGTCAAGGTCGGCGACCATGTCGTCGCTCTCTAGTACGAGCCCCCACCACATCCATCTTGAGACAAACACTAACAGTTCCCAACAGCACCCCTGAGTGCGGAGAGTGCAAGTTCTGCAAGTCTGGCAAGACCAACCTGTGCGGCAAGATTCGAGCCACCCAGGGTAAGGGCGTGATGCCTGACGGCACCTCTCGATTCAGGTGCAAGGGCCAGGATCTTCTCCACTTCATGGGAACCTCCACCTTCTCCCAGTACACTGTCGTCGCCGACATCTCGGTCGTTACCATTGAGCATGATGCTCCCTTCGACCGAACCTGCCTGCTCGGTTGCGGTATCACCACCGGCTACGGTGCTGCCCGTGTCACCGCCAAGGTTGAGGAGGGCTCCAACATTGCCGTCTTCGGTGCCGGCTGTGTCGGTCTGTCTGTCGTCCAGGGTGCCGTCATCAACAAGGCTGGCAAGATCATTGTTGTGGACGTCAACCCTGACAAGAAGGCTTGGGCCGAGAAGTTTGGTGCCACTGACTTCGTGAACCCTCTCGAGCTCAAGGGACAAACTATTGTCGAGAAGCTCGTTGAGATGACCGATGGCGGTTGCGACTACACCTTCGACTGCACTGGCAACGTCGGTGTCATGCGCGCTGCTCTGGAGGCTTGCCACAAGGGTTGGGGTGAGAGCATTGTCATTGGTGTTGCTGCTGCTGGCCAGGAGATTTCCACCCGACGTAAGTTGCCGCGTTCCATTCACCGTGTTCAATACTGACTCTCCATAGCATTCCAGCTCGTCACCGGTCGTGTCTGGAGAGGTTGCGCCTTTGGTGGTATCAAGGGCCGCTCTCAGCTGAACGAGCTCGTCGCCGACTACAAGCGGGGTGCTCTCAAGGTCGACGAGTTCATCACCCACCGCAAGACTTTGGGTGAGATGAACAACGCCTTCGATACCATGAAGCAGGGAGACTGCATCCGTGCGGTTGTTGACATGCGGACTTTGTAAGTCGGCTTAAAAATTAAATAGTAAAAAAGAATGTCAAGTCCAATAATCAATCGGATAGGGAGTTGACCCCATCAAAATTGTAACCGGGGCGCCTTTCTATATGTGCGACAATACCAACAACCTTGATGGCCAGTTCCGAACTAACAATGCAGCCCACCCAACAAAGCCACGGCACGCGTTATGGAGGATAATTGTATTATATTTGCGCCATCTGAGCAGCAGGTCCACTCACGCTGGGTCTATAGGGTAGTTCCACCGAACCTACCCTATACTGGAAATCAAAAGGGCTACATAATCATGGGATCTCGTATATAGCGAATAAACTCATGTTAAATTACTAAATTGTGTCCCGAGTCTATCAATTGGTTCGTGTCGTTGTTTTGTATCCGAACCCCATTTCTTGACGATTTCATGGGTGTCAAATCTGAGTGTCTGAAGGCCTTGGAGTTGCTTAGAAATGAACATGGCGTGGGAGGTGCATAGAATCCGGGGTACCCCCACTAGCGGCCGGACTAGCCGTGGGGGCTTTTGGGAGAGTGCCACGGCAGAAAGTCGAAGCAAGACGCGTTCAGGAGGCGACTCATATTAACCTTGACGGCCATTCTGCAGGCCATTATCACATTATGCGGAGCTCCAGAGTCTCCAAAGACGCAGCGAAGCTATTTGACCGCGTGTCGGAGCCGGTTTCACCCCCAAGGCGAACGACGCGATCGTCCCTGGCACGGTTTGCCCATGCGACTGCGAGAACAGAAGAAATCAAGTCCGAGATTCGCGACATTGAAGATGTTGTCGACCTTCCGGTTAGAAAGCGACGGCGAGCCGATACGGTCAAATCGGAGGGCCCATTATCGCCAAACGGTGTCAAGATAAAACACGTCAAAACCGAACAGATCAAGTCAGAATACATCAAGTCCGAAGGCATCGAAGACTCTCTCAGCTCCATTCCCTCGCCGCCCAAGGCTCCGCGCCGAGCCCGCAAACCCGCTCGAAAAGCCGTCGACCCGTCGACCGGAGACACTACGATCGAACCACCGTCCGACTGGGAGGCCATGTACAATATCGTAAGGAAGATGCGAGCACCTGGGGGCGCCGCGTACGGTGCTGCCGTCGATACCATGGGGTGTGAGCGGTTGGCAGATCAAAATGCTTCTCCCAAGGACCAACGGTACCATTCACTAGTGGCATTGATGCTATCAAGTCAAACAAAGGACACAGTCACTGCGGTAGTCATGAAGAGGCTCCAGACCGAGCTGCCGGCGTACAAACCTGGCGCACCGGTTGGACTAAACATCGACAATATGATTGCAGTAGAGCCAAACTTGTTAAACCAGTCTATATGGGCAGTGGGATTTCACAACAACAAGACAAAGTATGTCGATCTAGATTGGACGGGACAATGGCTGACGATGCAGATATCTTAAGCAAACGGCCGAGATTCTTCGCGATAAATGGAACGGCGATATCCCCGACACGATCGAAGGGCTCACATCTCTACCCGGCGTAGGACCAAAGATGGCATACTTGTGCATGTCGGTTGCGTGGAACCGCACCGAGGGAATCGGCGTCGACGTGCATGTGCACCGGATCACGAACCTCTGGGGTTGGAACAAGACCAAGAACCCGGAAGAAACCCGCCACGCACTTCAATCCTGGCTGCCGCACGACCGATGGCGCGAAATCAACTCGTTGCTGGTCGGGCTGGGACAGGCGGTTTGCCTCCCTGTTGGGCGAAAGTGCGGTGAGTGCGAGCTAGGGTTCGAGGGGCTCTGCAAGGCGGCAGATCGGAAAAAGGTCTCTGAGGGACGGAGAATCAAGGCGGAGAAGGTTGAGGTTGAGGACGAGGGCGACGATGGCACGGCGGTCAAGCTGGAGGTTACACAAGACGTCGTGGTCAAGCACGAGGAGTGAGAATCTGACGGGTCAGTTGCAGGCGCTGCTGGCCAACCCACGGCCCTGCCGGCGGCACTAGCCTGGCGGAATCCAGTGGCTGGGCGGCGGACCACGTAGCGAGCGACAGCGCTGTTGCTCGGATGGCGCCTTTAAATGCATGAATACCTGTTGATACCCTACTGCTCCCTACTCAGCGTTGCGTCGTATTCCCGTTCCAGCGCGGTGCAGAGTGCAGCCAAGAGGGCGCTATTGTAGTCATGAGGCGTGTGTCGTCAATTGAACGGCGGCTCACGAGATCATGGCTCCGATACGATATCGGAGATAAGACGGGGTCCAAGAGGGTGGAAACGGGTCCCAGAACACGTAATCAGGCAGTGCCTTGTCATGAGTTGATCATTTCATCGAGTCAGATGTTGTCACCGGAAAGCCTTCACCGTGGACTGCGCTTGGTTATGTTAAAGAATCAATTCAGAACCCGGCTATCGGGTGATTGCCAAAGATGCCCAGTACGCCAACGCAAAACACCCACTGCTGAATAGAATACAACGGCGGAAAACGCCTCTCAGCTCCGGTAGATCCCTGCCCCATATCTCGTCATTACGTCGTGGTCGTCAAAGTTTCCGGTGAAGCCATGGAGCGACGCCAAACTCCGGCTTCTGAGGGTTCGTGATCTCGTCATACGCCCCGGATAACCTGGGTGCGCTCGGACTCGAGCTGCGCAGCGTTTCGCTCGTGGGACTGTTTCTTGCACTATCGGTAGATTAGCAACTGCGATTGAGAGAGAATGGGGACGAGTGTTGCTCACGTCCTCGAGTCCGGTGCACTTGTGGTCCTCTAGAAGGCGGTGCTTGCCGCAGAAATGTCCCTGGCAAAAGGTGCAGTCTCCGACGATTCGCTGAGCGGGCTCACGGCACTGGCTGGCGGTGCAGCGGATTCGCTTGGGAGGCATGGTTGCGAGGTTGGTGGAGAGTTGGTGGAGAGATTGATGGGGTGATGAGGTTGAGACGGTGAGATGCAAGGTGGTGACAGTGTGAAAGTGTCGAGAGCGAAGGGAGATTGACCGAGTTTGTTGGTGATGCGAGTGACGAGGCTCAGAAGTCGGTGGAAAGCAAAGGACCAAGGTTCATACGACACAACCAAGAATGCGTCAGCGGCAAGGCGAAGACGGGGACCGTGATTGCTTTATAAGGAGACGAGGAGGCTGATGAATGAATCATGCTGGGTGGAGACCTAAACAAGACCCGGTCGGTTCGCCTCCCAGAGCCCAGCTCGCAGAGGTGTCCAAGCCTCGGAGCGTTCAGGGTACTCTGGACGGAGTACTCTGTACGGGACTGGGCTATCACATAACACGGGACCAACATGACAGGCCTAGCCAGACCAGCCCAGCCAGACCAGCCCCAGCCAAAGCAGGCAGGCGGCGCCAAATTGACCCAATTTCCTCCTCCCCCCCCCTCCCTCATGCTCTCCAGCCTCCGCCCTCTCCGCCTCGCCGCTGGCCGCTTGCGCTGTGACGCCTGGGTTTCGCCGGAGCAGAAGCCCGTGGAAACACGCCCCCCAGGCGATCCAGGCGTCCCAGGCGACCCCGGGGCGGGCCACTTTTACCCGCCGAGGTCCCTCGACTGGAATGGTCTGTCCGGACCCGGGGGGCTCCATGGAGGAGGCAAAGGCCGCGAGGCTCCGAAAGCGGTGGAGGCGACGCCGATGGCTGAGGGTCTGGGACGGTATGTCGATCAGAGGACGGTCAGCCCGAGGCTCCTGTCAAGCGGACACGAGGGGATATGCAAGTGAGGCGAGTGAGACGAACATGACAGACAGACAGGTATGTACGAAGTATACAGTATGTATGCCACAGACTCACTATGTCTTGGGTCAGTCTGGGGTCTCGGGTCGCAGACTCGCAGGGCCTCGGGCTCTTATCGCGCAGGTGCAGCCAGCAGGGACCGTGATGTCTCTGGCGCGGCTGGCGCTCTTCTGGCCGTCGTCCACGTAGACGGTTCCCTGCCTGGCTGCTCTGGGCTCTGGGCTCGTCTGGAACTAGTGCTGCCGCCTGGCTTGGACGTGCTTGGATGTGCTTGGGCGTGCTTGGTCGTGCCGCCGGGCCTGGCGGTTCCCGGGTCTCCCATGTCGCAGTCGATTGACGGGGCCCCCATGCGCTGGGATCGCCCCCCAACAAGTCGGTTCGTGCTGGTTCGTGCTGCGCTCGGCATGCTGCATCTTCGGCAGCCAATCGATCCCAGCATGTCTCCAGACGCCCAGACCTGCCTTTGTTGTCGCTCACATCTAGACAAACAGGGCCAGCCCAGCCTGGATGCGCCTGGATGCCGCGGCCATCCCACCCTCGCAGCGCCCAGCGCCAACGCCGCGACTCAGGCGCCTACATGCAACGGCGCCATCTACGGCCAGTTTCCGTTGCGTTTGCCCATGAGTAACCGATGCGCTCATGGCAAGTGGACGGATGTGGGGGGTATTTGTCTGCGAAGAATGACGCGAGAGCCATGAATCCGCTCGTCAATGGCGGGACAATGCGGAAGCTCACCAGGTCAGTCGAGTGAGATAGCACCACCATCCGAAACTGGAAGCCAACCACGGCTGTCACGATCTGGGCATCATGAGCTGTTTGCAGCCGATCTCTGCTCAATGGGGTGGGATGACGGTGGCCTCAACATAATCTGCATCGCCCTTAAATAGGCATCTGCATGTATGCTCGTAGAGTGCAACATGGTAGAGTGCAACATGACGGCTGATCGGTTGTCTGATATTCCATCCTCGCTCCCGGCCGTGGCCATCGCTCCTGCCACCGGAGTCGCCCGGCATATTTCAACCACCTCCGACCACAACTCCGGGATATCCGCATCCGGACCTCCGGCTGAATGAATTGTGTAACATCAACCATGGCCAAGAGACCAAGCCGTGAGGTCAAGCCGGCCGAGAACCACGTGCCATCTATCCATCGCTTGATGTCGGTGTTGTAGTTTGCCCTCTTGCAATCTTGGGTTGCGGATCCTCATTCAGCGTAGCGTACGTAGCGCGCGTGTCACCTTGCCTCCTGTAGATGACTCCCGGTTATTCTTCATGCCAACTGGGGAAACTCTGGCTATCAATCACATCCAGCGGTGAGTCTTTGGCCGTGAACTGCAGCCAAGCCCCATTGCGGTCCATCCTTAATCCTAAAACATCCTCCACCAAGCCGACCATCGACCCGACCATCAACCACCGACCACCGACCGACTGACCACCTGACCAAACCCCCCAACCCACTGACTCAGTCTCTATCTGTATACTGCCCCTGAACCTGTCCCCCAATGCCCCCAATCAGCCCTTCTTACCATATCAGCCGGCGCAGCTGCCGACCAAACACAGGATCCATCCAGCACACTACGCACAACTCCCAATGATACAGCCTCCCTCACGTAAAAAGCAAAAAGAACACCCCTACCCATATCTATCAACCAATCAAACCATTATCTAATCGTCTCCACCATCCGTTTGCCACCCCACATCCCAATCCCGTTATCCAAAATGATCACCAAAAAGAAAAACCGCTTGCGTCGAGTGAGAATCGAACTCACGTCGTCAGTGAACTGTGAATTTGCTAATCCACAAACTGATATACTGACCACTATACTATCGACGCCGTGTGTCTTGTTGTTGAAGATCTGGATGAAATTTGATCATATAAGGGCAAGGAGGTGGCTGGGTGTGATATTGGGCGATATTGGCGGGTGGCGGGCGAATGGGTGGGTTGGAAGTGGATGGGGATTTCTGACGGACTTGGAAGGTACGGAACTACTACTGGGATGCACCTGACGCTTTTTACAGGTGTTATGGTGGGAGAATTCGGTACTGCAAATTTGGGTGCTGGATAGGTGTGATCGCGCGCTGGGTGGTGGTAGGCGCTCTCGCGATGCTGCAAGTGGTCACGGTTCAGTCGCGAAATTTCCACACTTGGAGAGTACTATTCACAGATGAAGGTAGAGTATTTCAGTTCCGGAAATTCATAAGGCCTGTCCGATATTGATTTTATTTTGGCCGTCTGTGTTTGGTTGTAGAGCGCTGGATGGACACTGCGCTCGACTGTGAATATTCTGCTCCTCATTTCGCATCAACCACTCTGGCTCTTGTCCGACTGGGCTTTGTCCGCGAGGGTATGATACACGGTGGGCCAAAGAAGTGACGAGAGTTTTGCAAACAGTGGGCTCGGATCTCTGGGTGCTTTGGATTGTTAACTACGTTTGACTGCAGGCCCATTCTTCTGTGTTTTGAGGTATACAGTTAGCATTCCTCAAACACAGAAAATTCAAGCGTGCTCGTCGACACTGAACTCAATTTGGTTACACAATACCGCAGCTAGCTAATGCCTCTTTCCACCTGATTTTCCAGATTAAATAATATTTGATTGAGTATTCCTCAAACATAGATATTGCTACTTGTATATGTATCTCTGTTTTTAACTCTGCTAATAATTTATATATTATTATTATCATAATTTCTTTAGATTAATTTTTAGTATTTATAGACCAAAGACTTTTATTTTATTTTTATTTCATTTCATTTCATTTATTTTATTAATAAACACAAACCTGAAGTCTAAGAATTCTAATGCGCACACTAGGCTTAACATCACAATGCCAATGCAAATCTTTAATCCTCATGGACAGGCATCATGGCGAACTTCAAGCAAACCAACAAGACTGCTCAATCTCGTCAAGATCTAGAAAACACATATTGTTTTCTTTAGTTCTGATATGCACGACCGAGTTCGGTCTGTTCCTGACGAAGTCGACTCCATATCGATCTCTACTAGAAGCCTGATATTCTCGTTCACATATTTCTTACATGCTATTAACTAATTACTCTTCATTCGCTTTAATGGTTCACTAATGCCAACTCATTTGGGTTGTGCTCGGCGGCAGCGTCGCCGAAACAGGAACGTGGGGTAATTGCCAATGACATCAACCAGCTCCTACCTTATCAGTACACATGTATTCTCAGAGCATTTGTAATCGCATCACTGGCCCACTGCATTGCATACTGCAGGGACATAATATCTCAGAAGTCGAATGACAGTGGTACTTGCATCTCCGTTCTTCACTGCCAGCTTATCACCACAATTTCGACCATGACAACCTTAAAGCAACGCGGGATTCGGATCGCAATTGATCGTGGTGGTACCTTTACCGACTGTGTCGGAGAGAACAATGGCGAGGAAATCATCATCAAGCTCCTCTCAGAGGACCCTGCCAACTACAAGGACGCCCCGCTCGAAGGAATTCGTCGCATCATGAGCCATTTCCTTGGCCGAGATATTCCTCGAGGCGAGGCCTTGGATACTTTGCAAATCGACTCAATCCGTATGGGGACGACAGTTGCCACAAATGCTTTGCTTGAGCGAAAGGGCGAAAAGATTGTCATGGTTGTAACAAAAGGCTTCAAGGATTGCTTGACCATTGGAAACCAGTCGCGACCCAAGATTTTCGACCTCGCTATTAGAAAGCCAGATGTTCTCTACGAAAAGGTAATTGAAGTGGATGAACGTGTCACCCTTGAAGACTACGCCGAGGACCCCGAGAGGACAGTCACTGAGGCCCAAGCTCAAGTCGGAACCAAGGAAGCAGAGGGTAAAGATCTGGTCCGGGGGATGTCCGGGGAGACGGTGCGGATCATGAAACGGGCAGAAGAAGAAGACATTCGAACAAAGTTGAAAGAAGTCTATGATGGTGGGATCCGAAGCATTGCAGTTTGTCTGATGCATGGCTACACCTTTCCGGACCACGAGGCTTTGATTGGAAGGGTCGCAAAAGATATTGGTTTTAACCATATATCGTTGAGCCATGAACTGATGCCAATGATCAAGCTCGTTTCCCGAGCGACTTCGGTTTGTGCTGATGCATATCTCACGCCGGCAATTCGCAAGTATATCGACGGGTTTCAAGCTGGATTTGAAGGTGGATTAGGGACTCGGAGCGTCAAGGAAGAAAAAGGAGCAAGAGGGGCTAGGTGTGAATTCATGCAGAGCGACGGTGGGCTTGTGGATGTGGAAAAGTTCACTGGATTAAAGGCGATTCTCTCTGGTCCCGCTGGAGGTGTCGTGGGCTACGCAATGACTTCTTACGACGAGGACACCAAAACCCCAGTCATTGGTTTTGATATGGTAAGAACCAACATCTTTTTCTGACATTTCTAACATTTTCTAGGGCGGCACCAGCACGGATGTCTCCCGATATGGTGATGGACGATACGAGCATGTCTTTGAAACGACCACTGCCGGCGTGACGATTCAATCTCCCCAACTGGACATTAATACTGTCGCAGCAGGTGGAGGTTCTCGACTATTCTTTAAAAATGGTCTCTTTGTGGTAGGACCCGAGTCAGCAGGAGCACACCCAGGACCAGCGTGTTATCGGAAAGGCGGACCAGCTACGGTCACCGATGCGAATGTATTCCTTGGTCGCATACTCCCTGAGTTCTTTCCAAAGATTTTTGGGAAAAATGAAGATGAAGGTTTGGATGTGGAGGCGAGCAGAGAGGTGTTGCAAGTTTTGGCGGACCAAGTCAACCGAGAGACAGGAAAGAACTTGACGGCAGACGAGGTGGCATATGGATTTCTAACGGTCGCCAATGAAACAATGACAAGACCAATTCGATCGATAACGGAAGCCAAGGGACACGACACCTCGAAACATCGGCTTGCTACCTTCGGAGGGGCTGGCGGTCAGCATGCTGTGGCCATTGCCGAGTCCCTAGGAATCCAGCAGATTCTTGTTCACAGATACTCCTCTGTCCTTTCTGCCTACGGTATGGCTCTTGCAGATGTCGTCGACGAGCGACAAGAACCCGAGTCCAAGGCTTGGAACGATGATGTCAAGGTGGTTGGCGAGCTCCAAGAGAAAATGAAGAAGCTCAAGGACAAATCACTAGCTTCTCTAAAGGATCAGGGTTTCCAAGACGAAGAGATTGTATTCGAAGAGTATCTCAACATGAGATACCGCGGTACTGAGTCGGCTCTCATGATCATCAAGCCCAGCCAAGAAGAGGCCAAAGCAAGCTTTGGAGGCAATGACTGGGATTTTGGAAACGCTTTTGTGAAGCAACATCGTTATGAGTTTGGGTTTACATTGGATGATCGGGACATTATTATCGACGATGTGCGCATCCGTGGCATTGGAAAGAGCTTCCGCCATGACGAGGAGACAGTAGACAAACAACTGAAAGACATCAAGCGACAGGAAGTGTCCGAAAAGAAACAACACGGTACCCAGCCGGTGTACTTTGAAGGTGGAAGAAAGGAGACGCCCATTTACAAACTTGAGGATCTCAACATTGGGGACACTATCCAGGGGCCAACCATTCTCGCTGATGATACCCAGACAATCGTCATCACACCAAAGGCAAATGCAGTCATCTTGAAGACACACGTGGTCATTAATCTTAAAAAAGCCAGCACAAAAGACGAGTGAGTAACTAAGCCGTTATTTTACTCATCTAATAGTTTTAGGTCACATCATAATTCGGACAGAGAAGTCGATCCTATTATGCTAAGCATTTTTGGACATCGCTTTATGGCTATTGCCGAACAAATGGGGCGAGCTTTGCAAAAGACGAGCGTCAGCACCAACGTCAAGGAGCGGCTCGACTTTTCTTGTGCCATTTTTGATGCCACGGGTGGACTTGTAGCCAACGCTCCTCATCTACCCGTTCATCTAGGTTCAATGTCCACTTGTGTTCGTCGACAGGCTGAAATTTGGAAAGGAAAACTAGAGAAGGGGGATGTCATCATTTCCAACCATCCCTCCTATGGCGGAACTCACCTGCCAGACGTGACTTTGCTGATGCCGGCATTTGATGAAAAAGGAGAAAACATCCTCTTCTACGCTGCTTCGAGAGCACATCATGCGGATATTGGTGGCATCAGCGCAGGAAGCATGCCGCCGCATTCCCGGGAGTTGTTTCAAGAGGGAGCGTCCATTATTAGTGAGAAGCTGGTCAGTCAAGGAAAGTTCAACGAGAAACGAGTCGTCGAACTATTCTACGATGAACCAGCGCAGTACCCAGGATGCAGTGGCACGCGCACTCTAGCAGACAACATCAACGATTTGAGAGCTCAAGTCTCGGCAAACCAAAAGGGAATCTCACTTATCGAGACTCTGATTGAAGAATACGGCCAGGAGACGGTTCAATTCTACATGGTCAACATCCAGAAGAATGCTGAGCAATGTGTTCGCCGACTTCTCAAGAAAGTCTACAAACAATTCGAAGGCAAAGATCTATCCGCGGTTGACTACATGGATGACGGGTCTCCGATTCGTCTCAAGGTCAAGATTGATCCCGAGCTTGGAGAAGCCGAGTTTGATTTTGAAGGAACCGGACCCGAGGTCTACGGCAACATCAACGCCCCGCAAGCCATCACATACAGTGCCATCATTTACTGTTTGCGGTGTCTCATTTCCGAGGATATCCCCCTGAACCAGGGATGCCTAAGACCAATCCACGTCAAGATTCCGCCCAAGTCAATCCTCTCTCCCTCCCCTGGCGCAGCCGTGGTGGGAGGCAATGTCCTCACCAGTCAACGCATCACAGATGTCATCTTCAAAGCATTCCAGGCATGCGCGGCCAGTCAAGGCTGCTGCAACAATCTCACCTTTGGGTTTGGAGGAAACCAAAGCGGCAAGCAGGCTGTCAAGGGCTTTGGCTACTACGAAACGATTGCGGGAGGCAGCGGCGCAGGCCACAACTGGGAGGGCACCAGTGGTGTCCACGTACACATGACAAACACTCGAATCACCGATTCTGAAATCTTTGAGAGGCGTTATCCTGTACTTCTCAGGGAGTTTTCCATTCGCCCAAACTCCGGAGGCCGAGGCCAGCACCGTGGCGGAGACGGAGTCATCCGTGACATTGAGTTCCGTATACCACTCCAAGTGTCCATTCTCAGCGAGAGACGTGTTTACCACCCATACGGACTTAACGGAGGTGGGGACGGAGAGTGCGGCCTCAACCTCTGGGTGCGTAAGGTAGAAAAGACAAACTGGGAGACGTCTCTGAAGCGGTTCCACAACGAAGATGGAGGGGAGACGGAGTATGAGGAACGTCACATTAACCTGGGAGCCAAGAACAGCGCAGCAATGAAGGCAGGTGACAGGATCATTGTGTGTACTCCAGGGGGTGGTGGATGGGGAGCGGAAGGGACCAAGAGTGTGGCGAAGCATCAGATCAATCCGACAGAAGCATGGCGCAAGGGTAGCGGTGCTGCAAGGGAAGAAGCGGCACTCCAGGCATAGTTACGGCTTGATTGGGCCACGGAGTTCCCGGGGGTTGGGAATGTAGGCAAGCTGTGCGAAGAATTTATTCCAGAATACAACATGACACAATCTACCCAAGAAACCGGAACCGTTACGTGAACTACCGGGAGCCTTCCCAAGATATTCACCGACCACGGGTACGCGTCTGACGTGCAGAGTGAGATCAGGCAGGCAGCTTGGAGGGATAAATCACTCACGGCTCTTGACTGGTTGAAGCATCCGTTGATCATTGCAGAGCCTCACTGCCACACAAGCTTGCGCGCGGATTGGCCGACGTGACCTGCCTAGCCGGGAAATATCTCCAGTGTCAATGATTTGGCCGAGAGTGTATTAAGGCTGAGTCAGAGGTTGATTTCCAAACTCTATGATTCAGAGTTGACGCACCCTGTCAAGGGATAGTGGCCGGAGATGCCGGATTAGTTGCGGGGGAGACAATATGGTGTGCAAAGACAGTGCCACCCTGAAACGAAATGTACCTGAGGCGATATAGTCTAAAGGGAATGTCCATTGGGCGCTGAGGTAGTCACGTTTCATATTGGTTTGCTCGTCAGGCGAGAGCTTCTTGTGATGTGAATCTGCGCTATTTGTGCAAAACTGTATTGTGAATCCCACCAAGTATAAAAACATCCCCGTATTAATAACCAATCAGTGGAAGCAAGTCTGTCTGGAGCCCTTTGCAACGTCCGATTGGATATTCCTTGACGGCATGTGAGTGCCTTTATGTCCAATCGCGGCTATAATTGCTGGTCCCCGAAGAGTTTCAAGCGGAGGTTGCATCACCGGAATCTCAACCAAGGATGTGTAAGTGTCCAAGGGATCTCCCAGTGTGAGTGGCCGACCTTAGATGAAGCAATCTTGCAGGTGATGATTAAGAGGACTAGGAATAGACCAGCTGGTCGACAGGGTTGCTCGGGTTCGGGTTCGAAGACTTCTAGTGCAGAACGGCAAGCATCCTTCGGCCATATGTTTACACCGGCTTGAAAGGTGTTGCCATGTTTGCTTCTCTGTTGAGGCCGTTGCCACTTGATTTGCCTTTCATCACCAATGAGGCGAAGCCGTGGCTTCAGGGTGAAACCGCCTCTTTTTCAAGCTAACAATGTCGAGTTGAATCACCATCAATCCATGGTCATCGCCATCCATGGGGTACGATGTGATCAAATCAAGAAAAAGGTCTGCGGTTGCGTAGTCGTTGCATCGGCGGTTGCGCAGTTGTGAAAATGGTCGGGTGCTCAGATGTTGACCACCATCGGATATTCCGACTGGCCGGTTGTTTGGTACAGTTGGGAATGACCACCTGGGGCTATGTTCTAAAATGCCTCTACCAGCTGTAGCCTAAAACATTGCCCTTCAATCAGCGAATTTCCCATCTCGGGTCACTTGAGGCTTGCTGGTGGATGTTGCGTCTTGGACGCTGGTGCGGCTTGGAGGACTTCAGTTCCGCTACCAGCTCCCACCACGCTTCCATTCCGCATCGCTATATTCCGCGAGAATCTGTTGCTTCCTACGATTCCAGTCTGGCCCACAAATCGTGAAGAATTTTCTGCTTAAGCTAACAGGACGAGGACACGCATGCCAGCTCCAAGGCAACAAGGCATCCGAGAAATGTGATGCAGACGCCTCGGGCGACCTACAGCGACCAAACCAAGACCTTCACCTGACAGAGCGGGCATTAACAAGCTTCTCTCCACTGTCCACGGCCCCCAGCGCTCGATAACAGGGGGTTGCCACTGGATCAAAGCCCCCCAGCCCTTGTCCAGCCCTACGAGGATGACAGGGTTGCTGCATTAGCTCGGCCAGCGATGGACCGGGGCCGAGACATCTCCCCCTCCCAACCTCCTTGCGGCTCCAACCTCAAAGTCTACGTTGCCCGGTGGACCAGAGACTTGTCCCAGTCTGACGCAGACCTCCAGGCTCCAGGGTCACTGCCTGAATAGTGCCGGTGTAGCCTGGGCGCTGCATGTCGAGGACGCCAATGGCAGGGCGCGCCTTCAGCCGGCGAGGGAGGACTGAAACCACCTTGCTCCCGTCTCGGACACGCCCCAATCTCTGGTCCCAGATTCCGGCCGTTCAGGGAGGTGACGCACGCACTGCGGTCATGCGTTCTGCGGCCGTGGAGAGTCGTCGTTCTTAGACACCGAGCACCGGGCTTGCGGGCTGCTCTACGTGCGTCTCCCACCTGACACAGCATGACCAAGAACTATATTGTAACCCTCGTTCTACACCAGGCGTCAAGACTTGGTCCCGCGCGCGCCGTTGAGGGGGCTGGTTCACGTTCGTGACCTTGAGTATGAGAGTCCAACTCTGTCCATCAAGTATCTCGCGCAACCATGATAAGCCGAGCGAGCGTCAACCGGAATAGGGCACATGCTTGACTTGACCCGCTTCTGGACCATCATGGCAGACCACATGCGGAATAGATCCCCTGGATGGCTGAACTGGACACACCCCTGTGGTGCTGAATAGTCGGGACCTCATGACGGGAGTTGCATCCCTTCTGTCACGTAGAACCGACGAGTGTAGTGGTGTGGTTGATTCAGGTACACTTGTGAGAAAAGGCAAGTCGCCCTTTTTGTAAACACACATGTCGACGCTCCCCAGCCCCCTGACTTCATACGCCAGACCCTTTATTTACACAATGCCCGAGGACCCTTTGATTGCCACCGAATGTTGGCATTTACAACGTTGCCAACTTGTGTTGCGGTTGCAATGACCTGGCTCTTCTCATTCGACAAAGTCAACGGGTCACGCCGCCATAGCACTCGAGGACCACACCACTTCGCACTCTACCAACAAAAGAGTGGTTCACACGAACCTGAATCGGCCGAGATGCCCCCACCGATGTCGCGGTTCCAGATGTCGTTGGAAGTTGGGGGCCGTCGAGTATCCACTACTTGACTTCACGGAAGATACATCATGTACCGGTATGGCTCTTGGCCAAGACAAGGATGACTACTGGTCTGCCATGGCAGGTTTCTGCCTGTGGCAGACTTGTTCTTGCTTCTGTCTGTTGAGCGTTTGAGTCACATCCGGTCGAGAAGAGGGGGCGTGTGAGCTCTCGGTTCATCCGTTCCAAGACCTCAGCGTCGCGAGTCGATTCGCTGGCTCACGTTGAGGCTCTTTGCTCGTTACATTTGCGTGGTGCAACGTTGGGTAGCTGGTGTCCGGCGTGGCTGCTATTTAGACCATGATTTCCGCGGCCTGACGAGGCATCACTCACCCATCTACTCCCTGTTCTCCAACCCAAGTCATGATGCGTATCGCTGTAGCTGGTGGCGATGGCCTTGGCTATCTCCTTGCAAAGGCACTGTCCGAAGCCCCAACCGCTCTCAACGTTGTTGTTCTATCAAGATATGTGAGTAACTCGATGCGATGGACTGAATGACCACTAACCTTACTAGGCCCGCAGTGAATATGTGCCACTCGGCATCCAAGTCTTGCAAGTCGACTACAACGACAACGACAGCCTAGTTTATGCGCTTCAGGGGGTGAACCTCGTCATATCCGTCGTGGGAGGGAGGCCGCAGCTGAACCTGATCAACGCGGCGGCAACGAGCAACGTCCAGATGTTCGTGCCGTCCGAATTCGAAGGAAGCCTCAGCAAGCGACCGCGCAACGACCCCCTAGACACGGGCTCCCACTCGGCAAGATCCCTGCTGCGGAGGCTGTCTCAGTCGTCGCAGATGCAGTATACCATCTTCTCGTGCGGAGTCTTCATGGAGAGATTCCTCCCTGGTGGTCTCGGCAGTCTGAACATCGGACACAGCTGTGACCTGAACGAAGCCGGATCCTACCTCCTCAACCTCAACCTGGCATCAGCTGAGATTGTTGAAAAGGACTCTGGAGGGCACACCGTCCGTATATGCTTGACTTCGGTCTATGACGTGGCCCGGTTCGTTGTTGCGGCAATCGAGCTCGGCCCCGGGAACTGGCCTCGCGAGTTGACGATGCGTGGCGATCGCATGTCACTGCGTGATATCGTGGGAACCTGCGGTAGATACATGAACAGTAAGCAAATCAAGGCCATGTCAAATATATGCTAACTTGTTACAGCTCCATTCGAGATCCAATATAGGCAGTTCAGAGAACTGGAGCCCTACATTGACTATTACGCCCAACAGGGAGACACACAGACGGCTACAACGTACCAGCGCCTCCTGGCTACTGCCAATGGACGATACGAATTCGGAACTGCATCGCTAAATGAAGCCATTCGTAATAATCCGGCTGTCGAAGACGTCCATCCAGTGTCGTTCCGCCAATGGCTCGCGAATGTATTCCCGTCATAAGCGTCTTGACCCGCATGGATCTAAGTTGCGCAACGGTGCTCGGATTCGGTTGGTTGGCTGCTGTACTTCTGCTATGCCCCAAGAGGGGGCAAAGCGATGATTCTCCTGTTTCTTTAGCTTGGGATTGGTGTTAAACAAGAGTGTTGAGCTCGCGCTCGGATTCTGCCAGGTAGCGATTAACTCGGTTAGCTTGTCGTTCCCTGCTTTCCCAGAGTGATGTGAGATGTGAAATCGGATGAATGGAGTTAGGGTTGGCCCCCGTGGAAGCAACTCGGGTGGAAATGCCGGGGTTACATGGGCGCTTAACCTGCATGATGGGGATGTGATTTGATGCTTATCACCCTGACCGTTTTGAGCCGGCCCTGGTAAGGAACCCTCCAAGATCCCTGAAGATCCCTGAAGGGTGTCGTCTTGTTTCAAACCTGAGCCTGTCTTACTCTTGACCAACAAGGTGCTTACTGGACTCCAATGGAGTGGAAACGAATTGCATCGCGTCGCTTTGTATCCTAGTGTTGTTTGGTGAGATACGACACAAGCTGCACCTTTCGCGCAGGTGACCAGGCTGCAGCAGGGTCTAAGGAGCTAGTGTCATCTGTTTCAAGTGATTGCTGTCTAAATCAAAGCTAGCTTCTTGTTTAGTGTTGAACAGGATCCCAAAGCCCCTCATCCATCCGGTTGATGATTGCAGGCGTTGAGCACTGCCAAATGTAACATCATAAGTCGTCCCGTCTATGCTTCCTTTTCAGATCTAGAGAGAATCTAAACGGCCTGTTTTTCTTCCGCCTCTGCTTCTTCAGGACCAAATTCCTCTCCAAATTCTGTGACAATCCATAGACAAAACTTCTCCCACTCCACTTGCCATTCCTGCAGTCTCTTGGCCTTCACGCCCGATCCCAGGCTGGCTTCCTTGATCCCCTTCACCCACTCTGCTTGATCTTGGTCCTCAAAAGCTGACCACCTGACGCTGTTCTCGGCTAGGCTGCCTAAACCTGCAAGGCCCAAGTTTTGCCAACCTTGAAGCGCTTGCCAAAAGTCGTGCGACATGCCGGCCGTGTCCTGGCCCAACATGGCTGGGTCATCATTGCAAAGACTGCATGGAACTCCTCGCGCTAGCAAAGCGGGAAGCGGGTGGGCTGTGACCGAGCCGCATAAGCGAAGGACTTCGTTAGAAATCGGGCATGATTCAATGAGAATGCGTTTCTCCTTGACCATGTCGATTAGGAGAGGATGCTTGAAGAGACTGTATCCGTGGCCAATTCGTCGTGTTCCCAGCAGCACAGCGTCGAAAAGGTTAGAGTCGGTATCCGTGCCATCGCCAAGGGTCTCTCCGGCATGGAAGAAGAAAGGGAGGTTCACACCCTCTTGGGCGCACTGTTTACGGAACCAAAACAACTCTGGCAGTAGGTCGGACAATGGGCGACCCAAGTCTTCAGGGCCCACAAGATCGTAACCAGCAATGAGATGAGGGAAAGCCATCTTGGTGGCAATACAATGGTCCATGCTTTCCACAATCAGTCGAGTAGGCCAACTGCGAAGTGTGGTCCAGATGGTCGTCAGTCCCCAGAAGCCCTGGCCTTCAGGCGACTTCTTGAAGCGGGCAATCTCTTCTTCAAGCACCTCGAACATGTGAATGTAGTCCTGCTCGGGCTCTTCTTTGCGGTCACGGCAGTAGTTTAGCGGCCAGGTAAACCTACACTTGTTAGACATGTCAAGGTCGAAGATGAGGTGACCTACCGAAGCTCAGCCCAATTCACGCCGTCGCTTTTCAAAGCTTTCATGAGCTGACGCAGGAAGGCACGGTACATGGGTTCGTAGTGGATAATGGTTGCAACAACTACGAAGCATTTGCCAAACTTGACCCAGATTGCGTCGATGCCATGGTGCTGTTCATGAACGTCTTCGGTCGATAGAGTGCACCTGCCCTTGAGCCACTTGAGAAACCCTGGTCGTCCGCCATCCGGGAACTCATCTGCCGCTTTTGTAAGCAGAATGAAGGTGTCTGGCTTGTAGGATTCGTCCCAAATTGAGCCTTCGGTCTGTTCCTGGGCTCTGAAGCGAAAATTCGGGGCTGCATCCTCCCTCGCTGCCTTTGAAGTGAGGGGTCGGTCACTCGACATGTGCATCCCAGGTGTCCGCAATAGTTCATCCAGGAGGAAGTCAAAGTTGACCATGGCATCCAGATGAGCATGTAGCAGAGAGCCCTTGGGCATGCGCCGGACAATATTCCAAAGGTTGGTCCTCTCCATTCGGTCCTTGGCAAGCATAAACATCATTCCGGGAAAGATGCATTCATTCGACTGCTGGGCGAGGTCCTCCTCGACTTGGGGTGTCCAGATGGTGGCGTTCTCCTGGTCTCGGATGTTTTCGACGATGGCACAGGCACGCTGGGCGATAGGCGACAGAGATGCCTTGAAAGAAGCATCGGACCGGCTTGTCTTCTCCTGGGTGATAAGGCTGGCGCGACCGGAAAGATACTTCTGGACAAAAGGATCAGAGAGCGAGGGGATATCTTGGGCGACCTCCTCCCACTCCTCGTTGGACATGGTGTAGTCACCCATGATGCTCGTCCGACGATTTGGGTCAGAGTGCGAGGTATCCGTAAGTGCTTAGATGTAGGTAATATTCCACGATGCTTCAGTCAGGTCCGGAAATCGGCGCGTCCCCTCGAAGGTTGCTGGAGTTGAATCACTCGACTTTCGTGTCAGACCGCTAAAAGTGAATGGCCAAGGTGATTGTCCAACCCAATAGGGCAGGTCGAAGATGCCGAAAGAGCGGGGACAGATTAGGCGTCAGGACCGAGGTTTCGAAGGTGAGGCTCTTCTGAAGCTCACTTGAGCTGTGTATGATACGACAAGATAACTTCACTGTGCGAACGGAAACCGAGCAACGGACCTCGACGTCATGACGTATGTTCTCACACTGGCAGCCTTAGGTACCTGGCGACCAGTGCAGCCGGAGGCTTGACGGCGAGCTACAGTGGAGTCGGGGCACACACGTGACACTGCATCGGGCGGTCTCACCACCAAGTGTCGATCCTCCAGAGTCGGCCGCTGGTTCGCTGGCCAAACCTCATCACATCGTCCCCTCATCACCGACATGGTCACACAGCGTCGACCAATGTGCGATCTGAGACAATGTTTCTGTTTTTTGGTGGCTGATGCGAGAAAATGACGGAGCCCCGCAGGTTCCCCTCCCTGCTGTGATTACTGGATTTCAATGCCCAGCGTCTTGCTTTTGCTGCTCTTTGGTTTGCATCCTGTGCGTCGGTCGCCTCCACATAATCCGCTTTACAGACACGGAACGATACACAGAACGAGCGTCCTTGCATCTTGAAAACCATCCGCAGCAATCTGTTGGCCAATTCGCAGTTGGCCCGTCACAGACACCATGGGTTAAACACCGAAAGCGCAGAAAAACGGCTCGAAAACGGCTCACCCGTTCCACAGGGATCATGGCCCAATACCTGACCGCTCTAGCAACTCTGTGGCCGTCTAGCGACTTTGTGGCCCCCAATCCCGCTCGCGATGCCCCTGATCACCTCTTAGTGCGAGTCAGCCCTGCTGCCAATCGATGCCTCCCGTTCCTCTCTGGTGCCGTCACCTGCACGACACGTCACAGTCCCCTTCGTCCTCCCACAAGCGCTTGGCTCCTGGCCTTGCGGTGATCAATGCCACCTCGAAACTCACATCACCTCAACGGAGTATGCAACCCAGTGATTGAGTGAGTTCATGCCCTGTTAGCCCTTGCGTCCCTCCGTCTTGTGACCCGATGCTCCATCGTGGCTAGCCAACAGTAACCCACGCCTTGAGGGAATGCTACCCAGAGAGCGGTGAATCCGTCGACCAAGTCAGTCCAAGCTTGATGTGATTCAGAGTCTTGTATCGTGATAGGATGTCATGGTCAGCTAGGGGAATGATACTTAAAGCCCTCTTGATCTCTTCTTTCCGTCATCATATTGGCATCATCATTCACCCTCGCTCTTGCCCTTTAAATCTCACTTACATCCTCCTGGCTAGGTACACTTCAACTCAAGACTTTCCACCCCAACTTCCTGTCTTCTCCCCCTCCTATAAATTATCTCCAAGCACTCAACCACCGCATCCTCAGAATGTACCCAATGAAATTACTCGTACTCTTCTGCACTTTGGCTACGGCTGCTGTCATCCCTAGGGCTGTGAAGGATGTCCCAGCCGGCTACTGCTGTTTCACCCTCCATGATACCGCCTCCGGGAGCATCGTACAGCAGAACCCAGACACTGGCTTCCTTTACCTCAATGGAGGCCAACCATCAGGCTGGTACTGCATCAACCTGTCCAACACTCAAAATGTCCTGCGGGATGACTTCAACAATGCATGCTTCCTCGCCCCAGACGGCCTATTTCAATGCCTCGATCCCACTATCGGCCCTACATCTTGGACTTTGACGAAGAGTGGTAGCAACACTTTGCTTGCCCATGACAAAAGCACAACTTTCTCTTCATGCCCCGCCAAGACCACTGGCCGGCTATTATACTCAACCAAGTCTGGCGATGCCTCCCAATGCAAGAAGATTACTCTCAAGGCCCAGGATTTCACAGGGACCTGTAAGAGCTTTTCCGCTCGTTCCTCAACGGAATAGACACCCACTGTGGCACCAATGGTCTGCAACCCTGGCTGGTTTCTTCTCAATCCCAGTGACATTGACGTCGTGGGCGACTGGCACTGTGATGCAGAATCTCTTCGTGAGAATCACCTCGCCGTCATCTCGGAGAACACCAGCACAACCTTTATCTTTCAGCTTCCGTCTGAATTTCCACCTTTCAGAAGACACCAAACGGGTTTCTTCGAACGCGAACCAATACGCGTTACTACATGTGGTCTTTTTTTCCATCTCCCTTTCTGCAGCGACCTTCCTTATGGCTACCCCTGCTACGATTGGACGGGGATGGTACAGCAAACCCTTTCGGATTCAAGCATGACCTAGGAGTTTCTCAGCGATACCGAGGAACTCAGCACTTGGGTCGGTGCTCCCACAATCAAGGCCATTCCAGGTGAACGAGTCTTGATTGGCACCTTCGACTGCTCCCCACCCACGCTACAAGAGTCTACCGGCATAATCTCGTTCCGTGCAAGAGGTCTACATGGTTGGAGCCTCAAATATGCACAGGCGGGTGTCGGAAATAAGTGGCATGATGGAGTTGGAGCTTTCGTTCATCCCTGTACAACTTGACCACCGCAATTTTAGCTGGGGTTCTTTCACGGGGTTTCTTGTAAATTCTTGCATTATTGCTCACAGTAGTCATATCAAATTAGTAAAATACAGTTATTATTTACTGCATCATCTTTTATCTCGCTGATACCTCGGCTCAAAGCTTTGACGATATTTCAGTTGGAGGACCTCCGTACACAACGGCAATATCCCGAGCAAGTTCGTCACTCACTGAGACCTTTGCTCTTTTCTCAACCACGCCCTTGCCTTCCAAGAAACGGTAGAAGATGTCTTGAGAGACAGCATCTCCATCACTGCTGGCATCAACGTATAGAAGTACCGAGACCAACAAATCACCCACAGTGCAGAGGATCTCTCTCGCGTCACCCATCAGCTCTCCTGCTGACTCCTGGACGATGCGGCTTTTCAAGAGCTCCCATTCTTTCACGGGGTTCCAGCTACTAGGCTTCACTACTTTACCTTGAAACTCAAAGGCGGTTTTGATGAAGTCGCCGAGTGCGTCAAGCGAATCCCCGCCGCCCTTGGGGTGCTTCAGCGCCCGGATAAAGTCCGTACTGAGCACATCGGTTGTGCCCTCCCAGATGGGCAGAACGGCGCAATCTCGGTGGAGCCGAGCAATGTTTAGGTACTCCTGCTCATCGTTGAGGAGGTAGCCGACGCCGCCCAAGGACTCCATGCAGGAAAACAGGAGTGAGACAGCGGGCTTACAGACGTAGGCCTTTGCCAGCTGTGTGAGAACCCTGAGAAGGGGTCCAGCATGTTTCAACTGTGGCGACACGGCTTTGAGCGCTTCGGACATGTCTGAGCCAGAAGACTCAGGATGTTCGGATAGGCCGAGGACGTAGGACGCAAAGATTGTGAGCAGCATGAGGCCTCGGTACTCCGCGGTCATCTTGGCCAAAGTTCTCATATGCAGCGAGCTTTCAGTCAACTTCATCCTGGCACCCTTGCCAGCGCCAATCTCCCGAACACGGGCATATGCTCGGGCGATTCCAAGACCCCGGCCAACATAACTCGTCGCTGCAACCGTAGAATGGATTCTAGTCAGGTTTAGGATGGTGCTGACTTCCTGGATGCCGCGCCCTTCCTGGCCGATGAGCCAGCCGCGCATGTCCTCGAGGACCAGCTCAGCTGTCGGAAGTGATTGCGTGCCTGACTTGTTCTTCAGTCTTTGGATGCGCACGCCGTTCAGTGCCTCGCCGTCGGGCTTCGGAATACCGGTTGACGTAGTGGCAAGCGGATCGTGTTTTCGCATCGGCGCCACAAACGTCGATAGCCCACCCTTTTGGGTGCGGGCGAGGAGGACAGTCATTCGAGAATCGGTTGCCGAGGAGAACCATTTGAATCCATTGATGCTCCAAGGTCCAAGAGGAATGCCCTCTTGTTTAGAGGCAAGCTGCACATCCGTAGTTGGTTGATACACCGCGGTCGTCTCGGTCAACGAAACGTCGCTTCCACCGGTGCGCTCAGTCATCCACTGTCCGCTCGTCCAAGCATTGCTGGGATCTCGAGAAATCAGGTGTTGAAAGGCGTTTTCAAAGACCTTCTTCTCCTCGGCCGAGAGCTTCGAGGCGAGGGCTGGAGTGCTGAGATGGGTCTGCAGAAGACGTGCAGCGCCATCCTGCATCGCCGATGGACAGGTGACATTCGCACACGATGCCGTCCAGAGCTGTATGCGAAGGAATTGATACGGCCGGGAGAATGAACCGTATGGCGTGTCGTAACCAGCTGCCACGATTCTGCGTGGATGTTAGGCCTTTCGCAGACGTCACTAACAGACCTGACTTACCCGTGGGCTAGACCAAAGTCCTGAAGCCCTCGCCAACCCTCACCGGTGACGAGGTCACCCCTCCACTGTCCGAATGCGTCACGGCCCGACCCTTTGAGATACGGCTTGTTGTGTTCGGCGTCAGTGACCCAGGCGAAAACCTTGTCGGAGAGGACCTCATTTCCTAGTTCAGCAACTTCCGCCTCGACTTTCCGGGCAACGTTGCCAGGGAGGAAGACTAGTTAAATTAGCAAAGACCCTATATGGATAACCAACCTCTATCATTTATTCCATATCAAGAAATAGGATTCTCACGTTTGAAGCATCTCTGGAATGTTGCATCGTCGTAGACCTGATTCTCCAGAACCGGCGGCTTTTGAAAGAAGCCCTTGTCCGCACCCGACGACTCCATGGTGCTCTACAGTGCAAAAGGGCGAAAATTACTGACTATGCTAAGGAGCAATTCCGCACTGCTTAAGTAGGAAGCCGGAGCGTCTGTCACAAGTCTGGGGTGGCATTTCCCGGGGCCTTCGGACGTGGGGTAAGCTCAGGTCAGCCGAGGCTTACAACCACCAAACCGATTTGGGTACGTTGGGCGGAAGTAATTCCGCCAGAATGGTCACATCTCCAGCCCAGGTCAGCGACGATGGAACATTGTGGGAAGCTGGGGTTCGTTGAGGGGAAAATGGGAGGTTGGGAATGGCTGACATGGATTCAAGTATGGGGTTGGTTTGAAGTCGTGTACGGAGTACCAAGTCGCCGTGTTCTGGTACTTTCGCCTTTCGCTGGTGTACATGGCCCTTAGCACGAGACGTCTCAAAGCTGACAGCCACAGCTAATGATCAACCTGGGTGATAAATTTATCGACCAGTTCATTCATGCTTTTAAATCAGATATCTGAGTCGCCTTGAGAATGCACCAGTGCTGAGTTTGTCTGATGTCATTGCAAATCGAGTTTGATCTACGTTGGAGACAACATCAACTACAACGAGCACACTCAAGCTAAAGCCTCCAGAAACAAACCCAGGCCTCCACAGATGGGATGCAGTTCTCTAGCCCACCATCAATTTAATAGAGTGTTTAAGCATCTTCTTGAGGGAGGGGCTGCACATCGTGAGGGAGCTTCGTCCACCAGCTTAACAATACAGTGCTCTCCACTACAGCACCGCCACATGCACAGATTACGCGTCTATTCGTGGGCCAACACAGCAATAAAGATTTGAGATCCCGTCCCAGCTGAGCAAATCGGCCTTGAAAGGCTTTCCAGCGGGGGCATTGCGAAGCACGGACGAGAATGTACGTATGCTCGCACAAGCCACTCTGGAGGTGGAGATGCGACTCCATCATCGGCAGTTATCTGATGAAGACTATTGCAACGTTGGGGAGGGTGAGATTTGAAATGCTTAATCATGTTGATTCAGTCCACGTAAGGAGATGTCTCAAACGGTCGCAAAATGCGTCTGACTTCAAGTGTTGGCGCCATTTTCCTAAAAGTGTGGTCATGCCTGCTGTCTTGGTTGTGCGACGGCGGGGAATAGCAGAAATTCGTCATGATCTTGGGTCAGCGACAGACCAGAAACCGCGGGCATCCAAATCACTGGGCGAACTTCCTAGTACGGCCGATGGCGCAAATCGTTGGATGCGAAAATTCACTAATATCCAAGGCCCTGTTCTGAACGCTCTCGAAAAGTCTTGGACGATGTAATGACTCTAATGAGGCCTCACCAGTACCGAAAGTGGGTTTCTTGGCGAACGGCGTGGCATGACGCGTCTTGGATGAGTTGAATCGGTTGCAACGGCACTCTGGCCAACGGCGTCGACACCTGGGCGTCTTGGCCTCGTCTTGGCCTCATCTTGGCCTCGCGACATCATTCATGTTTCAGATGAGGCCCAAATGGCTGGTTTGCTGGCCGAACTGGGCGAGTGGGAGCACACCATCACCGCCTCAGCCCTTGTCGCATGACCTCATCTGCCGCTCGCGCCAGTGACCTAGATGTAACCTAGATGTGACCTGGATGCAATGAGCCACCGAACCAGGCGTCACGGCCTGGTCAACGTGTCAATGATCGCGCTCCCAGCCGTCGGGCTGTGAAAAACCGGCTTCACCAGTCTGCAAATCCTGGCCGTCACGAGCTCCCCGTGAACTGGGCATGGGGTCTCTTTTTTTCGTTGGGATAAATAATGGTGGTGTTCCCGTCCAAGACATTGGGGGAGCATCGCAGCCAGTCTCTCAACCAAAGCATTCCATCTCTAAATAAGACATCAGTTTGTCGCAATCCCAAATCCGGGGGTTTTAACACCAGTTTTGCCACTACCGCAACTTAACCAAGCCCAAATCTATCCATCCACCATGGCTCTCGACCGCCTCGTTAGTATGGCCCTTCGCGCCGCGGAGCTCGTCTTCGCCGCCATTGTCGCTGGTGTCACCGGCGAATACCTCCACAGGTCCCACGCCAGTAGTTGGGACCTCGGTCGCTTCATCTATACTGAAGTCGTTGCCGCGCTCTCTATACTCTTCGCTCTCCTTTGGTTGATTCCCTTCTCGGGCACCTTTATCCACTGGCCCATGGACATCTTCATGAGCATCCTGTGGTGGGTTTCCTTTGGTCTGCTGGTAGACGTAAGTATCTCCCTCCTCCCCCTTGGTCTGTCTCAACTCAAGAACGCGCCGGCTAACTGTGGGTTGCTAGTTGATTGGTACTGGTTGCGGTGGCATCTTCGACTGGGGCAACGTCGCTCCACGTGGAGACCAGTGCGGCAAGTTCAAGGCCGACATCGCCTTCGCCTTTCTGTCAGCCCTACTGTGGCTTGTCTCTGCTCTCGTCGGCTTCTTCTGGGTCCATAAGCGCGAGCGTCGTGCTGCCCATGCCGATGCTGTCCACAACTCTCGCCGCCACCGCTGGGGTCGCAGCCGTGTCTAAGTTCGGAGGCGCACTCAGCCAAACTTGATCCATCCCGAAGGTCTCTGTACCGAAAACTACTATTGGGCACACTAAGCCTCCATACTGGATATGGATGAACTTGGAGAGAGTTTGTGAAACTAGTATTTCCTTGATTTTTGACTTGGTTGGGAGGTTGGGTATTTAGTGTCTCACTTCTTGGCAACGATGGGAACAACTTCCCGATGGCTCACGAAACACTGCGTCTGCGGCACATTTCTATTTCCTATGCTCTGTATCTAATCTAAATTCCCCGAATGATACCACAACACAATATGACACATAATTATTCTCATCGCGCAATTTTGTACAATGCCCTGCATGAGCGCGACGTCATTGATTCCAGTTGTAACACGAACTGGCTACTTGCATCTGCACCTTGAGTGCCTTAAATCGTGCACCTGTTTCCGACAGAAGATCCTGTATTGTTGGTCTTGAATTTCAATCATATCTATGCTACCCAAATTTTCGTAAAGCAATGTCGACAGGCTCAGAACGTACAGGGGTTCCTTCTGACCCCGAAGCCTGCTGACCCCGAAGCTGGAAACAAGGCGAATAATTGGGCTGCAAATGAGCTTTCAGATGGACCTGGATTGCGCACGGAGTGAACGCATGTCATCGAGATGGCAAATCGTCCTATACGGCCTTTTGCGCCACTGCGTAGGGATTATCCAGGTCATTTCCTTGGAAGGACAGGATGCTTGTCAAACTCGCTCGCTTGGTGCAAGAGTAGCCGTCATTGTGGCACCCCCGTGACCAGGATTTTCTTCCCGAGCTGCAGAGTTCCAAAAATCCCCGGTGCAGAGTCGCTCAGCTCATTCGTTCAATGTCACTGTTGAAACGGCCATGGGAAAATCATCAGCCACTCATCCACACGCCACGAAATCGATGATGCAACCTCGCGGGAGCGTTGCGGGGATGTGGAAGCTGACGCCACCACAGCCACAGCATCATTCCTACAGTTCCACAGGATCAACAACACCTGCGTCACTCTTCGAATCTGCACGAAAGACCGTTTTAATCACGGCCATCATCGGCATGTCCTCCCGTACTCCACATGGCTCTTGGCGGGAGCCGTATCAAGAGTCTGCCGGCGCTTGCGTGCATCGTCAACGTCACTTACCCGCAGATATGACGCTGTGATATTCTGACATGGGCAACACGGGGACTCAGAGCCAATGGCAGCTGGTTGGCCATTGGCTCTGAGTCGGACATGGTTTGCAGCATTCAACGAGAACCAGAGATCTGTGCGATCGCAGACGCTATGACGCGGGATGAAGTAAGTGGTGTGGAGATCATCGACCTAAGCCTAACTGTTTGCACCTCATTCATGCTATTCGGGAGGCAGCCAGGATTTGAGGCCTCAACATAGGGATGGAGATTCTTCGTAGCACAGAATCATCTATATAAGATCAAAGATTCCCAGAAACAAAACACTTTTTCTTCTCTTCATCACAACAACTCATCCAGATACCCACTACACCTTCACAACTCACAACCTACACAATACCCTCAACACAAACACAACCCCCCATAACAACATCAACTCTTCATCATGTCGTCTCTCGTCAACAAGGTCAAGGAGGCTCTCCACTCCGACAAGTCTTCTGAGCCCGAGGGCACTCACGGACATCACAACACCCGAGCGGCCAACGCTGCTGACCCTCGCATTGACTCTGATCGAGACCACCGCGCTGCCCACAACCTCAGCGGAAACACACACACTAGCTCTGGCAACTACGCTACCGGAGGTGCAACCCACGGCACTGACTCTCGACCCTTCGGTACTACAGATGGCCCTGCCACCAAGACCGATGGTCCTCACAACTCCAACCTCCTGAACAAGGCCGACCCCCGTGTCGACTCTGATCGTGACCACAGCCGCAACATGGGTGCCAACCCCCATGGTACCTCTGGAACCGGTGCTTACAACACCTCTGAGAACACTCGCACTGGCGGCCTCGGCGGCAATAACATCTCTGAGAACACTCGCTCCAGTGCCCTAGGCGGCAGCAACATGGGTACTCACGAGTCTAGTGCCCTCGGCGGCAGCAACATGGGTACTCACGAGTCCAGCGCTCTCGGCGGCAACACCATGCGCTCTGAGAACACTGCCGGATACTCCTCTGGTCTCCCGGAGGGGTCTGTCGGCCCTCACAGCAGCCGAGTGGCTAACGCTGCGGATCCTCGTGTCGACTCCGACATGGACAACAGCCGAAACATGGGAGCTCACAGCGGAGCTCACACCGGTACTCACACCGGCGCCCACACCGGCTCCGGTGCCTTCGGAAGCTCCACAACCACCCACGGCACTTCTACTCACGCCGGTGGTCTCGGAAGTTCCACACACGCCCAAGACAACCTCAACAAGACCAGCGGTGCTTACGGTTCCGGCCCTGCCCCCAACACTGTCGGCCCTCACAAGTCGGACATGATGAACAAGATTGATCCCCGTGTGGACAGCAACCTCGACGGCAGCAAGACCTACGGCGGCGACAAGACCTTCGAGCGATCGTAAGTCGGAAACCCGGCCTCGGAAATCCCAAAGCGTTCCTTAACACCCTCCGCAGGAACAACACATCCACTCACGCCCACGCCCACAAGGACCCAACCGACGCGGCTCAGGTTCCTCCTTCAGTGATGCAACAGCACATCGGCAAGCCTACCGTTGCGCATGACGACCACTCTCATGACCGGGCTCGGAGACACAGCGTTTCGCACCAGGAGGATCATCGGGGTCTGTAAACGGCTAGGATTTATGAGTCATGTATTTGTATTATGAGCATTTCACAGGTGTAGTTTCTATCTTTGATAATTAAACGCACCCCCCAAAAAAAAACCCTTTATATCCTTAAACTTGATCTCCAGGTGGCGATGCATAATCTGTAAGCAATGGTATAAATGAATTTTGCGAAATACACAACCGGTACGTCTTGTGTGTTCTGGGCGAGGTTGGTGGCTGTCAGGCTCAGCTCCAGTGTGAAGTGTTGCTCCTGTTGCTCGAGAATATCGCGACACTGTCTTATTGCGAATTGGTCCCGCCGCCTTCTTAGTTGTAGAGCCAGAGCCATCATCATCTTCTCGCCCATGTGCCTTTCTCCGGCTTTCGTTCAGTCTGTGGTTCATCGGCAGGCCGCCGTCCTTTCGCAATCGCTTCTGAGGAGGTGGAGTTTCTGCGTTTCGCGTCGTCGCTTGGCGCCTGTAGAATCATGAGATGATGATTTCGAACGAGATTCTTCGGGAGTACGAGTTCTAGCGCATTTTCGGCGTCAGGGATATCGCTGGTGTGGGACGGGCGCATTAACTTCAAAACTGGGAAGCGGTGCAATTTTGTCACATGATTTCGCGTCCTCAACATTTGAACAAGCTGCTGCCAATCTCCATTCCTTTGTCCACTGGTTTTCTAACGGGGTCGGAAGGAGTCGACAATGCTGCAGCGACAAATCAGGCGAACGCCAAAGCGGAGAAAAGATTTCAGAAGAATCCCGGGGTGGAGTACAGGCCGGCAACGAAGAGTAAAAGGCTCTCAACAGCAGAGACCTAAGGTGGTCTTTATTAACTAGCTTAGGTGGCAGATCTCTGCCAGTACTTCAAACGCCCTCGACGTCTTGAAAGGCAATATTCTCCTCCACGATAATGTGAGTTGCGCTACCCGGGTTCCTCGTCCAAGTGGCATCAAACTCTCTGGCGGCACTTCTTAGAACGCCGTCGACGTCCTTGACGGCAATATTCTTCTCCACAATGATGTGAGTTGCGCTGCCCGGGTGCCTCGTCCAAGTGGCACCAAACTCTCTGGCCTTTGTGAACCTCAGCCGTCGCGCGGGCGCAATGTCGTTGTCTAGAATGAAGAAAAACGAAAGGTCTTTGAAAAGTTGCTCGCGCTCGGGCCGTAGTTTCAACGCGGGCTCCCGTTTCCGTTGCAGCTTGTCCCTTGACTCGATCGTAGTAGTCAGCCATGAACTGCAGCCTTCAATGGTGCGGGTGTTGGGATTGCCCGCCTTAGCGTCTTTGGCCCCGGCCAAGTTGCAGGCGAACCGGCCCTCGTACGCTTAGCCTTTGCGACTGGGGCCCCGTACCGATAACTTGTGCCACTGCCTTCAAAGTAGAGGCGAAGCTGCCCTTCCGGGGCCTTGAGAACCCGCCGGCTCAAAGTAGAGACGAAGTTGCCCTTTCGATGAAAACCGTTGTGGTGATGTCACGATCCCGCTATCGCAAACGGGAACAATCACTCCTCTTGTCGGTAGCGTTATTGTGGTCCATATCTCCGTCTGACAGGTGATTCTTGTGGCTTAGGCGAGCTGGTTAGATTTGATTGAAAGCCAGCAGCCGCCCGCCCTGGTCGTGGCCGTCCCAGCGGCGCTGGTCGAAATCCATTTTGCCTCTTTCCCGTCTTCCACCATGCGATAGCGGTCATCGTGAAGGGGGCCTGAGATCATAAACCTGCCCATCCGGGGCCTTGAGAACCCGCCGGCTCAAAGTAGAGGTGAAGCCGCCGTTCGAAGTCTTCGGGGGCTCGAGCGGTTGCAAAGTGAGCCTGTCGGGGTTCTTGGGCGCCGGCTGGCTTGAAGTAGAAGTGAGTCGAGCGTTTCTGCCCCTGAAGCGCTTGGCGTCAAAGCTGAAGCTGAGGGGCCCCTCCTGCGACTTTGGGGTACCATACTCCCGGCACCGGCGAGGTAGAGGCGAATTCAGCCTCTCCAGGTGTCCACTGGCTTCGAGAAGCCAAGACACGAGTCGTGCGGTGACCAAGAAAACGACTAGGTCCACGTTAGAACTGCTACTCAGAGAATCGTTGTAGGAAAGAGAAATCACATGTCTGGTGACTTGGACTCACGTTGCAAGTATCCTGGGGGGTGTCGAGGGATGACTTTCGTAGACTCGTGAGAGAGCGCTTATGTTCGGGATAGGGTCAAGTCAAGGTCTTGAACCGCCAGCTCATGCAGCCGATGCCGGGATTGCGTGTGTGGCAACTGGCAGAACAATCTGTGGCGGCGTCAGACGATGTGGCAATGACATAAATGAGCCACGGCTTGCACAACACGCTCCGGCATTCTTTCCATCACTCCGGAACCTCTCCCATGCAAGATGTCACAGTCTTCAAGTCGGCGGCGTCAGTGGTGACTGGGCTGTGAATGGGGCGTTCCAGCAGTCGCGCCACCGCATCTGTTGCTCCTGAGAATTGGGGGATGGCAGGGGATGGCGGATCTGCAGACATAGCCCTTCGAGCCAATTGAGTCGGAATCTGATGGGGTTTGCGTTAGGACAAGACGATATTACTCGAGTTCTTCAACTTACACGCCGCTTCCGTCTATACCTAAGTAAGTATATATACATTCTCATTCTTTGAAGTCAAGTCAAGCAGACATCTATTGTAAATATTAGAGAAATTTGGTTGAGCCTTCTCTTGAGGTCACTTACTTGGTATACTCGTCTTGCGTCGTAGCAATTAGCCAAACTTCTCCCATAGGGAGATTCAAAGTAGAGGCGAAGCCTTATGGCCCCAATTGAAAATTAAAAATTCGAAAGAAAAAAAAAGAAAAAAAAGGACGAGGCGGGACGAGGCAGGACGAGACCGGACGGGACAAGACAAGACCAAAACCCCTCTATGGGGAGGGGGAACGAGCGCGGAGGCCTTGGACGAGGCGACGGCGGCGAGGAGGAGGAGGAGGTACACCCCGTCTGCAGCGGGTGCCGCAGACGGAGAGAAGAAGAGGAGGCAGAGGCGGAGGCAGAAGCAAAAGCAGAAGAGGCTCAGCGACCGAGACCGCGACAACACCGTCGCTGGTGTTGCTAGTGTTGCTGGTTTTGCTGCTGCTGCTGCTGCTGCTGGGCAGCGAGGACGGCGGCGCGGAGGAATGGGGAGGGGAAGAGGATGAAGACGGCGACTCGACGGCCGCGGGAGGCCCTTGGGTTAACGGGCCTAGGCTTTATAGAGCCCAGGCCCCGGGCGGAGCGTGGTTGGCGAGGTTGGCGAGTTCCTCGTTGGTTATCTCCCCTGAGGGCAAGAAGGTGGTTGGTCGGTGTTCTAGTCGGTATTCGGGTCGGGGGGCATCTCGACCTTGGTGTTGTTAAGTATCCCAGGAGGGCAATAAGGTGGTCGGTGTTGGGAGGGCGCGGGGCTCATCTTGATTTTGGTATGGTTGAGTGGTGAAGAAAAGAGAATCCCCTCTATTTACCTAAGATTGAAGGGAGTGCCTTATATCCACAGTGTGAATTCCCTGGAGGAAGAAGCTCCTTCCTCCTTTTCTGTTTCTGCTGACTGTCTGTCCTACTTACTAGGAAGGTGTGATCGTGGACGCCGTTATACATATAAGTATAAGCTTCTTTACCTAAACCTTAGGATAAACTGATATACTTAAGATTTAAGTTTTTAGACTTTAGGTATCTATTTATTAATAAATTTAAATAACTAAATAAATAGTTGTTAGAAAATAAATACTAAGACTTGGTCCTATAATAATTTATTAGAATAATAGATAATCATCAACAAGATTAAAGCGTATATTTATACGTGCGAATACAATACTAGAATACCATTACTCAAAACTGACCTTGAATCCTCCAGGCGGTTGGTTGCCTTATCTTATCAGACCACACCCCTCCAAACTACCCTAGACCATTTCTCCCATCACCAAGCGCCTAGCCTTCCTCCATCATCCGCGCCTTCAGTCATCGCATCCAGAAACACAGCAAATACCACTCTTCTCTTCATAATGCGCAGGCCATAATGTCAGTTCCCATCCAGCAAACCCTCTGGAACGCTCGCATTCCGTTGCACATCACCCACCCCGCCTCACCGACCACGCCGTTCATCACCAGCATCCCACGTTTCAGCTACTTGGCTCTGCTGCTGCCTCGCCTCTCCACCTTCTTCGACTCGCCGTGTTCGAGCTTCCACTTTGAAGATGTGCAGCTGAGGAACTTGGCCGTGGGCCTGCTCGTCGACCTCTACCAGCCCCCTCTACCATGGCGGCTGACGGTGAATGAAGGCATCGGCTGGGATATTGCAGATACGTTTCTCAACTGCGTGAAGGAGGTGAGTCGCTGCGATCAACGGTCTCGTCATTTCCTGTGTAGGAGGCTTCTAGGCACCATTTAGGCGCCTTTAAAAACTTTTTGCTTTGGATATTGTGTCGAGACGCGGGCTATCCATCTTTGAAGGAAAGCCGGCTTTGTTCACTGACATGTCTGCCTAGGCTGACTTCATCCGCAACGGCAACGCAAACCAAATCATGAAAATGTCCAAAGATCACACCACCCAACTCTGGAACTCGGTCATCGACAACGACCACGCTGGGTTCAACCGCATCAACATCCGTCTTCTCAACGCACCCACTGCCCTTAAACATGTCCCTATCCGCATCTATGTCCCATCTACTTCTCCAGCACACGACTCATCCCCGACCTCATCGGAACCAGGATCCTTCAAAGTCATCCAGGCCCTAGTGCAAGCTACTACCTCTGGCCGAAGGCCCAAGTTACTAGGCCAAGCGCTCAAGGACTTGCTGCCCAGTCTATTCCCGAGCAGTCGGGATCCGATTCTGGCAAAGGTGGTGATGCACGGGGGGACGGTCCCCTTTGAGGCGCCGCTGGAGGAGCTGATGCGGGAAGCTTCGTACCCGGACGGATGGCTCTGTCTTGTTGTCATCGTTTTGTGATACAATTTACTAAGCGAGCGGGCATCTGGTATGGACTGGCGTTAAATTTTTAATATTACTGTATATTAATGTAACTATAAATAATATTTATAGTTAATTCAACAATAGTGTCGTCTATTTATACCATACTGTAATGGTGACATTACTTTCAAAGGTTATAGTGTTGCTAGAGACGTCTTTGTTTTCATTCAGCAGAACCTTGTATCGTTTGTCCCAAAGACTCAGAGGAATAATAAGCTGTCCTTTTAAGCCGATAGGGGACAACAACTCAAACTCCACTGACCACTGCCTACGAATTCCCATCTTGTGACAATTGGCAATCCAAGAGGTGTCGGGACTCTTCCTTCCGCCCAGCGAAGGCCCGTAATTTGCAGTCTAGGCTAGACTCGAAAAGCTCGGAAACCTGGCTCGATGGGCTCGACACCTAAAACAAACCGGGGTAGGAGATATGTCGGGCCGGAGCTAAATGCTTGGGCAAGTGAACAGAAGTTGCCTCTGTAGGGTGTGCCGTCCACACTCATAAACTCCCAGGTTGTGCCCGTGAAGTTTGGGTCAGACATATCTGCCATGGGTCCCCATACTCTTCGTAGAACCGCTCCCGCATGCTCATAATGACTAGCATGAACAGCAGCCTCGAAGTGAAGTGCTGACATGATTGGCGATACAACAGGGGTAACACCCTCCGTGCCTGGCGCGAAAGATGTTGGCGAACCACCCTTGCTTGCATCGCCTAGCGATCTGAACTTTTGCCAGATCTGCGAAAGCTGTTCCGATGTTGCAATGTCTTGCAAGACAAGCCATGCATGCGCTTCTTGTTGAAACCCAGACCATTTGTCAGCGATTCTGTAGTGGCCTGCTTCGGAGTCAAAACAACAGCTTCGGATTGCTGCTGTGACCTTTTCAGCCTTGGATAGATATGAGTCGCGCCTCGTAAGATTTTGCGTTGGACCTCTCGCATCAAGCATGCGAGCTACTGCTCTCAGGACCGCAACGTACAATGCGTTACGTTTCGTCGAAACTCCTTCCTGAACCTTGTTGTAGTAGTCAAAGTCGAGGGCTTATACGTGTTAGTAGACAATTCTTGAATGTAATGTATAACCTTACCGTCAGACCCCTCCACTGACAAAAGACCCTGGCTATTGGTCTTGGAATCTAGACTGTCCAGAAAAGCCTCGATCTTTCCCATACTTATTCGGAGAACTGAGTCATCTCCCGTATACATCCAATGGTCAAAGACAACAACAATGAGATAGAAGGAATAGTTGACGGTAAGCTCTGTGAATAAACCATCCACACCATCTCTAGTCAAATCCATGCCGCTGGGACAAGCTCCAGCCAACAAACTGGAATCTGCCTCGCGCTGCATTGCCGCAACAATGGTGCCTCGGACATATTCCACTCCATAGGTGGAGTAGTACAAGGATCGACCGCTTGTAAGAACATCAGCTGTCCATGGTATTCGGTCTCGCTTTGCTCCATCAGAGAGCCAAGGGTATTGATTCCAGCCGATACCAAAGTCCGCCAGCACAGAGGGGTTGTTCAGGCTGGATTGGTACATGACACTTCCTTGGAGATCTTTGACGACAAGATCTCTGAATCGGCACTGTTGGTCCACGCCCGCTCCAATCCCGACGGAACCTTGGGCGCAATACGGAAAACCTTGGGCCTTGGATTCCCAGACGGTCTCTTGATAGATGTCAACATGCGTCCGTCGGCATTGGTGTAGTAAGCCTGAACTTGAACTTACCAGATGCTAGGGTCCCTTGCAAGAAAGTCGCCACTTTAACTCCATCGATACTGATCTTGATGGGTTTACTTCCGTCGCAAATGGTCTCGATCAAGTACCAGTGCTTGGAACGGATGTTCATCTCATCGATGGCCACTTCGGCAACAAAAGTCGAATCGAGCGTCTTTTGGCCTTTGTTATAGTACCCGAACCACTGCTGCAGCACGGCATTCCCACCTTCGTCAATGTTCAGCTGGAAGAGAAGGCCAGGTGCTGCTGGCGGTGTGCGAACTGTCCACGCCAAACCTCCGTCAACAACCATGGCACTGAAACGAACGGCATAGTCAGTCCACGCGGCTCCCCAGCCCTACGTATTGCACCTCTGCGAATCAATAAAAACTCCCATATCCTCGGAGATCTGCCAGGGGGGTGGAACCGTTCGGGTGGCAATCGAATTGAGCTGGATAGTTCGTGCGCCATACTCCCAGATGCGAGAAAGGAAGCCATCGGAGCAGGCAAAGTGGCCGGGGAGCTCATTCAATGGGGTCGTAGAGGTGGTTGAGAGGACGCCGACAAAAGAGATTTTGACCGTTACAGGGCCAGGAGTTTTCAACGTCAACTTGAGCCATCGCTGAGACCCTTGGACATGGTTCGTTTGATAGTACCCGGGATGGGAGACTCGGACTCTTACTCGACGCCTCGTGTCTGCGCCCGGAGAAAATGAGAACGGCCCATCGCCATCTGCGTCTGTGATTCCATTGAAGCCCTCGGAGAAGGCCAGATCAATGGCATGCAATGAACTCCCCAGTCCCTCGGCGTCGACTTCATGTACTCGCATCGACGGTATTCCAGCCACGGCAGTGCCAAAGTCCAAAATCACTGAGGGCTCAGGATCTTCAGGGCAACTCCGCCTGAAAGTGGCAAATGCTCGAGAATCCGTGTCAAGAAGGTTTGGCCCATCTTCAACATCGCCTACCGTTGATGCAACGGTCTTGGCAGTGATCAGCTTTGGAAGTTCGGATTGAGCCAATGCATAACTAAGAGTTTGCCGCTCTGGATAGTGTGAAGTAAGAAACTCCATTGTCATCTCGCGACGTCCTGGCTAGTCAATGGCTTCGTATATCTTTGGTATGGCAGTTCTGTAATGTTTCAGCCCCAGTGCGGCAGGATGTTTGACACACATATCTACGTTGAGAATTCATCCCTCGGCGTAGGGAGGACTGAGCCTACGGATCATTGTCATCGGCCAGATGGACATCTGCCCCACGTCTCAGATGGCCCACCCAAGATTGCCATGGCTGCACTAGATGCTTATCAATACTCTTCCTGGCTAGGCCATTCGAATATGCCCAGATGCGGTAACTTAGTGGAGTGGATTCTTGAGCCGCTCTTCTTACCCAGAATAGTAACTTAATTCGTTTGCTGTTGTAGTTAGCCCGAGACTGGTGAGCTGAACGCTCTTGTCTAACTGAACATGCCCTGTTGTGGTGACGCTATTACTCAATGAAGACTTATGACAATCTTCTCCATCAACGAATCACGGAAAATCTCGCAAGGTCATCTTAATGGGGTTACTTCGTTGAACTCATCTCAACAGTCGATGGATGAAAGTGCTCCCCTCTCCTTGCACACAGCTACCTGCAATGCTGTTCGATGACGGATCAAGCAAGATGACTTCCGCAGACATTCCTTACTTGATCAGTTGCCTTTCAATTGAAGAGAAGGTCTCGCTCCTTTCCGGAGTGGATACCTGGCAGACAAGAGACATTCCGCGCCTAGGAATCCGGTCGTTGAAAACGACTGATGGCCCATCCGGGGCTCGAGGCAAACTGCTGGTAGATGGCTGTACCGCAGCCTTCGTCCCAGCCCCCATTTGCCAGGCAGCGACATGGTCCAAGGACCTTTGTCAGAGATTGGGAGCAGTTCTTCGCCGCGAGGTGAAATCCAAGGCTGCTTCCGTGTTACTCGCGCCCACCATTTGCTGTGCTCGGAACCCTCTCGGCGGTCGCAATTTTGAGTGCTATGGGGAGGATCCATTCATAAGCGGCACACTGGCTGTTCAATACATCAAAGGCGTCCAAGAGATGGGAGATGTGGTTGCCACAGTAAAGCATTTGTATGTCAACACACCCCGAGCAGAAAGGTCACGGTCGGGCTGGGTTACGGGATCCATACTGACTGAATCAATCTCTAGCGTTGCCAACGAACAGGAGTATGCTCGATATAGCATCGATGCTGTGATATCGGAAAAGGTCCTCCGTGAAATCTATCTCCGCCCTTTTGAGATGGCGGTTCGCTCAGAGTCTCCCCCGGGCTGTATTATGACATCCTACAACTGTGTCAACGGCCTACATGCAGATATGCACCCACGCCTCCTACGCGATATTATCCGGGATGAATGGAAGTTCGAGGGACTAGTAATGAGCGACTGGGGCGGCACTAACTCGACTTGGGAGAGCTTTATGGCGGGTTTGGATCTGGAAATGCCTGGCCCGCCGGACCTACGGGGAGGAAAGCTCCTCAAGTTGATCAAGGAGTCCAACGATCCAGCAGTCACGGCTCGTTTGGATGAGTCAGTGTTTCGCATGCTCTCTCTCCTTGAAAAACTGAACCTTTTAGGTATGACCGAGGAGGCGGCTAGGCAATCGCGTCAACAGCCGGAGACATCCGCGACGACGGTCGAAAATATCAAGCTTATCCGCGAGGTCGCTGCTTGTGGTATAGTCCTGCTTAAAAACTCGGCCAAGATGCTCCCACTCGTGCCCAAAAGGCTTCACGGGAAGAGAGTCGCTTTCATAGGCCCGAATGCGAAGAAGGGCACACCAGGAGGGGGTGGCTCCGCCTCAATGAATCCGCAATACTTGAGCCATCCCATGGACGCTTTCAAGTCGCTCTGCGAGTCGCGAGGCATCAATGTGACTGTCAGCCACGCACCCGGCGCCTATACGTTCAAATGGCTGCCTGCGTTGTCGGCTTCGCAGTGGTCCGTAGAAGGAGGAGGCAAGGTCATGAGAATCGATTACTTCAAGTCGATTGATCTCTCAGGCCCCGTGGTCTCAACACAGTTCCGGGAAAATTCGAACATCGAGCTCACCGATAGCGCTCCCCTTCCGATGCAAACAGACCCAGTTCACCCTTACTCCTTCAGAGTTCAATCTACCCTCATCCCATTGACAACTGGCGTCCATCGTTTCAGCCTTACGAGCGTTGGACGGGCAAGGCTCTATGTTGAGGGTGAGCTGGTGGTGGACAATTCGGACTGGACAAAGATTGGAGAATCCTTCTGGGGCTTTGGCAGTGTGGAGCTCATCGGTGAAGCAAATCTCACTGCCGGGCAGGGCTATGCTGTTGTGGTGGAATGTTGGTCAGACCCAAAATCTCCCGCTGCCCTGATCGAAGATGTCAACCCCGTCTTCACAGCACACCCATCTGTTCGCATTGGTTACCAGGAGCAACTATCCGAGACCACGATATCGGATGCTGTCAGCCTTGCCAATCAGAGCGATGTTACAGTTGCAGTGTTTGGACTTAATGACGAGTGGGAAAGCGAGGGATACGACAGATCCTCCATGGCCCTCCCAGGGAATCAGAATGAGTTAATTTTGGCCCTTATCGAGAACTTCAAGGACCCTGAAAGCCTCATCTTTGTCAACAAATCCGGGTCACCTGTCGAGATTCCGTGGATAGACCGCATACATACTTTCGTACAGTCATGGTATGGTGGCCAGGAGGCTGGTAACGCACTCGCCGATGTTCTACTAGGCATGGTTAATCCTTGTGGACGACTTCCTCTCACGTGGCCAAAGCAATATTCGGACCTCTCCTTCTCATCCGACTTACAGACTTGGCCAGGCTCCGATGGCAAGGTCATCTACAAAGAACAATCACAGATTGGTTACCGCTGGTTCATGCACAGCAAGGTTCGTCCTCAGTGGTGGTCCGGGTTTGGGCTGAGCTACACCCAGTTCTTCTTCTCATTGGCCGAGCCCATCGAGCATCAGGATTACTGGCAGGTTTTGGTGTGTGTCAAGAACGTTGGGAGCATGCAAGGGAGTGAAGTTGTTCAACTGTACGCCTGGCCAGCGTCCGAACCTGAAGACATCATTCTAGTCTCGTTTGAAAGCACGCCCCTCATCGATGTTGGAGACTCATTTACAGTAACTCTCAGGGTAGAAAAGAGGGATATGGCTCGTTGGGATGAGTTTGGGAAGATATGGAGGTTGACGAAAGGAAACTACGTTTTTGGGGTTGGACTCGGCGTAGGTGACGAGGACATGGCATCAGTCAAGTGTAGTCTGCGCAAAGACCGAGAATGGTCGTCCGGATACTAAAACATTCTTTCTGTTCCAGCTCCCATAAGTATGCCTGACATTATTAGGTGTCGAAGCACGGGGGTTTAGGTCAATACACCATAGTTGTATTCCGGAGTTTCGCCAAGGACGCAATTTTGGTCCCCCAACCACTCGTTTTCGACAACAGCAAGTATGTATTTTATCCGCTGTTAAGACGAATGAATCTTAGGCCGCTCCCTCTTCCGGTAGAAATGATCGTATTCACCCTATCTAAGCTAATAAAGTCGCCAACGGCTCAACAACCCGGCAGTTGGCCTTGGTTTAGATTCCCGCGTAATGCCTTGAGTGGGATGACCACACGGCAGCACAAATCCCTGTCCCCTCATGATACACATTTCTACTTATCTTGCTTTATCTAAGTACTGATCCAGATAATAAGAGCTCTCGATACGTATCACAAGTGATTACGGGCCAACCTCTCATTGATCAAATATCGGCGACTACGAAGTGAATCCCCTTAACAGTGCTAAGGTGCAGGCCGCATATCGGGCTCCATAGCACCTCAATTAGCCTAATATACATCTAGGCACTAATTGTTTATTTGCGACCTTGTATCGGCCTAAAATTCAGTACCTGTAATAGAGCTTCAACTGTCAAGGCAAAGTGCCGGGGTTTTCCTTCTTCCTAGTGGCCTATATCCCTGTAAAAGACTTCGCCTACACCCTACCACTGTCTAGGGGATGCGGATCACATCCAGAGAGACATGCAGGGTTGGAGATTATCCATGTTGCTCGGTAGTGTTTCAACTATGATAGGAAAAGCTAGTCCCTCGTCGTCGACTTCCTTTGTTGAGGCCAGTCGGTGGGGCTATCTCAAATGACTCGAGGTAGTTAGTCTCTTGATGTTTAGTGTGGAACTTCAAGCAGACACACTACACCATGCCTGCATGTCCCGCCTAAAATACCGGGTTCGCTTATCAGATTCATCAGGCTGGGGAATGCGGGGTGTTTACCCCATCGATGTCTAGGCTCTTCTCGTCTGTGTTGCCGGTGCGTCTCGGTCTCTTGATGGTGTAAGGTACGGTAACAAAGGCACGGCTTATCGACGATGAGGTCGGCGTCATGGAGGTGTATATAACCACTCCAGTTGTCTCCTAGTCCCCTTCACTCTGACCATCCTCTTGCTTCATTGAAGACAGCTACCTACCAACATTCCCCTCTATCAAATCGATTTCATCATGGGAGACACCAAGATGCCCAAAGATCAAGTTGACCCGCGTGTTGGTGCACAGCCAGATCTGCAGCATGGCGAGGTCTTGGCTCAAGACCTGGACAATGAAAAACTGTCTTTCAAATATGTCTGGAAGCACAGAAGAGTACTTGGATGGTGTAAGTCATGAGGCCCAACAACGTGTACAATTTCTCTCTGCTAAAACCTGGATCCTTCAATTAGGCCACTTCATCTTCCTTCTCCCCGTCAACTTTGGCTACGACTCCAGCACCATTGGTAATCTCCTCGCCGTTACACCGTTCCTGAAACGCTTTGGTCGCGAAGTCGACGGCCAACTTCTGGTATCTGCCAACGACCAGCAGACTGTAAACGCTGCCGATACCGTCGGCTCCTTCCTCTCTGCATTTGCTGCAGGTTTCGTTTCCGATCACATTGGCCGTAAATGGACCATTGGCATTGGTTGTCTGTTTTGCGTTGCTGGAATCGTGGTTCAGTATTTCAGCACCTCGATTGTCCAGCTCTTCGGCGGCAAGCTGTTGGGCACCTTTGGGTATGGCCTCGGCCACGCACTTGGCCCGGTCTTTGTGGCCGAGTTGGCCCCCAATCAAATGCGAGGGCCGTGTCTGGCTCTAATTGTAAGTTGTCTTCAATCCGTCCAGCCCTACTATCCGCTCTCCCTTTGCTCTCCCGTCTGCCAGCTGTGGTAACAAGTGTCGAATCGATGTTTGCTGACTAGAGGCCGCTTCAACTTAGATCACCATGATCGTCGTAGGTCAATGGCTCCATGGAGCCGCTTGCTACGCAGCTTCATTATCCTTCTCGGGCGACAGGGCTTGGCGTGTGCCCATCATCTCTCAGCTCATCCCCCCTTGCATCTTGCTTCTTGGTTTGCCCTTCCTTGCCGAGTCACCAGCTTGGTTGATCCTGAAAGGGCGACACGCAGAAGCCAGGAAGTCGCTACGACGTTTCCATGGTCCTGATATAGACGTCGATACCGCCATGGCTTTCGCTGTTTCTGCGGTAGAGGCCGAGCGAGAAGTGGGGAAATCGAGCTCATCGTATCTTCAATGCTTCAAAGGCACTGATGGCGGCAGGACATTAATCATCTACATGACCTATATCGCACAGCAGCTTACCGGCATCAATTTCATCGCCGGATATCTCACGTGAGTACTCCCTTCTATGTATCCTCTGTTCAATCACTGAAGGCTCTCTTAGTTATTATTTCCGCCTCGCGGGCGTCAATAATCCCTTAGGGACCGTACAGATTGCCTTCGGTACACAGCTGTTTGGTAACCTTTGCGCTCTGGTAATTGTTGACCGTGTTGGCCGACGACCGCTTCTGGTCGGAGGCACCGTCTTCATGACCGTTGTTCTACTTGTCATCGGTGGCATCAGTATGATGAGCACTCAATCAGCCCTCACCGGCACAGTGGCACTAATGGTCGTCTGGGGTTATTTGGTGAGTCAAGTCATCTGGAAGATCTCATCCATGAATTTGCACTGATCCGTCTACAGTACCAAGCTACCTTGGGCGCAGTCGCGTTTGTCATAGGTGCGGAAACTCCCAGTATGGCGCTCCGCCAGAAGACATATTCCATCAAAATGATGTCCGCTGGAGCTTCTTCATGCCTGATTCTTCAAATTATGCCGTACCTGCTCAATCCGGACCAAGCAGATCTCGGAGGCAAGATTTGCTTTGTTTTCTTCGCAATGGCGGTGCCTGTCTGCATTTACTTTTATTTCTGCCTGCCTGAAATGAAAGGACGATCCTACGTTGAGATTGAAGAAATGTTCCAGAAACGAGTTGCGGCACGCAAGTTTAAGAGCTACGTGCGCGAGGCGGTTGTCGATCTGGATCAAAGCAATGGCAAGTCTACTGATATCACCACAGAGTCGAGGACTGAAGATGTGGAGGCTTAAACGATAGCACTATCGAGTTTGATTTGTTCGCATGTACCAAGTTCTTTATTCTTTAAAAACAGAGGTGCTGCTGCTACACCGTTAAGGACAGGAGATTAGATACACACCCTTTTTGTTTTGGAGGGGGGATCTACGAGCTGGCGCCCATTACCCACAATCATACTCGATATCGTCGTGAACTGCCTCGCCTGACGACTTAGTCAAGTAGTTAAAATAGAGCCCCTAGCCTTTATATCCTTCGACTTTCCCTCTCTCTAGCCCTTCCTCGAAGTCTCATGCCTGGCCATCATTTGTGATCCTACATCCAGATCAAAGTTTGCATCTAAACACTTCAAGAAGACTCTTCCTTTCCTCCCAAAGTCATGTCGGAGCTTCCGGCGCGGCGATGGCAATTCAAGTTTGTCGGTGGCCCAAGTAGAAAGCGATGTAGACGAGGCGGCCTGCCTGCTCACGACAGGGGCCGAACCTCCCCTGCCTCGAGCAAGGCCGCTCACCCAGAGGATAAGGGTTCGAGCTCGAGGAACAGTCCACAGCAACATCACACATCATGTGAGGATACAGTCAGTAACCAGGTCACCACCTGCCTGCCGCCCCTTCCATCTGCTGGACCTTCATCGATAGTCCAGCCACGTGTACACGGAAGCCCTGATATTCTCTCCGGTGGGCCAAACCTCGACAGCATCTCAATACCTACCCCCGAGTCTAGCCAGTGGCTCTGTGATCCCTCTGCCTTCACTGGGTACTATTTGCAATCCCCAGCTTTCAGCTTGGAGGGAGATACTACCCTCAACATCTTTACGCCTTCCACCAACCACACCACCGATATATTCAACACATACGAAAGCGAGACACCACGACTAGGGTCGAGCTTCAACAATGCTTGGGAAAGGCTGGTCACACGCTGTACCATGTCCCACCGCCCCATTTGGAACGCAATATTGATACGTTTTCTAGACGACGAAGAATTCTGTGTGTTGCCGCTCACCTACAACTTCGACGCGAACCCATTTCGACGTGACCCGGAAACGATCAAGACGTCGGAGCTTCTTTTACACTCTGTACTGACATGTTCTTACAAGCACGTGGCCAGGGATGCAGGAAGCTTCTTTCCTGAAGCTTTCCACCATTGGGAACAGGCCATGCGGCTACTTGCAGAAATCGAGGAACAGACAGATTTCACCTCTTTCGAACCCGCCGTTCTTGATTCAATCCTTATTCTCATGTCTCTGGACGTAAGTATGCATGATTCCTGTCCCAGAGCTGCAATGATCTAACGACGAGCTTTCGTCGGGCAGTGTGCCACATCCGCGGATGGGCCTTGGCCCTACCATCTCCAGCGCGCGCATAAAATGCTGGAAACCATGGAACAGCTCCATATCCCCAATACACCGCGTGTAAAAGCGCAGATTGGCATGCTCGTATGGTCAGTTTGGTCCCGAAGTTGCTACTGCGCTGCAATACTAATAAGTCACATTAGGTGGGATGTTACGTTGGCACTGACAAGGCGACAAGGATGCATCCTCTCCGAGTCAACCATCATGGGCCAGCTCGATTCTACCGACGGGAGCAACCCAGCTCTTTACAATATGGCTGGGTGTCCAAAGGATCTATTTATGTACATGGTGCGACTGGGAGACTACTCTAGAGAGTTCGAGCTCGCCTTTACCATGAAGTATGTGGAATTCGACATGGAGCTCGTGCTTGCCGCAGAGAAAGGTATTCGAGAATGGTCGGTCCCGCAGATGGATGACTCGAACCTCCTGACTGACCCTGAAGAGGCTCACGAGCTGGATGACCTAGCTCAGCAGAGGCAAGACGAGATTCACTGCGCCGAAGCCTAGAGGTATAGTTTGCTAGTCTACATCCAAAAGGTGTTCAAGTGGCGCAAGAACAAGGGCGTTCCGCTGCTTCTGGGCTTTCTAGCACGGAAGACCCTTGATAACGTGAGATCTTGTCGGAAGACTAGTATGCTACAGAAGCAGCTCCTCCTCCCAGTTTTCTTGGCAGGCTGTGAAACCAAAGATGACCATTTGCAGCAAGGGGTCCGGGACTACTGCAAGTGGTGGAATGAGGAAACTCGGTGTGATATGTTCTTGACAGCGATAAGCTTGCTTGAAGAGGTTTGGGCTACTCAAGATGTTGATTGTTGGTGGGGATCAGTTATCGATCAAAGTATAAAAGCCAAGGTAAATTCGGATATAAGACAATGTTTGTTTGGCTAGATGTCTAAGAATTTATATTAAATAAATGTATTCATAATAGATTAGCTTAATTTATATCTCATTAAAAGTAAGACTAATAGTATTTATGTACCTTGCAGACAACAACTTCAATGAAATTTCCTCTCTATTAAGTGAAGGTGATCTGTTTCCCCATAAGGCTTCTATAAGCATCGTTAACCGCCTTCCTCTTCTTCTTCCTAGTCTCCTCATCTTCGTTTATTTCTTCATCCTCGTCGAAGTCTTCTAGTCCTGGAATCTGAGGCGCCCAAGCACGAATCTGTCCATCCATGTGAGAACTGTAGATGGCACCAACCGAGTTCCCGCCGCCCATGGCCGGTCCAACCTGATGACCACCTCCACCTGCTCCGCGCCATACAAGCCCAGTGATTCGGTTCCTTCCCATTTGGCTACCACGAGGTCCAACGGGGTTCGTCACGCCAGGGCTGCGGAGTCGTGTCACAATGTTTCCTTCGTGGAGGTCGAGAATCAAGATTTCCTGATCGTTTGGCCAGAACAAAAGTTCATTTCCAGTAGACAAGCTAGACGGAGATACTAAGAAGCTGGCTGTTTTTGCATGCTGGTTCTGAATGAGAGAGCCGAAGCTCGCCAGAGTGTTGGCCCCAGTTGCTGCATCCCATACTCGAATCCGACGATCGAGGCCGGTCGAGATGATGTACCGGCCATCATCCGTCCACTGTATGCCATTGACGGCCTCATCGTGGGCCTTCGAGGAGGCTCTGAAATGCGGCATCTGTCCCCAATCCATCCCCGCGGCTGTGGCGTGGTTATATCTATGAACAACGCCCAGCGAATCTTCCTGGTCTAGCTGTGCGACGACACCGCCAGCACGCCGAATATCCCATACGCGAACTTTTCCATCAGCGTGGCCGCTGACGAGTATATGGTCATGGCGTGGACTCCATGCTGTTGACAGGACAGGCCCGCCGTGCGCGACCAAGGCCTGAACTGCAGATCCAGACTTCAAGTCAACGAGTCGGACGTTAGAGTGTTGGGTGGCAGCCGCAACGAGGAGGTGGTCAGCAATAGGACTGGTCGAATGGGAGTATATAGTCGCATTCAGATCGAAACTGGCGGAAAGCGTGCAACGCTGGGTCGCCCACAGCTTCAACTTTTTATCATAGGAACTCGAGAGGAAGGCATCTGGGTCGAATGGGTAGAAAGCAAGATGGGTAATTCCATGCGTGTGTCCGGACGACTGCTGTTCTCGAGCCGACCGCGCGATCGAGCTCACAGGACGAAAGGTATGGAGCTTATGAGGGTTTCCGCACGCCTCCAAATCCCATATCTTGATGGAACCTTCTGCACCGCCCGAGAGGAGGATGCGGCCTTCAAACTTGTCGAGAGCGAGGGCGCTCACGCCAGCGCCATGGGCACGGATATTATGCGCGCGTTCATCTACGCCAGCCGGATCGGGACGCGGTGCGAACTCGCCATTGAAGCGATGCTGCGGCGCGGGCGCAAAGGAACGGAGGAGGTCGGTCGTGATGGTTCGGGCGAAGTCCCGGGGATCCAGATCACCCGTTTCGCGGGCGAGCAGACGGGACTGCATTCATCTGGGCTGTAAACGGTGAGTTGGGCGCGTGGTGAAGCAATACAGACGTCTGGAAGCTGACACAGCACGCTCAGAGTTGGGTGAAGCATGGAGATTGAAGAGTCACAGAGTGAGGCTGCGGTGATGTCAGCCAGCCGCGCTGCTGCAGGTCCCGCAACCCCACATTAGCGGCAACCGACCGCCTCAGTGTCTTAAATCTTCAACTTCAACTCTGCAAACGTTTAACTCGGATAAGACGTCGGGATTGCGCAGGTCGCCTCATTGATTTTTATTCGTCTTTTATTCTGGCTGAGTTATCCTGAAGAGTGCTTGTCCACTGCGTCCTGGACGCACCTCGTGCGCAACTCAACCAAGCCATGTTCCAACCTCGACATCGCAAAGCAAAAGGATCTTCGTCTTTCCCTTGAGACTAAGAAAAACCTGCGGTTCTAGAACCACAAACAGGCCACTCGCGAGTCCACGAAGCTATGGAGGACCGCAAAGACCTTAGGCTTGTCGTACCCATCACCGAGCCAGCCAAGGCGGGGCCGGAGGCGTCGGATCAGGAGCAACCTCACATATCCGCCTCGAAGCGTCGACACGCTACCGTATACGATGCCGTGGCCGGTAAGTCAAAGCGTTTCTCTTAGCATCACGTGAAGCTCACTGTATGCAGGAAAGGTATCATACAGCCAGGGTCCTCGATCTGAGGAAACGTTGCCCCTGCCAACTAATCCAAAGATCATCAAATATTCTACCAAGGAAATCCCATTGGCACCCGACGAAGTTCTGTTCAGGCGCAAAGATGCACCGGTGCGCTACTTGGAGCATGACATCTACTACGCACATGAACGGGACCTACCCCGCGGAGGGCAGGAGGTGCTGCCTGAAAGCGATCTACTCAAGGCCATCCATAGCTACGCGAGTGCGTTTTATAGCTCAAAGAGTCGTGATCGCCATTCCGTCGGCGATATGAACGTAGCTGGCCGGAGCATGGATGAGACGGCGCTCCTAGCGTTTGGAATCCTGCTTGAGGAAGCGGGCAAGGAGGTCCTTGGCCGGAGGGGTGACCTAGTCTTCACCGAGGGCGCTGACGATGCTCCTGGCTCAGGCTCAGGTGGAGATGAGGTGGCGCGCGAGGACGCTCGCATCGTTGGGCATCATGACGTTGCGTTGAGGAGGAGGGGACCGAAGCGAAGGAAAGTCGCGGATACCGACGACGAGTAATCTTGGAGGATGGAGGCTCGGCCAGAAACAATGGGAACTGAAACTAGCGGCCACGCCGGGAGCGCCGGGGGGTTTGCGTATCGCTTCCCACTTGACATCTTGGTGTTCGTTAGCGATCGACACGCCCGCTACTAAACCAAGCGAAGAACCTTGCTTGGGCATCAATTCTTTGGGACGAAACCATCCTTCACAACCAATGTTGAGAATACAGATCAACACATGACTTGAAAGTGTTTGATATTTTGTACTAAATTAACCGAAGAGCAGTTGTGGTTGCCACCAGGTACCCAACGGAGGTTGTGGATTCTGTGATGTGAAGAACGCGCTTTGGGCGCGTTGTTCCGGTCGTCAGTTGGCCCGGGTCCTTGCGTTCCGGGTGTGATGGCGAAATCTACGAATCGCATCAATTCCTTCTTCTAGTGCCTCTTTCCTCAAGGATCAGCAGCTTGTCAGTTCTGGGATGCGCTCACCCCGTTACAGCCGCGCGGCTTAGCTCGTGAGGCACCGCTCAAACACATGCAACCTCGTAGGGCTCACCAAGACCCTGCGTACATATGGCTGAACGCCGCCGGACTCGAGACATGGATAGGTATACGTACTATGTACGGAGGGCTTTGGGGCGGTCTTCGGCCCGGGGTATAGCTGGTTACGCTCAAACCGAAGATCCTAGAAAATGGTTCGATTTTCTGCGGTCTAGATCGGGACTACGATTGCTCGGCTTTCGCAGGGCGAACGGCTATGACCCATTCACAAATCGTTATAGATCCGGGGTATGATCTTCTTCTGCAAAACGCGTATGGGCAATTGGCCTGGATTTAGTCAAGACTCGGTACCCAATCTGTGTGTCTTCACTACACCCCAATCCAGATTGACAAGGAACTGGGAACCAGAATTCTATTCCGAGACCAACTTGAACGGTGGTGGCGAGTCAGTAATCTTGTCAATATCGCTCTGGGGTCTCTTATAGAATGCCGCCTTAAACTCACGGATCCTACACTGTGTGGTCGATGTCACTTTAACCATCAAGATACCTAATTACCCTAGGCTTAAGTTGACGGGCTAATTAGCCATTAGCAAACTATTTATTGTACGCACAGTACCAACATCTCGCGCATGCATCTCAAAGTCTCACAACCTAATCAAGTCGGGAATTGTATGTAGGACGATTGTCAGTTATCGCGTCGTGACGTGTCATGCATCTCGTATTAATTCGTTTAAATCAACAAAAGTATAGGCGCAAGCTACACCGGGTCAATCACCAAGCTAGAGGAGGAAAAAACAGGCCACTCGAGTCTCAACTTGAAACCCAGCTTCCCAGACATTTTAGTAATTCTCCGTAGCCACAGTCTTAAGTAACCGCCGAATGGTGATCCTTGCCTCGCCGAGGCTTAGCTTGCCACCCACCTACTACGTAGTAGTAGTTTACAGCCTCAGCTGTTCAGTCAGCGCCACGGATTTCGAATGCCGTTGGCTAGGGCGATGGAGGCGCGAGCGCACAATACTACTTACTTACTGCACATGGTAAGCAAGGCTTCCGTGGACCATTGGCCGTGGACATTGGATTGGACAGACGGGGATAGAGAAGCTCACGGTTGATGCCTGCGTGGCCCGGTTCAACTCCACAGCGAGCGCCTCGCCAGCCTCCCATTTCATCAAGGTCATCTCGACATTTCCACCCCGGACGCACCTCAAAGCTCTTCCTTCTAGGCCTCTCCCGGGTTGACCGGGGTGCCGTGTACGTACCGTGAAGCACGGAATTTGGCAAGGATCAGATCATGACAAGCCACCAGCATCTGGCCCCGAGGCCTCGCACATGGCGGTATGACATGGTCTGGTCACGATCGTCAGGCGGCCAACTTAATTATTCCTAGTCGACCAGCTCGGGAAACTCAGGTCAGGTGGAGACGAGCAAGTCACGGGAGGCATTCGAGGCATGGGCGGCTAGTCGCTTGCAATTGCTCGCAGGTCAACCACCATATGTCGACGCCTCCTGCAAGGTATCGCAGCGCCGGCCAAGGCAAGTAATGCCTCATCACATCACATGGCCTCAATCTCGGTCAGAGAAGCATGGTCAGAGGAACGGAGACATGGCCTCATGCTGAGCCTTGGAAAATGGGGAAACCGCAGCGCCTGCACAGCAACCCCTGTCAACACAAACGGCGTACATACACGGCGTTCAAACACCACGCTTGTGCGCGCGCCCGCGTTCCCCCCGTCGCCGTCCCCACATTTGTGCTTGTCGACACTCGGGTTTTCCCTGTTGTTGATGCCGATGCGTCAAATGCATCACCAACACGTGTGACAGATGCAACCTCAATATGGATTCGAAGACGAACGTTGCTTCTGTGCCGCTTTGTGGCGCATCGACGGCACTTTTGCCGCCTTTGGCTCCAATCACGGACAATAAGGCAGGAAGAAGCAAAAGGAGAAAACACTCCTATCGGGCGTATCACGAAGTCCAGAGAATTAGGATGGATCCGTGCTCTGTACCTCGCTCGGACTTTGGATGGCGTCCGTTTGTACTATGTACTGCAGTACATTGTCGCGTTTGGAAGCCCTTGTAGTTATACTTGACGGGTAAGCAACATTGGCTTTTTATCATGTGTCGCGTTCATTTGTCGAAAAGCGATTCTTGTGAGGATGCTCATTGGGCATGGTTGGAGGATGATGCACGGGAAGCTCGGCGACTACAGCCCCATGACATGTATCTCGATGACGATGGAGATGCTGCTTTCGTAGAGCCGTGAGATTTGACATGGGGGCGAGATCGAGCATCAGGGATGGTCCAGGTTAGGTGTGGTTGCGACTCACAAAACTGACGATGAGCCCGTTCCCGTGCACTGTTGCAGCATATGCGGGAGTCTCGAGGTTTTTGTATGTATGCGCTATGCACCAGGCACAAGACCACTGACGGGGCATGCACACTGTCTCTGCATCATTCTCAAGTGGTTAATGTCCATGTTCCCGATCGGCCTGGCTCAGAAAGCGCTCACGGCATTTCGACTGAGAAGGGGGGGGATCCGAATCCGAACTCGGACCCAAAGACCAGGTCAATGGCGCACTGACTATCGCTGTTGGTTTGCGCATTGTTCACGAGGTAAGTAGCGGGCGCTGGATTCGTATGGGAATCGTACGACCATGGGAAACTTGAGAGTTCAGCCGTTGAATCCTGGGGGAAGACGCGACTAGCTTCTCTTGGGTAACAGCGAGGACACGCTCTAACCGAAACCGGTCGCGCGCCTGCCAACTGGTGTGTCAAACCTGACAGGTCATATTTGAAGTACCCAGGAACCTCGTCAGCGAATGGCTCACCGAGCTGAAAAGCCGCCGTTTGTCTCACAAACAGGACGGAATAGGATAAAATACAGTAATTAGTTTGCGCAATAGGGGAGACAACTGCAACCCATGTTTTTTTTTAAGAGTCCCATAAATCCAGACTTAGTCTGCGCCATAGGATCATGCTGATGTCAAAGCCCCAGGCAAGGCGCTCAACTCTGAGCCTCAACCATCATCTTTGACTTAGAGTCCACTAAAAAGAAGCATGGTGGTGAACCAAATCCACGGGCCTTCCAATCGAGCGGGGTGTTTATCGACTGGAGTACCTGGCGACCCAGGGAACGTTGATCATGGGACTTCGGCTGCCCGGTTGCCTCTGGACCCCTGCAGTACCAGTACCAGCAATGCGGATTTCCCCTCTGCCGCGCCAAGCTGGGTCATCATTGAGACAACAACGACCGCCGCGAGGCAACTACATTGGTGTTGAGCGCGACTTGCCGTTGAGACTACTTGGCTGACACGAGTCGAGATAAGAACCCCCCCCTGCTATGTATTGCCCCTCTTTGCGTAACAATTGAGCGAGAGGTCCCAGACCCTGGGCTGAGACTTTTGGGGTGTTTCTAGGGACCCTTGCGTTAGTTGCCGCGTTGTTGAGACAAGAAGAACCACCAAACGTCATTAAACGTCATTAACGACCCCAAGAATTTCTTTGGAAAAAGAAAATAATAAAGTTCCGAACCGCCGTGGGAAGTCGAATCCGGGAACTAAGGCCGACGGACTGGTGGGGAAGCCAGAAACACGGCCGACCATTGAAGGACGAATTCAATTCTAGAAAGCACAACCTCTTCGCGGCCTATTCCCAAGACATTGTTGATTGTTCGCGAACGTCGCAAGCCAATGCGAATGACGTCGGCCTCAACGAACTGTGTGGGTGGAACCTATAGTCGACTCCAGTAATTCAAGTCCGGTCAGTCAGCGGCGACTGGCAACGGGCGGTCTACACACTTCGGGCCAAAGGCAACGCCTCAGCGCAGGCCGTGTGCTGATTCAAGCTCTGCCATCCGTCGACGGCGCGCAAGCGAAATGATGACAAGGGCGCTGCGAAACCTCGCGTCGGAAAACGTGGCTGCACGGGCAACGAGCCCGTCGACACTGGCTGCATGAACGGATCGGGGACTTTGCCTGCATGGGCGCTGCGCCGTAGCGTCCAGTAGGCCTAGCAACACCATTCGCGCATATCGACCGCCGTCTGCGACACACTCGGGCTCCTGGTTGGCCGGCTTCCCGGGGCTTGATCAGGACGACGCAAGCTGAAAGATCAATAGCCGCGCCGGCCGGTCTGGAGGCGGCGGGCAAGGAGGAGGAGGCTGCGACATGCATGTCCCCGTGGCCCAGGATCGTCACCGACGACATGGACTCGGCTCCTCTGGCGTCTCAGGGGGAGGCGACCTTGTTTGGCCCCTGGCGACGCCTCGTCAGTCCCAAGAGGCGGTAAATGGCGTATTTCGTACTACGTAGACTCGGCGTGAGGAACCGGGGACGCAATTCGACAAGACAGGATCGCGAGTGGCGTCGCCCACCTCCCGCGCGCCCTGGGTCGGGTTGACATATTATTCGTATACCCTGCCTTCATGCTCAACTGCCATCGCCTGGCATACGGCGCCCCCTGACCAATGCGGCCGCTAAAACCCCAACACCTTGTCATGGCTCAGAGCCACGCTCCC